ACCAAAATGAAATTTAGGGAGGGGGGAATCTTTTGTTTGGCGCGCCCCTCGCTGCGACTGGCTCTAGGGGACGGGGATGCGGGGCGCGGGCGCCCACTTCGCATTTATAGGGAGCCGCTAGTTAGGCGCCGCTGTAAACAGTGCCTCCGGCGCCGCAAACCCCAGTGCTGCTAGAACTAAACACTGCTAAAGATAGCGATCACATGGAGCTTGGGGGGGGGGGTGGAAGTAGACACTCTGGCCTAAAATGGGCGCGTTTGTCACCACCATGAACGGCATTCCTCTACTGCTAAACGGCACTACTGACGACGCTGAGGCGACGGTGTCTCACCCTCCGGCGAGTGGCGTCGTGGGTGCTCACGGCAAACAACGGGGCGCTGGCGCGCAGATCGTTCTCCGAGCACACCATACTTCGGGTGGACCTCGGTGCTCCACCCTCCCGAAGCGTGTGATAGGCCAAAATTCTAGCGTCCTGTGCTTCTAGTGGTCTAGCACACAGTACCCGATCCAGCATAAACCCTCTTTCTTTTGTGTGGAGAGATTGACGGGGTAATTGGCAGGTGATTGTGTCGATTTCCGGGGGCCCCGCCCGAGGACGCGGCGCCGGCGCCCAAAACCAGGCGATTTTTGGGCGATGTACGGTGGTAGCAAAACTTCTTCTATCACAGGCGCCTTCAATTGATTGCGTCCCCTTATTGTTACGGCTGAGTTAAGGCGGATATTGGCCTCGGCGCCATCACCGCCCGAGGTCCCTCGGACGCTTAAGCATCTTGGGCATAGCGCCAACGGGGTGCGCACGATTACTTCGGACCGCGGACGACGTCTAGACCCTCGGCGATAAATGTTCGCCTAGGTTATTACTCGCAGCACAAGTGCGCAAAAATTTGTCCGGTTGCCACCTAGTGTTGGCAGGCCCGACGTCCCGAGGTATACGGGCACCGCCAGGGTGGAACGAGGTCCGAATCTCGGGCATCTAAAATGTTTTATTGGGAATGTGTGGATAATGCTAAAGATATATGGCGAAATAAGGGCTGGATTTACGCCCAATGTTTTGAGGGGGTTTGCTGTCGGTGGGTGTCTTTGAGGTGGCGGGGGTGACCACTAAAGTGAGCGTCCCCTGCAGATGAGGTTATTTTGTTATCGGTGTTAACGTGACTGTTTCCGACATCGGAAGTGACGTGAGGTGCGACAGTGCCGGAGATTATCAATATGATCACACGAGGGCACCGCCTTACTCAGAGTATTGACAAACACTGCGGGCGACGGCGCCTACCATGGGCTGACGCTCGGCGAGCGCCACCATCTGCTGCGCCAATTGGGTGTCGCCAAGGTGCGTTGTGATGAGGCGAAGACACGGCATCATTACCCCCAGCATACTGGGGTTGCCGTCGTACGTACTGAACACGCCGAATATCTCGCGAGCGAGCCGCCGGGGGTGGTCAGCCCCAAGCTTATCGAGCTCAGCGGCAGCGGCGCCGTCGTCACGGTGGGGGCGCCTCTGGAGCGCCTCGTACAAACAGAGATGGGCCATTTTCCGATGAAGGTAGACTATGGCGTGTGCTGGCAAGCGGAAATATATCGTCGGGAACGCCAGGGTTAACGGGTCCCACTGGTAGACGATCGGCGCTAATCCTTGAGGGTAGTGGGCATCAAACTCCGTCAATTGGCGCAGCAATTGGCGCCAGGTCTGTAATGGGCGATTACACTCGTAGTCCTCATACAGAAGAGCCAGCGGCAGGCAGCGAAAGTCGTTAATCACCCCTAAAAGGTGGACCAGCTTCAAGACCCACCACCCGGTGGCGGCGGCGACCATCGGCGCATCGGGCGCCGCCTGGCCACGGCTATAGTCGTCGAGTCCATCAAACATATCGGGGTCAAGCGCCTGCCAGAACTGGTCGCTGGGACACCAGCAGGGCTGCTCTTGTTTGAGGGCTTGGTACACGTCACACACCATCAACATGGTGAAGCACAGCTGGTATAGTGGCAGACGCTCGAGGCCTGGGGGGCGCCCTGAGCGACCACCTCGCAGCTCGGGGCGCCGTACCAACTGAAAGAGAAGCACGGAGGCGCTATTGACATAGCTGGCGTCGAGCGGTGGCAAGAAAGTTTCGTATATACAGAGCACCACCGTCGCTACCATCGCCCGCGCCATGATGCTGAAATCGTCGGCGGCACGGGGCAATTGCTGTTCAATCAGCTCCACTGCCCGCTGGTGGTATTTAACGGCTATCTCGGGCGCCAGCGGCGCTATCTGCGTCGCCATCAGCGGCTGGCGGGCGTACACCATCAGCGCCAAACACAACACGGCGTCCAACACCACGTTGGTGTCGTCGTATAGCGCAATCTCGGGGATGATCAGCCCCCACACGCAGTGGGGCAAGTACACGTCGAGCGCCGGCTGGACGGTGGCGCAAAACGTATCGAAAAGGGCAAACTCTAGCGGCAGTTTAAGGCGGAGCTGGCACAGCGCCAGCACGGTGGCGTCAAGGGGCCGGCTCAACCCCATTTCGCGGGCGTAGTGGTCAAACACGTCGTCGTTAACCACCTCGCCCACCACCACTGGCGCCAATTTGCGCGGCGCTCGCCGCCGCGTCGTCGGCGGCAGCACCATCAGCCCCTTGACGATCTTGTTGATCCGCGGCTTCAGGTTCTTTTTCGTCTGGATCGGCTTGAAGTTTGACGCTTGCTGAGGCAACTGCTCTTCAAAAGGCGCCGTGCTCCCGTACGCTGACACTGTCAGCCGCTGGGGGTACCCGTACGGGTAGGGCGCGTAATACGGCGGCGGCACTGGCGCCGGTTGTGGTTGTGGCGGGGGTTGGTAGTGGTAGTCTATGGCGTAAGGCGCGGCGACGGCGCTCGCTGGCGGGGCGGCGTACCCTGGCGGTGGCGGAGGCGGTGGTGGTGGTTGGGAGTGGTCGTAGGCGTCGTCGATGGCGTCGGCGACGAGGTAGTGGGGCGCCGCCAGCGCCGGCGCCGGCGCCAGTGGGGGCGGCGCTGGAGGTGGCGCCTGGTGGGGCCAGTTGTATATGGGGTACATCGGCAGCGCCTGGAGCCCGTCGATAAGTGGCAGAATCTCAAATCAGCTCGCCCGTCTGGTCGAGGGCTACATTTTGTACTATAACATCAGGGGGACGGCTATAGTTTCCCCGAGCTGCCGGTGGTTTTATTGGAAATGATTCGTCCTGCACGCAATCTTGATTTCGCCCGCCAGCGTGAACCCTGCCGAAAAAATACGTAACCACCTGGTGGGAGGAAGATGGCGGCACACCCCCTCCTCCACTAAGCGACCAGGCGTAAATCGAGGTTTTTCCGGACCCACACCCCCTACGGAGCCACACGTACCCTTCCACTTGAGCATACCAAAACTGCTGGCGCTGTTGGCGCCATAAAAACCCACCACACGACATTTTCTCTCCACCCACCCAACTCCCCCTTCCCTGGCCATTATGCATGGATGCTTGACCCACCACACCTGCGAACCTTATTCTCGGTGCTCCCACCCCATCGCCCCGGCGAGCGATGCCTGATCTGGCCCGAGCAGAATACGGGGAAGGTCGTATATCGGGGGTAGTGGGGTGATCGCCCCCCGCCGGATCAATTGCCCTCGTCGTTGTCCCATCGACGGCTCGCCTGCCTGAGGGTGAAATTTACTGATTATTGGGATCGTCGCCAGGTGCTCACCCGCTTGGCCATGTCCTTCCCTTTGATGGGCAACATTAGCCTGCGTTGCAGCGAACCTCACCCTCTATCGGGCCGCTGAGGTAATCAGCCGCGAGGCTCCCCACACAGTACGGGCACCTACCTTGAGCGCTGAGCCATCAGCCTTACTAGTAGTGTTAAACCCGCTCTCACTACCGCAGCTTTGATCCACCACATCCTAGCCACAATTGACCTACGACAACCACTTCCTCAGATCAATAATCAGGCTATCCCTTGTGGCATCGCTAAAGGGGAGACGCGTCTACCTAAGCGACGTCGTCGACATCCCGTGCCGCCATGGTTGTATACTCAACCGGATGCCGCCCGAGGCGCGTGGATGCCGCTGAGGTAAGCTAGGCCATTTCTTTGCCAAATTGCCGCTACTAATTGCCCAAAGACTAACGCTAGCGACTCAATGGCCCGCCATAGCATTGATGAAACCATCTTGCACCCAGTGTACGATAGGCTGGTCGCCAGTCGTCGCTGGGGGCCGATCCCCAGGCGCTCGCAGCGGGGCGTCATTGTATTCACAAGCGCTTTGCTCACACCCTATGCACTCGGTAGTCAAGTAAAAGGGGCATTGACAACTGACCTTCCCAAAACTTGTCGGAGCCGCCAGCGGGTCTCGCTCATTGTTGCCGTTCTCGTCTCGACAGGAGGCGATATGCCCCGCTCCGGCGCTGGCAATTGTGACGCGTTCGGTACAAGGTAAATAGGTGGTTCGAGGTTTGGCGCGCCCGGCGATTTTGTGTAGACTAAACGTAGACTAAACGTATACCACTAACAAAGTAACCTACGCCGAGTAAAAGGGGTTTGATGTTTCCCTAGATGTCTAGAAATTGCAATTGACGCCCTGGAAATTGATCATTGAAGGAGGTCACGGTGACGAGTACCAGGTTCCTGCGTTTCGCCTCCGCCGCCTGCGACCTTAGGCGAATGGCTTGCAATCAAGCCCAGTGTGGAAGGTAACCGATTGTCACCAATTTACTCTTGAAAATTGTCAACCTACTAATCATGGTGATTTTGGAACCGTGATCAGTGTTTCAAATTTCAATTAACTATCAAATCTTTCCACTCTCCTCTTCAAGCTTGTTCTCTTATCAACTGGTGCGCGCCGCACGCTCATCATGTCCTTCATTCCTCGAAGGCTCTTCCCCAACTACAATGTGCCCTTGGCCAACTTCAAAGGCCACCACCAGAAGGCCCTCACCAAGTTTGGCCACCTAGCCCCCCAAATCGATCTCGTCGTTGAAGTACGTGACCTGCGGGCACCAGTGTCCACCACCAATGTCCTCTTCGATAAGGTGCTTGCCCACAAACCAAAGCTTATCGTCTACACCAAGAAAGATCTCCTGGTGCTTAAACCTGACTTGATGAACAAATGGCACCGTCATGAACCCTATATGTTTGTTGATGCCCGTAACCGCCGCGATGCCCAAAAGGTCATCGATAAGGTGATTGAGCGCTACGACGCCATGGACCCACCGCCTCCGTTAGGGCTCCGCATGATGATCATCGGCATGCCCAATGTCGGCAAACTGACGTTGGTAAATACGCTTCGTGAAGTCGGCTACGGTAAAGAGTTGATGGAAATGGGGGTGCTGACTAAACGGAAGAAAGTGGCGAAAACTGGGGGCCAGCCGGGGGTTACCCGTCTGACAAGTGAGATTATTCGATTACTGAGAGTGCCCGATATTTTGGTTTACGATACACCCGGGGTATTCCTCCCTACGGTTAAAGACGCTGAGACCATGCTCGCTCTAGGGCTTGTGGGCTGTGTCCACACACTGTTTATTGATCCCGTGATCCAGGCAGACTACTTGTTATACCTTCTCAACCTCCAAGACCCGCTGGGAGCACTCTACAGCGAGTACATTGACCACCCCACTAATAGCATTGATGAGCTTCTTTACAACGTGGCCAAGACTCGTGGTAAGCTCCGCAACGACGAGTACGATGAGCTTGGCATGGCTCTCCACTGGGTCAATTTGTGGCGCCAGGGGAAGTCCTCGAAGTATCGAGGTCTTTTCGATCTTGGTGCTATTGTCGAACTCAACGGTAAGGAGCTTCGCGCTCTTTATAAGGACGAACAAGAACGAGTAAAGGAGATGAACGTCCACCAGAAACTCGTTGACTCGTTTGGCGAGGACGGCACCAGTACTCTGAAAGCCCGTAAGCGGACGGCCAAGGATCGGGCTGCTGACCTCAAAAACCAATTATTCAAATTATGACCCCACTCTGTACATAGCTTTAATGACCCAAAATATCGTCGATATTGACGAAATCGGCAAACTCTTCCGTCGCCGCCGCTTCCCGGCCCTCACCCTCAGCGGCGGGAGTCTTCTCCACAGGAGGACGGTACGACACGTCAAGCTTCTCCATTAACCCTTTCACCAACAGCAATGGAGGAGAAGGCAACACCCTCCCTCGATTTCCGTTGTTGATCTCGAGAATGTTACCCAAGTTGTACAAATTGGTGCCCTCAGGGTCCACCAAGTTCTTGGTAGCAAAGTCCTCAGTAATCGTAAACTTATTAAGCAGCGCCTGCGCCAACAGCTTGACAATGATCTTCTCCAAGTACATGTCGTACTTGGCGATACTGGGGGAGGATGCCAACAATTTAGATTGAGCAGTTTGAGACTTAGGGTCGCCGTGATCGACGACAACCGGAATCAGCAGCCGGAGATCAAGCCGAGGATTGTTGATAGCAATCTGCGATGTAGGTGTCTCGTTAAATGACATTCTTTCCACAAATTCATCCATTTGCGTCTGGGTGTCGGCAGTAGGAAACCGTTTGGACGGATACTTTGGTGGTTCTGTTGATGCTGGGGGTAAAATCGCGAGCGAGTCATCGCTTTCCTCACCCTCACTAGCATCTTCGTCACTGAATTCATCGTCTTTTTTCTCGGTTTTCGGCTTGGTGGGAGGAGTAAGGTAGGGGAACTTGCCGAACTTTTCGTCTTCAGCAAATGCCAATGGCACAAATACCAAGCCCGGTTTCGGCTCGTCGTCAACGGCAAACTTGACAGGGAGAAGCGCCCCAATTTGCACCGCCGCTTTAGGTTTTGGAACATACCGAACAAGGGCAAAACGCTCAAGCTGGCCAAGCGCAGTGACAAACAGATTGTAGCCGGTGTGGTCCACTGCCGGGACAACATACTTCAGTTCACCGGTAATGTAAGGGTATGGTAAATCTCTGAGAGCAGAGAAGCCAAGTACGTCAAAGGTCGCCACGGTATCAAGGGTGGCCATCTCCTTAAGGTACTCATTAACCACGACTAGGTCATGCTTGGAGTACTTAAATGCCGGCACTCTATCACCTGGATCGACGGTAAGCTTCTCAATGTTATCAGTTGTCGCAGTAACTCCCTCTGCTTCATTGTCATCATTTCGATTCTCTCCGTCTTCTCCTTCATTATTGTCACCCGAAGACGACTTCACATTCACATAGTAGTGAGAGCGGCGTCCCACCTTAGCGGTTCCTTGCAGAGAATCGTACTTGTACTCACCGGCACTGGCCGGCGCCAACGGCTTCACTGCTGGATATAGCCCCACAGGGATAGTAAAGTACGCTGGTTGTTCGAGAGCGTCACGGGAACTTTCAACGTCTCTACCAATTTGAAGTAAAGCCAGCGTCTTCATCGGTAACACGCGTTTTATCGCAGTGTTGTAGCGTAACGTTTCTGAAGGGTTAGGCACCACCTGGCACTTCCAGGCATCAATTACCGGCTTCCACGGGCCCTTGGTACTCACCCCCACAAGCACCACCTTAATTGAGTTGTTAGTGATGAAACCAGTGTAGTTTTCGACCTGGTCCGCAAAGTTGGCGTAGTTATCATCATTAGTGGCAATGACGAGGTAGCGGCTAAATTTGAGCCGTAATTTCACTTCCAAATTGGCTTTAGCAGCCGCCATGCTTGCCTCTAAGTCCGTAGCCTCGACAGTAGTGTCCAAATGGGAGTACCATGCCTTGAGGTTATCGTAGGTGAACGCGGCGTCAACGAACGTGGTGTTGCCGTCGGTGACAAGACTCAATCGGTCCAGCTTGCGGTTCAGAAGAAGCGCCTGGGCTCCGTGGTGGAGCACGTAGTCAATGCCGCTGGCATGGTCGACCACAAACACCGTCCACTGTTTGGTGGCCATGGTGCGCGCTGCGTCCTGGTGAGTGGTGATAAGGGTTTACGGTGGTAGTGAAAAATCCTCGGAATATCGTCAATACAAACGTTGAGTGTAATGGTCCATTCGAGAATTGGACTTGGCATTGAGTGTTATCGTTAGTTTGATAATTGAACACTGAACTGAGTAACAAATCTGGGAAATGATGCTTATTCTAGCGATAATTCACCTATTGCTAGAATGGCCTACGTTATGCTTTTCACTGACACGGACTCAATTTAGCAGTATGTGATAGCCATTGATTTAGTGACGGCCTTCATCAGGCGTGTTCTCTATTTGTCGTTATATTCATGCGGATGGTGGGGCAGTTCACGGCGCCACCGAGGGGTCTATAACCTCGTAATCATCAAGAAACTTCTCTTCGCGTTTGCGGGGAGGTTTCAGCGGTGTGGTTTCATTGTCGTCATCGATAAGGCCCGCTACTCGCAACACGTCTTTAAACACTAAGCGGTAGCTGAGGAACACCGCCAAGATCGAGCAGTAAAACGTAATGAGCTTCTGGGGACCACCACCGGTACTGCCCTCGATAAGACGCGTCCCGTAGTGCCCGTTAATGCACCCAAGCAAGTTGATAAGCCGCAACTCGGGGCCCCATTGAAGCTGAGGCCAAGCAAGAAGCGCTGCCGTCAACAAAAACGTGTACACCAAGCTGAGGACGACCATCGGGTGACCTTTCTCCAAGCACAACACCTCGACCATAATGCAGATCAACTGCAGGTAGTGGATCCCCCGTTCGTCCTGTAACGGGATCGCATCGACAATGACGTGAGTGGGGTACTTGAGGAGCTTTAACTGGCGGAAATGGGCCGCCACCAATCTGATGTAGCTCGCTAAAGGCACGGCAACAAGCCCCATATACACCACATTACTGAACGGGAAGTTCTGGCAGAAGGCAAGCGCCCACGCCATAGTTGCCACAAGGTCACAGAACAACAGATTGACGAGACGGTAGCGGGGGTCATAATCGAACTTGAGTATGAAGAACCACGGTACAAACAGGCCAAACACCAAGAGCATCAGGAAAGTAGCATCTTCGAGCAGCTGCATTTGCGCCGCCAGCACCTCGCCTGGAGGGATATGGGCCACGGGGAGTGTGAGGAACGAGCTGGCTCGGCACACTATTGTCAACGGGCTCGCTAGTAGCGACGATCCCGACGGAGCCATGGCGGATATGGGCGATGGTGGACGAGTTATGATATAGTGAGATCCAGCAGCGGTGCGAATGAAGTCCGAAAACAGGCCACAAACGGCAGCGTTAGGTCATGCGTCGGCAACCTCGGTGGGTGGCAGGTGCTAAAAGCTGGGTTTTACGGTGCTAGTGGAAAAAGCGCTATCAGTGTCCCGCGTGTGACCGTTGCTAGCGACCTCGGCCCGCACGGATCATAGTGAGACGGCAGTCCGGCAACGACGAGATGAGCAACTTTTGGGTACTATTTTATTTACGTTTCACTAACTAGTATACTCGGGTTTCAGTCAAATGTTGACATTTCAAAGTGCTACTTCGTGATTGTGACTGTTAGTGGTACCCGTCAAGCTGGGTGCAAATATGCACTAGCAACTGCCGGTGAGTGTCGGACGACAGCTACCCTCGATGCGTTAACAAAGGGCCATGCCACCACGAATACCATTGTCCTCATCCAAAAAAACCATGACTTTAACTTTTCCAATAGATTCAGAGGGGCTAATGTCGAGACGTTGGTGTCGATAGTCTCGGTATTGTGGTTAGCGCGCCTAGTCTACTACTGACGCCTGGTGCTCCACGACACAGCGGTTTTTTGCATTTTTATCGTCCATACCCAACCTTGGGTCATTTCAACCATCCCGCAGACGCTTCCCTAATCTGAGTACATGCCCCTTGTTGTATTTACCGGTCTCCCCGGGTCGGGCAAGACCACTTACGCTCGCAAGCTCATCGCTCATCTCGAGGACAGTATAGCCAAAGCCAAGGCGGAAGACCTCCCTGGACACAATTACTCGGTGGTGTACCACACCGATGAAACCTTGGGCATCACCCCGGACCGCTACCGCGAGCTGGTGCTGGAGAAACTGCTCCGTGGCGCCCAGATGCTGGCAGTGAAGCGGGACTTGCTGCCCCACACCATCGTCGTCCTCGATCTGTTGTGCTACATCAAGGGTTTCCGCTACCAGCTCTACTGTGAGGCCAAAAACATCCCCACTCCGCACTGCGTTATCCACGTCATCGCCCCAGCCTCCCAGTGTATCGAATGGGACGACGGTAAGTGGGGCCCCGAGCTTATAAACCAGTTGGCTATGCGCTACGAAGAACCTAACGGCACCACCAGGTGGGATCTGCCGCTTTTCTCCGTGGTGGCTCCGGAAAACGACCCGTTACCCGTCGACGATATTTGGGAGACTCTCGTGTTGAAAAAGCCTCCTACTGCCAACGCCCTGACGGTGACTAAAGCCGTAGGGCTGAATGATTACCTCCAACAATTAGACAAGCAGACGCTGGCGGTGGTGGGGCAAATCTTGGCCCAGCAGAACTTGGGTGGTGGCGACGTCAAGATCTCTGAAGGGGTCGTGGTGGAGATGCCACCCACTCTGGTTTCCACGGGCCAGCTCCAACGTATCCGTCGTACCTATATCGGTCTCAACCGTATGCGTACCGTCGACGTCGATCGCATTACCCCGTTGTTCGTGGAATACCTTAATAAGAGTTTGAACGAGTAAGTTCCGTATATAGACCTTAATGATAGAATTTAATCGACGATATCACATAGTTCTGGCTACTGTAGCTTAGCCTTGCGTATATTTACCAGTGGCACTTTCCATAAAATTTCATCAATTTCACCAAAACATTAACAAATGACAAAAATAGATTTACACCAGCAGTGTGAAATGTCAAGAAAACCGAAACTGTCTCTCAAACAAACTTGAAGCATCTAATCTTTATACCTTAGCTGTTAACCTGTGTACATTAGCATTCACGTAATTCTATAAATCATTCCTAAAGTCCCCCAAAAGCTTCACCGCTTGCGGATCTGCAGCCACTGGAACCGCGTGGTGCCGTCGGCCTCGACAATCTTCTTCTTCGCCCCTTTCTTCAACATCTCGCGCTCGAGGTCCATGCGCTGTTCCACCTCCTTCAACTGGCGCTCGCGCTCCAACCTCAGCTTCAACTGTCTCAAGTGGGCCAACTTCTCCTTCTGCTGCTGCTTGCGGGTGTCGGCCAGAAGCGTCTGCGCCACCACACCCTTATTCAGCTCCAACTGGTCAAGCCGGAGCCGGTTTTGCCGCCGCTCAACGAGACTGGCGTCGGTGTCGAAGTATTTGGCAGCGTCAAACTTCCGCTGCTCGTCGGCCAGGTCGACAAACACCGTGTGCTTGCCGCTAGCCTGTAACATCACCTGCTGCTTCTCGGCGGCGATGCGCTTGGCTTCGTGCAACCGCATCGTCCGCACATAGTTGACGTCTTGCAGCTTCAACAACTTCACCTGGTCGACCGAGAGCAGCTCCGCCTCCAGCTCGGAGAGAAGAATGCCCTTGTTGTCGGTACGACGCCGGGTCATCGCATGGTAGTACTCATCGGGGTTGTAGTTGGCCGCCTGTTCCTTAAGCGCCTTGAGCGCCGCCTGCTTCTTGTGGTAGTCTGCGGCTCGTAGGCGGTAGTCCTTCTTCTTCTCGAGAAAGCCATACTTCTGCCGCAGCGCCACCTGCGACCGCTCCTTGTGCTGCTTCTTCTGGACGTTGTGGACGAGTCGAGTCATCGCGGTGGTAAGAGACGGTGGTGGTTTTCGCGCGATGAGCGAGTGCACCCACTGTGGGGGAGGTTGCGCACGGCGCACCAAGCCAGGTCCATGAAACCTGATATTTGGGCAATATCGTGGCCGTCCTCGAACCCCAATTAGGTATCACTCGTCACCACGGTAAACACAAATAGTCGCGGGCTCTCTTACCACCGGAGCGGCTGGGCCACCCGAGGAGGAGAACAAGGCCTCAGGCTTGAGAAGTGGCCCAGCGGCTTCTGAGTAGAGGAGGATTCTGCCTCCACCACCACCCTTTAATCGCGGTGTCTCCAGTTGTTGTACTGAGTAAGTAGCTAGGGTGAAGATGGTAGATTATATATGGCGGGCGTGGCTGGATTCTCCGTGGTGGTCTTGACGACGACGCGGCGTGGGAGATTGAGTACCTGATCTCCGCTGGGTAAACCTGTTACAGTAACGAATACGAAGACCGCATGTGGTCAGCCAGACAAAAACCTTTTAGTTATCAGCTAACGTCTAGGGTGTCTGCGTAACTGTTTGTTTTGCACTGGTCAGGTGATGCCTACTGGTGGTATTAACACGTCTACGAACACTCCAACTCAGCTATTTTGGCAACGGCAGCCATTAACCACCGAGGTCATCGTTGATATCAATGCAGGGGAGACGATGCACCACCCTGACCCACACATTCTCTTTGTTGTGAAAAATTGGTGGCTGGCTACCAGCCTCGCCGCGCGAACTAATTTATTAGTGTAAGGCAGAAACCAGCGTGGTCATCGCGGTTGACAACGCCAGCACCACGTGGCAAAACTTCTCAAAAATGACATAAAACAACTTTAAAATTATGGAAGATTACTTGTGAAAACATTTTGGGCCTTTAAACGAATTCTATCACGAAATACTCGATCAATTAACGACTCATATCGTACCACATTGCCAACGCGTCAAAACTGCATAATGGTTCTGTAGTCTAGTTGGTTATGACGCATGCTTCACACGCATGAGGTCCCCGGATCGAGCCCGGGCAGAATCACTGCTTCCTTTTTGCCTACAGGGAATCCCAAATAATCAATTGATTAACCCCACTATAAACCTAAGGCGTTCACCAACACCTTTTTTACATCCTGTCCCTCCAAGTCATTACCGTGACACATTACCACCCGATCAAAGTCAAACTCATTCACCAACACCCTCAACGGCTCCTTAGCCAGCGAATTGGGCAGAAACACCATATTAAACAAACACGTCACCAATTGACCGTAGTAATTTCTCGGGTTCACTTTCCAGAGCATCCAGTGACGCCATGAAGGACCCCCTGCCTGGAATTGCTCCACCTCCCCATCAAAATTGAACAACAAATCACCCACGAAAAGCGTCTTCAAGTTCTTCTCGTACGTCACCACTTCGTCACAATAGTGCTGGTCCAAAAACTCAAACTCAAAGTTGTTGACAATCACGTTGTCGACACCAAGACTCTTAAGGCGGTCGCCCAGAAGTTTCTGGCGAGCCAACGACTTCGGAATGATAACATCAGCGCGGCATCCTTCTTTCAACGGCGTGCCCTCGGGAGCAAGGATTCTGGCATCAGGGAATCTCCGCTTGTATTGATGAGCACACATGCAGTGGTGGGTATTAGCAACAATCACCCACGAAATCGAGACGTTCGACCCCCATTTGGCAAGCGCCTCGTCAATGTAATCGCCATACGGCAACGGCAGCCACACCACCACCTGGTTCTGATAGCGGAACAACGCCGTTCTCGCGCCGATGGGTACCACATGGAGGAAATCGAACGGCGCCAGAATCACAACGACATCGTCAGAGAGCGATCTTGTCACCGTGGGGAGAGGGTCAGGGTAGGACATGGTCGACAGCTAAACGTAACTGGTGTAACTTTTCACGAAAAATTACAAGGGGTGGCAAATTGTGGGGAACGGATTTCCCTGTACGCACTCTATGTACATGGTGCGCGTTGCACATGCCCGGTTCGGATGGGGCACTCACACTAATTCCGGGAGGTCTAGACGCTGTACCACAAAATCATTTCGTTAGTCATATATTTCTGTACCTATGTATCTCCTATATCTCCCGTAATGTATCTCTATTTCCTTGGATATCTTTCAGCACCGCTAGAGGGCATTCTTTCGGGTCAAGTAGTCGAATCTCGAGTACGTGTACCCAATGAACGGCAAGTCCTCCTTGGCATTCTTGGTGGCAGGCAACCCTTGCGCTGCTTCTTCCATCGCCTTCGCCAACGCTGGTGAGTCGGGCACACCCTCCAACTCGTCGGTAGGGAAAAACCGGGTGTCGGTGATCGACCGCAACTTGGGGATAAACGGCGCGTCCACCTTGCGGATGGTGTCCCAATCAACACCACGGAAGAACGGGTGTTGTTTGATTTCTTCTGCACCACCGTAACGTCCTAATCGATGCTCAGCCAGTGTCAACAACTTGCGAATCAAGTCTTCGGCTTCGGGACTAAGGTGAATGTCCTCGGGTATATTGAGAGTTTCTTGCCAGTTCAAGATCTTGCGGTAAGTCTCGTGAGGAGTCTCGGAGCAGAACGGCGGCCAGCCAATGAGACATTCAAACATGATTGCCCCTAACGACCACCAGTCACACTCTTGACCGTAGCCTTGGTGGATGAAAATCTCGGGAGCGATGTAGTCGGGAGTACCCACTGTCAGGTACGCCATCAACCGCCGCAGCTTACGCCACGTTTGCATCTGTTGACGGTTCAGCATCGTCAAGTGGATGGCGTCGACCATCATCAGATTGCGCCCCGCCGCCCCCGCTAACAGCGACTGCGGCGTGGTCAGCGCCATCTCCTTTTCCAATAACTTCTTATAGTAGTTGGAGTCATGCGTCTTGTGGAAACCAGTGGACAACCCAAAGTCCGAGAGCTTAATGTGGCCGCGGATATCAATCAAGATGTTATCCGGCTTGATATCACGATGGATGAATCCAAGCTTGTGGATGGCTTCAATCGCCAACACACACTCGGCCATGTAGAACCGGGTGATGTCCTCGGTGAAAATCTGCCAACGGATTAACATAGTCATCAAATCACCACCGGGCAAGAACTCCATGATGAGATAAAGGTACTGAGCGTCTTGGAACGAGTAGTACAACAGCACCACCCACGGCGAGTCCAGCCCCGCCAACACGTCTCTTTCGGCCTTGACGTGGGCTAACTGGTCCTTTTTGAACATCTCCAGCTTAAGTAATGTCTTCATTGCGTAGATCTTCCCCGTATCCCGCTTCTGTACGAGTCTCACTTCCCCGAAGGCCCCCTTACCAATCACTTTAACGGTGGTAAAGTCCTCCAAGCCAAGCTTGGTCCGTCTCAAACGCAAAAATTGCGACTCTTTACGGCCGAGGTTTTGGAGCTGGCGGTTCTTACGCTCTTCCAGTGCGTGTGATTCCTCAGTGGCAAGCTTCTGTTCAAGCTGCAATCGCCGTTGGTTACGTTCGACAGCGTGAGATACACTGAGATTATAGTAGTTTTCAATACGCAACTTAATCGCCGCGGCTCGGTCTTGCGTTTCCTTTGTGAGCAGCTGAGGTTGGCGGTTGAAGTAGACATAGTTGGCACTCGAGGGCTGAGGAGGGGCCTGAGTGGTGACACTCTGGTTTTGATGGTTGAGTGAGCTGCCAAACATCAGGGTTTGGCCGGCGTTTTGTTGTGAAGGGCGCGTCTGTTGCGCGTATTGCACCTGTTGTTGCTGAGCTCGCTGGGTTTGCTGCGCCTGTTCAGCCTGTTGGGCCTGTTGTGCTTGAAGCCGAGCCTGCTCCGCCTGACGCTGCAGTTCCTGGTGCTGAAGCTGGAGCTGAGTCGCGCCAAACATGGGCTGGACCGGCAGCTGTTGGCTCACTTGGACCCCCAACCCGCTGGAAAACTGCAGTGGCTGGTTGCCAAACAGCAGTTGGACAAGCGGATCGCTTCCAGAAGAGTTGTTGACGCTCATGTGCGCCATCTGGGGGCTGGCGGCGACATCGGCCACTGCGCCCCCTCCAGGCAGCTGCGTGATCAGATTGATCAGGGGAGCGCCGCCGCCACTGATCTCCAGCACGTTGGTCGACAGAGAGTTGCCCAACTGGGTGAACCCCAGCTGGGGCGGGCGGAAATTGAGCGAATCAATCAGGGTGAATTTATCACCAAACTGCGAGTGGGGGAACTGGCCGTTGGTGGTGAACTTGGGCAGGGTGGCAAACTCGTCCTCCATGATCACGTCCAGATCGTCGGGACCTGGCTGCAGAGGCGCCAGAGCCCCGTGGTGCTGCCAGTAGGGATCGTCAAACTCCATGCCAGCAGTGGTGCCTCACGGGACACTTTTTCGTCGACCGAGAAAAAAAGTGCGCTGCCCGCCGGCTGCCCACTCCGTTAGGCGTTTCGGACAATTTAGCTATTTTAGGCGTGGTTAGAGAGGTTTCGACATTTGCGGTGTAGATTACTTGACCATGGTGTAGTGGCGAAAGTGAGTTTGACACAAACGATGGCCTTGATAATTTTTCCCGATTAGGAACGAATGCGTCAGGCCCTGATTGTGGAATGTTGGCCAGTGCACTGCCGACTTAGTAAAGGAGGCTGGCACAGCCAAGGCGACGGTTGTAACGGCGTGACATTAATGGATTGAATCGACCATAGAGATTATTATTTACTTGTTTAAGTTTGTACTACTGAGATGCTTGCCCCATTCATTCAGCTAATTGTGGGGCAATAGAGACGTGTCGCCCGCCCCTTGATCGCGCACTATGGATAACATCGAGGGCATCCTCAAGTCCGAGGAGACCGATCTCAAGCGAGATGCCGAAATCAAACGGATTTTGAGTGTACACCCAAAGGATTACTACGCCGTGCTTGATGTGGCGTTTGAGGCTGACGCTGGCGTCATCAAGAAGCGGTACCGACAGCTAGCGATGTTGATCCATCCCGATAAGACATCGTTACCCGATGCCGAGAAGGCATTCGACATTGTCAAGAAAGCCGAGCTGATATTACAAGCCCTGGGCGACGACCAGGCCCTGGCAGTACAGGAAAAGGAACGACTAGATCTGATTTACCGCGACGTGGACCAAGACCGCAAACGGGTGAGGGAGGCGCTTGAAGACCTAGAGTTCCAGGAATTACAGCAAAAGGAACTTGAACAGCGACATAAGTTAAACGAGCATGCAGCAGCCAAGCGGGCCGAGGAGAACGTGTCTGCGGCTGCCAAACACAAGCAGCGGTGGGAGAACGACCGGGATACCCGAGTCAACCTGTGGCGATCGTACGTCTCCAAAGTGGAGAAACCTAAGAAAAAAAAGAAGAAAAAGGTATTGGCATAGGCTAGACTATCAGCGTAATATATTGATGCTAAAAAATGTGAGTAAAACACACTAGTGTACCTGTTATCTAAAATCTAAACAAACAGCTCCAAACGCTCACCGGCGGCCTTGATTCTCATCCCTGTCCGGTTACTCAACTCGTAGTCGCCTTCACCCACAGTCTCGGCCTTCTTCAACCAGTCAAGCAGCTGGTGGACGGCGTCCGCGACGTTGAAGTTGCTCTGCGACGTCTTCAACAACCACGTGAACATCAGTCGTTCGTACAACGCCGTGGGGTAAATGTAAGGAGAGTCATCCATCTTGTGGAAGCGGAACGGCTCTTGACTGACGACATACTTGGCAATCACTTGTTTGTCGAGACGGTCAGCCCCTTCCTTCACCTTGCCTTGCGAGCGTTCGATGATCGATAATAGAAAATTGCGGATGATGCCTTCGTCTTCGGTCTCGGTAAACTTGGCGTACTTCGATCCAGGAGCAGTGTAGGACAAAATCTTCGCCGACAATTCTAATTCGGTGGGCGTCATTCTATTGTAACCGTTCCAGAAGTACACGAGTTCATGCATGATCAGGGTGCCCACGGCGTCGACAAACTTCAAGTTCTTGTGGTGTCTTCTGCGTTCGGCAATTTGGTCGAGCTTTCTAAGCAAGAATTTGTCAAATGGCATCTTCTTCTTGCCACCACCAAGACCACCCTTCTTCCCTTGGTTATTAATCCCACCAGGAACGTAAGTGGGAGCAAGCTCGTAGTACTTGTTGGCCAACTTTTCGTACTTGTCTAAGTCGCCTTCAACCAAGCCCATCTCAATCATACGGTACTTGGCCAAGTAGCACGAAGCCGCCATGAACAAGTACACCGCCTTAGACCAGGAGTTAATGTCAATCAACTTGATAAAGTCTCTGGCGGCCAGATCAAAGTCATGTTTGAATGCATAAAGCATGGCCCGGTCATAGATGAGCAATGCTTCGACTTGTTGCATCTGGATCTTGTTGGAAGGGTCATCGGTGAATTGTTGCATAAGGTCACAAGCTTCGTATAACTTGCCTTGCGCCGCCAAGATACGACCTTCTTGCAATAACCAAAGAGCGTTATGAGGGAACAATTTCCGAGCTTTAGTCAATAATTGAGGGGTATACAACGACGGGTTCTGCATAACCCGGTCAAGCTCAGCGTCACTGATGGATACTTTACCCTGAAGGTTAATCACATCGGTGATGAGCGAATCACATTGGTGGGGCAATTGGAACCCAACATCGACAAATTGCACGGGACCGTCGTAAAAAACAAGCAAACAAAGAAGCGCCAAGTCACCGTGGATGTTACGACTGGTGATGGCAGTACGCCACAACATCTTGAGGCCAGTATCCCGGTTACCCTTGAACCCAACAATCAGAAGCACCTTACCGATGGTAGGAGGAATGAGCGACAACACCACTTGCAAAATACCAAAACATAATTGCACCCCTGAATGGATGAATTCGTCCACGGTAGACACATACAAGTGGTTGTCATCGAGAGTGGGAGACACCGACGATACCGACGACACCCCCAGGATGATCAGAGCCTGGCCGCCATTCAACGTCGGCGGCACCGAGATCTCATCAACGGCATCGGAGAAGCCATCGTCTTCGGCCACCGTCGCTTTAAACACAGAGTTGGAGGTGGAAGCAAGCGGCGACGTCACCCGAGGCGTAGCGGCACTGCTGTCGTTAACCGATAACTTAGCGATCGATTCACCAATGGACAGCAGCGACTCCCACATGTTGGTGTCATTACCGATATTGGTACCGTCGATCCGGCCCTTGCGCATCTGGTAGACTTGCTCCAAGTTCTTCATCAACTGGACGTCCTGAGGCAACAGTGCCAGCAGCGACAGCGCCAGCGACGGAACCTTGTAGCCCGGCAAATCGGAGTTGCTCAAGTTGTTGACATTGGTTAAACTCTCCTTCTTCAATTTCTTCAAGTTTCTGTTAAATGTCGGTTCCAGGGCCTTGATCTTCTTGTAGGTCGAGTCCAATTTGTTGTAAGCTGCCCGCAACTTGTAAAGCGCCTTGAGCCCCTCCATCATCCCGTTGTTTTCCTTCAACAACATCAACAACGCACACAACAACGTCAGTTCGGCGTGAGTGACTTCGAACTCGGTCCCCGGGGGGTAGATGTGCGACGTCGCCATCTTGTGGTGGACATTGTACTTGTAGTTCTTATCCGACGCCAGTTCTGCTTGCTGGAGCGTGGCAAGGGCCCGGTCCATCACCTCGGCCTCGAACCCGAGCGTCGCCTCGATGAATTCCATCACCCCCAACGCCAACGGGAAGATCCCCGCCGGCTGGTCGGCAGAACCCTTGTTGTGTTTCGCCAGCTCCACCTCCAAAAGCTTCACCCCTTCCTCGGATCGGTCGTCGAGTAAGTAATCCATCGCTTGCAAGGCGATCTCGAAATCCTTCACTTGCTTGAGCACCCGCGCGTAGTTCTCTGACGACGAGTCGTCAGGGGGAGCCAGGCCCCCTATCATCGACGACGTCTTCTTTCTCAAGCCCTTGAACATGGTCGTCTATCTCAGAGGTCCCGGTGGAGGCGGTTAACCAAATAGTGCCTGCGTGGTGCGACGCGAACCGTCGGAGACGCCCGCAGCGAGATACGGTCAATCACATGATGTGTTCCGGCAGCCGCTTAGTGACAGCTATCACTATGAGTTGGGCTATACGACGAACTTCCGAGGAAGCGTCGGCGTCGTTACGGGTGAGATCTAGATCTTGCCAAAGGCCGTCGTACCCGTCGTTCCCATCTATTCGACGGGGTCTACTATCACCACTTCCCCCGATTTCCATCGGATCTTCAGCTCCCACCTCTTGGCAACTCCGGTCGCCAACGTTGCTAAAATTTTGTGTTACCCCCGTGGGGTGGAGATAACCCTCGTTCACTATGAAAAATCGCGCACCTCGTCCTCTGGACGGGGGATAGGGGTCCCGGCTACAAAGCCTCCCTTGGCCGCGTGAAAAGTTCACTGCGAACAATTAAGGCGGATATCGTTGGTTACTGGAATAATCCTCTCACACGCATTTGAGATGTTTACGTCCTTTATCGTATGTCTGTAGGCTCCCCGAACGGCTTAGACGTTGCTAGTTGCTCTCTGAAGCTCAATTCCGAGCTTAAATGCCATCGGTTAGGAGGGGCGGGGCGACCCTCTTGCTGGGGCGCGGGGCACCATTCAATCCCCACGCCACCCCAGCAGACCCTGTACAGAGTATTGCAATCACTGTCGGACTAGGGGGCATTAGTGGCTGTTTAAAACGCCGCTTTGGGTAAGATTGGCGGTGGATGGGCTATCTTCCATGCACGTCTCTGGTTTCGTCTTGATTACCAGCCTTCGCGTGCGGGTGCGGCTAATGAGAAATCGAATACTATGAGGGAGGAAGATAACAAGTGAAATGTTTCCAACACTGTGACGTGGTTTTACCTATTCTTGAACAACCATAATTGATGACGCTTAAGCTTTTGCAACCCACTTAATACCAAATACTTCACTGTGTGCGGCTCAGGGTCCCTGCAACGGTCAAGCTGGCTGGTACTTGCATAATGCATAAGTGACAGCTCCTCGAGATTAGCAGACATTTAGAGCAGGCTAACGAGGATGCATTGAGACGTGGTAGCCAGCATAGTTTCCCTTTGTTAGAATGCAGTGACACGTTATATATTGCAGGGCCCCACCCGCATGTTGTGACCAGTTTCCGCTGATGTTGACATTCCCTGTTTTACTTTCGCTTTTAGCATCAATCGAAGCTCTCCAAGTCACCGTCACCGTCCAGCCTAGCGTGAAGACGGTGTACGAGACGCTGACCACTACCTTACGTCAGGTGCTTTCCCAAGCTCCTCCTGATGTCAGTCAATCGCTTTCAGCCAACCCCACTGCCGCGGACTCGCTGCTGTCAGACACTGTGCCCACTGACTCAGCTCAACCTTCGTTAGAGGCATCTCCTTCGTTACCTTTACTGGACGCTTCATCAATCATTGAAGCCTTAACTTCATCATTATCGTCTTCGTCTTCAGACGCAGGTGCTGCAAACGCCGTATCGGGTACCTCGACCGAGAGTACCTCGGAGGCTCCTTCGAACCCTTCATCAAGCGTTATCGACTCGGCGCTCCCTTCTTCGCAATCTTCATTAAATGTTGATGAAAACTCGTCTACCAACATTGATACAATCGTTCTGCCACTGAGCACTGACGACGCCGCTGCGCCAACAGCGAGCACTGCTGAAGTGGAATCGCCTACAGTGCCGTCTCCAGAGTCTACCCAGGCACCTGAAGAAACCTCTTCTTCTATCTTAACGGAACCGACAACTTCTCTGACTGTTGAACCTGTACCCACAACTAGTCTGACCGTTGAACCGGTTCCCGAACCTACCACTAGCCTGACTGCCGCTCCTCAGCCGACAACCACTCTGACTGCCGCTCCTCAGCCCACAACCACTCTGACTGTTGAACCCCAACCTACAACTAGTCTGACGGTTGCTCCTGAGCCTACGCCGACGACTTCTAGTCAATCGCCTCAACCAACTCTCGGTGAGTTTGAACAACAAATTTTGGACACTCACAACCAAAAGCGGGCTCTCCACGGGGTGGGCCTGCTTGTTTGGGATGCGTCGTACGCTGAATACGCTCTCAACTATGCTAACTCCGTTGTCGATTGCAACAACATGCAATTAATCCACTCTAAAGGCCCCTACGGCGAAAACTTAGCCGCGGGTTACGTTGGCGGTGTTGATCCCGTCGACGCTTGGTATGACGAAATCAAGTTGTACGACTTCAACAACCCTGGCTACACCAAGGGTACCGGACACTTCACGCAAGTGGTGTGGAAGCTGACCAAGAGACTTGGATGCGCAAAGATTATGTGCAACAACGAATGGCGCCAATACACCATTTGTGAATACGGTGATGGTACCGACAATGTCATCGGCACCGGTAACGTTGTCGGGATTGATCCTGCAACTGGCAAGTCATACTTCGAGGAGAATGTCCTTCCTCCTTTGTCTTCCTAAATTTGAAGACTACTTTTAATGACTTATGAATCTTTACTTTTCTGAATTAACGATTGCTCGATATATGCAATTATACATGCCCATGGCATGCTATATAGAATTATGTCTTGGTATATAAATTACTAATTTGCTCATTTTGATTAAGCCCAAATTTGTAGGTGCTCAAAGAAATCAATCCTTGGACCTACGTCGAGGTGATTGATGCACGCTTGTCGTAAATCGTCAACCATAATTGGATGCCCACATGTCACAAACCCGATTGAGCCATCAGTGGTTTTGATAGTGGTATCCACCAATTCATTCATCGAAGGTCGACCTTCAATAAAACGCACAAAAAACAAATCTCGCTTCATTTGCTCCAAAACTTTATCAGTTTTGTGGTCAGAGAACTTTTCGTAAGTAATCTCTCGCGTTTCGCCTTTTCCTGATTTGGAGTACGATTCGTAGGAAAGCGACCCCACAGATAACAGCAGCCTCGAGTCATAACCATAGAGACCAAAATTAAGCTTGGATGTACCACTTTTTACTCGTTGAAACTCGTCGTAGTCGAAAGGGATTGAGTTGGGCTTGGTGACGTAAACAACCACGTCAATCTTGGTAGATCTCAAGGCTAAAAGCTCCTGGTAAAACCACAAAACCAGCTGGTATTCACGAATGACCCAGAATAATCGAATCGTTTGCTTCGCTTCGGGATGCTTCCGTGCCAAGTTATAAGCTTCATAATAAGGACCAGGGACGCCATTGCCACCGGCAACATAGATGGCATTGTCATAACGCTTTACAGGACTTGCTCCGCCATAAGGACCTTCAACGCTCACTCTTATGTGATCTGTTTGTTCTGGACATTTTTTGAGGTGTTGGTATAAGCCATGGGTCATGCCTCCTTTAACCTTACAATAAAAGACAACGTTGTTGCTGTTCACCACCGACTGGTTGAATGTAAACGGATGCGATTGCCACCAACATGAAGGTCTCCAAAAGTAAACGAATGCGTGTCCCCCAGGAGTAGGGTGCCAATGCTTTCTAGTAGGGATCGTGACGCGGATAGTTTCATCGGCGACCAACATTAACTCAGCTTTCGGTGCACTAAACCATATCAAGCGAGCTATTCTAATGACGCGATCAAATGCCCAAATCGCCGTCGCCGCCACATATGGTTGATGATGGTTGAATCGCTGAACGTGACCCCATGAACCAATTATGAATGCAAGTGCCAATAAAATATGACACAACACAAATACCTCATACTTGGAACGACGCAAGACAAGGAACCCTTGAAAGATGATGATTCCGGCAGCGATGGTAGCAAGGGTTCCAGCGATCATATAGTCCCGAGACATCATGCCTTGGTAGTCAATGACTCCGATAGAGTCCATAGACAACGAAAAGGTAATGGCATGAATTGCCACTAAGCAAAATACAACCCGGCCAATCCAACGATGGAACATAAGGAATGTGCCATAGTTCCAGTGAGTGAACCAAATCAACATGTTATTCCTCAGGGCAAATAGAATCAACAAAGGCACTATCATACCTGCGGACACGGCACACCGCCCAGCAACAAATCGAAGTGTCCCGACTGATCTCAGAGAGAATATAGGATCGTCGGCAGGAGGATTGACGTCGACGGCTATAAGAACCACGACCAATACAATGAAAATACCCACAACGAGAGACTCATAACGCGAAGGTGTTAACATTTGAAAAATTCCTGCAAACGAGGTTGAATTAGTCTTCTTTCCCCTGACTGCTGGGAGAGTGATGTACTTTCGTACCCAAATCGAGAACCTGCCATTCAAATCCCTCATTAGTCCAGGATACAAAAGCTTAGTCCAATTGGCCAAAGCACCCAAAATAATTATAAGTACCCAATACGCAAGCATCCCCGTACCATAGTAGGTTGAAATGTTGAAGTTGTCCAAGAACTTACACATTGATCTGGTGTACTGGTCGGTGGCGTTGACCGGCAACAACACTGGCTCCGTTAAGATTCGACCTCTAGTCTCAGCAATAATCACGGGATACTCCGTGGCATTATTGTTATAGTAAGCAAGGGCTGAGGACATATCTTCAGATAGCAAAGGTACGTCATTATCACTGCACATAGAGAAGAATGGTTCAAAGTATTCTTCGGAAAACAGATTAGCATTTTGAAGGCATCCTGCTATTGAGGCACGAGCTTCGAGGTTGGTGCAAGGACAAGGCCAATTATTGTAGGACCACGTTTGATTGCAATAGTCGCCATACTGCAGAATCTGGAGATTGCATGCAAAAAGAGTTTGATAGGCTTCACTCCAATAGTATGGCACCTTCGCCGTAACTATTGTATACAAAGTTGCAAGTGTTACCAATTTCATGGTGTTTAAACCTCACCAGGGGGTGGCGGGCTTCCGTCCGCTTTTATGTTCTGGCCAATCGTTTTCGGGTAGTCATCATCAACGTTGGGATGCATATGTCACGTATTAGTGAGGCGTGATTGACTCGATAGTCGGAACAAGCGTTTTTATGGACCATAAATCAACCTTTTGTATACCATCAGATAAGGTAAGATTGGGACGCAAATCTTATGAGCAAACTCATCTTGTCGTATGATCTGTATGATATTAATCAACATCAATTGGTTTCACTCATGGTTTTCAGGCTCTTGCGATCTGAATAGTATTGATGCTATGTGTTGCCCGAAGAGCGCGTGTTCACCGCCTCGAAAACCAATTTGGTTTAATATGATCACCGAGCTGATACGTCCGTAAAAACTCTTTGCTGTATTGAAGTACGGAGCACCCACAATGGGAAACATAACAGCCTAGAAAATAGTTACCTTTGTATCGTGGATCTTGTGGACGTGTGAGGAATGCTTCAATCCACATCACAAATGTTGAATCTCGTGTTAATGCGATTGAGTTTAGAGTTGTATACGGTCAATCGAACTAATAGGCCACCCCAAACCTAATTCCGCTGTTCCCAATGCTTCAGTATCTATGACGCGAGGGGAGATTAAGGGCAAATGTATTGTTCGGCAAAATCACAAAACGTGAGAAGCTGCCCTCGAAAACCGGACATTCGCCTCATGTCTTTAAAAGAAGCATCGATGCATTCAAGTTGATTATACGAGAGTTGTAGTATTCTGGTGATGGGTTCGATTATTGCAATTATAGATTGCCACATTGTTTAATTCCAACACTTTCAGTGCTGAGTGCTCCATGGACCGTTCATCGATAACTCTGTTGACCAGATACAGAAACACGTTGTTTTTGCGAACGCCAAGGAAGCAGTGACACCGTTACGTCCTCCAAACCAACTTTTAGAGGAATAAATCGCGTTCATCATCGAACAATGATTCTTCATTGATAAGTAGACGAACCCATGTGGGTACGCGTTGGACAATCGGGTAAACCATGTTTGTGAGTGAAACCTACGGCACTTGTGGATTTCGAATGGGTGTAATTCGCTCTAATCTTCAGATCATGGCAACGTTGACCATACGGGTGCAGTTTCTATTTGAAGAATGAATTATGGATTCACTACTAGTGCGATGGCTCGAGATGTATCGTTTCGTTTCGTTCATTGAGTGGTTTATATTCAGTAACCAGGCATGACTATGTAGTTGGAATCATGCTCATGCAAATTCGTTTTGTCGTGATGGATGGGGATGGGAGAAGGCGCCAAATAAAGGCGCCATGGCGTATGCAAAAATAGAAAAGGGCTCATCGTAGCTGTATCAAGGGGTCAACGTGATAATGCGCTTGACCGACGTCTTGATGGTTTCAGCGACCTCCTGTAGCACATCGGTGAACTCCTCCAGTCTCGTAGGCACCTCCGGGGTGCCGTGCTGAGCAATGGGGCTTGCCGCCACCACCAGGGTGATCAAAGCAACAGTGGCAAGGAAGTGAAACTGCATTGTTGGGGTTGTCTTAAAAGCAGTTGGCGCTGGCAAAGTTTTCAACGGCGGAAAACTTGCTTCTCTTATGGGCGGTGCAATCAAACTAGCGCGTCCATGCAAGGGCGTACACCAGGGTTCAAGCACAATAAGGGTTATCCTGCACCTATCCAACTGCCTCGGGAAAAAAAACGATCGAGGCGAACAATTCGTGTATTGAAATCGAAAATAAGGTTCGTTGCTGTTTACCGACGTGTTTGTCTGCCTCAAGTGAACGTGGGCAAGTATGACGGCGCGATTCGGTTAAAACAGCAGCGCCGGATAAAGCGCGCTGTATAACCGAGCCGTGGACCGGCGCACCTAATTTAATTCGTACATACTTCGCCTACAGGGTCGAGACTTGTTTTTCTCCCAAAGTGGATCAGCTCCGCGCATCTCACTCGCCAAAGTCTAAGATGCACCTAGTGATTTGATCCCATGTAAAATCAGATTGAACATCCAATACGAAAGACGCTTCTCTTTCATCACGCTCTGACGAGTATTCACTATCAAGTTTTCAGGAGTACTCGAACTCAGCGTTACTTTTGGCATATTTAAAAGGCGATGAAGATACACCTCTACATTAATCAGCTATTCATCATTGATCACACCCTCTTAATTATAGTGGGATAGTATATTTGAATTCCCAGGTTAACCTTTTGAAAAGCATTAGTTTTGCGCTCAAAGATGATTGTTTGATTTCAAAGCGCGGTTCACCCCCAACACTGATCTCACTATCATAGGTGCGACCGCAACATGTGTCATGGAAGCAATGGCATTGGCTCCCGTTATCGGGTCATTGTGGCTTCACCTAGACCTCTCGCTGAAGATTGCCTTGAACAGAGCGTTGCGGAGGTCGAATCAGGGGATCCCATTGGCTGAGTACACTGCATCTTTTCCACTACGTGTGGAGATTCACTTTAATAACAAACCGATCATGTTTACTGGAGACCGGTTTGAAACGGCATTTGGAACAACTCATGACCCCGACACGATGCTATTCCCGTGGGAGATTGATGACCTAATGTTATACTTCTCGAATATCGAAGTCATTGTAAAATCTAATCTGCTTTACCATGAAATGTCAGACTCGTTGTATCAGTTCATGTCAGATCCATCTTTCCAGAATAAGAAACTCATAAATATCCTTACAAGTCCGAAGGTGCGGTCTGTTATATTGCTAACAGTGCCCAAACTTGATTTAGGTCCCATTGCGTCGAAAGTCAAAGTCTTCAGAGGCGATTTGGGTAATCAGGTGTTTTTCGAGAACTTAATCCATTTGTCAGTTTGCAATGACCACCGACAGAGGACCATAAGGTGGGATGTTCAACATTTATCTCAACTTAGAGTTCTCAAATTGTTCTTAGTTGATCAGCTAGAACCATTAAGTTTGCCTTCATCACTAAGAGAACTACACCTTATGGCGTGCAAAATTCGCTTGAATTGTCCTGACGAACTTTACTTTCTTGAGATCTTAGATGTTACGCACTCTACTGTCGATGTGGAGGATATCTTGCAGAAAGCACCGACTGTGTCGCTTTTGAGGATATCTGGGCAATGGAGTTGGTCACGAACTCCACCGACTATCGAGAAATTGGCTGTAAATCTGCTTGAAATGAGCCAAGATTTTCTTCCTCGGTTTGGAATGTTGGATTCTCCTTATGCTATCGGCCATGCGATCACACATCTTCAAGTCGGTGAATTCGACGCACACAAGATTGACCTAAATCATTTCTTCCCTTTTTTGAAGTTTTTTTCCGTGATCGATTACATTGGTGATATATTGAAACATGACAGATTGACTCAACTTAACTTTACCGCGGAATTACCAGTGAGACTTGAACTTCCGATGCTTGAAGATTTGGAGGTTTCTGATGGAATTGTTCCCAGCAATATCCCCTATGAAAATCTCATGAAGCTTGCTTTCACTGTATCATTAGGGGAGCTTCATTTACCACCCTCGCCGAAGCTATTGAATCTTGATGTGACCTGTTGCAAGTTACGTCATATTAATATTGACGCTTGTCCTAATTTAAGAGAACTTTACTTAGAGGATAACGAGTTTGAACTGATAAGCATCACACACCCAAACCTTCAGCTGGTCAGAATGTCGGACAATTTGAGATTGAGTTTTGTCACTATTACATCACCAGCAGAATTTGTCGATTTGAGTGATACGCCACTGTTAAGGTACGCCAAACTTCCAAATACGATTCGTGATATCAAGCTCGATCGTACGTCACCCTCCCTAGATGGTGGCCCATGGCCTTTGGTGACCCAACTCAAATGCTTTTCTTCCGGCATAATCGAGTGGTTCCCACAGCTCAAATACCTCGATATGAATTATGGTTATAGGGACTTGGATTTGCTTCCTCGAACATTGAAACAATTGACATTACAAGGCCCTTCTGAAGTTGATTTGACGTGCTTACAAAGCATGGATCAATTGGAGGTGTTGGAAATACTAACTGATGTCCTCGTCAAAGACTATCGTTTAAGTCAAAGCTTACGAGTGTTGGCCTTGAATGTAACGGAATTACCGCTGTTCAATTGGGAAGGGCAAACGAATATGGAATTTATTCGAGTGTGCAGTCGTATAGAATATTCTGACAATGATATGCGGCGAAAGTTGAGTATGGGTTTGCATCCACCAAATGTCGTTCTCAGGTGTCAAGTATCAAGCGGTGTATAGAGACGGATAAATATCATCAAATAAAGAGACCGTTGGCCCATCACTGTAGACTTAATGAAAATACGGGGGAAAAAATAATCGGGGCCAACCGGGAATTGAACCCGGGATCTCCTCCAATTTCACGTCTGAGACGTTCGAGAATCAACCCGAAGGAGGCATCTTACCACTGGACCATTGGCCCTCGATATCAAAAAATCAGAATCCACAAAAATATATTTACGTTATTGAGGTGAACATTTCTTCTTTGGGGCTATTAAGTTGAGAAAGACTCTGACGCACTTGATGAAGTGATCAACATCGAACAAAAACGATAAGGTAAATTTTCATCGAGATTTATCCATTCGGTGCCCATCTAGATCAATTAGGAAAATGAGAATCTTTTCAAAACAACCAACAGCGGTAGACACAGCGAAAAGATGGAAGTAATTATATGTAGATTCATAAGCGCAGCCTATGATCTACTGCCACTTGATTTTTTACCAAGTTTGTCATCGTAGAATCCAATATAACGCGATCTCAACCATGGGGTCAAGGTGAAAGTTCAGCTTGTTAGACGCAGCGCGAAATTCTCTACTAGCCTAGTCACATTGACGACAACCCTTCAGCCATGCGGCCTCGCCAGCTTTCGACAGGGACACCAAGGTTCACCCTACCATTGAGGTCGCAGCCCCGCCTATTGCCATCGTTGGTTTCGATGCGATGTATCAGTGATGACACCAAGAACAAAGTGGCATCGCCGACTCCCGACCTGAACAAAACCTCACCAGCAAACGATGGGGGTCTCCCCTGGTACCTCAGAGACAACTCTGCCCTGGAACCCAAGGCGGCAAAGCCTATTGAGCTTCCACCCCTTCCTGAAGGCGCTGCTAAAGTTGTCCCCGAATTTCTCAACTTGATGGCTCACGATTACGGCATGACCGATTTAGTATTGTTCGATTTGAAAGAACTCGATTCTGAGCACGCTATGCATCCTTCAAATCAGTCTGAATTGGAGTATGTGGTTATTGGCAGTGGCAAGCTGGAGAAACACATTTACAAGGCCGCTCAAGAATTGCGATCCTACATCAAGCATACCCACGACGAGATCCCCAATATTGAAGGGATGGTCAGCTCCGCAATTTCACCAAAACAGCGGCGTCGGATGCTTCGAAGAGCGAGAAAGGGGCCCATGGCTACCGACAACGATTACGGGAAGCTGGCAAATCTGTGGGTTGTGGCTACTATAAAATCGTTAGAGATACACATGTTGACTCCCCAGAGAAGAGAAGAATTATTACTTGAAGAGTTGTATTGCACTGAGGAGGACAAACACAAATACGTTCCTGATTTTGCGAAGGAACCCAAAGCTCCCAGCGACGACATTTTCTTTGGAATTCGGAGATATCACACCGTCACAAGGTTTGCAATGACGAGATTTGCTCAAACCAGAAACATGTCAACCGAAAGTCACCCTCAAGTGAATTCCAACTTACAAACGACGTTCGATCGCATAGCCGCGACTTCGAAGTCAGACGTTTCACTGACACAATTTGAACATCTTGTCGAAGAATTCGACGATACTTTCAACAATATTTCGCCTCTGTCGGCCGACTTTAATTTGAAGTTCCGTGCGTACCGCGATGTCCACTTGGTGCGACCCACCCTCATCCCATACCAAAGCGTTGTGGATGTTTTATACCAAAAGCATTCTCGTTTGGGATGCACTGAGAACCCTGAACGCGATCTCATTAGACTTATGCGCTTTGCAATCGATGCCAATCCCGCTACTGAAGGCCGTGAGTTTGGCGAATATTTACTTGCCGAGACCTCGACTTTCATTTCCCGTCTATTCCGTTTTAGCGAGCCGAATTTGGTTTTGACTAACTCTATGATGGTGTGGCTCCTTGTCCGTATGTGCTACCAAGTGGTCAGCTACGACCCTGTGGTTGGCTCTACAATCGATGCGCTCATCGAGCAAGCAAATGATGGACCCGAAGGCGTTAAGCAAATATTGGCCAAGAAAATGTACACTCTGGGTGTTCCCGTTGCTACAAACCGTTTACGAGACATCATTGAGCTTATCACATACCAGTTACGGGAAGCTGGGAAAGTCATGTCACCCGAACTCCGAGAAACCATTCTCTTCATTTATGGGAACGGTAACGACTGGCGGAAGTTCTGGTCGTGGTGGCAAAACCAATGCCACTTTTTGAGCGTAGACTCCGAACCGCAACGTAAGTGGATTCGTCTTGTCAGTTACCTCGCCCTTCGCAACGTTGACTCGGTCCAATTGACCTTCATGCATGAATTGTGGAACGATGGAACGCGCGAGCTGATGAAAGTGGAATGCCAGGGCAAATTACTGGAACAGGAAAAAGCAGTGGTGGTCGCTGCCATTGAATTGATGGCGGAAAACTTAGGGGGCTTTGAGAATGTTGTGGCGGAAGCTAAAGAATTGTAACTTGTATTTAGTTAGTTTATGGAGACTTTAATCCAGGATTTAACGTATCCAGCCATACAGCGTCTGTATACAAGTCGAACAGAAGGGCATGGCGAATCGCCCATAGCTCGGGCACAAACAAGAATTGAAATAAGTGTAGGTTTACGCGATCCAGTACCAAATTTTTTGAATCCAGTTCTTGGCCACTGGTAACGGCGTATTGGCATCTTCTTCTTCTACCAAATCCAAGCCGTTGGAACAGCTGATCTCATTGATGGGAGTCAACCAACGCTTTTCCTTGAGATAAAAGACGGTGTAGAGCCGGTGAGCCACGTAAAGGAATACCACAATGGGTAACGTGATGTAAGCAGCAACAAAATCAGCCCCGTTAAAGTTGAAAAACGTCATGAAACCATTGGTAATGGTGATGAGCGAAACCCAAAAGATGGCCCAGTAAGCGATCCACGGCGTAAACTTAGCACGGAAGGTAACACGGTCATCCAAGCCGTTGTAGGTGATGGCCTTCTTCCAACGAAGGTACGCAAAACAAACCACAATCCAGGAGATGAAGCCCGAGATGGTGGAAATATTGGAGAACCAGTTGAACGCCGAGGCCGAGGAATTCGACACATTAAGGTACGACAAGAAGCCAAACAAAGACGAGACTGCGACAGCAAAGTAGGGAATACCCCAACGATTGACTTTGGTAAAGATCTTGGGCGCTAATCCTCTGTCAGCCAACGAGTACATGGTTCTCGAAGCCGTGAACAAGAAGGAATTACCTGCTGAAGCAGCCGAAGTCAAAATAGCGGCATTGATGATGTGGTTCAACACGGGGATACCGGCATTCATAATACCAAGAACAAAGGGCGAGGCAGAGGCATCCGAGGAGCCCCCCATCAAACGCGGGTCCTTAGAGTCGCAAATGACACCAATCACAAGGGTACCAAAGCAGTAGAAGAAGATCAACCGGTAAATGAAACGACGAGCTGCTTTGGGGATATTGTGGCGAGGCTTCTCACATTCACCACCCGCGGCAGCGATCAATTCGGGAGAACAAATAAAGGCAAAACCAGACTTGATGACTGCTCTCCAGAAGGCACAGAAACGACCCGTGGCTCCCGGTACTTCCACAATTTCTCCATCGTTACCGGTGTAGAAAAATTGGCGGAAAGGGTACACTTTCCAGTAGTGGAACCCGAGGACATGGTGTTGGTCAGGACCACCACCAAAGAACAAAACAATACCCAAAATGATCAAACCGGTCAACGTGATAATCTTAATACCAGCAAACCAGAACTCAGCTTCACCAAAGAATTTGACTGATGTGAAGTTCAAGATCAATGTCACGGCAAGGATGATTGTGATCCACACTGCGATGTTAACCAGCTTGATCCAGTACTCGATAACGTAGGCTGCAGCAACAACTTCTGCGGCAACCAACATCAGAAACGCGTACCAATAATTCCAACCAATGGCAAAACCAAACAGAGGACTCAAATTGTCATAGACGAACGCCATGGGACCATTACCGGGGACGGGCAAAAAGGTGATCATCTCCGCCATGATTTGCAAGACACACCAAATAATCAGGGACATGAATACGAACGCCAAAAACAACGCCGCCGGACCCGATTGCAACGTCAGCCCAGAACCAACGAACAACCCTGTACCGATGGCACCACCAATGGCAATCAATTGCACGTGTCTCAGCTTTAAACCACGCTTGAGTTGAAAATCTTCGCCTTCCTTGCCATCTTCGTATGACACAATTCTCGAGTTGGCGATGGAAATGTCGCCGTAGAACAGATGGCGCAGGCGAGCGATCAGAGTCGTCGAGCCAGCCGACTTCACAACCGTTATGTCTTTCTCATTCTTAGAAAACATTGTTAGCCATATACTTGATCACAAGCGTTGATTTCAGAATATTTATAGCTTTCCGACGAGCTGTGGTTTGTGCCCTGGCCCAAGCTGTACCCCACGCTCTGGATAATGCCGTGCGAGTCCCCAGCAGCATCATGCACAGCAACACACACGCGAGGCTTACGACAAAACGTGATCCAAGACTAGAGGCTAATACGGCGACATTGAGTTGGCCCGTATGACCCTTCTCGTTGGGGATCATCGCTTGGCGCAGTAAACTTATCCGTAATTGACCCGGGTCCCTGCGTGAAAAATGATAGAGCTCCACAAGGCGCTGATTAGATAAGCATCCAGAAGATAAGCCTCGACCTGAATGGCGAGGAGGGGAATCGGGGGTTTCGCTTGACGTTCCCTAAAACTTTAATTCATGGTTTCTTAACCATAGAAGTTGAGGTCGTATAAGCGAGTTTGACAGATTAGGACATACTACCCCAGTCGCCTCTGATAATCAGGCGGTCTAGCCGTACTCGTTAGCCTTATGCACGCTCCCGAGTGACGCGAGAAAGGCCAACAGCAGGGGTGGGGCGATGAACCAATCGCCCTGTTGGTCGAAACAGTTTGGCGCCACACTCTGGTAAAACGCCGTATGTTCTCGTATGCTGGAGCGAGAATTAGTCGTTGGACCGTTGGTAGATATGCATGAGATATTTTTGTAGTGGTCAACCCCAAGTCAACGTACCCTATTTTTTTCAAGCAGGTTGAATCGATTTTTTGCATTGTTCTAGATGGCCCTATGTTTGTGTCTATGTGTGCCCGATGCAGTCGTCGCTGTGGTCGCAGGTCCGGTACGCGCAGGCCGGGATGCTCATCGCCATCGCGACTGAGTACACACATCAGCTTTTAACCATGTCCACCCCCGAGAAAGCTGCCCTGCCCGCCACTGATAATGCTGCCCTGTCTGCTACCGACAAGGCAGCTCTCCCTTTCAGTGAACAACATTACTTTTCGTCGTACGATCACTTCGGGATCCACGAAGAAATGCTCAAAGACACGCTGCGGACGCTTTCGTACCGTCTGGCGATGTACAACAACAAGCACTTGTTCAAGGACAAGATTGTGCTTGATGTCGGCTGTGGTACTGGTATTCTCCTGATGTTTGCCGCCAAGGCCGGTGCCAAACACGTGTACTCCGTCGACATGTCCAACATCATCGAGAAGGCCCGCGAGATCATCGACCTCAACGGGTTCAGCAACAAGATCACTCTCCTACAAGGTAAGCTCGAAGACATCGAGTTGCCGGTTAAGGAAGTTGACATCATTGTCCTGGAATGGATGGGTTACTTCTTGTTATACGAGCTGATGTTGGACACGGTGTTGTGGGCCAGAGATAAGTACTTGAAGAAGGGTGGTCTTATCTTGCCCGACAAGTGCAACATGTACATTGCCGGGATTGAAGACGGCCAATACAAGGACGAAAAGATCCACTACTGGGAAAACGTCTATGGTTTTGACTACTCGCCGTTCAAGCAAGTGGCGATGGTGGAACCCCTCGTTGACACCGTCGACAATCAGTCGCTTGTGACTTCCGCTTACAAGTTCTTTGACTTTGACATCAACACGGTTACCCTTGAAGAGTTGAACTTCCACCGCAAGTTCAAGTTGGAAGCGATCGACACCGACTTGTGCCACGCCTTCATCGTGTGGTGGGATGCGTTCTTCCCCGGGGACCTGGCGACCAAGTTGCCTACTGGGCCCGCCAACCAATACACCCACTGGAAGCAAACTGTGTTCTACATGGATCAAGTGCTCGACTTGCGTCGTGGTGACACCATCGAAGGTAGTGTTGCTCTGAGACGTAATGAGCACAACCCGCGTGAGCTCGATATCGAGCTTCGTTGGAAGACCAAGACCAATGACAAGGCGAGAAACCAACTGGGCAAATTCAACTACTTTATGCGTTAATGATAGAGATTAGATAATTGCAAGACATTTTCCACTGCTTGATTAGGCAAGATAGTCACCTTTATGGTGCATTTTAAGATACAGGACTTCTACATACCTCGATGGTTATCAGTAGCATACTATCCACTGATCGATGTACAGTTTATCTTAGATCACTTCTTACTCTCACCGGTAACCAAACTCGATCCTTAGTTCGTCGCTATGCCGTCGCCACCGACTGCAAGTGCGACGCAGCAATGTTAAAAGCCTTTCGCCCCCGGATTCTTCACATCGTCACTTCCAGGGTACTCGTGAGGACAATGATACAAAAATCCGACGCTGAATGGCGTACTACGCTTAGCCCTCAACAATACGCCGTTTTACGCCAGCTGGGCACGGAGCCGGCTGGTCTGGGTGAGTACGCACACACCCCCGCCACCAAGACGGGGGTGTACGAGTGTGTTGGTTGTGGTCAACCTCTCTATAAGCTGCTGACCAAGTTTGACTCCCATTGTGGGTGGCCAGCGTTCTACGAGGCTATCCCGGGAGCACTCACCGTTCACAAGGATACCTCTCACGGCATGGTCAGAGAGGAGATGCGGTGCCTGAACTGTGATGGCCACTTGGGCCACATCTTCCGGGGTGAAGGGTTTAAAACTCCTACTGACGAACGTCACTGCGTTAACTCGGTATGCTTAAAATTCAACCCTAACAAAGATAAATAGATCTAGATGATATATTTCGTTAAATCATGACTCGACGAGGTATATCTGACTCAGAAATGTCGCCCACCTCTTCTCCTGAATCGTCAAAATCGTCCTCCTCTTCCTTTTCTTCGTCCTCATCACCCACGGTAGTGTCTTCGCCTGTCGTTTCGCCGTCTCCATCCTTCGTTTGAACACAGTCAGTGCTTGAGGTAGAATCGGTGTCGGCCAGTTCTTTGAACCGCAAGTTTTTGGAGGGCTCTTGCGACATATCTACCAGACCGTAGAAATCATAACCACCATTCACGCCTTGCTCGCCCACATACGGTTGAATCAGGGTATCATCATCCGAAGCAAGTAGCATGTCATGAAATGAATGCCGATTGGCAGGTAGCTTCAACCCGCTTTGGCCCCGTGGGAATGCCTCCTGATCTTGTACTGGGTGTGGCAGGGGCAGTCCATCCTTAAGACGATTGAGACCAATGTACAGATTCTTTAACCGTGTTGAACTAGGCATGGTCATCAACCCTTGCGGCAGAGGCAAATCCAGATGCAAACGGAAAGTCTTTTCCAGTTTCTCGTAATAGGGATTGTGAAGATATGGGATCCTTTGTGTGGTACGGTGAGGAGAGTTACTTCGAAGGCGGTCTGCAAGTTTCAGCATCGAACTCAGACTTCGACTATGACGCATCAGCCGTGGTGGCTCATACTCTTCGTATCCGTCATCAGCTTCCCCGTACGCTGTTCTCAGGAGCTCTCGGGCCAAATTGGTCATGGACGAACCATTGCGAAATTTCAGAGGACTGGACCTAAGTGAGTTGGACACTATCGAACCTTTGTTCGGTTGTTGAGAGCGGGAACGTTTTCTGGTGGAAAGCAGCAGCGTTGTGTTACGACGAACCACGCTGGGCTTATCCTGAACTTCAATATCATCACGAGCAGCCACATTTCCACCTTCAGCCAGCAAGCTTTGGTACAGTTTGTTCTTCGAAATTCCCCTGATACCCTGAGTCGATCTACTATGCCGATGGTGTGGGTGTGTGGGCAGATCAACTGGAGCCATGAGAAGCCTCAGAGCCAGCGTGATGATGCGACCTCTTAACTCAATAATGGCTTTGTCGAGTGCAAATTCAACGCTACAGTGATTGTTAATCACCGTAAGCTTAGGCCAAGCCGCCTTAGCACCACGAATGATGAAGTCAATCATGAACTCGGGAGTTGGGTTGGTGAACACTTGAGCAAAATCATTTGGTTTGAATTCGGGGAATATAGTAATGTCCCCAATGTACTGCTGAGATAACACGGCAATCGCCTTGTTAGACAAATTCTTATAAATGTCCAACTCGCTGAGCACTTGAAAGTAATGGATTGCCTCCAGGGCAACGAAATCATAAGCGTTATTGAGGAATCGTTTCAACTTGTACAGAGTTTCGTTTTCAATTTCACCCCCGACAGAACTGACACTCAAATTAAGCACAGGGGCTACATGAGGATTGACCTGTACAGCAATGATGTGATCCACATTGAACATTTCTGAAAGTCTCGAGATAGGTAAATCGTTATCAACGGAGCCATCAACGTATTTCGACAGTAAATCGTTGTTCCATTCTTGAATCTCACCAGTTTTGAGGTTCTTCTCGTAAATTGTAGTCAGTGGGAACACCCCTGGAAGCAGGCACAGCGCACAGACCACCAGCCAGACCAAACAGTTTGGGGCCGTCAAATAATTGAGCAATGTCAGTTGTTCGTGAATCAGACCAGGAGTGACAGAGATGTTGAGAATTTTGCCGGTACGGTTATAGGCTTCTCTGAAGGTAAGGTCACCAACAAAATGAATCATGGTTTGCTTAAGTCCCAGTGTATCGAAAAAGGTACCGTATTTGAGAAAGTGAGATACAATATTGAGTAAATTCCGAAGTTTGGAATCTTCAGGATTTGGGTGACTCAGGTCTCCAAAAATATCAAAGCGATACAGGGTGATGTTTTTAAGCATTTCGATGGTGTCAGCTTGATCATGACAACAAAGAATCAGAGCCATAATTGACCCCGCCGACGACCCCGAAATGATGCGAGGAAGCAAATTAGCTTCGGTCAACGCCAACAATACTCCCAAATGAAAAATGCCAAATGTCAGACCACCAGAAAGCACCAAAGCAGTACGACCAATGTTTTTGCGTGTTTGTACGAGCATACCAAGCAAATAACGATCGTCAAGGTCTCCCTGTGAGGCACCACTTGACAACAAGTACTCAAGACACCGCTGACACTCGGAGATGTACTCCTCAATCAACACTTTAGTGCCGACAAACAGATGTCTGTATAATGCAATGCTCCCCATATTCCCCAAATTACGTACCCATCGGGTTCTGATAAGATACAAGAGGTATTTGGTATTTCCCAGTTCCCGAGCTGCTCTCATGTCTTCGAGATGGCGACGGACAAGTTCGTTGTCGTACAAGTCCAGCTCTTCCGTGAACTTCCATTCATTTTTGCCCTGGAGCTCGTCTAATTTTAACAGTGTGCTATACCACTCAGGAAAGCTTGACGCAGCTTTCCGCTGGGCCAACAACTCTTGTTCCAACTCTTTTTGAGGGTCAGGCGCTGGTAAAAACCTCAGCACACCTGGAATGTGGAAAACTGCATCTTTGAGTTTGGTAGCGACACTAGGTGTAGGCGCCGGCTGCGGCTTTTGTCCCTTCTCTATGAACTGTTGGATAACGTTCAGGTCATCGAAGGGGACAACCGACAAAGACAGCTCTGGCATTGATTGGCAGATGAGTGTGACCAAATATGGAAACACGACGGCCCGCACCAGCCTTGACCTCCGCAAAAACGCATGTGACACAGTAGTATATTAGTGCGCAATGATGATGCATGTACATTGCTGACTAAGGGAAGTCAACACGATTGCAACTGATTTCAGCGTAAAATGATCATCAGTGATAGGCAAACAAGTTGGAGAATGAAAAAACTAACTTGAAGATAAAAACAAGGGGCGAGCTGGGAATCGAACCCAGGGCCACACCCACCCTAAGGGTGTATCATACCACTAGACCACACGCCCATGTGCAAAAAATAATTTTTGAAGTAAATGGTGTTGGATTTGCGACTTCGTACTATGCTCGTATTCGCCCTAGCGTGATTGCAAGCGGATTACAGAATCATTTGATCATCACAATTGCTCCTGTGAGGTTTTCACGCGGAAATATTAAATTCTGGCTTCTCTGCGTGCAATTTTTCACGGTTGTCCAGTTTTTCTTTTAGCCGAAAAAAAAAGGGCTTGCTTGCGTTGATTTGGCGATGCTCTAATTTCCTGATCTTTTTCGAAAGACTGAGAAATTTTGTTAGTCTAGATTTTGCTTTATGTAGAACAAGTGACTATCTCCCTATAAGTTTTCCCTCCAACTTTCCCAACTCAAATTTTGTTCTACAAAGTTGCACTTGGTGCCGTCAGACATGATTCGCGCCCAAGTCACTTTGAAAATCACTCCTTAAAAACACGTACGCTCAAGTGGCTAACGCGATCATGTCCGATACCATCGCCACAAAGGAAGAGGCTGCGCTTGTGTTTGACCGGTTGAAGAAGGATCCTGCAAACCAGGTGTGCTTTGACTGTCCCAATCGTAACCCGACTTGGACATCGATTCCGTTTGGGGTCTTCCTCTGTCTCGAGTGCCTGGCGGTCCACAGAAACATGGGTGTTCACATCACCTTCGTTAAGTCGCTGAACCTTGACTCGTGGCAACGTATCCAGCTTCGAAACTTCAAGTTTGGTGGCAACAAGGCGGCTAAGGATTACTTTTGCAAGAATGGCGGGTCTCAATTCTTCAACAAGCTGAATGGTGTTGACGCCACGGCTAAGTACACCAGCCCTGTGGCTCTGAAGTATAAGGAAAAACTTAAGGCTAAGGCCTTGGAAGATGCCAAACGTCATCCTGATGCCATCACTCTCGACGACATCACCACAGCTCCCGAAGGAGGATCAGATCTGAACGACTCCACCGATGACTTCTTTTCTAACTGGACCAAGCCTGTCTCGGCGTCGCCATTGTCGCTGAAACTGGTGACTCCTAACGCTAGTTCCGATAGCCTCCCTGCAAAGAAGCCCGTCAGAACCGCGGCGGCTGCTAGACTTAATCGTGGCAGCAATGCCCCCAAAAAGTCGATTCTTTCCACCAAAGGTAATGGCCCTCGATCCCTGAGATTGGCCAACAAACGTCAAAATAAAGAAGAAATTGACTTTGAAGCTCTCGAGAAGCAGGCCAAGGAAGAAGCCGAAAGAGCGAAGGAATTGGGTTACAAACCTGAGGAAGAGGTTGCTCCTAAGCCCGTTATCTCCACGCCGGCCCCGGGCCCTAAAAAGGGGTTGTCTCTTGGCTCGAAGAAGGAGGAGGATGAATCCCCTTCACCCGCTCCTATTCAAGAAACCACTCAACAATTTCAAAGACTTGGCTTCGGTATGGTTGATGGCGACAATGATACCAATGGGCCTAAAAAACAATACAAAGAAGTCAAATACACTGGGGAGGTCACTAACAAATTTGGTACTCAGAAAGGTATTTCTTCGGACGAGTTCTTCGGTCGTGGCCCCCGCTTTGACGAAGGCGCCCGTCGTGAAGCCCAAGAGAAGTTACAAGCCTTTAACGGCGCTCAATCTATCTCGTCTCTGTCATACTTTGGCGAACCCGACGAAGCAAACAACCGAACCGCTCTGGGAAGTTATAACTTGCAGGATATTCAACTGTCGGCTAGGCAATTTGCTCTGCAGCTTCAAGGTAATGCTCAAGATTTGGATGTCTTGAAGGATGCTTTGGAGGAAGGCGCCACCAAGTTGGGGTCGTATCTTAGGGATTACCTCAGATAGGTGTTTAAGTACATGAAATGAAATCTCTTAATGCAATAGGTTTGATGTTAAATATATACAAGTCGTTATCGTTTAAAGGGCCTTCGTCTCGTTGTTCTTGAGTTGAGCAGTCCGCTTCAACTGTTCACCTTCACCACTCAAAGCAAGCTTAATTTCATCAAGCCCGGGTTGACCATTAATGGTACCCATGGCAGCGTCCGTAACCAACTGGTGGTTGACATCCATGGATCCCTTACCGGTGGACTTAGCTTTCTTTAAGGCGGTCTTGATGTTGGAAACCCGGTTCTCGTGGTCAATTTCGACGAAGAACTTTTCCTCAATGGCCTTGGCCAATTCTTCCTCAGTAGTAATGAAGTTACCAGCAGCATGGTACAAATCCAACAAGGACGTAGCCTTGGCTTCCTTGACGGCAAGCTCATCAACATTGCGGTTTAAGGTACGTTGCAGTTGTAAAATTTCCTTTTCCTCAGGAGTACGTTGTCTCATGAGGGGGCCTTTGAGGTATTGAGAAATGGTCGGCAAATTGACGTTCACCAGCAGCGAGTCTTCAACATGTTGGTTTTCTTGAGCCTTCGCTGCTTTTTCCTTGGCCAATCTTTCTTTGCGCAGATCTAGCTTCTGCAACCGTTCGGCCTCTTTGACGTAAGCATCTTTCAAGTGTTGACGGCGGATCTCATCTCGCTTCAAAGCCCAAAGCTCGTCCTGGGAAAGCTTGGATTCGTCCACGTTGGTGGGAGCCCGGTCGTCAATAAACCGTTTGATACGTTCTTCGACGGTAAGAACTGGCTTCAGCAGCGGCAGTTCCTCGAACTTAAACCCTCGACGTTTGGGAACAGGCACGCCCTTATAACCTTGCTCGTGCTTCGCTTCCTCAGCGATCTCGGCTTCAGTGGGAGGACGAATGGGGAACCGTTTGAACACCGGCCGTTGTTTGGGCAAGATCCCCGACTTGCCGCCAAAAGGGATAGTCCGTTTGCTCACCATAGTGTGCTCGAATTTTTCACCTCAAATTTTTTTCGATCACCGCGAAGACTCGTGCGATCGTCTGGTATGAATTGATAAGAAATCAAGACATTGATCAAAAACGGAGACATTATCTCTATCACCACATTAAATTTACCCTGGAGGAGTATTAGTGTGTTCAGTTGGTGCAAAATTCACATTTTTCCCACCCGAAACATAACAATACTCAGCTTCACAATGCACAGAAGTTGATATATGTGAATCATTCTATAATAAGCACCCATTTTTGTAGTCTGAAGGACATACGAAAATACTCATCATGGCTAAGGTCAACTCAATTCATTCAACTGATCAGGCAAATGGGGTATAACCACTACTGGGCGTGCTTTGTGATACGAGAGGGAAATCATCCGACCATAAAAGCCACCATGGTGAAAAATACCTGTCGTTTCTTCCGACACCAAGTTAAATATAGAAAAATGTTTTGACCCCGCCAAACATCTCATCCATCTTCGCGATTTAAGCCAGCATGTCCCTGGCATTGACGCATTATGACATGTTCAGCCTAAGCACTCTACTCCGCTTAGAAAAAACGTGTCCAAGTTTGAAGTAAAAGATTTCGGATGTTTGCGAATAAATGATCGTAAAGTGAAATAAGGTATGAGTCTATTGGTCTGGTATATTTCTAGAAACTTCAGGATTTGTCGCTGTGGCATCACTTGTGGCAGTATTCAGCCGCCCCAAATTGGCTAAGCCCGTTTGCTCAGCCAGCTCAGAAGGCTGTTCAGCGTATTTAGTGTCATGCTCGGCTGGCTGTGTGCGACAAAACTTCGCCCCGCCAAACGCCCCGCCAAACGCCCCGCGCTTGGTTAGGGTGGGGTGATCGGTGTAAGGACGGCTTTCGGGGCTGCTATCCTCTTCACGACTGGTCGCAAACTGTGCCTCGGATAATACTGAGTATGCTTTTGTGTTGTAACCTCGATGCTAGAGCGACAAAAGCACACGTATGAAAAAAAAAAAGCACTGCCATGAACCGCGTCGTGGGTTGTAGAGTACTACTACATGACCTAAAAAAAATTGCCACGAATACATCCACATTAGCACAATAACACAGCTACGTGGCACGTCTATAGTTACGCCATGTTTGTCAATATTAGAGATCACTGAACGCCAAGGGTCAGGATTTACCCTTTGCTGTAGCACATCATGACTTGGCTGGCACGTTAGCCTCTCAATCAGTCGCGACGACGACTTGTGTATATATGTCGCCCTTTGACACGACATATCGCAGGAGACGTGCAGTAAAATGATCTAGACCCAAGGGAAATGGCCGGCCATGGTATTGACCAAGTTTAGTTTCCTTAAATCGACGCGTTAATCAAGCTGTGTAGGTCACTCCACACTTCGCCTCAATCTACTGTGGACGGGTCTCGGGGGCTCGCTCCCAACATTCCCTTTTCTCTTTCGAGTTTTCTCATGCACACGACCCGCGGGTCCCTCGCAGTTTTTAATCCTCGACAACGAGCAAAAAAACTACACTCTATTTCCTCGTGAGTTGTTAAAAAGTAAGTAAACTTTTGGGATTCATCACGATGTGAAGTATCCTGCTACAGATTTGTTGTCCCCGTTCTCCAGGCGTTCATTTATTCCTATGATTACGCCTATCTGATTCCTTGTGGACCTTATTTTGATTCGAGATCAGTTGGGTGGCGAGGGGCTTGACATCATACAGATCGTCTTGTGGAAGTCTTCACCTCGTCATCTAAACCTTTGGACCGTTTTCAAAGTCATCGAGATGAGTTAAAACCTCGATTTTCGAAGAGCAAGCTTACACAACCTTTGTTTTACACGAGGGGTTCCTTGATGTGATCCTAAATAACACGCGCGCTTCGCTGACCTGCGAGTATGGGAATTACAGATGAATGAAGCAACAACAAATGATTTACACTTCAACAAAAATACTAACATGCTAGTGGTGCCCCCTCCTGCTGATGTTCGTAGAAAGCTTGTGATTGTTGGTGATGGTGCCTGTGGTAAGACGTGTTTGTTGATCGTCTTCTCCAAGGGTACTTTCCCTGAAGTCTACGTTCCCACCGTTTTCGAAAACTACGTTGCTGAAGTTGAAGTCGATGGCCGTAAGGTTGAATTGACCCTTTGGGATACCGCTGGTCAAGAAGATTACGACAGATTACGTCCTCTTTCTTACCCCGATTCCAACGTGATCTTGATCTGTTTCTCGATCGACTCGCCGGACTCTTTGGACAACGTCTTGGAAAAGTGGATCTCCGAAGTCCTTCATTTCTGCCAAGGCGTGCCCATCATTCTTGTTGGGTGCAAGGCTGATCTCAGAAACGACCCCAACACCATCGAAGCTTTGAGACAACAACAACAGCAACCTGTTTCGACCTCCGAAGGTCAAGCTGTTGCTCAAAAGATTGGTGCTGCCGACTACTTGGAATGTTCGGCCAGAACCGGTCAAGGTGTGAGAGAAGTTTTCGAGGCTGCCACCAGAGCTTCTTTGAAGAAGGTCAGCAAGCCTTCGTCTGCTAAGAAGAAGTGCGTGCTTTTGTAAGCACCTTCCACATGTTTGCTATGTTTGTGTTTGAATTATTACGAGCGGTGCCTAAGAAGCCGGTGAATGAGACATCTTATGTTTTAGTTATGTGTGGGTGCATTTAAGTCTATTTGTTTTTTTTTATTAATTTAACAGTGAAGGAAAATAATCTCACGCGTCTCCATCCAATGCTTATGTATGCGATACGTTGAGGTAGGCTACTTTGAAATACCGCTGTGGAGGCTTGCTAGAATTTACGTGTAGTACATCAACTTTGAGGTCGATAGACTTGGTAGCGCGCGGTCGCACTAACCAATAATAGGCATTGGAAAAATCACTTCTATCATCATGATTTCCAGAACCGTCAGATCCACCGGCAGAGTCATTGCCCGGAGAACCAACTCCACTGCCGCGTCCACTGGGTTGACCAAGGCTCAGTTGGAAACCAACGTCAACGCCAAGCAGGCTCCTAATCGTGCTGACATTTGGTCCGCTCTGCAAGAAGCGAGAATCGATGTCATTTCGAAGCACCCCGTTCGGTTTGTTCAAAGAGATCTTGCGGAGCAACCCCAACCCTACGCTGCTATTGATCTCATTGCTCAGCAGCCTATCCGTTACTTGGGCCATGGTGAAAACATCGCCGTGTGCGACGGTAACCGGGGCTCCACTCTCCAAGGCCACCCCAAGGTGTTCATCAACTTGGACCAGCCCAAGGCTGCTACCTGCGGTTACTGTGGATTGAGATACGCTAAGGAAGAATTCAAGGAGTTGATTGAAGGTAAGAACCAATAGAGGAGTTTTCTTGATGAAAATTTGCATTTAATAATAAACATAGAACGAATCGACGAACAATGAAGATATCAAAACGCTTTCTGGAAGCCACATCTTTTTTCGTAGCTTTAACTTCTTATTACATTGTCTGGGTCTGTGCGTCGATGATTTCTGAAAGTGCCTGTGCTCCACAAAAGTCTTAGAATGTATAAGGATGTACAGAAATGAAAGAGATTTCTTACATTTGTTCAACTTAAGTTGATATGTGTTGCATAGTACAATACGAAATTATTTGATTGGCAAATTGGCAAGATTTGGGTTGAACTCAACGCGACTGGGGCCACGTTTATTAATATTGCCTTGATACCCTGATCTCCTTCAATTCGTGTGGTGCACCACCGTCTTGTTTATGATATTCAAAACACCGGATCTCTCAATTGCGATGTAAGTAGTTTACTACTTGAGATACGTGATATTGGACTTGCGTTCCATATTTAGTTCCCGCCGATACTAACGAGTAGAGTTTTTGTCGAACCTTCACAATCAACGAGGAGTCCGATTTGCATATATCATACCCATCATTGATTCAAAAGGTGTTGCGTGTACATTTTTGATCGTGATGCTTTCGGAACTCAAGTAATTACGATGAAATCGCCAAAGATGGCTGCTATGACAATTCGATCTAATCAGCATGGACTCAAATCAAATGATACGTACATGAAGTGAGATCTTGAAAAGAAAGTTGAACTAATAATTCACCTCGGCGCCGAGATCCCCACATTTCATCCGGGCTAGTATCACTCGCGGAAGTATACTTTCGTTATCTTCAGATAAAGTCACTCGCTGCCCCGCACTCCAAAAAAAACTCCGAAATGCGGCTCCGATCGCAAAAACCGATGCAGGGCGCCGACACCACGGTGAATCATTATAGACAATTGTCCTGCTGGCCGACCCTATTTCATCAATAAGAGTTGTCATTGGATTCAAATGAAGATCGAATCAGTGATTAAGGGTTCCGTGTTCGGCTTGTGGTACAGTCGTAAAAGATTGTTATTGAATTATGTGGCTATCCCAATTGGCATCCTAACAATCCTTTGCGTTCTCTATGGGCTTAATGAGTTGTTGGTAAATGTTGCCAACGTCAAGTTTCCTGCTTCGGTATTGGGAATGTTGATCAATCTTGTTTGGCTAACCGCTCTTCTGGGTTTATCCAATCTTCCACAAGGAAAGATTCAAGATCCAATCAGAAAGGTTTCAGGGCTGATCCTTACATGGTATTTGTATTTGGTAAGGCCACTGATGGGTTTTACACTCAAATGGATCAATGTCTTCTTCATTCCCAGCTTCGTCATCTTGCCATTGCTGGATCATATTTCCATTATTGAGTGTTTAAAGATTGCGGCTGTGTTTGTGGTTGGCCTTATATTTACATTTGTATTTGATGCTTATTTTGTGATGGGTTTACGGTGGATCACTCGCAATTTCATGAGCAGGTCCATTGATAAGGGTGATGAGGACGAGGACTTGAACTCGACTAAGTCCAACATGAACATTGACATTACTACGATCGATAGCAAGGATAATCCTGTCGAGCCAGATTATGAGCAACAAGTTTCGGTTTCAGCAGATCCTTTCAGAACTCCTTCAGTTACATCAACGGTCACATTTCCGGAGCCCGCTTACGCAGGCCAGGGGTCGATTTTCCAACCAAACTCGAGTTTGGTATCCAATGGTGAACAAAATAGCACCTTTGAAATTGAATTGAATCAGTTGAGTGTACGCCGGGCCTCTGATGTACAATCTGAGGGCGAGATTGCTGAGCGGGTATCTGAACAAGGCGATGAAGTTAACATGATGGATCATTTGGATGATGATGCGAAGAAAACCGCTGTCTGGGTTTCGACGTATCTTGATTGGCTTATTTATGGGTTACTTTTTGTGATAGCCCTACCATTCTATTATGTTGCTAGCATTCACGTACTTTTGCCATACCACTTAGCAATCACAGTGATCGCTTTTTATATTGCATTACTCATCCCTCAAAAATGGCCGGTGTTAAAAAGATTTGCACATCCAATCATTGTCTCGACTGGAATTATATTGTTTGTGTGCTTTATTGGATCATTAATATTTCATCACAAACCGAAGGGGTTTCTTGACGACTTGCGCTATTACAAAACTGGAAAAAACTACACAAACTTGTTTTCAGGAAAGGTCATGTTGAATGGTGGTAAAGAGGATACCATGCCTAAGGACGATTTCACCGCCACCCCGCAATGGCCTGGTTGTGGTGATTTCCTTAGCTCATTGATGGATGTATCTATTGTGGCTTTGTCCCTTCCGATGTCCACCCATCGTAAGGATTTTGTGAGCAACTTCTTCTATATCATGCCGCCACTTCTAGTGACTTCCACCCTTACCTTTTTCCTTTACCCCTTAATTTGTTATAACATTGGTATTGACGCCGAAAGATCATTAGGGTTTGTTGGTCGCAGTGTCACCTTGGCTCTTGGTACTCCTTTGGTGTTAGCACTTGGGGGATCAGTGCCTTTAATGGCAGTGTGCACGATTTTGCTGGGCATTTGTGGTGTGTTGATTGGAGACTATTTGCTTAATTTTCTCCGCGTGCCAAAAGATGACTATGCCACTAGAGGGGTAAGCATGGGGATCAATTGTGGTGCCATATCCACAGCGCACCTATTGACTACTGATCCAAGAGCAGCCTCCATGAGCTCTTTGAGTTTTCTGGTATTCGGTACGGTCATGGTTATCTTTGCAAGTATCAATGGCGTGGCGGAAGTGATCCGGGGATGGGTGGGATTATAGTGACTTCGCCTAACCTTTTGTCTATTCCTCATTAATATATACAGTTACAGTGCCCTTAGTGGAAAGGTCTCGAACCACCCCGAGCAAATTCAATCACCTTCCAACCCTCAGTAGCCTTATTGTCGAATTCTTCGGGAATTCTAGTGAATACCATAGCATAAGTAGACATTTGGATGTTGTCAGGAGTACCTGCAGCAATTTCACCAGACTTCTTACGGTACAAGTGGATTTCTTGAGCGCGACAAGACACCACAATTACGGGAGTATCGTTAGGTTGCAACATTTTGCAAGTGACAATGTCAATACCTCTGATGTCTTGGATCTTGGAGTCCGAAAACAATCCCTGCTCAACGAATTGTTTGTTATTGGCTTGCCACACGTTGAAAGGAGCTTCCGAGAACCATTCCTTAAGGACAGCTTCGTCATTTTTCAAGTAGGCTTCAACCAATTCGGGAACGATGAAGTTCACCAAAGACTTCTGGAAATCGAGCAAACGGAAAGACGGGTCCATCAACTTGAACTGCTTCACAACCTTGGCTTGTTCGGTTTCTGAGAAAAAGCCGGTAACCTTTTCGATAATAGTTCTGACCAATGAAATCAAGCCATTGTCTGATTCCTCCCACTTTTCTTGCAAGTACAGAACACCCTTACCAACCGGCGTTTTGAGCTTGAAGTCTTCCCACTTTTCGCCCATGGTGGGGCCAGTGGGCTTGTGTTCCGTGGCAACGAGGGCACCGCCAGCATCTTCGTTTTCTCTGACGGGACCTTTCCAACCTTCAGCAATTTTCTTTTTGAGGTAAGCATCTCTGAGCTCCCGGCGCTTCTCCTTTGTCAAGTAACCACCGTATTGAGTGACAGAGCCGTCATCAATAACTTCCGACACATCCTTGTAAACTTGGGTTTGTCTAACGGGTTCAAAAGCTTTATCGGCAGCATCGGCAGTGACACGAACGGTGGTTCTAACACCTTTACCGACGGGGGAATCCCAAGCTTTCACGGCGACATCACCAACGGTTTCTGCGGTCTTGATCGCCACCTTCCCAACTGCAGAAGCACCCTTCTGTGACCGGTCGTAAGCTTCCTTAGCCCGCTTGAACGCTTCAGACTCGGCCATTCTCCCAGATTCATCCTGCAACGCCTTGATGTTTTCCTTCAACTCATTCGAAGCCTTTACTTCCTTCTTGAAAGTGTCGAGAAAGACTTTGAGCGGGGATTGCTGCCCGTTCATCAAGGGGGCGGCAGCGTGAAGCGACCGCACACCGACCCGAGCAAACTTTCCGCTGACCAAAATATTTCTTGAAATCATTGCCCACCGTCAACTATGTACATGCACTTCCCCAACGAAGATCAGGCGGTGGCAATTGGTGAACTCTTGACCTCTGAAAATTTAATTTTTTTCTTCGGTGCGATGCGGAGCAGTCATTCGCAGCCTTGGAGAAATTAACTAAAGTCCGGGGAACGTAAACGCCAGGGGCTCTTATTTTGTAAGATGCTATGTAATGAGGTATTATCGCCGATTCCAGTACTCGAGAGCTCTAAGAACGCCGTATCCAAAAAATCCTGCAAAGCAAGCAGTTTGAACACCTCTCAATATACGTTGTTGGCGGCGCTCAGTTGAAATTGCTTGAGAATAAGGGATGTCATGTCTGAATGACACCATGGTGTAAAGCGGCAACCAAGACACCCCCACGTAATGGCCGTATTTTCCAAGGAAGTAATCGAACTTTTTGCGCATAAGATAAAGTGGAGAGACTACCTTTGACAGCATCTCTGTGTAGTTATCCATGGCCAATTGACAGATGGCAACAAGGTCGTCTCTTCTGCTCTCTGAAAATTTGGCAAATGCGTCTTGAATATCACCCAGGCATTGTTGGATAGTCTCCATCAACACTCGAACATCTTCGAACCCACAGTTCATCCCTTGACCATAAAATGGCACCATCGCATGAGCGGCATCGCCGATGATGATGGCCCTATGATTGTTATAAGGAAAACAGTCTACCTGCATAAGCAGACCACGAGGATTTTCATGGTAGGCTGAGCGCAAATGTTCTTCACCCATTAATTTGGTGGCATCAGGGAAGTTGGCCCAAAAGAATGCAACAAACTCGTCATCCGTTTTGAAGCTTTCAATCACTTTCCAAGGAGAAAAAAAAGTGGACGTAAAAGAGCCGTCCTTGTTAGGCAATGCGATCAACATGTAATCATGTCGCGGCCAAATGTGCAAATGACCTGGATCCATTTGAAATTGACCGCTTAACTCGTCGTGATCACCAGGAGTTCCTGACAGGTGGATGTGATCTCTGATCTCGACCTTATCTGCTTCACAGGTCGCTTGGGGCTTGGGAGGAATATACAATTCAAGGTATTGCATGTCGATGAACTGCTGTGAAAACAGCATTCTCATCAGTCTCTGCATTTGGTATCTGAATTGGGAAAATGCCCCATCAGCGCCAATGGCGTAATCAAATTCAAAGGTTTTTTCCTCACCTCCAAGGGTGCTAAATGTTAACATTGGAAGCAGATCTAGATTTCGAACCAGCTTGAGCTTGTGGTCAAAAAACACTCGGACATCAGCCTGTCTGACTTCTTGTAATAAACACTCGTTCAAGTAGGCGCGGTCAATTGAATTAATGCATTCACCGAATAAGCCGTACACTTGCAGCTCACAACCGCCATCTCGATCGTGGATCATTCTCCCTTTCATGGGGATGATGTGTTCCAACACCCGCGACGCCATTTCTTCGTCGACACTTTTCAATGCCCTTATCCCGCGATCACTCACTGCCAAATTGATACTCCTTAGATTCTTTTGTGAGCGGTCCAAAGTTCGGGGGTCTGCCCTCATATCGAAGAGCGACACCACATACCCCTTCTTAGCAAATGCAAGAGCGGCAAGGCACCCAACTAGCCCTGCACCAACAATGCCAATTCCGGTGTGTGTGTCTAATGGTTCTTGATCCATGTGGGGTGATCGATTTCCTGGCCTGACTGCGAAGTTTCTGATCTAAGTGCGGAAAAGCAATCGTAAGGTGCTACATTTAACGCTAATGAAGTATCCAAGCCTGCAGAGATAATCGGCGGATCTACTAGTAGCCACGGTGTGAGCCCATTCGAACATTATGGTATTTTATACACTAATTACGCTCTTCCTAACTTTGCCTTTTTAGTGGCAATACTCTTCTTCAATTCCTCAATTTGCTTCACCAATTCCTCATTACGAGCCGCAAATTCTTCGTTCGCTTTCTTTGTGTTGGTGACATTCTCCTTCATCGACAAGTGCTCATATCTACTTTGCAATTCGCTGCGCTTCTTATCAAGCGCTTTCCGTTGGTCCACCTCTTGTGTGAGCTGATCTTTGAATTGGGCATTCTGCTGTAAGATTTCCTCATGCGTAGTTTTGAGCAGAGCTAGTTGTTGGCGTAACTCATTAACCTTAATGATCAAATCATCGTTCACTTCACGTAGGTTTGTGAGCTCGTTGTTCTTGTTATTGAATGAGTTCGCGTAAATCAAATGGAACTCATTTTCGTACTTGATCACTTTAGGGTTTGTCTGCAATACTTCATACAATGAGTCTTCGGTCATGGTGTTCCAGAAAGCATGCAGATTCAAAAGCTCGTAGAGCGAGTCTCCTTCTAAATCAAGAATCTTATCTTGATTCTGTTGGAAACACCAGATGACCACTCTTAATAAGAAGTCAAACCCTTGATACACAAAGAAATCAAGCAACTTGAGAGTCAATTGCAGAGAGTCCCCGAATTGATCAGTGAAAAAGTTGTACAATAGCTTTTTGTACAAGACCACCAAATTTATACCATTCTTGGCGATATGTTTGAAAATTTGAGGAAGTAACTCTTCCATGGATCGATTTATCTTGTAAAAGAACTCATCCTTGATAAGATTGACAAACAACTTGTTGAATTTCAAAAGCAAGTATAACAACTCCTCATCGTCCAAGTTGGGAATTTGTGCAAGTACTTTGCAAATGTGAATAACGAAATAGTTAGGGGGTTGAATATCCTGAATCGTCAGCGGGGCAAGTACGTCATCATTGATATTAACATCCACGTTTGCCAGTTCCACTCTTTGTGCTGCACCAACGACTTCATTGGTATAGTAAATGAAAATCCGTAAGATATCTTTCAAATTCTGGTCCAAATCAAGGCGGTCAATGTAACCACCATTTTCCGAAATCGTACGGCCACTGCGCAGCTGCTTAGCACGTTTCAATAAGGTGTCATAGGTGTCTTTGTGGTTGATATTATACCTTACCTGTAGCGTTTTGAGATAAACCAAAGCTCTTAAATTATCGGGGATCCCCTCAATTAGACGCTGTTCCAATTCATCAATATGGCCGTCTCGGATGAATTCGTTGTTACGGTCGTCTAACACCGCCTTCCAGTACTCTCTGTTAAGAGCTTCCCCCTCACTGGTGTCAACAGCGCCGATTCGTTGCTTGAGCCTGTCGATGTTCAGTTGAGAAACCGAGAATAAATCGCTAGACTCATTCATTTGAGGCAGGCCATACAACTCGGTCTGACGGACAACACATATCTTGGATACTGGATCATCAACCAGATAGGCTAAAGGCTTCAAAATCAGCGTTCTTGTCAGGTTCACGGGGGAAGTTACTCCGTTTTGTTTTGGAAATTCGCTCACCATGTAGGACGAGCGTGGTGGCAATTCTGGAGGTATCTCGTAGGCCTGAGCCGACATAGAGTTAGCCGAGGTCTTTGTCAATTTACCCGGGTCTACCTTCGGAGGACTTGCAGTATCCACGGTGATTGATCCTGCTTCCATTGTAGTCTCGGCTTAATCAGTCACACCCCAATCTCCTTATTGTCACGATCTGTTCGCGACGATAATTAACCATATGCAGGTACTTCCCGAGTGAGTGAATAGAAGTCGATAAGACTTCAAACTGGATACCGTGTAACTGGTTACCGTGTAAGCATCAAAGTCGCCAGCACCAAGGTGGTAATAAAAATTGCATCAGTAAAGTTTTGAGAGATGAACAAAAATCTTCAACACTTACGGAAAACCTGCGATTTTGTAAATATTTTATAAAATTGGAAGAAATCAAATAGTTGAACACTTTGAATGCTGAAAGTATATGTGCACATTGTTCGAAAAGCTTCGGAATCACTGATCGTGCTTGCCGAATAAGTGGTAATGATTTAGCGCTGAAACAAACCGTAACCGACATCAACGTGTAGCGGTTTTGAGCAAACGCTCATAACTACTCTCGATAGCTTAGCTGGTAGAGCGTGAGACTGTAATGGAATTTGTCATCTCAAGGTCGCGTGTTCGACTCACGCTCGGGAGAAACTTTTTTCACAATTATTTTTCTACGAATGGACGATCTAGCCCGTCTGTCCCTTGTTGAGCCCTCTAAGACGAGTGTAATTTGAGGTTTATAGTTCAGATTCTGGTTGCGACCCTCACTAAGTCATGTAAGCCTCGGGTTACGGGGATATAAGACTGCATATCCTTACAGTACGCTTTTATCTTGATCAATCAGAAGCTCCAGTCCCCACATTTCCATCCGTTATCATTGAGGTTCAAAATGGTAGGGTTGCTTACTAATTGCACAAGGGGTGCCAATGCCAAACGATATATCAATTGTGGGCGTTAATCACAAATATAATTATGAAGTCGTGTACTCCTATATTCTTTTTGAATTTATAATTAACTGGTCGGTGCCACACAGTACGTGATCATACCAAAACACTGTACAGACAGCAATTTGCAAGTGCAAAATTGTACGTTATTTGGTGTACTAGCGGGGATCTTTACGTAAGCCTTATCTCCTTTGAGGGGATTGCTGTATATACAACCGAGACTTTGTGATGCAGCTTGAGATTCAACTTCTATGATGTTCCACGTACTCGAGATCGCAAAAACTAACTCACTTTAATTCTCGATTCTACTAGAAGGTAATCTAAATTTATGGCACTTGCCATCTTGCAAAGTTCAACACGTCTTTTGTTGTCTTGTGGTTTTCCCTTGACAAATTGAAATGTGAACCGTTGCCCCATACGGCTTGCGAAAATCTCGGTGAGTCATGCAGTCCGCAGTATTCTACATATATATTTGCCGGTAACGGCGTAAGCACAAATTGTCTTGAATACCACCATCTGTGCTATGCTGTTGGAAGCTCCCAGTAATCCAGATGGCGATTCACGTTATACACCTACGTCAAATGATGTCTGTTCTATCTTACCAAGCTATCACATGTATAACTCCATTTACAAGCTGGTAACCGTTGATAACGATAACTGCAGCCAACCACCGATATACTCGAGATCAAACTCCATCAATGCACCCTCCGAACGCTCTAGTTCGGCACCTTCGTTATTCTCCCCCGTCGGATCTCGGAGGGTGCTGACTAGTGATGCTGTTGACCAGATTCTCGCTGATGAAACTACTGTACAATGGCAAAATACAGTAATGGATAACATTCATGAGCTTAAAAACTTAAAGGATACTGACAACTCGGTTGCAAAAGCAACCAAAATCACCGTCCATTTTACCAGTAATGTCGGGGAGATTGGTGTCCCCCCAGTACCGTTGGATACTAACATTTTTGAACATAACAGGGGGGACTTTTTGCATGGATACGCCTTGATCGAAAACTTATCGGCAAAACCAATTCCATTCGACATGTTTTACTTATTGTTTGAAGGTACGATCAAAATGAATGGAAAGCCTGTGAAGAATTTCCTTCAAATGTTCGACTTTTCAGCATCATCAAACCCGGCTCATATAAACAGATTAGCCACAGAGTACGCAAACCCCTACAGTTGTCCTGATCTTCAAGATCCTGTTGATAAAACGTATTTATCCTTTACAGACGACCACGTATTGCCAGGAAGAACTTACAAGCGTTTTTTCACTTTCAGAATTCCAGAAACATTACTTGATCTGACCTGTCCCCACAGTATGAATGGTCATGTTGAAGTACCTCCAACATTGAAGGGACTGCAAAAGGTAGGCGATGTCAACGCAATTAGAGACTTCAGTTTCGCAGGTACTGATATCTCATACGGGGTGATGGCAAGATTTATTGGACGAAAGAGCTTTTACAAGGTCGACGAAGAATGGATCAAGAACTTTCGACTCCCACTGATTGTCAACACTAAGGGTGACGAGTACATTATCCTTCAAGAATGCACGAAACATATTCGGATTGTACAGCGGTCCGAACCGTTAAATGAAACCACCGATATGGCGATGGCAGCGTTCAATAAGCTGATGTTGGAGAATCTCCACAGCCGTACAGCAGAGCATATTAAAGAGGGGAAGCAAAAGCTCGAATTGATTATTGCTGATGATTTCAAACAATTGGAACTAGAAGCACAAAAACATCGACAACTGTACGAAACCACGCGAAAGGATCGCAAGCAGCTGTTTGAAACAGACAAGAGACAATATTATGAGGTTGTGAGGTTAGCACGACGCAAAAATTTCGGTATTGAGAAGTTTTTGGGCATGTTCAGCTTGAAGTCAACCAAGACTACTTACAAGCTTGACTACATTGCACCAGAGAAATTTCGTCAACATTCTCGACCTAGTAAATCTTGGAAATTGACAATCCCCTTGGATTTTTCGTTTTCTAAGGGAACCATAGATCTGAAGTCCACAAAGATTCCCGATATTTCCCAAATATTCATGGACTTCGTTGTGGTCACATATCAACTGGATAAACATCCAATTCCTTTTGAGTTCCACCATGACTTTGTCAACAATCAGGTCAAAAATCAAAAGGATGAGAGAGCTTCTGCGTACACAGATATCAAGGAACTTGAACAGATTGTTGATGATACCAAGCGTCTTTCCACTGAATTATACAATGTATTCAAGAAATTAGGACGGGAGAATTTTGCAGTCGAAAAGTCGCTCGTGGATGATTTGAAGGGTATTTGCAACATCCAAACAAAAGAAAATCACCTAAGCATACCGAATTTCACACTGCGTCTAAGTAATGGCAAGCAATTGACGCACCGCCACATCAACAAACTTCCTTGGAACAAAACTAATGAAGGCTGGTCTAAGCTGATTTTAGTTGATCTTGATTTGGATTCGATGCAGTTAAAGGGATACCCCTATAGACTGGAAAAGGCCTGTGATCGTTTTACACTCGTACCAAACTTCCAGCTGTGTTATATGGGAAGAATGTATTACATCCGTGTCCTGATTTGCTTGTCTACAGGTCAATTTATTCATCTCAAGCTTCCGGTTCATGTATGGAAACCCTGGCTGGAGAACTGTGTATAGTCTATGCAACTGTATGATTTACGCAATGCTCTTCAATATATGATAATAAATGAAGTTGGCGTTGTCAAGCAAGAATGACAACAAATGCAAAACCTCCAATAATATGCGGAGAAAGCTAGGTTCGTCTCTGTCGTTTCCTGGGTTCCTCAACCTCGACGACCTCATCGTCATCAGCAGTTTTATGACTAAGTGCAAGTTGGGTAACACTGGTATTGATATCAGACACGCTATGTGTATCAACATCACTCTCGGTATTGATATCAACATCATCATCATCATCGTCCACAATTATACACGTTTGATGGCGTGGGCGAAGTCGCTGAGTCACAATCGACGAAGTTTGAGGAAATTTGTTGGATGCACCCAAGGAGTCAATTTGATTTCTACGAGGCAAACCCTCGGGGGAAGCTCTGTGGGAGTCCTTTCGATTTGGAGTCTCTTCAATTCCGCTTGACCTTGTCTCAATTGGCTTGTCTACCTTGGCCACGTCATCAGGTGTTGAAGAGATCTCGGCCCGATCAAGCGCTGATGTTGAGCTTTGAGAAGCAGTTTTCGTTTGTGAATGTTGCACAACATTTAGCGAATTAGCGGACTCTTCTGCAACAGTTATGACATCATCATCTTTGGGACTTGCCGAAACACGTCGCTTTCGTGGATTTGTAGATAACCCTTCCACCATGGCCAGATCTCGAACAACTTCTGGAGGCTCTGGTGAAGACTCATGATCAACGTCAACAACATGTTGAATACTAATCGTTTCACGTTGACGTGATTGGGATTGAGTTGTTGGTGAGCAGTCAATTGGATCAATTTCGATCGACTCTTGCGACGTGAAACGAACATCGCTCTCTTCGATTTGAACAGACTTAGGGTCATCAGTGGGAGGCTCGATAGGGTCAGAAGGGTACGTCTGTGATGATATAGGGGTTTGCACGCTGGCCTTAACGATTTGGTGCGGCTCAGTCGATGTACTGACATCCTCATCCGTGGTACGTTTGTTCGTGAGGGATGTCGTTTCTTCTTGTTGACCACAGTTTTCGTTGGCTGGTGTTACATTTCCTGAAAGTTCGGGGGAGGCTGCAACAGCATTGCTCCCTTCGTTTGCATCGATCAGATCGGTGGGTTCTGAAGACTGCTCACCGTCAACGGAAATGATAGGCGTTCTTGCCACCTCAACAACAATCTCCTCTATGTCCAGATCCGCACCATTTTGTTCAACTTCATCTCCATCAACTTCATGCTGTTCCCCGTATTCTGCACGATGCAACTTCAAAAGTGCATCAACCAATTGACCACGCATGTTTTTCTGCTCCTCATATCCAAAAATTTTGGCGACCTCACCTCGCTTCCCCAGTCGCCAGTAACTTTCAACATCATCTGTTTTATTAAGCCAGGCTCGGATGTTGAATATGACATGTATACCGCAATCATTGAAGTTGCTTTGTTTCGGTACACTCGCATTCTTCATGTAAATCCACAGCTTTTGCACAGTTACATTGTGAACATCCTCGCAATAATCAATAATGAGTCTTTTGAGAGGTATCAGTATCGTTGAATGTCGTTGGTTGAGAGAATCGAGTACGAATACCTCTGCCTTCCCAACATTCAACGGAGATTCCGAGGGCGTTTCGAACAGTGATCTCTCGTTAGACTCCTGCAATGCAACTCCTTTGGCTCTGGCCAAAAGCAGAGGTAATCCACGAACAACGCAAACATACCAATGACTCAGTTCGTTGATTGGTATTACAATCAGATCATACGTCATGAATTCCTTATCCATCCGCTTAAGCCACCGCTTAACGTTGTTATAAAAGGGAGCAGAGCCGCCACCGTCAGGTTTCTGGATTAGCTTTGTGTAAAAGTATGAGTTGAAAGAATAGATGGACCCGCCACCTAACTTACCTTGACGCTGCGCTTCGGCTATCTCATAACTAACGAAGAAGTCAATAATAATGTCATTAACCCACTCGTTGTTGTATAAAGTGTTGAAATCCTGTTGGGTTACGCAGATATTCTTTCCACGCTTTTCTGGATCTTCGCCAACATCAATACTGACGGGATCATTAGCTTGAAATGAGTACAGCAAAGGGGGCTTAAAAGTGGCGGGTTTCTGACGTGCCTGCTTCTTGAGCACGAAATCTGATCTGTTAACTTCATCAAGTATGACAAGGCGTGCAGATCTTCTAGTCGGATGATCTGAAGTCATTTTGCGTTCGTTGGAGCATTGCGCTTTGAGATAATCGATAGTATCTTTTAAAACGATATTTTCGGTGTCAGCAACGCTTGCCCAAGTACTCAGGTTTTTGAAAGCTTCTCTCATATGTGTGTCGTTCAGATTGTGAGTTAAAAGCACATACTTGTCTTCCTCCTCACGATCTTTTAATACGATTATCACTTCATTCTCACCGAAGAGGATTTGAGCAACATCACGCTCACGGTGGAATATATATGGAGAGATCGCCCTATCCATAGTAGCAAAATATAATATAGGTGCTGTCTTTGAGATAACAAACCAATGTTTTATGAAAGTCGACTTTATCATCTGACCTTTGTACTGTAGCGATTTCATCTCATAGGCGTACAAAGACTCGATGGCCAGTCTGTCAACCTCTAAACCAGACATATCGTGAATCGCCGGAAGAGCCTGCTCTTTGGCGTTGCGGTTCGCACGTTTGCTGGAAGACTTAGCTTTCGTTGCAATACCATTATGAACTCGGGATTTGATTGGTTTCTCCTTTTTGAATTGCTCACGAATTTGCACATCCCGATTGGAGGCTTCCACTTGGCGATTGAGAGCTTGCGATTTCGCAAACAATGCCGACGATTCCTTGTGATTGAGTTCGTCTATTGGTACGTCTTTCAGTTTTCGAGGATCTTCAGGTGTAATCTTGGTAGGAGACGTCAAATTATTTCGAGGAACCACCCCCCCGTTTGTGAAACTTCGTCGGGGAGGTTGTATGGACAGAAACTTCTTATCCTTTAGCGACATGGCCCTCAAGGCACCCTAAGGAATTTCGATGCGCGAAGTTTATCAAAATATACTAACTTCCTATACTAGCTGCCAACCTTAAAGGTATAGGCCAAACAGGATTGTAGTCGTCAACTAAATCCTTTGTTTGGTGGCCTAGAAGTATACAATTGTAATCTTCACAGCTGCGCCTAAGCTCACACTCTATTGAAAATGCCAGGTTCGAAAAGATTGCTTGTCGATTACAAAATTATATAGCTTTAGTTGCCAGCGAATGAACTTGCAACACCATATAATTCAAGACTCCACTCATTATTCCCAGTACCCTAGTGTGTGTAATTCTATACTATTCCACTTCTGCTCGTTCACGTGACCAGGTGGCAAAATCGAAAAAAAGCTCCGCTAAGACGGTTACACATTATGGGGCAAGGTCCACTGGGATTGTCGGGCAACGACAAATTGGGACGAAAGAAGGATGACAAGAAAAAGGAAAAGCCGAAATATGAACCACCCGTGGAATCGAAGTTTGGCAAGAAGCGCAGAAAGGGTCCCGACACCGCTGTCAAGCTTCCTGCTGTGTACCCCAACACCAGATGCAAACTTAAGCTTTTGAAACTCGAAAGAATCAAGGACCATTTATTGTTAGAAGAGGAGTTTGTCACTAATCAGGAAGCTTTCCGCCCCACCGAAGCAAGACAAGCTGAGGAACGCGAGAAGGTTGATGAATTGCGTGGTTACCCCATGACCATTGGCACTCTTGAAGAGATCATTGATGATGACCATGCCATTGTGTCACTGACGGCAGGATCCGAGTATTACGTGAACATTCTTTCGTTCGTTGACAAGGGTCTCCTCGAGCCTGGGTGCTCGGTGGTGTTGCATCACAAGACTGTGTCCATTGTCGGTGTGTTGCAAGACGATGCCGATCCCATGGTTTCAGTAATGAAGCTTGACAAATCGCCCACTGAGCTGTATGCCGACATCGGTGGGTTGGAATCTCAAATCCAAGAAATCAAAGAAGCTGTCGAATTACCACTTACACATCCTGAACTCTATGAGGAAATGGGTATCAAACCTCCCAAGGGGGTGATTTTATATGGGGCACCAGGTACGGGTAAGACTTTACTCGCAAAGGCAGTTGCCAACCAGACCTCGGCCACGTTCCTCCGAATGGTGGGGTCGGAACTTATTCAAAAGTACTTAGGTGATGGTCCCCGTTTGTGTCGGCAAATTTTCCAGATTGCTGCTGAACACGCCCCCTCCATTGTTTTTATCGATGAAATCGATGCCATTGGTACTAAGAGATACGAATCTAGTTCTGGTGGGCAGCGTGAAATTCAGCGAACGATGTTGGAGTTGCTTAACCAGCTTGATGGGTTTGACGATCGAGGTGACATTAAAGTCATCATGGCTACTAATAAGATCGAGCTGTTAGACCCGGCACTCATCAGACCGGGTAGAATCGATAGAAAGATCTTGTTTGAAAACCCCGACGCCGGCACCAAGAAAAAGATTTTGACAATCCACACCTCGAAGATGAACTTGGCAGAGGACGTCAATTTGGATGAGTTAGTCACCCTGAAGGACGACTTATCTGGTGCTGACATTAAGGCCATGTGTACCGAGGCGGGTTTGTTGGCTTTGCGTGAAAGAAGAATGCAGGTCAAAATGGATGATTTCAAACAAGCGAAGGAACGTGTGTTGAAGAACAAGGTGGAAGAAAACTTGGAAGGCTTATACCTTTAGATAGGGTAGTTACGAGTAATTTAACGTGGCATGTTAAGCTAGTTAGGCTATGTAGAGTCCAGCTCTATCGTTTAGAAGGTCCACCAATCTCGATATCCGCGGATCGCTTGAGTGTGGGCAACTTGGGGGCATCCGTTAAGCCGGCGGTTTGCTTTCTCATTCGCAAAACTATTGTATCTTTAAAGATAACATTCTTTCGACATAGTGGACACAAACCCTTGCCTTGGCGAGCCTGCCCTCGTGCGCTTGAACTCAGCACACTTTGGTAAATACAATCAAGACAGAAGATGTGGCCGCACAGAGTAACGGTAGCCGTTGTTACTGAATCGAAACAGATTGGACATTCCACTTCGGCCAAATGCTTTGCCAGGGTACGGGCAGCTGGTGCTTCGGGATTGGCAAGGAGAGAGGCCGACTGATCTTTGACGCTGACAATCTCGACGTCGTCATCGTCATTATGCTGGAGGCGGTCATCGCTATCTCCATCGCTATCGCCATCTGATATCACGAAGAGGGTCAGGGATGTGTCTGGAACATCCGCGGACGTGAGGCTCGGGCTGTGGGATCCGCCCAGCGCAGATGGGGGTTGTGATGGCGGCATCGCAGTTCCGGGTTCGTGGGCGCATCCCTGATATCTCGGTGGCGAAATCAATGCGACTTCACACACCAAGCACTCACCGACGGGTAGTTGGTTACAACGAATTACTCGAAATCATGGTTGAACTAAAGCCACACTTTCACCTTCGCTACCAATTGACGTATTCGCTTCGCGAATTACCTTGAGAAAGCACGATGGGTTAGTGAGGACTTGGTTATGAACTTATGTTTCAGGGAGCGAGATCCCCTTTGTGGTCCACGGGTGGTCGAACATCACCAGAAAAAGAAACGTGGCGGGATTACTGAAGGCCGATACTCATCGGCGAAAACGCGACTTCGGCGTGAAGTGGCGACAGTGCGAAAGAGTGCCCCTGGCCCGACATTATAATTGCCCGCATTGAACAAATTACGAGGAGAACTCGAACCGCTACGGTGCCAAAATTTTTTGAATGTAGAACGTGTTGTGTCGTAGGCGGCGATATGTAAATCAAATCTAATTGTATCCCTATCTAATTTAGAAAGTTAGACAAATCGGTTGCGTGTTGCTTTTTCAATCACACGCTATCGGAATGTGATTATTTTTTATACACTATGACTCCGGTTCCGTTAAACAATGTGAGTATTTGTTAGTTTTTAAGTCAAACACTGTTTGACGTCAAATTGATCCCCCTGAATTGCTTTTTTCTGTCACCACCATATCCCGAGACAACCCCAGCGGTGCCCAGCGGAGCCGATATCAGTCGTAGATGACCATGACCGGTCACCACAGTGGCCACATGCTCTCACCCAACAAGTATAAAACATTGTTGGCGGCGTCGATGACGTATTGTACGTCAACCTAATAAGCACGGATGTAGCATGACATCATTTTTAATGTAGCCGTGGAACTCTTCTCGCCTCGACAGTCGACGTGTTTACCAGAATAACACATCTGTCTCCTACTAACTCTTCATCCCTTAACACGTAAGCACATGCCCACAGGTTACAATAGGGATTTCCGATTTTTTTTAAAGTGAACTTAAGAAATCCCAGCCGCGACACCCGCGATCAGAAGAAATAAATGATGATAGTGGAAGAGGTTAGTAGGTAGAGGCTGCAACGTGGTCGTTGTAACGTCGGGGAGGAGAAGCTTTTTTACCCTACCGGTTTTTTTTGCCAAGTATCGGCCTGTTCATAACCGTTGAATGATGTCAGAAGAAACGAGTACTTTGAGGTTTATATCTGCCTTGCATATAAGTGCATACTGGCTGTGTGCAGTCCGGGAGATGGGTGCAAATCGTAACGGAGATAATCCCAATAATATATAAGTCAAGCCAGATCCCCCTGTTTAAGCCTTTCAATTCAATCAATTCACCCAATCAACCATGACTATCTCCAAGCAACCCGCCGTCTTTTACGTTCACGCCGCTTTGTTCGACTGCGACGGGACCCTCGTCAACTCGACCGGGGCCATCTCTGAATTCTGGAGAGACTTTGGCAAGACCAGACCCCACGTCAACCCTGAAGAAATCATCAGAACCTCGCACGGGTGCAGAACTTTCGATGTCATCGCCAAGTGGTCTCCTGAAGACGCCGAAGTGGAACAAGTGACCGAGTGGGAGGGTTCGATTCCCGACTCGTTCGGCCAGTACGCCAAGCCCATCCCCGGTGCCGTCGAGCTCGTCAAGGAGTTCGACAACTTGTCGAGAAACGCCACTGAAAACGGTAAGCAAAGATGGGCCATCGTCACCTCGGGTACCTTGCCTTTGGCCACCAAGTGGTTGAAGCTTTTGACCATCGAAAAGCCTGACGTGTTTATCACCGCCGAAAAGGTCACTAAGGGTAAGCCCCACCCCATGGGCTACCAGAACGCCAGAGACACTCTTGGTTACGAAGCTGGCCACCACAAGGTTGTGGTGTTTGAAGATGCCCCCGCCGGCATCGCGGCCGGTAAGGGTGCGGGCGCCTTCATCGTCGGTATCTGCTCCACCTACGACCCTGAGAAGGTCAGAGCTGCCGGTGCCGACATCGTTGTTGACGACTTGCTGTCGTTCCACATCGACTCGTACAACCCTGAAACCGATGAGTTCAAGGTGGTCGTCAACGACTACCACTACGCCAACGAAGAGTTCTTGCAAGAAGCTTAAACTTGTTGTGTCACATTGATTTTCTTTATTGTATTATAGATTTATAGACTGGGATAACGGATAAATTAGTAAATTTAAATGTAGCGTTGATCTGAGCTTCTAAGCCAGATACAGATTTATGAATTGGTACTAGCATATACACTGAGAGGTGCTGGTTGCAAAATTTAGTGACACCTTATAAATTACGATTAATACGATCTGGGGCCACTTGTCTAACTACGGCTGAATTCACATTATCATATGATTTTTTGTTCAATTTGTGACTCTTGTAACTCAAATTGTAAACCTCAGGGTTCGATTTTTGGCACCTCACTTTTTCGCATCGCGCTCGTTGAGGGTCAAGTCATCGCACCAGTGTCAAGTCATCGCACGCCATGACCCACTCTCGCTTAAGTGATTCGTACCCGGTGGCCACACTTCCACGGGTGGCCAAGGTGTCATTGGAGGAGAGAGCGGTGGTCCTGCCCCTCATATCACCAGACTCGCTGGTCATAGACTTGGGGATATCCAAGTCGATCATTGCATCTTACCTCATCAAGCCGTCGCCCAAGTTGGTGTGGCTGTATCCACTCTCGCCGAAAACCGTGGTTGATGCCATGGACACCCTGGTGGTGGACAATGTCAAGCGGTTTGCCGTGGGTATCCACACTGGGGACAAGGCGAAGTTGTTGGTGCTCACTCACAACGAGGCGGACCCCACGCTGGCGGCTCCCATAGAAACCGACTTGACTTCCCAGGTGAAGGAAGTGAAGTTCGATGATAGCGAGATCACGGTGGTGTACGTGAACGGCTCCATCGAACGGTTCGGATTAGAAAACGACAAGGTGACGAAAGATACCAAGATGCGAATGAAAAATAGCGGTACCCTTGCATTCTGTGAGTTTTTAACTTGGCAAAACCAGAAACTCGTGTTGTTGATCTACAAATCGAAGTCGATGGTGACCTACCAGCTAGTCGCCATCACCAATAACCAAGTCTACGAGGTGGAAACTAAGAGCATACAAACCGAGCACGACTTCCGGTGGGCTTACAACAACGGCTACATCTACCAACTCAACGAGACCGACAAATGCATCGACAAGATTTCCATTGCCAAGTTCGACTCCGAAAAGTCCATATCAGTGGAGCCTTTACTTCAGGAGGGGGCGAGCTCCGCCATCCACGCCCCTTGCAGCGACAGACTCGTGCTTTCGTCGGGGACGACTATCTACATTGTCAACTTCACCTACGGCGCGTTGTTGGATTCGTACGTGTGCAAACTGTCCAGATCTCACGCCAATAATGACGAGGTGGTCGTGAAGCGAGTGGTGCCCATTAAGAGCTCGGGGAGATTGGGGAAGACCGTCGCTGTCTATCTTAACCTCAAACCTAAGGATAATAACGTCGACGTCAATCTCATTTCCGTGGATCTTGGCACCAACCGGTTAACTGAGTGTTTGGGTAAAGCTATCATCAAGCCGAATCAGGATAAGTTCGCTGGCGTCATGCCCATCTTGACCGAGGAGTTCGCCGAACGGTCTGGGGAAGCTGGCCTGGAGCTAGACGAAGTATTCAAAACCCTTCGCCAGTGCGCCGAAGCCAAGGATGTGTACAAGTGGGAGCGGGTGCTCATCCCTTACATGAAAAACGAGTCTTGGGAACTGATCAAGCAGCTGATCTCGAAGACGAAGGCTCCCAAGACCAAAAAGGAGTACACGTTCCAGGAGATGGATGAAGAGACCGATAGAGTTGTCGATGTGAGATTCATCCAGAAGGTGGTGAACCTTGTGTTGCGTCAAAAAGAAGACGAACAGGTCGACTTTGTGGACGCTGACTTCTTCCCTGAGCACACCTTAATGTATTTATTGACGCTGCCGGTATTCCCCGTTGAGTTTACTAACGGGTTGCTCCAATTATTCTACGCTCTGGGCAACTTCACGTTGTTGAGACAAGCGATCAACACTTGCCCTAATCTCACCGTGCGTGAGCTTCTCATCCAAGTCAATAACGAGGTCGATGACGAGGTGTTTGTCGACTTGATAAATCGTCTATGCACCGAGTTCTCCATGGGGCAAATCACCACCACCTTTAAAGGTTTGGTGGTCGAGTTCCCCGACCAGATTAACTTGGACAACCTCCTCGTGCGGTTGTTCAAGGTGCCAAGAAACAAGAACCTGCTTTATCTCATCGAGTCACTTGTCGACGTCGGTGGTTTGTTTAACTGGAACGAGACCACCGTCGAAACGCTCAATGAGTTTATCGCCGGCAAGATCGACGCCCTCGTCCAGAACTCATTCAACTTGACTTTGACTAATCAAGTGTTGATGGCGGCCAACCCCCCCAAACCCGCCCGGGGCCACAAGAAAAAGAAAAAGAAGGCCGACGCCGACAAACTATCCGAGGTGGACCTGTTGTTGCTGATGACGAGCCACAATGGTTTGGAACTGGTCCAGCCCATCGAAATAAGCAAAAAGGTTCCTGCGTACTCGGTGGAGAAGTTGGCTTTTTAGAGTATATAATAATATCCAGCACTAAGTATTAAATTTCGGCTAATCCTGACCGGTGCCTGACGGTATCGTACGATTTCTAACCTATTACCCCTGACTCGTTATTGTCGGCGACATCGACCTCCACGTGAAATGCGTCCGACATCGCGGCTGGCAAGGAGTAGGTGGGTGGAGTGGGGAGGGGGCGCTTGGCGGGTGAATAAGGTGGGCGGACGATATTTCCGCCCGAGTAGTCATCGCAACCACCACTACAATTCAGAAGAAACACCGCCCTCCTCGGATATTATCGTTGCGGGGGGGAATTTGCGGCGCAAGCGACCTGGCGATGCCGGCACGCACCCGGCGGCACCGTTGAGATCCAGACCGTCGCGCCGGGGCGTGGCCTCCTGCACTGGGGGCAAACAGTGCGATGCGTCACTATCGACAATGCCAGTTGGAGGCTCCCTTTCACCATGGAGGAGCTGAAACACGACGTTCGCATATCCAAAGCCCTCTCGTGGCTCCTTCGTCATAATGCCGAAAAGGAGGGCCTAGCCATTGACTCACGCGGGTACGTCGCCATCGACGACGTCCTCAACCACCACCGCCTCAAAAGCCTCAAGTGCACCCGGGCCGATTTGGATAGAGTAGTGGCTAACAATGCCAAACAACGCTTCAGCATCGACGGCGATAGGATATGTGCTACCCAGGGCCACTCGATCAAGCTGGTGGCCAACGACAACATGGAGGAGCTTACCGCCGCCACCATCCCGTCGGAAATCTACCATGGCACCTACCGCAATAAGCTCCCCCTCATATACCAGCTGGGCGGCCTCAGCCGAATGGGCCGCAACCACGTCCACTTCACGCTGACCCAGCTTCGCAACATCCTGGGGGCCCGCCACTCGGCCAACGTCCTCATTTACCTCGACGTCGACCGGTGCTTGACCCAGGGGCTTGTCTTCTACCGGGCGAAGAATGACGCCATCCTCTGCAGCGGCAACGATGCCGGCATCGTCCCCCTCGACTGCTTTGCCAGGGTCGTTGACGCTCGCACCCTCGACCCCATAGACATGTCGGCTGTACCTACTTAGCGATGATGCCTGGAAGGGCAACGCGCACGAGCCTCGACCGATGGCAACGGTCGGCATCGGCGACGACAGCGGCTGAGGGGACGACGACATCACTCTAATAAATGTTCCGGACAGTAAATAATTAATCCCACGAGCGTCGTTGATCGTCGTTGATCGGCACCCTCGCTAATGCCACCGCCTCGCCTAAACCGTTGCCATCGTATCCCCCCGACGACGTCGGTCTTCCCCACCTCGCCTGGCTCCCGGGGTGTACACGCCTTGGCCCTTAAGCTCAAGGTGCATTTGCCCTGCTTGCTCATCCCATAAACACGAGGGAAAGTTAAAACTCGCGAGGCTGGCCCCGCCGCCGATGTCGTCGCCAAACGAGGCTAGGCTTCGTACCCAGTGCTGCCGCGGTCACTCATCGCCCGCGTTCGCTGGTTCTCGACCGTAGTCTAACTTTCGCAGCTCGTAGTTTGAATACCTAAACACTACATGAAGGGCATCAGAGTCTAGATCCCCTAGACAGGCCCCGCAACGAACTTGCAGCGAAAAACCGCTCGGGAAGAGGACCGGGAACGCCGCCCGGTGACAGCGACGGGGGGCGTCAATCACCGCTACCACGACCCCCGTCGCCGGTGTCGTGGCACGGTTGTCTCATTTTGCACCCAGTGGTCGTCGCTGGCGTGCGCTACTCTTGTCGGTGGCCTCTCATTATTTCGCCCTCACCAAGTCTAGACCCGATATATTTTTTGGGCAATATGCACGATATCAAGGTTTGGAATGCCTGATTTGGCGGGCGGACCACGAATATATATAGAGGCTGGCGAAGGCAATCACGGTTAGGTAATTTGTCCAGCCGAAGAAACCCACCATTCATCTGAAATTCCGCATCGGAGGGGCGGTGTGATGTCCATGATTGTCAATAGAATGGAGTGTCCACTTCCCCATATTGCTAATTATACTCCCAAACCCAACGATACTAAAATTTGCCAGTGGTACTGCTGTCTGTGTGGCCAACTGTACGGAAGCATCATCTACAAAAAGACCCCCGTGCCCGACAACCATGTCGCCGCCGCCAACCCGGCCACGTCCGACGAAAGCGTCAACGACTACTTAATACGAAGTATCAAGTACTACTCGCAAATTGTCTACAATCTTGGCGGGTTCCCCGCGCCGTCGGCGTCACCGCCAGTCGCCGGCGACGACGATGCCGTCGTCGGTGACGGGACGCCTGAGGACGTCTACGCTCACGAAATCAGTCCTTACGACAACCCCGAGGTCCGCCGGCTGTCGTCGTTCAACGACATTTTGTCGCCGCTGATAATTGCGGAAACTAACCTGGTGGTCACCCCCACCCCCGTCTTCATTCGCACCACGTCCACCACCGCGTATAATTTCGATAAGGTGCAACAACCCTGCACCGAAACCAAGACTGAGGATGACGTGATCCTCAATATACCCACCCGATTTACCTGCCACCGGTGTGACCACATGATGTGTCCTTATTGCCCCAAGGTGAGAGTGAAGGACTTATAGTTTTACTTCTGATAGATTGGACCTGGCGTTCAATTGGATTACAATGGATTTAATAGAGCATAACGGTGTTAATGCAGGCTTTTTATGAGACATGAATACACATATTGTACATTTTAACCCCGCCCCCCTTTTCCACTTTGAATTAGTAGAGACAAAACCGTGCTGTCTACAGCAAAGCCGATGTCAGTTCCGTTTCACTCGTGACGTTGACGTGAATTGCTGACGGCGCATGTAAGGGGCTTTTCGTCAACGGTGCGAGCGAGGATGCTGGCTGGTGCGAACATCAAGTCTAGACCATCTATTAACGTTCCGTACAGATATAACTCGAGTAATTCTATCGGCTTATACGGCAGCCATTTGCGATACCTCTATCCCTGGCTCCATAAAAATACACCTCGCTTTCTTTTGGGCGGCCCCGCTTGAAGGTGCAGTTGTCGGCCCTACAACACTAACATTTTAAGGTTGGCGACGGTTTCGAGGCGGCACGCTTCTGCACCCTCGATGAAAATCCCTCCACAAAACGGTGGGGAGATAAAAAAGTCATTCACTTTTTGTTCAACGCTTTCCGATTGAGCCATTGGTCCTTCGACGCCATCACTGCATCCCGTTTAGGAGCAAGCTTGTGCCGGCTGCGATGGTTCACCGCAACGTATACCGGCCCCCGCTTAATGGTGGCGCCACGTGATTGCTTGAGCGCCTCAAGCTTGGCCAACTTAGCTTGCCGCTGCAACTCCTCCTCTGAGACCTCATCCAACCGGATATGGGTGTTTTGTACCAGTGAAGGCTCGTCTTCGTCCGACTCATCGTTGAACGCGTTCAAGATATCGTCATCCAATAATTCAGGTAATTCCTCCTCATCTTCCTTGACGGGCGCAACGTCCCGCTTTAGTTGTTTCTGCTCCTGGTTTCTGAGATCTATGGCTTTTCTCTTCTCCTTCTCTTTGCGTTTGAGCTCCAGAGCTGCTTGTCTTTGCTCCTGCTCCTTACTCATTACCTGCTTCTTAGCCGTGTTCACCGACTCTTCCTCCGGGGCTTCATCATCTGAGTCCAGCTCCGATTCAACTTCATGGACCGTTTTGGTCTCAACAATTGCGACGTCGGGACTATTGCCGTCCTCGTCAAAGGTGATCTTCTTCAGTCTAGTGACAGCCATAGCTCATCGCTCATCCTGATCGCCGCGAAGAGAAGTGTAGCGCGATCACGTGATCCAGACTGGATTTATGTACATTATAAAGGTTGGATCCAACTATCTACCCCAAACGTGAATATCGACGTTGCCCGAGGATCACTTTCGATTTCGAGCAAATGTGGATTGCGTTCACTCATGTAGGTTAATGTCTGCGAGTCAATATCAACTCCATTAAGTCGAAACTTCTTAACAGGATATTGCAAGAGGTATAACAAACCAACGCCTTTAACGTTTGAACAAAAACTTAGATCAAGTTCTTCAAGCTTATGTGGCTCTTCAAGTTGAGAGAGCGTCGAGAGAGTAAATTGATCGATCAAACTATTTCTCACGCTCAATCTTTGCAATGCAGGAGCATATTTGAATAACGTTTTCCACCGAAGAATGTGGTGCTGTTGCCCTATGATGTCTTGGGGCCACTCAACATGACAACAATTACCAATTTGCAACGTCGTAAGATGTTTGCCACTCAATCGGAGCAATTTCTTTAACCCCTGCGTTGTCAACAGTGAGCCGTACACGTCGAGACGCCGTAAGTCATGTAGCTGATGCAAATCTTCACTAGTGAATTCCACCAAATTGGTGGCTCTGGGTATATAGCGCTCGCGGAATGTGAGATCTTCAAGATGGAAACTTGGTTGGTAATTTTGAAGTAATTGGAAAAACTCGAGTAGCGTGATTGATAGATTATTCTCAAACCACAAGCGTTTCAAGTTAGGAGTCTTGAGGAAGAACTCACCCAATTGAGGAAGTCGGTTTTCAAAGTCGTAATTAGCCATAATCAACTCCACGAGATATGCAAAAGTTTGATTGAGAAATGGGGGTACTGCCAGATATGTCGCAGGCCCAGGTGTAGCTGACTGCTTCTCTCGATTCAATTTGGGGTGGTTCACTAGTACTAATTCTTCTAGTTTCTCATGCAGATCAACCATTGAAAATCTTCTAAATGCTTTCTCTGTGGTAATGACATTCAGAGCTTCGCGATCCATATCACTTCGAAGAATAAGAACTCGTAGACGCTTCAAGTTTGGGAAGATGCTCAATAAAATACTACCGTACGTCATCAGCGAGACCAAACCGAGGCTAAGCTTGGTTACCCGCTTGAAATTGTGAGTCGTCCAACCAGTTTTCGACATCAAGTGAATCCACGACGATAAAGAAAATTGGCGATCGCTGATGTCAATATTTCGAAAGAAAAGTCCAGGTTCGGTAATCATGCAGCGAAGACACCGCTCAAGATTAGCCGCATGTTTGATTTTAACTGAACTTATCTCTTTCAACCGAGTAAAGCTGCTGATTCTCTTTACTAATTGGACTCCCCTCTCAAACTGCGGTACAGTGACCCCCAGACGACAGTCCAAGCGGTAAAGCGATGGCAATTGAATTAAGCTGCTGTACCATCTTTTGCACACAAGATGACACTGAAGTACACACGTTAGCGGAATTTGGCGAAATATGAGTTCAATGATTTCAAGTGGCAACAAATTGAAAGGGTCTCGCCCCAGCACTCGAGTCTTCTTGTAAACAACTGTGGAAAAGGACGGGGATGACGTACGCTTTCCTGTCAGTTCGGAAACCCCATGTTCAACTGGAGTCTTTACCGTGGCTTGTAATCTTTCATGATTTTCCTTAAGCGCCTGATATTGTTTTGGCGGCGGCTTAATCTTGCTTTGCTTAAAGGCAGACTTGATCTTTGTAATACCCTGAGAATAGGTCGATAGGGCACTGGTCAAATCTCCTCTCTTCTCGAGCAATTTGCCAAGACGAAGGTACCCCTTGCAATTGAGCGGGTCTTTAGCGACTAAAGCGCGTGCATCAGCTAGAGCTTTGGTAAAGTTTCCAAGCTTCTCGTATGTGGCGGCTCGTTGGTCGAGAACTTTAGGTAAATTGGGATGTATAGGGGGGATGGAGGCTAGATTATAGACCTTTGCGTCGGCTCGAAGTTGCTTGAGTAACATTGGTCCCAACGCATTGTAAGCGTCTTCCAACTCGTTATAAATGGTAAGAGCCTTATCATAACGTGAGTTGTGGAAATAAATGACTGCTAGCTCCAACTTTTTATCATCATCCATGAGCTCATTCACAATAGCTCGCGCGCACACGCGTTGCGTTGACCGTTGGCGTGGGACACCGGAAAAACCAAAGCTAAATGAGGGATCCAGCTAACAATAACTCCAAGATAGTGAGATGGCTTGGCATTTTCGAATACCTTATCGGTACTGACACGTAAACAAGAACTTTCGGCGTCCCTCGAGTATTAGCGAGTTCGATCTAGTCAGAGCCGGACCTTACATATCTACGTATTGTTTAGGTTCCTATCATTGCTCAACACCCAGGATCTATCAGTAGAGCCCGATTTTCTATATAGTGAGCGGGCTTGTTCCTTGCATCTAATACGCGTATTCCTGTACCAGTCGCAAAGTACTACCGATCTCATATAGCTCACGAGTATTCCAATCGTCCGTTACGATGTCGTCGTTTGTCGACTTATGCATCGTTCTGGTGGTAATGATGGTGGTGGCCATCATTGGCGGCCTCATTCCCATCAAGCTTGGGGACAAGCTTCCAGGATTCAACTACTTTTCATACTTCGGTATGGGTATCCTTATTGCCACAGCCCTTGTCATCATCATACCTGAAGGAGTGAAGACTTTGTATGAGGCGACTTCTCCAGATGGCCCGGAGGCATGGTCCATTGGTTTACCGCTTATTTTCGGCTTCGTTATCATGTACCTCCAAGATAACATTCCCATGTTGTTGGAGGCGTGGAATCTCAAGAGCAAAATCAATTACACTGAAGTCGATGGACTGGCACCTGGTTTCAGTATTGCACATGGCTTCAAGTCGATTCTCCAATCGGCTCTCACCTTAGGGTTGTTGCTTCACGGGATAATCGACGGTATCAGCTTGGGACTGAGCTATGCGCTTTCAAAATCTCATATTGGCTTAATCATGTTTGTTGTCATTGTTGTACATAAGCTTCCCACGTCATTCAGCTTCACGTCGATTTTACTCAAAGAAGGATTTTCTCCCCAAATTGCGCAGTTTCATTTATTCTTGTTTGCACTTACTACTCCTTTGGCTGCAATTACGACCTACCTAATAATCAAGGTTGGCGCTCATGATTCCCAATTTGTCATTGCTTTATTGTTTTTGTTCAGCGCTGGCACATTCTTATATGTCATCCACCATGTGATGTCGAACGTTGGCCACTCAAAGTCCGACGACTTGCACAACAGTACGAATACGCCGGAACAATCATCGGCGCTAGAGTTTTTAGCCACACTCGGGGGTGCATGCCTTCCCATACTCGTTTCGTTTTTGGGAGGGGATTAAAGGGGTTACAACATTCATGTAGCTATTTAAATAACAAACGGAACGTAAATCTTTCTTCTCAACTTCTTGTATTCGTCACCGAAGGTTTTCAAGTACCGCTTGTGCTTCTTGACAGCCCATACCCACATCTGAGCAGTGGCAACAACGAAGAACAACCACGCCGACCAGTTTCCTACAAGGAGAGCGTACGCGAACCACGCCAACGATTCAAAGAAGTAGTTGGGGCAGGAAACCCAGTTGAAACCATAGCCGTAAGGAATGACATACCGCTTAGTGTCGTTCACCCGTAATTGAGCCAAAATGATGTGGGTGACGAAGTTAGAGATTTCAGCGAAAAACCAAACCCCAACCAAAATTCCGATAACGGGGGTTGCGTGGTTCAGCACATGGTAGACGTAATCACTAAGCTTAGTCGTGTGCACTTGAGGACCGTAGATGAACACCGATAAATTGATACCTGACAAAACCCAGTAGTGAGCAGAGTTCTTGAAAATGTTGAATGCGGGCATCGTGGCATTCAGGAACTTGTGGACAAATAAAGTTTCAAACTCACGCTTGAAGAAATGGAATTGAACCATGTAGAACGCCAAAGTTTGCACCAAGGTTCTGCTAATGCCAGGGTAAAAGTGTTCATACGCGAACCAAACAATGGGGTGAATGAGAAGAGGGCCCAAGTATTCAATGACGAACACAGTTCTCCACGAGATTTGGGGGCCAAGGTCCTTGACATAAATGACAGCACTGTCACCGGTGACACCATTGGCCACCAACGTCTTCGACTGGTCAAGGGGAACGTGCTTCTTGGTTTTGTCATCGATAACAGTGACTCTCAATCTGTGTACAGAGCAATTGTAGCGATTGGCAAGGTCCGCCACCACCTTCTCCACACGAGCGTCAGGGGACTCGGAGAGAGACACCGGCTTGAAGCCTCTCGACCGCGGTTTAACTTCAATGTCAATCATAAGGTAAGCAAGGGTTGTCGCAATTGAAATTATTGAGGAGTTGGTGCACTGAAATAGTCAGTGGGTGTGCATATAAACATTGACCGTGGAGAATCCGGATAGGTCGTACTATATATGAGGTCGGGATTGGAAGTACACCATTTTTGAAATCGATTGACTTTATTGTTCCATAAATTTACGGTATATTGCCACAATGATTAAATGACTTTTTAAGTATCATTTAAGCTCTGATATGTTTCGGAGCGATTTGCAATGGAGGACAGATCTAAACATTCTTCGTATGCGGCTTCATTAATGATAACTTTCCAATTACTGACACGAACAAAATACATTTGTGTCATCAGAATGGTCATTAAAGCAATAATCATCCCGACCCATAAGCCCGTTAATTCCCATTTGAGTACAAAGCCGAAAATGTATGCACACGGGAGACCAAGGGTGTAATAACTACCCAAACTAACGAAGCCGCAAATTTGCTGTCTTCCTTGTCCTCGCATTATACCACCGGTGGCACACGATAAGAAGTCAAAGACTTGATATACGGATGCGATAATGAGGGTCCGACCAGCGAGAGCTATGATTGCAGTATCATCTGTGTACAAGCTGGCAAATTGGTAGCGGAACATATAGAGTAATGCACCAAAAATTGACCCACTCACTAGAGAAAGCAGAACGGCAACCGTTGCACAGGTTTGGGATGCTCTTTCAGAGGCAGCACCAACATACCACGCTATTCTCGTTGATGTTGCAATTGATAACGCAAAAGGTATTTGATATAGCAACACGCATGTGGTATTGATGATCGATTGGGCCGCCAAAACTGTTGTTCCAAATCGGGATGCCTCCAAGGTTATCACTTCAAATGCAAGCCACTCCAGTTCTACCATCAAGACACCCGGAATTGCGAGGTTGATCATTCTCTTCCAATTCAGCCAATAGATGGGGTGGAAAATTGCCTGATGAGGCCAACACTTCCGTCCGTCCAGTACGTAGATATAGATGTAAATCATGAAGCACATTAAGTAGTTGGTAATGACCACAGATAACGGGGCTCCAATAAAGCCTAAACCAATGTGACGATCCCATACAAGTACATAGTTAAGAATTGCGTTAATGGGAGCACAGATTCCAAGGATGTAGGCCAGGGGGTTGAACAATCCCTGAGCTTGCAAGAAGTGCTTTGCATTCTCAAACAATATGAATGCAGGGACGCCGAAAGCGATGACGCGGAGGTATAACGAGGCATATGATGCCAACTCGTGATCGTGGACAAAGTAAACGAGTGATCGGTACAGTCCGAAAATCCAAAATAACATTATTGGACAGCTCACGAAAAGTAGAAGGATTGTACATCTGAAAAAGTGTACCCCGACCCAGTTGAACTCCTTTCGTCCATATGCCTGGGGACATAATGTGTCCAAAGAAGTTGCCACGCCTTGAATGATAGCATATCCGGATATATTGGCCGTCATTGACGAAAGGGAAATAGCCGCCAACTCTGCACTCCCCAATCGACCCACTGAGAACACCAGCGCCACTGTGAGCAGGTATTGACATAAAGACGCAATAGCAACGGGGATCGATGAAAATATTAATCCGGTCAGCTCATTTTTGAATGATGTCGTCGGTTCCTCCCCAACCAGAGCGATTGAGTGACGTGATAGAATGTCTGACACATCAGGGGCGATGCTGGCTGACATTTCATCATGATAGCACTCATAAGAATGCGTCACCAAAGTTGAATCAGCTTCCAAGCTGCCTGGTAAGATTTGTAAACGGCGACGACGATCATGCACATGGTCAACTACCGCATCTTCCAAATCTTGTGCTAATAAAGGCGTTGAGCTTGTGGTTGGACAAGACGACATGGTAATAGTCATACGAAGATGCCCACATGGGTGGCTGCAAACAATCACGAGCCCCGGGATGATTTCCACAGTTTAAAGTACTCAAAATGACCTGTCGTGCTCAACGAGGAGCTGTTTTAAGTTGAAAATGATTCAACCAAACTCAAGGCTTTACAACTTGAACATCAATTTGATCGTTTGGCTCCAAAAACACCTTGATATGCGACCCACCACTATATTTCTGCTAGACACGTGGGTTCGAGAGAGCCATGTCAATCCTTGTTGCACACAGTCGGACAACTAGTAGCATTAGCAGAGCTTACGATTCGTCGCTTTAACAAAGCTTACGACTTGTCTTACCAAAAGACAATTTCGTCAGCATTGGTTTCTCAGCGGGTGTGGCAAATGATGCATACGTCATTCACCCGTATTCCGTTGTCCCGCATGGCTGCCAAATCACGTGACTAAATGGTAGCGCGTCTGATCGATCTTTCTAGAATCATAGTGTGACACATAGCAAAGGTGCGAAAATTTCCTGGACCGATTAGTTGAATCATGTCTGATTGGGATACTGTCACTATCATTGGGTCGAAGGCGAGAGCCGGTGGTTCGGGCCCCAGAGAAACTGTTGCTAAGTCTAACTCAGCGATCAATGCCGCTAGAAGAGCTGGGACTGTGGTTGGTACCGAAAAGAAGTACGGTACGGCTAACGTCAAGCTGAACCCTGAAGGTCAAAAGTTGACTAAGTTGGACAACACTGACGACGTTGTTGCTGTCAAGAAGGTTGACGCTTCTGTTGGTAAGGTCATGTCTCAAGCTCGTCAAGACAAGAAGTTGACCCAAAAGGAATTGGCCACCAAAGTCAACGAAAAGCCCCAAGTCATCAATGATTACGAGTCGGGTAGAGCCGTGCCTAACCAACAAGTGTTGGCTAAGATTGAACGCGTGTTGGGAGTGAAGTTGAGAGGTAAAAACATCGGTGAACCCTTGTTCAAGAAGAAGTAATCATGATTAATGAATATATACAGTGCATAAACTAAAGTTGGAAATGTTTCAATTGCTTTAACGTAATAGCAGCGAACTCCTCCAGTTGATTCACACAAAAAGCATGCTGGATGTTTCCCTCTTTTGATCCCAACTCGAAGACAACATCGTCTTGCGGGTTGTGGTATCGCGCAATAGTACTATCTCTGGTGAAATTTGCCACCCAATGATCATTATGTGCATAGAACGTCCAAATTTTTGTGCCCTTTAAGTCTTTGTAAAACCAATCATTTACGGTATCGTCATCACGTATAACTTGAAGCTCATCGTCAACTAATTGTAAAGCTTGGCGAACAATTGCTGGTGAACTGATTAAGTCTTTTACAGCCCCAACGGAGTATTTCATCAGATCCTTGGCAGCTTTTGAGTGACTTTGGGATGGTTGTAAAACTTTGTTTTGAATTATACTCAGTTTGGACTCATCAGTAAGTATCAAATTCAATAACTTCGAAAACCAAACTACTATCGTTATCATGGGGAGCCATTCGAAAAGTGGGGCTGCCTTTGTACCTGAATTTGAACGGTTTAAATCCTTGATTGTAGGGCAGATTAGTCCAATGAATTTCAAATTGAATTTCCCCTGAAGTTTTGAGTCGTTCGTCAACTCCCTTACCGCTCTTTGTGTGACGAACCCCCCCATGGAATGACACATGATCCATAACTCCACCGGCTTGTCGTCATACTTATCTAGAATGTGTTTTCGTATGAACTCATACTTGTGATTAACCTGATAATGCACATCGTACTGTGGGGCCGACTGTGCTGTGGAAGGGGTGGTATTTTGACCCGCATGCGATACACAGAGGATCTCAAGGTCCGGGTATTGCTCTTGAATCAAGTTCAAGTACACAATGTAAAACTCCACTAATCCAGGATTGCCAGGTATGAATATGAGACTTCTTGGAGTGTCCAGCGGTTCAGATGGAAGTTTGTGATAGACAGTTGTGGCCGGATGATGTTCGTATGGTTCAACAGACATGTGTGTAGAATTATCGAAGATTTTCTCAAGATCAATACTGATTACTTGCGCAAAAAGACTAATGTAGTATGCCGGCATAAACGGTTGCGAAACGTATTGCCGACATGTACCGATCGCTGTGAAGGAGTCGCCTAAGCCCGAAAGAGTTGAAATAGGGCATTAATACGGTATCTCAAGCTTTTAATAAATAAAGTAATGCCATAAATAACGACATTTGCGATCGTCTTTTCGATCAGTTTTCGTCGAGATTGATCTTGAAAGTGTAGTGTCTCATCACAGGAGGCTTTTCGAGATCATCTGAACTATGCAAATCTTTTTCATAGTAATGCAAATTGCCACCTCGGTCAATCAATATAACAGTTTGCGTACGTGTACCATAATACTTTCCCAGAACAAAGGTATGTTCTTCAGCCTGAGTATCGAGTGGCGGAATGAACACCAGATTTTGAAGTTCTTGCACTTTCGCAAACCAGCCTCCATATTTTTGAATATCGGAATCGTAGGTGTTGGTACTCAATACATCAATACACCCATCAACTAGAGCCTTTTCATCGTACTCGTTTTTCACTGCTGTGTCAATAAGCTTGTCAACAAGCACCTCGCCAATTTCAACCTTCCTCCATGGTTCATAGTACAACGAATTGCTGATACCAAAAGTTTTCTTGTGGGAAATTTCAAAGTGAGGGTCAGACAGATCCCCCTTCAAAATTTGACCCAGTTCCCCACGATTGGTGAGTACTGAGAGAGGCTTCACTTGCTTGGTAGTGGGATCAAGGGAAATTTTTCCATGAACGAAAGTAAAACCACCAATATCTTCCAAGTCAATTTTCGAACCATTAAGAGCGTGTCGATTTTGTAACTGCTGTTGCCAGTCTGTGTCGGATAAGCCCGCACTAAGGTAGTCAATCGGGAGCACACCCCGCAGCATCTTTCCTTGTAAATTACGGGTATCACCCTCTCGGTAGTTGAGTAGCACTGCAACACGACCGTCAGTCAGTACTCCAACCCAAGTTCCTTGCTCTGGTCGAGCTTCGTCGAGAGGGGCCAAAATGCGGTGACCAGGGTTGGTCGGGACATCTTCAAACAGTGCTAACTTTGTGGGGCGCTTGAAGTACTCATCACGATTGTTCATCAAGATGAGCGGGTAATCGGGGTGGCGTGTGGTCCCTAACAAGATACACATGGCACGACGAGAACTCAGCAACTTGCGCCGATTAACGCGGGGGAGTGGCGGACGCCAGAATTTCGTGTGTGATAGCAATACACCAAAGAGGCCAGCTAACACTCAAATTCGACGCAAGAGGCCTATAAGATGGTTACGAAGGGGTGCAGATTCATTATATAGCTCATATGCTTCGCTTTCCTGCAGATACCAGGGGCCGTCCCAAATGCTTGTTATGCAAGTCGTGCTCACTGGTATTTCGGTAAATGTGACGGCCATTTCCGGTTGGCTCACTTAACTAAAATTCTTAGTAAACAGGCCCAGTCATTTATGTCTGACCAAGTTCAAGTTGAAGTATTTCCACGATGTTTCGTTCCTGAAGGAACGCGTGTTGTGATCATTTTGTAATCTTATTTCCGAAAAGCGACTGTATGGGGCACTCGAGAAAAAGCGGGGTGAGCACGTTCGGCGTCATTTCGAAGCCCCGCTCTGCCTCGGTGAGATCTTAGAGTGCCTAAAAAATCACCCTATCACCTAATGTATCAAATTCGTTGAATGACTACTCCATGAAAATTTGTTCCCGCTAACCTGAAAATCCTAAGAAGGTCAAAACAAACCGTAACAAACTCGACGTTATTAATGCGTTCCCCGGATCCTGCATACTCGAGGCCTAGTCATGCCATGATCCTTTTCAGTCAATACCACTTCTAGCGGCTAGGTGGCTCTGTGGTCATGTCGAAAGCGGCCAAAGGTCATAAAAGTGGTTTATCCATGGTTTGGAGCGATGAAAGAAACAATCATTATCCAAACTATGTCGTGCCCACCTCTAAATCGTTAATATCATCGTCAAACTCCACATCAAAAGTATCTCCCTCTAAAAATAACTTCTCCCACTTTGTACTGTAGCTGTTAACAGGTATTAACGCTCGATCATCTTGGATGAAGACTCCGTTTCCATCATTTTCTTTCGAGTTAACCATCATCGCTTGATGGCGATAAGTATCGATGTGCTTTAATGAGCAGTCCAGTCGTGAGCATCGTCCATTTTCCTCGTACTCCGGGCATATTAGGTAATGCATGAAGGGACACTTTGATCCCCGCTGACAATAGCCTCCCACGGCAAATGGCCGGCACACCCATATTTCGTATTTCGGATCATCATATAGTGGCGGCTTATGATGTGATCTATGACAATCAGGATTTAAACAAACACCATTGCTAAGATTCTTCAGACATAACTCGGCATTGCAATTGTTGGCATTGTGGTTCAACAAACAATTTTTAACGTTGCAATCCCCCATTGAGGAAATGTTGTGACATAGTCTTATCGTAGAAACATCATGATCGAAATTACAAGACTTGCCTCGTCGGCAAATCCCGAATCTTCCGAAATATCGACACCTCTGTTGTTTCCGTGGTTGAGGTTGAGGAGACACAGCTTCCAAGTTCAATGAAAAAACATCACGACGCCAAAGCACGTTAAACGCCTTAGGGCTTGTTTCCTGCAAATGGCGGCCACTATTCAAAGGCACAAGAAGATATCCATTCTCAGCGACAGCGTACGTGACGTCATCTACTCGAACCCTATCACAATCATCATAAAGTTTGGTGTTTTTCGTAACAATTTGGTGGACTTTTTCAGGAGAAGCATCTATAGACGGGACAATTCCATTCACATCAACAAGTTTAATCTCGGTTCCTGGTCTTCGCCCTTCGTGTTTTCCCCTTTGTTGTCGTCTGGACAAGTGCTTCTTTAGTTGTAGTCTTTGGGCAGCTGGAAGTGACCAATATGCGACCTTCCGTCGAATGATATTCAGTTTAAGTTTCCGGATTTGCTCTTGTTTTGCCGCGAGTGCCTCATTGTAATCCATATCCCCACAGATTAAGCTCACGTACGCTTCGATGTACTTTATCGTGAGCGCGCGATGGAGTCCACAGCATGCACCAACGCACAATATAAATACTTACGCTAAACATATTACACCAGGCTATATAATGTGATCGATTATGATAGGATCAAAGCACACGGCATTTTCCACGGTAGAGAATAAGTACTTTTTTTTAATCATGATGGAATATAGAGATTCGTCACCTGCAAAGTTCCACCCGCCATAATTGAGCATGCAGTGACGGCGATACCAACACATATAGTCGGCAAACATGTTGTGGTCGCGATCAAGATAATACTCAAATCCCAAACATATCAGCGACCACACGTTTAGCAATGATAATGCCAAAATATTTTGTTCATAAATCAAATCATACCATCGGGGTGAGATTTTAGCGATTGTTTGAAATATTGCCGCATCATTGTTATGACGAGCCGACACGTAAAACAGTTGGTTCAATTCCTCAATAAAGATTAACAAGTAGTTTACTTTTCCCTCGTCAAGGTTTCTCAAACCGGAAAATTCATCATAATATCGTTTCAAGAGTGGTATCATCGGAAATGCTTCAAATGTTTTCATAGGTTTGAAAAAATTTAATTGGTGGTTTGGGGCAAAGTTTGCAGCCATATTGAGGATTTGCAGTCCCGCTTTCAAAAAGCTCAAAAAGTCATGTCGCCGTAACTCAAAGTCAACAAGTGGTAATAACATAGCGCAATTACTACCGATAGTGATGTATAGAATCCAAGTCGACATCATTAAAATAATTGCATTGTCTTCGGTAATAGTACCTTCCATCAACTCATCTGTGAGTCGCGACGTCTCACGAAGTTGGAAATTGAAGGTATCGTAACTGAATTGTCTTACAGCGTAGACGCTGTCATCGCAAGGCATTTCCAATGGAAGCATGGATGGGTTATAGTTCGATATTGCGAGCAAACCCAGATAGCCCATCACACATTTCCTTATAAATTCCAGGGAGGAGAGGAGTTGTGGCATACTCACAGTCCATGTAACTTGGCCAACGTCGCGGGTTTGACCGTAGTGCTGGCTCATTTTCTGTTCGAAGACTGCCAATAGATAGTCCTCGAAAGGATGCTGAACATTCGAGAAACTCGTATTTGTGTCGGACGACCTAAACAATTCTAGTTCTCTCGTATGCTGCTCCTCAAAAAGTCCACGTTCATTGCCTGTGGGGTAGACACATTTTCGATTGGTATGAGTACAGTACTCACACGATGGACGGACCAAGTCACACTATATTGTTAGTATAGGTGAATTCAACTTCATCATCGTACGCACCTTTATCTTGAGCTTTTTACAGCTAGCACATTTGACGGACTTCACCCGCCCCATGAAGATTTCAGACAACGGATCAAAGTCACCGATTCATGCAGGATTTCCAACCTTGTGTTCTTCGTTATGGGAATTTAAGATGACGGTAGGATTGGACTACACGCAGAGATCAACCTTTTGAAATATCATAATTCAGTTGAATTCATCTGATCAAGTATTGTCTTTATGACTATCATTTGTTTGGTAGATCGCAACTTTCAAGCCGCACGCCATGGACTACCCGAAGACTAAGAGCTTCAGTCGCAATGCTCTCAGCCAGCTTCTTCCCCTCGATACAGAATCCTTGAATGAAATCATTGACTATACTTTGCATCTTGGATCTCCACATGCTATTGAGTCACACTTGCTTGACATACTTGGAACATCCGATGAGAGTCTCCTGTTTGTGACTCAATTTTTGAAGCTCAAGCAAGAGGAAGACGACGCTTACGCCAAGAAGACCTCGAAGCAGCGTATGCTGCTAACAAAAAAGCCTGCTATTTCTAATCAACCAGTTACAAAGAAGTCTCCAGCTTGGAAAGTGGACTCAACAGAAAGTCAACCATCACGTAAACCCCTAACTCGAGTTGACCCCAAGAAAACAGCTTCAACAACTTCACAATTGATGAATGAGCCTCACATGGTGCTTAACGCTAAACAAGCCAAAAGAGGTAAACGAAAAAATATGGACAATTTGAAGGACATTGAGGCTGCTCTCCAAGACCTTGAACTTGCAGAAGCACAGAATCAAGCCAATCGAAAATGCGATTGCATGGGCCAACGCCACCCCCTTTTTGATGTTGTACCAAACTGTCTCAATTGCGGTAAAATTATCTGTGTTAAGGAAGGCTTGCAGCCGTGTCTGTTCTGTGGTCAACAATTGCTACCTGAGACCGACCGCGAAGAGATACGACTGATACTTTTGAAAGAACGAGACACATTAGAGCATAATAAAGAGCTTTTAGCTGAACGGAAATTGCCCTCACAATCACCACCTCCGGTGAAAGAGAAAAAGAAGAAGATTACGGTTAGGCTGAGCGCTGGTAAATTTTGGGATGAGCAGAAGGAAGCCTTGGCTGCCTTGGAGGATGAGAAGAAGCGACAAAAACAAGAGCAGCTCCAGAAAGAGATGCACGAAAAAGAGGTTAAAGAGCAAGAAGAAGAGCTCAAGAAGTACGAAAAAATGAAGCGGATCAACGAGAAACATGATAACGACCTTTTGGTGGCGCAACAAAGATTGGAAACACTCTTGGACTTTCAAGCCACTGGTGCCGAGAGAACCAAAATCATTGATAGAGCTGCTGATTATGACTTACCAACAAGTTCGAGCTCTATGTGGCTTCTGCCAGTTGAGCGAGCACTTCAACTAAAACGCCAACAAAAACAATTGCGAAAGCAAGAGTCGGCTGAGGAGTCTCGTAAAGGTAGGGGGAGAAGAGTTATGGAGATGGTAATCGTCAATGGGAAAGCTCAAATGGTTGAAAATACAACATACCTGAAATCCGATGATGAAGAGGACGAAAATTCTATCCAAGAATTGGAGAGCAAAATAAATGTTTCCAAGTTGGCAGAGGAAGCCGATCAGCTGAAGCAGGTTTGGAATTATGAATTAGATGCTGCCAAATGGGAGAAACCAGTGTATATGGGAAACCAACAGAGTGGCACCTTGGTGGATACTGCCCCACCGTCCCGACTTCAGGTTAGCAAGGGCGGGGACGAAATGGATTTGGTTGTTGCGTTACCTTGAATCAGATTCCGGAAACTTGAATTGAGCTATCTAGGGTTTGATTACACATAGTTGTCATTTCGATAGTATACAGCGTAAAGCATGATATTGAATATTGTAGATCTGCCATCATAGCTATCTGTTGGGGAAATTCGGAATGTTAACATCCAAAATTTCTCGTGAATGGTCAGGTACTGGAGCAGCCCCCTCAAAAATGCATGCAAAATCAATCAAAAACGTCAGCAATACCTCTAACGTAACATTCAACGTTGGCACAAATACAATACAGACATTGCGCAAATTCATGCGATTATGTTGCGAGTGGGAAATAACCAATTGCAAAAATCTGAAAATCACATAGCAGGTGTTGTAATGAACCTCATCAACATTATTGGTGTCATTGAAATAATCACGAAATTGAAGTGCGAGTTGCAGCGGTGAGATGTTAGGGTTGTGGAGAACAATACCGTTTAAATGATTGAAGCACTGAAGTCCAAGTATTGGGGCTGGCAACTCACGCAAGTACGTCTTAAGAAGCAGAGCGACGGTGTGCATGTCGGGGCGAGGTTCGCATGTAGCAAAATCAACGTCAAAATGCAGGTTGAATTGATCTTTCAACTGCCGGATGCAGAGGGCCAGACCAGATAAGCGAAAAATTCCTTCCTCATATAAAGCACCAACTTTAATGAGATACTCTATGCTGCGTGCAATGATGGCCGGAGTGAAGCGTCCAAAAACTTCACGCTTCAGAAGCTTATATGCATCGCTTAATTCGCCTCCAAAAATTCGAGCAATGGCGTTACCGTCTTCCTGGTTGAGTTGCTCAATATATTGCTGCATGGAGTTGCTTTGCATCGGAGGAGCTTGAGGAATTGAACTTTGACCGTTAATTTGGGAGCTGGGTTGCACAATTGGTGAATTCGATTGGTATGGCAGTGCAGGCGGTACCTGAACCTCATCTGGGCCACTTGAAGTAAGATAGCGAGAAAATGGAAATATGCTCTTTTTCTTTTTCTTCTGTATGATGGGTTCGTCTTCAACTGGCCCTAAAGTCGTCAGATACAGCGTCAGAGACTCCTTATCACTGTATCCAACATAAGAAGTTCCAATACTATCAACGCTGGTGTCACGTGGATCACGACTGCGCAGACTTTTCAGATTCAAAGTGTCAACATCCTCCGAATAAGCTGGTGGGGGAGTGTCTTCATTAACCGGTGCCACCTCCAGTTTAGGGGATTGCAATTTATCATCTAGCTCATTGAATTCAAGTAAAGCATCAACCCATTCATCTCGCTCTTCGTCAGTTTCCGCACAAAAGAAATGCTTGGGAAGGTTTGACATGCGAGTGTTTGCTCGGGATTCCATGATCAAAAACGCATGACGATAACCTTTATCATCAGCAACTTGATCCAGATTTTGACGACCAATCTGGGCACCTGTGAGTTTGATGGATTCCGAAAGAGGGGCTCCTGGGTAATCGTAAATTTCCAACATTGGTCCATCAACCTGGCACCATCTGATTCGCCAGTTCAGACCTAAACCTTTGTACCGTCTGAGAAGATAACCTTCCTTGCGGGCCCCACTCTTGTGATCATCGAGTGGATTGACAAAATCAAGCGAGAGAAACCGACAAATCTTGAATAATATCATTTGAGGAATATGCGGGAATGTGAACAAAGAGTTAAAGTAATCTTGAAGTTGCTGGCGTCTCTGATCCACTTTGCTGGGTTGACTCAGGAGAAATAAGTTTTTGTCTGGAAGTATAGGAAGGCCAAATACTTCGACGATTGGACGAATTTCGGAATCGAATTGCATTGCTTGGGTGTACAGCTTCCGAATACGCCACATTTCTTTGTCGCTGTCTCTGTCTGTAACGGCAACAGTGAAATTAATGTCGTCGCGACGTTTCAGCAGTGGCAGGGTGATGTGGTTGTCGCGATTCACCAGATACGTCAGAACAACGTTAAGATAGATAGTGTGAAAGTCATCAGGTTTTATTAGCAACAGCTCTGCGTCTTGCTCTGGCTGCGGCAGAGACAATACATGAAACAGGCCTTGCAGCTTAGTATTGAACAGACTCAGAGTAGGTGTTCTTAGCGATTCTGGTCCCATATTCGGTTGAAAACTCAGGGGTGAATTCACCAGATTTAATTCGTCTGCAAGCAGGTCTCGATTTTGGCGACGGCCAAATGCTTCCGGGGTGTTAGGTGCCTGTGGTGTCAGTTGCTGAGACGTGCGGCGCCCAGCGCCGGCGTCAAGAGGAAAGTTTGCCAAAGCAGGCAGCTTAACACTTGGTAGTGAATTTCGGTTGAAACCAACGATTGATGGGGGCTCAGCAAGTCGTTGACGTACAGCTTCTCGCTGAGGGCTTTCCGCTTGTTCAATGACATCAATTCCCGATGATGGAATCGGGGAGATATGAGCTGTACTGGCGCTATGAGGTAGAGACGCAAACTGCTGCTTAGGCGTCAGATCACCATCTTCCTCGCTTATTATCAGCGACGTCAGAAGTTGGCGCGGTTGAGGTTCAAGGAGTGGCAGTTTGGGGGGCTCCAGCGATCCCCGTGAGAGATCGACGTTGGAGCGATTGCCTTCACCTTGCAGTCGGCGCCAATCATCGCCCAGGCGATTTTGTAAAGTGTATGGAAGGCGAATACGCAGTTTGTATGAACTGACCAGGTTGGTCAGTGTCAGTTGTTTGAGTGTGGGATGAGTAGCGTCACCGCGTTGTTCAAACTGCAGCTCCGTAGGAATCGTTGGCAGAAATACCAGCAGGCCTACAGACGGATTCAGTTTAACTTGCTCAAGGTCTAAGTCATCCAGGACCAATGACTCGGCGTGTTTCAGGGCGGTAGATGTTGCCGAAAGTCGATAAGGGTGTTCGTTCAGTTCGCGAGGCTGAGACTCCGACCTTGAAGCGCGACGTCTACCAGCCAGGCGTATTGGCACGTCGTCGACAATTAGCTCAGGAGCTTTGCTATTATTTGATTGGCCAATGCTCTCGCGTAGTTGACTTATCACTTCATCTCTTTGAGACACAGCGCGTCGCAAGGATTGGATCTCGTCCAAGAGGCATTCAATATACTGGTCATCGCGCAAGTGTGACCTGTCGAACCGTGGATCCAGCGGCGGTACGTCTGCTGTCAGCAGCAACCGCACTCCCTGTCTGTCCATGGCACAAACGACTTCAAATGGTGGTCTGCTGTTCAAGTGGTGGGATCTCGCAAACTGAGTGCGCGCGCGTTGAGGAAAAACCTTGAGAGGCGTAAGGTGGGGGGGACGTGTTCTGGGCAATACAAGTAATGATGATGCTAGAGGCAGAATATCAAAATGCAGGAGTGAACATAACTTAAAGTGGGGCTTAGGTTTGAAGTCCCATCGACAACATATGTGCCGTTTGGAACAGTACAGATGCCGCCGCTACCTTGCTAGCGGTGGGGGATAGGGGCGAAGGGTCCTTCATCTGCGACTGCTCGGTATATGCAAGCGCTCGATGCAGGGAATCAAAAGCACACACACGTTGACGCCAGCGCGACTCATTATGCTAAAGTGGCGTTAAGGATGCGAGATCATACTGAGCATGTCAAAGCAAGGTTTCTGAACCGTATTAAACTGTGAAATCAGCACAGTCAAACCTCAATTTGTAGCCGTTGTAAATGGAAATGATAGCGCATATGTATTTGAGCAAAAAAGTTCTATACATTCGAGATATTGGGCTCCGCCACCTGTACACGTTTTACCGCTAAAATAGAGTTCGAAGAAATACAAAGACATTCTACAATGGGCGATCTGTCACTTAATTTGTATGTGCCATCACTTGGCCGGTGTGGGTGTCGACTTCATCGATAATGAAAACGCAATTTTAAGCAAGTGACGCTACATGTGGTGCGAGATGTTACATCTTACAAAGTGCAACGAGTAAAACTTTGGGGCAAATAGTTACGATGACGGTGGTGATGACGATAAGGACGAGCATAGCTTGGCACTGCATTGCCGACTATCATGTTTAGAGCAAACCGATTCATCTATGAATCCTATCTTTATTGACGGTGTTGAGAACAGTGACAGTCTGTTCTTGTAAATGTATTAGATCTATTCGTGCATCGTGAATCTTGGGTATCGTTGTAATGATAGATGGATAGTAGGTTCTATCGCCGGTTGTTGCCGCTCATCTTTTTCATGTATGACCGGGTTTGCCGTACCATATTACGAGCGTCGTTAGGGTCAACTTGGTTGGTAATATTGGCCAAGTTGCGCATAGCTAGCTCCTTAACCATCCGAGGCCGCGGTTTTTCATGAGGATCTTGATATTGGTATACGTAGGATGCTGGTAACACAGCGTTCGGCATCATCAGTCGCCCCAATTTAATCACCTCGTTGGCCCAGATAGTGATATCTTGTTGTGGGCGCTTATACGGAGACCATGTTTTCTTGCATCCCTTGACAAGTTCCTTCATCACTTGTTCACTACCCCAAGACGAGTTCCATAAAAGCTCGTCATCATTATTGAGTCCAATGAGGTGAGAGAACAACCCGGTTGTTAGGGCACCATCAGAGTAACCACCTTCAAGGAATGAAGCAACCTTGCAGCCCGCGTGAAGCTTGGCAAGCTTAACCACGTCGTATGTGAAGTGGGCAAAGAATGACGTAGGAACATTGATTCCATGGCGTTGCATCCCGGGGTTTTCATATTCCAGAGCGTCAAACCCTGCACTAATAATGATAAGAGGCTTAAATGGAGGCGGCGCCGTTGGCTTTTTCTTTTCGGCCAGATCTTGTGAGCTATGCCGCAGATGACCAGGAGCAGATACATTTCTTTCAAATTTGGAGCGAGCTTTGAGATAGGCCACATAGTCAGCATCATATTGCTTTTTGGCCTGATTCAAGAATTGATTCGCTCGGTTAAGAATTTGAACGTACTTTGTGGCGTACGTTTTGTAAAAATCATCTTCGCTGCTCCACTCCTGTAAGTGAACATTCCATATGGCTAAATCGTGGTCCATGATACACGTCAGAGCATTCCGGATGTTATCCTTCGTAGCATAGCCCAACTCAGTAGGGTACAGCTTAATATCATGGAGGGAGAAGTATCCAACTTTCGGGGCGCGCAGAGGCCGCTTGCCAAATTGATCTCGTTTGGGAAGGTCGTCAATCTCGTCTTCCGCCAGTTGACCGTAGTCACCGAAAAATCCAGCCTTCTCCCAACAAATATCCTGAGAGCCATCACCGTGGTGAAGGTCAAAATCAAGGATAGCGCAATGGGTAACTCCATACGTGGCATGGGCGTACTCAATACCAATATGGACGTTGTTCAATAAACAGAACCCCAGAGGTAAGCAGGCATGCGAGTGGTGACCCGGCGGACGAATCATAGAAAAGGCCAAGTTGTGATTGTGGCCATCCTTACGTTCGTATAATCGATCCATAGTGGTTTCAATGGTACCAATGACACCTTCGATGGCGTTTATGGTCCTCGGATTGACATAAATGTCGCCGGTGTTCCAGTCCTCCGGCACTTCCAATTCGTTGTTCTGGAGTTTGTCATGCGAGTCAATGCAAAGTTCAAAAAGCTTGCGGGGCCAATTTTTACCATGAACCTTGAGAACATGTTCGCTAAATATGGAGCCCCGCTTACTCAGGTTTATGAGCTTATAGTAGAAAGGAAACATGGTGACGGCCGCTGCCACACCAATCAGCAGCGCTAACAATCGTTGGGGACGTTCGAAAATGGTAGATAAGTACAGCTTGGTAACCCATTTGCGGCCAAATGCGTGCTCAGCACTATAAGGCGAAAGCACAATGATAGTTTTATCCCACTCGTGGCCAAATCGGGGCAGTTCGCTCAGAATATGGGGATTCAGTTGCAAAAACGTCCCAAACGCCTTGTTGAAATGAGAGAGCAGATAATCAATTAATGGACTGGGCTTGAGAATGTCTTGAAAGCGAGGATCAACCTGAATTGGCGGTACGTGGGCCTTACCACTTCGTCTGGCAGGTTGAGGCTCCTCCTCAGTTTCGTCGCCTTCTGCAATGGCGGCGGTGTGAGTGGGAAGCATCAGCAATCGCCGCCTCAGCTTATTGAACTTCGGAATCTGCTCGGAAAGCACTTCTTCTTCCTCCAATGCATCAATATCAATCTTCAGGTAATTATTGTACGTGAGAACGGTGTGCAAACTGATGTCGCCATCGTCTTCCTCCTCGTCATCCTCGGGAAATTGCTCAATATGCTCGAAGTAGTTGTTCAGTGGCTTGATGGTAAGCGTCGTCTCAAACTGAGTGATGAAAGAGTCATCGTCGTCACTCATGGTGATGTTCGGGACCAAGGGCGATGGGGCAACTGTGGGGTTGCTTCGCCTGAGCTTGGATAGTTACAGCTGGTAAAATCACACCTTGCTGTATCCACTGAAAGATTGCCGGATCATGCAGTACTAATTCGTGTCAAAGGGGTAATGTTTATTTTGGGAAGCCTGCAAGTCGTAGCCGCGGGCGGTATCTATAGACTGCAACGAGCCTGACCAGTGGCTGTGGGGAACGATGCAAATGATGACCAGTTTCCCTATTCATCTATTCGTTACCGAGTTTGATAATGGCATTGATCTGAAGCGATATTACCGGGATTGATTGTTGGCAATCTTCCCGATTAGGCGAAAATGTAAACGTTGGTCATGCAAACCCCGGGGTGCAAATAAAACGGTGCAAATAAAACCTACCGGGTCTATGACAATTTTACGAATAGAGTATTGTCTCATTACCTTGTAACACATTCCATTGAATATTTAAAGTTACGCAGCCCTCATTTACAATTCGTTAGTGTGAAATCTTTTGTTGAAGGTGTTCACAATTACATAGCAGTTCAAAACAATTGAGACAAGACGAAAGGGGTATATGAAAATTAAACTACCATTCCAGTTCACCTGTAGCCTTCTGGAAAACGTAGTCCTTGCCATCAATGTTGGCAATCCCTTCTTTCAAGTTGCACTTCCACTTGTTCTTCACTCTTTGAACCCTGTCGTACAAGCAAAGCATAATCTGGCCCTCTGCATCGCCGTCCTCGTCGTCACTCTTTTCCAGCTCCAAGCCGTCGTCTAAATCAGAGTTGATATCGTCAGACTCGTTGAAGAGCTCCTCTTCCTCTTCAAGCGTGCCGTCAGCCTGTCTTATTATATCCAGTTCCTGGACTTTTTTCGCTTCTTGCTCGGCGGCCAACTTCTTCCATTTTGCCAACATGTTTGACGCGTGTTCCAGCTCCATTGTCAATTCAAACGTTCCATCGGTTTGATTGATGCGTCCTGTAGAGTTATCAACGTCCTGCGACCCTATTGAACCACCTAAGTTAGGAATCTCAAGTCCCAAACTTCCTTGGCCTTGATACAGAAATTGGGTATCGTTCCCGGGAATCTCGAGCCCCAGGCCCATGTGAGGTGGCGGCGGTATCATTCCATGTGGAGCTTGATAGTTCATATTTCCAATGTGGCCCTGCATTTGTTGGCCGTTGTGAATATCATCATCCCACAGAAAGTGGGCCACATGGGTTTGACTTAACTTCTCGCACCAGATGCGACGCAACTCTTGTAAAACGGTCTCGTCAATACCCAGGTCTTCAAAGTCCTGACGGGAATCATTGATGACTTCATCTATGATGGTCTCGTAAAGCTTGGACGCTTCGACATTGGACATCTTCCTCGGTCTCGGTCACCCTCGAATTTGCTATGCGATTTTTCGTTTAGTGGCGAATAAGTGCGTGCGACCACCACTTGCCTAAGAGAAGGATTCCCACTATGTTTCCAACAAATGTAAATGTACCAACTCGATGACAATGACAAGTAGTCTTATTGTGTCAAATGCAAAAGTCGGTTTGGAAGATTTTCCCGGCATTATTCCCAGAGGTAACATAGGTCTCAATCTTCTGCAATTGCGATAAGGTGTTTGAGCTCAACTAAGGTATTCCTTTGTCCTATGATATTACTCACAATTTCCTATACTTTCCACTATTGAACGAAAACTCTTACTCGATCCAAAATCATCGATTGATGAAATTCAAGGTACATAGCTATGGTATCTTATGTAATTCCTCACTTAGCTTTTGTGCATTTGAAACTCATAATGATTAAGCACTTATTCAAACCCAACATTATCGCCATATTTTCATTGCACTCAATGCTAAAGATTTTGCGATGTAATGTTACACATGCAGATCAATACCGACAGTTTTCTTCTGAATCAGATGATTTCGAAACAATTCTTTTGCCAAGCTCGGTTCAATATTAGCTTTCGTTGGAAGGATTGAATCTCAGCAACAGATATTAGCGAAAACCATACCAACCTCAACCTCGCTGACGACATGGCTAAAATATTTGAGCACAAAGTTCTCTATGAATTCGTGGTCATCATTGGAATACGGGTCAAGATCCATATCTATGAGATCTTGATATGTCACGGTTATTGAAATCTTGTTTTGAAGTTGGCTTACTGAGTCAATACCCTCCAGTGACAATTGTTCAGTAATAATCTCATTAATCAAAGCGAAGTATCGACGAGTAAGCCCATGAAAGTAGCCCACTACGGCAACTAATTGCAAAAAGTCAACTGAACACCCCACTTCTCCGTCTTCAGATCCACGCTCATCGTCACCATCGTTAACGCCACGGCCCGCCAGCGCAAACCAACTCCAAGCCTGCCACAACAGTTCACGCCACAGCATAGGGTGACATGCTTCTAATAGCCACCACGCCGGTTCACTTTTATCCAGACACGGGAATCGTCCGACCACCTGAAGCTCGGTGTCATTTTCATCATAAGAACTCATAAGTGAATGAATCAGTCTCAAGTCATCGGTGTTGGACAAGTTTGATTCAGCGGGTTCAGAACATGCTACGAGTCGACGCAACTTGCTTCTATCACGTCTCAGAGCGCGCTGCACAGGTCCCAATTGATTTCCAGTTGTGTCTTTCAGCAAGTACATCAGTGCGTGTTCATTTCCATTGAGAAGAACAACAACATCACTTGCACTCTTATTATACATCAAAATGTCATCGTTGGTGGTAGCAATATACCCAGGGACGTGCCAGAACTCTTGATTAAGCCCAACGTTATATAAGGGAGGCAGGTAATAAGCTTCAACAGACTGACCGACAGCTTTCACGTCATGGGGAACAACACTAATCAAGGAAAGAATATAGTCATAAGCGTATATCAGAAAATAATCATTCCCAGGCCGTTGATGATTTTCATTATTGAAGAAAAGAATTTGATGTCGCAACAACGCGTGCTTGAATAAGGGAAACACCAATGGACCAACCTTCGATATGAAATTAGGAAGTTGTGTCAACATATGGTGCTTAACAGCGGTCTTGGCAAGATCTAGATTTTGACCAGGTAACGTCAAACCAGTCAATTTATCATACACCCTGTCCAACTCTTGATGATCACGATCATGTTCGAACTTGCTCACAGCTCCACTCAAAACATCAATGTATTCCCAGCCCATCTCAATAAACTGATTGGGTTGCCATTGTGTGGAGTGGGGATCACAGACCACACCTAACAGGTACATCAACACATTCTTGCGATCACTAGTGTCGTTATCCACAATCAGTTGTTGAAATCGGGCTACCCCATAGTAGAATTGACCTTTGTGCTTCGTTTTCTCCACGGAGAAGACTACACTAGTCTTCTCAAATTCATGAATTCCCAGAGGCAAAACCTTATAATCGAGTCCCTCCATAACGAGATGTGGATCTTGGCTCTTCTGCCATACCATTGTGTAACCCTTCTTCACATCGAATTGGGCAAGAAATACCGCAACCACTTTAGCTGGCGTGTAGCTCATTGTGGGCTTTGGTGGTTATCGTCACAACGTGTGCGGTTCGCGTAAGGATTAAGGAGGGGGTGGGGGAAGCGACCCCTATTGTGGAGAACGACTTATAGAACGGAAGTTTTAGACTACAGAGACGTTGCATAGACATGCCGTCGTACAACGTGATCAACAAAAATGTTTGACTCAAACTCATCACTATAGGCGAATAGAGTAAACTCTGACTCTGGTCCAACTCAAGCGGATTGCAGAAGACCATTATTTAGTGAATTGCAGAGAGCCTTTATTCAGTGAATTGCAATTTTACACGTAAGTATATATCAAACCAGGAACAGAATTCTTGAATGCTTTATCACTTTTTATGTATTAATAGAAAGATCCAGTCTCGATCAACCGCCTGACTTGATTTGAAGCCACAGGCATTTCCATGAGAAGCAAGCTCACACGTCTCGTATTTTAACCTCTAATTCTTAAGGTAAAGTTCACAATAACCGCAATGAACAAAAAGATGCACAACATGGTAGGACCGAAACGGTCGTCGTAAGGTCCGGTGCCCCGCATTCTGATGGCTTTAGCACGCCAGTGATAGGTAACAAGAGCGTAAACCATGGTCAACATGGCAATGAAGGTGAACAAGCCAGCTGACACCCGGCCGATGGAATCACCGAAGTTGAGCAACCCGACCCCGAGCGAGCCGAGAATGACCGTGAAATTGAGCCATGAAAGGAAGGTTCTTTCATTGGCAAAGAACACCTTGGGTTCAACCCGGGCGGGCAAGGCAATCCGCTTGGTCTGGCTCGACATTTCCTGGAAAATTAGCGTCGAATATTCAAGGACGTGGGTATATGTAACCTTTTGTACCGACGCTGCGCGGTATCAATTTTCTAGGGGCACGTGGGGCGCTTTCGACGCCGACTGCATTATTTTCACACGACACTTAAGGTCCGGAAAAATCATTGACAGCTGGTATTGTAGGAAGAGCAAATGAAATATCGAAACTTTAACGTCTTTAAAGTGTGACGTCCATCTTCAGTGTAGATATTGAAGGCTTGCGATTTAAGCAACAGCCGCACGCTACCAGCACAGCTGGACAGCATGACAGCCGCGAGTGGCTGATTATGAGGTAAGGATACCGATTACTGTCGAGAAGTACAAGATGACCTCAATGATGACGTTGCAACATTACAAGATTCGAGTGCATTTCACGCTACAAATGCCTCACCTAATTTGTAATTTTTTTCAATAATCTTACTAGGTAGGATTCGTGTAAACAATTGTTGGACATCAGGGTAGTACTATAAAAGTATACATTCACTATAGATTTAAGACACAAATTGAAAATTGGGACGTGGTGATGATGATCATTCTTCCTCTTCTCTTTGGTAAATTACTTCGATTCTTCTCCTATTTATTAATTATCTCAACCACTCTTGTACTTTTCGTAAAGCTTAGTGGCCTCGGTCTTCACATCATCGTCACCTTCACTCATTTCCTTCAAAAGCTCTAAGGACGACTCTTTAGCCGGAGGACGAAACATTATGAGAAATTGTAACGATTGAAAACCAATCTTCAGCCGGGCAGGATCAAGACAAATAGATTTGATCTTGAAAACATGATCACGAGTAAGTGCCGGTAAGTCAGATATCAAGCGAATGAATAAATTCCGATCAGTAGGCTCGATAAATGAAATAACTGCATCGAGAACCTTACCGGACCAAGTATTATAGTTATTAGTCGGGGTTTTGGCATCTGCGTTGAAAAGTTGTTCAGAATACCACTCCTCATTAAGCCAGTCAATGACGAGACTCACCCGCTTATGAATGTTCTCCAAAAAGTAGTCAAGAATGGACAGTCTGACTATATCAGCCATTTCTTGGGTTTTGACACCATCCTCAGACCCGACGTCAGCGCACCGCATTCCTCTCGTCACCATTCTTGTCAACAATACCAACCACAGATCCTTCTTCCAATATTTGATAGCAATACGATTGAGCTCTGTTTCAGCAGGAGTTGTAGGAACCCCGACGTCAACACCTTGGTTGGCAGCTAATTTAAAGAAGTTCTTAGTGATGAGTTTAACATGATCACGTTTTTCATTAAAGCTGACTTGCTTTGGAGGAGGTAGAGTGTACACTGCGTCAGGATTATAATCATTGTTATCTTCGCCGTCGTCGTTCTCCACTTGGGTGCGAGCTCGCTTGAGCATGGGTTCTGCTGACTGGGCTTCCTCCAACGCATGCGTGTAACGAGCACTAATGATATCTAAAGCGGTCAGCAATTGTGACGCGCTCACTTTCTCCAAAGCTTTCACGACCATAGCAGACATGATATTGATCGGCACCGTGGTGACATCAAAATCGTTGATTTTATTAGCAGGATCATTGAGCATGTACAATCCCTTGTAATCCAGCGATTGCAGCTTTCTCAGAGGATTGGCAAAGCCTTCAAACTTACGCTTGCGGATTGTGGGATCAGGGATTTCAATTACGTTACGTTTACGAATCTCATCGCCTCGATCAATTAATTTTTTAACTTTTTCATTGATCAGTTGTTGAGCAGCCGTAGGTGCCAAGTTATGGCGCATCAAATGCTGGAGAAGCACCTTTTGTTGACGATCAACGTACTTTCTTGCTAACTTGAACTCCTCTTCCAGTTGGTAGTTTGATTGTAGTTTTTGGGTGGTATCATATGTTTCAACAGCTTTGATGATTTTCGTAGCAAATTGAGGCTTGCGTTTGAGCAAAATTATTAGTTGATTGAGGACACCACATAAAACTGGGACAACAATGACGTCAAGTTTGAGCGGGGACAATACCATGTCAACCAACATATTAGCCTCATACTCCATGTTTTGGTACTTTATGAGCAGATGATTAGGCGGTACATCGTTGAGCAGAAATGGTTTTGTGGAACCTTCTGAAGGGTTTATGACTGTAGTTTTCGACTGGTAATCGATGACAATAACAATGAACTTGAGTAGTTCAATTCGGGAACGAACATTACGAAAGTGGTCATGCTCAGAATTGTCACTCTTTTCCAACGGGAAACAAGTTGAGAACTTGTTAACTAAGTTGTTCTTGAGCTGGGTAAGGCGACTCCAGACATGATCGCAGCCATCGTTGGCGGCTACGTATTTGTAAACCATTCGGTAAACCACGCATGTGATGTCAATTACTTGACAAAAAATCCCGACATCGGGGACTTCTGCGAGGGCAATGAGAGTATCCAAAGTGTCGATTGCAAGGTCGACCAACACACTACGGTCAATATCATCATTACCGACGAATACATCGCGCAAGAACCTTACACACCACAGTTGGATGTTCAGGTTGTTGTTGGGAAGAAAGTTGAGGACTTGCTTGACGACTTGAGGAAAAGTGTGTGTATCGGCAAACGCTAATTTTCTTGCCTCCTCCAATTGCTTGAGAATGACATCGGTCAGGGGTACAGTGGGAGTCGCCCCCGCTGTCACCAGCGTTGCGGACATGATGGTTGTGTGGCCAGTTCACGACGCGCAGTGAAAAACAAGATAGTGATGGGGCGGATCTCATCGACGAATAATAAAGGAAAGCCTTTTCGTGATCAAACGATGATCAATCATGATATACGTATAGCAGTTGTGGATTGAATCGTGAAACTTGGAGTTTTATGTGAACATTATCTTTTAGACATAACTATCGTCCTAAGTCAAAGGAAGGCTGTAATTTAATCATGAGCCTAAGTAATAACAATGCTTAAGAAAGGCTTTAAGCTTTCAACCGCCACTAAGGGTTTCTAGCCCTATCTATATGAGGAAGTTATCAGTTCCATACATATGGATGGAAGGCCGATCCAGAAGTTCTGCTGGCTTATGCGTACCCCACTTACAAAAATTACACAATGAAAACTTCAACACATAGGTTCATAAGACTCTCGACTTTAACGAAATCAAAGATAAGTCAAGGGACACTTGCGTAATCCGTTTGAATTAACTAAAACCGACTTGAAATGCCAGGACACTTCGAGTCTGCTAAACCCATGAGACTTGACATTCGGTTGGGGACACCGTAGAGGCTGTGCGTCGTTCAGCTGGAATTCTCTTTGCCAGGGATGTACGTAGTTGGGCGTCCGTCAACATGAAACTTCGAAGCTGATTCCCGCAACTCGTCGCTCACAAGCATTGAGGCTTTGACTGTGTGCGTCGGGTAATTTGGGGAGATAAATATAGAGCTACATATAGCTTTTTTAAATATTATTATATACTTGATGTTTGATTAACGCTTATTCTATCGTACATGCACACATGGCGCTTGTCTTTGTTGCTGGGTTCGGCAAAACTGGTGACGTCGGGGAAGGTATTCCACCTGATGCAGTGTCTGCATCAACGGCTTTCAAAGCCGGCCCCCCACTCTCCCCCGCCCCTTTAAACTCTTTTTCCGGTGGTACACATTTATCCGGAACAATCACCCACAATGGATGCTCTTAATGTCTGGCGCTTACAATCGCGATTATTCCGAAAACAACTTTCACCCCTCCAAGGTTCCCAGAAGAGCTGGAGACAACGAGTAGTGCCGTTCATTCGTGTCTACCTGCCTCCAGTTGAGATCACAACGGATCTCAAACTATGAGATCTTGAGTGGCACCGATGTTTGTCTAAAGGCTTCTACATCGCACTAATAATGATTCAAAGGAACATATTATCTGCAACTGATTAGCGAACTATTTTTCCCGATCCCACAGCTAATGTCAACGAAATTATCACACGATGAGGGGCTTGCTATTGCATCGAGCTGGTCTATTCGCAGTAATTGCAGATACGACGGGACAAAGTTGAAATACAGCTATTTGTGTATTATGTTAGATCTCTTGGTCTGCCTGGAAGTCTTATCTCCTTTGGACGTGTAACCCCGCTAGTCGCACTGGGAGCCGTTGCAGTAGATTCTAACGCGACGACCGCGAACCTCACCAGCCAATGTCTGTATCCGACCTAGCCCAGGTTGTGGTTAGGGCCACCGATAGGCGGATCCCTCCTAAAGTGTTTATTTCGTTGGTGTCGCAGATCACCCGTCGTCGATCGGTGCTGGACGCCGAGGTGGAAGCGTCAATGCTCGAAATCGCCAGTGAGGACGCCGACACTCAGGTGAAGCTTGTACTCGAATGGGCCTTCAGTGATGGCAACAGGCTCGCACAAATTTTCCGATGTTTACCGCAGATCCCATGGCTGTCTCAAACTCATTATCTTCGAGCACTTCCCAACAGCGTACCCCTGTCTGCCAAATTCACCTTTCTCAATGAAATATATCCACAATACTTGAAAGCAGTGGTGGACCGTCTACAAACGACAGCAAATATTTCAGAAACTGACAAATTCTTGATTACATTGGTGTTCGTCACTGACATCTTTTATTCTAGAGATGGAATTGCACCGTCAGGGGACTTGGCGACAAAATTGAGAGATCTTGGCTACAAACTTGTGACCTACGCCGACAAGCATGATCTTCGTGAAGTGGCTACTATGATCAACCTGTTCCTACATCGTCAGTTGGGAAAATCCTCGTCTGCTGATCCATTTACACCTAACTCTCTGGGATCGTCCCTGGTAACAAAGACGAGCAAGGGGTCACTGATATTCAAAATGAGCCCTGAGCGTCAGTTACGGCGCTATCGTTCTAGCAGCTTTTATTGGTTTCTAATCAATATGAAACAAGTACGAACAACCACCACTCCACAGGGGTTTCTCCAAGAGTACTTGAATCAATTCATTGATCCTCTGCGCCATAAAGATGGTACCTACATTGCCTCCGAGCTTATTAGGTCAAACTTCGTTGGCATCCTGTTTTGCATCCTCAATAATGAAAGCCGTTATCTGATATTCAATTGGAAAAATTTCATCACACTGAGACTCCCCAAAATCTTGGCTTTACTATCAGTCGACCTGTTGGAACCGATTATCATACTGGTATTCTCTCGATTAGGTGAGCCAGCCCTGAGTGTATTAGGTTCAATGGTCATTGGTAAAGCACGTCAATATGATTTACGGCAAGCTTTTGTGAAGGGTTGTGTGTTATCGAAGTTATTGCTGATCCATCTGTTTCAAAAGATATTTCCTTTGGAAAAAAACCAGAGTCTAGTGTCTGAACTTGGGCAGACAAACGTTGACTTTGATTTTAACGCCAAGTTCAATGAGACTTTATTGCAAACCAACCCGGAATTCACTCTGCTTGAAGAGCTGGGTCTCTTTGAATTCATGGACTCATTGGTTGTCCCATTGGAATTTCTGGTTTCTCGTCAACTCGATTTCAGCAATACTGTCCTTCGAGTAACTGACGAATTGATTGAGAAGAGAGACAACGCACGCTTATTCCGGTTACTCGTACTGTTGTTTCACAACATCAATGTGCTCAATTTGGTTGTATACAATGTTACCCCACGAGCATTGATCAATAAGCTTATTGATTATCTTGATCGGGACTCTTTCAACTTCGAAGATGAAGAGAACTTCCAGGAGCATTACCTGTACTTTGGTGTCATTCTTGTTGCAGTGATTGCTATGGTGGAATTGTTTCATTTGGATATGAGTCATTTCGTTGTTAAGGGATCATTCGTGATGGATTACCTTAACAATTTTTATTTTCGACTTTGCGATAATATGCTGGATCGGATTGCCGTCGCAAAACCGGACGAGGATGACCAGATCATCTTGACAAACTATAACCAGTTGTTCAATAATTGGGTGAACGCTCTTTTCGATGATAGTAATGATGGGTTGCTGGATGATCTCATTAAAAGTATACTGGTGAAACAAATCTATCAATTGATCCCAGTATTGTATCAACAAGCCATCATTGCTGGCCATACTGGCCAACTAACTTTTGCGGTATTAAACAATGGCATAGACTATTTGTCACAAGGCTTTTTGATACCCGCAACTGTATCTATTATTAATTGGTTGCTCAAGATGATAACGCTTGATGGCAATAATGATCTGTTATACATTGATGTGCTCAACGCTCTTTTCCAAAGTAATATGCAAGATGTTGACACACTGAAGCACATATTCAAGTTGGTTATAACCGTTACCGGATCTAACGTTTTGCAAACACTTAAGTTAGTGGCGGATTGGGAGAAGCTGAATAAGATCAAGGATCTAATCAACTCAATTACTCAGTATCTCGATTTGAGTTACATTGACAACCATCTCAGCTTTAAGCAGGAGATTGAGACGGGGAGCATTCTTGCTCAACAGTTTCGCAATTTGATGATGTATACGATGATTAATGATACTATGAGTTTGGTGCCTTTGAATATCACATTCATTTGGACTTACCTCGAGACTAACAGTACTGCAATTGTGGAAACTATGGTTGATGAAATGGCATTGTTTTTGAAAAACAACAGCGACGACTCGAAAACATATATCAACGTTGGTAGCTACTTGTTGGTTGTGACTTCAGTATATCTGGTGGAAGATAAAGAGCATTGGCTTGAGGTGCTTCTGCTGCCTCCTCCCCGAAAAGCTGATGCCGTGAAAAGCGAGATTGAGTCTACTCATGTAAATAAGAGTAGATTCTCACTTGAAATGGATCGACACTATTCGCTGATTTTCAACGAGAAGAAAACTGATGATGACATGTTTGACATGATGGAAGATGATGGTTTGTTCAATGAGCTGAAGAAGCGGATTCCCACGCTGGAATGTTTGACCAAACTACAGAAGCTTCGCCAACGCCAAGTTAATGCGATGGCTGCAATTCAAGAGATGCGGATACAAGCACTGCCAGATGATGGAAACTTCAAGGCCTTGGGGTTGTTTGTGGAACGTGTGATAGATCAGTTGAACAATTTCTACATTTAGGAACACCTTTAATCTATAATGAACCTTAAAATAACTACCATATTAATTACAAGTAACCGCTTTGGGTTTCTTGTTTGCTTGTTCTTCTTCAGCTTCACGGGCCCGTTTCCGCGCGACAGCTGCCTCTTGCTCTTGCTTTTTGATGATATCACCACGATCAGGGTCGCCTGGTTTCCGACTGAGGGCATACTTCATTTCATCAGGACGCTCCTTATTGATAAAGTCAGTATACTCCTCTTGCGTCAACACGAGCTGTTTCTGACAATCCTTGACCAAAAACTTGTTGACGAGATCAGAATCATCGTCCTTCATCTCATCGGCGACCTTGTGAAAATCTTCCAAGGTTCGCAGATGAGCAAACTTCATATAGTACTTCAGTTTTCCGGGGACCAAATTGAGTATCATGAATTTAATATTGGCCAAATTCTCGGGCTGAAATTTAGTGCACAAATCTAGGAATTCAAGTACCGTTTTTTTGGCATTTTGGGGCGTAGCCGAAAACACCAGTGGGTTGCATTCCGCTGCTTCAGCAATCATTCCTCCGATTTCCTCATCATTGAGAACCTTTCTCATGTTCAAAATATCAGTTCGACTTTGCAAATTGCCATTGATTACCACTGATATACCTTTGGATTTGACCAAAGGAATGAGAGTCGGCAAATACATCCATCGAGGGTCTTGGCGGTTCCGCATGTCTCTGGTACGACAATGGATCGTTAAGTTGGTGATACCTGTGGCGCAGATTTGTTCCACTAAGCTTGTCGTGCTTTCCAAAGTATCCAACATACGAATTTTGCACAGAATGGGTTTGTTCTTGGGCTTGCCGACTTTTTCGACAAGAGCTTTAAGAATCAGACAAAGCAAATCAGGCGTGGAAAGAAGAGCGGCACCCATCCCCGCGTGAGTAGAGAATGGCTTGGGACAACCACAATTGAGATCGATGCCATCGACGTCATCGATTACTTTAAGAGCCGCATCGACCGCCACGGTAGGGTCTGCCAGCCCGAGTTGAAAAATGAGATTACCACGTTCATGAGCATGCGACGTCCGGAAAACCACCAGCCGCTTGACCGAATCGCCGTGCTTTTTCAGTTTGATAGGTTGGTCGATGACATAGTCGACGGTGTTAAGCTGAGAGTTGACAATGCGAGTGGTTTGCACGATTTTCTTATCGATGATTTCGGGAGACCACACCAAATCACAGCCATGAGCTAATGACATAAGCCTGGTGGGGAGTTCCCCCAGCCGGACCATCGGCGCTAGGCACACTTTTCCCACGAAGTTCACCATTAGTCGAGTCAGCGATGGCCGGGTTGATAGTTGTATGCAGGTGTATGAGGATGTGGCCAGGACATCAAAAATCTAGTGAAAAATGAGGTCGTGAGGGGTTCAAAAGAAATCCGCGATAAAAAGTAATTCCGTGCGGATATTGGGACGAAAAGAAAGTCGGTTGCGTTAGCAAATTACGAAAATGTTGGCCTTCGCTGGGATTGGCCAGATCTATAAATATCGTAGTGCTAGGGGTTGGGTGTTTTTCAATTTTGAAAGTAATCATCTAAACATTTTAGTGATGTCTTGACGTATTCTCAACGTTGTTAAGCTTCTGCTACTCGTCGATTTGACTCCAACTGCACCGTGTGATTGCCGTCAAAATCACCGGCGGTATCACTTCTTTTGGGATATTTTAGCAAACTTGTCTGCACTATGGAACTGATCTCTTGCCACGGCACTCGTATCCAATAAACTGTCTACAAGGCTTCGGTAATTAGTTATCTATCGGCCGAAAAGGTGAAATACACGCCATCTCTGGTGCGTACAAGTATAGTAATTGTGGAGGCTAGAGGCCTTCAACCCCCTAGGGCAGTTGTGGCACTTCATTGTCTTTGACTTTGCTCCTTTCTTTAAAACAAGTACGGCGCCAGTAAAATGACAAGTTACCGGTTCAGCCACATTATGTTGACATTGACGACTTAACGGCATGGTGACACATAAATCCGGTAAGTCATTCATGTGTCGAAATCACGATGCGTGGACGGGCCGGCTGTAATGACCTTATAGCAATGTCTCATTGGCTACATTGCTTCGGCCGACATTGACAAGACGTTGCTTGGACATGTAATACCTGACTACATTCTTGGCTGCCTGATGTGTACACGCGGCGGCTGAGTGTCATTTCCCGTCACGCGATGACCCCCCATCAAAGTTTTCGGCGACGGTGCAGCGATATGAAACGGCGATAACACCACTGATCCCAGTAAGCTTATCGATCACGAATAGGCCTGGTCAATTACATATCAATTCATCAGTTTTACTTCAATGGCTCTTCGATTAGTTGTGACTGCTTATCCATTAGAACACGCCGCGTTGTGGAGTTCCTTTCCGCTCCTGCATAATACCTGCGTGCATTATCGCATCACATGGTCGGCGTTGGTGATGTTAAGGAAAAATCGTTGCTTCCAGGCCGAAAGTTATACATGATACCTTAAGATAAAATTTTTCTGCTATCTCGTTTACTTTGACATGTTAATATTTGTTATCATTTCGTTGACGAGGTCACTATTGTATGCGTGCCTTGTCCCTTTGGGTCACGTGATATGAATGACTTCAAACCAAAAAAAAAAAAAAACTCTGACATGTTCCGAAGACATCGATAGAAATTTGTAGAGAAATCGAAGGAACTTAATAATGACAAGAGATATATGGGTCATAGTACCAGTAAATTTGGCTTAATAAGGATTATACAAGGGTGATACGCGTAGGGTCTGGAATCGTATTCACGCCTTGCCCTTTTCTTTTTTCTGGAACAAGTTGAATCTGCGTGCGCGATAAGATGACAGCCGGCGGAGAAACAAACATTTGATCTGGGTCGGCAATTATGTTTGGGTGTAGAATGAGCTTGCAATAACGCCAGATGAGGCATCAGGTTTTGTATTGTAGCTAAAACTCGGTTTCCGAGGCGACTTTTGTCCGGTCAGCCGAAACAGAAACAGCTTCGACCGAGAAAAAATATTTTCAAAAAAAGAAATACCATGCAGTTCAATTTTATAAAAGGTGAAGACGAAGCTCCACCCCACAATTTGCCCTAACCTTTGTTATCAGAATACCCACATGTCATTATATCATCCAAGTCTGAGATCAATGAGTCATCGAGTCAGTTGTATGACTCCCCATGATGACGGTGCTTCCGTCCCGACCAAAGAAATGGGTAAGCCCTTCAGAATGCCCGTGCTGACGCCGCCATTACTGTTTCCTTCGCCGCCTCTTTCGCCTTATCAACACTCTATGGCGGTCGTCTTACACCAGCTGGAAGATGAGGTGAAGTCTTACTTGAACCCGACCCGCAGATTCCCCGTAGAGAACCATCAAAATTACTCTCTCACAATCAATGCGTGGTCCAACTTACTGCTGCTGTACAAGCTGAACACTCGTCTGTTTTTAAACCAGTACACCCTCCGGTCTCTGGCTTTGGAAACGCCACGTCGTTACGCTAAGCGCCGGTTGGTTGCTCAAGCTATTGGCACCCCCACCACCACCGATGTCTCTGACACTGATGCCAGCGACACCGGCTCCGGTATGCGTACCAGACGTGGGACGAAGCGGTCGGCAGCGGTGGCCAGCGCTACCCCGACTCCCGATGAGCTCGAAATGGTGACGCCGAGAAAAAAGAAAACGAAGCCAGCTCCTCTGTTGGCTTTGCAACAGCAAGCGTTGATTGATGAGTCCATTCCTGACTACTCTCCTGATGCGTTTGCGACGTTGCCCGCTAACAACACTAAGTGCCTTAAGATCGAGTGGAAGGGGCAACCGATGGACTTGTCCTTGGACGCGAACCTCAACAAGTTGCACCCCGCAGAGGCGGTTTTAGCGCTGATCTTGCGGTTGCCTGTTTTTGTGTACTTGGATTCAAAGCGCCGTATGTTTTTCGAAAAGGTACAGCGGATGAAGCATGGCAAGCAATTCCGTCGTACCGACGCGCAAAAGGCTTGCCGGATCGACGTCAACAAAGCTCTGCGGTTGTTCGCCGCTTTTGAAAAGGTAGGATGGCTCAATGATGAACTTTTCACCAAATACTTGTGAACTGGGAACAATCTGGAATTAATTGGACACTGGGATTGGAAATGGATATGATAAATTTTTGTTGCTGGGATCTTCACTTCGTCAGACTGGTATGTCGATAGAATTAAATATATTTGTTTGGAACCACCACATTGTAGACTTCACTTCATTTTTTGAGTAAATCCTCATTCCAATTTGAAGACATTATGATTCCGTAATGCTTTGTTGTCGTGACAGTTTGTGGACTCTCGATTATCCTTTAGACTTTGGGTAGATACCCCCTTAACCTCAAGGTTGATTCAGCGTAATCGCCCACTGGAAGTGAAGGAAACCCAACCAAAGTGTTTCAAGTCATATCTTGACTGGTTGCAGAATTTTTAAGTACCAAATTGGTGTGAAGCAATCACGAATAGCTCATGGCGCATTGGGAGTGGTGGTGGAGAAGTGTAATTGTCGGCAAGTGCGGAACGCCACCCATATATTCTAGCGGGTGCGCACTGTGTGGGGAAGACATAGACCAATGAAAGGCTGTTAGTAGAGCGCTCAAATGATGTGAAATGTAATTTGGAATTTACATTGACGGGCCGAAACCAGTTTCTATCAATATAGGTAATGATGTTTTTCTATTATTATAGACCCAAATATCATACAACGTCTCGATCGAATGCTAACAGTTTGAATTCGACCCATACTACAGGAGGCATGCAAAATCGTTTTTTGGGGGATGACTGGTGCTAATCCTCGATGGCAGTGGGGCTGCTATGGGGGCGATATATGTAGAACTGGGCGAAAATGATTGAGTCCTCAAAGATCGTTCCCAACAGCCCTAGCAACCATGGCATGTTCAACCACACGTACTGGGCGTCACTGCGATAAAACAAGATTTGGCCCGCATAAGTAAGATTCCCCAACGTCGATAAAAGGAAGAAAAGTAACAGTAAACCCTGCACCGAGCGGCGCCGGTGATTCTGAATTATTTGGGGAATGCGAGCACCCAAATAGAGAATGGCCAGGATGTACCCCATAACCTGGGGCCCCACGCTGATAGGAGCGGGGTCGGTGACGCCAGGATCAGCGTCGTTGCTCATGTAGTAGCCAAATACCCCGGCGCCCATCACGAAAAGAATTGGCACGATATACTTGGTGAAAATGGAGTGGGCTTGCGGATCGATGGCGATGTCGGTAAGCGTCAGCGACCGTCTCCGAGGACGGGTGCCCTGGATCAACGGCTCCAGCTCGCTCGATCCCAGCCGTAAATGAGAGCGAGGGTGGTGTTTGGGGTATATGTAGGTGTAGTACACCCACAGGGCAACCATCAACGTGTCGGCGATACAGAACCACACGGCAAGGAAAATGACTTCGGGAAGCAAATGAGCCCATACTGCCCCGATCAAGTTGAATACATCTCCCGTGGTCCAGATGCTGATGAAGCCAATCGCGATCCCGTCCGCCAGCTTGAGCCGCCATTGCTCGATAAGCTGCGGTACAAGGAGGACGATCCAGCACGCAAGCGACATGCTGCCCAAAATCCCCAGCACCTGGAGCCGCCAGGGCGCCAGGGGGGTGTGCTCAGACACTGCCAACACAAGTGCGCCAAGCATGTCGTCGAAAGCGATCGTTCCCGGTCGACGAAAAAAAACCGTGCGATATTGGTAACGCGTCGCCAGCGCCATATTAGTCACAATGAGGCAACAAAAGATTCTACTCAACAACAATAATTTACCCAAGCTGTTCTACGGCTTCCTCGAGACCACCTTTTAAGTGGAGGCAAGCAGATGTAGAGAATTGTGGGGTACGCCGTCCCAAGAAGGAAAAGCGTTAGCCGCGGTGGTGTGCTAGGAAGGTGCCAGGCAGAGAGAGGTCACGGCGGTAAGAGCCAACTGCCTACTGCATACAAGCAAAGGGCACCCGCACATGGGATAAGGGCTAGAATTAGGCGTACGGCTCTCTCTGAGGCACACAGTGAACAGAATCAATAATAAGAAGAAAAGGGGCTGAAATTCTTACAATAGCGGCTCCTGTGCATGGAATCAAATATGACGTGCATCGCTTAGAATCGCTCTTGAGGCGACGGGGTATCATAATACTTGGGTGAAGCAATACGTTGAACGAAGGTGGGTACCTGAGCTCGTCATCACAGTGGCATCGTTACGGAGGGCCTCCTCAAAGTTGCATCCTTTGTCGTTTAGTGGTAAGACGTGTTTGCTGGGCAGCGGGGCTAGTTTCACAACTCCGCAATAGCGTCGATTAGACTGACTTTGCTTTACTACACAGATCGAAGGTGGCCGAGGAAGCTTCCGTCGTGCTCATGGACCCCTTCCCAGAATGTTCAAAGCAATCCCTAGAGTGGTATTGCCCTCTCATCATCGTTTTGTACAGCAAACTCAGATCCTCATCCCTACCGCATTAGGCAGGAGGAGGCCCCGATACAGTGAACGAAGGCCCGACATTGAAGATAGCATGTTATCCTCAACGACGGTTCACAACGCAATTGATGCATTCGCTTATATGAAAATTCCCGCATGGCATTGTGATATTACAAGACAGCAAAATATTGCTCATATCTACTTCATTTGTCAAAACCAGCTTACGATGTTCGGGTTTCAACTAGCAACTTAAGGTCTACAGGCTAACGGTCTCCCCAATAGCGCATAGGCACCGATGCTAGTGAAATCTAAGAGAAATGGATTCATGGTTTGATCACTTGACCAAAAAGCAAGGGAAGATGCACCGTTCACTGTTTTCTTAACCCGCTCTGCCTGTTTCCCCTCAAATTCGCAAAGGGGTAATGGGTATCCTGCGGCTCATAATTTCACAAAACGATTGTGTAACTTTCGTGCATGAGGCTAACAGATTTTCCAGGGTTCAGGGGCAGACTTAACCCCTGTCGCTTATCAGTGCGATTTAGCGGAGCTGCCTCAATTTCCACGTGGCGGGAAAGAGTTGCCATGGCGAACCCGGACAGCCACCCATCGAAGTTACGCCACCGCCGACAACGTCGTGCTTAACCATCAACCTATCATTCAAGCAGTCATTCGGATGCGGAAGTGGAGATAAGTGAGCCAAACCTCGACTTTTTTTCCGTACATGCCGAGGGTAATAGCATATCCATGAGGTTTTTTTATTCGTGACGAGTTGATTGTGTACTATTAACATAATACTTAACCTCCAAAGTTGCCTTCAGTAAGTTGAGCATGAATTTTAAGTACGGGTTCCGCCCATTAGTAGTTGCGTTAATATCTTCACTTACTATGGTTGTAAGTTGCAACCCAAAGATAGTACAAAATCTGCCGTAATCGAGTCTAGACATCGCTATCGACTTCACAACTCAACATTGTTTACGCTATTGTGTTGCCACTGCGCAGCAGGTCCACTTCAAGGTTGTAATGTGGTGAAATTCATCCCTTACGTTATGACTCCGCATCTGACTATCTTCCCTAGTCGATAACTCGGAACCACTAGCGCAGAACCAATCCTGTTTAGTAGAATCGATTTCCCAGTTTGTAGAAATTGGGGCCTAATTTGAAAAGGATCACACAGCGATGAGATGAACGAACATCGCCGGGCCCGAGGGCGATAAGTATGGTTTTGTGGTCCTCATATTCATGCTGACCTCGTTTGGCGCTAGGCCTGTCTACGACTTGCTCGTTTGGAGCGTCAAAACTTACACCGAATTGTTCGACTCCCCTCCTCCCACAAATATCGTAGGCGGTTTAGTCGCCACAACATTAGCATCCGGTGCATGAACCTAGAAATGTCACAGTCATTTGTGAGGGAAGGTACCCGTAATCTCATTGCCGTATTGAGCGTCAACTCCGAAGTTCGGGGTCATAACCATAATTACGTTCGCCTCGACATGAAGCAACCGGTCTTCGGTTACCGTAAACCTGCGACTGAACGAGAAGCGCCCCTTGCTGCAGTTACCGCTGTCCTGTCCCACCACCCAGACATAAAGCATAATTAGCAATTCGAGTCAGATTCACAGGTTTTGTGAGAGGAAATCGGGACCCTCTGCCCAATCCGCTCGCTTTCACCTTCATCGCAATCGAAAGTAGCCTTAAGGGGTAACTCGCTTACCCGATTGAGTCAGTAACCAGGGGTGAGGCTGGGAAAAATAAAACAAAGCTCAACAATTGTTCAAAGTTTATTTGCCGCACAAGGCAACTATCGAAGTAAGGAGGGTCAGGCACTCCAAGCTGTGCCCCTGGGTAACGTTCCAGGGCCAAACACGGCCAGCTCAAGTGTTAAGGCGGCACTTGAAATTAGGTCACGGACATAAGGTTCTACTGTGAGAATAATGTAACATGTACGGATGACAATATCAGCTATACTATAGCAATTCATAGTGGCTTGAAGCCATAGTTTAGATAAATCTATTCATCGGAAAGTCCCGACTAACCTTAGCAGTTAGGGTGAAATTACTTGCGCTTGTCTCTATATAAGGTCCGATTGCGTTTTAGCAGGGCTCAGACGGGAGACGTCGCTTTTAACTCTCACCTGAATTTCAAGATACTTTGTTTTTAATTCCTCATGCTCGGAGTTGTGCGATTTGTGCGTGTGGAGCTAACTCCGTCATGAGTAGTTAGAGTTAGATCGAGAGGAATGTGACAACCAATATAGCTAGCGTCACGAACATGATGATGTTAAAAACGACGGTAGTAAACCAAAGAAAGTGAAAAAAAAAAAAAAAAAAAGGTACAAAGCCTGGCANTACCTCATCTTCTTCAACTGTAATGGTTGCGACCGAGAGCCCTGCATAATACGTACAGAGACACGCCAAAAGTCGAGCCATCCGAATATAGCAGCGTGGTTTGTGAAGGATATTAGGTTCGTAGTGAAGAACCTAAAAACGACCGCGATGCCAAGCCTAGCGTTTCTGTGATCGAACCACCCGTGACTGCGCTATCGTCAACAAGAGATATTTTGACAATGAGGCTTCCAACCCTTCCCGCCCCATCGATCTTGGGGGCAGGAATATGGGTCGACAAAGTCACAAACGCTGTAGAGATCTCATCATATTACAGTCAACACAAAACGCTACAGTAGCCAGTTAAGCTCGTCGGGCCCACCAACAAGAAAAATTGGTGGATTTTGACCTATTCGGGGACCGTGTCTGGGTGAAAAACAATTGGCAGGCGATCAAGATTAGTGGGAGGCGATGGCGACTTGTGTATCTCGGGTTCCGAGGATGCCGAAGTCGCCATTGACCAGCCAGGTGGTCAGATTACATGGTAGCGCCGGGAAATATCTATTATGATGATGAACGTAAGCTATATGGTAGCAGCGACCTTACAAGTCCTTTTCTCTGGGGGTGTAGTCAACGTTGGGCAACACCTTAGCTTGTCTCTTGTGGCCGGCCCAGCTGAACAAGCCTTCCTTGTCGTAGGCGTAGAGGGCGAGACCGACGGGGACGACGCCCCAGAAGACGACATTGAACCAGGCGGACTTGGGGCGGAAACGGAAGAAGTCACCCAGCTTTTGCTTGTAGAAGTTGAATCTCTCTAACTCAGGATCGGGTCTGATGGTGTTAGCCATGGTCGCGGGTTGTATTCGTGGGTGCGTGATTGGTCGCAAAATTTTAGTGCGACGATTGCAGCACGGGTGTAACAAAAAATCGAAATCTGTGGAGGTTAACACAAACCGTGATTACTAACAGCTATTAGGGGTTAAAGAAGAAGACACGTGTCGATTAAGCTAATTCACCAATCCATTAGTAATTGGGGTGATTCAGGGGTTGATGTGTACTCAGGTTAAGGGCGAACGCCATCTGGCTCAATCGCGGGGGAAGGGGCAGATGAACCGCTCATTTCTTTTACAAGCTGGGAGGATTATTCCCACCTGCACATAAGCCAAGGGAGAAGTGATGTGGGTCTAAAAATAATTTTCTTGGGGACCAAGTGCGCCTCGGTGGTATTGGCTATATCCGCACAAGGTTTGCCGGCTCGGAGCCATGGGGGTCAACCTTAATCGCCATGGTAGCCATTCTCCATTTAGATAAAGCAAGCACAGCAAGCGGTGGGCCCATGACGTGATGGCAATGGCAGCAAGTGTTCTCGCAAGAATGCTCAATATTGATCGTGTTTTTTTCAAGGTACAGGCTAAGCGAGAACAATTGATAGACGAGACCCCGGTTAAGCGAGAATCGGCATTGTGAAAGTTTTTATGAGCGTGGAAAAAGGGGTCATGCCAAATGAGTTCGGGTCGATAACACCAGAGATTCCGTGCCGAATTACAATTGAAAGACGCGTTCATCGAGATATTGGAACTGTGTTGTTGCCGATGTTTACATTATGGCATTTCGTGGCATCGCGAGTCTGTGGCGCAATCATTTTTCCTCTGTCAGTGAATCATTCTCTTTGGAAACACACTGGCTTAGCGGGATGATAAGCAGACAAACCAGCAATGGTACCACGCGCAAATTTTACTATGTAAGTTGCCAATGTATTGTCATGTAATTCGACGCACCCACATGCTATGGATGAACCGGCTCCTGCGCGAGTCTCATTTCCAGACCCGCGAATGTGTTAGCACGCGTATTTGCAGCAAACGCCGAGTGTAATTCCAGTAAAGGAGACGGGTTATTAGGTGCTTACGAAGGGATCTGTAGGTATCGTTTAATCGTATCTATCATAACCAAAATCCATAATCCAAAAAAATGCCTGTCTACGGTTGTGTCCATGAGTGAAATGAAGGAATGAATGCAAATAAATGGGGTGGGAACACAACCAATAGAAAAGGCAAATTACACATTGAGTTGAAACTCGATGAGCCCGGCCTTCATCAGCTTGAGCGAACGGTGACCCACATTCTTAGTGTTGAAGTGGGGGTGAGGAGGCTCCACCGGCAGCTGCACTCCTCCATCTTCACCGGCGTTTTCGTACACGAACGAGTAGGTGTTGGCGGTGAAGATGGGGAACTTGATCAGGCATTCCGAAAACAGAAGCAGCTTACCCTTCTTCAGTCTCGGGGTTTGCATGCTCACAGAAAAGATCAGTTGTTCCAGTTGGCGCAATTGCTTCTTCAGCACTCTGTTAGGCGGCAGAGACAGACGTCTCTTCGATTTTTTAGTGTGCGAAGCAGCGGCCATCGGAACAGCGAATTCAAATTGCGACAGCTGGGGCGCGGATTCAATGGTGTGGGAAATAGGGGGAGTAGTCATGATGGTGTTCATGGGCATGTGGGGTTCGGGTTGCGGCTGAGGAATGGGCAGCAGCATCGCTTCCATCACCGAAAGTTCCAAATCCAACATGAGATCGGGGGCGTCCACGTAGGAGTTGCTGGTGGAGATGTCAAGATCGAAGTCGCTCAGCGACAACACGTCTTCGGCCAGCACCATAGGCGCCTCTCTGGGGGCGGTGGTGGGCAGAATCATGTCAATCAGCAGCGTCATCGAGGAATTGGCACCGCTCAAGTCAAACACTTCGTTGTAGGTGGTGTAGTTGTTGTTCAGACTGAACAATTCATCGTCCATCGTCACCCCGAGCCCCACAAGCTCTTGTTGAGGCGCCGGAGGAGCATAATTTTGCGGGCATTCGTAGCCAAAGGGCATAGGGTGCTTCCCCGTCGGGGTGACGGGAGTCATCATATAAGGGGGGTAGGCACAGTGTCCACGGTCAGTGGTAACAGCGTCAGATGAGTAGTACATATGGAAGCGAGTGGAGAAGTGATAGCAGAACCAAAGTGGTGGGGTCCCCTGAATATATATTGGGGGAAAAAGTGGGTGCCTGGAGACAGTACTTATTTTTTCACCAGAATAACCCTCGTTAGGCGGGATGGCAAGGACGGGCGCCGACGCCTAAACACCAATATTTTTCACATGAGTACTGCGCTGCCGTTTATATTTTTTCGTATCTCACGTTACGAAAAAAATAAATGTTTGTTGCACCGTGGCTAACACCCGCAATGCAAAAGAATTATCCGAACGCAGGTCTCAAAAAATAATTGCCATGACAAAAAAAATTGTAACCGAAGGCGCCGTGCAACAGATTTACAGGCGGAGATACACCACACGTTCGCCATCCCTTACTTGGCCATGGGAGGGGAAAATTTGGTGGAGGAACCGCAGGGAATCGCAAGATAAGCGTCGCCGCATCCCCTATTTCATCGTCGACGCTGTGGAATCCTCTGTGCGTCGACCTAGCCAGGGAGCAATCCCAGGTTTAGTGGCATCAAGGTGAGGTTTAGGTGGCCAACCCAGATGTTCGTTGTCCCAGGGATCGGCCGGGCCCATTTGGTCTGGCTTGATGGAGCGATCATTGTCTTGGTAGGGTTTGCTAACGAGCACCGAATAGGAAAGCAACTTACTCGATAGGGGGGTGCCAACTGTGAGGCGGTAATAGAGGTCTGTAGCACCGGACATTACCTCACCTGACGAAGGGTTTCCGGCCGAGCTAGGCACGCCGCTAATGTCGGACACTCTGGCGCCCTTAATTTAGTAACAATGGAGGGTGTTGGTGAAAGTGGCAAAACAGGAGGCGAGCAACAAACCAGGTGATTATTCTCTGACACTCCCTGTGTTTCCATTCGCTTGTGAGACATCCCCGCTGAGCAATTTAGGGAAAGTGGTTACTCGCGCACAATGTCAATATTTGACCTTCACCCCGGCTAGGGTAAACAAGGCGCGCCGAGACGTTACCCACCATTCATATACACCAGCGGTGGTGATGGCTCCCAGGGGCACCGCATCGTAAGATTCACCTCAAACGTAGCCCAGCGCCGCCTCAGAAGTGTAATCTGGCTCGTCAATTTAGCTTCCCAGGGTCTCCGGAAGCGTCAGCACAACGGAATGCGCAAGGCACCAGGCACCGAGATGCTAATGGTCCACTAGACAGGGTCTGGCTGTCAACATTCCGTAGTGACCGTTGGACGTAATTGATACTGTAGCCGCCGTGAGCTTCGTCCGGGTGGTGGTTGACCGTCGCTGGGACCGCATTCGCCGCAATTGGTGACAACACTACTCAGCATTAGCCACACTGCGTTTCACCTAGGGTCGGCCTGAGGCGGCCCCTGCTCGGAGCCAGTAGCCCTCGTGGCAGCTACGGGCGCTCCCGAACCCTATGTGGTTCGTGGTTTAGGGGCGGTCTCGGCGTAAACTGAACCTAATTAGGGGCTCCAGGCGGGTGCCGTGGTGCCATTGCGTGTCATGGGACAGCTTAAACAACCGCTTGAGGATAGCAGGGGCGTATTCGCCTGCGCATCTTTTAACCCGATCCAGGGGCGGAATCCGTTGACGCCAATCACTTGAGAAGATTGGCGTCAGTGGCAACGTGATTGACCGCCACCTCGTAAGCGGCACCCGTCTTTGCTAACCACGCTGAGGCGCCCATGGCGGACTAAGGCAGGTTTTTGCGAAATGAGGTGCTGCGGTGAATCTCGGAAACCCACCCACGAGTCAATCTTCCCTTACATGACTTCATCTTTCCTCGGCTCGTAGCGGGCGGAGCGGTTTGGGCAAGAGCATTACCCGACTCGTCCGCCGCCAAACACAGCACTTGCCCTATTTGAAACCGGGGGCGATTGTCTGCATGGAGCCCACAACACAGCGGTATCTTTCTCAAAACGAGAGGGCAGTGGGGTCAGCAGCTTTGGGCTATCTGGAGTAGCGGGGATAGGGGTGGTTGGGTACCATTGGGCTCGTAAGCTTTGTTGGTTTATGGTATGGATTGGTCGCTCTCGCGCGCTCGGATTGAGGGCTGGCTATGGCGACGACTGAGACCCCGCGGCGCGACACGCGACCGCGACTGGGGTGCAACCGCCAACTGGGGCCCCAAAAACGCCGCCACGGACGTGTGGGGTGTCTACGCCTGGCGTGTGTCGCCCCAGGGGTCCGCTTTGTCCACCGCCCAACCGAACAGGGGTCGCGTCGCCGCCAGGCCGCCCGGCGCCCGCAGCCGTCGTTGACGAAGCACGCGGGGCGCGCCTTAGCCCGACGCACACCTCGTAAGTTTGGCGAAGGCTGCCAACGGCGGGATACGGGGCTAAAACCCATTATTAGTTGCGCTCTCATTCCGATCCCCCCAACGATTAGAGGACGGGGAATGGGCGCCATCTCCAAGCAGGTACCCCCCGCTTAGGTGACGCTGATGGAGTTAGATTAGATTAATCCGGGTAGAGGCACCCGCTGGTGGCCACGCTGGCGAAGCCTCCCCCACCGGGGACGCCCGCCCTTCCCCTAACCCGCCTGGGGTGACCGCTGAGAGGCCGTCGTCTAGGTGCTGCACCACCAAGCCTTATCGCACCTGCGATCGGAGTTATAGGCGTCAGCGCCGTAGCGCGAACACCCCCCGCCCCCAGCAGCGCTGTGGCCACACCTAAATGACAGCAACCACCGCCGAGAACAGGTGGCCAGGGCCTACAAATGGCCACGGGCGCCGCACGCTTTGCTATGTGGCGCCGGTTATCGCTCCGGGACAACGCTGTCCCGACGATAGAGGCTTGAGCCGGTTCGGCGGTGACCGAAACGTCTAGGGGGAGCCGTCGCCTGATTCGGGGTCGTTTGCCACTTGCGGGCATTTTTTCGCTCGCCGTTATCACTAGGGGGACTAGACTCAGAGCCACCCTCGCTGATAAGCCCCTTTTCCCTTCGCACCCGTGTTCCTTGCCCCCAAAAATATTTGGTGGTGCCTCTACATCCGAAGGTGACACAAAACGTAGCCAGTCTCAGGATGCCAAGGGAAAAAACAGACGAGCCCCTGTTCGGCAAATCCGCACCTCCTCTGCTGACAGCGCTAGGCCTTCCCTTCTAGGCAATGGCCCCGGCACCACCACCATCTGGGTTAAGGTTTTCCATTCCGATCCCCACGGGCCGCCGATCGGGGGCTAAATCGGTTTACGGGTAACCTGAAGGAACGCTTCGGCGAAGGCGGACCCGACTCGCTCGGGTCTAGGCCTACAGCGTTTAGTTAGCACTAGTGCCGCTAAACACGCTAGCTAACGATTACACATGTACCCGGGGTCGCCTGAGGCAGACCACAGGTGGTAAAAAAAATTGGAGCGGGCATAGTGTCGGCAGCACTCGTTTCCAAGTACAAGCAATGTTTTGTGGCGGGACTATGCCCGACACCCGGCAATGAGCGAAAAAGCCAGATAATACGTGCATGGCGGGAGGAACTTACCCCACATCCGGGGTGTGGGTCGAAGGTTGGCGACTGCCCCGTTGTGCAGTGGTGCAGACTCACACCACCCCTAGCAGACGGTGGTGGTGTGCACTTCGGTGCGTATACGGTGCCCTCTGCCAACAATAGCGTGGGGTAAGCCTCTGCGTATGGGTCCTGCACCTGGCCCCGCTTATGCACGGCCCTAAAAATTGGAGATAGCCTAGGATATACGAGCACCTGAATTTTTAGGCAACGGTACGTTCAGGTACACAAACTGTGGTAACTGAAAAAAGTGATCCCGGAGAGGTGTGTCGAACCCGCAAGGACAGCGACGGATTCCAGCTATGGTGTGGGGGCAGGGTCTACCGTGACTGGACCGCTGACGGCCAATGTTTTGATTCGTGGTGCTGTTTAAGGTTAAGGCCTGGCCCGAGGCAAATGGGGCTTATGACCCGGCGCCCCCTCCCCCCCTTGGGGTCACTCTAATTTTTACCGCCTAAACGCGCCCCTGATTTTGCCCTTTGACAAAAACCGTTAATATGTGTTGTTTGTCCGAAAGTCACATGGTTTCCCCGCTTTTTCAACCCCACAAGTCTCGGTGCGCCGCGGGTCGCAACAATAACCGTTATGACTCAATTAAGGCCCGACAAGCGTTTTGTGTCACCTGGATCCGGACCCTCGGCCACCCACGCTAGCGGTAGCATATGCGTCGTTAGTGGAATGATAGTCCTTTCTAGTCGATTGTCTCGTCATGTGCGACACGTACGATTTTTCTTCGCAGCCTCTTTTTTCTCGGAAAATTATATTATTCCAGCAAATCGAGCCGCAAACATCCTATGCCTTATTCAGGCCAAAACTCCTTACTTAACTGAAGTCATGAATAATGACGATTGGGTTACAGTAAATTTTAGTGTTTCCAGTGTATTTTCGCTATACCTTAAGTTCAATGACCTTATGAGTCTTTCTCGCCTCTTCAACCGTGAACTTGCGGTTGACCTGGTGCCAGCGTTCGTGGAGTCTCCCGTACACCACCACCAAGTTGGGCTCGTCGCCCTCGGAGTCGTTGACCTCCGTTTGGCCAAAGAGACGCCCCTTTTCGTTCTGCCACTGGCCACAGGTGATGGGGACCCACTCGTCGGGCGTCTTGTGGCCCAAACGGTCCAACTTGGGCAGGTTCAATTGTTCGGGATCAAGCTGGGCCAGCCGTCTCGGCTGACTGAAATAAATAAGGACAAGCCGTTCGTAGGCGGCTTGGTCAGCGGGAGGAGCAATCACGCGGTGGATCGACGACTTGAAATAGCCACCAGTTAAAAACTCCATCGCATCACCGATATTAACAATGAGGGCCCCGGGGACGTGGCCAACGTAGAACCACTTGCCGGTGAAGTAGTCTCTAATTTGAAGCAGGAGAATCGGCTGCGACGTGATGAACGTGAACCCGCCCAGGTCCAGGTGGCCCCGCAACCACTTGCCGTCGTTCTTTTGGTCGACCTCTTGCGGCTGCTTGTGATACAACATGAATCTCCCCGTGCCGTGGCCCAGGTTCTCGGCGTCCTTGTCGACCACTTTGTACAAGGTGTCATAAGTGGTCCCCTCGGGGATCTCCAACACGATATCGGTCAAGTCACAGAGTCTCTGGAGAATCGAGGTGTGGACATGGCGGTAGTAGTTGCCAATACGCTCCAAATGGGGCCGCGCCGGAGGCGGGTACTTTTCAGGAATAGCTCCGAAGTCCGAGTACACAATATTGTTGAAATTGTAGTGGACAATGGCGTCTCGGGTGCCGTGCTGCATCAGCCAGTAGCCTCGAGGCTTGTAACCCTGGCCCACTTCAGCCCCAGGCAGGATATCGCGGTTCTCGGCGTCCGAGGTCCAGGCTCCGGCTAAGTACGGTTCTTGAAGCTCGTGAGGGTACAGACACACTTCGCGGGCCACGCCTCTCACCTTCTCAGTCTCGTCGATGGAGATGCCGTGGTTGACGATCAGCACGAATCCCAACGTGCTGAACGCCTCTTCCAACTTGTTAGCGAGCTGCTGGCGGCCCTCGGCGGTCTCGGTGAGCAGAAAGTCGAGCAAGGGCAATTGGATGATATCGCTGGGGTCGACAAGTTTCAGGTCGGGGATGGCCATCTGGTTCGGTTGGTGTGGATAGATCTACAGAGATCGGAGTTACTTATTTAAATTGTCCTTAGGTAATTAGGGGGCCGCAGGACGCCACACTAGTGACGCCACACCCATCACACCTCTTCCGGGCCGGTGGCCCCGGTCTGGTGCACCGCCAGCTTGTGCTGTTCCTTGTGGAACAAGTCCATGACGGCACTGATGCCGCCCTTATTGCCGATACTGCGGTTATTTTGGTTATCGGCGGTCGTTTCGCTGTGATCTGACGACGCCAAGTTCTGGTGGTACTCGGAGTCGCCGTCGGCCTTAAACGCCGAGTGTGGCAACTCGCCGTCCTTGGCAAAGTGGTACTGCTCTTTATTCAGCTTCTTCTCCTTGTCGAGCACGTGTTGGGGGGCAGTTTTCAATCCGCGGATATCCTTGGCCTCAACATGGGTCGCCTCGGGATTGGTGCCCCGGGGGTCTCCCTGGGTGTCCTTGGGCAAGTAGAAGTGGCCAGCACCTTCCGCCTGCTCCAGCTCCGGAAGCCAGGGGTTGTCGTTGTCGACTTCCCGATTGGCAAAGCTCACCGTGTTGTCGGTGGGGTCCTTGGCGTTGGCGTAGTCACCGATATCGGTGTGGATCGGCTCCGTAGACACATTGGGTGGGACAAACGTGCGGTGGCCCTGGGAGCTGGGGGGAAGGTCGTCGATGGACACGTTGGCCTCAGCCGCGGTCACGGGGCCTTTCCCGGGCAAAATGCCCGCCCCCTTCTCGCTCGACTCCAGGTCCTTGTGGTCTTTGTGGTGGTGTCCCAGGCGGTCGTGGTCATCGTCTTTGTGGAACGGCTTCGCCAATTTGTCACGTAAGCCCATGGCGCCTTAGTGTGTCGCTGGTGGAGATTGTGTTGGTGAGACAATTACACAAATACGTCATAGCAACCGATCCCAGCCGTGTGCTCCCAATTACGTGTGGGCGTGGGAAAATGGAATTATCACATGATTATGGCACGGATCATCGGACCGTGATTTAACTCTCGGTTAATTGGGGGTGCCTCGTGGCGATTTTTATTCAAGCTTCGCTTATATCGGGGTCGCAAGCGATTCTGCGGGGGCGGGGCCAAACTCCGGGAATTTCCAAGCGCTGGTGTGGCTTCATGAGGAAAATCGTGAGGGCGATGATGAAATGTCTCATGGGCCTCGGGTCGGCGTTAAGGGAGAATAATGGCTACATTGGCCGTGCTTTGTGTCTCACTTGTTCGCTACTAAAATAACGGCCATTATGCTGTCTAACTGATAGCGAGACAAACTCATTGTGTGCCATTGCTGAGGGCTTTGTTGGCAGGGAGCCAGCTCGGAGGTTTTCCTATTCGGGTAGAATTTTCGCGCTTAGTCATCCGCTCATATAGCGAATTTCTCCATCCACCACACCCTCATGGGGTTTCTTAGGGAGCCCTAAGCGTATTTGTAGACAGTTAGTGGCATCACCCGTATTTTCTGGGAACGGCTGAGGATTAGCATTGTCAAGGCCGTCATTTGCTATTGATGCACTCTATTAAACTTGAGCACGGCTACTGATTTGTGAGTCAACGGCTATTGTTTCGGGGCTTTCCCAAAATGGCATAGCAATAGCGCTGACTAAGCTCACAGCAGGCGGCAACTACGACGACGATCCTTATTCCTTAGCCATTAACGCCGTTCTTAGACCCAAATACGCCAAGTAAATCCTTCCAATTCATAGTACAATCCCTCTCAGTCGGACGAAGCGTACAATGCCTCCCCCCTCACTAGGTGACTCTCCCCCGCCTGCTGAGGTCCATCACCAGCGATTATATTCACACGCGCACTGTCTCAGTGCCACTGATATGTATGGCCAAAAAGCGCATCGCCTGTGCGGCTGTCTTAAGATTTAAAGAGTGTAACGTTGCCCGGTTACTTTTGCCACCCCCGTATTAGTGCCGACCTCCCCTTTGACCTCGGGTTTATTCGCCACTGGAAGCACTCCCCGTCCCTTTACTCATACCCATTTGTTACCCGGACAGCGCTTTAACCAGATCCACACCCCGAGAACTTCCAACACACAACCTCATCAAGACATCGATCTGAACGATGGCTGATCTAGAGCAGTTCAACGAGGTGATCCCTCAGAAGCGGCTTCTATCGCCGTTCATGCTGCGGAAGATTCCGCCGGTGCCCGACCATGAGAACCGCCAGGTCTACCCCGAACGCACCGCCAACTGGCTCTCCCACGTTTTCTTCTGGTGGCTCTCCCCCGTCATGAAGCGGGGCTACAAGCGAACGTTAGTCCCCGACGACTTGTTTGCCCTCCCCGACTACATGAAGGTCGAGCATATGACCAAGAAGTTCTACGACATCTTCTACCAAGACTACGAAAACGCCAAGCGGAAGCATGTGGCCAAAAAGCTCAAGGAAAACCCCCACATGTCCGAGGAGGAGGCCGAGAAGGACTTCACCGCCCCCAAGTTTCTCACGATGTTCGCCGTGATCAAGACGTTCAAGTGGCAATACTTCTTCTCGTGCTTGTCGCTTGCTCTTGCCCAGGGTGGGTTCACCACCAACCCGCTTCTTTCGAAAAAGCTTATCCAGTACGTCGAACACAAAGCCGTCGGCATGGACTCCGGTGTCGGTAAAGGTATCGGTTACGCGTTTGGGCTGGCGGCGATGGTGCTTGTCAACGGTATCTTCATCAACCACTTCTTCTACCGACTGATGCTTACCGGGGCCGAGGCCAAGGCCGTCCTCACTAAGGCTCTCCTCGAAAAGCTGTACAAGTTGCTGGCGTTCTCGAAGCACAAGTACCCCCCGGGTAAAATCACCCTGATGATGGGCACCGACTTGGCCCGTATCGACTTTGCCCTTGGTCTCCAGCCGTACTTGATCATTTTCCCCATCCCCCTTGGCGTGGCCATTGCCATCCTTATCGTCAATATCGGTCCCGTCGCCTTGATTGGGGTGGCGTTGTTGTTCGTGTTCATCGTCGCCATCTCGTTCCTGACGAAGAAGTTGTTCCAGTTCCGTCGCAAGGCCACCGTGTTCACCGATCTGCGGGTCAACTACATCAAGGAAGCCCTCAACAACTTAAAGGTCATCAAGTTCTATTCGTGGGAGCCGCCCTACCACGACAATATCCTGGATATCCGCCGCTCGGAGATGAAAATCGTCAAGCGCATGCAAATGTTGCGTAACATCGTGTTGGCCGTGGCTACCGTGTTGACGTTGTTCGCCCTGATGGTGACGTTCCTCGTGTTGTACGGTGTTAACAAGAAGAAGAACCGCGACCCGGCGCTGATCTTCTCGTCGGTGTCGTTATTCAACGTCTTGGCCCAGCAGGTGATCATGATGCCAATGGCGCTCGCCCTGGGTGCCGATGCGATGTTGGGTATGCTGCGTGTCGGCCTGTTCCTCGTCGCTGAAGAGACTGACTCCGAAGCCAGCAGAATCCAAGCCGACGAAGAGACCGCTGCCATCATGGCCGCCGACAGCGACGCTATCCGTGTTGACAACGCCCTGTTTGTGTGGGAACTGTTTGAGGACGAAGACTCTCCTGCCAAGTCCGAAAAGGCCGAAGTCGAACAAGTCAAGCTGGTGTCTCTGCTGCACCTGCTGCTGGTGGACACCAAACGCGAAGAACAGGTCAACGAGAAGCTTGAGGAAATGGCTAAGTTCACCGGTTTGCACGACATCGACTTGACCATCCGCAAGGGTGAGTTTATTGTGATTACTGGTGTTATTGGTCTGGGTAAATCGTCGTTGTTGGCAGCGTTGCTGGGGTTCATGAAGCGTGTCTCGGGTCTGGTGGCGGTGAACGGAAGCTTGTTGTTGTGTGGCTACCCTTGGGTTCAAAACGCCACTGTCAAGGAGAACATTTTGTTTGGCTCGCCTTTTGACCAAAAGCGCTACGATGATGTCATCTACGCCTGTCTGTTGGAGCTGGATCTCGAAATCTTGCCCGGTGGTGATCTTGCCGAAATTGGTGAAAGAGGTATCACGCTTTCAGGTGGTCAAAAGGCTCGTATCAACTTGGCCAGAGCCGTCTACGCCGACCGTGATATCATTCTCATGGACGATGTGCTTTCTGCCGTCGACGCCAGAGTTGGTAAGCACATCATGAACGAATGCTTCATGGGGCTTTTGAAGGATAAGACTAGAGTTTTGGCCACCCACCAGTTGCTGCTTATTGGCACCGCCGACCGGGTGGTTTTCTTGAACGCTGACGGTACGTGTGACATTGGCACCTTCCAGCAATTATCGGAAAACAACCCCGACTTCCAGAACTTGATGACCTTCTCTCTGGACCAAGCCAAGAAGGAAGAGGACGAAGCCGAGATTGAACTGATCCACCTGGAGGTTGTCGAGAAGGAAACTGAGTTGATTCAACGCCAAGTGCTGAAGCTTCTGGCTGAAGATGAGGATGTGGAAGCTGTTCGCCATGACTTGACCAAGCTGAGAGGCATGGACGGTAAGATTATTGCCGATGAGGAAAAGGCGATCAATGCCATTTCGTGGCGCGTGTACTGGATGTACTTCAAGCTGGGCTCGGGTAGGTTGCCTCCCGCTTTATTCTTGCCGCTCTTGATCTTGATCTGTACGCTTGCGACATTCTGCCAGCTCTTCACCAACGTCTGGCTTTCTTTCTGGACCGAACACAAGTTCCGCCGATCTGATGGGTTCTACATTGGGATTTACGTGATGTTCACCTGCATGGCCTTTATTACCCTTATTATCGAATACCTTTTGCTCGTTCACCTCACTAACACGGCTGCTACCACTCTTAACGTCAAAGCTGTCAAGCGGGTGTTGCATGCGCCAATGGCGTATATGGACGTCACGCCTATGGGGAGAATTCTTAATCGATTTACTAAAGACACAGATGTTCTCGATAACGAAGTCGGTGATCAGCTCCGTTTCTTTATCTTTGTCTTGTCGCAAATTATCGGTGTGCTTATCTTGTGTATTTGTTACTTGCCCTGGTTTGCCATCGCCATTCCCTTCTTGGCCATCCTCTTCGTCCTGATTCTGAACTACTACCAGGCGCTGGCCCGTGAAATCAAGCGTTTGGAAGCCGTTCAACGGTCTTTCGTTTACAACAACTTCAACGAAACCCTCAGTGGCATGGCTACCATTAAGGCCTACGATGCTGGTGGGCGGTTTATGGAGCAACTGGATCACTATATCGACCGCATGAACGAGGCCTACTACGTCACGATTGCTAACCAACGGTGGTTGGCACTTCAGATGGATTTTGTTGCCGTTGGTGTTGCTCTTTTGGTGGCTCTTCTCTCCGTGTTCCGCGTCTTCAACATTCTGGCTGCTTCCGTGGGGCTTTTGGTGTCTTACGTGTTCCAGATTGCGGGTCAGTTGCTGATGTTGATTCGTACCTATACTCAAGTCGAAAACGAAATGAACTCCGCAGAAAGATTGTATCAGTACGCTTGCAACTTGCCCGAGGAAGCGCCCTACGTGATTACTGAGACGACTCCGCCTCCGGAATGGCCTGCTCACGGTCAAATTACTTTTGACAACGCGCTGTTGGCGTACCGTCCCGGTCTTCCTCTTGTTCTCAAGAACTTGTCGTTCGATGTCAAGCCACATGAAAAGATTGGTATCTGTGGTCGTACCGGTGCTGGTAAGTCCTCGATCATGACAGCTTTGTACCGTCTTCAAGAGCTTTCTCTGGGTAAGATTGAAATTGATGGAATTGATATCTCGACGTTGGGGCTTCAAGCATTGCGGTCTAAGCTCCTGATCATTCCGCAAGACCCTGTGCTTTTCAGAGGTACCGTCCGCTACAACTTAGATCCCTTTAACCAACACTCCAACGAAAAGTTGTGGGATGCTTTACGCCGGACGGGGCTCATCGAGCAAGGCAAGCTTGCTCAAGTCATGGCACAAACCCGCCAGGCGGGTGCTGATATTCACAAATTTCACTTGGACCAACCTGTCGAAGATGATGGTGCTAACTTCTCATTGGGTGAGCGTCAACTTATCGCGTTTGCTAGAGCGCTTGTGCGGGATCTGACGATTCTTATTTTGGATGAGGCGACGTCACTGGTTGATTACGAAACCGACTCCAAGATTCAACTGACCATTATCCGGGAATTTGCTCAATGCACCATTTTGTGTATCGCTCACCGTCTTAAGACCATCTTGAATTACGACAGAATTCTCGTCCTAGACCGCGGGGAAATTGCCGAGTTCGACACCCCTTACAACTTGTTCCGTAAGGATGGCCTGATTTTCCAACAAATGTGCCAGAGATCTAATATTACTGAGGCCGACTTCAGCGCAACCCGAAACTTCTAATCTGACTTTAATATACACAATAAGTATCACATATTTTTTCGACGCTTATTTTCCATGCAGCTCACCCTCATCATTATCATCGTCGTTTCAAGACTTATATCTGGTCCACACACTGCCGGTTCGCCGAATTATGAGGCCGTTAATGATCGCTGGTACCTTCACTATTGCAGATTCAGAGCTCTGGTGTCACTCGGCCGTTTGCTGTCAACTTTAAAAGTACTTTCGAAAAGTTGATATCTAGTATATGCCATCATTTTCACTTAACCCTCAATGCGCTGTCGAAAGTTTATGTGTTATCATCGCCCATTTCTTCACGGGCTCTTGGGATCTCCTCTCATCGAAGTAATTCCCGCGGTGCAGTCCCGGCTCACGGTTCATAAACACAACCGGAGATCCATTATATCTAGATCTTTGCGTGGTTCACGTCGACATCGAATTGCAAAGGTTCATACCCGTTTGTTGCAGGCAAACTACTGGAGTATGTATATGCCTGAAAGCAACTATCGCCGTCACGGCACATTCTCCGCAAGTTTATTCCTAATCTCAACACATCACAACTTGATAATAATCAAATCGCACAAGTAAGCATCCGACAAACCCGTTCATAACACCAAAGACTTTCTTCCAATCGATGATTTGTCCTTGTAGTCATATGCAGCTGGGAAAAATATTATAGAACACTCAATGTTCCGATATGCACGAGAAACTCTTCTGGGAGTTACAGTTGATCTGTCAAACCTACTGTAACTGCAACAATGGACGAACTGTTACATAACCATGTTTGAACCCCCATTCTTGTCCAGAATATGCTTCTTCCTTTATCAAAGAATTGCTTCATACCAAGTTCTCGTATGGAAGACCTCGAGTGTTCCATGGACCCTTCACGCGTAGTAATAATAATTTACATGTTACATATACATATCCATAATTTTCAGTCTGCACTACGTTACAATTCCATATGCTATGTAAACTTTCGCAAGAGCACAGTAGGCAAGGGAGATAAGGATCAAAAGAGGGATTTTCCGGGAAAGAAGATTCGTGCACTTGAGTCTGTTGACATTCAACGGGCAGTCACATTTATTCGATGCAAGAGAGCGCGTTGTGAGTTCATGCCAAAGGCCATCGAATATCTCTTCGACAAGACACAATAGTAGGGGGCATTTTACTTTTGCCGCTCAGTGTACTAGTTTGATTTGGAGAAATACAGAATAGACCAACGAAGTCGCAGCTTAGACTCAAGCTAATCGGACCACGATGTACTCAGAGCTAATTTAGAGTATTGTGTGGCTACCACTAAAACGTAGTCGTTGGCTAGCGTTTCAATTAGTCTCTAGCTATCGGACATTGCGCAATGCCATGTAAACTGCATCGGATGGAAGTGTTGCGGAAGATACCTGGATCGCTTGCCACGAAAACGCCGTGTAAATTTTTAGGCAGATCTCTACAGCCTCTTATGCGATGTGTGCCACAGAAGCCTAAATCGGAAGGAGTTGATGCGGAGTTAGTTTCGGTTCAGGTTGTCTGAGGGGATCGAGCAATACTCGTATGAGAGAAGCGCTATGCTTGATTATTACGATATAATCCACTAGGTTTATTCCGATAGCAAAACAATAGCTGCAAGTTGGGAACATACATCGCTCGATGTGCATTTACGGACATTTTCGACACGCCTGAGAAAATGCAAATCTAACAGGCACGCAGTGATGGCGAAAATTTCTGTCGTTCCACGCAGACTCGTTTATCTAATGACGCCGAAGCTCTTAAAATGCATGACAAGTGTACAAGCAGTCAAGAACAAAATTAGAACTGATCGAGCTTCCCAAGTGGTGTTTATTTGATAATGTACAAATGCATAAGCTGTGTAACTTTACATCCTAAAATCTCAGATTGCCAAGGACGACTTTGCAGAGCTGTAACATTAACGCAACCCGTCTCGCTTATGTACCTACCACCGAGCCTTAAACTTTGATTAGGACCGTGGCGGAAAACATCCTGTTTGAGGTCAATAACCCCCCTATATCAAAAGGCTTCTCATTTCTAACTTTGATGGTGAATCCAGTTTTAGAATTTTGGTTTTGAGCCATTTAGTTGCAGTGATTTCCCCCCACGAAGACGCCCACTTTTTGAAAGGGGGCCCCTCCAGACGTATACCTGCCTCATACTCGCCATGATACATACGTACGCGTGAAGTTGAACTGAACGGTCATGTGGCGTTGTAAACGTGCTTGTCGCTTAGCATTGCGGCTATATTAATCACTGAGGCATTTCCTCGTTAAAGCCCTCCATCGTACGTGACTCTCTATTCACCATTATGAAAATAAAGTGCGTTTGCGGTTGACAACGAGCTATTTCGCTCATATGATTTGCCAAACCACACGCAACTTGACTAAATTGCTGAGTTAACGCATCGGGGCTGCCCAAACTTGTCAATGTATAATTGGAGCAGTTTTCTCAGCATTACGCATAAATTGGTCAACTACTGAGACTCATGGGCTGTGCACTACCACAGCCTCGCTGAGGGGACACGAGTGCGTGAGTGCGTGAACCCCGAGCGCTCAACTCACGCAATTGAATCGCCAATGAGTGAACGGAAATCCCTTCTGAAGTTTTTCAACAAGTTGAGCGGGCAACCCGAGCTGTATGCTAAGAAGCAGCAGTACACGTTTGGCCGCACGCTTGGTGCGGGGCTGTTCGGTATCGTACGGTACGCTCGGGACAACGAGACCAATGAAGAGGTGGCGGTCAAAATCATCTTGAAAAAGGCTTTGAAGGGCAATGAATCCATGGTTCTCGACGAAATGAAGTTGTTGGAGCAATTACACCACCCTAACATTGTCGGGTTCCGCAATTGGTTCGAACTGAAGGACAAGTACTACCTTGTGACCCAATTGGCTACCGGAGGCGAATTGTTCGACCGGATTGTTGCCCGGGGACGTTTTACCGAGAAGGACGCCCTGTTGGTGATTGTGCAGGTTTTGGAAGCTTTGAAATATTTGCACCACAGAGACATTGTTCACCGCGATATTAAACCGGAAAATATTCTCTACCTTACTCCTGATGAGGATGCCAATGTGGTTTTGGCTGACTTTGGGATTGCCAAGCAATTGAAAGACCCCAAGGATATGCTTTTCACGTCGGCTGGCCTGTTTGGTTATGCTGCCCCTGAAGTCATCATGGGCACGGGCCACGGTAAGCCGTGCGATGTTTGGCTGTTGGGTGTGATTTGCTACTCATTGCTTTGCGGTTACTCGCCGTTCCGTTCGGAGAATGTGAATGACTTTATCAATGAAGTTAAGCACAACAACGCGGTTATCTTCCACGCCGACTATTGGAGGGATGTCCTGAAGGATGCCCGCAGATTCATCATCAAGGCATTGCAGTTCGATCCTACTAAGCGCCCTACCGTGGATGAATTATTGCAAGACCCGTGGTTGGTGCTGGTTGCCAGTAAGCATACCGAAACTGACTTGTTGCCCAACCTCAAGGAAGGTTTCGATGCAAAGGCTAAATTTAGACATGCGATTGAGATCGTCAAGCTTAACAACCGTATCAAGAAACTCAAAGAATTGCAAGGTGACGATGGTGATGATGATCCTTCTGAAATTGACCACTTTGACGCTCATGGATCTATTGTTCAACATAATGACGACGCTTCCTTCCAACAAAGTCTTCAAAACCAACACGCGCCTCTGTGGGACAGCTTCAGCGACGCCGTCAGTCTGTTATCTCTCAAGGATATCGACCTGCAAGCGAGTTTGTCATCGTTAAAGCTGCCTTATGCCAAAAAGAAGAAGGGGGCCGCTGGCGACGCTTTTGCCCAGTTGGTGCAAGCTGCCAGTTCAAATCGTGATCGAGTATTATCTTATCAAAATGAAACGCAAGCGGAGGAGACCAAAAAAACCGCCGATGCTACGGACTCGGCAAAGACGACCTAATGTTACGAACTTGTTTACGATAATCAAAGACAAATTATGAAAGCATTTGCAAACGGTATGTATTTATCATAAGTGTCATCAAAAATTGTAGAAGATTCCATTGATCTTCCAATGCAATAGATTTTTGTGGGTGTTCAAGCTACACCGGTGATCAAAATGGTTTGTCTCTATTGTTCCGGTGCATGCGAGGCCACTTCTTAACTCTGAAAATCCAATAGAGTCCTAGGGCCAACAATAAATTAAAGCTTGAATAGGCGGCAAAGAACCCAACATTGCGACCAACATTATTGTAACTCACCCCAACCGTACTCAAAAATTCATCAGCTTTGGTAAACAAACAATACGCACATTGAGTTGTGCTATTCGGATCCTCAACGTAACCCCCGTTAGCTTCAACGAATTGTTGCATGTAGTCTCCGCAGGTCTTCCCCTGGGGTGGATAAAAGTGGGCCATTTCATTGGCGAAGCACCTAATTGGACGATTATGCATCATCAGTGTTTGCATGTTTTCCATATAGTAAGTGTATGGATCAACCCGGTTCAAGAACTTCCAAAATCCAGGCATCATATTTCTAGCTTGTTGCACACCACAAAATGAACAAAGAATCGAATTCAAATTGTTTGCAACTGCCACAGCAATGTCAAATGTTGGTGCGTAATAGTATAGCATAAGTGAGAACAGAACAACGAAAGTCTGGAGCCACACGCCTTGTGACAAGTAAAATATGCCAGCATGGGATGCCAGCAAATCTGCTCGTGTCGGGAAGTAAATGGCAACAAACATGATCGCCGCTTGAAACCACATGAATGGTATTTCAACAAAAGCTTCCGTCAAAATCATAATCACCCAACTGTATGTTCTCAGGGGCCCATCAGAAGCTTCATAAACAGTACGTCCCTCTATTGCCTTCTGTTGAATCACTGAAAGAATAGGGGACGTGAACACCACAGTGAAAAACGAAACAAACAATCCATTTGCCACCTGCGTCTGGTTGGGTGCAGGAGACCAGTAGGTGAATCCAATAACGAGTCCCAATGATATTTGCATGAAGAATTTTGCTAGAGCATATATTGGGTCCCGCCAAAAACATCTCAACGTGCGAAGATAGACCCAGCGAAATTGTGTTAAATAGGAGGAGGCGTACTTCTTGGAGAGCTCATTCCTTTGATGATCAGATAGTTGGGGTGTGCTCAGATACTCGTTGACAATCCGGTCCCAGGCTTCCATAGCCTCTCGCCTTTCTGGCGAAGACTGCCAAACTTCATGCCAGTTGATATCCAGCTTGTGCGAAGCCTCATTCGTAACTTCCAAGATATAATCAGCTTGACTTTCATAATCCTTGCACTCACTGGCGCCGTGTCTTGCGAAATAATTGACTACTACTTGGCAATTTGGTCCCACGTCGCCAAAGTATAGCATTTTACCGCCATTTCCAAGCAATAATACTCTATCAAACATATCCAAGAGTAGTCCTGGTGGTTTGTGCACAGTGCAAAGAACCATTTGACCAGCTGAAGCTAAGTCACGAAGCATTGTAAGAATAGCAAACGACGATTGGTAATCCAATTTCGAAGTTGGCTCATCCAAAAACATAATCAATGATGGCTTTGCCACAAGTTCTATGGCTATCGCAAGTTGTTTTTGTTGCTTTATAGTAAGACCCAGGGCATTCTTTCCGATAACAGCATCAGCGTAAGCATCTATTTCCATCATTCTGATTATCTCGTCACAGTAATCTTTCTTCTCTTTCTCGCTAACCAGAGACGGACGACGAAGGCACGCACTAAGATAAAGGGTCTCTCTCACAGTGTCGGTCGCTAGAAATAAGTTCTCCTGTGAAACGTATCCTGTTTGACGGCGAAAACTCAGATCTAATGGTGCACCATTGATAAGCATCTCACCCGTCAACACCCCGACATCTCTACGGTGTGCTAAAGTTTTCAACAAAAGTGACTTACCCGAGCCTGATTCACCCATGATTGCAGTCATTTTGCCGTGTTCAATGTATCCAAACACATCATCAAGAAGTAGCTGAGTAGTCGAGTGTTTCTGGCCGTCTACCTTCTTCTTAACTTGCAAGCTGAGGTTTTTCCAAGCGAAAACATTTTCGTTTTCGAAATAAGAGAACATTTTCGTACACGAGGGAGGTGCCCAATCATCATCGAGAGTAGGCAACACATCGTCGGGTCGACATTCAATGTCCCTTGCGGTACTTTTTTCAACATACTTCAATTCCTTGGGAAGTTTCCCACGGAGATAGATCAATTTGTGATTGAGGCGGCGGATGGGAGCAACGAACTCAAGACCCATTATGTTGACGAAAAGATTGAACGAGATGTAGGCTATCATAAACCCCAAGTTACGCCAAACGTGGCTGTACAGAAAGGTGTACACCATCTTCAAGTAAACATCGCCTTGAACCATAGTTTCCCCTAACAGTGAGCCTGGAGCAGCACAACCCTGACCACCCGGAAACGTTGTTTCATACCCCGGACCGCTCGGGATAAGTCTGGGACCACCACATTCCATTCCTCTGTTATGAAATTCAGTGCTTAAAGCCAGCTCATAAGCGTAAAATGTAGGATTGACGTAGGATATCCACCTGAACCACACTGGCATATAGGGACGGGCAACAAGACTCAGTGAGTACACCAATGTTATCATTGCCAAAAACCCTGCCAAACTCTGTGTGATTAAAAGTGATCGGTTCAACGCCCCAACAGCTCGAAACAAAGTAATTGTTGAAAGTTGTGCCATGTAAACAAACAAGAACAAAATGAAAAAGGGACCGGCCTCTCGTCTCATGTCACTCAAAAAGTACAACGGGATGACGAACGTAATACAGGCGATGGCCGAAACTGGTATCAACTGCACAAACATAGCAATAGCATCCGCCAGCGAATGAGCCATACCGTATGATTTTTGTTTATCGATGACTTCTCTATTAGCAAATGAAAATCCCACGTCGGACAAGCACAGCAACGTAGTAAACAATAATGCAAAAAAAGACACACCGCCTCGAGGACTAGCAGCAGCCGCCAGCTGAGGTACGTCCCATAACATGGAGCCATTCAATACTCCCTGAATCAGACCCAATATAACGTTGATCGATTGGTACATAAAGTCACCACGAAGCCTCTGGAAGGCACGGATTATACAAAGCCACACTTGAATGGGGTAGCTTACAGTAAAATGCGAATGGAAATGGTTATGGTCGTACCGATTGTACCATTTTCCCTCCCTTGGCTGGTTTTCGAGGGGCTGGCAAAAAGAATGAAGTTCATCTTGCAATGCTTTGAATTCATCCAGGTCCTGCCACCATTTCTCCATTTCATCCGCCAGTTCGGGTATGTATCGTTTGATATCAGGGTTTTTCTTCCGACTGAGTCTTGATGTCACGGAAGTCAAAAAGTCCGAGATTTGCTGATCAGGAGCACTCACATAGCCCATACGTTCAAAGTAAGCTTTAGCCTCCGACGTGGGTCCATAGTATATCTGCCGGCCATGGTACATGACAATCACCTTGTCGTAGTGAGAGTACACGCTATTCGGAAGCAGGTTCTCCGTCACAAACGACGTCGTTCCCAAGGACGTCGTCCACTGGCGAACAGTGTCGGTGAATTCACCTAGGTATGATGCATCAAGGCCACGGGTAGCATTGTCCCAGCAGTAAAGATTGCCTCGACAAGCAAGGGCTTCTCCGACGGTGAGGCGTCGCTTCTGATATATCAGGAGTCCGGGGTGCGCGGCGTCGCCAACCCTCTGGTGGATCGCATCCGAAAGACCTAATATCTGGGCAAACATCACTGTCATCTTATTGATGTAGTCTCTTTGTAGTCTCCAACCACGGAAGAGTGCTGGTGTCTTGCAAGAAATAGCGAATTTGAGTGTCTGTTCCACCGTCAAGCTTGGGAAATGGATATCCTTGTCCAGGCAGTATATCATGTCGTGGTCGGGCAGTTTTATTGCTTGATGTTGTGTCAAGTCGCCGTATCGAAGATCGCCTTCTACTTTTGTGAATGAGTCAATGTCGTTAGCTGCTATCGCTTTGAGAAGCAGAGTGCAACCGGAACCCGGTCGACCAAGCACAAGCACCATCTCATTTGGGTGGGCGATGAAATCGATCCGATACAAAACACGATACCATGGCGACTTGAGTTCTTGAAGAAACTGAGTCAACGTGAGTGGGAAGATGAAAAGATCCGTGATTGTCAGTTTCCTCTTGAAAGGTCTCCGCTTCAACAGTAGTCGGAAGTCTCGCATGGAGACTGTAGACAGGCGGGCATTTGATCCGTACAGCTCCTTTATGACTTGCAATAGGTTGGCTAAGTCGTGGGACTTGCTATCTAAGGCGCAGAGTTTCGATCGACACTCCTTCTCCAGTTGGCGCCAATCCTCACTTGTCATGCCCGAAGCCAGCGAAGAATCTTGGCCTTGTTTGTCACTCAACGCCATCGGGTATAGGATAGCTTTAGCTGACTTGGCATTGAGGCGGTTTTGAAATCATTATAAGTTTGCTGCGCTATTAGTAAAAGACATGCATACCGATACAAAAAGGACTGAGTAGCTCCGAAACCGAAATTGTGAAAGCACACTCAGAAAACGCTGTATTCTATGAGCAAGATGGCATCTAAAATTTCTATCTCACCTACTGAAAATTAGGACCTACCGTAGCTAAATCTTCGATGAGTATCGATGTTTGTACGGCTGTGCGGTGCAACAAGTGAGGGGTGACTTGCACGGTGTCTACTAAACTTCGCAAATATGTAAAGATGGATCAACGTCCCATCATAATATGATCAAAGCATCGGATAGCTGATATATATGGATTGATAATCACATAGCCATCAAAGAATATTCTCTGAGCGACACATGCAGTTTCAACTATAATTTGCAAAACAGTCTAATAGACAAGGCAACGAGATGAATACCAAATATGGGGAGCGAGAGCTTTTCTATGTGATGCTTGTCACTGATTATGTTGAAGATGCACATTTATCTTTTTCAAATCTCACCCCCATCAAAAACTCGCATTATTTCCTAATCTTCCAAAAGTCGGCTTTGAATGTCGCTCGACGCTCTTCTCCGCGGCATCAGGTGCAAATTATAATACTAATAACGACGCGCGCGGATAATGCTACCCTTTATGCAGTACCATCACAGTTGACAAAATTATACACTTCTGACAGGACCCGTCGACAAATATGGTGGTGTCGTGGCTAGATCGTCCGGACAAGACGGAGGAGGCTAAGTCGACCTTCGAGGAGATCCCCGACTGCGTGTATGCCTCCAAGCTGTTGGGCTCCCTGGGCCAACTGGAATTCATGGCATGTGATTGTGGGGAACACTGGCTGGCCAAACTCAATAAGAACATGGCCTGTGGCGAACTGCTGGATTGTATCAACCGCGTGACCCTGGTGGAGTGTGTCAACGGGAAACTGGGCTGCGGTGACAACTGCCGCAATCAGCGTTTCCAAAACCATCAGTACGCCCCCATTCAGGTGTTCGATACCGACAACAAAGGTTACGGGGTTCGAGCCAAAGAAAGCTTGAAAAAGGGCACGTTTATTTATGAGTACATTGGCGAAGTTATCGGAGAAGAAGACTTCAGAAAACGGATGGTCGAGTATGACCAAGCCAACATGAAGCATTTCTATTTCATGATGTTGACGCTGACGGCGTTCATCGACGCCACTCGGAAGGGGGCACTTTCTCGGTTCTGCAACCACAGTTGTAACCCTAATGCGTACGTGGATAAGTGGGTGGTGGGGCGTAAGTTGAGAATGGGGATTTTTGCCAAGCGTGATATCGAAAAGGGTGAAGAAATCACTTTCGACTACAACGTCGACCGCTACGGTGCTCAAAGTCAGCCCTGTTATTGTGGCGAAGCTAACTGCATTGGGTTCATGGGGGGTAAAACTCAAACCGATGCGGCGTTGCTCTTACCTGATGGCATCGCCGAGGCGCTCGGGGTCACTTCCAAACAAGAACGCCAGTGGTTGCGTGAAAACAAGCACTTGCGTAAAGAACAACAATGGGACGACGATACTGTCAATCGTCATTTCATCGAACAAGTCGAGGTCAAACCTTTGGAAAACGACTTCGAAGTGCTGAAAGTCATGTCGGCACTCATGAAAACTACTGAAGAGCCATTAGCTCGTAAGTTGATTCAGAGGATCTATATCACCGAAGATTCCGATTTGCAAATGGCGGTGATGAGATTTCACGGGTACAAAACATTCCTGAGTATCTTGAAACAGTTTGCCGATGACCAAAACTTGGTCCACATGGTCCTCTCCATTTTATTAAAGTGGCCTCGCGTCACCAAAAATAAGATTTCATCGTCTCAGATCGAAGATGTGGTGCTGAAGTTTGCCGATACTACTTCAGACGCTGACATTCAGACGACTGCTAAGGAGTTGTTGACCGAGTGGAGTAAGCTTCAAATGGCTTACCGCATTCCCAAGTCCAAGGCAGGCTCGCTGGTAAGCTTTTTTGATCGCAATACTCGACTGCCGCTGGAAGACGTGGCTGAGAATCTGCTGGCAAGGGAAGCTCTGGACCCCCCTGCTAATGCTAATGAACCTGAAGTGGCGCTCCCCGAAAACTGGGCTGTTGCGATCGATCCCAATTCAGATAAGCGGTATTACTACAATCGTATCACGAAGGAAACCCGGTGGGATCCTCCCGAAGCCGCGCCGGCAGTACCATTGGGGCCGAAACGTTTACAAAAGAAGGAAGAACATGGGCGTCGAGAACGGGAGCAACGCCCGAAAGAGCGTGAACGTGGTCGGGAGATGAGGGACGAAGAGCGTCGTTTGCAACAAGAACGTGAGCTCAGACAAAATCAATTGCAACAGCGAGAGCAAGAGATTCGAGCCATGATCGAAAAGGCTCAAGAGGAAGCTCAACGTAAACAGGAAGAGGAGGAACAACGCAAACGAGAGAAAAGAGAGAAACTCAAGGCGAAGCTTGGTCATCACAAGCTGGATCTGCTGCTACTGACTAAAGTAGATAAGTCATCCAAACCGAAAAAGAGCAGTTCTGACAAGCTGATTTCGAAGCTGAAAAAGCCTGATCAAAAACCGAGCCTGGTTAAAAGCAAACCCTCCAGCAGCAAGACGCCGGTGCAAAAGTGGTGTTTATTACTTGCCAAATACGTCCCTAACATGATCCGAAAATTCGAAGGAGAGATCGGATATGACAACATAAAGGGTTGTAGCAGAGACCTCGTGCACATTCTTGCTGAGAAAGAAATGAAGAAAAATGAGAGTGGAGAAATTCCGAATGAGCTTGATGACAAGCGACTCAAAAAGATCAAGGTCTTTGCCCGTGAGTATATGGATCACTTCCTACAAAAGTATCGCAAAAAGCACGCTAATAAGCGTAGCAGTAACGGCGATGCTGACACCGCTGAACCCGCAACCAAGCGGGTGCGGACCGAATGAAACAATAATCTGTACTATAATCATCAATTATTCATAAATGCATACTGAGAAATCACGACACCTACCTAAGGTTACGAGCAGTTTTCTAACAACCGCGGCAAGTTTTCGATCAGTTCCAGACCATAGATGATCTGGTAAGTGGCCTCAAATAAGGGGAACTCCTTCGTCTTGTTGGTGTTGACCAACAACTCGTGGACTTCCTTGGCGGTGATGATACCCTGCGACGACTGACCGTTCAACAACTTCTTTTCCGCTTCCGCCGCCAGGGCACCGGTCTCGGCCATGTAGCGACCCACCTTGACATTACGACCACCAGAGCAGGTGGTGATCAAGTCGGCGACCCCGGCACTCTCCTGGGTGAATGTGGTGGCTTCGGAGCTGGGGAAGAAAGTGGTGGAGAACTTGATGGTTTCAAGTAAACCCACCCGCATGATGGCCGCTTTGGCGTTGTCGCCCCATTTGAGACCCTCGACAAAACCCACAGCGATGGCAACAATGTTCTTAAGCGCCCCAGCCACGGAGGTACCGTCAATGTCATCAACCACTCTCACGTGGAAGTAAGGGCGGTGGAAGGCGGCTTTGAGCACAAAGTGGTCGATGTCCTTACCTTCACCTTGGAAGTCAGCGGGGATCTTGTAGGCCACCGTCGTTTCCAGCCACTTGCCGCGGGCGATTTCGGGCGCCAAGTTGGCCCCCAGCAACACGCCGCACTGCACCCCCAATTCGTCGGTGATGTATTGCGACAACGTCTTGACGCCGTCCTTGGTGACTTCGAGCCCCTTGAGACACGAGATCGCCCGCACGTGGGGCTTGAGCTTGCCCTTGAGCTTGGCGCAAATGGTGGGCAAGAACTGGTGGGGCAAGTTAAACACGAGCAAGTCGGCGTTTTCCAGCGCCTGGACAATGTCGGGCTCCGCCACCAAGTTCGGGGGCAAGTGGACCCCGGGCAAGTACTTGACGTTCTCGTGCTTGTCGTTGATGATGTCGGTGAGCCGCTGGCCGTCGATCATCTCCTGGTGGACCCACATGTAGACGTTGTGCTTGAACAAGTTGGGGCGCGTGGCGGCGTTCTCCGCCAACACCTTGGCGATCGTCGTCCCCCAGTTCCCCAGCCCGATGACGGTGATACGGAAGGGACGCTCCGGGATGACCCCCTCAGGCATTTGTGGTTGCGGTTCGAGGTGCGACGACAACTGCTGTAAACGTAACATGCTGTACCTTCTGGATAATACCGCCTTGGGGGCTGCTGCGGGCCGATACATATATATACTGGGAGGGTGCTGTGAGGTGCCGAGGAAGCGGAAAAAAAGGCCGCTGGGGCTTTGCTGCCGGCTGGAACCGGAGATGCAAGCGATATCGAGGCAACCTGGGGTAGCTAAGGCGGTGGGGGTGACACCGGGGCACCGGTGGGGTTGGAGAACGGATGGGGCGTTGGCTACAGTGTCTACCTGGGTCGGTTTTTAATGGGGGGGGCATCCCCTCATCTCAATATACCCATCATTTCGTTTTTTTGGGTGGTCAGGGCTCGAGGCCGACGAAGACGTCGCGACAGGGCAGCGGTGGCCGCGCTCGTCGGTTAGTGCTACCGTCGTGCGGTGATGTCATGTAGCTAGCACATCCGCATTGCCGGCACGGCTATTTCATTGGCCACCGGCCACGAGCATGTGCTCGCATAGAAACTGCTATGGCGGCACCGCGAGGCCCCCCGGCCACCGGTGCCGGAAACGGTGGCAGCGTTGGCCTAGGTTTTGGCGGGGTAAGCCGAGCAACCCGTCGTCAACGATGACTTCGGCTGTGTAGAAGCCCTGGCTGCAGCCGTTATTTCTGCTTTTGCCCTCATTTACAGGACCCCACCTGCCGCCGGCACCCTGTCGATACCTGCCGCCGCGCCGAGATCGCTTTCGGCGATATGGAAGTTGGCGAGGGCCAACAGTAATTCCGCGGAGCTATCGCCATCCTCGGTTGAGACATACACCAGCATGTGCTGGTCTGGGGACGTCTTAATACGTCATGACAGGTGTCACAATAGAGGCGCTTCATCACTACTACGTCCAAATTTAGCCTACCACCGTGCGAAGATCGTGTGCGCGGGGTAGGCCTAATCGAAAGCCCCGCTCGACGAAACAATGCCGTCGTCGACGTCTCGCGTTTAATTTGTATTGCTAAAGTAGTCGTAATCGAATCATCGATCGACCTAGAAATGTCAATCATTGTCAATGTCATCTTCAATGATAGATTTTTGGGTCGAAGTGAATGTGAATTTGTGGCCACTAGCTGAGATACCGAGGAGTTTCTATTATCACTGCGAGCCGTGTATGATTAGTGATAGGCCAGATTATCGAGACTGTCATATGTGTCGAGCGAAATTGAAATCAGTAAATTCATTTTGAATGTAGAGGTCTGGTAACTGAAGACGATTGCGATGTCCCATTAAAGATCTCGACAAATGATGCATGGATCAAGCGTAATTACGATTTGTTACTACTTCAAATGGAAACATCATCGTGGGCCATTATCTATTTTATGAAAGCATGGTTTCTTATCATTCCCTGCTCGATCAGGTCATAAGGCGTAATCACTTCGCCTTTGGTTTTGCGGCTCGCGCGCACTTCAACTGTGCAATCCAGCTTGGTCGCCATTGATGTCTGACGAGGACTTCTATTCGGAAGAGTCGTATGAATTCGAGTTTGAGGATGGTGATGAAGATGACAACGACGTGCCGGTGTCGGATATGGACGAGGACTATGCCGTCGAGAACAAATACTACAGCGCGAAGGGGTTAAAGTACGACGACCCCGATCAAGCGGTGCAAGGGCTTGAACTGATCGTGTCCCTGGCGAAAAATGACGACCCCGAGGCCAGAGAGTGGGTATTTAAGTCGTGCAAACAGATCATGAAAATTCAATTTGATCAAGGGGTTTACGACAAAGTGCTCAACAGTGTCGATCTCATCCTCGATATAGGTACCAAATTACCCCCTAACTATTTTGAGGAGCTGTTGTCAAAAATGATTACTAAGTACACATCTGACGAAAATACACCCGTGGAATTTGTCAATGCCTTTATCGACAAGATCCTCGCATTTGTCATTGCTGAAAACTGTTTCACCCGCATCTGGTTCAAAGCCAACTTGACTAAGCTTGACCGTATTGATCCTGGTGATCCCGATGCTTGGAAGCCAATGGTCAAACTCATCAATGAACGGTTGGACTCGATCCCTGATGGATCGTCGACCTCATATGCCCTCCAATTGATGGCGGCTGAAGTGGAGTTGTACTCTCAGCAAGCGAACGTCGATTTGTCGGTACTCTCTGATCTCTACCAGAGATCTCTCACAATCAATACCGCAGTGGCCCACCCCAAAATCATCGGGGTGTTACGGGAGGCGGGGGCACGAGTGCTGTTTTACCGTGGTAACTTTGAAAAGGCTCGCTTGTTATTTTACGAATGTTTCAACAACTACGATGAAGTTGGGTCAACGAAAAAGAGAACAGTGTTGAAGTATTTGGCTTTAAGTGCCATGCTTTCTGACAACGAGTTTAATCCTTTCGAATCGCAAGAAACTCAAGCATATTCACAGTTGGATGAGTACAGTGGATTGATGGCAATGATTGATGCCTATGACTCCGCAGATATCGAGACATACAAGCGTGTGGTGTCTAACATGGCAAAAGAAAATGACCCCTTGGCAAGCGATCCGATATTTCAGTTTGCCAATTCTCGCATTCTTGATAACTTGATTGCCAAGACTCTTATCAATCTCACCAAAACATACAAGCTGGTTCTGTATGAAACTGTGTGCGCACGCTGTCATTTAAGCAATGATCGTTTGCAAGAACTCGTATTGGAATTAGTAACTGCTGGGAAGCTCACCAATACCAAGCTTGATTTTGTGAACCGCTCGTTGATTACTGAGGATTCACCGGCGCTGATCTTTGAGCCTACGTCCAACGGTAAGTCAATTTACGGCAATCTTCAAGTGATCAATCTGTTCGATTTGTCTTCATTATTACCTCCACGTGTCAATGGAGGCACATCAACCATTACGGAGCCGGACTCCGCCAATTCAGAACCCTCGACAACTTCTGTGACTTCGCTCATCTACAGTGGTCACGAACGACCCCAATCGAAAAGCGAATGGGTGGTTGCAGCTGACCAATGGTGTCTGCATCTTCGAAGCGCCCTTCCTGTACCCATCAAATACGAAATGAGCCAGAAAGACAAGGTGATTTCCATCCAGAAACAAGAACTTAAGGGTGACACTCCTGAGACGGGGAGTGCATTGATACAACCCCAAGAGGAAGAAAACGACAATCAAACCATGTTGGTTGATAAGGTCACCAAGTCCGACATGTTACTTCGTTGGGCTGATGAAATCAACGCGAAATTGGCACAGTTGTCCATCCCTTAGTAGCGTAAGTAGTGCATATAAAGTCACGCGTTTGAGGCATCAATATTTAAACGCTCTTCACAACTGAAAAAAAATCCATTCACAATCATCATCATCATCAAATTGTAAGTTACATGATTTAAATATTTTACATTACTGCGTTATCGTCATGATTAGTGGGCCCACGAGCCCTCTAAATTGATATCACTAATTAATATGAGACTAACAATTAGTTGAACTTTCAGATGTTCAGACCTGTAATCTGTAAATTGTCACAATACTGAGTGAGGCTTCTCATAACGAAGGTTCCCGCTCGCAATCGCTTATTGCATTAGATGCATGAACCATCTAAGCGCATAGGGCCAATACCCCTGTCCGAGCCTATAAATTTATGCCAATTTTCACTAAATTTTATCAGTCGCCATGACTTTAACGGAATCTATTTTGCAAAAGTTTCATGCTGAGTTTGACAAGGGTGTCAAACACCCTCTTCCTGCTCAATTGTGTGCTGGGACTCTTGAAGACTCGGTCTTGTGGACGTACATGCATCAGGATCTCTTATTCTTCAACCTTGGTCTCAATGTATTCGGCCAAGTATTGCGTTTGTGTGACCACCCACCCCTGATGATTGTGCTTGGGAAACAAATTGGATTTATTTCTAACGATGAAAATGACTATTTCACGAGAGTTCTCAAGGAATTGAAGGATGCTGGTGTCGCTGGCCCGGACGATCTCCTTTTGCCGAAAGTCAAAGAGTACTTGGACTACTTGCAAGAACTTCGTGAGAGCGATTCGTACGTCGAAGTGATCACTGCCATGTGGCTCTTTGAAAAGTTTTACTTGGAATGGCCTCTTGCCAACCCAATCAAAGATGGCTTACCTTACAAATATCAAAAATGGATTGATCTCCACGCAGGTCCTGAATTCCTGCAGTGGGTGGACTTTTTGGCCTCGGAAGTGGATCGAGTTGGCAATTCCAATCCGAAGTTGGTCGAGGATACTTTCACTAAGGCGTTAGATTTGGAGATTGCTTTCTTCGAAGATTGTTATACGTATAAGCAATAAAAAATTGTAAGACCTGGACGAGTTGGGAATCGAACCCAAGACCTTTCGCATGCTAAGCGAACGCTCTACCAACTGAGCTACACGCCCATTTCTAAAAAATTTCGAAAACGGCAAAATCACAAATTACGTTTTCCAATTAACATTTTAAGTTTTTCACTTTTGCAACTTTTCTTTTGATTGAAACATCAGTTATTGATCAATTTTGCTATCTTCAGAAAAGGGTAAGATTGTTGAGTTTTATTCGACCTCCACTGAAATAGCTGGTTCTCAACGGAACATTCTTGTCCGTCACCATAAATCAATCAGCCGCTAAGAACGGAAGTGTCGGGATTTTCCATGTATCATCTAAATCGTTATATTTTCTTATGGTGGACATCGTCTTTATCTCCTATATATGCATTGAACAGCTTTATGCCGTTTTCCATGGGTTGAACAAGACAAGGTGTAACTCGTCCAACAAACCCTCGATTTATATTGATCTTGTGTAGAGTGAGGTGAAGCACGAAGCAAGCGAGCGCACACTGCAGATTTGTTCCTACCCTTTGCTACATCAATGTCAATTGATAAAAAGCTGCTTATTGAACAGTTCAAGGGCAAGTCCTGGGAGGACCTTCCTACACCATCGTTGGTGCTTGACGTCGATCGGTTCAAATCGAATTGTGATAATTTGACGGCATGCGCAAATAAGTTGAAGGTGCCATTGCGCTGTCACGTCAAGACTCATAAGACGACCGAAGGCTTGAGGTTGCAGCTTGCTAATCAAGAATACGGCGGCGGTCGAGTACTTGTTTCGACAATCCCCGAAGCAAGGGCAATTCTCCCTCTTGTTAAAGAAGGCATTGTTAAGGATGTCTGCTACTCAATTCCCATTCCCAAGCTGAGATTGGCTGATTGCGAGGAGCTCGCCCAAGAGATTCCGGACTTCCGTTTACTTGTGGATGATATCGCTCAATTGGATTTGTTAGGGACATCCAAGCAAACTTACTCTGTATTCGTCAAGATTGACATGGGTTACGGTAGAGCTGGCCTTACCCCTGAATCCCCTCGTTTACTCGAAGTCTTCAAGAGAATCAAATCTTATGATAATGTTAACCTTTTTGGGTTGTACTGCCACTCAGGTTCGGCTTACACTGCTTTGAACAAAGATGAGGCTCGTGAGTACCTTTTCAAAGAAGTGTCTGTTGCTACTAAAGCTGCCAGAATTGCTAGAACGGTAGGTTTTGAAGATTTGACCCTCTCGGTGGGATCTACACCTACGGCTCATGCCGTTGAGATTTTGGATGATGGGAACTTACCTCCCGTCGAAGGTCATCTCGAAATCCATGCAGGCAATTATCCTTGTTGTGACTTACAACAGGTGGCTACCGGATGCGTTTCTCTTGAACAAGTTGCGGTTCTGGTGGTGGCGGAGATCGTGTCCACTTACCCTGGTCGAGGAACCGGGCCAGGTGAGCAGTTGATCGACGCTGGTGTACTCTCGCTTGCTCGAGAAACAAGCAAAATTGCTGGTTATGGTAAGCTTGCGGACAATGATGATTGGATTGTTGGACGTATTTCTCAAGAACATGGCATTTTGACTACTGAGAATGAAAAGGCACAATTCTTGGAATACGGCACTAAAATTAAAATTTTGCCCCAACACGCATGTATTTCGTGTGCGTCATTCCCGTACTACTTCATTTTGAAGGACGGCAAGATCGATGATGTTTGGGTCCCCGCCAAATGGTGGTAATGCACACTTAGTACAATAAATGTTATCTCATTAGCTACTATTCGCACCCTTGTCTGCACACCAGAAAAAAAGCTTGAGACTCACAAATTTTTCAACCACAAGCACCCATCATGTTTGGTAGAAGCTGTGTCGGGAATGTCTCCCAACAGATCACCGCCATCCGTACGGCCACAAAGCGGGTGTCTGGGTCCAAGACAAATAAGAATGACTCTGCTGGTCGAAGATTAGGTCCCAAGGCCTACGAAGGTCATTTTGTCAAACCAGGTGAAATCATTATGAGACAGCGGGGTACCAAGATACACCCTGGTGAAAACACTGGCATTGGTACCGACCACACCATCTATGCCAAAGAACCGGGTTACGTTCGTTTTTACTATGATCCATTCCACCCTCTCAGAAAATACGTTGGGGTCGCTCTTAAAAAGGAGTTATCGCTTCCAACTCCTCACTTTCAACCGCGGGTTCGGAGATTTGGTTATGAGCAGCTCCAAGACCCTGCCGAAGCTGCTCAAGAAGAAGCCCATATGTCTAAAAAAGAATTCGACGCCCAACCTTTCTTGCAACAGCTTAAGAAACAAAAAGAACAACACCGGGAGGCGATCATCGCGAACATCAAAAGTGATTTAGGCTCGGGGCAATATGGCTTCCAGTTTAACGACGCACAATTAGAACTTGTGGAAAGCCGCTTGGTCGAAATCATCTTGTTGATGGAGGTGGGCACTCCTTTGGAAGATGCCAAAATTCAGGCCACCTTCAACCACCTTTACAAACTCAAGTTGCAAAAAGCTACTCTTGGCGAGCTGTATGATGAACAGGTTGCTGCTTACCGGGAGTTGGCTACTGAGGTCGACCTGAAGGTTGACGTGGACGCTCAAGGGAGATTATGCCCTCATTTGTCACCTGAAGCCAAACAGACCAAGCAAGATGAAATTAGAACTGAGCTCTCCAAGTATGCTCGCAAATTGTTGACCAAAGAAGACCGCGAAACCATCGAGAAGCTCATCACTTCTGCTGGGGTGTTTGACCGCACTCAACAACAACGGTTGACCACGACGTATTTGCCCGACGTGCTTCCGTACGACGTGGAAGGATCTGTGGTCCCCATCGAAGACCCCGAAAACCCTCCCAAGGACTTAGTCGTCCAACAGGTCTACGACGAAAAGAATCGTGTAGTCAAGACCATCGGTCGTCCCAAGGACGTCTTTGCCTAACTTGTACATAGATCATAAATAATGCATGGTAATGGACGATTCTTGAGCTCATAAACCAAATATCGCTGTATGGGCGCGGTATTTATACCTTCTCCACCGCCCTACCGCGTTCGCACCGCACGCTTCATTCGCACATATTTGGTGGCGACTCGATAGCGAACACAATGAACTCGATCGCCAACCAGTACACCCACGCTGCCACCAATCTGATTGGCAACGAGGTTGAGGCGGCCAGAAAGCAATACTGCGACGGCCCTCTCAACCAATTGGCGCCGCTGATTGCCGTCCCCCCAATCTCACAGCCCACTGAGTTCTTGAGAGCTCACACCGATGACGCCACCAATCCCGACTGCAAAATCAAGATTGCCCATGGTACCACCACGTTGGCTTTCCGTTTCCAAGGGGGTATTGTTGTTGCTGTTGATTCCAGAGCTACCGCTGGTAACTGGGTGGCGTCACAAACGGTTAACAAGGTCATTCGGATTAATCCCTTCCTTTTAGGTACCATGGCTGGTGGTGCTGCTGATTGTCAATATTGGGAAACCTGGTTGGGAGCTCAATGTCGCTTGTACGAACTCAAATCGAAGGAAAGAATCTCCGTTGCCGCCGCTCTGAAGATTTTGGGGAACTTGGTGTACAATTACAAGGGCATGGGTCTCAGTATGGGTACCATGGTTTGTGGCTACACCAAAAAGGAAGGCCCCACGATTTACTACGTTGACTCCGATGGTACTCGTTTGAAGGGTGATCTTTTCTGCGTTGGGTCGGGGCAAACCTTCGCCTACGGGGTGTTGGACTCTGAGTACAAGTGGGATTTGTCGGTTGAGGATGCGTTGTACCTCGGTAAGCGGTCAATTCTCGCCGCCACTCACCGTGATGCCTACTCGGGTGGTTCTATCAACTTGTACCATGTGACTGAGAATGGTTGGGTATACCACGGCAACCACAATGTCGGTGACATTTTCTGGGATATCAAGGACAAAGAAAAGTCGTTCAATAATGTCGAAGGGCAATGATTTAATGAATAAACATGAAAGATTAATGGTGTCGCACGCGGCGGGATTGTGGAGATGCTTTCGATCTGTAAGGCTTGCAGAAACTCTATGGCACTGCCATATACCGTAGAATTGGATAATGCATCGGTAGTATATTAAACGGAGTTCAGTCATGAGTAAGTTAAGAATTGCCTGATCTACAACTCAACAGACGTAAAATCTACGGTGGACATACAGCAGTTTGAAGCATTTTAATCATACACAGAAACCGATCCCTGACCGTCTCAGTGCTATCGCTATTGTTGGTGTTACTTAATCACGTGATGAGCCTCACCAAATCACCATATATTCATTAGGGTTGCAAGCCCTATCACGTGATACATTCCGCACCGGTGCGTCGCAGGCGCTGGGTGAAAAATTTGTTATCAGACCGAGTTCAGCTTTGTTAGTAACTGACGGAATCCATAATGGTAAGTGGCAACAGTGGAGATCGTGTCCCCCTTTGAGGACGAGTTTCCAAGAGAAGAAGCTTGCTGTTTTTGATTTGCTTCGACGTGCGAGTCCCCATCCAGCTGATCTTCTTCGACTCATCACCCGTTCATTATATTAACATGATAGTCTGCCAAGTCCCAAAACCCCATGCGTGAATTGCGCATCGAAAAGTTGGTGTTGAACATCTGTGTCGGTGAATCCGGTGACAGATTGACCAGAGCCTCCAAGGTTTTGGAACAATTGTCGGGTCAAACCCCCGTCCACTCGAAGGCTAGATACACCGTCAGAACCTTCGGTATCAGAAGAAACGAAAAGATCGCTGTCCACGTCACCATCAGAGGTCCCAAGGCCGAAGAAATTCTCGAAAGAGGTCTTAAGGTCAAGGAATACCAATTGAGAGACAGAAACTTCTCGGAAACCGGTAACTTCGGTTTCGGTGTCCAAGAACACATTGACTTGGGTATCAAGTACGACCCCGGTATCGGTATCTACGGTATGGACTTCTTCGTCGTCATGGGCAGAGCTGGTGGCAGAATTGCTAAGAGAAAGAGATGCAGAGGCACCATCGGTAACTCGCACAAGACCAACAAGCAAGACACCATCGCTTGGTTCAAGCAAAGATACGACGCCGACGTGTTGGACAAGTAAATATCTCTCGGCATTGTATAATTAATTTAGGTGGGAAGATACTAGACATCTCGTAGACCTCAAGTTGCGTCTCACTAGTGCCGAAATGCATACCGCCTTAATTTTGCATAGCGCAACTGGTGCCGTGCAACAGACGGATCGACTCCGCCGGGGAGCCAGATGACCATAACGGGCTCAAAGGGCGAGTTTTAATAGGCGGGCTCGATTAGGCTCACCTGTAGCAAATGTACTAAGTTTGTGCCTTGCTATATCCAGCGCACTAACTAGTTCGGGGATAGCTGAGGCGTATTTCTATGACGAAACCCTATATGAGCAAATTCATAATTTATGGGATACAACATGAGACGAATTTTTTGAAGTTACGATAAAAAGCTCCGTTATCCAATGAGTAAATTTTATTCGACCCGTTCTTACAACCTCTTTGCATACTGTTACATATTATCTTTGACACTACCACGCGGCATTTGATTATATAGCGACTATTTCGCACAATTGGTTAACCCCACCGCAACAAGCTCCCCACACACACCATCGACATCCGGGGAGATCTAATGGTCAGCACACAGTATGAAGGCATCGAGCACCTGTCATGTTTGAATCCGCTGATATCAGCCGAAGAAAGACAGCAGATCGAAAACCTCATCCAAATGGAACTCAGTCGCCACCAACAACACACCCCTCTGGACCATGATCGCACACCTCAAGCCCCGGGGCAGGTGGGTCTCGACATCCCGCCTTTGTCGTCACTGCTAATCACCAGTCTGGTGGAGCAGCTTGAGGACGCTGGCGAAGATATTGATGACGAAGAGTTTTCTCTTGGTGCCATCGATATGGGTGCCTATGATAATCCCGATTATGTTGGGTTGTCTCATGCCATGGTTGATGATGAAAATATCAGTGGTCGCCACGAGAACCTTGAAGGTTTGCGGTATGGTTGCGAGCTGTACTTGAATGAACTCATGCATCTTGACGCTCAGCTCGACACTGCTATCGGTGCAAAGCGGAAGCAGGTGTCTGAGCTGGAACTGCTACGTAAAAAGCGGGCTACCGAACTCCAACGAGCAAAGCATTACCTCGACGATCGCTGGCGTGACGGTGTCCACTCAGTGGTCGAAGTTGCAGTCACAAGTAAGAATAGTTCTAGCTGGTCTGGAAGCGTTCCATAGATATATTATACATATTCCTTAGGGAAGAAACATGTCTTCCCACTCGAATTACGAATAATTTATACACATGCACTGGATCATTCGAAAATTTACTGGGTAACATGGTGAGGTCCATATGCCTTCGAAGGTTTCCACACCTGACGGGGTGTTGCATCTTTAACTGAGCTCTGAAGTGATTCAAGTTGCCGCTCCTTCGAGCAATTTGATCGGTTAAGCCGGGAAACTGTAACAACCCTAGATAAGATAGTAAGCCGATATATCTCAACTGACTTCAACGCTGTAGTTGCTTTGCCTTAGTGAGCTTCATATCCGTTTTCAAAGTACCAACGTTAACCACCCGTGGACAACCCTCACGATGTCTTTCAGTCTGTACACACTCGAAACAATAGAAGCTTTCGATACCCAACTCATTCGCTTCGCCCAAAAAGTTGCCACAAACAATACATTTGTGAGCCATATGGCCGGTACTACACTCTCGGCATACGAGCGCCGGGGCCGTGGGCTTCACTAATGAGTCGCATGATGGGCAGCGCCCGTCGCAATTGCCACACACAAGTCCCACTGTGGGCAGCGGTAGTTTAAGGCATTGGACAAGGTCAAATTGGTGTCGCGACATGTATCTTCAACATGATGACCTCGCCATCAATGCAAACGATCGACACCAGAGGCTCATAACCGAAAATTGCGATTCGATAACACCAAATGATTATAATGTGCTGTAAGATTAATGCCGGACATGGAGGATTGTGAAATATGCCTCGATTCGCTTTCGGGTGTCATCGGCACACTTACTTGTTGTCCCAAAGATTACCACTATCACTGTATTCGTCAGTGGTCCACTCACTCCAACAGCTGTCCGCAATGTCGGCTACAATTCAATCATATTATAAAGATTGATTCCACCGGCCCAATGAAGATGCCCATCTCGACCGCATCGCAACAGAAGCTGATAAATCTGGAAAGTAATCCAGCTGGTTCAATTCTGGAGAACACAATTCAAAATGCTGGTTACGCAAACGTCACTCTATCTGGAGTGTGCGTGGTATGTTCCCTGAGTGATTATCGTTGTGGACTACATTGTCAACCGGTAAATTGCTTGTACTGTGGTCTGTTTTTCCATTTCTCTTGTTTGGGATTAGCGCAAATCAAACAAGATAGTTGGTTTTGTCCAGTGTGTGATGTGGAACAACCTAAACCCGGTGTTAATCGTTTGGATCGTATGCTGCGATTCGACTACGAATTTGATGATGCAACTAGGTTTTCAGAAGGGGGATTAATTGTGTCGAGTGAGGTTGGCGATGATAGGTGCATTGGGTTTGATGAATACATGAGTGATGAGGAGATGACTCGTTCGTATCCATCCAGGATCAATGGTGGTATGCTTCAACGTCGTGAACAAGAAGCACAGAAGCATCTAAGTGCAGAGGAGAAATGGTCATGGGAGGGGTTTGATCAAATTCGAAATAATGTCGATGACATTGTGATTGAAGGCAGCAGTCGCGATTCAGCTCCTTCAGAAACCAGTAAGCCTCGCCGCAAGCGCAAAAAGACTACACGTGTTGAACAAGAGACTCTATTGCCAGTATCAACTGACGCTGAACCAACCCAATCTTCGAGAATTACCTCTTTGTTGAATCAGGTGAAACAAAATAGTTCCCGCAAGTATAATCAAACCCAATCATCCGCTGTTTTGGTGCGTCTGCCTCCGGTGAGACCACTCTCACCAGGACCAGCCTTATCCCCAGCGCCAACCATGAGTCCAAGTCCGCAAATGACACCTCATCTGAGTCCTGATGCCCCCATACGCTATGTCTTGTCAGGTGCAACAAGTCCTCCTGAGAGCGACACTGATTCCGCTCCGATCGCCGATCTCACCATGGACCAGAAGCTAAGGATACAGGATTACATTCGACAATTGTTGCGGCCATTATACAAGCCTAGTGGCAAACAGAGAAGGCGGCCATTAATCGTTCTGCTGGATCATTACTGTGATATCAACAAGCGAATTTCTCATATTGTGTATGCTGAAGTCAAACATCTACCTCTGTTTTCAGAGGTGTTCACAGACGATCCTGAGAAAATTCAACGTATTGTGGAACGAGTTGTTCAAAATGAGTTGAAGGAATAGAGTAGCTGGTCTACTACCAAGTTTCCAAATTTAAACCCTTTATATTCCTAACCCGTAAATTAATAACACTATGAAAAAGAATTGAAGCTGCCTCCTTAAATCGTGGTACGCTTACCGTAATAAGGCACAGCGGCTGCAGCAAAGGGAGCGACCCTAGTGTACATTCTGCGGTGAGTGCCGAACAAGCCACAACAACTTCCCAACGCGGAGAATATCACCACAAGTAAGGCAGCGACCGCAGCTGACCAGATAAATGCATATAAGTTGATCGAGATGAATGCACGCATCCCCCACTCACTAGTGACTGCGTTCACCTTATCACGAACGGTCAAGTAGGTCCCAGTGATCAAACCGGCAGTGACCAATGTGAACACAAACATAAAGCATTGCCCCATGAAATTAAGGAAGGAAGCACAGCAATCATCTGGCAGTAAACACATAGCGAGCACCTGAATAATGATTGAAATAAAGCCGAGCACGGCCACAACAAACAACATGGCCATCGAGGCCACAGTCAAATTATTCACGGTGGGGAGATACTCCTGTACACCACTTGGAAGGTGTAACGTGGCGTCATCAAGGTTGTTCACTAAGACTTTAAGCTCGGACTTCACTTGGGTCGACAATTGTGGAACCGTTCCATCAGGAGCACCCTGAACATCACCGTTTATCATATTGGTGATTTCATCCTTAATAACCGTGAGAGGGTCGAACTTGTATCCGGTCTTTGGTGGCAGACACCACGTGAAGTTGACCTTGGAGTTATCGAAGACGTCGTTAGTACTTGAAGAGTTACCCACACGATAACCACGACAATAGCCAAAGAAACTCAACAGGTAAACATCGGCAAGCCCCAAATCACGGTAGTGGAGGTTATCTGCGATGTCTTGAATGACTTCAGACACGGTGCTGTAGAAGCCATTAGCTTGACCATTGGGTCCAGATTGAGGACCACCAGTAGCCTGAGTCGAAGTGGTACCAGTACCAGTTGCCGCGGCGATCACCAGTTGAGTAACAGCTGCTTCTTTGGCATTGGCAATGCCCACGGCCTTGAAGTTGTTCGCCAGTTGTGACTCGTCAACGTTCAGCGAGTCCTGAACAAACCCGGGGTTTCGACGATGGTTTTGGAATAATTCCGCTGCCTCAAACGGTAAGGGTACATTGTCACGTTTGTGACCAACGACACTAAGCAATTGGGGCAAGTCCACTTGCGTGAGATGAAAGTCAATGAGGTAAGTTCCAGTGAGCCAGCCTTCTGCTTTGTACGATCCGACGAGGGCAAATACCGAGAGAAGGAAAGTTGCCAACGAGAAGATGATGATGATAACTCGAATGAATCGGAAAATCATCTGTCAATATTGGATCAATGAAACGAAATGGGGTTGATTGTGATGAAAGGCGGAGACGGAGCTCAAAAAGGTATAACTCCAGCGGACAAAATCAACTTGCCCTTCGATAGGATTAGCAAACGGTTTGATCAACCTTGGGGAAGTATATTGAGTTTTTATATACTCCACGCGTACCCCTGGAATGGGGCTGGCTATCCGATGTCGCGGCGGCTATTCGCACTGTAGTGCATGAGGCACACGCCACTCGCACAATGTGATGCACACACATGATAAGCGATGGGGCTGGCTGATCACCCCCAATAAGTCGCATAGCCAGGATCGTGCCGCAGCATGGCTGTACCCAAGTGACGAACCAGTCTGGTGAACCTAGGTAATGACAGCAATCGAAATCAATCAACAGAGTACTCGTGTCCTTGTTTGAGTCAATTAAATGTTGTGTTCGCGTTGTCAACCTTGAGGTAGAGTTGACAACCAAATCGTAAACTACGCTGGCAACAAGTCTCAAAAGGGAAAATGACTACGGAATTCGATGTTGCATACGACGCGAATGTCGTGGGATGGATTGTTGAATGGATGGTCATATAAGTCATACAATATATAGTGATACACAAAAGTAGATATGCCTAGTCTTCAATTTCATCAAACCCTTCCAAAAGCTCTGCTTCGAGATCGTCGAGGTCGTCGTCATCTTTTTCGGTCTTAGTTGACGCCAGGGTATCGGGGGCAACTCTCTTGCCATTGGGCTCCCCTTCTCGGTTGTCGTCATCTTCACGATAGCGCTTACCGTTTCCATTGGTGATAAGCTCAATGGCTTCGTTCTCCTCGTTATCCGCGTAAGCCTCGTTAGACTCGTCATTATTGTCGTCGTCTTCGTCACTTTCCTGAAGAAACTGATCTACCTCCTCATCAAGATTTTCAAGGTCATCAAAGTTCATTTCGAAGGTAATCAGCTTCTTGTACTTGGCAATATCTTGCTCATTCACACGCCAGTCTTCAGGGTTATCAAGTGGTAAAAGATAATCCTTCTCATCAACATGCTTCCACTGAGTCAAGCATGCAAAGAGCCAGTCAGGATTAACAAGCTTTGCGCTTGGTAGAATTCGCCGAGCTACGCGTGCTTTGAACGTCGGACCGGGACCCTGAGTGGGATCTCGGCACACCACGTGGGTGACACTGGGGTAAACCTCATTGACAACCTTCACACCAAATTGGCGTGCCCATATGACGATATCAGCTTGATCCAAAGGAACCATCGTGGGTATTATCCCTGTAAAAAGTATCACAACCCCCTCAAGTACCTTTTCCTTCATTTTAGGAATGATATCACTCAAATCGGGTCGCTTGGCCACGGAGTTATTGCCTGTAGAAAACTTCTGAAGCTCGTCATAATATCTGCCGTGAACATTGTCCAATACTCTTTCTAAAGAAACCAACTCATTGTCATCATCGTATAAAAGCTCATCATCCTCCACATCGGAACTAGGTTGATCGTGAAGCTTTTCAAGATTTTCCTGTAACTTAGCAAGAGGACGATCATGTTGTTGTTTTGTAAGGTTTGCGACAAAAGCTTCCAGATCACTATCATACTCCTCACCTGAATTTGTTGGTGTTGGCGACGCCGACTCTTCGGTAACAGCCGCGTCTTCTTCTAATTTGGCAAGAATCTTATTACGCTTGCGTGTAGGGCCCATCAACTGACCCAGCTTTTTTGGCAAGAAGCTCAGATTTATGTCACCAATGCCAACAAAGAAGTCATATGGAACCACCTTTATGAGGTTGGCCTCCCACTGCCACACGTCACCACGGTCATCAATGATGACCACCATGCTTTGATCAACTGGAAAGAGTCGCTTCAAATTTTTATGCGTGAGCGAACCCAGCTCATCTCTAGATAAGATTCTGTCTCCAAAGTATATGCCCTCGGGATCAATGATTTTAGCAATGGCAAGTGCATAATTGCGAGTGGCCATTGTATAGATGTGCATTTCATAGCGTTGATTCATCAGCTCCAAAAACTTCTTGAGCCCCGGTCGTAGCTTGACATAGTACCAGCATTTTTGGGGTGCCATTTTAGGCCCAGTCCATCCCGGAGGCACGATGGCTTCTTCCAGAAGACAAAACTTTTGAACGTCCTTGATAGCGGGATAATTAGGGTTTTCAGGATCGTTTTGCCACTCGCCAACAGTTGGATCCACAGTTGCATGGATCACAGTCATATCTAAGTCCACCACCAAAATGAGTTTTTTGTTTTCGGTAAGACGGGTTACTGCCAGCTGCTCGATCTTCTGAGCCTCTTCGAGTGAAATTTTAAGCCCGGTATTATCGTGTGACATCGCAATGCTCGCCCGCTCCTGATAGTCGTAGCCCAGGTAATCTTTCGTATCAACCAGTTGACCGCAAAGAGCGCATAGGCCACCGTATTGCACAGTATGAGCGCAAGCTTCCTCTACCTCAACGGCAACACAGGGTTCAGATATCACTTGGCCAACAGACACCTTGAAATTCCCGAGATTGCCCTCCACAGGCAGTTCTACCAGGCCGATTCGTTGGACGGTCCGCTCCTCGGGAGAAGCGGTAAGGCCCGGATTCACGGAAGAATTAGCCTTAGCATCTGTCAACTCGCGTTCAACATCCCAATATTTAAACTTCAATATCGTGTCATGTTTGTTGACCGAGCTTCCAGGAGCTTTTGTCAACTGGGTGATTGTCACCGGATAGGGCACCAGTGACGGAAGGTGGATTGCCGTCATTGAAATACCACCACAGTATAATGGTATAAGTGTGTTTCAAGCGCTGTTTTGAAGGTTTTCACGCGCAATTCGATAAGGTGTTAAACCAGAGACACGCTTCACGGATAGTATGACTTGCAATGGGAAAAACAGTGCGAAATGCGATCGATTCACCAAGGATAACAAGTGCATGTGGAAGCTGGCACGAAAGTAAAAACCATGTGAGCTTATCCGGGTCTAGAAATGAATTTCACTATCTTACCTTTTATACATAGCCAACTTTGGTAAAGACTCGTTGACTAACTGCATGTTTGTTGATTATAACTCAGAATTTGAAATAAACGCGTGTATGGTGCAACCTGATTTGAGCTGTGTGCTGCACCTCTCATAGTGTCTGGCAACCATGGCAAACATCGTTGTCGATTGTCACTGTCATTTAACGGTCGATGCTTCCTCAATAAATGTGAATGCTTTGAGACTGAAACTATTACAAGAGTATAGTGATCATGAGTTTTGGTTGATGACGACTTACTGGAATGACTGTGACCTTGTCAAACTGCATTTACTCGATTGCCCCAATATCATTCCGTTTTTTGGAATCCACCCTTGGTATTCTCATTTATACAGTGTCAGTGATGAACCCATTTCTAAAGAGCAACATTATATGAAAGTTCTTTCCCCATCTCCTCCAGCATCATTAATCGCTGCACTTCCTGAACCAAAAAGATTATCTGAACAGATTATCGAGTGGAAAAGTATCATCGATAGCTTTGAGGGCAAGCGCAAGTTTGGGATTGGTGAAATCGGCCTTGACAAAGTATTTCGGGTGCCTTACGGCATATTAGGGTATACTGACAAAGCAAATTCCAACTGTTATGTATCCATGGATCATCAAGTCGCAATTTTCAAGCAAATGCTTCAATTGGCTCAAGAGTATCATATTCCAGTCCTGGTTCATTGTGTGCGAGCTCATGGTCGGCTTTTTGACGAAACGATTTCGATTACTCGAGCCAAACCGAAAAGTAATCGTGAGCGGAAACGTGAACAACAGATGGGGACGTCTGATAATGCCCCAAAGAAGGTGGAAATTCCCATAATATTACATTCGTGGAGTGGGCTGGTGGATCAAGTTAAAATGTGGTGCAAATATCCTGGCATCTTCTTTTCTGTGAGTAACTGGATTAATGGTCAAAAATCACTTGAATGGGCAGAGGCGGTGCAAGCAATTACAGAGCTGGACTTTGGCTTAGACAATTGGTTGCTCAATAAATCATCTGACTATGATAAGAACATGGAAGAAATTCGTGAAAAGCTACAAAAAGTAGGGGTGAGTTCAGCACAATGCCAAATTAATATGAAAAGAGTGTGGGCTGAGCAATTGTAATGATTACTATACAATATCAAATTCTGCTTATAATAAATCGACCTCTTCCTTGCTGACGACTTGGTTCTTGACTTTCAATAACAACTGCGTCTTGAGTTTGTCCAATTTTGAAAACTTGTCATAATCGAACACTTTTTCCTGGAACTTCTCTAAGTCCCCCGCTTCAATGGCTTCCAATATATCACGCAACAATTGGCCTTCCCTCAGCAGCTCAAACAGAGGCTCTTCGCCCAGATATTGCTCTAGACGCTTCAGTGCCTCGATTTCATCATCCATGCACAATAAACACAAAATTACTTTGAAAAAATAGTCTTTAAGCAGCCATCTCAGTAAATTGTTACCCATAGCAACCTTGATGATATTGTCGTAGAACTTGATTGCCTTGGCATAGTCCCCCGTTGCAGCGCACAAATCAGCACACTTGAGATAAGACTTTGAAGCAAGAGCATCAGCGCGATCGGTCAGGAAATAGTCACCTGCTTGTTCATATGATAAAATTGCGTTCTCTTGATCACCAACTTTTTCGTAAAGCTCGGCAAGGTCACCAGTAAAGTTGGCAGCTCGGCGGAACTGCCCGTTTTGAGTCAAAAAGATATGGATTGCCTTCTTCAACGCCTCTATGGCGTCTGATGGCAGCGCATCCTTGTAGCACTTGTAAGCTTCAACCAAGTGATTTGCCGCCTCATTGTGATTTCCCAATTCTGTTTGAATATCCAGGGCTCTCACGAATTGAGCGCCAGCATCGACATAGTTCTTCTGCAAGCGATAGGCATTGCCAGCTTGTACAAAACAATCCAGTGCATCCTCCTTGCGGTCTGTCAGCAGGCCTGAGAAGAACAGCATGAATCCACTTTGTGGCTTCAAAAGCTTTTCAGCTTCTGAAATCAAGTACTTAGGATCAGCCATGGGGTAAAATGGGGTATGGTACGTGTTCGTGCGAATGACTGAAAACCAGGCGGTGGCGAGTGAGACAGTAAAAAGTCACGTTACACGAAAGTGTGAGTTTTGTATCAGCATTTCAAACTATAGACTTATACTCAATTAGGTTTTATCCCATGTCCACTCAATGTTGATCTTCCATGTTGGCATGACCTCGTTGACGCGACCATGTTATTCATTCTTATCGCGTCTACAACATCAACGGCGGCTTCATTGTCAAAGTTGTTCACTTATTGCTGCCTTGGGCTTCCTGCAATACAAATACATTGACATGAGCCATGTACGAAGCGATCAAGTCAGGAAGCTATTTCAGAAGCTGGTTGACATGATCGGAAATACCGCTCTAGATGATTCGCAAATGGCCCAATGTTTTCCCACAATTGCCCACACTCCTAAAGGTAAGCTGCTGCTCCATAAGGCTAGCAAGCAGTTAAAGGCTCACTTCCATGAGATCAGCATCCAAGAGATCGATATGATTTTCGAGGAGACACATGCCAACACTAAGTTTGACGAACTAGATGATGCCATCAATCATGCCAAACTGAACATTACCGACGGCACATCTCCGTTGAATTTAGAGAGCGTCCTTCTGCCACAGCACAGGGTTAGTAATATTGTGGTGGATAAAGCTCAAGAACCAATTCAATATCTTCAGTCTGTAAGAGACCTGCTTCGACTAGAAAATGAAAAGCTAGCTACCGAACTCGTGTCAGTTCAAACCGAGATTCAAGCCCTTGTCAATAATGTGGCAGATTTTGAGAGCGAGTTGGCAGGGGAGTTGGATTCATTCGAATGATGTGTATTATGTCTCAGGAGACAAAATGTTCTATGTACAGTTACTTCTTCATGTTCTTGAATTTGTAAGGAGCCGGCCTCTTGCCCTCCAAAATTTCGTGGTTGACCTTGGCCAATTGGTTGTAAGATTCGACACGCTTTTGCAATTCGGTCAACTTGTCAGCCTTCAACTGTTGCTTCTTCGACAACTTAATCAATTGCTTGTCGCCCCACACCTTGTAATCTTGGAAGTATTGACGGCCCATATTGAATTCCTTCGTAATGCAGTCGTCGGCTAAGCCCAACTTAGCAATGGTGTAATAGTACCGTTCGGGATCGTCCTTTTTGAGGTACTTGAGAATACGCTGGCGCTGCTGTACCAATTCGCGTACCGCTTGAATGTGCAGCTTATCTTTAGGGAACTTCTTGATGTGATCCATGCCGAAATGAATCTTGATGGTAGCGACAGCTGCCTGCACTTCCGACAGACCAGTATCGCCATCAAATCTCTCAAACTCTTTGCGGGCAATGCTAATCGCCATCTTCCGCTTATCTTTGGTGTTGGTATTTTTCAAATTCAAAATGGTGAGTAAAGCACGCTTTTTACGTTCCTCCACTTGACGTGTCGCTTCGTTAATCGAGTCAAGTCCCAGCTTACCCAGAGCCACTTTTTCGGCGCCGTAAACCAATTTTTCAAACTCTTCCCGCGAGTAGCCGTAGGCAAGCCGCAGCTCGTCGTTGCCAAGTTCCATACGAACTCGAGTCATGAACCCAGTATCACGGCCTAACACAGGGTCGACTGAAAATCTTTCATTTCTTTGAGAAAGCTTCTTGAAGTTATTGACATCTCTGACAATTTGCTTCTTGAGACGGGTCTCCTTACGACGGAGAATCCGCGCTTTATTCCGGGGGGCATCCTCAGCAATGAACTGCTTGGCAGCCAACTTGGGGTTAATCTTGGTCGCCGACCCCGACGAACTAGCGGCAGTAGCGCTGGGCCCACTGGTGAACAATCGGGCGAAGCTCTTCAACATGGCCCAGTCTCGTGAGTTCAAATTTTTCAGTGCGACTGATGAGAAATGCTAAATGTTCAAGCTCTAGAACATAAAAAGTCGTTGGGATTGACCGAATACTCGTAGTACGAACTATTTGAGTGTTTTCAGCTTTTTATTGTGTAGTCAAAATGTACTGGGCTTCACCCAGTTCAAGTGACAACTCCACTGCCAGAGTTATAACGCTTCGTACTAGTAATGAAATGGCGTCTTGCGTGATGAATAGTGATCAAATGGCGTCATTGGCGTGATAAATAGAGCCGTTTGATGATGTATTATTGATCGGTTTTAGGCCATTGTATGTCGTACTCAATCTTGACCATCCATAGCGGTGTAAACGCGACACACATACACCCACTGCTGCGATCTGCGGCTGTCAAACGCTTACTGCCGATGGAAAACGACGTGTCATTGCTTGAACTCAAGGCAGTGGCGCAATGCCCCATTAAAGAAGCGGTACCCAAAGTTCTACAACTTGTCGTTGATCCAATTCTGGGCCGACCATCAACCAAACTTATCCAGTGGCTTGTTCAACACCAATGGTTGAGGAAATTGTGGAAGGCCTACCCAGTGGGGGGTGAACAAAAAGATCTCGATGACTTTACGAGATTGATCTTATACCTCGTGGTGCATGGTAAGGATCCTATAGATCCATACATCAACACATCTCAATTTGAACCATTGGTTACTCGTGTCAAAATGAGTAAAGGTACGCCGTTGGTGTTCAGGTTCTTGACGTTGATACATCGAGAAACATATGTTTACGATAATATCTCCGAGTGGATTGGTGCAATTGAGACCGAAAGCCCTGACTATGTCGAGGAACTCCTACTTCTATTAAGTGTTGGGAACTCAAGTCGACATCTCATGCTGTTAATAAAGCGTACCCGCGTTGTGGCTCGGTGTCGTGCCCTTCATTTTAAACAGTCCATTTATTTTCTTACCGAAGTTTTGCTCTACTACTTGAATATCCGCTCGGGGGTTTCTGAATTCGAGCAATTTGAGTTACTCCAGCTGATAGTACACCTGAACTTTGGAGAAAGGTATGCCGAGTTCATTGTGATTGCAAGCCCTCAAATATGGGGTCACGATAACTTACGCAAGTTCATTGAAAGTTTAACTATCCAAGAAAAACAAACTATCATCAAGGATATCGAGCGTGGTGGTGATTGCAGTATGGCTCCTAAATTAACGGAATCTGTGATGAATGAAGTGATCTACGCTTTTGTGTGCATTCCCTTCGTATCAGAGAGTCTGACAGTTGAGCCAACTCGAGCAACTGAGTTGGAGCTTTTCGACCGGTTTGGTGATCCACGATTAGAAGAGAAAATCAACTTCATTCTCCCATTTGAGACGGCACCCTTAGACGAAACGGACTATATGATCAGAACTCGGGTCTCATTGTGGCAGCAAAGTTGTTTTGATCTCTCTCGCCATCTAGAGGCAGTTTTGAGTCGGTTTTTCGCTTTTGGGGCCTCCAAATACATGTTTCCCGTTACTCATATCAACAAAATAGTAAGCGAGGAATATGAAATTGAAACCCCTGCTCCGTTGCGAGGAAAACTGTTTTTTCTTTTGCTTGAAGTTGGGCCTCCGGACCCTCACGAAGAATTGAGACGTTTGAGAGATTGGGGTCTTAGTTTGGTACGCTTATGCAAGGTTGAACCAAGTGACTCCAGGAATGTGGTGTTCTCCTGCAAGAACTCCGATCAGGTCAGTGGTTTTGAACGGCGCGTGAACTGGGTTGTAGTGATGCCACCTGATCTCATTGGACCCGACCAGATTAAATTTTTGGAAACTAAAGAATTCGCGATTCCTCTGGTCCACGAAGCCGAAGATGTGGTTGAATCTTCCATTTTTGCCAATCCTCAGGAGAATAACAATCTTGAGCCCAATGTTAAACGCGTTAAAACCGGTGGCATTGAAACGCTGGGTACACCGCATCTCCAAACAGAGGGTGTTTTTCAAAGCATAGTGCATAATAAGTTTACGCTCGTTCACGAGATGCTGAGATTCAATACCCTGGATATGATCATTGAGCGGGTTCTCAGCGAGGATTTGAAACATCGCACACTTGTTTTGACACTGAGCCAACAACACGTAAACTCGTTCAGTCACAACTCTCGATGGATTCGCTACGGATCGGAGCAAGACTTGGCCGATTGGCGTGACGATCTCAAGAAGTATAGGGATCTTTTGAAAAGTCGTGGATTGATCGGTGTGCCGTTGGTTGATGTTGCTGCTCAATGGGAAGCGTATGTCGAGAAGTACTCGCCAAAAGCTCCTGTGGCTGGTCTGAAACGAGGAGCGAGTCCTGAAGTTACTCCAGAGAAGGAGGTGGTCCAACATTACCCCTTTTCCAAAGATCTATCATCTTTCAAAGAAGTTGTTGCTGATTACCAAGTTTTATTTGATGCGTACGTTTTGATTGATTTGCTTAAACCGCTAGAGCATATCAAAGTCGATCCATGGGAGTATTTGTTCAACCAACGTAACGTGATCATGAGTATTGATGATTACGTTAGGCTTCTGAATGATATTAATGACGCAAGTTATCTTTCCAACCGCCGACTTCGAGGCTTCGACCATGTTATCGTTGTTAACGGACTTTTCTTTGCAACACCAATTGCATGCCCGGCCCATGAAATTCAAGTGACTATTATTGGAGGTTCTCAGAGTGACACTGTGCCAATTTGCGACATTAGTCTAGACGATTCTTTGGTAAGACCTGAGTTTATTGTGAACCCAAACGTGCCCATGATCCCGATCTCTCGAGCTTTCAACCCCGGATTCGTTGAAACTGCATCTGTCATCTCCTGTTCCGGGCAAATCGAAAACGCCGAATATTGCGTGTTGTTGTTCCAATACATGCGTTTATTGAAGTATCCAGCCCATCGGATCACCATTCTAGTTTCCACGCCTCGCCATCAAGCAATTGTCAAGGAAATTTTACACAATTTGTGTGGCGAAAAGGTTGCTCGTGATGGCGACGACTTCCAGTACGGATGGCCCGCTGGAGTTGAATTGAATGGCGACAATCGTGTTCGAGTCAATGACTATGCCATTATATCCCTATTCGACGAACTGAATGAGGACATGGAGAAAGCAGTAGAATTTTCAGACCCCAACGTCGCCAAGCTGATGTACATGGGACGCTTCGGTAATTATATCGTAAGTCCAGTTGGCAGTTCGTTGATGATACAACCAGGAGAAACATTTGAATCAGTTGAGCGCAAGGATGTCGAAACTAATCTAATCGCTTCAAAAGCCGACATGCAATCTTACATCGCAGAATTGTACAAGCTAGTCACAAATCTGGGGTAGTTTCATTAATAAATACATTCGAGGTAAAATAACTTGCACGTTATTTTGTGTGTTGTCAAAAGACTATAAATTGAATCATTCGAACCCTGCTCGGTTTCGAACTCACTCCAAATGATAACTTAAACTCGTAGTTATTTCAAATTTTGGTGTTCTCGAAATTTACCCATTAATTCCGGAAGTCCATACAAAGTCTTGGCAATGGCACTTAAAGTCCGAGTGTTTTGAATCTCAAAATCACGTAAGCGGGGCAGTAATTGATGATAAGATAGCTTATTACTACAAAAAATTATAGTTCTTCAGGACAATACCTTTTTACATACTATATTCAAGTTATCCTTTAGTCCGGGTCGTCTCGGCATTTGGTGTTCGCACCCACTCTTTGAGGGGCGAAAAATTCTGAACGTCTTCACGACGACCAGCTCCATAGGACGCTTAAAAATTTCGAAATGCAGAGAGCTTTTATCAACCCAATGAGAAGAACCTTGGCAGTCTCCATGACTGCTGGGCGGACTCCCGTGGTTATGGCTGCTATGAGACCCGTTACTGGCTGCAGATTCAACTCGCTGTCGACTAAAGATGAAAAGCCTGCCGACCAAGCCGATGAACTGAAAGCCGCCGAGCAAAAGCCTGCCGAAGAAGAGTCTCCTCTTGACCCGAAGGACAAGGAGATTGCCGACTTGAAGGCTAAGTTGGACAAGAAGGATAAGGATTTGGCGGTGATGAAGAACCACTACGCACGTTCAGTCGCCGACTTCCGCAGCTTGCAAGAACTGACGAAGAAAGACATGCAAAAGGCCAAAGACTTCGCTCTCCAGAAGTTTGCCAAGGACCTTTTAGAATCGGTCGACAACTTTGGCCGTGCATTGGACTCGGTTAACAAAGACACCTTGGGCGCTAATCCCGATTTGAAGCAATTTTACGATGGGGTTGATATGACCAAAAACGTGTTTGAAAAGACTCTCGAGAAATACGGCATCGAGAAGATCAATCCCGAGGGCCAACCCTTCGATCCTAATCAACACGAAGCCACTTTCGAGATTCCCCAACCTGATAAGGAACCTGGTACTGTTTTCCATGTTCAACAAGTTGGTTACACCTTAAATTCGAGAGTTTTGAGACCGGCCAAGGTTGGTGTCGTTAAGGGTGAAGACAATTAATTTTGTCAATAACGATTTATGACCATCTTGTACATAAATGAAAGTTAGTCACGAAATTCAAAACGTTACTTTTGAAGAGCATATCATCAATATATGACGTGAATCCGTAATACTCGTCATTGTAGCTAGCTTTAATGTTATGTAGTGCACGAGACGTCTAGGAAGCGAGAATCATCAGTCCGCTGAATGGCGTAGTACTTGAAGCCCAGGTTCCTTAGCCGAGCGTGCAGTCAACAACATAGCAGTGTGAACGCCTTGATCAGACGGCGTAAGGGACACGATTAGAATCACCGAATATCTTGGCAATAGCCTCGGTTTGGCATACTTTGTTCTCAATAAGATAATTCGAGGCGGTTGCGGGTTGTGTTTGCAGCCACGTTTTAGGCATCGTAACTTTCAGGGGCGTTTCTGTGGCTAAATGCGCGTTTGGATTCGAGAGAATCTCGCCGCATCTAGACAACGCTAACCCCTGATACAAACGACTCGTTTGACTCTCAAGGTCGGTTGAAAGTATTGGACCAGCTGTCTTTTAAATTTGACGTCAATAGTTACCTCACGACGTACAGTCTACATATCAGCCGTTCGAACAGATTAGGTTACGTCGTGTACGTATTCGCTTGTCAATTTAGCGAGTATATCATGTGGTAAGCCGCCCAGAAACCACGACAATATTGAGTGAGTTATAATATATATATATAGTAAAAACTAGGGATAAGCAGTCCCTTGCCCAACCACACACCAATGCAATTTGCGAACGTTGTTGCCGGCTCGTTGGTGGCTGCTGCCGCTGTATCGGCTGCCCCTATTGCTCAAGCTCAGGCCCAGGACCTCTCTTTCCTTGCCGATTCAGGGTTTTGGTCGCTGGCGTCTACCCTTGCATCGGCGATGTCAAAAATTCTTGATACGGGGAAATCTTCCAACCCCGAAACTTCTAAGGCAGTAACGGATGGTACATCGAGTGCTCCTGCCGGATCCTCAGGTTTGATTGGTTCGTTAATCAATGGTTTTACTTCCATACTCACTGGTGGTCAAGGTATTGGTGGTGTCCTCAATGCTATCATTTGAATAATCAACCATCATGAGCCACGCAATAGCTATCTTCTCATTGATAAACCAATTGAATCGAAACTGTTTCTGAGCGTGCAACTTTATATAAGACAATTTAATATGACGTCTCCCAACTAATTCTCAAACTGTAACGCCTCAGCTTGGATTCTTTGTTTTTACGTCCACCATAGTACACATGTCGCGCGGAGTTCTGCGTTCAAGCGATGAGGGCTATCCCCACCACATCATGGCAGGTGGGAGGTAGCGATAACTGGGTGACTAATATTCGTTACATCGATGCCACCAAAACTATCGTTGCGGGTTCCAGTGATGGTTATCTTCGCGGGTACGATCTTGATGGCACCAATCAATGGAACATCAGTGCCCATGAGCTGGCAGTGAATCAAATTGCGCTCGTTGGAGACTATGGAGTGGTACTGTGTCTGACTGATGGTGTGAAATTGTGGGATTTGCGCAACATAAGCTCAGATCCTACACATTGTTTTACTAACCCCAAACAAACATCGTTTTTGTCAGTTGCAGTGCTGCCTGATGGAAATTTCATCGCCGGCGGGACTGAGCTCAAGGGCACTGACGCGGAAATTTACATCTGGGATATAAGAAACCCCTCGGAACCGTACCGTGCCTATGTCGATAGTCATCACGATGATGTTACTTACCTTCTGTTCCACCCCACTACCGAGACTTACTTGATGCTGGGACTGACAGACGGTTATGTTAACATCATCAATTACGCTGAGGCTGACGAGGATGAACTGTTACATCAAGTGATCAATTTTGCCCTGGTGCATCTGTGCCACTGGGATCTCGAGAGGAGAATCAGCGTGCTTTCTCATATGGAAACTTTGGCGTTTTACGACTTAAATGATACCAATTACGAAGAGCAGGCTGAAGCTCAGCCAAATGAGATGGGCGATGTACGGCTGACATGGCCTGATTGCGAGTATGTCGTTGACGTGCTGCCTTCTGGATATGTGTCATATGGTGCTAACTCGAAATCTCTGCTCACATTGCTTCCCTTCAACCCTGCCACGGAGATCTTTGACGATAATAATCCCGTTTGGTTCCACGAGGCACATGGTGAAGAAGTCGTCAGAGATTTATTTGTGATTCCGTACACCAAAACTGCCATTACTTGCGGCGAGGATGGTAAAATTAAGGTTTGGCTGCTTCCTAAGGAATTGAAGCATTATGACTTGATCAACCCTGATGAGAAAGATGACAATATGGACATAGACGATGCGGCGGTTGAGGAAAAGAACGATAGCGATAAGTCTCTGATGGAAAAGAAGGACAAGATGGTGAAGAAGGAGAAGAAGGACAAAAAAGAGAAAAAAGAGAAAAAAGAGAAGAAAGAGAAGAAAGAGAAGAAGGACAAGAAAGAGAAGCACGAGACGGACAAAAAGGGTAAAGACAAGCACAAGTCGAAGCGGGATAAAAAGGAGAAGCGGTTTAAGCCATATTAGCTTTATGCTAAGTATGCTCCGTGTGATATACGCAGTATCTATTTAACACGTTTTGATTACTCGTAACTATTTCATTCTCTTGATGATGTCGTCAATGACTTGTTGAGTCGTAGACGATCCACCAAGATCGGGGGTTTTAATCTTGTCTTCGGCCAAGTTAGCATCAACAGCCTCGTAGATAGTCGTGGCGGCATCTTGGTAACCCATGAATTCCAACATCAATGCAGTGGATCTAATAGTGGCAATGGGGTTAGAGATGCCCTTGCCTTCGATGTCAGGAGCAGAGCCATGGCAAGGTTCACCGATGGCAAAGTTATCACCGACATTGGCCGAGGGAACCACACCAAGCGAGCCGACAAGAGCAGCGGCACCATCAGACAAGATGTCACCATACAAATTCGGCGCGACTACAACGTCAAATTCTTCAGGTTCACGGAACATACGGTAAACCATAGAGTCCACGATTTGTTCCTTGTATTCCACGGCTTGGAATTGAGGGTTTTCTTCCCAAACCTTCTTGCAGACCTCGCGGAACAACCCGTCAGATTGAGACAACACGTTCAGCTTGTGGGTGACGGTAACCGAGGGGTGGTCATGGATCAGCTTGAGACCGTTTTCCCGAATTTGTTGTCTCGACAAAGCGATCTCAAATGCAATCTTTGCGATTCTGGTGGTCGCGGTTTCGGTGATTCTCTTGATTGCCTCGGCCACTTGGGTACCATCGGCAGCCTTGTAGGTCTTTTCTTCCTTGATGTACAAATCCTCAGTGTTCTCACGAACAATCACCATATCCACAGGACGGCCGATCCCTTCAACCGACTTGACTGGACGAACGTTGGCATAGAGGCCAAGCTTCTTTCTCAACGCTACAATCGGCGACGAGTAACCAGCAACCTTCACCGTGGGCGACGACACAGCGCCGAAAAGAGCCCCATCACAATCGTTCTTGAGGATGTCGACAGTTTCCTCAGGCAAGGCGGTACCAGTCTCCTTGAACAACTCGTAGCCAGCTTTCAAGTCGACAAAACTGAATTGAAGATCGTACTTCGAAGGCAAGTTCTCCAACACAGCCTTACCAGCAGGGATAACCTCTCTCCCGATACCGTCACCAGGAATCAACCCGATCTTCAATTGCTTCATGGATCTCAGAGTGGACAGTAATTGGCGAATCAGTCTCAACATGGTATTAGCAGATGTGTAAGAGTGTGAAATTTGTGGAAAATTTAACTGGATCCGTTATCGGAGACCGGTGCGGATGTGACTCAGACTCTACTGCACGGCGTTCCCCAGAATATGACTGCTGCAGATGCATCAATCCTCACGAGTTGGAAATGTTAGAAAGTAAATGATTTGTTAATTGAATCTTACAAGCTACCTTGAATCGACAGAATTGAAAAAATCACGGTTAATGCAATTTGGATGAATCTGTCAGGGAAGAAGACTTCTCTTTCTCTCCGACACTCGAAACGAAACTAATCACCAACTGACGTTATCCAGATATAAATGATTGTAGTGAAGATGAAAGCGCCTGATGAACTCATCCCTTACCAACTGATGCCTCTCCCATCAACTCACGACATCTTTTACGGAATCAAACAATGCGTCCACAACCGATTCACATATATAGTGACCGTTCGAGTGTCGTGGAGATTCAATACTCCAGGTGGTCTCACGTCCGGAAATTCGTAGTTCCCTTAGTTATTCCTCAGTATGTGAGTCGCGATCGTGTCGACGTGGAAAATTGCGAGGTGCACTTTGACGGTATGAGTAAGCTTGGTCAGGTATTCTGGATTGCCGGAATCATACGCGTGGTGGTGCCCACCATATATCCCCAAATCGTTGACACCTTGGCACAAACCGTCGAAATCCTGACGCCAATCAACTCGTTCGAGACACTCAAGGAGGCCTTCTTTTATATCAGAAACGGCATCAATCTTTATGACGGTGATGATATAACCATCCCACCCGTGTATGTGGCACTCATGCAGCTACTCGATTGGCCTTACGTGGGTTCTTTACTATACAACTTACTATTCACAGCTATTGACTTGTGGATTGCGTGGCGAATGGTTGCGATTAATCGGTGGTACCAAAAACATCAAACCCGCCGATTAGGAAAGTACGCTGAAGTGAAAGGATTCAATGATGACTTAATTGCTTCTTTCGTTTTGTTTAACCCGTTGATTATCCTCACCTGCATCTCCCACCTGACACTCCCCGTGCAAGTTGTGCTTATTGTCGAGCTGATATATCAAGTTTGTGTCGGACATAGCATAAGCAGACTGGCCATAACATTGGGAGTGGCGAGTTACATTGGGTTTACTCCGGTATACTTAGCGCCGTCAATTTTCGCTTTAGCTCATGCTTTGAAACTTGAAGAACCTGCGCGGGTGTATGTTCACGGCATCGCCATCTTGACCACCACCATTATGTTACTTGCTCTAATCTCAGCAACAATGACTGGCTCGACTCAATTTCTTACTTGCTACAAGTCGATTATTTGGGGTGATAAAATTTCTCCCAACACGGGGTTGTGGTGGTACTTGTTCACAGAAATGTTTGAGTTCTTCACTCCTTTTTATACAGCTGTTTTCAATATCTACCACTTTATCTTCATTTTCCCTATTACTGTCAGATTATTTGAGTTTGCTAAAGTGACAAAAAAAGATCGAATGGGAGTTTCACGGATTGCGGTTGATGAAAAGGGCAACTTTGTTAGCATTGATCCTGATGGTACAGTGACCCCATTGAATTTCGGCACTGAAAATGCCCAGAAGGAAGAACCGCAAGCAACCACCACTGAGCTGGAGGCATTGACGACCGAAGCGACGTTGACCAGGCGCACTCATGAAGAGTCCAAGCCCGCTACTGAGGTAAAGAAAGAGGCCGCCTCCGAATCTGACAGTGAACACTACAATGGTGATTCACTCCTAGCGGTTGTGCTTTGCTTTATATGGCTTTCATTCTCTAAGCTGTATCCAGTCATTGGGGATTTGGGATACGGGGTATCGTTTCTTGCGATATTCAAAAACACTGCCCTTGCACACTGTCTGTACTTATTTCCTGTGGGGCTCACGTTCGTTGTGTGTCTTTTATTATCTCCCATCTTCTACTATTGTTGGATTGTTTTGGGGAATGGTAACTCGAACTTTTTCTACAGCATCAACTTGATCTGGGGGGTAGTGCACGCGTTGATCATGATGGATGTTATTTGGGGCAAGTTAATATTTGACTACATTGTACAGCATCAGCTAACCGAAGCTGACAAGAAAGATTTACAGCTTACGCAACTTTAGCATTAATACATACTTCACCGCTTATTTTGTATCATTAATTGTTGTTGTTGTTGTTGTTGATGTTACATTACAGATTACGATGTAGCATTAAACGTACATAACGCCTTTCCAGAAAGCACTAGAGTTTGAGCAGGATAAACCGGTATCCTGCTGTCACCATCGAGGTTTACAAACGGTGTGATGTGTAGCAACGTCCACCACCAATTCTTGACAATATAAACATGGATGAACATTCAAGTGTGTTGGCATGTGGTACTCGTACAAAAAGACCAACGATGGGACGTTAACACCACAATAAGGACATCGTGGTAGTGCAACAAACGGTGGATTTTTGGCTTCCTGACCGTTTGGAACACTTGGAGGCCCAAACATAAGCGAAGGATGAGATCAGGGTTGTGGACAACGCGGTGTTACGGAACGCGAATAAAAAATCACACGTGTGAAGATTACGGCTTGGCCGTGTATAGAAGATTCTACATGTGACATGGATCACTTTGCAACTTTCAAGTCGACCACAACTGGCCAGAACTCGATAGATGTAAATAGGTCGGCAAATCGGATGCGCTTGCTCAGGTTAAATCTCTCATGGATCTTAAGTTCCGCACGTAAAGGTCGCTTTCTGATCCGTGATGCTGATTATAAGCTGGATGTATCTATGCCATACTCAAATGAAATCATAAAATTTAACTTTGTGTTCAAAGCGGCACCCCAAATGACAGTTGCTTACATTGCTTCAAAGTCTTGGCTCATCGTATCTGGCACGGCCCGATCCCGCATCTGTGAGTCAGCCACAAAACTTCCCCGCATGAGTCTCAATCTCCTTGAGAAATAATTAATCAGCAAGCCACTCCTGTAACTAGGCTGAAGAGAGATGAGCATGAAAGATAGTGACACCACAAGTGTGTCAACAGGTGTCTCATATGAACCCAAAACGCTTGTTTTGTCACTGACACACGGATCTGAATCGCTGAAAAGGTATATTCAACGTACGCAAACCAATGGCAGTCTTTACAAAGTAATCCTGGGGATACAAGATGATCGTGAACTCGATCGCAAAGATCTGTATTTACCAACTGGTCAGGAAGTGGCTGACGTGATTGAAGAAATATCACGTCCTCAGTCCAGACTGGCTCAAGCAGGTTCGATGTTGGAAAATAGTGATGAAAGAAGCAATGACCATAGCGACATTACACCTGATGAAGTTGATGCGCCAAAACCTGATACCGGGTATGCGTGGTTCATGGCTGTTTGCGGCTTGTTGGCCGTGTTTTCTACGTGGGGGTCTAACGCTTCATTTGGGGTCTTTTTGAATTTCTACACGTCCCATGATACATTTCCGGAAGCCGGCAAGTACGACTACGCGCTTATAGGTGGCATAGTCATGTTTTGTGCTCAGTTCCTAGCACCATTCTCCATCTTGATATACCAAGTAGTGGGTCATCGACCATTGATGATCTTGGGAGTTTGTCTACAGACAGCCGGTTACATACTTGCACTGTTCGCAACTCGCTTATGGCAGCTTTATTTGACGCAGGGTCTTCTAGTTGGTCTTTCTTTCGTCATGGTCTTTTTACCCGCAACCATGATTGTCCCAACTTGGTTTGACAAGTATATCGCAACATGTATGGGTATCATGGTCCTGGGAGCTGGTGTTGGTGGGTTGGTCTTCTCTCTTTCATTGAACAAAGTTATGGAACAAACAGGAGACCAGCGTTGGGCTCTTCGTATGGTCGGCTTCATTTGTTTATTTACCGCCATCATCCCTGCGGTGTTCCTCAAAAATAGAACCAAGCTGGCTGCGCAACTCACTCCATTACGACAACGACTCACGCGAAAATACATACTGCAACATGCTCGAGTGATCTTCGATTTCTCTGTCTTCAACAATTATGCCTTGATTTGTGTCGCCTTTTGGTTTGCCATCTGCTTATTAGGGTATACTCTTATGCTTTATCTGACATCATCCTACGCAAAACTGGTCGGCCTTTCCGATCAGCAAGGGTCGCTGCTCACTTCGATCATGAATGCGGCACAGATTGTAGGTCGGCCATTAATGGGGCTTACTTCAGATGCCTTCACTGGACGCCTGACATTTGCTCTGGGGATTTCATTTTTAATTGGAATCTTATTACTTGCATGGTGGATCAATGCCGATCTGTACGGTCTGCTTATTGCCTTTGTCGTTGTAATCGGGCTAGTCATTGGCGTTGGGTCAACGATGGCACAATCTCTTGCATCAGACATTTTGAAAGGTCAACGTGTGGCACTGGCATGGTGTGGGATGAACATGCTAGTGGGAATGACAACTCTAGTTGCGGAAGTCATTGCATTGGCATTGGTCAGACCAGATTCCTCGAATCCTTATCTTCATACCCAAATTTTCTCGGGGTGTTGCTTTTTATTTTGTGGCATATTGGCATTAATCGCTAGAGAATATCTTGTGAGGCGTAAATTGCACGAACGACAAGAAAATGCTCTTAATCATTGCGAGGAAGTGGCTCCGAGCAAGGATGGCGACGATGAAAAGGAAATTATTCAACTGCGCATATCCCGTTACCAAATTCTTTTGAAGCGTTCCCTCTTTGCTTTCTTCATTAGGTGTTTCTACCCTATCAAAGCATGAATATCTAGACCAGCCTACATCATCTGAAATCATATACACTGCATACGATAAACAGACTGTGAAAACAGAAAGACACTTACGTTATTCTGTTCATTAAAATCCCAACAATCTCTATTCGATTGATTATATATTAGTAATTTACAAGAAAGACTAGCCACCTTAACGGTTAGACTTGGCAACTCTTTCCAATTCGTCCTTCTTCTTGATGGCGTACGAGGTCGACGAACCCTTAGCAGCGTTGATCAATTCTTCAGCAAGACATTCGGCGATGGTCTTGATGTTTCTGAAGGTGGCTTCTCTCGAACCAATGGTCAACAAAGCAATAGCTTGGTTAACTCTTCTCAAAGGAGAGACATCAACGGCTTGTCTTCTGACGGTACCCGAAGAACCAATTCTGGTGGAGTCTTCTCTGGCACCCGAGTTGACGATGGCGTCAACCAAGACTTGGATGGGGTTTTGTTCGGTCAAAACGTGGATGATTTCAAAAGCGTGCTTGACGATTCTAACAGCCTTCAACTTCTTACCGTTGTTTCTACCGTTCATCATCAACGAGTTGGTCAATCTTTCGACGACGGGACATTGGGCCTTTCTGAATCTCTTGGCGGCGTAACGACCAGCAGTGTGCGAGACAAAGATGGGCTTTTGGACTTGGATGTAGTCCACAAGCGATTCATCCTTGATTTCGATGCCTTCAAACGACCACTTGTTGAAAAGCTTGACTTCACCTTGGCCAGCTTGCACTTCAGCAGGGATGGGGGTGGCAAGTTCCACGAATTGGATTTCTTGTTGTTGGACAACGGGTTGTTCTTCAGTGTCAGACATTTTGAACTGCTAGCGATAGACAAGAGTTCGAGTTAAAGTTGAGTGAAAAATTTGCCGGTGGCAGAGGGTCGCACGGTACGGCACACGCAGCCCTGGTGCCAACGTGCAGGTAAAAATACAAAATATGCAGGAAGAGCGCCTCTAGGTCAGCTAACCCTAAGTCACGTGAAAAGTCGAAACTCTACCACCAGGGCAGTTCTGGCAAACTTGTTATAATCATTCAAAACCGGTCGTTTGGTGTTAAATCATCCACAGGTTCCAATAGCTTCAATCCGTGGCAGAAATATGCAATTTGGATTTTTCATGAAACCAACTTTACTGGTTTCGATCAATTAGGAAGGTAAAGTTCATTCGTGTTGATGATTGTGCATAGAGGCCAAACTGCGCACCAGATCAATTAAGCGCCATTCATGATGGAGAAATTCTTCGAGTCGATAAAAACTCTCAACTTTCAAAAGACATGAATTCACCAAACTCGTCATTCATTTCTTCTAGCAGTTGGTCAAAGTTGAGCTGCTCCTGATAGTTGTTGAAGCGACGACGGTATATCAGTATCCACTCACTGAAACTCAGGGCAGCATCCATCGAATGGAAACGGACACCTAAAGCAACTTGTACCACTTTAGGTTCATCAGCATTGTCTTTGATAATATCAGGGTCATCTGAATCAAGCAGTCCGAAGTGGTACCCTGTATAGGGTAACTGTACTAAGCATTTGAAGTCGCGCAGTCCAAGAGCTTCAATGGTTTCTCCTCCATCGTTGGCTACCTTATACTTTCCGGATGGATTGTACCAAATTTCGCCGAAGAGTTGTTTCACAGGATTGCCTTCATCTGAAACTACCGAGTTGTGTAATTCCACCTTAGCACGGAGTCCATCATACGCATTTCTTTGTGTGGCTGGTGCAGCGTCGTCATTATCCCCAGTGATCAATTCCTGCTCGATTAACAGCAACCTCCCGTGCCACACATTGGTAGTGAAGTGAAAAGGGGCTTGTGGAGGTATGGAATATAGCAGAACCTCCAGCTCGAATAGCACCGTGGAAACAATATCTTCCGCATACATCAGACACCGAGCACAACGATCACCTTTTTATTTGAGTTTGGCGACACGAATGGTAGTACTTCGATTCGTAGGGTCAGACTTGTGCGCGAAACTCCGCACTCAAACTCAATCATGGGGTGTTTGATCAGCAACGAAAAATCCATGTAGGATACTGTTTTATATCATACTAAGCTCCGTCCACTACTAAATTTAAATTGTTGTTTTCTTCTCTTGAATAACTATTGCCATTCACGTTATTCTTCAAACAAGCTGGCATCATTCAATAACAAACGTTTATAAATACGAAAAGTGTTACGCTAGAGTAGTCTAAGCACGTAACCACGTCAACATATAGAAACTATGCTTGATCCATTCAAATCTTCAAGTAAGCTCTTCTCGATGAATCGGCGTCGTCCAGTGCGCATCTAAAAAATTCCCTCTACGTTGGCTCTTTACCTAAACTATCATGTTTCGAGGTATAGTGAGAAGTGTGCAGTTGGGGTCTCCCTACCCTGTATGGACTCGACTGATCCGGTTCAACTCTAACTTGAACCAGTTGAAGTCCCAAGGGCAAGAAGGGGCTGCGCTGGCTCTGAGTGGATCGCATTCCTATGTTGAAGGTTTATTATCAGAAACTGTGAAGTTCAAGCAAGAGGAAAATGCCCAACAATCTGGAATGACCATCGTCGATTCTCCCCGGGAAATGGCTGCTAGAATTAATGTCCAACTGCCTATGGCTGGCAGAGTGGCAATCGTAAAGCGAGGAAATATTGGTGAGGCCATCGGCAAAATCAATAGAACCATCGGCGAGAATAAGGTGAGGTACTTGAACAAACAACAATCACGGTTCACTCGCCCAGCCAAGTTGGCTAAGCAGAAGAAGCGCGAATGGTGGAGAAAGCGCTTTTCAGAAGGCTTCAAAGACTTGATGGACCAAGTCAGAGACGCCAAAAGACGGGGTTATTAAATTTACTTGTACATACGAATTGCATAACGAATATAGGACAAATATCAATTACCAGAATTTCTCTTCCAGAAGTTTACTTCGTTTGTAAGTTTTATTTGGTATGGATGTGCCACAAGCTAGTCATTCGTAGTGACTGTCAGTCGAATTCTGTTGTTCACTCTGGAATTCTAAAAAAGCTGTTCATATCAACGTTGGCACATGTGAATTGATCGTACCTTATTGACACGATAACCCGCGTCGCAGAATTACTACCATCCACCGTGAGCAATGAAGTTCTTAGCTATTTTGACCACACTTGTGGCTGCCGTTACTGCTGTGGAAGAACTTGAGATTGAGGTTACCAAAAAGATCCCTGCCGCTGCTTGTCGCCGTAAGACAAAGGCGGGTGACTTGGTTGCTGTCCATTACAGAGGCACACTCGAGGACGGCACCGAATTTGACGCCTCATACAACCGCGGCCAGCCCATCACGTTTCCCCTTGGCGCCGGTAATGTTATCCAAGGCTGGGATCAAGGCTTGTTAGACATGTGCGTTGGTGAAAAACGCAAGTTGGTTATCCCACCTCACTTGGGTTATGGCCTGCGTGCAATGGGTCCAATTCCTGCCAACTCGGTCCTCGTTTTTGACACTGAATTGGTTGACATTGCCGGGGGTTACGACGAAGATATCGACAACGCTGAAGATAGAATCGAAGCCAATGAAGCAGTTGTTGACGAATTGTAAATCAAACAATAACCTCGAAGCCACTTTATATCACACTAAATGTACTGATTCAAATCTTATAGAGAAGTTCGCTAAGCTTGTACTGTGTCAGTTGAACTACGCTCGCACGGGGGAAATTGCACAACCCATGTCTCGTTATAACAAAATCTTATCTGAATTCCTAGCGTCGCCTCTCGAGTTCCAGTTGCTTACTCAACCTCTCAAGCTGGCAAAAGTGCTAGTGCTTGACTCGCTGTTCAACCCCCCCCATATAGCGCATGCAAAGATAGTTAAGCATGCTCTTCAAAATGCCCAACAACGAGCTGAATATGCTCAGGTAATGCTATTGTTACTGGTTAACAATGCAGACAAAGCACCAATACCAGCTTCATTTACGGACCGCCTCGAGATGATGGGGCTATTGAGCCAATGGCTAGAGAAGTCATATGATTGCCAAGTGGCAATTGGATTGACGAAACAGGCCAAATTCATTGACAAGGCTCTGGCCATAGACTACAGGCATGGAAAGCTTGAATTCTTGGTTGGTTTCGATACATTGGAAAGAATTATTGATCAAAAGTATTACGAGAACCCAATTTCAGGAATCTTGGAATCATTTTTTGAAAGGAATGAAATTATTTGCTTAACGCGCCCTGGAACGACGACTATCGAGCAGCAAATTAAAGTTGTCAATCAATTGAATTCTGAGTTTAAATCACATCCGATCACGATAATCAATGATAATGCAAGTGAAGTGAGCTCTTCAAGTATTAGAAATCAAAGAAAACTCGGTGAACAATGGAAGCAATGGGTTATACCAGAGATTGCCCAGTATATTGATACTCACAACCTATATATCTAATTGAGGGCAACTGCGATCGCCCCAATTAACATGTATAACCATGGCAGGCAGCTAAGTTGCCAAGCAATGCTAGTCATTCGAGCGGGTTCAGTTGCGATGGGAGTGACTGGTCCGGATTCCTGAGTAATGTGACGGTCTTCCTCATCATCATGCGATGTGTAGTGCCCCTGATTCAGCTCACATCTAATTGCGCCACCACGAATTTTCGTGACCATTTCGCTAGACAACCACGCGTCACAATCAAACCCCAGCGTTGCTTTGATTAATGCCAGACCCCTGAGTTCACGCAAACTGTCAAATCCAAGATTTTCAATAGGACCTTCAACATGCAATGCTCCACCAATTGATGTAAGCTGTTTGAAACCATCAACGTCGTAGAGCTTAGAATTATTGATGGCAACAAACCCACCTCTGATGTCTTCAAGGTGATTGGCCTCTATAGAAGCGAGTTCAGCGTTGGTCGCGATAAATAAGGTCCCTCCAACCCGACGAAGCTTCGATAAGTTGAGTGTGCCAAATTTGTTTGAAATGATCGCCATCAGGTTTTCGACTGCTTCAAGCTGATGAATCTTGAGACCACCAAGATGTTGCAATGTCATATTTCTGACATGAGTCAAGTTTGCCAAGTCGACCGTCATACCTTCTCCATTCGATACTAAGTGCATCAGTACTTCAATTCTCTCGACGGGAACCAGAAGATTGTATATATAACGATTGTTGTTGATATCCAAGACTTCAATTTCCGGAGCAACATTTCTCAAGTCCAATTCCTGGAGGGACGTATCTGAAACCACCACAGACTTGTTCACCTTCAATGGAAGCGTGTTGGCGTACAGCAAAATAGGCAACACAGACCACTCAATAGAGTTGACCGCGTGTAAGTTTGGCAATTCCATGTTGAACAAATTAGTCAATTCTTGAAGCCGGAATGTACCAGCCACAGACAGAACCTTCGAGCCTCTGATTTCGGAGATGTGATGATTTTGATTGATAACCAAGTCCTCGGTAATCGATTCGATGTCAGCAAGGTCAATCAACTCATTGTTGAAGTTCGAGTCAATAGTGAGGGAGCCATAGATCGTAGCACACTTGTTGATGACATTCATATCAGCGACTGAAGCAATTATCACATCACCCCTGCACTCAGGTGCAATGGAAACAACCAGCGAGTTCACACTCATAGCCACTGCCAATCCAATTTGAATAATCAGCCTCCAAAGCATTCGTAAATGTTCTCCTCGAATCTAGTACATAATGACTTTATATGTGACAACTAGCTCTGCATTTAGCGGAGTAGATATCGGGTAGTATTGTCAATCAAACTTTGCAGAGTACTCATCACATTGTACAGACCTCATTGTTCACTCGTTCATAGGGACATCAAGTGTGATCAAGATTTACCTCGCCATTTGTATATCGCATCGCGCTTCAATGCTACGATTAGCAAAGCGGGTAAAAACGGAAAGATTCCAATCCTATCGATACTTGATCTCCGCTAAGACCATGAGAGAAGTGCACCCAATCAAGTTGAATGACACGGAAACACAGATTCGGGACGTGCTCGTTGATTTTTGTCAACACTACAACCTGAACCATACCCCTCCTCTTGAACTTCGGATCACTGGTGGCTGGGTGAGGGACAAACTATTGGGCAACGAAAGTCACGACATTGACATAGCAATTGATCATATGACAGGGGAGGACTTCGCTACGCAGCTCCATTCTTGGTTATCATCGCACCGCCCGGAGCTTTCTTTGAAAGCTATACACACCATAAAGAAAAATCCGGAGAAGTCAAAACATTTGGAAACCTGTACAACTAAATTGTTTGGTTGTGACATTGATTTTGTCAACTTGAGACTGGAGTCGTACGGTGAGAATCTGAGGGTACCGATAATCAAGTTTGGTTCCGCTGAAGAAGATGCATTGAGACGAGATGCGACATTAAATGCGTTGTTTTACAACTTAAACCAAGACAAGATTGAAGACTTTACAGGACGTGGACTTGATGACTTAAAGCAGGGAATTTTGCGGACGCCTTTGTCCCCCAAGCAAACCTTTTTGGACGATCCTCTTCGCGTGTTGCGTCTCATCAGATTTGCTTGTCGTTTTAAGTTTGAGATTGATGCCGAAACATTAGAAGCTATGCTGGAACCAGAAATCAAAGAGGCACTCAAGTCCAAAATTAGCCGCGAACGAGTGGGAATAGAATTGGAGAAAATTTTGGAGGGAGATTATCCCGAGTATGGTCTTCAGCTTATCAATTATTTGGGTCTTGCTAAATCTATATTCAATGCTGGTGATCAACAACCACTTTTACAACAACTTAATGAAGTCCAAGACATCAATAAGTTAAATTCGGGTTTTGATAAACTTGGTCACCAAATTAACCTTGCTACAGCTGTTTATTCAAAGTACAGGTTACTCAAAGGGTCATCTAACTTATTTTCTAGTCTTCGTGACCAACGGTTATTTTGGCTTGCTGTAATTTTAGCCCCTTTTGGTGACTTGAAGCTTCGAATGAACCCGAAGAAGGATATGAAGGTTAGTGGTGTTCAAATATTATTACGTGAAGGTGTGAAATTTGGTAACAAGGAAAACGATATTGTGGCTACTCTTGTTACGAATCATGTTAATTGTTCGAAAGAGCTCGAATCTTATTTGGGAGAAGTTGATCAAGTCTCTGATAACTTGAATGCAACAAGTCTTGAGGATGTCAAACCGATGACCACGTCATTATCTCGTTCCCAGATCGGGTTTTATCTTCGAAAGTTTGGTTCTAACGCTCAATTGAATTTGGAATTAAATTGCTTCCTTGAGATTCTCGATCGCCTTGCTGAATGTAAAATTGAAACCGCAAAACCTGATCCCAATGAGGCTACTAGAATAGAACCAGAAGACACCGTGGAGAGCATAATCGCTTTGACAATTTTGAGATATAATCGATTACGTGAAACCATCAAGAAACTCAATTTGTCAAATGTCGATACTCTCAAACCCATTGTTGATGGTAAATTGATGATCCAAATTGTCAAGGGAATGGGCCCTGAGTACTCAAAGGTAAAAGGTGGACAATGGATGTCAGGGTTTCTTGAGGATGTATTAAAGTGGCAACTTGATCATCCAGATGGTACAGCATCCGAGGCCACGGATTGGATCAAGCAAGAGATTCCAAAGCGAAACATTATTTAGCATTCAGAGCATCTGGTACTGCGTACCAACGAATCATTGTCTTAGAGTATTAGATTCGTAAATATTATATAAATAGATTAATGCGCAACGATTTTCTCCATGGCGTGAGAATCACCTGCAACTAATTCAGGATCATCAAGAGCATCGGCTAAGCATTTCCAAGGATCGCGTGTGCCTCCCCACTTTAAGATTGAATTTTTATAGCGCTCACCTGCCTCACGGCTCCAAGGATCATCTGCGAACAATTCCTTCCACACACGATCTGCAATAGCTCGATCTAATAGGTAGGAGTAATACACAGAGCCATAGCTGAATAGATGAGGAAACTTTCCATGCCAAGTGGATTCAACATCAGCAAATATGCGCAAGCGACGCTCAAGCTCATGATATATTGGAGTTGAATCGAAGTTCTCGAGGTTTTTAATAACATCACCATCATGGAGTAGCTGGTCTAACATGGCCATTTTCAGTTGCATGAACTCTTCACAGTTGTTCAAGATAACCTTATCGTTTTGTTGCTTTTCCAACAACTCGGCAGGAAGAGGCTCATCGGTTTGATAATGTCTAGCAATAGTGCATAAAACACGCGGATCCCTGGCAAACAGTTCCATCAAAACGGAAGGCAACTCTACAAAGTCAGTTGAGCAGCGTGTACCACTCAAGTTATGGAGATCAGTTCTCCCAATCATCAGATGCATTGCATGACCCATCTCGTGAAAAATCGTATCGACTTGATCAAGTGTAAGCAATGTCACCGCCTTAGGGGAACTTGCAAAATTACACACCAACAGAATGACCGGAAGTTGGTAATTTTGCGAGTCATCTGTGAAAACTTGACCACTAACGTCATCGTCAAGATCAGCATTTAGTTTTCTCAGACAAACTATAGTGAAATGCGAAGGTAAAACCTTTTGCAGCCAAAAATCAAGATACAAGTAACCGATGGTTTTCTGAGAAGCGCGATCATATACAGCAATTTTTCGAACTTGCAGATCCCAAGTCTCCCCACGATTCGTGGGAACGGGGATGAATTCGACGTTGTAAATCAGTTCAAATAGCCGCGACAAGCCACTAATCACAGTTCCCACGGAGAGATAGGGAGAAATTGAGGGGAGAGGCTCTTCCGGTTGATTTTGTTGCTGCCGTACCAAATAATCGCGATCCCAGGGTTTGACTGAATCCATTACCTCACCGTTGGATGCCAAAACTCGCGAGCCTTCTTTATGAGAGTATAGGTTTCGTAGTTCATGCATGACACCACCCAATTGTGAGTTGTTTCCCACCAGCGAACCAACAAGTTTCAGCTGAAGGTTTCGAAGAAACGTCATGACATTCTCTGGCAGACGAGCCATTTTATGCTCTAGTTGATATGCAGCAAATGATGGGAAACCCAACATGTGTGCCAAGTAAGCACGATATTGTATGATCAGATTAAGGGTTTTAATTTGGTCAGGTTTCGAGTTGTGAAGGGCAATCCAAACACGCTTCCGTAACCCTTCCAGAGGACACATGCTGAGAATGCGGTAAGGAATGTTCCCCACAAGTGGGATATGGACGTGACCTTGAGATGGTTTAGAAGCAAATCGCAGTTGGTATGCCATTATATCTTGCTCAAGCAGAGGCTCCAATTGCTTGACTTCGAAAAGAGGCACCTGAATGGAATACTCAGCAAGCTCACCAACATTGGAATTGAACATGGACCCCAAGACCAGGATCTGCTGGGTAATCGTGACGAAGTTCTCGCGAGTTTCCGGGTCCATATGAATACCCAGCCGCTCGAAGTCTTGCTTAAGGTACTCCCCTACTTGAATCTCTTCTTCAGTGAGTTGATCGCATACCTCTGGATCAGCTAAAATATCGCGTAAGTGAGTGTACAATTCCACATTAGTATTGAGCTGATTCATGTACTCGAACATTACCTCATGGGTTTGTTGAGCAGCATCAATCCATTGCTTTTGCGGATGAGCCACGCGAATGAATTCAGCAACATCGATAACTCGGCATAAAACATCTGACAACTGATCAAGTCGCCGGATGTAAGACAATTTGCCCTCCTCGGTGTGAGCCGTGCCTAATAAGTCGTTAACCAACAACTTTGCTCTATTAAGCGAATCCAGCGAAAATTCAAGAAGTCCCTTAGGTGTTTTAAGGTAGCTGTTGCCGAAAAGACCGGCCTTGGGAAAGTTGGAGTTAAAGCCCGAAAAGTAAGAATAGTCGTCGAAGATTCGCCGCAAATGATTATTTGCAGCCAGTGTAGGCGTATGCGTGAAGCGGTAGACGTTCAACGTCAATGTACCACATGGTAGCCTTCTTCGAAGAGGTAACGCCCGTTGAGCCGCAATTGATGGTCTCATTGGTGCAAACCTGAAGGGCGATTTTTCGCGACGACTTGCATTTGGAAGCGATCACTTCGGGACGTCGGTCAAGCAGACAAAAAAACGTTGGCGTTGTATCAAGCATACTTCATCATTAAACTGAGATGCTCTAATGTTCTCCAGGATTGTCTTATGACCATGATCGCTTGTTAATATTGGAAAACACGCCGACACTACCAGAGCTTCGAGTTGGAGAAAAGCTCTCCGTCAACTGCTCAGACGACGTAACCAATCCGGCGAGCCCAAGGCGGCCCAGAATTTTCAAGGCTTATGAGATCTATTGTCACTTGCAAAACCTTCGTTAGATTGTCATGCCGAGTGAACATCATATTTTTTGAAAAATAGACGATTGTGTTGTGAGTCTCGAAATGAATTAATGCAATCCCTCTTGACGACAACACTGGTCTAGCAGTTGCTGGATAAGGCAATACCGGAACTCCACGTTCAAAAAATTGAATATGAAAATTTCTTACAACAATCAATACCAAATACGATGTCTTCATTTGAAGTTTAAGAACCGTCAGAGTTTCTGTCTAGTGTCAGTTGAATTTGACAAAGTATCGAACCGCAACAACCCGAACATGTTGTTGGATAGTAGTAGTGAAACTTTGCTTACGAACCCACCTCAGCTACAGAATCCTTCGCCCTCATGAACAATTCTCGAACTGGCGGCGTTCGTCTCGTTCTTTCACTGTCGTCTAATTGCGAGGCGGCTTTTATTCATAAACTAGTACAATAGGAATATCGCCCTCTAGTCCAGTACCAGGTTATTATTACACGAGGAAGCATATCCTCGAGGCGGTTTGTCAATGAAATTTTTTATTTTCAAACAGTAATATTGGCTCAAGAAAACAGGCATTTGTCGTCTATAGGATAAATAGTAAGTTGGGATATCGACATAAAAGAACGCAACTCTCCCCTAAAATCGCTGCTACATCAATTAAGTCATGAAGATTTCGTCCACTTTGGGATTTGCCTTGATCGGAGTATGCGTCGCCGTTGAACCTTGGTTTAATACGATCGAACCCTCGGGTGATGGTTTTGTTAAGACAGAAATTGCTGGCCAGCCGTACTGGTATAAAACTCAGCTTCTTCCAGAATTGGACCCCGGTCAAATCGTCTACACCACTCAAGGCGATGTGTTCGACAACATCTTTTCGAATTTTGGGCAATTCTCGCTTTTGTCTGATTACGTCGACAACTACTCGAAATATTTGAGTAAGTTCACCGATGTTATTGCGTCGTTACCTACCGTGGTTGTTGGCGACCCAGGCGTCGAAACAGCTAATACTGATGCAGGCCAGGCGCCGTCTACGTCCACACAAACACAAAGCCTTGGTGATGGGGTTAATGTTGATTCAGCGGGTGGTGGAGAAGCTGATGCTACCTCCTTGACTACCGCGGAAAGTTCGGTACCTGTGGAGTCCGCATCAGTTGATTCTAATGAGAGAAGTCTCCGGGGTGTGACTCTTACTTCGTCAAGTGCCGAAGAGTCTGTGACAACTGCTGGAGGCACGGCGATTGCGGAAGATTCACTTGCCAACAACAATGGACCGGGGTCTGTGGAACAAATTTCAACGGGAAATACTGCAGAAAGCTCCCCTGACGAACAGCCGACATTTGCTGACGGCAATGGAGACCCAACAGGCATGGAGTCTGCACCCGGTAACCATCAAAACACCATTGGAACCAAAGCTACCTTGACCGGTAATAACAATGCAAACACGGTTGTGGGTAAAACCACCTCCAAGCCTGGAGCTAGTCACTCAACTTCGTCGGCTGAATCCTCGCAAAACGACGCAACCACGTTTGAGGCCGAATTTTGGACTTTTGCAGCTTTGTTGATGGTACTTTTGTAAGTTTGAAATAAATTTGTCACCCTTCAAGAAGTAATCTTAAACTGAGGTGAATAATCATAAATGATAAATTGCAACTTCAGGCGTATGGAAGTGCACGTAGATAGCCTGAACCAATACTTTCATCGCACTAAATCAAGTCTATCCGAATTTTTGAGTAATGCAACGATTTTCCGAAAAGTGTATACATCAACGATAGTACTTATCATGGGCACAATCAGACATTCTGTGATTACCCCCTGTGTGTCAACACATCTGACATGAATATTCCCTCAAACTGCTTATTATTGGTCGTGCTATACACACAACCGAAGGAGTTCATTTGCGTAAGTCTGAGTAGCGAGATCTGAACTGACGAGAAACTTTCGAATCCATATTCAAGATGATGACGATTTGGAGAGATGATCTTTTCAATACCCTAGTTTCAAGTTTGCTTCTTTCACAAATTTATCCATCGCTCATTGTAGGTGTCCTGCACGAACGGCACCTTGCTCGAAACTTTTCTCATTCCTCGAACCACCACCTGCAAACCGCGTCTACACAACGATGAACGGAAACGGCAGCGCGATGGTGGGGAGTGGCGCCGAGCGCTTGGTGAAAGCTCAGACAGCAGTAGAGTTTCCTGCGCTGCGTCTGGAATTGAACCACTTGCTTGATCGTTACTACCGCCTTCAAAAGATGGTGATGGACGACACCAACTACGACACCCCAGTTTCGCAGCCGCACCCGGCCGAATCCGAATTAGAGGTCATCGAGAGTGTGTTGGCTCAGGTATCCAACCAACAGGCTCGTTTGGAACGTGAAGAGGCGGAGTTTTATTCCTCGCTCACTTCCGACGTACATGGGGAGCTGGATTCTCTTGACAAACTGTTTCTAGCTACGCAAATGATTGGGCTTCAATTACTTTCAAGAGATGTTGACCTTCCTCGTCTGCTTCAACGTCAGTTGGCCGATCACATTGGCAACAATGCGAAGTCGCGTCTGGCAACCCCCGTAATGGACGTTGATGATGTGATGTCAGTGTTGAAAGATTCAAACAAGGACTTTGAGGAACAAGTTGCTACTTACGGACTTCAAGTGGAACGCAAGCTGACGCTCCCATCTGAGAAAACTGTCCTCAACAAGATAACTGGTCGCATCAATGAGTTGCTGCACTTGCCTGCTAATCTCGGGACGTTCTCGCTCGACCAAAGTTCCGATATAGACAAGTTGAAAATCCAACTGCTCATTGAGCTTAAAGGATTGCGCTTATTGCCGAAACAAAAACAATTAAAGCACGCTGTGCTCGTTCACGAAGCCAACCAAGCAAAATATGTTAATGAGGATCTCAAACTGCATCCGCTAGCTCTTCAGGAAAAGCGCAGCTTTAACGTACGCCCCAAAATCGAACAAGCCAGTCCTCATTTGTTAGCGATTCAGCTTGAGGAACTTCAGAAGCTCGAGGCTGGTCGATTGGAGCATGAGCAGCACGTTACAAAAATTAATCAAATTCTTGCTTCATCACAAGCTATAAGCGAACGCAAACAGCGGATGCATTTTCGTCGCACAACCACTCTCCCCAAACATGTTCATAATGTCCACCAAACTGTTGAAAAGGATGAGCTGAAAAAGTTGGAGAGAACTGCCAAGCAAAGATTGCAAGCTTTGAAGGCGAACGATGAAGAAGCTTACCTTAAGTTGTTGGATAAGACGAAAGATCATCGAATTACACATTTGCTCAATCAAACTAATCAGTTCTTGGACACTTTAGCCAATCAGGTGAGAGCACAGCAGGCTGAGGCCATGGATGGTGATATTGAACTGCAAGAAACTGTGCGTGAGAAGATTGACTACTACCAAGTGGCGCACCGTATCAAGGAAGAAGTCACTACACAACCTCTGATCCTCGTTGGTGGCCAGCTTAAGGAATATCAGATGAAGGGTTTACAATGGATGGTATCCTTGTATAACAATAAGCTTAACGGGATTTTGGCAGATGAAATGGGGTTGGGTAAGACAATTCAACTGATTTCGTTGATCCTGTACCTCATTGAGCACAAAGGTGAATCCAAGTTCCTCGTTATTGTTCCATTGTCAACCATCACAAACTGGACGCTTGAGTTTGAGAAGTGGGCACCTCAAATCAAGGTTGTCGTTTACAAAGGTCTGCCTCAACAACGTAAAGCCTTACAAGCGGAAGTTCGGATGGGCTCGTTTCAAGTTTTGCTCACAACCTATGAATATATCATTCGAGAACGTCCAATCTTGGCAAAATTCAATTACAGTCATATGATCATTGATGAGGGTCATCGCATGAAGAATACTCAATCAAAACTTTCGGTGACCTTGCGTCAATATTACAAAACGAAAAACAGGCTCATCTTGACGGGTACCCCCTTGCAGAACAACTTACCAGAATTGTGGGCGCTTCTCAATTTTGTTTTGCCCAAAATTTTTAATTCGGTGAAGTCCTTCGATGAATGGTTTAATACTCCGTTTGCAAATACAGGCTCTCAAGAAAAGATCGAACTTACCGAGGAAGAACTGTTATTAGTGATTCGAAGATTGCACAAGGTTTTGAGACCCTTCCTCTTGAGACGGTTGAAGAGAGACGTTGAGAAAGATTTACCCGACAAGGTAGAGAAGGTGATTAAGTGTCGCTTGCTGGGACTTCAGCAAGTATTGTATCAGCAAATGCTCAAACACAATGCCCTTTTTGTGGGTGCTGATGTATCTGGCCAGAAACTGGGAATCAAGGGTTTGAACAACAAAATTATGCAACTTCGGAAGATCTGCAACCATCCTTTTGTATTTGAGGAAGTTGAGGCCGTACTCAATAGCTCAAAATTGACCAACGATTTAATTTGGCGAACTTCCGGTAAGTTTGAGTTGTTAGATCGCATTTTACCGAAATTCAAAGCGCTGGGTCACCGAGTATTGTTATTCTTCCAAATGACTCAAGTTATGGATATCATGGAAGATTTCTTGCGATGGAGAAACATGCAATACTTGCGATTAGACGGGAGTACAAAGGCTGACGAACGTCAAGATATGTTGAAAGCTTTCAATGCTCCGGACCTGGAATATTTCTGCTTTCTTTTATCGACCAGAGCTGGTGGTTTAGGTCTCAACCTTCAAACAGCTGATACTGTTATCATCTTTGATACTGATTGGAACCCTCATCAGGATTTGCAAGCTCAGGATCGTGCTCACAGAATTGGTCAGAAGAACGAAGTCCGCATCTTACGTCTTATTACGAATGATTCCGTTGAAGAAGTGATTCTCGAACGCGCGCATCAAAAATTAGATATTGATGGGAAGGTCATTCAAGCCGGTAAGTTTGATAACAAGTCCACCAATGAGGAACAAGAAGCGTTTCTCAAAAGATTACTTGAGGAAGAGCAAAACCGGCTGGCTGACGAGGACGACAACTTCTTAGATGAAGAGGAACTCAACGATATTTTAGCGCGAAGCGAAGAGGAAAAAGAACAGTTCGCACGAATCGACGCCGAGCAGAAGCGCAGCGATATTGAGCAAGGGTTGAAGCTGAGACTCATAGAGGAAAAGGAACTACCGCAAATTTTCAAGGAAGACATCTCCAAGCATTTTGATAAAGATAAGGACAAGGAGCTTGGAAGAGTGCGGGAAAAGAAGCGTATTCGCTATGATGATGGTCTCTCCGAAGAGCAATGGCTTATGGCAATTGATGACGATAACGATACGATTGAGGATGCCATCCGCCGGAACGAGGATCGTAAACGTCGACGCAATGGGGCAACATATGAGTCTGAAGACGAAGTTGCCCAAGAAGTCAAGCGGGAAAAGTCGGAATTCGATGTTGAAGCCGTTTCATTATTAGATGAAATATGTGAGTTGGTTGCTGACGATGGCCATCAGGTCGCTGAAATTTTTATGAAGTTGCCTCTGAAAAAGCTTTATCCTGACTACTATCAAATCATCAAGTCGCCCGTCGCGATTGAGACGATCCGGAAGAAGATTCGCCAGCATAAGTATGAACGTATGAGCGAAGTGGTTGCGGATTTGAGGCTTATGGTCCTCAATGCTCAAACCTATAACGACGAGGGATCATGGGTGTACAACGATGCCGACACCATCAATAATTTGCTTGATCAACAATCCGCCTAATATGTAACATATTCTACACCTTTGTATGAGTAAATGAAAGCTAGGATACATTACGACCACACCACACCAAAGTCAGAGTTATGAAGTCGTATAATTCCCGTTTTTGTGCCATTATTAGCTGTATATGGTTAGAATTGAGTTGTGAATGTGTTTCATCCACAATTGCAAATACTAGACGCGAATCATGAGGTATCTGCCTCGCTTTTGAGTTAGTATGCACGGGAACTTTCTTTGCAGTGTACATTTAGAAAGTTTCTGGCTTCGATCATGAGAACTAGCAGAACATCCAACGAAAAATTTACGATTGAAGACTCATCCTTCATACCACCTGTATATATATAATCGCAATGTTGAAGCTGTATTTCCATATTCTCCCCATGCTTGGAACCTTGCATGACCCTTCAGCCGCGCTCAGCAACTCAATTGAAGTGACCGCGTACCGATATTCGAGACATCATGTCATCAAGCCCTGAGTCTCCTAAGGCGTACCAGCCTCTGGACGAACCGGCACGCCTCCAAACGTCTGAATTTGGTACGACCCGACTGCGGACAAAACTCAAGCTGGTCGATCCTGTTCCCATAAATCCGGAGGATGAAGAGGCTGCACCTCTTCTTGGCCATCAGCCATTGGATCCAGGTGACCCCCGAGTACTGCCCCTCAACTTACACAACGTCAAGCTTCTTAAGCAGATCAATCGGACTTTGATAATTGTCAACAGCATCGTTGCCCTTTTGACGTTTCTCTCCGACTTCATCAACATTCCTGGTTTCTTCAATCCTGGCCGAAGTTTCTACGAGTTGGTCATAATCTTACTAACTGTACTTACTAATGCCGTGTGTTTATGGAGATTTGATGTGCCACTGTCGTATGAACGAAAAGTGGGCTACACTCAAGCCGTTTTGCTTTCGATTGATTTAGTGGTAATCCTTACAGTTCCTGCTTTGAGAGACTCAATGGCTTTACTTGGCACGTTTCTCACTCTATGGCTTCTTCTCAATGTTACCTTCGATGCAGTGTGCAATTACTACGTCGAACAAGGGCGCAACTATCAAGAAATCAGACTCACAGGCCGTATTGAAACTCGTCGCCTGATTGGTGAATTACTCGTGATCTTTGTGAAACTGGTAGCGAAACTGTCTCTTTTCCTCTTGGTGTTCTTCATTCTGTGGAGAATTTGGTTGATGGCGTTTGATACTCATGAACGCCCGTGGGGAGATAAGGTAAGCGTTCAGGATGGTCAGCTCAAAGTGCACGTTGCTTGTTTTGGCGATGTATACAACGAAAACGTCGCGATAAGCGAAAGTGACCCTAAAAATTCGAGTGATCGTCAGCCAATTCTTCTAATCGAAGGAGGGCAACTTACTCTGAGCGAAGTTTTTCAAGAGTGGATTGAGGAGCTTTACAACTTGGATCAGATCGAGCGGTATTGTATTTGGGACCGTCCAGGGTACGCATTTAGTGACCTGGCACCATCGCCTACCCTGATCGGTATCGTCGTTGAGTATTTGATAGAGGCCCTCGATCACCTCGGTGTTCATGGTCCGTTTTCTTTAGTAGGATTTGATATTGGAGGACTTTACCTGCGTATGTTTGCTCTGCGCAAGCCAGGTCAAATACACCTGATAATGTTGGTGGATGCATGGTCGGAAGATCTCCTCAAGAATAACCCTTTTTCAGGACCTAACCGCAAAAATGAGCCTAAGAAAGTGTTTAAAAACATTTTGGAGACAATGAACAATTTAACCGGGCTCAAATTGTGGTTAAAGGGGATGGTCTCACCACTAGGCCTTGTGCAAGCATTTCACTGGTTGTTCCATCCACGTCGGTTTAGTTCCAAGAGCCGCATCTTTGGATCAGACATGTACTGGAACTCCAAATATATTCGAGCTCGATTACAAGAGCAGTTGACCTCAGGAATATTATCTTACAATGAGGTCAAAGGTGCTGACATTCATAACCTCCCGTTGGCAGTAATATCTTCTGACTTCATGATCAAAAACTCGCTCAACTGGGGTAAATGGCAACGTGAGTTGACCAAGCTTCTGACCAACTGTATTGAGTGGGTAATTGCCGAGAATTCGAATCACTTCATTTGGGAGCTGCCGAAGGGTCGTAAACAAATGCAAGAGTTATTGTTGCAGTTGGTCCTGAATAAGAAAAAGTATGACACGGTTGCCGAGTCATATAAGGTTTAATAATAGGTTTGCACGTAAGAGTGGCGTAGCACAAACATGGTGGGACAGCTCTTCATGCTATGATAATTGCAAGCACCCGTTTTAATTACTTACAGACTACACCATGAAGTGTACTTCATTCCACGAATACAGCTTGAGTGCCTTAAATGTTGTCAACCTTTTTCTTCGCAAAGTCAAGTCTCGGCATCTTTACCTTATTTGTATACCGTCTCCCTTCCTCTACTATTTATGCCAAGCCGCACGAGTTTCAATGGCTTGGCACGGCACGAACATCAGCGTACGCACCCCAACTTGATGTATGGTGGGGTACAAGTTATTGCCGACAATGAAGCTTGGCGTTGATATCGAGTAATTCCGGGGATCTCTCCGAAGTTAAGGGGTATAAAGTTGCAGGATCTTTGCTGAGAATGGGGTGGTGAATCAAGATGCCAATGCTGTCAGAGTCAGCCGGAGTTCCAGGCGTAACACCGAAGGAAAAATTCGGCGTCACCGAACGAATCTCAAGCGAGGAATCACTCAATTCGATTTCAAAGGAAATCAGTGGAATTGAAGATGGTGGTTTGCCCAATCGTCAAGCTCCCGGAGGCGGTGAGCGTGGCAATTTACTCGCTACTTACAGCGAAGCTGAAACAATGGATATGGGAAGAAAATATGCCCAAGAACATGGCTTAGATCCCGAGTTATTTGCCAAGGGTGCGGCTGTAGCTCGTGCCCCCAAACTCTTCAATGATATGGACTTCTTGACGGATGAGGAACGCGAAGGGCTCCATCTAGAACAATCCAAGAGATATCATATTCCTCGCAAGATGGTAGAAGTGATTGCTCTTGGGTCAGTGGCTGCTGCAGTTCAAGGTATGGATCAATCAGTTATTAATGGTGCCACATTATTTTACCCTCAAGCTTTCGGTCTACCGAGGTTATTCGGAAAAGACGCCGATCTCGTCGAGGGTCTAGTCAATGGTGCTCCGTATGTATGCTGCGCAATTGCCTGTTGGACTTCGGACTATTGGAATCGTCACTTGGGTCGCCGCTGGACTATTTTTTGGACCTGTGCCATTTCCTTCGCTACTTGTTTCTGGCAGGGATTTGTGAACAACTGGTGGCATTTGTTTATTGCGAGATTTTTTATGGGAGTTGGTGTTGGGGTGAAAAGTGCCACCGTTCCAGTTTACGCTGCCGAGTGTGCACCAGCTCATATTCGAGGCTCATTAGTTATGTTGTGGCAATTCTTCACGGCGTTTGGTATAATGTTGGGATACGTGGCTTGTCTTGCGTTCTACTATGTGCCCGATCGAGGAATTGCTTACGGTTTAAACTGGCGGCTTATGTTGGGGTCCGCAAGTTTACCAGCAATATTCGTGTGTGTCCAAGTACCTTTTGTGCCTGAGCTGCCTCGGTGGCTAATGGGTAAAGGGCGCCACCAAGAGGCATTTGAAAGTTATTGCAAGATGAGAAAAGAGAAAATCAGCGCCGCGAGAGATCTCTTCTACCAATACGTCCTCCTCCTGGAAGAGCATCAATATGAGTCGTCGACGATTAAGCGCATAAAAGAAATGTTCACAATTCGTCGTAACCGCAATGCCTCCATTGGGTCATGGTTGGTTATGTTCATGCAACAATTCTGTGGTATCAACGTCATCGCCTACTACTCTCTGTCAATTTTTATCGAGGCTGGATTTTCCGTTGACAATGCTTTGATTGCTCTGTGGGGTTTCGGTATGATGAACTTTGTGTTTGCTATTCCTGCCATTCTTACTATCGATAAGTTTGGTCGACGCAATTTGTTATTGACGACGTTTCCTTTGATGTGTATCTTTTTGATCATTGCCGGTTGTGGATTTTTGATCAACAAGGAAACAAATCCGAATGGCCAGTTGGCAATGGTAATTATTGGAGTGTACTTCCACTGTATTGTGTATTCTTCAGGTGAAGGGCCAGTACCGTTCACTTATTCAGCTGAATGTTTTCCATTATACATTCGTGATTTGGGCATGTCTTGGGCCACATCTACGTGTTGGTTTTTCAACTTTATCTTGGCTTTCACGTGGCCCAGGCTTGTCACTGCATTTACACCTACTGGGGCATTCATGTGGTACGCCGGGTGGAATTTCGCGGGTTTCTGGTTGGTGCTCTTCTGCTTGTATGAAACGAAGTCTCTCACTCTTGAGGAGTTAGACGATGTATTCAGTGTACCGATGCCAATTCATGCCAAATACCAATTTGCAACGTTTATCAATGACATAGAGCGATGGATTTTCAGAAGGAAGATTCCCAAATTGGAACCATTTCAGGATTTGGCCAAAGAACGTGCTCACGGAGACAGTGATGCATTTGCAGGATATTATAACAGTAGCGTTAAGCACTAATACTTCGTATGTTGATTATCTACAAATGAATGAATGCCACCTAAATCATGCAATTTTCTCGATTTCATCAAAGAGCAGTATCCATAGTACTATGTAGGTGTTAATACGTAGGTTGGGTCCACTCGCACAGACCCACGGAATTTGCAGCTGCGATTACCACCGAGTTCGATCATCGCACATAACCGAAAATTCCTCGATCTCCTAATCAGCCAAATGGTGAGCCCCTATCTTAGCGAGTGTGCCACGCATAAATAGCTTCGACCACTTTTTCGAAATGAGCATCATTAATTGAATCAAAGCCCCTCACAAATATCTTACTTTCAAAAATCACACTCTGAGAATCGTTGGCTAGCATTACACAAGATACTAACAAGTCGAGGTTTGTTGTCGGTAAATCACTGCCCGTCAGGGCAAGAATGTGACTTGCCATCGGTAATGTCAAATGAAGGACCGTAATTAGTGCGTTTACTCACTTTACTGATAATCCAATAAGCACAGAATTTGGTAAATCAACTCTATGCTTGTAGCGCTATTTTGTATACCCTGGATATTGTTTGATTAATTCACCCTGCTGCATCATCATTCCGTCACAACACCCACTCGCACTCCCACTTTTCCTCCACTTGGCGACAGTCAAAACAATCAGGTTTTGCGGGAAACACCACTGTGGCGGTGGAGTCTAACCGGTTAAGAAATCCAACAAATACCAGCCGGGGACATCAACAACTTGTATTCTGGTTTCCCTCCCATATTGGCATGCCTGATAGTGCCACCGTTACCACACCAAGAGCCTTGTCATCCCAAAGCCACCTGTCGGCTCCGGGGCCCCTGAACTCTCAACCCATCGTCGGGGCGCTGGCGCTGAGCGGTTCCCAATACCAGCTCCACCACTCTTCTTCGAGCTCGTCCCCCAACAATAAGGATCTTCCTCGCCGTCTGAGTTTTGGTTTCAACAACTTCATATCTACTTTTACAAACCGTTTTCAAGACATGTCGAACTCCCCAACTATTGGCAATTTCCAAGACTTTGCATCCAGGGATCACCGTGACATCACCCTTACCAATCATCCTGGTATTCCTCGACCTCAAAGCGCCCGCACTCAACTGGCCCCACATCAACATACTTCAGCTCTGTCAGAGGATAGCAATTTAATGGAGGAGCTGCCACAATTCACACAGAACGGCACCGCCGAACCGGAATATTCTACTGGCGATCTGACATCTTCTGGAGTGCCAGTGAGCCAACCCGTGGTCGCCCAAACGTCCCCGCCTTCCATAACACAAAATGTTCAAACGATTCCCGAATCTGAATCCACAGCTCTGCCGATAGCGTCACCTACAGCAGAACCGACGTCACAGCTTGATAAGGATGGCAACTACAGCATTCGCCTTACGCCATTGATTGACCATTCATCCCTGAGTCTGGGTCTTTACTTTTCGCCAGTCATACGTAAGATCCTTCCAAAACTGCAAATATCTATTGGGAGATACACCGAAAAGAACAAGGCCGCTGCTCATGCACCTCAAGGCTCGCTGGCGCCTATCGTGTTCAAATCTAAAGTTGTTTCGAGAACCCATGCACTCTTTCAGTGTAATGAGGATGGTCAGTGGTTCTTAAAGGACTGTAAGCTGTCTCTGGGGACATTTCTTAATCATATCCGTCTTTCAAAAGCGGGCGAGGAGCTGATGCTCATGCCTTTACTAGACGGTGACATCATACAATTGGGGATGGACTATCGAGGTGGGACAGAAGAAGTATATCGCTGTGTCAAAATGAGATGTGAGTTCAACAAGCTGTGGCAACGGAAGGTGAATCAATTCAATTTGGAGATCCATAAGAAAATGCAGAGTTTAAGCTTACTGCAGAACAACAATCAAGCTGATCCAACAGAATGCGCAATTTGTTTGATGCGTATTGAACCCTGTCAAGCTATATTCATGAGCCCTTGCTCTCATCTGTGGCACTACAAGTGTATTCGCCCAATTATCATAAAACTGTATCCTCAGTTTTATTGCCCTAACTGCCGAACTATGTGCGATCTAGAGACGGATATTGAGGACGATGATTAATGTTCAATAAAGAAATGAGAAGATATAAATCCGATCTAGGCGGTTTGAGTGTATAGCAAAGTCGGCACAGATATCATAGTGCCACTTAATCTTGAAATGTAAAATGACTTAATTGGAGTCGAGTAATGTAGCGTGTGATTTGACTACTTCTGAACTGATTCAACTGTTCATGTACCAGAGATTGCTGGATAATATGGATTTTGATTTTGTGCTTTTGCCTAACTTATTAGTACTAAAACGTGAATGTGATACTTTCAGACTCAGGAACTATCAATAAAGTTTCCAGTCCGTTAGCATATGCAAAATCAACCAATAGATGAGGTTTTTCAGGTGAGTGCTTGATGAGAACTTTCGGTAAAGGAAGTTTACCTACCACAAGTGGTACAAGCACGAGTTCCACCATAAAAGGCGCCTCCTTGGGTATAAAAGTTGTTTTGAGGAGGCCCGTCACCAGCCAATTATCATCTGATGGAATAGTGAGTTCGAATTTGCAGTCTTTCCACTCATCACCAGGCCCTGTCCATTTGTCTATAGTTTTCACTGCCAAAGTCATCTTTATGGGTTCGCCAACAGAAAATTGCGATTTCCGATCAAAATTATAAGAAACAATCTGAAGGAAGTTAAGGATTGGCATCGGTACTGAGATGTGAAGTTTATAAAAGTCCAGCACACAAGTAGCCAGTGATTGAATAGTTGATAATACCGAAGAAAGCACCGGCATGATTTTCGAGGTATCCGGAATAAAATTCTTCAACTGCTCTTCAGACCAGTCAAGTAGCTCCTGTGCGTTGACAACTTTTACGCTGCCGTATAATGCATAATGATTGATGTCAAATTGTGCTTTCGACAAGATTTTTGTGCGACAAAGGTACATCAAAGATGATGCATCAATAGTTTCGAGGGCAGATTCCAAGGCTTCCAAAGTCACCTGCTGGCATTCTTTCTTTAAACTCATATAACTCACGTACAAGTCAAAGCATCGGGAAGGTGACAACTCAGATACCCGAGGTATAATCTTATAGAAAAGCGATGCCGGCTGGTCACTGAAAACCACGAGCTGGTTCAACTTCGGATATACGGGACTAACGATCTCAAAACTCTTGTCGTTATCCAGCAGAACAAGTTCTGAACTTAAAAGACGAAGCGGCAGCATTGCTTGCGAGGATCCAATTGTGAATTTCGAGTAGAGGAACTGGGCTCGAAAGGAGTCCTGCACGGTTACAGAAACCTCTAGCGTGATATCAACTGTACTGCTCATCGTGTGGGAGTGCCATTTGTCACCAGAACGATACCTTAACATCGCACCTAAGTTCACGAGTTTGTTGTCACTGTAATACGTGAAAGGGATTCGAATCGTATGAGTCAGATGAGGCGGTATGGGGTTATCCAATAAGATTCTCAGTTGAATCAGTAAAGTTACTCCAGGCGTCGCAGGTACAACTGTAACCTCGACATCTTCTAATTGTTCATCACTGCTGTGGATGCAAAAATTAACTTCAGTAATACCCAACTCTATCTCCTCTGTATTCGTGAATTCACACCATACAGATGATGAGTGTTGAAACATTCTGAGAATTACTTTTGATTCGTTTTCCCTTTTTTCCATCAAGCCTCCCACCGTGTCATTGGTAGCAGGAATGTCATTAACTGATAGAGTACTACTACCAGGCTCAGAGTGTTGAATTGTCAAATCCAGAGTGGTGTTTTTCGGCATGGGAAATTCTTTGGTGTATACCAAATTTTCGTAAACTTGAATCGTTAGCCGCTTTGGCTGAAACTGACCTTCCTTGAAATCTTTTGACCAGAGCTTTACTGTCTCAGTCGATTCGGAATGAATCTCGATACCCTCAGTGGTGAATTCAAGTTCCATCCCATCGGAATCCTCAAGAACTAACTCAATAGCCTTGAACTCTAAATTTAAAGGACTTCGATTTGGTATCGACATCTTGATGAAGTATCGATTTTTTTCACTTCCAATGAATGGTTTTATCTCGTATGCAAATTCCAAGGGAAACGTTAAAACACGATCGATCTTCAGCAGATAAGCCCTTATACGGTTCACTAATGATTCAAAATATTCATGATGCTTAATGGCTCCATAATTGTTCACACCGATGGAGTTTACAACTCGACCATGATGAAAAATCAGGAAAAATAATTTCAAAGTCCCCAAAGTGAGTTTCTCATAATTTTCATCAGTGTCATGGTGCAAGCAGTCAAGATATATTTCTAAAAGAAAGCCACCCATGAAATTCCAGCCTTTAGAAATGAAGTAGTCATACGAGTCTTGAATTATCAGAAGAGCTTGCTTATAATGACCTTGTTGATATGCCATGAGTGCCAAGTCAATAGACATAATATCAATAGTTTTTTCTCGACCCGATTTAACAAAATCCTTAATGATGCTTTCCGTCAAATTTTCATAGAATGCATAGAATGTTTCGGGAGTAGACATGGCATCGATGATTGGCTGGTAGGTGATCATCGGTTTCTCCTTTACTGGATTTCCAGAGCTGTGATTTGATCGTTCCTCGATAGAAACATCAGAAACTCCAATAACTGTGTATCCATAATAATTGATGGCAATGTCTTTATAACGAGACCTTTGAAATAATAGAAGCTCACCTCGAAATTCCAATATTTCGTGAAGGTCGTATTCATTCCCTTGCTTTGAGTTTTCGCCAATCAACTTCGCAACAAGTGGAAGCAGAATGTACTCATCAATCATTCGAATTGCAAACTCCGCCAACAATAGCGATTGTCGATAATTGACGAGGAGTTCACTGAGAAAGTCTATCAGCTTTTGAAACAACTGCAGCACGTAAATAGCCAGAATGGATATAGTGGTAGCATGTGTTGCTAACAGTTGTAGGAGTGCCAGCTGATTTGCAAAAATGGTACACAAGATGTCAAAAAGTTGAGGATCTTTTTCAGGTAAGTACTTATACTGAGCAAAAAAACGTTGCTTGAGTACTGGCAGAATACTGACTGTACTTTGTGGCGGAAATTCCTGTAATAGTGCAACAACGTCGTTGCTAGACATATCATTAAACACTTCAAGGGCGTCTTGGAACAAATGCATATCGTTCAAAAGTCCAGCAAGACCAAATTTTAGTCTGATACGTTCAATAGGCTTTTGGACTCTACCTTTCTCAGCTTGTGGGGGTGCCAATTCGCGGCTAAAATATGCGTACTTTTGTGAGAAGCTATCCACCAAAAGTCCCTTTAGGTTGACAATAACATCAGTTAACAATTCCGAATTGCCTTGCCTATACTTGCAGATTCTTGTCCGATCAAACGTGGGGGTAAACCCCAAGCCAGTCAACTCTTTACCCTCTGGTCCAAAGTCACGAAGTAACTTTCCAAAGTTCAGCACTTTTATGATGGTGCTTTGTTTTTCTTTAGAATTTGCGGGCGCCACATAAACAATCATCCAATCACCCGCTGGCGTTACCAATTGCTTGAGCCATTCTTTTATAAGTGGTCTTACTTGTGATCGGTATTCATCCAAGTTGTCGAACTTGACGAACATGATGCGAGCATAAACTGAGGCAATTGATTTTGCATTAGCCTTTGGTACTTCTTCGACCATTTTCACAGGTAGTAGAGGGATCAGTTGGACCGGTCTAGCTGCGTCATACTTCCAATGAAGACTGGTTAACGGAAATTTAGACTCGAAATCCTTTCTGGGATAGACAGAGAAGGGGTCATAAAACCCAACAGAAAGCATATCAGGATCCATTGTTACCTCAGTTCAAATACAACGATCAAAAAGGTTCAACTCTATAATGATGCGACGGTGTCAATTCGACACGTCCACAAACTGAATTTCCACAGGCAACAATCGATCTTCGGGGAACCCGTACAAGTTGCAAGGGGTTGAAAGGGAAAATAGTAGCTCTCACTCGAGTTCGGTTTTGATGGCTGATTCGTTGGCCAGGCTTGCAGACTTTCGATTTCACTATGCGCACTTTTCGTTGATGTCGAAACGACCACTGCCATCGTCTGCGCACTGGTACCATGCTGGGAGACTTGGGATGTAACCAGTTTCTGGTAACCCTTAACTACTTTTCAGCTAACCCCGATCTCAATAACATTCATGATGCGAACGTGGTGGTTGTACTCAAAGGTCTTGCTAAAAAGGATGCTACCACTAAAGAGCGTGCATTGAGTGATTTGATAGAGCTCATTGATGATATGGATTCATTCGATGAGCCCCTTATGGTTCTGTGGATTCAATCGTACGCAAAATTGGCCTTCGATAACTCTCGGCACGTAAGAATTGGCGCTCATACTGTGATGTCTTCAATGGTGAAAAAGGGTGGTAAAGCGATTGCCAAATATATGAAGCTGTTCGTTGCTCTATGGCTAAGTGGTCTTTTTGATAGTGATAGACTCGTTTCTCGCCAATCTCTTCAAAACTTGGAAGATGCATTTCAAGGTGATGTGTCGAAAATTGAAAAGTTATGGCACATTTTTGGGGACCAAATTCTGAATTTTTGCAACACCGTCGTCAATGTTGAATCACTGGACAGTATGTCGGATAAACGATACACAAAGCCCGAAGATGCAAAAGCCAAATATCAAAGAGTTGTTCATAGTGCACTCTCGATGTTGGAGAAGTTAGCTTTCAATTCCAGTGTGGATATTGTCGATGAAGTATTCAGAGAAAGTCAGTTGTGGGATACAATAGAAGAGAGTTTGGCTGTGGAATCTTTGTTTAACTCCTCACTCTTTAAATCCTTCATGAGTCTTGTAAAGTTTACGATTACGGATGCGAAGGTCTCAACCTCAACATACAAAACTGTTGCCAAATCTTTCGTGAAGTCGATTAAAATCAAAATCAAAAACACAGTGTTGATCTCTCAAATTATAATTCAATTATGGGATCTTCTTGTCGTTGCATCGAAATCTGCAAACCATAAACGCTCATTCTGGGAGTACGCTGGTCTGAAAAGTGAGAGCCGTATTATCGATTGGCTTAAAGTGGGTAGTTGCAACAGCGATCCTGTATATTACTCAATCGTATCTCGCTTTTTTGAGATAATATATTTGAAGAGTCCCGTCCCATTTGATTTTGACGATGCTGAGGTAGGCAATGTCATCATCAAGATATTTTTGAAACAACTAAAAAAAGCAATGGTTGCATTTTTGCCTCGAGCAATCAGTTGCACTATCAAGGTTGGCTCACTTTTCAAAGTTGATGAGGCTGCTTTAAATTTGATCATATACACTGCGATCGATAATATTGCCAAGTACCCATCCATCCCGCCTGAATTGGAACTTGCCAAGGAAGCATTGGTTGGGTGTGGTATCCCCAATGATTTGGTGCAGACATTAAAGGAGCAGTTAGTTAGTGAAGATGCACCTAGATTGATCCTTGGTGGCTACCAATTTGATTCCTCTCTTTACCGTGTGGTCAAAATTGTTAGCACGATATACCCCGATGTGGATATTATTGGGGACATTGAACAGCGAGTCATCGAAGGTGCTGATGCTCTGGCAGATCTATTTGATTTGATAAGTGACAGCTTACGTCAGAAGGATCGCACGATAAATTGTGAATTTGTGAATTTTTCGCCATCATTTATCACTCCGGATTTTGTCAAGCCTCTTCTCGATTACTTTTCAGCTTTAGTGGAGTGTTATCCAAAGGTCATAACAAGAACTTTGGTCAATGATTATTATCTTAAATTGTCCATGGATTCTCCCGAGAACGTGACCCCCTTTTTGATATCGGTGACAAAGGTAATTGATTTGCATGCAGAGAAGGCTCACTACTCGGATGAATATGCATTCATCACAAAATTAGCCACAAAACAAGAACCAAGCGCGGAAGAGTTGCAACTTGTGTACAGTTACAGCGATCAAGATCCCAGCATACGTGATGCGGTAATGAAGACGACAGAGCATCTGGAGAAGAAGCTACTCGCTTTCATTCGCTCAAACCCCACGGCAGCTTCCAAATTGAGTAATTTGGATAGAATTCTTCATGTCTCTTGGAGCCATATCGATGATGATTCAGTCAAAAAGTTTTTAGACTGTGTGAATCATGAGACTAAGTTTGCAAGCGTAATTAAATATGCCAACACTTGGCCACCGAATTTAAGTCTGGTGTGCTCTTATATCGGTGATTCAGAGGAATGGGCTCAGTCTTTCTTGACCTTTATCGAAAGCGAAAGTGATGTTGTCAAGTTCGAGGGTGTGGGGATTTCGAACTCTTTGGGAGCAGGTGTTGAACTCATATCTCCGAAAGGCACCCATGATCACAGCGATGACGTTATCGCGTTGGCTTCTCTTGTTGGCCAGATACCAAGCTTACCATGGTATATCAAAGGCTTATACCATGTGTACGTCCAAGACTATCTTTTTGTCAAACCCGTACAGGTGCAACAAACACGCATAGTGTTAGAGTCATTATCGTTTGCAAACTCGCAACCCTTGTTGAAAGCTATAATCAGTGATCTGCACCCCTTGTCCGTTTACTTGACACGAACGTCAGGATTCTCGTACCAATGCGCTCGAGTTTTGGTTTACAACTTGTTGAAAGAAATTGACTCCATGGACAATTCTAGTTTCAATGAATTTTACTCGGACGATTGGTCTAAATTTGAGCCATTCAAGCTTGCAACACTTTTGCAAGCTCTGACAAAGTTTTTTGGTTCTTTGACCTGGTTGCAAAACTATTTGTTTAGTGAAATGATTGGGATTGGTAACGAATCTGAAATTTTGACCCTGGGGCTAAAATGGCTCACGCTCGCCCTCTACTTCGTTGATGAAAACGCACTGCAACTTCCTCTTCAACGTTTGAACATGATTGTGCGGCAAATGAGTCGTTGGCTTGACCTGAGTATTGCATATGATGTCGAGTTTATACCGATCAGACTACAACTCACTCGATTAGCAATGGGATTTTACAGCACACAAGACGCCTTCCATTTCAAGGAGGTTTCAATGGCTCTCGTGGATGATAACTTGTCAATATGCACTACAGAGCCTCAACTTGTTGCTCTCCGGTTTTTCAGTCTTAAACTCATGACTATGCTTGGAAATGAGATGGATACAGAAGAGGTCGAAGATTTATTATTGTCGCCCGACATACAACAGTTCGATCGCGCGAACTATAATCAAGCTGTTGCGATGTGTCATCAAGCTGTTGAGCGTCTCTATCTTGTGGTTGATGTCAAAGGTAAGATTGAGAAATACATGGAGCTTTTAGCGGCGACTAATTCTGTGGCTATTGAAAGAGTTTGCGCTGGTGTGTTGGTTCCCGCTGTCTTAAAGAAACAGCGAACTTTCGTGATCGAGTTTCAATTGGACAAGAGTGAGGACAAAGTTGCTCATCTTCCCCAGAAGCTTTTGGATATAATAAGACTATATCGTTTCGATGTCAACATTGAAGATGAGCTGGCAACATTGACTCGTTACGTTTGGGCGTGGGTGATCCTCTTCGCCTATTTTGCAGATATTACATTTGCATTGCGTCAGGAATATTTGAAGCAGTTACGTTTAGAGAATGTCATTGAACCCATGTTGTCATACATTTTTGACCAGGTCTATGACCTAAGTGTTCTCAAGCTGTCTGTATTTTCTTTGGATCGATTGAGGGATTACGACTGCGTTGATGCCGGTAGAGCAGGTAATCTACAGGAGGAAATGGCGTTTGCCTTATTGCATTTATACTACCAGTCATGTGCTCAATTCGGTCCGCAGGTTCAACAATGGTATATGCTGATACGTGATCTTCAAGTCAAGAAGCGTGTCGAGAAGGTAACGCTGCTGTATGTGGCTCCCGAACTCCTTGGGGCCATCTTGGATGAAGTTACAAAGCAAAAGATAAAATTGGAAAACGATGACAACTTGAAGATCAAGGTTAATAGAGTGATCCATGAAATCAGACTGACATACGTGATTGACGAGCAGACAATGGAAATGATTATTAAGCTTCCTGCCATCTACCCATTAGAAAAGGTGGTTGTTGAGGGTCCCTTGAGATTGGGAGTACGTGAAAAGCAATGGAAGGCCTGGTTGATGGCTACCCAAAGTGTTATCTCCTTGACGAATGGTCTGATAACTGAAGCCATTGAAGTTTTCAATCGTAACGTGACCCTCCACTTCAGTGGATTTGAAGACTGTGCTATCTGTTACTCCATTTTACATCAAGATTTGTCGCTCCCAACCAAGCTGTGTCCCACCTGCAATAACAAATTCCATGCAGCATGCTTGTATAAGTGGTTCAAGAGCTCTGGTTCGTCCACCTGTCCCATGTGTCGTGGTCAGTTTAACTTCAGAAAACAGGCTTCAGCTTAGATCATTCCAAGATCATTCATTTTGTATATATTGGACAGCACTAATCCGTGGCAATACCCTGTTTGTATGTTTTACTTTGTTCGATTGCTTCTGTTCATTAGATCATTAAACATCTATATCTCAATAAAGTCAACTCGTTCGAAAGCTCCTCTCATTCTTTAAAAGTCCCTCTCTTAGTTCCAACTTTCTTCCCCTTAACGTGGTGACCATCGTAATCACCAAGGAATTGCCCAGCGAGAGCCAATGGGAGAACCACGAGAATACCAAAAAACTTCATGTCCATCAATTTGGGCGCGGTGGCTGGCTTTTATGAGCGTTTCGCACCCCTGGGGAAAAAGTATTCGCGCACACCCCTAGAATCGATTAGGACCTTGTATAAACACAATATCGGATCAAATCCCCGCGATGGTGGAATACCGCGTGCTTCATTGTATTAACGTTGGTCACTCTAAGGGTCGATAAATTCTACTTCTTAACGAGATCATATGAATCATAAACGAGGTAATGCTTCATATTCACATGTATGGCGGCTAAATAAGAAGTCCCAAATAGGAATAATTTTGAAGGATTCAAAACCGAAAAGGACATCATCCGTTAAAACCATATCTGTGGAAGGAGACAAGATGTGCCTTGATCACGGAACTTTCTCTGACTATAGAGAAGTCGAATGCAGCTGGACTATGAGAATTTAAATAAAAACTTCCGGAACTTGTGCAATCAAGTGACTTGTGCATGTCCTTCCATGTCCACGACTCAACATGGCTCTATATCGCGTGTCATAAAAAGGGGTTGCACCCACGCTAATTGCATTGCTCAATCCTATGCAAATTAACCTTAGTTTGAACTGATGATCATGCTCGAATATAATTATACATTTCGTTTCTCTGCAAAGAATTCAAGTTCAACGAGTTCCAAGCTATGTAGCGAGCAAAAAGCTTTTAGAGTTCGGATTTATAACTGCATAACGCGGCTGTCTTTTACAGGATGGATCGATTCGATCCGTAGTCTTTGGAGAAATAATTCGCAGTTGAGTTTACATGATAAGTTCTTTGCTGAAACAAGAAATGAATGCTCCAAAGCGAAGTTTACGTATCACATTAAAATCTATTGGCAACGGCGTACCACCGGTACCTTGATGAACAAATAGGATTTTATGATTAGAGAGCGACACTAGCATACATTATTTGATTGGTCGTAGATCACAACTCTAGCGTTTGCAGTTTGTCAAATAAGTCGCAGCTGAGTTTGGCAAACCCGTTCACAAGTTACCGTACCGAATTCGGTTCTGATGTGTGCATCAATAAGAGGTCGATATATACAAGTATTACGGTCTGGAACGAGTTAAAAGGGAATTCGAAATTACATTATTAATTATTAGCTCTATTCAGAGCAGTGTCCAAATATTTCGTTGCATCATACATCAAACTTCGAATGAGAGCTCCGAGTTGATTGGGTCATTAGAAGTCTTTCTCATTTGTTCGTAAACGTCCTCGAGCCAACGGTATTGGTAAACGGTTTGCACCATCATCATGCGGTGGTTACGCATTATCTCGACAATACTAGCAATTGGCAGTTCCGCTGTATTATTAATAGCATCCTTGTAAATGCCATACTTGAGTTGATCAACAGCGATAAAGGTACCAGTACGGCCTACACCGGCCAGGCAATGCACAATTGGTACTAGCTGAACGCCAGGATTCGCCACCCTCGACTCATTAATGGCATCCGAAAGTTCATACAATTCTGAGGCACTGGGGGGTACCTTCGCATCCAGCCAACGGGAATAATAGAAATGCTTCACCGTCTTGGTTTTGCCATTAGCCTCGAGAGTAAGGGTAGTTAATGAAAAGTTCCCGGTTTCAGCAACCTCTTCCAATATGTTCGTAATCTTCACACCATTCAAGTCGACGTCGTCTGCATCCAAGTCCCAGGATTGATTAGTCGATGGCCAGTATTGGTGGCATTTCACCATACTTTGCTCCATGAGAGGCGTCAACATGATGACGACAATAGTATCATTGTGTGCCTTCTCTGCTTCATTAAAAGCCATTGCCCAAAAGTGACTAATGGTTTCTGGCATAGGTCCTTGGCAAGCGATATATGTCCAATTATTGGGAAGATTGATGTAGCTTGCATTAATGTAGTCGTTTTGAGTCAGTGGAAGTCGAACTCGAGTTGCATCGTATGGCGAGACATTGCTATACCTGTTTCTTTTGGGGTTGGCACGAGAAGCACTCACTGAATATTCGTTCAGATTTAAGCGATCCTGATCAATCAAATTGAGTTCCCAGAACTTCCTATCGGCTGGCTTCATTGGGTATGGATTGTTATCCTTGTCAACCAATACAAACGATCGGGGGCGTTTTTGACCACACTGTTCTTGCGAAGATCGAGATTTCAGAGGATGTCCAGGAGATGCCGCAAGGAGGTTGATGAACACCCGCAATTTAATCTTAGGTGCTATCATTTCGCGCAAGCAGATTCACTAGAGTGAGCCAGCTTTTATTTAATAGGAATCTCTCACAGTTGCCGTCTTCACTCTGTGTTATTAACTTTTACGGGTCTGAGCTGACTTATAACAATAAGCCCATTACAAACAGCAAGGGCGGAACCCGCACTATACAGGGATCCGCGATGTCCGAATAAAGAATAAAATGGTCGACAGGGAGCGAAAATTGTCAAAGCCACGATGATGACGCCACTCACGACATCCTAAACTAGAACTACACAATAAGCTACGTTTATCACGGTTATTGGATTTCACTTGATTTAAGTTCTCATCTTTGTTTAGCTTGTTGACCTGCATAGAGTTGCGGAAGCATGACGGTCCGTATTATGAGGGTCATGATGACTACGTTGCAGAGATCGTGACATATTCAACGAGCACCGCCGCATGTGACAAAGCTAGAGACATCTTAAGAAAGCCTGCCGCGAATCGTCTCTCCCACTCAATACTCTAATCCCTCCGAATAATCAGATGTAATCTAGATGTCATGTTCAAAATAGAACTGCCCATAATGGGCTGATGTAACAATCATAAATCAATGAGGATGCTCCAAGTTTAGTTTGCTGCCACCGCGCTTTGTGACAGGAGCGCTAACGACAAATTGCCCTAGGTGAGAATCAAGCTAATCCATATGCAGTCCAAATATTACCTGTCGGTACCGTATAGGCGAGCTTACAACATTTCTACTGAATGAATGCCAAAATATGCCCGGAATTCAACTATAGTGGAGAAGTTTTGGTTTATACAGAAATTACCATAAAGATTAGCTAGCTAACTTTATATATATGCATCAATGCCAACGACTAGCGTCCATTTTCATATATTGCTGAACGCGAGCGGCATAGGTTTGACCTTCCACATGCTGTGTAAACATGAATGGGTCAATTTTGAGTGGGCTGAAGTCGGGTGCCTCTTTGACTAGATTCATCGTCAGCTTATCATTCAATAACCGCATCATTTCTTCCAGATGAAAATGAGTAAAGTCTGCGGTGGTATAGTATGATAAGAAGATTTCGTCTTGCTTCAAAAACATAAGCAATTCATTGGGTGTAAGCTCAAAAAGCGTCGTTAAGTCTTTATCATCAATGCCCAGTTTGATTTTCTTGAAGTTTTTCTTCTCATCCTCAGTAAGTTGATACGCTAAATCGAAACGTTCCTCATCATCATCATTATGGTTGCTGTACTTTTGAGCGAATGAGTGTCGAGTCGCCCAGCCTTGTTTATCTTGTAAGAAAAATAGAATATCATCTTCAGGAATCCACAACCGTAATTGAGGCATAAATACGTATCCCAGGTGCTTCTTACTTTGTAAACCCTTACTGTACTCTGTCTTCAAGATTTCGGTGAACTTTCGAGGAACGTAAGCGACTTCGCCTTCTACCATAGTTTTCCGCAAGGGTGAAAGCTCACTCAACAGGGAAAAGTGTTTGTTTCGACAATTGTAAATTTCGAGCTCTGAATTCGTCTCAAACGCGGGGGTATCCTTGTTCCACTCCTTCCGTAAACCTCCTTTGTAACGGTCAGGGGTGGCTTCCTTAGAAACTGCCAAACCTGTAATGTCGATGTACAACCCAGTGTCAACGTCAATGAACCGTGCATCGATGTTATTATTGCCGTTGCCCTTGTCACGTAATGCGATGAAAGTACCACAATCCAAAAAGTAACGACCGTACCCGTCATTAGCATCCTCAACAATCAACGTCTGATTAAAGTGAAGTGAAAGTTTATGCAAATCATAGATAGGCATTTGTACGTCAATGTCATTGTCCCAGGGAAACGCCATGCCATCCCAGTACCACAGCAAAAGCGAGCCATGTGCAACCCAAGTATTGATACCAACTTTACGGCAAAAACTCAAGAAGACACGCACCATGTGGTGAAGACTTAAAGTTTGTTCGTACAGGTTATAGTGAATGCCATTGAAAAATCTCCAATCGTAATGATCACCAATACCTCCGCCAAAAATCATGTTAGCCTCAGTGAAGTACTTTGGGACGGCATTCTTCAGAATCAACTCTTGGCCATATAAAAGGGAGTTCAAGTAACCTTGCTCAGTACGAGTAATCCCACCACGATTGGCCTTTTTCTGAAATTGGTCGATGTAGATCTTGGGGTTGTATCGAAAATGCTCCGGGTCCAAATAAACGAGGTAGTCATTCTGTACATGTCCGTGATTCAGTGGAAATTTTTTCTGTAACTTTTTGAATGACTTGGATACATCGATTTTGTTACTTTTCACATCCTCGAAATAGCTTTCTGGTATCTGATTGTAAAGGAGTTTACCTTTCTTCTGAGCAGTTCGGACTCTATACATCCCATCTGAGGTTAAGAATATGATTGATTCAGGTGGAGGAGCATGCGAATATAAGTAGGACTTGCCCATTAATTTCATCTTAGGGTCAGTCAGTCGACCACCAAATCGAAAAACATTGAATGAAGGATGAACCAAATTACCGTTATCATGAACGTTTTCGCCATCTCCTGTTTGAGGCATCTGGGCACTGGGGATGCAGTATTCGGTAATATTCTTGCTATCCTTTCTGTTGTACCTCTTCAGTAATCCACGCTTTTCATGTGCTTGATTTAATGGGACCGCCTCTTTGTTCTCATCGCTCTTAACTGCGTCATTCTTCTGCTGTTGTTCATTTGATTCGGAAGTATCAGAAATAGATGACTCGGGTTGTTTGGAAGGGTTTTGGGTTTCCCATTTCTTCCGTTCAGCTTCAATCGCGGCATCAATCTTGGCTTTTTCAGCTTTTTTCCGCTCCTCTTCCTTTTTCAATTCAGCTTCCTTCTTTTTGCGCTCTTCCTCTATCTTCTTATCCTCCTCTGCCTTCTTTTTGCGATCTTCTTCTTGCTTTTTCTTCTCATCCTCCTTAACCTTCTTTTCAACCTCCTTTGTTACATCAAGAGGCAAGCATCCCAGATCCATGGGATTGAGAATGTACTTGTTGAGAATGGACATGTCGACCCAATCCTCCCAATGGAAAGGAAGTTCAGCATCGGCATCACTCAAACGACGATTCTTCTCATTGCTCTTGTACCCCTTTGCCTGGAACTGTTTGAGCATGGCTTCATAATACATCGCCAATGTGAACCGAGGGTCAAAAGGTTGTATGAGTGGCTTCTTCAGATTAGGAGTGGTCTTTTGATAATAAGGGGGTAACTCAATCACCCCTCCGTGCTCATTCATCCCCGTCTCAACTTGCCATTGCAACATTTGCTCGTTGTCATTGGCCAACTTATCACGGTATAATTGGTCAACATGATGACTCAAATACTGTTCAGGATCATTTGCGGCCATGGACGCTTCCCCCATTTTGCTCAGCGACTTATCACCCAGGAGCCCAGCACTAAGGGTATAAATGTACAGGGCTGGCACCATCAGGGCTATGCGGGAACGAACAGTGGATGTGCTTATGAGGAGCACGACGACCACCAACACCACTGCGGTGAGCTGGAGATGCTTTTTTCGTAAAGCAAAGAACATCTGGTGCTTCCCGCAAGTTGTTGACAAGAGGAAAAATGTTTCCAAGAAACAATATTTGCATCCATGCAAGAGGCGATGATGGCAGCCATGCGGTTCTGTCGATGCGCGTTCCAGTGGGCAGGCGACAACTTACCAGGTTAAGGGGCGCTGTTAGCCAAGAAGTGGGGTGAATACGATAAACTAAATGAGCGGGGCGTGCTGGAGAAAATTTAATGGTGAACGAATTAATAAAAGCTTCCAGACTAAAACCGTTATGAAATCAATCCGGAAGTGGCTAGAATACGTTATTATCATCCAGTAGACGACTGTATAATCTAGATGGTCGCAATTCGGCTCGTGTGCGCAAAATTTGATGGTTATACAAGATTTCTTGGCGTGCGTCATCTTGCTGTTGATGAGTGGAAAAAGAAACATTTTAACTAGTCGATCCGTGTACTTGAATATTCAATGCTCGAGACCGATTAGTTTTACTTCCAATTGATTGGTTCATTTGCTTGTAGCGTTTGATTCCATCAAGGCCTCGTCACCTCTGTGTCTCTTCGTGACCCGTTGTCTGCCACGCGAATCTTAGCAACCTCGGGCGTTTCCGCGTGTTGCCCGTGACTTCAGATACGGTCTATTTCTTACAAAAGGATTGGTCTACGATCTAAGAATAACTCAAGATATATCGGCGCTGAATCTTAAGTAATGGTATACTTGCCAAGTCAATGTCTTAGAAGTTTTCGTTATGAGCGATGACTGTTAATTTACGAATCCAGGGTTGCGCTAGCTGTACTTAGGTGCCACACATCCTCTCTAATTTGAGGCGCCTAGACGATTATTAATGCCAAGGCTGAATCTCTCGAAAGAACTTTAGTTCAAACATGATCATTCTGCTCGAAGATTTACACGAGTGAAAGAAGAAAACCTGGCCAGTCGCTCGTCGCGCAAAGCTATTTTTGCACAACAATCTTTGAAACACGCTTTGGCTTCTGTATCGCGGCTTCCACAGTTGAGAATGCCGTGCGAGAGCCTCATATGAGATATGGGAGAACTTGTTAAGAATATGCAGGCACATTCAGACGCTAAGACATTTCGAACTATGCAACCTAATACACAAAGATAGCGAACGCACTCGATAAATGCGTGCGATTCGTGGCACTCTAATATTATGGCATTCGTGTTCGTTGCACACAAGCTTTCTTTTCGATATAATCTGACAAACTGTAGCATGCTTCTGCGGGTTCTTACTTCCAAATCTACTCATTCTTTTGCCATACAGCTTAAGTCCGGTTTGAAGTGTATCATCGTCTATAATCAAAATTCAAGTTGAATTGGATGATTTCCATCGATTTCAAATCGCCCTATCAATTTCCGTCTCGATAGTGTTTCCTTTTAATCTTGTACTGCTTGCAGAGACTAACGTTGATGAACTTCTAGTACAATGTACGCCAGTTCCAAAAATGAGTTGATTGTTTAGCGTCGTGCGATTCATCCCATGAGCGTAATTGTATGTGCTTGCAATTAGATTGCATTAGTAAGCTCACTGATTTAGTAGGTTGCAGCCACACTTGAAAACGAATCCCGCTCAATGTAACATGTGTCTATGGGGAAGAGGCTCTGTAATAAATGTTGATATGTTCTACCATTCTTTGGTGAAGCCGCTTGTGCTCCACTCAATGCGCGAAAATTTCTTGACCGATTCGTTTTCGCGGCCAGGATAAGGGCATTTGGGATCAGTTGAAAGTTTTATATAGTAACCAATGACGTGGCTCATATTTCATTACGTACTACCAGAATGACTTGAGAGCAAATGAAATTGGCACTTGCGTGATATTGTCTCGAAGAAGTCGCATAGTTGTCCATCCAGATTGATCTTATCTACGTGAAGCATTATTGTCCATCGACTGGGGAGCGCTGCAGAGTACAATGCTTAAATAATTTATATGATAATCGACCAATAACCTTAATGCTGTTGTCAAATATGTAATAGGAGCCAGTACAAATTATCCGTGGCACTCTCTCTGTCAGGCTAGAGACTTAATCTTAGAAGTGAACTATTTGGACATAGCCGCTGGCACCGTGCGCGACATGTGGCGCACCCCTCACCAAGCCACATCTGGTAGCGCGTGTCCGGCAAATCACCTCGATTTTGCCGTGAATCAGTTAAGAGGGGTCATCAGGCCGGACTAGCCGCAATTATGAGTTCAAAAGGTATTAAGATTGCAATTGATCGAGGAGGGACATTCTGTGACGTGATAGCCAAGATTCCAGGTGAAGAAGACTACGTTTTCAAGCTTCTCTCTGTTGATCCTCAAAACTACAACGATGCACCTACTGAAGGTATTCGTCGGGTGCTTGAAAAGGCAGAGGGCCGGTCCATTCCTAAAGAAGAGAAGCTTCGCCTTGAGTCTATTCACCTGATCCGAATGGGCACAACCGTTGCCACAAATGCACTTTTGGAAAGAAAGGGTGCGCCTGTTTTATTGGTCACAACAAAGGGTTTCGGTGATATCTTGGAGATTGGCAACCAGACTCGCCCTGATATTTTTGATTTGACAGCAAAAAAATTAGGAAAGCTTTATTCTCAAGTATTGGAAATCGACGAAAGAGTCACCGTCGATAGTTTTAGTGAAGGCGGCGGGTCGATGTTGCCTAACAAAACTGATGACAATGTCCTTCAAGGCATCACCGGGGAACCTATCCGAATTCTCAAATCGCCTGATTATAACGCCATTCGTGCGCAGCTTCAAGAAATCTGGAATAAGGGCCAAATCAAGCTGGTAGCATTGAGTCTTATGCATGCCTACGCGTTTCCGGACCACGAAGCGAAGATTGCAGACATTGCCCGGGATATTGGTTTTGAAATTCTGGTGTCCCATCAATTACAACCAATGATCGGCATGTTAAACCGTACGCTGAGTACAGTTGCTGATGCTTACTTGACCCCTGTGATTAATGAATATCTCCGGGGTTTTGGAAAGGGCTTCGAGGGAGGTTTGGAGGCTTTTGGAAATAAGTTGTTGTTTATGCAGTCTAATGGCGGTTTGTGTCCATGGTATAAATTCACGGGACTCAAAGCAATCCTTCTGGGCCCTGCTGGCGGTATGGTGGGGATTGGCCACACTTGCTACGATCATGAGTCGGCATTGGCTACTATTGGATTCGACGCAGGTGGGACATCAACCGATATTTCACGTTATCTGGGCTCACTCGAGCATATCTATGAAACAGTTGTGAGCGAGGTCTCTTTGCAAACACCTCAACTTGACATATCAACCGTAGCTGCTGGTGGTGGGCTGATGTTATTCTGGAAAAACGGCATGTTTGTGGTTGGACCGGAATCGGCGGGTCTGGATCCTGGTCCTGTCTGCTATCGGAAAGGTGGACCTCTCACTGTGACTGACGCGAATCTACTACTCGGGAAACTTATTCCAGAGCACTTTCCTCTGATATTTGGTCCAAATCACGATCAACCTTTAGATGTTGAATTGACCAAACGGAAATTCAATGAGCTTACAGAAGAGATCAATCGTGACAAGGTGGGTCCAAAATTGACGCCTGAACAAGTAGCTAATGGTTTTCTTACGGTTGCAGTCGAACTGATGGCCAGACCAATTCGAACAATAACGGAGGCAAAGGGCTACAGTACGAATAATCACAATTTGGCCTGTTTTGGAGGGTCAGGTGGTCAATTTTCGGTACCGCTCGCCAAAAATTTGGGTATCGCACAAGTTGCGGTACACAAATACCTGTCGCTTTTATCAGCATATGGCATTCTCGTTGCTGATATTGTTATTGAGAGACAAGTACCAGTGTCAATTATTTACACCAAAGGCAATGCAACTATTTCTTCCAAAATCGAAGAACTTGTTGTCGATGCCAACAACGAATTTGAGGCGGAAAATTTGTCGGGGTCTAAACAAACCAATATCTTATTAAATATGCGCTATGAAGGACTGGACACACATTTGCTCATTAACTATGATCCTGCCCAAGACCAGGCTGAGGCCTTTGTTGCTCGTCATCGTCAAGAGTTTGGATTTTCTTTGGATCGCCGAGTTATTGTGGATGATATTCAAGTTTTGCTTGTTGCCACCGAAGTCGAAGAGGAAGTTAAAGATCCATTTGCTGAATTACGCAAGAACCGGCATCATCTCAAACTGGTGGCTCCAACCGAATGGACCAAGACATATTTTGACAACGCCTGGCACTCGACTGCTGTGCACAAATTGCACAGTTTACCAAAGTACACCACAATCCAGGGACCTGCCATTCTTTTGGATGATACTCAAACCTTGGTTGTTGACCCGCATGCATCGGCGATCGTTCTTGAAAGTCATGTTCTCATTGAAGTTGAATCGAGTAAACCTCCTCCATTGTCCCTGACGGAAGTAGATCCCATCCAATTGCTGGTGTTTGGCCATCGTTTCATGCTGATTGCTGAGCAAATGGGGAAAACGCTTCAACAAACCGCCATATCTACAAATATCAAAGAACGCCTTGACTTCTCGTGCGCTTTATTTGATGTAAATGGTGATCTTGTTGCTAATGCCCCTCACGTACCTATTCACCTAGGGGCTATGCTGTTTGCGGTTAAAGCACAAATGGAAATTTGGAAGGATAAGTTAGAGCCCGGAGATGTTTTAGTTACCAATCACCCTGTTGCTGGTGGATCCCATTTGCCCGATATTACAGTCATCACCCCCGTTTTGGACAACAACAAAAGGCCAGTTTTTTGGACTGCTCTGCGTGGCCATCATGCTGACATTGGACTGATCTCGGCAGGGTCTATGCCACCGAACTCAAAAACTATTTACGATGAAGGTGCAGCAATTAAAACACATAAACTCTGTGTCAAAGGCGAGTTTGACGAAGCAGGGATTACTCGATTACTCGTGGATGAGCCAGCAAAGCAACCGGGTGGACTGGGTACTCGCACTTTGAAAGATAACATCAGCGACTTGAAAGCACAAGTGTCGGCTAATTTCAAGGGCATTAGCTTGTTGCAAGCTCTCATCGAAGAATATACCTATGATGTCATCGCGTTGTATATGAGTGAAATCCAAGCTACAGCTGAGCTACTGGTTCGAAACTTGCTCAAGTTGGCACATAAAAAGTTTAGCGGGAAGCCTTTGGAAGCGATCGATTATCTCGATGACGGTACACCAATCGCGCTCAGTATCAACATTGACCCTGAAACCGGATCGGCAACATTCGATTTTACTAATCTGGGAGATGAAATGTATGGCAATTTGAACGCACCGAAAGCCATTTTATATTCAGCGGTATTATATGTGTTACGGCTGCTTATTTCTGAGGATATTCCGTTGAACAATGGTTGTTTACGGCCAATTACATTTCTTACTAGAGACTGTCTGGTTGTTCTGCCGCTGGCTGATGCTGCCGTGGTTGGTGGGAACGTGGAAACCACTCAACGTATTGTCGACGTGATGCTCAAGGCCTTCGAAGCTGCCGCTGCGTCTCAAGGTACTTGCAATAACTTTACATTTGGAATCAACGATGGAAAAGTGTCGTTTGGTTACTATGAGACCATTTGTGGTGGCCTGGGTGCTGGTCCAACATGGCATGGCCAATCGGTCGTTCAATGTCATACTACCAATACCAGAATTACCGATTCGGAAATGTTCGAAAAGCGATACCCTGTCGTGTTGCATGAGTTTTCTGTTCGCCGCGGTTCCGGTGGTGATGGCAAATTTCATGGTGGTGATGGTGTGATAAGGGATATCGAATTTACTTACGACGGTCTCGAGGTTAGCTGTTTGATGGAAAGAAGAGCTATGGCTCCGTTCGGGCTTCTTGGAGGTAAAGATGGTGCTCGCGGTCGCAACATATGGAAACGCAGGCTGCCCAATGACCCTGAGATATGGCGTCAATTCAATCTAGGTGGGAAATGTACCGTCAAGGTTAGTTCTGGTGACCGGGTTATCATCATGACCCCTGGAGGTGGCGGGTTTGGGGATGTTGATGGAGATGATCAACCAAAATTCGCCATCAACCCTCTGCAACCTACACGTTTGACTGGGTCGGTTGCAATGCGTTCTATGCACCAAACCACCAACTAAGACACGGTGTTCCACCATGAACCCTTGTGATATGATGCGGTGGATCCTTTGATGCATCACTCTCATCTGAGCTGAAACAGTGGAAACCATATATACATATATAAGTAAAATACGTAACAGACTCCTCAATCAATGAATCCATCGAACCTAGTTTTCCTAGTTGTTACAGCTCTTACTGCTACTATCACTAGCATTCCCGTGGAGTGTCTTATGATGGCCTATGTTATGAGTGAGGGCGAGCAAATATTAACGGGAACCTGGATGGGTCGAAATGCAATCATGATTGTCCAACCAAATTGGTATACACTGAACACTGACTCAGAAGTTGAAAGTGTTGTCACAACTACTGTCACGTCGATAACTGTCGTTCAGCCAACAACTACAAATTCACTTGACGTGGTTCCGGCTAGTTAGGTTAATAAATTTTTTAACTTCTTTGAAACGGAATGTGGGTTGCATATGTGTGTGTTAAACCTGCGCTTGAAACCCAGCGCACTTGAGACGTCGTGTGGTGCTATGGACCTCATTAAGCAAACAATCTGGCGCCACGATCCCTTAGCCATTGATACCTCTATTCAAATATCCATTCTCTTAAAAGTCGTTGTGACTGCGGCTGCTCTATGCTCTATTCAAATCGTGTTGTTCTGTGTTCTCCGTCCTTGGTTTCCTTCGGTGTTTCAGCCGCGAGGAGGACAGACTAGCTCAAGATGGGGAATATGGCTTCAACCTATGGTTGAAATGAACGATCATGTAATACTTTCATCAATGGGACTTGATGCATATTTCTTTATTCGCCTACTTCAAATACTACTTGGGTACTTCACCGTTGTAGGATGTCTCAACGCAGTGGTTTTGGTGCCAGTGACCTACAGTGCGAAAACCCAAGAACCATTCCTTGTCAAATTGAATATTAGCAATGTCCCCGATATCCAAACAGTCAGATTATACTTTCATTGTGCCATGGCCATAATTCTGGTGATTCTTTTCCTTCTCATGTCATCATATGAGTTGTGGAAATACCAGCAGATCAAGTACAGCTATTTGCAAGCAAACCTGAGCTCTGCCAGTCGAACGGTATTATTTTCGAATGTACCGAAAAGCTGGTTAAATCATGGTAAACTTCAGACTTTATTTTCCAACTTTGGAGAGGTTGAGGTTATTACTTTCGTTCATGATGCTTCAATGGTCCGGTATTGGGCAAATCAATTGGAGAAAGCGGTAGCCGATGTGGAATATGCGTTGGTGTGCTACACAAGAAACTGGTTACGAAAGCATTACCTGTCTGCATCAATTTTACGCAAGTTATGGCGAAACTCAGAGGCCCAAATTCAACCTCGAGGTCGCGTTCACTGTTATGACTCACGATGTGAATTGTGGATGCCAAAGCCAATTGTACTAGGGCCATGGCTCGTGTCTGGCTTTAATAAACCAATCCTGATGGAGATTCCAGGTATATTATCGATGATCTGGCGGCCCCTGGTTGAGGCATTACCATGGAGCATTGACCGCTTGAACTATGCCATTCACAATCATCAAAACGCGAGAGCTGACGTTTTACGGAACTCTACTCTGAGACAGGCCAAGGTGTTTGTTCGATTTAGCTCGATAAGATCGGCGAACATTGCACATCAATGCTACTTGCCTCCGCTTACAGCCGAAGCTATTGAGATAAGACCCTTTCAAATTGTTTGGGAAAATATTAGTTACTCTTGCTGGCGGAGTCAATGTCAACGATACCTATCAAATGTGGTTCTGCTTTTAATCATATTGACCTATATCTTCCCTGTATCGCTAATAGGTCTTGTCTTTTCGCTTCCGTTCTTGACGCTGGTTTTACCAATGACACGCTGGATCACAAGAAACATACCATCTAGTTTTACGGATGTGGTAACGGGATTCCTACCGGCAATGTTTTTGTCTTATCTTTCCATGTTTGTACACTGTGGATTTCGCAAGCTTTCAACTATGAAAGGATGGGTCATTTATGCTCAAGTCGAAGAAGACTTACAGTGCTGGTACTTTTGGTTCCTTTGGATCCATCAATTTCTCGTGGTTTCTGTTCTGGCACTGGTATTCTCATTTGCCAAACAAATAGTTTCAGATCCCTATTCTATTCCAAAAGTCTTGGCCATTAATTTACCTCGAGCGCTGACATTCTATCTACATTTTTTCATCTCCGAAGCTTGGGGCTTATTGGGTGGCAGCTTTTTAAGTTTGCATGCAATTGTTGTTCACCTTCTACAAGTAGTGTGGTGCCGACGAACTCCTCGCCAATGGAACAAATGCATTAATAAACTCCCTCAACCTGAATGGGGAACCAAATTTTCATCTTTTACTGTGTTGGGATGCATCTCCTTAACGTACTTAGTGATCTCCCCAGTGGTTGCACTAATCTTCGTACTACTTTTGTGGTGCGCTCTTGTGTCGTATCGGTATAAGCTCAAATATGTGTACGACCGTAAAAACAGAGGTGAAACTTATGGAAAGTTATATCCAACTGCTATTTTTCAACTTTACATGGGAATTTATTGTCTCGAAATTAGCCTTATGGGAATTTATTTCTTTCATCCATCCACTGAATTGATGCTAGGTTTTTGGTTGATGATGGTTTGCTTGCTACTGACAGTGTTTTTTCATATGACACAAATCGCTGCTGTTCGCCGTAGCCTCAACACAATGAGCCCTGTAATAGATGTTGAGAAACCCATCTCAGCTGATGAGGTCGAGGTTTTCCGTGACCCTTGTTTTGAACCCCTTGGAATGGCTCTTTGGTTACCGAAGGATCCATTGGGTATAGCACAGTATCAACTTGGAAAGGTTGAACAGAAAACTAAAATGCCAGGGGGTACAACAAGAGGGGCTAAACTTGATCTTCGTTACTTTTGGATGCCTTGCGAGGTCATTTGTTCCAATCTGAAGTAGTATCTATAAAATAATATGAAAGTTCTAAGCGGCAATGATGTACTCGTCATCCACATCATTGAGATTCGCTAATTTCACCTCCTGAGCATCGTAATCAAAAAGTGTATATACACTGCTCAATACTGTATTGCCGAAGATGTTCATACCAAATACACCTGAGTCGCCAGCACCAAGGTAACATTCATCAAAACCCTCTATTATCCATTTGAACTGATTAAAGGGGACATCAAAAGTGATGTCTCCAACAGATATCAGGAACGTTTTGTCACTTGGTTGGTCACAAGACATTAAATAATACCCGTTATCTTGTCTTTCGGCATTGAATAAAGGCGCCAATTGGTCAAGGAAAGCTCGAGGGAAATATGATATTTCAGCACCAGAATCAATAATGAAATTAGTGCTATCGTCGGAGAGTATCTCGGCGTCTGCAATTGTCATTTTTTCAATGGGGAGCTGCCAATATTGACCAGGCGAAGAGAACAGCTGCCAAGTAGACCCAAGTTTCGCTTGATCATATCCCCCGAAGGTGAGTTTTCCTCTGCTAACCGAGTTGCGATAGTATATTGAGGCGACGGTTTTATCGATTTTTCCAGCGGCCTTCAAAGCATAGGGTAAAGTATCATATGCCAGATTCTTTCTCTTCCCCAATCCGAATACACCACCACTGTTAGTGCCAGCATCTTGGGGATTGTTAACAACTCCGAATATGAAGTCATTGAGAACGGATGATCCAATTTCAAGTGTGTCCTTGGCGTAATAGCCTTTCACCGCGGTGTTGGCATAGGTAGTTTGGTATTCTATGCCAAGGTTAACGAGTGACAGTGACAGATCTGCCCAATCGTCTGTGTTAGGAAGCCAAGCTTCCAGAGATCCGCTATCGGCTATAGGATATAAGGCTTCACCATTAGAGCCGATCTTGATTTCGAGAAGGTATTTGTCATTCGGCTTCACTATATCGCTGCCAACTGTGTTAGCGTCCCTTCTCAGCAATGCATGTCCACTCGAAATCTCAATAGGTAACGCGAGAGTTACCGCGCATAAAGCAAGGAGCTGAAAGCTTCTAGTCATGTTTATACGAACTAAACTAGGGTATTACTGAACTTTTATAAAGCTTTACAAGTTAATCTTGCAACCAGCCGACACTATGGCGGTACCCTAGCAACGTGCTGGTTGATGTAAAGCGCTTAAACCGGGCCCATTGTGATACCTTAAAATCTTTAATATCAAGTACACGAGTTCTCATTAGTGAGTGATACTAAACGACTACTAAGAATAGACTCAATCTTTTGAGCACATTTACTCGAGTATAAGCAACCCCCTGCGGGAAATCCCCATTGCTACTTGTAAATCGATTGTGGACCGACTTGGTACTGATCTAGGTATATGCGCGATCAGAGAAATATGGCGCACACCTACTTCATTTAAATGCTCTATAAGCAATTAAAGTGACTCGAATCCGAGAAAGACATTCCAGTATGTAGCTTAACTGATTCAAGCACTTCGAGTATGGGACGCAAGCCAAATGTTGGTACAATGTTCATGAAGCAAATGTTTGGCTGTGACGTTTCGTAGAAAAATATTGCATATCTCAAGAAATTTCGGGGGTAGCGAGGTGCTCACGGGTTCTCATAGCCTTGATCTATTACCCAAATGAGTGAAGTCATGAAGTGAACAAAATCAACCCTTATCATGGAATCCTGAATAACTTTGTTTGGAAATTCAAGCTTGAAATGCGTGAACCATGATATATCGAGTTTTATGGCTTAGTGTCATGTGGGTTGAATTGGGTGAAGATGCTGTAGATCGAGAGCGAAATGAGAGCTGGAAAATCCCTCGTTCTTGCTGTATTCAGTAACTACAAGTGGCTTTATTAATGGTCCTCCCCATAGATGTTCCAGGCCTTTCTTTTTGAAATTATATACTACTATGCCATATGGAGGAATTGCCGAATGATGGATGATGCAAAATTCTATAAGTTCAATGCGTTATACAAATTCTTCAAGCGACTGAAACGGGTCATATTTTCGATTTCACGATTCTGTAACATACGCAATGTTTTGAATTCCTGACTCGACAATAACTCCTCTTCATGGCCCTTAACATCCTCCCTTTCACACTTCGCCAAAAGAATTTTGTGATCCTCTTTGAAGTCTTTGATATTCTCAAGTACTTTCACCATATCATACAACAATGACTCTTTGAGAAAGTCAAAAGAATGACGTGGATTGTGTCTGAAGAGAAAGAACGTTTTGGAGGCTGCACGGTCTGCGGAACGTGGAACTTCCTGAATCTCCACCATATTCAATTGAGTGAGCTTGTAAAGCTCGTTCCGTACTGTCTTTTCCCGTAAAAGAACCGCATTAGAGATACTCTTTTCATCCCCCACACGCTGTTGCTTTAAGCAACGCAATACTCTGAATGCGTGATCACCAAACGTCGACTTCACAATCGTTTCCATATACTGTTCCTTGAGAGTTTTTATAAGTGCAGTGAACGGGACCAAGAAGTTTCCTGGAGATGCCTCAGTGAGAAAAGAGACCAGTGTACCTCGAGCAAGAAGATCTAAATGACGTTGTACCATATCAGAAATGGAGGTGTCATCGACTTTGCTCTCATATTGTTCTGTAGTTGATGAATTGACCGGTATAGCTTCTCCGTCTTCTGTTTTGATCCGTTTAGTGGAGACTTGCGCGGCTGCCTCTTCAGCAACTCGTTTAGCCTTTGTAGTTATTGAATTTGACACATCAATATAAGGCGGAAGCAAACGAACAACATCGTGAACAGCAAAAACAATTTTTCGATCTTCAACCAATTTGTTTTCCACCAGATTGATAAACAGTCGTTCTTCTTCAGGGTCATTAATAAGACCCGGAATTTGGAGAAACGGATGAACTACCGAGGGATCAGGAGTACCGGCTTCGATATGCTTTAATCCCAACTCAAGAATTTTGGCAGATACAGCACCAACGCGCAGTGCCGCTAAATTCACAATAGCCTCGGTACGCAAGTGTTTGAGATAGCGAGACCAATTTACTTTTACAACCAAGTCTGGTTTCAAGCGCTTTACACCATTCTGGGTGTTATACAAGTCTTTAGGGGCCAAGCCTTCCTCCAAACTTTCCATTAATTTGAGCTTAGCCTTATCTTTAGCCTCATTCACTCGCTTTACTTCCGAAACAGACAGCGACCGAGGAATTTTCTGCAAAACTTCATGGAATATCTCATCCCACACTTCAGTTATCGGTCTAGAGTCTTTGGGTTGTAATCGCATTAACCACTTTTCAGAGAATAATCTGAAAAAGTGTGTTTGATCCTCCAAATTCTCGTCTTCTCCCGTACCACAATAGTCTTTGATTCTAACTGAACCATTTGCGAGAACGTTTTGTATGATTTGTGCAGCACCTTCGCCATGTAGTTTTTTGATGTGGTCAATGATGTCTCCTGCGTGCATTAAGAGTTGGAGACCCTCAGGATTGAGTTGGTAAATGAAATCTTTCTTGACCTTCCAGTGGTATAAACAGTTGAGCTGGCACAATACGACCACAGCCAGCTTGGTAGCGTTAAGTCCTAGCATTGTTTTCTGATTGATCTCTTTGATATTGAGCCGACCATAGGACGAAAGTGCACCAACAACACGTGCAACTGGTTCCCCAAGATGTTGTCGTGCCACATACACCTCCAAATCATGGCGTGGTGGCTGAGGAGGAAAGCCAGGCTTTGGCGTGGTCATTGGTAGCGCGATGAGATGATTTCGCGTACTATGAACTAGTGCGGCCTCAATTTCAAATAGGGTGGAAGAAATGCTTATTAAACGCTTTGTCGAAAAAATCACTAGACTCATGAGTCCAAATTGGTCATGATTGGAATTAATAATTTAAAGGAGGTAGTCCATATATTTTATTCAAGGTAAAAGTCGTGACGTTGGTCTGGTTTATCTTGAGAATACTTGGTCGAGCACATGTTGATGAAGCAGCAATGAAATCTTGTTGAACTTCTGTGATATCGAGGCCGATTTCAAAGATTGTTCCATGAGTACTTCAGTAGAACACCAAGTCGATGTGGACGAGAAGTCCAAACATATGACCTCGACGTTGTAGTTGTATGGGAAAAGACCGTGGTTTTGTTTGTCACATTCACTAAAAAACTGATTGAGTGCCGTTGATCGAGCCTACTATGGGTGTGGTATGGCATCTTGCTTGGCTCTGACCATCGATAGTTCGGGTACCGCGTCACAAAGGACTATAATCGCATTACCTTCAACATGTTATTGTGTAATATTGAAGTATATGACCACCTACAAATGTTGCTCTTCAAGAGTCTTGAAGGTCCACACAGGAGCATTACCGAAGTTAATACCACCTTCCAAAAGCTTAGCAAAGGCAGCGGCGAAGTCCTTGAAGAACAATTGCTCATCTTCGGCATAAAGCTTTACGTACTTGCGGAAACCTTCGTCTTCCTTCAACGACATGTCAGTCGGCAACATCATCAATGAGTGAGTAGCTTCATCTTCGAATTGGTGTCTACCGCTGTATTGAACGACCTTGGGGTACCACTTGCCCAACAATTCGGTGTAGAATTGGTTCGTAAACACATCAGGCGAGTGAGTCCAGGGACCATCAAATCCCGAGTACTTTTCATGACACGAACCCAAAGCATGAGCACCAATCAAAGCGACAGTTTCTTGGTCGCTCATGTTCAAGCGCTTAAACAAATTACGGACGTAGCTGGCATCTCTGGTAGCATCGGGCAAATTACCATTCTTGACGATCTTCGTAGCGTCAACGTAGTTGACTCTACCAGGTCTCCACTTGATCTTGGGGCCCGAAGCTTCTTGAATCGCAGCAACACCACCAAGAGTCCACAAGTCACCTCTGGAAATCCAGGGGTACTTGTATTGAATTTCAGACAAGAAGTCCTTAGCCATCACTAAACCAGCGTTTTCAGGGTCGGAGCTCTCAGGGGCGTAAATCATACCACCACCATACGAACCACCTTGACCATTGTATTGATTGTAAGTCCCAGACGCATGCCAAGCCAATCTCACCAACATACCGTAGGGACCTTTGCCGCCGTCGTAATCGCCATTAGCTTCGATTTTCTTAGCAATGTCATTGTAGACTTGTTGGAAGTCTTGTTGGGTTTTACCTTGCTCGGGTTCAGCAGTATTGACAATTTTAGCAGCGGACCCGCCCAAAAAGGGCAAGAGGTTCTTCAAAGGCTTTTGAGGTTGGGGGACCTTGTTATTGTTGTTGTTGAAATAAAACGCAGTGGCAGCCACAGTGGCAGCACCACCGAACACCAAGTACTTGGCGTAAGAACCAGTTCTAGGAGCAGCAGCCCTAAGAGTAGCAGCAGTCATTTTGGGGGTTACCTGTAGGGGCGGGGGAGCAGATTTTATATCAGTTGATCGTGCAACGTGTATGCGCTCATGCAGGAAGTTTCCTAAAGGTGGGGTTGAACAAATGCACTAGCCAATGACAAGAAGCCCTATTGTCAGGAAGGTTTGACGTAAATTGCTTCTATCCACAACCTCATTCATTATCACAAACCAACCGACTATAGCAATTGCTATCAAAATTTTGATTGAAGCTTAAAAGGTAGCCTATTAATAATAGACCACCTTGGTGGCGCGTTCTGGACCCCTCGCAATTTTGTAAGCAAGTGGGGGTTTTGAATAAACGCGGGTGAAGTGTCGATATGTAATAGGTATAGCGATGTAGAGGCTTCGCTGATGAAGCATTAGCGCCTATAGGTAGCTTCTGCTTCGAAGAGTCTAGCCATCCTCACATTATATAAAGCGGGGTTTGGAGTCTCAATTGTTAAATACGATTGCCGCTTCATTCCGAGGAAAAGAAATAGGATCACATGGTAATTACTCATAACCATAAATCCTTGAGGAAGAACAAGACTCGTTCAAGGTGTAAACCGAGTCAGGCTTCTGTCAGGTGGTTAAGCTTGCTAAGTAATGCCACATATTGTTTGATTGCTATTGCCATAATTTAACTTTCAATACTATCAATGGTGATCGTGCCATTCGTAGTATATCCTCCTCAGACGCGTGGATTCTACAGCATATGGAGATACCGGGAATTCCCCGATCGAGCATGCGCCTCAATTAACGAGCGGATATGTCAATCAGAGTAAATAGTTTTACACGAACTTGTAGTCTTGAGGGTCGACGATGGCTTCCTCTGCGATACTTCGGTTGACAAATTCGCTGTTGACGATAGCTGGAAGCTTCGTGGATTCAGTGTAATTCACTGCTAATGCTTTGGTAATTGAATCCACGGAGTCTCGTAAAATCAGGCGATTTTTCTCATCAACAACAATATACATTGCACGTCGAAAATCTTCGACGACTGACCCGCCAAACCGTTTGACTCGTTGACCCGCTAGCCAACCCTCAACATCATCAGAATATACGAAATAAAATGTAGCAGTGGTAAATAGATTCAACAATAAGGGGCTAAGGTTATCAGTCATTTTCGGCTGCAGTTCCGGCTTGACATTCAAATGAATTTGATCCCAATCCACCGGAAGCAAGTAGCTATCACCAACGGGGTCTGCTCCAAGGAACTCATGGTGCAGTTTGAGGACAACTGAGGGTTCCAATTGAAGTAAACGATTGCGTGATATGCATTCCAACACCCAACGAGGACTGACGATATCTAAGCCTAGATTTTCATGGTAACCCTTTGTCTCAGGGACCATTGTCTCTGCAAGAATGACAGTTTGCTGATCCGCATTCATGGACAAAACCACCTTGCCGCCGTTTTCTTCAATGACGTCGATCATCTGTCTACGGGATTTGTCTTTATACCCTGTGGTCACCAAGAATTCCATCAGGGTGAAAATTCCCTTTCTTATTCTTTTAGGATTCCAAGATATCTCCTTAGATTCCTGAAATGAGTCCTCTCCTTGCCATCTTTTAGACTTGACGGCGCCTTGTGCACCATCAAGTCTAAGATCTAACGTTAATCGAGATCGAAGATAATCGGATAAGTTATCAGCGTCATGCCACAGTTTATCATCTCGAAGCTGCCGACAATACAGTCCGTGCAAAGAGCTGCCCACCGCGTATATCAGCTCTTCCCCATTATTGACTGCTCTTGCCCGGACCTCTAGCACAACCAGCTCAGTGGGATCGATCCACTTCTGTGGTTTCCGCTTTCCGAACCGCATCAATTCAGGATCGGGCGGGTTCTTTTTGAAGTCACGCCAACGCCCAGCGAGTCTTGTTTCTATCAAAGTATACTCCGCTTCTGTGAATCCATTGGCAACCAGACAGAATGATAGCCATTGGCGTAGAGTTGGATCTAGTAAGCCACACATGTAGGAATTTTTAACCCCTTCATCTTTGCCTATCACAACTAGATCCAAGTTATGACCGAAATTTTCGAGATATTCAGGCTTCACTTTGAACCATTGAGGATTTCGATAGTCAACGAAATATTTCAGCTGAACGTGTTTCAAAAGTAAACCTTCACCGCGATTCGCAATCACATCCTTCATTGCATCCTCGATGTCTGTTTTGGTCAGTGCCACGTGGAGTGGGAGTTTCTCTAGTCTGTGGGGACAATCGTTTATAACCCTCTCAAGTAATTGCCGACGAAAGAACATGGGAAAGTTAGTTAAATCCAAGTCACCAAACTTCAAAATATCAAAGACAAGGTAATATGGCCACAGGTTCTGCTCTTCATATCGGTCAATCGTCATAAATTGTCGAACCAGTTCTTGAATTGCCAGAGATTTGAGTGTCCCGAATGGTAAAATTATTTGACGTTTGAAGTCCCAAGCGACCATCTCACCATCCAATATAATATCCTTGTCTTGATCCCTGAACACATCTTGTAAATGTCGAGTGAGGGAACCTATCTGATAGGTTTCGCCATACAAGAAAGTGTAGTCTTTTAGTCTTCTGGAGTAGAATTTGAATTGATCGCCTTTTTTATGAAGAATCATACGGTCACCATCCATCTTTTCTTCAATGTAAAACTTACCTCGCAACCCCAAATTATCAAGGTTAGCCTCCCAACTCTCAGTCATTGGTTCAAATTTAGTCAACTTCGTGACCACATCCGTGTATGTGTCTGACAATTTGTGTGCAAGTTGGGGTCGGAATTTGAATCTCGCCTGAAGGGTGAGTTGGGCTTTGTCGAGTCTTTTAGTGGGGTCGATCAAGTAATTAAGTGTCTTTTGCAAATCATTGCACACTTTGAAGAGACCTGGTGCATCTGGATGCCAAAACAGCATGAATGCCATCTCATAATTGACTAAAATTGGCTTCTTGAGAATAATATGACATATCCAACGTACCTCAGGAATCAGGGCTTGTTCGAATATGGGACGCAATAAATTAATTTGCTCTGTTTGATCAACAGTCTCCAAAGCGTCCAAAACTTGATTCACCTCGTTGACTGTAAAACGTGTAAACAGTCGTCGTAATGGGCGGCGAGTCATAATGATGTGAGCGCATCTTGTTGGAAGATCTCGGAGTGCCTTCGTGTCAGCCGTTATCCGCCTCTCGACGTGATAATTTCTTTTCCAATTATTCAACTCATGATACTGATCCAGAGTTTTGGGGATTGTGAACATCTTGATGATCAATCGTGCCAAGGCCGTCTCCTTTATGAAATACTTCCGGCCTGCCCACTCAGGGAAAATGAGCTGAGCACTAGGGTAAATATTAAGACCATACTGCGCTCTGAAGGTGGCAATGAAATCCTTGAACACTTGGTGTTTGCGCTCTCTTATGGCATTTGCTGCATTTTGACGAGTGATTGCATGAGTGGTTTCAAAAAGTGAGTCAACAAGAAATATGAATTCGGGCTCATCGAGTAGTGGTGGTTCGGATACATCATCTAGAAATGATGCCATCCTATCTAGGATCAGCCACTAGGTATAAATCGCAATACGCAATATGCATGACAATGCTGGAAACGTGGTAATACATATTACGGCTAAACATGCCCTCTGTCGTAAGTAATGGAGCTGACCAATTTCGGCTAACTCTTGAGGCAAGTGTCTCGATTACGTGTTTCCGTATTAAGCATCCATGTGTCAACAAAATCAAAGGACACCTCGTTGGCTACAGTTGAGGAGGTTGCAACAACTTATTACGAACACCCATTTCATCAACTTTATTTGAACATAGCCACTACCAAGGTGCCAGACAGCGTATTTGTGGCACCCACATTGTTACTTTGATTGATGAAGCCCCTACTTTTGACCCAACCCACAGAGCGCGCAGTTCATAAAAGCGACCTTTGCTGCATAGTATACGCCAATGCTGTTCATCACCAGACTCGGTCTTAACACTCGCCTCCCGTACCACGGCTTCATTTACGCCGTGGCCTTCGGTGGTTCGGTTTTCTACTCGTTCATTGTGTCGCCATTGGTGTTCAAGAGACTCCCTCGTCAAGAATTTAGTGACTTGCAAGCCGTTGTGTTCCCCACGTACTTTGCCGGTCAAATTATCGCCCCCCTCTTGTTGGCTGCTACGACCTCGGTGTCCCCTTGTCCGGTTCACTATGGTGCCCTCGCTTTGTCGGCTTTGGGTGGCATCATCAACTACTTTTGGTTGTTGCCAAAGTGTGCCGACATTAAAGTGAGACGTAACCAAGCCAAAGAAGGCACTGAAGAGTACAATGAATTGTCGAAGCAATTCGGCAAGTACCACGGGCTTTCAACCTTGGCTAACATTGTGTCTATAGTCTCGTTAGGATTCTATGGGTTGTTGTGGCAAAAGTCACTTACTTCGACTATGGTGATTCACCCCTAGTCCAAGATTTAGTCGGCCCATCATTGTATGCAGTTTCATCCTACTTTGTAGCAGTGCTAATGTCCAAGTTCGACCACAAGTGTGGGTATTAGTGAGAAAACTTTGCCTGATGGCCTTATTGACTATCAAGATAGTATGAGGCGAACTGCTATAGGTTGTATTCGTTTTGATGTCGAAGGCTTTGCTTATACCAGTATTAGGAGTATTGCTACAGAACTGAACGCGAACTTACTTTTCAAAATGTACACCCAAAAGTGAACCTTAAGGTGAACTATTAGGTGTGAATTGATTCTTATATAGCTGGAATCACGATATCATGCTGATTTAGTCGTTTGGTAGGCGTTAGCAACCTGTCTTTACGGGGTACCGATATCACGTGATTAGGGTTGGTGACCTCGTCAACCTCGCGCAGCCTCGACAGCGGTTTTCATCGCGAACCAAAATTTTTCATCCGACTTATCTGTGTCAACTATGAAGTTCGTCGTCTCGGAACAACTCCTCGAAATCCCTGAAGGTGTCACCGTCAACATCAAGGCCAGAGTGATCAAGGTCACTGGTCCCAGAGGTGAACTCACCAAGAACTTGAAGCACATTAACGTTGACTTCGAAAAGGTTAACGACAGATCGATCAAGATTCTTGTCCACCATGGTGACAGAAAGCACGTTGCTGCTTTGAGAACTGTCAAGTCGTTGATCGCCAACATGATCACTGGTGTCACCAAGGGTTACAAGTACAAGATGAGATACGTGTACGCCCATTTCCCTATCAACGTCACCCTCGCCGAACAAGATGGCCAACAAGTCGTTGAAATCAGAAACTTCTTGGGTCAAAAGAAGACCTTCGTTGTCAAGGTTGCTGAAGGTGTCACCGCCGAACAATCGACCACCCAAAAGGACGAACTCGTCTTGACCGGTAACTCGGTTGAAGCCGTGTCGCAATGCGCCGCCGACATCCAACAAATTTGCCGTAAGTATTATCACTGTTGCGAACTTTTTACCAAGGGATTTACTAACAATTATAGGTGTCAGAAACAAGGATATCAGAAAGTTCTTGGACGGTATCTACGTTTCCGAAAAGGGTACCATCGAGCAAGACATCTAAGTGAGTCTGCTCTTCGACGCTTGTATTTTAGACTGGGCTTCTATAGGATTAATATTTGGTTTGATGAAAACCTTGTCTCAAATCTTGGATTTGTTATAGGTTCAACAAAATACAGGACCACCAACGATCCATTTGTAGGAAACGAGGCAGGTTTTAAACATTGGTAACACGGGGGGGGGGGGTACATTTCCTCCACTCAGTTCCTATTGTTCGAGACCTGTGGGGGTGCATGCTGTGAGAAGACTCGAGGAGTGGTCTTCTTGAGTCTGCTCATGGCTTACTCCCCAAATCCACCTCACTTCGAAAGTATGAGTGCATCTTGAGGCTGCAGTCGCCTCAAGATATTTTCATATAGTGGAGAATTGTCGACGTCACTTGTTGTCTTCTCCATTTTTTGAGCATGCAATTCGCACCATTATCGCACACTTCCCATGGCCCTCAAGATCGCCTTTCTTGGGCCGGAGGGCACTTATACACACCAGGTATGATTATCGTGAACTGTTCAGAGTCAATTTACTAACATCAGGCGGTGCGCCAACAATTCCCCGATGGTGACATATACCCCCAGTCTCTGATTCTGGCCTGTTTTGATATCCTTAGTAACCGCGAAGTTGATTACGCCATCGTTCCTTTTGAAAATTCCACCAATGGACAGGTAGTGTTCACTTACGACTTATTACGCGATTGGTTCCTCATTGATGAGCTGGCTCGATTCAAAGTCGTCGGCGAACAATTTGTTTCCATCCACCATAACTACCTCAGCCGTGCTCACGATTTGACGAAGATCACAACCGTGTACAGCCATCCTCAAGTTTGGACGCAATGTACCAGATTCCTTGGCACTCTCCCCAAGCTGATCAAAAGGATCGACACTCTGCTGACAGCAAAGGCGGCTGAAATTGCTCATGAAGATACTAGTGGCACCATCGCGTGTATCCTGTCCAAAATGAGTGCCGACTTGTACGAACTCCCCATCATCAAAGCCAGTGTTGAAGATAATAAGCAAAATACGACACGATTCCTTGTACTTGGGTTTGAAGATTTGGCCCCATCTACAACCGACTCGATGCTCACATCTGTGATTTTCACACTTAACTCAAATGATCCGGGGCTGTTGTGTGACGTTTTACAATGTTTCAAAGATAACGGGGTTAACTTGACATGCATCAACTCACGACCATCACACCTTGCTCAATGGGAGTATGTTTTCTTCATTGAGATGGAGGGTCTGTCCAAGGATATAGAAGTTACTCAAGCGCTCCAGGCAGCTGAAGCCATCTGTGGGAAACTTGTGACACTCGGGTCTTTCGAAAAGCGTTCAAGATAATCCTACTAACATATGTATATACATAAATGCCTTCATTACTAATCCACGATAGAAATGCTTTTTATACACGTAGCTCCAGGCTTACGTCCCAAGCTTTTGGTATACCCAATCGGTATTGTCCAAGGGACACTGTGGCCGAGTCAGCAACCACCGACCAATGCAGTGGTAATGGAACGCGTGGTTGCATTGACCCCAAGCAGCGATACACTTCTCTTGGGTATTCGTAATCAGGTTGGGCTGGCACTCGATACATGGTTCCATGAGATGGTTCCGACAAATGGCACAGTTCTCCACTTGGATGTCCCACAGCCAGAACGCCACCGCCGTCCACTTCTTCACCTCAAACCGCTGCTTCGGATTCGGCGACTTTTTATCGACCTGCTCTATTTGTTAGTAGCTGTTAATATAATCTTGAGTTGTAAAGTTGTAACTTACCGTCAACATCCATTCTGTCCACTTCAGCCATCTTATCGCGTACAGTTCGAGATCAGTTGATGAAAGTGCGAAGTGGTGATTTTGAAGTACAAAAAATTATAAGGGAGGTACAGAATAATGCTAGAGACTTCGACGATGTTACTCTAGCATGACCAATTCTGATAAATTTTAATGACGCCTACTCGCAGAAGGTCATCGATTTGATGGAAAAATCTTGCATGGTTATTGCATTACCATACTATCTGATGGTACTAATGGTTACGGAGAAGATCATCGGCAGTCTTCATACCTTGAAGTTGATTACAATTGACCATTAAGGTATGATGGACAGATAAGTCTTACAAGCAGATAAGTAGTGTCAGAGGCAGTTTGGCTCGGAAGACTATAGGGACAATACTAGGTGGCTCAATTACAACAAGAGGGTAACTTCAGTTTTCTGTTTACTACACGTATCATCGACGTCGTTTTGTCGCTCCGTCATACTGGGTAGCATAGTGTATATGGGTGCAGCGCGCTCCTTTCTCAAGTCAATCGCGAGGATGTCAGACGACTTAATTCTGTCACTTTACCCGCCACCTCCCCCTTACGTTAGGTTCTTCACTGACGAGAACAAAGAAAAACTCAAAGAATGGCAAAATTCCGATCATGATCCTGATGCTCAGGCTCCTGGTGAACTCCGGTTTCTTGTGCCGCCCAAACAACCAGAAGGAACCCACTATCGAGGGTATGGTAACGTCTGGTCTTTTGAAGACAAACTCCCATCACTCAAAGACACTGAGTGGGATCAGTTATACCCTGCCAATGACGAGACTATAACTCTGGAAACAAAGATATCTGAACTTCATAAGCTCGTCGATCTGCTTCTTCTAAACTTTTTGGAGTTAATCGGCATAGCATCCATCGATCCAAGCAAACTGGAGCCGAAAATCAAAGATATATCATTGATTCTCATCAACATCAATCACCTACTCAACACATATCGACCCCATCAAAGTCGCGAGAGTTTAATCATGGTGCTTCGCAAGCAGATAGAGCAAAAACAGAAGGAGATGAAAGAAATTGATACAGTCACCGAAGAAATACGACAACGTATTTCTAAGCTAACATATCTCGATGAGTTGCCTCAGGCAACGTCGCCTCGAGATTCCTATCATGAACCAGTCGCCGACAGCAAACTTCAAATTATTAACCAATTGCTAGCGGATATTTAATGAGTAAACGATATCGTCCCCGTCTATACATCTAATCAAACAAATTCAATATATCCTGCGTTGTTTGCGAATGTTGAGACAGCTGAACCGCCTCTGTCTTCTGAGGTCCGCCTTGCATGGGGGGTGGGGTATTGAATAAATCATTGAGCTCAGCCAACAACGTCGACGACCCTCCGCTTTGGCTTGCTAAGGCCTCACTATCAACGTCATCATCGAGATCGAGTAAATTCTCGTTTTTAACGTTGTTAATGATTTCCGTTTTGGCCAAGTTCTTGAGATCTTCGATGTTTTGCTTGGCCTTCTTAGTGACCAACTTGTCACCATTTTCGACAAATGTCAGAGATGGCTTCTGGTAAACCAGGGCAATAGTTGACAACTCATGGAGTAAGTCATTCAAAACAATTGGATTGAACATGGGGATTGTGTCTTCGATTGGCGGTAATGGTGCCAAAATAATTTTTTGCTGAGATTGAAGTGACTCCAGTGACAACAATCGCCAATACATGTAGGCCTGGTCCCGAACATCGGCATTTTCACACTCTTGCGTGGCAAGCTCTAAGACACGTTGTAACTGCAGCGAATAAGTACCGCTAATGGTCATGTTGATTTTGACAATAGCTGTAATGATTGCTAATTGAAGCAGTGGATCAGACTCCATAAAGGTTTCAATAAAGTGATCCAACTTTTCGGAGAGTCCTGAAAAGTACTTCGGGTAGCTGCCCACGAGGAAAACGTATCCGATTAATGCATCGTTCTTGTCCAATACCTCGACGTTATTAGCAATCACCGGGATCACAAGCGTTAAGAGGTCATTCTTGTTGGGGTATCGACGAAGAATGTTAGCCAAAACAGCCACAGTTTCGTTGATTACCAACTCACCGCCCCTCTGGTCAAGAAGGAAGATAAGCAAATTTATAGCTTTGACTGTAGCCAGAGATAATTTGATTGCCACAGTCCCAATCAGCTTGATAGCTCTTGATACTAAAGACGGCTCGAATTCCATCGCATACTCTTTGAGTTCACCCAAAAGTAGAGCAGCATTGCCATCATTAGCGAGACGCACCATAATATCAAGCTTTTCAAGTTTGAGATATAATGGATCGGAGTACTTTATAAAGAATACGCGTAATTCTTTGGAAAGAACCAGGGGATACCTCTCTAAAATAATGCGGATGTTTTTGAGTCCAACGTATTGAGCCTCAGGAATCAGACTCAGTACAAGCGAAACAAGGGGAGCCAGAAGCTTACGTAAAATACCTTGTTTCGTCTCTCCATCAGCAATATAGTCCAAATGAGCGATAATCGCTTTGATCAGCGACAACACCACCGCAGGGTTGACGTGTTGCAATTGCGGTATTATGCGCTCAATTATATGTTGGGCCTCCTCCACTTCAGCAGGCACGTATTCAGTTAACAGTGACAAGATTGTAATTCTTCCCCATTCAGTACATTCGTTAAGGCATGTGAGTAAATTCTTCGCCATTTCGCTTGAAACTGTGATAACCTCGAGGCTTTCGTCCGTGTTCATCTCGCGGATTTCGTACAAGGCGTTGAGAGCATTGGCGACAACCATGGGGTTAGTGTCATTAACCAATTCCTGCAACCTTGCCAAGAATCCATATTCAACGCACATATCAGGATTCAAATCAAACAATTTGGCTACGCAAAGTGCCGCTGTCTTGCGAACATACGGATTGTCGTCCTTCAACGTCCTCAGAAGGGGAATCTCCATGTAATCAACCATCTTTTGGACACGAATGCAACCCATGGTTCGAATGGCAAGTGCCCTGATAAGAGGATTGGGATCCTCAGTATCTTGCACGAACGTGTTCACCGCCAAAATGCATAACTCGGGGTGTGTCTTCGAGTAGTTCATGAGGTACAAGTAAACCAACTTCTTTTGCTCAATATCATAGGTGGCGATATTTTTGAGTACGTCGGGAAAGAGGCTAGACACATCTTTGCCCACAGTCATCGCCTGGATTACCCGCTGAATGGCATCCTTCCGTTCGTGTCGATATTGAGATACAAGCCCATTGCGTAATTCAAAGGTCTCCCCCTTGCGGGGACCCTGGAGGAATTTGCGGATTTTCTTCTCAAGGGCCAGTTGCATTTGGGGTGTTAGTGATTTGGCGTTTGGCGAGTTGGCGACAAAATCTGTGTACGCGAGCGCTCAGTCTGACACGCGAATTGCATCTTCGATAGGTTTATGCCTGAGAGGAGTACAATGATCGAAACCATGTTGAAATGAAAACGTATATGACTCGTGAACCGTTGTCTTTCTTCACTCCAACCTTGCTGAAATCAACTATAAAAACACCTCCTCGATGCAACAAAATACTAGAAGATGCTGATATGGAGTGAGTTTGCCTATGGGCATACGGTTCAAATAACGCATCAAACGTAGAAATATGTTAAGGCAGAGTTTCATTCATTTTGCTTTCAATGGATGCTTGGAATGATTTACTCACACCGTGCGTTTTGGGTTTGACAATTGAAGTTTTTTGAAAATTTTGGAAATCCGGTTGGGATCAATCCGATAAGTGGAATTCGATCGTTCGATTTTAGGCCTCTAAAAAATCTTTCAAAACAAATATTCACAATTTACACGACCTAGAGTACCAGGGAGTTACTTGTTTACAGCGAAACCGCTGTCCCAGCTGATTCTGTTTGTTTTCATCAGTATGAACGCGTGGTCGCACATTAATTTTGCAGTTGATGAACAAGCGGTCTGGGGAACCACCACAATCGCAACCATCCACGAAAAGGGTTTTGTTGCGCGGCCATGGCGGAATAGAAGCGAAAGCACAGCCTTCATTCATGGGCCGGATGGACCCGCCAGCAAAGAAAGGACCACCGCCACCTTTAGCAGATCCTAACGACGTGTTTGATAAAATGCTCTCAAGTTTTGGTGACAACTCCCAACTGACACTTGATCTAGTTGAAATCTCACTCTCCGGTGATGAACTGGACGGCCAAACTGACATCGACGAATGGGATGACATCAATGATTTGAAATTCAGATTGGGGTCATCAGTTGAACCAGAAAAGGATTCGAAACTGATACAATGCGGTCTCAAGCTTAACAAAACATATGGAGGAGATCGAAGTATCAAGTTAGTTGATGATTATGTTGAAAGTGACGAGGATGTTGAACCAGAAAATACTATAACGAGTTCATCGGTGATAGACCTCAAGAACGGTGCTCTCCAAGGTCAAACGGATGATGATATCGATTATTGGCGTTCACAATTGTCACGAGTTGAAGGGCAGGTTGAGCTAGCTCTTGCCCATTTGGAGGAAGGGAAGGATGTGAAACAAATAGTACCCGATCTAAGCGAACTTATTGTGAGCGAAAGCGATGAGAGTATTCGATGGCTTGCCGCAGCGAATCTTTCTTGGCTTGGGGATCCAGAAGTCGTTTCAAAGGCAGTGGCAGCTCAACTTTGCCAATTGCTCGCCAATCCCCTAGACCCAGATTCAGTGAAAGTACTGAAATTTTACCGTACCCATTTAACCAAAGTCGTCTCATCAGTTACAAAAACTGATGTCATCACCAAGTTCGGTTGAACGTGAAATCTGACGATATGAAACAGTATTAGTCCGTTCGCGGGCCAAATATTCTGCCATGGTATCAACCGTGCGATGAGATTTTGGAAAGGAATCGCGAAATGGTGCCTTTGCTTTTTACAGAATCTTTGTGTGTGTCCCTGAGGTCATTGTACTTAATTCGGCTGATTGTAGGAACCATCAAACGCGTGGCGAAGTACTTTGTACCAGGCCAGGCCTAACGCAACCGCTCTAGAATGTACACGATGCCGACCTAGAGCTCCATCAAGTAAAACTTATATTTGATAACCATACCTTCTATCATCCCAACATAAATTTTTATGCATCATGACGGTGTGAGGCTCAATTGTTGTGGCGCCCAACGTTGAGGTCGAAGTGAATTTGACGACTCCGCGCCACGTTCGCTTCGTCTACCACCATGTAACAACATCAGGAAATTATTCCCGACTTTTTTCTAATGACATTCCGTCATAAAACTTTCACCCCATGTGAGATGCGAGACGCACTCGCTAATCTTAAGCCCCTGGGGGAAGTGAGGAGAGATTAAATGGCTACGTGGCGAAAAGAGCTTTGGGAGTATCACGTTAGAAACCGAGGCCACTCGTGTTATTTGTGGATGCAAAGTTTCCATATACGTGATGACAACGAATAGTTGACATCGCAAGGCTTAAGCAATTTCGAAACAGCATAATCGCGGAAGTGGTAGCGTGCTGTTACAGCCTCACGATTTTGGGCGGTGACATGCTGGAGGTTAGCGTCGCCATCTAATAAATTGAACCATGTGCGTTTGCGACTGAAAATGGTCAACCTTCTGTAAAAATGATAGCGGATACTGCAATCTACTTACACCAGCAACAAAGAGATACACTCAGATCACTTTATAGACAAGTAAAGAGTAGAAGAAGATCTATGCCACATTTAGGGAGTATGTTTCTCTTTCGGTGCAACGCGCTGTAATCTTTTTTCGAGCGCGCACTTAAGTGCAGGTACTCGAGTATTCGTAGTGATAGTTTTGGCTGCACTCGCCCCCTCACCACTTGAAAGGTATTGAACATATTTCTGGAAGGTCTTTTCACGTCCTACGAGTTTCCAGCTTCATTATTAATCAACACCGGCCCACCTCCCAGGACTATCCGGCTTCCACCCCTTTCAGACCCGCTTCCTTGCCGCTCCTTGACTTCTACCACACCACGCAGGCTCAAGCCTAGTGTCAACGATGGCCGTTTTTGTTTGCATAAAACAGTTTAATGCCCGCTTGGGTGACGAGTTGTCACTAAAGGTTGGCGATAAGGTCGAAGTCTTAGCCGACGACTCCGAGTATAACGACGGTTGGTATATGGGAAAGAACTTGTTGACGGGAGACGTTGGGTTATACCCAAAACTGTTCACCCACGCGGCGGCTGCGGACGCCGAAGTGGCTCTGGTACAGAAGAAGCTCGCCCAAGTGTCTTTGGATGAGCCACAAGATGAGTTTTGCGATGTCTCATTTGAGCAAGAGACAATGAGCCCTAAGGGAGACGTTCTTTCACCCAAAGGCGACGCCATCCACACTCCGAAGCAAGTGTCCCGAACTGTCACACGCCCCGCCAATGGTTTCCATACTCAAACGCCACCTCCTTCGGCGGCTCTCCCTGCCCACCCTAAGACTAATGGCACTACTACGACTACTACCGCCAGCCCAGCACCTTCAAACACATTGGCATCACCTTCACTAAGCTCACGGACCACTAATGCGGGTGCCATCGCCGGCCCTCCTATTGACGACGTGGTATCGTGGCTGCCTGATGACGTTGCGAATTACTTTAGCAAGCAGCTTAAATTTGACCAAAGTATTGCCAATAGCTTCAAACGACACGAGATCTCGGGACAGATTTTACTTGAGCTCGATTTGAGTCACCTCAAAGAGTTAGAAATTGACCTGTTTGGTACTCGATTTCAAATCTATAAGGAAATTGAGAAACTTAAGCTGCCTCAAATTGCTCGTAACAAACTGTTGAGTCGAAGCAACTCAGCGCGCTTGCGTCAAAAAGACCTGAAGCTGACTATCACCGATGCCCAGAAGCTGCTGCCCTCTCGCACGGTTTCTCCCCACTCCAATATTAACGGTGCTAATGATGTATTCCATTCTGATGGGCCTCCGGCTGCCTCGGTACCACCTCATCAAAATTCTGATATTTTCCAGACACCCAAGCAGCAGCAGCAGCAGCAGCATGCGAGTCATCGTCATGCTGACCGACCCGTTGAACGCCACCTTGAGTCTCTTGGTGCTCACTCGAAGCCACCTGCTTCTTCATCACAAGCGTCTAAATACCCTACTCTGTACAAGCCGAAAGTATCGGCAGCTCCATCAAATGCGTACAGCAGTACGCCATCATCGGGTGAAGGTTTGATTTCGCCCTCAGCACCCAGTCAGAGTCAAGCAAGCCCCTACCAAGCGAGTCCTAATGCCTATCCTTCAAATGACTTCGCCACTCTGCCTGCTTATCCTCCTGGGTATTCCTCATTATTGGGTGGACCGCCCCCTATCAATGGTACTCCTAACCGTGGAGCCAGTGTCAGCTCAAAAGCATCCCATGGTGCGACTAGTCACGATGCTCTGTTCTCCCGTCCGCCTGGAACTGTGGGGGAAGGTGGGCGCCCGACATCGCTGATTTATGACCTGCCGCCGACTCGGTCCCATTCGTCGCAACATCAACGCCAAGCGCTGAATAATCTGCACGCCCTGGAAATAACAATCCTGACACAAACTACAGCGAAGCCGCTAGTAACACCCTCAGTACGTCTGTCACTGATACAGCGCCCATATTCAACGATGGAGCCTATGGACCGAGCGGCTTCGATGCTTTCATTTGCGCTGGAAGATGGTAAACTGCAGCTTCCAAAGCTGGCGGCAACGGTTAATGCCGTAGCCGCGGCTGCAGCCGCGGCCAGTGGTACCGTCAGCAGTGTGCCTGGAACCTTTGGTGAAATCAATAACGGTATTGGTGGCCAGCCTGAACGCCACCAACTGGATCCTTACCGACCGAGTTTATCTACGAATCACCGTGACCCTAATGCTCCAACCCCACCCCCAAAAGATCGTACTCTGATGTATCGACGGCGGGAAAAAAACCGGACTAACGATGAGATTCTGGTTACCCCACTGCGCCAACTGGTCTATCGTCCCGAACCGCTGGATTTACCTCGTCTCGACACTTCCGCTGCGTCCAATACTACCATCAGTTCGTCAGCGCCGCCTCATGGTCCCCTTGAATCTAAACGCAAGGGCCCCACTAAGCTCACCCTGCCTGCAAAGGTGAAGCGAGCACTGGGGATTTTTAGCCCTAAACAACGCAAGCTGATGAGTTTCGACGCTCTGCCTGATGTTGGCGAAGAGGACGATGACGAGATGCCTCTTGCACCGCCACTGATGTTGGGTGAACTGCGACTGCTGCTGGCCCCGACACCATCGTCGACTGGGTCTAACGTATCACCCATTACCGCCGATCCTTTGAAGCCGCTGAGGCTCAAGACGCTTAGGACAACATCCACTCAAAATTTCAAGCAGCTAGGCGCGGGAGGCAAAAAGCAGAAGACGCTGGCCTTCCAAGAAGGGATACAAGAAGTACTGCCGGAAGTGCTGGCAAAACTGGCTCTGTTTTCGGGGTGGATGCTGAAACGTCTGAGCAACTCATTGCTGTGGCGCCTGCGGTTCTTTGTTTTACACGGCACACGACTTCTGTACTTCACGCTGCTCAAAGATAAGCGGGAAAAGGGCTTGATTGATATCACTGCTCATCGGGTGATGCCAGTGACTCTGGAAAAAGGTAAAGGCGATGAAGACAGCAGCAATGATAAGTACATTGCTCTCTATGCTGCGCTGACAGGATATGGGCGATACTGTTTCAAGTTGGTGCCCCCTGCCCCTGGCTTCAAAAAGGGACTCACCTTCACTCAGCCTAAGGTGCATTATTTTGCCGTTGACTCTCCCGAGGAGATGCGTGGCTGGCTTAAGGCATTGATGGCGGCGACCATTGACATTGACGACCTGGTTCCAGTGGTACTGCTGTGTCTGACGCCGACGGTCCTGTTAGCCAAGGCACAAGAGTTGTTGGCCAAAGCACGCGAGGAAACTCGTCAAAAGGATTTGGAGTTAAGATCCAAGGGGGTGATCCAAGACATTGATGAAATGCTGCCGCTGGACTACACTCAGTTTCTTCACGATCATTCGTTCGATTTACCAGGCCTGCCCCTCAACGACCTGCACGATGACACTACGGTATCGAGCACAGGAGGTGGATTACTCAGCGTCGGAGGCCTGCTCAACCGATCGAAGCTTAGCCATGACCCTCATGACTCCACAGGCATGCTCGCGCAACTGCCGCTGAGCCCTCTGATTGATGCTTCAGGGGGATTCACCTCTCCATACATGTTAGCGGGTGGAATGATGCTGCCGAGGCTGCCAAGAGTAGCGTCACCCACTGATACCACCCCGCAACGTCTGGACTACTTTAGCGACCCACATTTACTGATGATGACGTCGCTGACAGGTGAAGGTAAGGACCGGCTACTAATTGATGCCACGCCCAAGCTGGCGCTGCTGGGTACGGTGCACCGCCAACCAAGCGTAGCGCTGAAGGTACTTAGTTACACTTCAGATGCTGCGGGCAACTTAACGTTTCAAATGAAGAAGAAACCTCAATAATTAACGAAGACGTAATGGAATGTATGATGTCATTAATCACTCTGTAGCCCACACTCTTGTGCATTTTACTGCTTTGTGGCCAAATTGAGATGGAGTGTTGCGTGTCTCTGGCAAAAATTGCCAGTCGTGGGTTACCTTCGTGTCGGCCAATTCTTAGCGCCAGATGCGTCATCATTCACACGCACTGAACCTGCGCTCATGAGCCCCGTAAACCCCACCACCACCCCTCTTTCATTGTCACGAAGGTCGATGTAGTGAGATCACTTGACCTTATGTTGGCCCCAATTTCTACGTATACATCACCCCGCTTGCCCTTGCGTGCCCCCCCCACATTTTTCTAAGCCTATAATGTGGTACCCGCCGCCGTTTGTAACTTAAATTCTGGGGATGCAGGTATGACGATTGGCATGTGAATATAAGCCTCAAATTTTTGCACCGTAGTACGACTGACACTGCACTATGGGTGTGCTAGGATTCCTTTGGTTTGTGCTAGTGATACTCCCATGGAGGGTTGTTCATCAAGCGCTTCAGGCAGTCAACGGCAAAGGTTCTCGTTTCCGCAAATACCGAACCGACGCGTTACGCCTGGGGCTTTTGGAGTTAGCTTCTCAAGCGTTCAGAATCGACCCCAAGTACCACTGGTTGGTCAATTTAAGACCACAAACTTTACTCCATCTCGTGGAACGGTCCCACAAATCAATCGTGTCTACGTTACCCAACTATGGCAAGTTCTTTGACTCCCAGCTGTATTGGATCGTCGAACAACCTGACCGTCAAAAACTGGACCCCATCTTGATCTATTTACATGGTGGTGGTTTCACCTTTCAGGCCGTACCACAACAGATCGAGGCAGTGTTGCTGATATATGCCCTCACCCTGCCAGAAACGAGAAAGCGGCTTTCCATTTTGAACTTGAACTACAAATTAGCGGGCAATGGCTACCCTAATCCTATTCAACTCAAGCAATTGGGGCTGACTTACGAGAACTTGGTCCGCGAGGGCAACCTGAACTTTATCTTTTTGGGAGATTCCGCAGGAGGTACTTTGGCCGTCACTTACCTCCAAGCATTAAAGGAAAACCAAAAGGTGCTTCCACTCCCGTTCCCCAAAGCATTATTGTTGGTTTCTCCGTGGATAAAGCTTAAGCCAGATTACAATGACTATCAACCCGGCCATTCATACTATGACAACGATTCTCGAGACTACATCCCCTGGTCAGTTTTGCGTCTGCCAAAACGTTTGCAAGTGATCACCGGTGACTCTAAAATTGACACATTGACGATATCACCGGGGAATTGCCCTGCAAATCATGATGATTGGGATATTTCCACCCTCGAGAATGTGATCGTCGTCACCGGTGAGGACGAAATCATTCGCGACGACATATTCAACTGGTGTAAGATTGCTTTGGGTATTCCAATCGACGCCGCAAGTTTTGCCAAAGACTCTGAAGGCGTAGTGTTGGATCGTCACAAATACGTTCGGAACCAGGACAAAATTCAAGTCCACGTCGAGCCCTATGGGGTCCACGATGCCATGCTTTTAGAAGCAATGTCCATCATGTCGGAATTAGATGATGGTGTTGAACCGGAGAACATTTCTCGGGTAAAGTACTTTGGCATCCCCAAATTGGCAGCGTATCTTGATAATGTTTGTCATTAGACTTTCAGCCAACTGAGAGGACATTTGAGTAATGTTACAATAATATTGAAAAGTATACTACTACGATAACTGGCATTCGCCACTAAACTCTAGGCTATTAGCAAGGCTCATAACTTCGTAAATTCGACCCCGCAGTATTCTGCCCACTGCCCCATCTACGACATGATTGTCCTTCAGCTTGCCCGGCTATTAACTCTCGTTTTTCTAGATGTGTTGAAGCTGGTGACAGTGGGCCTGCCATTCCGCAAATATAGCCACAACCCCCTCGCCACCGTGGTGCTCTCAACGCTCAGACGCTTTCACCAGGTGTGTCCCCTGTGGTTGGCATATTATGTTATCTACTGCCTGGTGTCCACAATGTGTCGTTTGTTCAAGTGGAAATACACTGATGTTTGCTCCACATTTGAAGGGTTTGGACAAACCTATGATAGACGGCTGGTGTGGTTCAGCAAAGCCAAACTGCCGGCACCAGTGATTATCTATCTCCACGGAGGCGGTTATGTGATGCAGCTTGCTCCTCCACAGCTCCAGGGTCTAACAGCAGTAGCTCAATTGGTGTCGAAACCGGTGTCGATCTTGATACTCGACTATCTGTTGATCCTGGGAGGACAGCCCTGGCCGCGACAACGTGAAGAGTTGGAAGACACCTATCGTCGGTTGGTTAATGATGGGTATCGTGACATTATCTTGATGGGTGATTCTGCCGGAGGCCATTTGGCAGTCACGTTCCTTACTCATTTGCAGAGAATAAACAGTGACCTCCCGTGGCCCCGCCTGACAATACTCATCTCTCCATGGGTCAAGTTATTCGCTCATGCCGTCGAAAAAGCTAAGGGACTGGCATACTTAGACAACTCCTCGCGGGATGCAATTCCCATGGACATGTTGCTCTCCACTGAACTTCAAACTATGTTTTTGGGGCCTGCAAACAATCTCTCTTCACTATCAGTCAGCCCCGGCAACTGTGAATACAACTACCATGATTGGAAGGACATTCCCGCATTCGGACGTGGACACCTGATATTTGTGATGGCGGGAGAAGATGAGCTCATGAGAGACGATGTCCTTGAGTGGTGCTACCATGCTCTAGGGGTACCGCTTTACCGGCAGTTTTACTACGGTGACTCTAGTGGCCGCTTTGAGCGGGAAAAGCACCAGTATGTAGGGAGATGTAAGCAGGGAGGGTACGTGGAGGTGTACGTTGAGCCTTGGGGAGTCCACGACAGTTTGTTCGCTATCGAAAGTGGGGTTTTCTTCAAGCATCACGCTGCCGGCTTCACGCGATGGCACGTTGATCCTGTGCGATACTTTGCTCTCTCCAGACTTGTGAAATTCCTCGACAACATCTTGTAATGCTTTCTTGATAATAGTTATGCTTTTAATGATATGATGGTAAGCTCCATTTTATTGGTGGATGTCACCACCGAATTGTTTAGTATACGATTGTGTCAATGTACTGTATGTTGCGAGCCTACTGTTGAACCTGTATATAATCTAGAGTGAGAGACGATATTCATCGCACCAACTAAGCCGCACTAGGGTTGCAGCCCCATAAGCACGTGATATGAAATATCGGCAGCGCGAAAAAAGTATGCGAACGTAAAATTCTTCAAGGAAATCTGTTAGAACCGAAAACTCTCTAAGATGGTACGTCACCCCAGATCGCTTCGTTGCGACAAAATGGAAAAGCAGTACACTTCCTGACGCTGAACCCTGTCTTCCCCGTTGAATGTTGGACTTCCCTTGACGATCCCCGGCGGCAGATACCCGTGAAAAATTTCCCAGAGCCTCGATTTGTACTAGCTACCTCCCCTTTCATCACATACTAACATTTAGTCTGACGCTATCACTATCAGAACTAGAAAGGTTATCACCAACCCCTTGTTGTCGAGAAGACAATTCGTCATTGACGTTGTCCACCCCAACAGAGGTAACGTCTCCAAGGATGAATTGAGAGAAAAGTTGGCCGAAATTTACAAGGCTGAAAAGGACGCCGTTTCGGTTTTCGGTTTCAGAACTGCCTTCGGTGGTGGCAAGTCGACCGGTTTCGGTTTGATCTACTCGTCGGTTGAAGACGCCAAGAGATTTGAACCCCAATACAGATTGGTCAGATACGGCTTGGCCGAAAAGGTTGAAAGAGCTTCGAGACAACAAAGACACCAAAAGAAGAACAGAGAGAAGAAGATCTTCGGTACCCAAAAGAAGCACGCTAAGAAGGTTGCCAAGAGAAACGCTGATTAAGCGCGGGGGGGATGAAAATCACACGGTTATAATTCGATGTAAGGCATTGCAATACATAATGTACTATAGGCTTGCCTAATATATTAGACAAATGAAAAACATGTAAGCGATCTCCACGATATTCTGCATTTATCGCGAAATTTTGGGCCATCATCGTGAGAGGGCTCATATGCGCGTGGCGACTTTATGATCACTAAATTCCTAATCGATGAGTGAACGTAAAGTTATCAACAAATGGTATCCACCTGACTATGATCCGATCAAAGAGTCACGAAAGAAAAAACCCAAGAAGACATCTACAGCCACACAGAAGTCACGAATGATGATGCCGTTCCTGATGCGTTGCTTACAATGCAATGAATACATTCCGGCTCATCGAAGCTTCAACGCGAGGAAGACTGATCTGGGAGAACTGTACCTTGGTATTAAGATTTACCGGTTTCTGATTTCTTGTCCGCAATGTAATCAGACCATCACTTTAAAGACAAGTCCGCAAACTGCAGAAATGGTACCTGATGGTGGGGGGATTCGAAACTTCGAGCCTAAAAAGCGTCAGAAGCGCACGGCGGAAGTCAATGGAGTAGAGACAGAGGAGGAATTGTTTCAAAGGTTGGAACAGGAGGATGAAGAGAATAAAAGGTACCAGGAACTTTTGGAAAAACGCAAGCGAAACCCTTTTTGGCAAAAGGAACTAAAAGGTGAACTGGGCCTCGAGCAACGAATCGGTCAGCATTTGCAGCAACAGCAAAACGAGGATGAACTAGAAGAAGTCATGGAGAGAATGGATAACTTCCAGCTGAATGCTATCAAGTTAGCCGAAAAGGCAACCAAAAATTCATCTCAGAAAGTGGACGATGAGACTTTCGATATACCGACAGTATCCCATCGTGTTACCATCAAGAAGAAAAAACCTATTCTCGATCGGCAGCACACGTCAGGCAAGACCGACGCGAACGATGGAGAACACCTGCAAGAAGAGCGTGAACAAACTACCACATCTATCAGCGGAATTGTCACCGGCTACGACTCTGACTCTGAAACAGATTCTACCTAGTTATTTGCTTCAATTGCTAAATCTTCTAGCTGATGGTAAATTCAGTCAATGTGCCTAAAGTGAATTCAGGTGGTTCGACTTTCAGGTGGTAGTCGCGTTGGATGCCTTCCAACTTGTTTACCAAAGCATTGATCTGAGATTTGTCCATATCTTTGCGACACATGCAGATGCCTCTAATGTACTCAACGGAGCACAGGTAGAAATGCACCAAAATCTCATTCTCCCACATTGCGGGAATGAACTCGTTAGGGTTCGGACAACTGCCGATCTCTCCAAGATATTCGATCGCTCGCAACAGTTCAACTAATACATGTGAGTCGCGTCTAGTGAAGAGCGAAACGAGACCCTCATAAAAGATGGTAACATCTCTGCCAATGGCTTCTGGGAACAGCCGGAATTTCTTCTTATTATTAGGATCAATCTTTTTACCATCGCCATGTAAGATGTTCTCAAGACCAGCTCGAATGTAAAGGGGGATGAATCTCGATAAAAGAACCAGGGTTGTAATTGAGTAAAACTCATAGGTACAGTACAGACGTAAGTCATACAAGTACAGTGCAATAGTATCAACGATTTGCGTGGCCAAGGGGTCTTCACCACCTGCTTGATGACCATCGTTTTCGTACCACTGTTTCGAAAAAAGGCGTGACAACCCCGGCGTGATATCATTAATAATGATATCGACAAGGATACTGATGACACGCCCATTTAAGTCAGTGGTGGGCACAAGAATATCCTCAAAGGCCTGCTCAATACGACCATGATAAGCAGAATGAACTTTGTCCTTGTAGCTATCCAAAAACCGATCTTGAAGGCGATCAGTGTTGATTTCGTAAGTATTGCCCAAAGCTGCCAAATACTCAACTAGCCCCTTTGGAGATATTTGGTCGAGTTCTTCCGGCAGCATATTCTCGACGTCTATTTGTTGACGCTTAGAGCTGCCACCAAAAAATTTTCTTGCAGTACTCTCTCTTTCCAAATAGCGATCATTGTTGAACACCAGCATATATCTTTCGTAATCATCATCAATGAGTCGCTGATAATTGTGGATGCGTTCAATATAGCTACGAGACCAGTTTTCCAAAACACCGACAAGCACTTTCGAGTATCCCAGATCAGCAGCCACATCTGCTTGTTCTTTGAGCATGGTGAGAGGCGTTTTGAAATCAGGAAGAACGTATACCTCATTTTCAATCTCCACTTGGATGAGCTGATCATTTGCATCTTCATCGTCATAAATCTGCTGGTACAAGTACTTGTCCGGAGGTTCCTCGCGTTTTGTGAAAACCTCCGTCTCGCGATTCATCAAATTGACGTTCCATTCTTGCATCTTGGATACAATTAATTTGAGATAGTCCTCAAGAATCGAGGTCTTGAGATCGTCGCCGATAATACTCCGCTGTTCCTTCTTAATTAACGATTTTGGTCGTTTCTCACCCTCAGACGGAGGGGCTTGCAAAGATCCAATAAACTTATTATAGTGTGTATCATAAGCCAAAATTCGCATCAAATCTTCCGCCGGCGGGTCCAGATTGACTACTGAGATTGTGAATTTATGAAGGTTGTTGTAGTATACATTCTGAATGAATTCAGACAACCCCCACGTCTCAGGAAACAATGGATTAAGTTCTTGATGAACGTAGATTAATTCATCCTCAAGCCACTGAAGTGAGTCAAAAACTCCCATTTTGTTTTCTCCGAAATGCTCCAAACACGCATTGAATGTGTCATTCAACCCATCTTCCAATTTGTCGTAGAAAAACTTCACATATCCTCGCGGTTGGCCCCGGAATTTGCGATAGTCAATCAGCTTTACATCGAGAAACAGGTTAAGCCCCAAACCATTCATGAGTTGACACTGTAAATCAGCATTTTGCTCATAGTGGATGACCTTGATAAGCTTGTACACCAATTCCATATTTCCATCGCGCGCCGCCTCAGTCAATGACACAATAATTTCCCCTAAAAGTTTATCGAATTGAGCGATTGTTGTTTTCATCGGTTGAATAATTCGCTGAACAATCAGCTTAAAGTCATCAGAAAGACCCAGATCGAGAACAAGGTAATCCAGAAAGTTTCTCGCTTGCGTGACAGAGTAGTGGATCAATAAAAAGTTGGGTAAGGTGTACTTGATGTCTTCGCTGATGATCAGAAATTCCTTCTCTATAATGCCGTTCAATTCATCCAAATACTCTCGAAACCTCAGGATATCGACATATAGATCACTGACCTGACTGAGAAATTGATTGACTCCAGACATTTTCTTGATCGTGTCATAATCTTTCATCTTATCAACCAGCTCTTCATATATCGTGTTGACTTTGCCAATATTGCCCTTGATGCTGTTAAGTTTGGTCACGGCGATATTGAGATTTTTGAGGTTTGTCATAATTGAGTCGATTTGTGATTCTGTCGCCAGCAGAACTTGTCGATCCAAAGCTTGCTTTTCCTTAACGAATTGCTCACGAAGCACCCCGAGTTTTGAAAGATCATCTTCGCCCTTGATGAGATTGGCGATACGACCGAGTGCCAAGTCGGACATGATGGCAACGTCGCGCGAAATCTTTGTTATGCTCATAAGCTGTAGATGGTAGCGCTACCCATAAAGTTGACGTCTACTTTTGAAATCATTTACCGTAATCCGAATGTAACCAAATAAGTAATTATCGGTCGAATTGTATATGCAAGACTCGACTTGACACTGGGGACACTTTTCATATGAGTTATCTCCGGTTAGGTCATGTGACGAGGTAGGCCACGTTGTGCATTGGGCGAAGTAAAAGATTGAGTAGTTTATCGAGTCCACAGTATTTCAGCTATTTTAGACCTCTTCTCTATTAACTTTCTATCAAAAAGTGTTTCAACGTAATGTAATTACCGGTATGAATGCTTCATTTTGAATTTACTCATACATTTTATATCGATATTAATGGTATTGAGGTCTCATTCGAAAAAAAAACTTGCCAAAGCTCACAATAGAAACGCGGCTAGCCAAAATTTATGCCGATCGGCCGGCCGGAGTCGTTTGCACGCGTGTTCCTGTAGACAGTATTCCGGCTTGAGCCTAAACAGATTCCCCTCATGGGCCCCCTCTCGCTGCCGAGGATATACTCTACAATTAGAATGACATCCGTAACCATTCGAACGCAAATCAATCGAGACGAGAACCATGATCTGTTAAGTAAACTTTAATTACACTGCTCCTGATTAGTTGAATTGAAGACAACCTCGCATGATACCGCCACGGCGGCACTCTCCGCTAGTGCGGAGGTTTCCGAAACGCGACCCCACCAGTATATATACATGAGACTGCCCCGCAAAATGTCATAGCCGATCCAGATAGTTACCACCCACCTGATGTCATCCCTTGCCGCGTTGAACGCCCAATATTTGACTTACTTGGCTAAGTACCCATTACTTACGAAGTCGGTCACCGCCGGGATCCTTGGGGCTCTCAATGAAATCATTGCCTCGGTAGTAACTGGAGATGTGCCTGAAATTACTTTGTTTGGCGATGTCAAAGTCAAAAACTTGTTGACTAAAAAGACGATCGGGTTGGCTATCTATGGGTTCTGTCTCCTGACTCCCATTTCCCATTACATGTATGGCATCATTAATGAAATTTTCGCCGGACCCCCTTCAACTTTGAAGAAAGTATTGCAGATCTTAACTTCCTTACTCACGGTGACCTCGTCCGTATGTGCTGTTTACACTTCATGGGTGGGTCTTCTTAACAACTATGTACCCGGTAAGGCTGGTTCGATCTCCGGGGAAATTGCCAACATCCTCAACATCATCAAAGTCTCGATGAAGACTAACTACCTTAACGTGTACAAGACTTCGTTTGTTACCTCGGGGTTGTCTTTGATCATTGCCCAAAAGTACTTGCCTCCTCAATTGTGGGTTGTATTCTTTTCGGTGGTAGGGTTCGTTGTTGGTACTTTCCAGAACGCTAAAATGAAGCGCCGGAACATGGCCCTTCGCAAGGCCCAAGAGAAGAAGGATTAAAAGCCATGCAAACAATGGACAAGAATAATTCCAATTATGTAACGAACTAGACAACAGTGTATGAAAGAATGAAAGGATGATCCGATCACTTTAAAGTGCGTATGGTATATGATGAGAACAAATGGTCAGATTCCTGGAAAGATCAAGGAGTGGATCCAGTTGATACAAAAGACACACCATCAACGTCATACTCACAATGTTTGTAATTCGTTTGACATTTACGAGTAACTACTCTAGTACACAACCATTTGTTTACCCAGCTTATCAGCAACACCGTCAATGTACAATTTCGCCAAGTCATCCCCCTCGGAGAACTTGATATGGTTAGAGGGAGCATCGATCAATTTACCTTGCTCATACCATTCAACGATCTGGTTCAAGGTCTTCTGCTTAAGAGCTCGGTCGTTCTTCAATAACTCAGTGACCCAGAAACCAGCCGAGGTGATGTTTTTGAAAATGTGCAAGGACGTGGGGATGGTAACGGGTTGCATTGACATACCACCGTAAGTAAGCATTAACCCATTGGGAGCCAACTTACGAGCAACGGCAGCCGACAGTTTGCCACCAACGCAGTTAAGCCCAAGCTTAATCTGTCCGCCGCTTTCCTTGGTCCATTGCTTAACGGTGCCAGTGAAATCACGAGAGTTGTTCTGCTCGTCGGTGATAACATGAGTAGCTCCTTTAACCTCTTCCAATTCCTTCTTGAGCTCAGCCAAGTTAGGACGGTCTCTAACCACCGAGATCGAGTTAAAACCCAAAATCTTCCCAATTTGCGAAGCGTATTGGCCCACAGCGGAGTTGCCACCGTTTTGAATGAACCAGTCCTTACCCGGTTCCAATTTGACATAGTGAGTCAACATCAAAAGCGCAGTGGGAGGGTTGACCGAGATGGTGGCAGCCTGGTTGATCGTCAAACCGTGAGGCTTTCCGGCGGCCTTGGATTGAGTAGGGTTGTTGATCTTTTGGAATTTGGATTCATCATCCTTGGCGTGGGTTCTCCATGTACCAAAGTTGACGTTGGCGGGTACCACCCAGTCACCGACTTTCAACTCGGTGTTAGCACCAGTGTGGATAACTTCGAACAACCCTTCATTACCACAGGGAGCGACAGGAACGTCGGTGCCGTAGTCCTTAGTCATTGGCGGCTTCAGAGGGTACACACCCTGAATCTGATTAATGTCGGAAGGATTGATCGGCGCCCCCAAGGTCTTTACCACCACTTCCAGCCCGCCAAGCTTGGTCTCGTCAATTTGGTAAGTGTGAGTACGTAAAACGTCCTTAGGTTCGCCATGTTCAGCGTAAACCACGATGTTGGATGTGATCATAGTTCTGGTTTGTCTTCTTGCTACCGCCCTGAACATTGTTGTACTCCGGAAATTTTCTGGGTGCGGGGTCAAGTAGGGGTACACGTAGTGTGGAAATTAATAAGCAACCCGCAACCCATCCCAACATTGGCAAGTGTGTCCAGTTATACGAGAGGTAAATCTGAAAAAATTAAAATTACATTAAAGCGATTACTTACGATATTCCAGATATCAAGCCTTCTCGCCAGGGAAACGAGCGGTATCTTCCAAGTGATCAATCTCGATACCCTTGCTTTCCCATTCTTGGTTCGAGATATGGTTTCTGTTAGTGTAGGTGAGAGGCGGCAATTTCGCGATCTTCTTGCGGAAAACATGACGTTGAACCGAATTCCAGAAGTTTCTGAATTGGTAAACAGCATGCGTGTGCATCGAAACATTGAAACGGTCATCTAATTCTTCCAAAGTGAGACCCTTGGTTTCGATAACGAAAAGTAAAACCATGAAGAACCCAGCAACGTTCCAACCCGCGTACCACATAAATGCCCCGACATTGCCGAAAGCGTTAAGTAATCTTGGCCAAGTAAATGCCAAAATAAAGTTAAAAAACCAACAAGTTGCTGTGGCCCACGACATGCCCAAGTCACGAACGTATAAGGGGAAACATTCGGCAGAGTAGGTGAACGGTACCGGACCTTCACCCGAAGAGTAGACAGCAGTGAAGAAATAGATCCCAACCGATACCATTGCCAAACGACCATGTTTATTGTTGTCATTGATCAAAAAGCCGAAACCAGTGACAAACAAGAAAGCACCCATCAAAGGGAATGTAATTAACAATAAGTTACGTCGACCCAATTTGTCAATGACAAGGAACGCAGGAATAGCGAAAACAAAATTCACCATACCGAACCCCCACGAAGCCAACATGGCTTTGACCTCGGAGAGCCCGGATAAAATGAAGATAGACGACGAGTAGTATGCAATGACATTGATACCACAGAATTGTTGCATGAACATAACGATCCACGAACCAATAGTGGCGTTGCGGTTACGACGCACAGTGAACAATTCCTTTACTCTCCGAGGAGTAGGAACGTCGTATTGGGCTTCTTCCTTCAAAAGAGTGTAAGAGTAGAACAAGTCTCGAGCAGCCAGAATCTTACAACGACGCATTCTTTGCATCGAATCCCAAGCATCGTGGACTCTTCCTTTACCAAGCAACCAACGGGGAGACTCAGGGATCCAAGGCATCGAGCTCAACACGATGATACAAGGTAAGCAAGCTGAACCCAACATAAGCCGCCAGTTGATACCCGACTTGATTCCATGACGAGGGACATAGTAGAAAGCAAGCGACATGACATAGCCAAGCATAATCCCCACAGCCGTGAAGAATTGCCACAACATCACCAAAGAACCCCGAATCTTGGCTGGCGTACATTCAGCAGCGTACACGGGAACAGTCGCCGACTTTGGACCGATACCAAAACCAAGGAAGAAACGAGAAAGGAACAAGTGCCACCAGTTGTTGACGAAACCTTGCCACACACACGTCGCAAACGAAATACCACATGTCCAAAAGATCGTCCACTTACGGCCCAAGTGGCGGTTCCACAAGTCCGTGGTCCAGCATGAAACCGAGCAACAAAGATAAGGCGCACCGTTGACCAAACCTTGCACCAAATCGTAGTTCTTAAAACCTTCAACTACCCCAAAAGCTTTAGGCCAGAAAAGGGATGCCCCGTTAATCACTGACTCGTCCATGCCTTGAATAACGGCAGATATCGACAGGGCCATGATAACCCAAAACACAGCCGGCGAGATCGATGTGTAAGGGTGTTCGATTTCACGATACAAAATTTGCTTCTCATCATCAGTGATGAAAGGCATGTCCTGATAATCCTCCGGGGCCCGCAGCAAGGCAGCGGCACGAGCAAACAATTCCGGGTCGAGGTCGTACTTCTCAGCGAAGTGACGTCCCAAGTTCATGACATCTTCTTCTGTGTAATGAGCTAATAAGTTCCCGCGTTCACCGCCACCGGCTTCCTCACGGTTTCTCAGTCTTTCGTCGAACTCCTGCCCAGACTTCATCATTGACAGAGAGTCCGCTGTCAGATTGTGCAGCGCGTCCTGCTGCATCAACGGCACTGGATCATTTTCCGGGTTGACGATTTTGGGCTCCGACATTTGCAATAGTGACTACCCTTGGTGTGGGGATTAGCCCAACTTATATAATCAGTCTCTATTGCCCTAAAGAACATGCTTTGCGTACCGTACAGTCAAGCATCACGTAGTTAATATGCATAACGCGGAGGTACATGAAAACCTATTGTTTGAGGCTCAGAACTGTTTCGCCGATAATCAGCCACCCCCAGCCGGATGTTATTGCCCAGAGTGATAGTGACGCTGGAAAAAAATTCATACAACTGGCTAAAGGCTACTCGGTAAACTCTGCTTGGTCCTTCCCCACATCAACTACCCACAAATCCATTGTCGCGCCCTCGACCCAAGGCAATCTTCCCATGACGTCAAACTTTCGGCGAAATACCATGGTGCGTCGGGGTCAAAACTTTTACAGTCGCAGGCCTCACGCGGCGTTGCCCAGGCAAAAACTCGGTTATTGCGGAGAGGTGACCCCCCGAAAATACTTCCCATCTCCACCGTCTTTATCTACATAAACTATCGTGAGTAAATGGCTAAGGAATGCAAATGGCTTGCGGGAACTTGACGTACTTGGCAACCGTGATAGTCAACCTTGGCAATCGTAGGTATCTTGGCAACTATGACCTTGCGGACACCACCTAAGTTTTCCATACTATTCACGCGTGGTATCTGCTCCCTGCAGATTCTAATTTAATTTGCTATGCCGGACCGAGTAGAAGATTGTCGCTGAGTTGGGGTATTTTCCAACTTTAATGACATCATATCACAGACGACATGACTGAAGCCTAAACTTCGAAACTATGTGGGGTCATTCTCAACGCGGCCTGACCGCAATTTGGTTTTTGTGAAGAGCTCCTTCGGTTTTAGGTTAGTGTCGGTGACATTTTACACAGTTATCATACCGTTTGATAGCCAGAGGCACCATCACACTCGGAACTTTGAGCGAGTGATCGCGTAAAGTCGATGTCTTTTAATACTTTGCCTAAGATCTTACAGTGTATTGCTATTTCAAATCAATAACCAAATAATTGGGTTTTCGTTGATATTTAAGCTAATTTCTTGAATTTATGTTACTTATTCACCGAATAGCGGGGTACTCCCCACCTTTTCATTTGATTGTGGCTGGTTTCGGCGTATGTAGGTACGGCACGTAACTCCTCGCTATATGTTGCTGTATTACACAAAAAGGAAAAAAAGCCGAGAACAAGAGGAGCCATAGCTATTTGGACGACGCTGTTGGTATCATATCAAGATATCAACACCAGACAAATCTCTTTATCAGGCAAAGACAAGGGACTTTGCTTCTATTGTTTTACGCCGCTTATGTCTTGTTAAGTGTTTTTTCGAGAACGCAGCAAATACGAGATGTTCGAAACAGAAAAAGCCATCCATGGCTTTGACTTCGTGAAAGCCAGTGTAAAATGCTAGAGTTCCAAAGTCTGTACTGGGAAACTCGTTCCGTTTCCGATATGCAATGCGTTTGTTGTGACCGCAATTGGCGGAGCTATATGCAGGATACATTAAAAGGTAATCAGTCTAGACCGCTTTGTGAGAGTTGCTGGTAGTTACGTTAAACGAAGGCAAATCAATGTTTGGATTCGGTGTTGTCCGTCACAGGATCAGAAGTGGTCAGCATTTGCTGCTTCCGGTTATGAGCTCAACGCACGCGCGATTTGTGTGGGGGCGGGGAAGGGGTACTATTGGTCATCATACAGATGGGATCCTCGAGTCCTCGAAAAGCTAAGCCTGGTAAATCAAGACTATCTATTTTTGTTGTGCCATTTTATCAGCACCTTCGTTGGCCAATTCATCAGCTCTATTATTGCCAATATTCGTCAGATGTCCTTTAACCTTGACAAATTGTACTTGTCCCCACCCTTTGTCTTCGTATACTTGATTGATTTCATCTAATTGACGAGACATCGGCTCTATCAAATCAAGATTCTTGACCGGCTGACCATTAGCCGTTTTCCAGCTCTTTTTCTTCCATCCATCTCTCCACTGTGTCATGCAACCAATCGAATACAGTGAGTCGGAGTGAATTTTCACCGGCCCTTGCGACGTTCCTGTTCTCAACGCCTCAGCTTCATTTGCTAAGGCATGTTTAATTGCCCAGAGCTCAGCTCTTTGATTCGTGTAGTTAGCTGTCTTGTCGACTTCTGAAAGTGATTCGGCGACGTTGCGAGGATCGTTCTCTCCATAATAAACCCCATAGCCACTATTCGCAGATTTCGAGTGGCCATTCCCTCGACAGGCACCGTCAGTGTACACATCATTACCTGCTTTCGATGAGGTATACCCACCATACGCAGACTGTGGCGAAATAATCGAGCCATTAGTATTAGAAGCTGCATAGGTGGATATGCGGGAACGTGAACTCAGATTGTAGTTTCGGCTGGAGCTTGAAGATGGCTTGGTGACTTTACTGCTCGAAAGTGCTGCATTCGGAGTGGATCCCCTTGCGAAGGCGATGGCCTCCAGCTGAGTAGCGAATTTCTTGAATTTTGCGCCCGAGTATCCCTTGACTTGGGTCTGACATGAAGCCCAGTTGTCGTAGACCCCAGTTGAACGTCCGTTGGCCACTGCGTAGTACCACTTCTTCGTCATCGGTGTCGGTGTAGTAGGTGCGACTGTGGCGTCTCTCGCTCAGTAAAATCTTAAACCCCAAAAAGCCCTGGTCAATGTTTGCAATTATATGTCTTTTAACAAACTGGATTCCTTACTAAATGAACGAGCTGTAAATACTCAGATACTTGCTCAGTGCTGTTGGTTTCGCTACGTTCAGTGCATTTAATATCTGAGTGCTGCAAATCAAGGAATCTGCGATAGCGCGCTTCGCACACGCGTTGTGTGTATATCATAATACAGCTACAACCACCACCATACAGGCGATGGATGATCGTTTCGATGAGGTGTACCTTACCGATGAAGCGGCAGTGGTGGAAAAAGCTTCAAGGATCAAGTTTAGCGAGACACTAACCATACGAGGTCCCCTGTTAGCCGATGTTTCCAACTTCGATCATCAGCAAAAGTTGGTCACGAAGGATGTCATATACGCGATTTGCAGCTTCGAAGGCTTTTATGTTCGGTATAGCTCAAGGTACCAAAGAGATAACTTGGATCACCGTATCAGAGGACCAGATTTTATAACGGCAAAAAAGTTGGATGTGTCGCTAAAACAAGTTGTTCGAAAACTTCTACGGTTCGGCAAGTACGTCGGCGGAATCACTGCTTTTCTTGACCATTATGATGACTGTAAGTTTGGTAAGGGAGTTCAAAGTCTTTGTGAACAAATTTCCATATTTCTTGACGACTACCACCAAGCAGTTTTGGAAATTGAGTATCTATTCAGCAGTCAAGTTAACTTCAGTCTAAACAGCATGGAAAACTTCCTCAATCAGAAGATAGCCAACAAGCTTTACCATCTATACGAAATTTGCAATGCTATCCATGATGAAAGCTGCAAAAGAGCCAAGCTCACGATCGTGAATGATCAAAGCACACTAAATGAAATGATTCGACTGTCATTGGTGCCGAATCAAGTTGGTGTTGATTTCGCTCCTTACCGATACTGTAAAGGATCACTAGTACTTCTGATTGTACAAGAACGAATTTTGACTTTCAAAGGCGATACCCACCTGCTGCACTATTTGAACCACTTGTTCGACTCGATTCTGCGTGATTACGTTTCAATGCTCAATAACTGGCTTAGTGATGGCTTGATCAACGATCCCTTCAACGAATTTATGATCAAACAAGGGGAAGTTGGTCCTGTTCTATCAGATGACTTTGCAGTAACATCGGAAAAGTATTGGACAGAACTTTTTTTAATTCGAAAAGATGGTTTGATAAGTCAATTGATGTCATTCGAGATTCAAAGAAAAATCCTTAACACAGGAATACTCTTGAACATGTTCAAGCAGTGTACAGGTATTCACAACTTTCTGTCAATTGATGTTGAGAGCTTGGTTTTAATTGACCTGTTGGTGCTGGATGATTTGGAGCTTAAAATTGACAGTTTTTACCGTCGAGCAAATACAATGATGCTCAAATTATTTTATGATGGTTATAGCTTTGATTCATTGCTTTGGGAACTACAAAACAGATTCATGCTCATGGATTGTTTTCCCAGTGAGCAATTCATTGATCGATCATTCCATGATTTGAAGCAGAAAAAGAAAGATGTTTCAGTCTCGTCGCTCAAAGATTCTTATCGAAACCTGTTTGGTTCGAAGGGTACACAATACAATGAGAGCTCCACTTGGGAGCGTCCTCAAATAACAGTGGCTGACATCGTATTTCGAAACCAACAATTTGGCATAAGCAAGACAAACTTGTTTGATGAAATTTTGGATATCAAGGAGATGGAAGCGTTTGATCCCACCGAAATAATGAAGGATGGCCGCTCACATGCAGATATTTTGAATTTCGCTCTTGGACGAGGATCTACACTGCGCTCATCGCTGGTGGCAGCTTCTGAAAATTTTAATTTGGCAGACTACACGATCTGTCTGATTGAACTCAAAATACCATTGCCCTTTCCATATAACTTTATTATCGACACGAACTTGCTGTTTCAATATGGCCTTGTCTTTAGGTTTTTGATGCTTGTACGGTTTTTGAATCATTACAACCAAGATCTGTGGAAAGAGTTGAATCTGCTGCGCATATGGAGGTCTAGCACGTACCCTAAACCAGTAACAACAATACTAAGGCGCTGCCGTGATTTAAATCTGAACATCGCCATTTTCCTTGAGCAATTGATGGGCTACTTAAACATTGATGTGGTGAATTATAACTACCTCAAGTTATTGAAGGCGTCAAGTGCAATTCATGAAGAGGTAAGGAATCATCGCATGAAACTGGAACAGATGCTGAATATTGGAAGTTCAAGAACATCACTGAGTGACCGCCATTTCGATCGTCATCTGTTTACAAGCTTCAAAAGCCCAAACTCTGCTCTCGATAGCGTCATTCGCTCACAGAAGTCGACCTTGTCTGGAAATACGCAACAGCAGGAATTACGCGTAACAGTTGAAGAATTGCAGAATCAAATTAATCGATACTTGGGTAATATCATCAATGATAGCTTTCTCCCTTGCGAGAATATAATGTCCTCATTGAAAAAGTTGTTCGAACTCATCAACTTAGCAAACAGTTTCTTCAAAAGCCTCGACTCAAAACTACCAACATCCGACCCCGAGCAATACAAGCTTCTACAAAAGCAGCAACCAGAAATACACCCTCATATCGATTTAAGCGAAGAATCCATTAGAAGGCGCTATCTTGACTGGAACAAGACGGTCACGGAATACATGGACAACTTCAACTCCCAAATTCATAATCTTTGTGACGAGTTGCAAAAAATCGAGGAGTTCGAGCTGAAACTGGCGCTGATTTTGCGTGAGCGGTTGAAGCTAGCATTTAATTATTGAGGTGAATCATGCATATTATCAACTTATTCAATAGTGTAGACGAGTTATTTTCAACTCACTGTTAAGTCAAAGTTGATTCCAGATAAATTCGCGCTACCATTAGGTCATGCACACCTCATGATCGCACATGTCGAGCCTACTGTACACGGATGACTGACGCAATTCAAAAGTTTTCACCATTCCAGCTGTTCATTGAGCTGTCCTTCTTCACGAAGCTTTCTCAATTGAAGCTAGATGACTTCAAGTTGGATACTTCCGAGCAGCAATTAGTCGGGTTTTACCCCAGCCCCCCAAATTTAACGCGCTTTAATGATCGACCGGTAATCAATTTGGATCATAATAGCTTTGACCACAACTACTCTCCATCTGGATGTGTCACTGTACCGGGTTTACTTCATCTAGTGAACACTGTCGAAGAATTCAAAAATCTGGATAAGCAAGCACTTTTGAAAGAATGGTACAAACTGGACCATATTTTTCACCTATATTGCTATGCTGATCTCAAAAAGTATAAATTTTACTATATGATGGCAATTCCAACTAAGCAATGTCGATGGAAAGTTTTGGAGTCTTCGCCAGTTGAATTGCAGCTTGAGGACAATTTACAAACCATCAGTTTCGAGAAAACATTCTTCAAGAGTGGCGATGACTTTATCTATCTCGACGCTAGCAATGCCAATAACCCTTCACTGCTCTTGATGCGATGGCTTCCTACGGAAGGATCTCTGACGGTCGTTGTATATCAATCAAGTGGTAGCAAAAAATATACCTTAACGCCAATTTCCAGTGCCAATAATGCATTTACTGGTTGGGAGAGATCAAGTACAGGAAAGTTGGCCCCTAAAATTGCTGACTTGGGGTCACTTATAGACCCTCACCAGTTAGCTAGCCAGGCGGTTGACTTGAACTTAAAGCTTATGAAGTGGCGTATAGCCCCTGATATAAATTTGGACATTATACGTCAACAGAGAGTACTACTACTTGGAGCCGGCACTTTAGGGAGTTACGTGGCAAGGGCATTGATGGGTTGGGGAGTTCGCCGCATCACGTTTGTTGATAATGGTCGAGTTTCCTATCTGAATCCTGTCAGACAACCCTTGTATGAGTTCAATGATTGTCAAGGAAGTGATGGACAGGGGTCTCCAAAGGCGAAGACTGCAGCAGAAGCGTTGAAGCGAATATTTCCTGATGTTAAAGCTGAGGGTCATTCCCTTGAGGTGCCTATGGTTGGCCATGAGACATCAAAAGAAAACTATGACAAATTGAAAGTGCTCATTACCAATAATGATGCTATATTTCTTTTAATGGACTCTCGAGAATCGAGATGGTTGCCAACGGTAATGGGCAAAGCGGCCAATAAGATCGTAATCAATGCTGCGCTAGGCTTTGACCTGTTCCTTGTGATGCGTCATGGAACTCCTAACAATGACCTCGGGTGTTATTATTGCAATGACGTAGTTGCTCCATCTGATTCACTCTCTGATCGTACATTGGATCAGATGTGTACCGTGACACGTCCCGGAAGTGCAATGCTTGCTCTGGCATTAGCAGTAGAGCTATACATTTCCATTCTTCAACATCCACAACGAGGAGATGCTCTTGTGGAGGATATTCGAATGTTCAGTACACCGCACCAAATAAGAGGATTTTTGAACCTGTTCGTACAGCAAAAGTTCCAGTCTCCTGCATTTCCACAATGTCTGGCCTGTTCACCGTCAGTACAGCAGCAATATCTTCAAAACGATTGGGAGTTCATTTCTCGGTGTATTGCTGATGCAAACTACTTGGAGCTGGTAAGTGGTTTGAGTGCAGTAAAGCAGGCTGCTGAAGAGGCCAGTAATAAACTTATTGATGAATTAAATGATGCCGATATTGATGATGAGTGGTTCGACTAAAGTCTACCCCATGCTAAATATATATTTTCCAGGCACTTGTTACCAATCTTCCGACTCGAAATTTCGTTTGCGAGTCTCTTTGAAATTAACTGACATTTATCTGTTTCTGATAGGTTTTGATTACTTCGGAAAAATTCGATGAGCAGCTTTGGTGTCGAAAATTGCTGCTGTATTGCGAGAGCTTTTTGATAGGACACCCCTCGAATTGCCATTAACATGTTGATGAACATTTCACCGACTGTAAATTGCAGCTTTGTGAAAACCTCTCGAAAACTGTGATAATTGTGAGTGACACAATATTTATCCCCAAAAGCCTGTTGCATGTCAAGAAGAGTCGATAAGTATTGCAGTTGAGAATCAATACCAGAGCTTATTACCACCACATCACGTAAAGTATCAGTCACGAGCCTGGTAATATCAGCGATGAGGGATACCGTATTTTCAGTATTCAGCAATCGTCTTAAATAGAATCCAGACGCCATCGTAGATGCAATAGCTTTTATGAGCGATTCGGTCACGGTCATATTCCGTAGTTCTTCAACCAAATAGTAATAGTGTGTCATTCCAGTTTTGCGTAGCCTGTCTTTTTGTTCATGATAGCGTCCGTCCTTAATGGACAGAGCCAAATCATCAATTCGCTTCCTTTCAGCAATGACATCCAACAACACCTCTTTCTTCAGAATCTTGTGACGCGCCACCCATACCATATCCCCTACAGGGAGAGTACGCAGCTCACATTTAACTCCTGCCCGCAAAAGTTCTTCCTCAAAAAAAGCTCTGTCTTTGCTGGACCTAATCTCACGATTATCCACGAGTACCACAACTTCAAGATCCACTTTTTCGTACACTCTGAATGATATACCCTTGTACTTGCCATAATGGCGTCCATCACTGGCAACAAGTACCCGCGGCTGGTTACGAGTGTCACTCACTGTAGGACTACAAGGTGCTAAAGGCGGCAGTGGAGGTGGGCTGCTGTATGCAACACTATCATCAAAATCCTCCACATTTTCCTTCTCGGTCAACTCCTTAGCAATACCGAGCGCCGAATCAGTTAAACAATATCGTGGACCAATCTTTTCAATGTACTCATGTCGCATCAACGTTTTGATACTATTCCAAGCCAGATAGTGCAGTCCAGAACCTGCTGAAAACAGCGAGTTGCAATAATTTTTGGCAACAGGAATAATCTCATCTCGAGTAACCCCACGTTGTCGTTTATCTAATAGATAAAGGGCTACCATGATTCCGTGTCCACCGCTACGAGGCGCAGGAATGTAGAGCTTTTTGCGTTTAGGCTTCGATCCAGACTCGGTCTCTTCGACGGCGGAGCGTTTACGGGCTTGGGTTTTTGGCTTGGCCATGACGTTAAACGACTCAGGAAAGATTTCGTTGTTCTCTTCACACCACACTTTCAATCGGGCACAAAGCATTTCCACCGTTTTCACGCCAACTCCAGGTACCAGACGGAGAGTTTCATAATCGTTGATAGGATTCGGGAAATTTCGAAGTGACCGCACAATCTTCGAATACAAACTTGCTGATCTTGAACCTTTTTGTGCCAGGAGAGTAGCAACTTCAACCGCCCATTGCTCAAAGAGCGATTTGGCATCCATGCCCCAAGACGTGAAACACTCAGTGTTTACGAACGCCGCATCTGCGCACTCGCGAAGATACTAGGTACATTGAAGAGAAAACGACATGCTACCTCCCATCAATCTTATCTTCAAGTGTCTACAGCAAAATGCCGTGGTGTCAGTCTGGCTTTCTCATCAGTCCCTGCGTATAGAGGGTAAAGTCAAAGGTTTCGATGAGTATATGAATCTTGTTCTTGAAGATGCGAGGGAAATCACTAACGATGGGAAGAAGGAGAATCTCGGGCAAATTCTTCTTAAAGGCGACAGCATATCAATGATAACAACCACGGAGATCTAACTTGCTACAAAGGAGTATTTTGTATTGTGTGATCACAACATGCTACCACTCCACCTGGGACGCTGGATAACGGAATATTGCAACCTAATCGATCTGGACGAGCACCTGACACAAGCGGAGACACTTTCTGATATAGAACCCATCTCGAGCATTTCATCCAGAATCAGGGTTTGCATTTAATCGCAATTTACGTTATATCGCTTTTTAATTATCAATACATAACAATAAGCTTGCAAGGATTGGAATACTTTTACCATAAGTTGAAGTCAATCAGCATTATCATGCATGTTTGAACTTGAACCTATAAAACTCTGTTCGCTTGTTTCATGACCCCATTGCTATCTCTGCGCACTTTCTTACCACTCATACCCGCGACGCGTCTGAAGACCACTTGGATCTCCAGATCACCATGTCCAACAAGCCCAGTAACGTTCCCCAGGGCCAGACTCGCTTGCCGGTAATTAACCGCAATGCTGATACTCAGTACACCATCGGTCGTCCACTTGTGGTCGTACCATTTACTCCAGAAGAACGTGCCCGCATCACTCTGAATTTGGAGAAACTGTTGGGTCCTGAATACACTAGCGAGCGCCCTGGAGGTGGCAAAAAGGTAACTTACATTGAAGGTTGGAATGTACTCAATATCGCTAATGAAGTTTTTGGTTTTGATGGATGGCTGTCTGAGATTCTTTCTAAAGAGGTTGACTTTCTCGAGGTTGACAAAGGGAAAATAAATATGGGGATGCTGTTACTTGTTCGAATAACTTTACGGAATGGTACATTCCATGAGGACTTTGGGTATGGATTCATTGAAAATGCTCGTTCTAAAGCGGCAGCCTTTGAGAAGGTCCGTAAAGAAGCATACACCGACGGGTTGAAACGATGCTTGCGCTGCTTTGGGAACCTCTTAGGGAACTGCTTGTATGACAAAAATTATTCTGTGAAGGCGCAAAAGGCTGGATTGGATGATGAAAGGTACTACCGGGATAAGCATTATGTGAGACAACAGAAGGCTAAATTAGTAAGTCTGAGTTCGAAGATATACTCCAACAATTCTGAAACCAAAGCAGCAGTACCTGACTTGAAGTCGAATCCTAACCATACAGTCAAATCAAATGAAGTAACTGGACCTAGCAATAATACCAGAGAGTTGGCTTCTGCTGTACCACCTCCGACGAATACTAAAAACCCGTTACCCCTGGAGGATGACTCGTTTTGTTTTTCTGACGATGACGATTTCCGTGATGACATAATTCCAAAAGAATCAAATAAACTTGATATCACCAAACCTGAGTTGTTGGGGACGAACGCCCCTGTCAAATTCGTTTCAGCGAAGGTACTGGAAGACCTTAAAGCTGGTATCGAAAAAGCGAACGAAGTTCCCGAATACGATTTAAAATTCGTCTCCCAATCGATCAAGCATACGGTGAACCCACATAAACTGGAGCCCATTAAAAAAGCTAAGCCTGCAGTTACAAAATCATCCCGTGGTGTAATGTCGCCAAAGTCAAAAGCAGGTTCACCATTAATCTCATCGGCAAATCCGTTAACAGCTACAGACCCGAACACATATCATGGTAGAGGCGTTGGACTTCCACCAACGAAACGCCCCCGCAATGAGTAGAAAATACAAGAATATCCGCATCTCATTAATGCAATATTTTAGAGTTGATTTGATCTTGATTCTATTTCTTAAATCTCAATGCTCTTTTAGTACGCGCGCCGAGCACAGTGATAAATCCAAAAGTTAGCCACAGCTTACGATCTTCCTGATGGCACGAATTGGACCCATCGATGATTTACTTCGGAATCGGGGCCCATACACTTCGAAAGAGGTTCCAGATGACTTCACTCTTGATGATTACAAGCTGGGTCTCAATGGGAAGGTGTTAGTTGTCGGAGCTGGAGGACTCGGTTGCGAGATCATCAAGAACTTGGCTATGTGTGGATTCAAATCCATCGACGTGATAGACATGGACACAATCGATATCTCCAACTTAAATCGTCAATTCTTGTTTCGGGACGAGGACATTGGGAAGTCGAAGGCTGAAGTCGCATGCGTTGCCGTAGCTAAAGTCGTGAATGCAAAAATTGGACCAATTAACCGCCTGGCTGAAGTTGAGAATGAAGAAGATGGGGCAGTTTTAACCCCCCATTTTTGTACAATTCAAGGGATGCCGATAGAGTGGTACCAGCTGTTTGACTTGGTTATCTGTGGCCTAGACAGTGTTGAGGCACGAAGATGGATGAACGCTACATTACATGCATTCCTCCCTGAACGCATTATTCCCATGATCGATGGCGGCACTGAAGGGTTTCGTGGTCAAGCAAGAGTCATTATTCCCGGGCATTCTCTGTGCTATGAGTGTACATTATTCACAGTCGCTCCGAAGGTAACATATCCTGTTTGTACCATTGCGAATACCCCTCGTCTTCCTGAACATTGCATAGAGTGGGCATCTCAACTAGCATGGCCTAGGCACTTTCCAGATAGATCATTTGATGGTGATGATCCCGAGGATGTTGACTGGATGTTTGAAACAGCAAAAAAAAGGGCAGAGCTGTTTGGTATATCGGGAGTGACCCGGCAGCTAACGCTTGGTGTTGTCAAGAACATCATTCCAGCTATTGCTCTGACAAATGCAATCATTGCTGCTCTGTGTTGTAACGAAGCTTTCAAGCTTATGACGAACTCAAATCCTTTACTTGATAACTACATGATGTACTCTGGAGATCAAGGGATCTATACCTACACGTTTGCCACTAGCAAAACCAAAGACTGCGCTGTTTGTGGCAATCAAGCAAAACAACTTAAAGTGCCGCGAGGCTGGACCTTGGAAGAGTTCCTTGAGCATCTAACGACAGTTCAAAATATTCAAGTGATGAGACCATCAGTAGCAACCAAATCCAAGCAATTGTACCTACAGAGCCCGCCACTGCTTGAAGAAGCTACTAGACCAAATCTTATGAAGACTCTTTCGTCGTTGATCGATGAGCATGAAGAGATGATTTTAACAGATCCAGCATTACCTATAACAATGAAATTGATCGTCAAGTTCACAGGTTGAAGCGATTTTGGTACATTGATAAATTAAAGGCAACGTTACATCGACATTAACCAAACGGATAACTCCGTGATTAGCAGTATCTGCCGAAGTTCATGAAAATTCTAGTAAAGTCAGTTTTGCATCAAGGGATAAATATAAAAATTTAGCTCAAACTTCTTCGATAGGTTAGTATTGGGTAGCGTTCATGTTTCGGACTTTAGTCGGAAGAGGTGGAAACTAGGATGTGTTGTCGCAGTGCTCAAATTCATTGATCCTGAGGTGGCATTTTTTGTGCGCATAGGTGCTCGTTTAACTTTGGCCTAAGTTAACAGCAATGAGTTTATTGAAACTTGCAGGCCAGGTTGGCCTACAACTATTGAAACGTTCTAATACAGACGACCAGGGAGATGTCGCTATACCTGATGATGATTCCCTCGACGAAACTAACCCTGTGGAGGATGAAATTTTTTCCCTGTGGGCGTTATTCATTTTACTCTTCCTCCTCGGACTGGCGTTGTGGTCTTCCTACTTTCTACAGCAGCGACGGATTAGGGCGATCCACGAAACAGTGCTTTCAATTTTTTATGGAATGATCGTGGGTCTTATTATTCGTGTATCTCCAGGTCATTACATTCAAGATGCGGTTAAGTTCAATCTGGGGTATTTCTTCAACATATTATTACCCCCAATCATTTTGAATAGTGGATATGAGCTTCACCAAGCTAATTTTTTCCATAACCTTGGTTCTATTTTAACATTTGCTATACCAGGGACTTTCATATCAGCTATGGTGTTGGGTATCATTTTATATGTGTACACAGCCCTAGGATTAGACGGAATTGACTTGGAATTCGTTGATGCTTTATCGGTCGGCGCTACTCTTTCTGCTACGGATCCCGTGACAATTCTCAGCATCTTTAATGCCTATAAAGTGGACCCCAAATTATACACAGTTATCTTCGGTGAGTCATTGCTCAACGACGCCATCTCGATTGTTATGTTTGAAACTTGTCAGAAATTCAAGGGTCACGCTGTTGGCTTCTCATCTTTATTCGAAGGTATGGGTTTGTTTTTAATGACGTTCACGATATCAACGATGATTGGATTGATGGTTGGGGTTGGAGTTGCTTTACTCTTGAAACATAGTCATATTCGCCGTTACCCTCAAATTGAAACTTGTCTCGTGCTTTTGTTCGCTTACGAAACGTATTTCTTTTCGACGGGTGCACATATGTCAGGGATTGTATCATTACTCTTTTGTGGTATCACTCTCAAACACTATGCTTACTACAATATGCTGAGACGAACACAAATCGCCATAAAGTACATCTTCCAGTTGTTAGCACAGCTTTCAGAGAATTTCATTTTCATATATTTGGGTTTGTCATTGTTCACAGAAGACCAGTTGGTATTCAAGCCATTGCTCATCATTATAACTTTCATGCTGATATGCATCGCTCGTTGGTCGGCAGTGTTCCCATTATCGCGCTTCCTCAATTGGATCTATCGAGCTCGGTTTAGCAGGTTTCAACGACCCGGCTCCCTTTCAGTTGAAGCGGTCCCTGATGAGATAAGTCACCTGTACCAAATGATGATCTTCTGGGCTGGCTTACGGGGTGCTGTTGGGGTTGCTCTTGCTTTAGGAATCAAAGGTGAGTACAAGTGGACTTTATTGGCAACGGTCTTGGTTGTAGTTGTGCTCACTGTGATCTTGTTTGGTGGTACAACCGCACTGATGCTTGAAATTCTCGGTATCAAAACGGGTTGCATTGATGAGTCAAACGAAAGCGATGATGACTTCGATATCGAGGCTCCCCGTATTGTGCAACAAAGTGTGTATGGATCTCGACGTTATCCTCAAGGACCACAAACTCCGCAAGGTGTCCAACCGTACAAGGATGACATCAGATCACGCACTCAGCTGTCGGTCTCACTCCAGGGAATTTACCCTACAAGATCGCGGAGTTCACGGAATTCTTCGCAAGCTGATTTGGCATATCAACAGGATGATGACCAACTTGAGGTACAAGCGCTGGGCGCCACCGAGGGTGGGTTGTTGAGTAATATTTTGAGTGTCGAGGAACATGCCAAGTGGTTCACAAAGTTTGATGAACAAGTTCTCAAGCCTGTTCTTCTCGATCAACCTGGGAGTCCACGTCCCGATCAAAGTCCACGGCCTGAGTAGGAATGGAATATAATAGAGATACGGTGTAATAGACATTCATTTCACATTAGAAACTCCATCATTTGCGACTTGTAGATTGAAATTATTTAATCTCGAGAACTCTTTCAGCCAATCGTTGAGTCTGTTCATTCACCACAAGACTCAGAAATTTGTAATTGTATTGGTTGCAAACATTTCGAAACTCAATTATGATGACATCATGAACATCGGCTACAACCAGGTCAAGTGCTTGTTTGCGACACTCTTCGGTGTCAGCATTATAAATCAGAGCTGGAATGTAGTCAACATAGTTGGCCAGTACTCTGATCGGCCGCTCCAAGTTGTTGAGCACACTGCAAATATCACGATTTGACACAGTTCCCAGTCGATCCTCTGCGATGGCGTGGATCGCAAGCTCGGCCAAAGCAACAGCAGCGTTACACACAACATTAGTGACTTGGACTCGCACCTCAGCATCCTGCTGGACGTATATCCTGAAGAATATACCAACTCCCAGGTGAAGGAACCATGCGTAGAATTTTAATGTGTACTGCTTCATCCGCGCAAATTGTTTGACCTCCCAATGAGTATGCCACTTTTCCGTAGACTTCACCACCGTCGTCCACAAGGGCTTGACGTGTTTTTGGAAGATGTCTTGAAAACGCTGACCAAGACCAGATTTTGAGTTCTTGGTTGCTTTGGTAGTGAGTTCGGAATATGCCTTCACAGTAGAGTTCTTAGATACTTGGTGCTTATCACTTTCCAGATTCCCAAAAAGTCTACCGGACCCTTTTGCCGGGTCGCTGGCCTCTTTCCGTACAGCAATTGTTTTCTCGGCGCTTTTTTCGAGAGCTTTTGAATCCTGAGGACTGCGATAGTTCACGCGATCTGAGTACCTACCAACAATCCTGAGACAGATGTCATAAATCTCGGGCCATCTTTGCGGAGTGCGGTTGTAAATGATATTGCGGAGATGTTTAGCCTCAGGCGAACTAGCAATGTACGCAATTTCTTGGAATGCGATCGCTTGTACAATTTCATCTTCATCCTGAAGTCCACCCACAAGGCAAATCAATGGCTCACTAGAGTTTGTCGACAATGCAGTTTTTCCATCAATACATCCAATTGTCAGATAGACATTAAAAGCGTGATTGGTGATTTCCCACGAAATTATTGTAACGAACGTAGCAAAAACCATGGATAACCACGTCGAGAAATGAAGCCTGACTGGCGGAACTCCGGGATCCAACCCCGCAAGTATAATAGGGTACTTGAGAACCAGGTATATGATATTACGCAGAATTTGCCAAGTAGGCCATCCAATAATAGCCAACGCAATAGTGAAGAAGATAGAGTTCAACATAATTTTGGCGAAACCAGAAAGAAACATGCGGGGATCACGCTTAGGCGTTGTTCCTAAGTTGAAATCAAGACGGTTTCGTTGCGCAAGCATATGGATGAACGCGTATAGTATCGCCATCAAAAGAGGATAGCATGAGTAGAACAATGTCTCATCATTCAAGTATTGCCGATTGCGAAACAATTTCGAGACAAGGTTATAATGCCAGATAGCTGGTATATGCCAGGCGAGGCAAAGAGCGACGGCGTATGACAGTAAGATGTAGTAGCCCAAAACCTTCCCCGAGGAAAGAGCCAGAACAACTATACGACCGAAGAGAGTTTTCTGTTGAGGATATAACGTGGTCAGGTGGTATTGCCGCAGCAATTTCACCGCCCACAATCCCCCAAATATCAACACAACACTCACGGGGGTCAACATGAGATTGAACCAGCGATTGGTGTACGGTAAAATGAGGGCCACCGAAACCGCCACAGCCACAATCAAATTTATCCTGTCGACAAAACGAAGCCGCTTTTTCTGAACCTTTCCCACATAGTCCCGATAATGTGGCATAGTTGGAGGCATCATGGGTAGGAATGCGCGAAGTGCGATGTGAAGCTCCATCGGAGGTACTACTTGATGTGAAAATAGTTTCTAGAAGCAAGGAACTAAGCTTATAGTTTAAATCAAACCTACAAATCCACCGGGACAGAATTCAGTTTCGGACCACGTAACCTTTACATAGATTCCATTGGTCTTGTGCACGTAAGTGATAATTAAGTTGATTGTGTCGACGTACAGATCCTAGGATGATTGTAAAGACAAGTTTTACGCGAACCTGCTTTGGTAAACCTTGTTTAAGGTTTTATAACGACTTTCGAAATCTCCGCGAGCGAGTGCTCACATTGTAATAAGAATAAGAATACCGTATTCCTATTGTGGATTTTAATTGGTCTAATAGGCATATATTTCCTGAGTTGTAAACCAGTATTGATACATCGTAACACATAAATCTGTAAAGAGGTTTGCTTTGGGTCGCACTTATGCTCTAGAAATCTTCAGAACAACGCGGCAACCATAGCCATAGCAGCAACGATACCCGAAACACCTGATACACCAACGCCACCAATTTTCGACAGCGATTGCTCACTAGAAAATTGAGCAGTCGACAGAGATGAAGTTGTGGTGGGCGACAGTGTGATAGTCAGCGACGAGACAGTGGTCGAGAACAGGGTCAAAGACAGAGTCAGATTAGCCAGGGCAACAGCGACAATACCCTTGAATCCAGATAAGCTCGGCTTTGCGGTCGACTTAGCGAGAGAAGCCGACCGAGCAGCAGCAGCAGACGCAGCAGAGACGGCAGAGACGGAAGACAACAGGGCGATCAGGGCTGCAGCTGCGGAAGAAGCTTCTGCTCTCGACAACGAGGCAGCCAATTCAGAAGAAAGAGAAGCTGCCTCAGCGGCGGAGATAGAAGCGGCTTCAGCAGCAGAAAGGGAGGCTGCTAACTCCGCTGAGCGTGAGGCAGCGGCGGCTCTCGATTGCGACGCAACGGCCTCAGCAGAGGCAGAGGCAGCGGCAGCAGCTACTTCTGATTGCACCAGTGCCACCAGTGCCTCCAGCGCCTTCAGAGCTTCCAGAGCTTCCAGAGCCGCTGCCGCTTCAGCAGCTTGGCGACTGGCTTCGGATGCTTCCGAGATCAGGGCCAAGAGGGACTCATCAGGAGTCAATTGGGTCACAGTGACTGTGATCGTCAGCATAATAGTAGTGTCAGCGGCGAGGGCAGCAGTTGCTAACATCAATAAGGAGGAAACGCGCATTGTATTGGGTCGTCACGGGGGTAGTAATAAAGGAAAGACTGGGGTGAGACTTGTTTGCTGGCAGAATACCAGGATAGCTTTGAAGGGTTAAACGAATGGACGGGCTGAGATACAAACCTGAAGAAAAAGCTTCAACCGAAGACGCGGTGCGAAATACACTGTGCGTGTTTACATCCTGCACACGAGAGTGAAACGGGTGCATGAGAGATGTCACAAACATGGTGAGGAGCCGAGAGGAATGTGGGCAAATGATGGCGGTATCAGATCATCCCCGATGGATTTGAGGCGTCTCACGTTGATCATAACCATTGGATTATTTTGTACAATTACCTTGAAAGTCAAGGATCACTGAACGCTGGATAAGTCCACATCAGCGTGATCTCTGCACATCTGAACCGGCAGAAACACGACATGTTAGTGCCGTACCAGTAATTTCCGACGGTGTAAACGAAGTCCACAACATTCGAGAGGAGCTACCACGTGATAGAGATATACCTTGGGCAAGAGTGTATAGTCTTGCTAGCTTTCATATAATGCTCTCCTTCTCAAACCTCGATTGATTTCCAATTGTGGAGGGATAGCTGTCATCAGTATTGAGCCAATCAACGCCGCGCATGAATGCGGGCGGCTGACAAGGATTACCGGATTCATCGAAGATGTACACAACCTCGAATGTCGCGTTGATGCTCATCATTTCAGATACGCTACACTTCAAAGAACGAATTATCAAGAAAATAATGTTCATGTCGTAAGCATATCTCCATCCACGGAGGTCAGGGATTGATGTGATAGAGTTAGAAAAGTTTTTGGGTAACAGTGCTCCAAATACATGGTAGTGCATTAGCGGTTCTACACCTAGTGTGGTTGGATTATCCAATGATGGCTGTTAACAACAACTTTGGGATTTTTGCCTGAGTTTATATAAGGTAATTTTAAATTTGCAGAATGTTCACGATTCTGCATGATTTTGGTTAGACGCTGCATCTCATTTGAGTAACACCATTTGACAGTCTCGCGAAAATTCGAGTAGTGTAACTAATGATCCGAAGACACAATAAATCATAAATGTAACTATATTTTTAAAATTTCGTGACTTCGTAAAAATATTTCGAATACCGTCTTTTGATTTTAGGACAACAATCAAAGCACGGCTACATTCCACGGATCGTTTTATATTTCTCAAGAATCATAAACCTCGAATAGTCAAGAAATCGAGGATCACAGCCTCTAAACGAGTGTTACAAGTTCCAATATCCCCATGAGATGAGAACCTGCACTTGGTCATAATTTGACGCTCTACTATGAGTTATCGATGAGTTTGCTTCTGAGGGTGTCTAAATTCATCCAAACACATCATCACTAGGTTTAGTCCCTGAAATATTGAAAGCAGTTTGTTGCGTAAACGTCAAAGTGGACTCTGTATTGTATTCGAATTCAGTTAGCTGTCAGATATAAGCGATTGTTGATGTACCGCTCAATTTCCCATATCAGATACACGAAATTTATGCTCTATAATTCATTGCATCAATGTTTCAGGTATCATTATGAAAGTTTCACTTGATTCAATGAGATTCCTCAGCCATAACATCAATGGAATGCTTAGCATTCTCCATGGAAATGTCATTTAAATATTGATTCCATTGAGACATCAGTTGGAGATACGTTCCACCCTGGAATTGGTTGCATAACGATTGATAAGGCTTTCCTATCAATGTCAATCTTACGTGTGATCACTTAATCGTGGGCAAAATCGAGAAAATGCTCTCGTGACAATTCTAGATCGACACTCATTCAATACTCCAGCGAATCACGAAACATTCCGCGCTGTGGGGATCAATTGTAGCCACAAATGAAAAGCAAGTGACGCCCTAGTCATGAGAGTAGCCTGCGGCAGCAACCCCACTCGGATGCGGTCGAGTGCCTTGAGATATATACAATTATGAGCTGCTTGATACTAAGCAATCGGTCATACGGCAACACAAGTCACAACAGTACTAAAGTCCTCCACAAAGCTGTGCCCACATAATCGCATATGGAGATTGGTAAAACTGGCAAGACAAAAATCTTGGGAATAGCTTACTCTTTGCCGCGTGCCTCGTATTCCCGCCAGGAGGTCGTATAATACAGAATTACCCCTCACTGTCAGAGTCAAACTGTTTGAACACTCTAAATCTCATATCCGTCCTCTCAACAGTAATGGCCGACCGATCTTGCGATCATATCTATCTACACGAAACACAGACCTTATCATTTTCATTTAGCAGTCTATCTATGATAATGCGGTTTCAGTTGGCTTTGACACGGCAACATTCTATTTTTGGGTGCGTAAGTGCATAATCATCCAAACCTGAGACTTCACAGTCCCTGATCCTGCGGATGCACTTGTTGACACGTGCGGCACTTTCGCAGCCACACTTCTATCCAAATCAAAGTTGGGGGTTACACTGGCTACACACGATCGTTATACCTGTAGGGTGAGGCTGGACATACAACAATAGTTCTGTGTCTTTCAGTGAATCTCTGTGCCTCCTTATCTTATCATATCCCCAGCTTTTATTGCATAAGGCCACAAAAGTGGTTAAAGCCATATGATACTGCGGCTTCACGACACAGATCCGCGAAATGTGGGGTAAAAAGAACGATCACCTGATGGATACTACGTCGAAATTCGAGCTGTATCAACAAAGAGAAGAGGCAACCACGCGATTGCAATTGAGAACCAAAACCTGTGTAAGTTGCTTTAGACTCTCCGAATTATAGCTCCTTCCAAGGGGCTACTGTCAAATTTGGTTTTAAACTATAAAGTATGCGCAGCTGGATATGTAACTGCATCACGGAACTTGATTTACATACTTTGAGCCTCACGGTGCCACGGGTTACTTCGAATTGAGGAACATAAATAGGATGAAAGTTTGATTGGTTTCATCCACAAATGAACAATCCAGTCGTGGTTGACGGCGAAAAAATCAATCCCGTTTTATCGCAGCCATTGCTGTTGGATGAAGTCGGTACGGCGTTCACGACTTCTCAAAAGCAGTACATCTTACGTCGTCTTGACTATGAAGGCCTTGAATCTTTGGATGATTTGCCGAAACAAGGGGCCTACATGATCGAGAAAATCGAGTCGTTGCTGGCTGAACAAGCTGTTGCAATTCTCAGGGAAGCACTCGTGGATTATCGTGCTGACGTGAATATTATGGATCGTGACTACAAACTTTGGGAGAAACTTGTTGAAATGGCACCCCTGCATGGTATCTCCGAGAAGCTTGACGTTTACATTAACGACAGTGACGTTGAATCCAAGAAAAATAAAGTCGAAAAGACTGATGTTGCCGAAGTCCTGTCAGACATGGATGAGTCCGGATTCCACGGTGACTACTGGAATGTGTTTGACTGGGATCTTCAAGTGCGTACCGAGGCTGGCCTCATTGAATTTTACCTGCCGTATACACAAGTGAGAGCGTGTATTGACCCCTACGACGAAGACATGCCTTGCGAAACGATTCGAGTTTACATTTGTGGTATCATTTGGACTTGCGTAGGGGCGGTGGTTGATCAATTCTTTTCTACTCGTCAACCCTCCATTACGCTTTCTACTTCCCTCGTTCAAGTTTTGATTTATCCCTCGGGATTATTATTGTCGTATATTTTACCGAAGTTCAAGTTCAAAATTTGGAGATATACGTTTGATTTAAATCCTGGACCCTGGCTGCGTAAAGAGCAGATGTTGTGTACTTTGTTCTACTCTGTGACAGGTGGGTGGACCGGCTACTCGAATTATAACATCCATGTCCAGAAGTTGGAAACCTACTACAACGATCAATGGGTCACATTTGGGTATCAAGTCTTACTCACCCTCTCCACGAACTTTATCGGATTTGGTCTTGCAGGAATTGTAAGAAAGTTTGCTGTGTATCCAGTTGAGTCTATGTGGCCTTCACTTATGTCGACAATTGCACTCAACAAAGCCTTGTTGACTCCAGAGAAGAAAGAAAACATCAACGGTTGGACGATCTCACGTTATAGGTGGTTCTTTTACTGCTTTGTGTTCTTTTTTCTCTTCCAATGGATCCCAAACTACTTGATGCCTTTCTTGTCCACCTTCAATTGGATGACGTGGATAAAGCCGGATGATCTTGATTTAGTTAACATGACCGGATTCAGAAATGGTCTTGGATTTAATCCAATCCCCACTTTTGACCCTATTGTGATGGACTTCCCTATGACATACGTGCCGATGGTTAGAGGGGTTGGTCAATATTGTGGTTACGTCCTTGGGGCTTTGATTATCACTGCCATCTATTACACGAACCACAAATGGACTAAGTTTCTCCCTATAAACTCCAACTTATTGTACACCAACGAAGGTAAGTCATACAAAGTGCTGAAGATCCTTAATGAAAAACAGTTGTTTGATCAAGATAAGTACGAATCATATGGGCCCCCTTTCTTTTCGGCTGGAATGTTGGTGAACTATGCTGGTTTTTTCATGTTGTATCCCTTTGCCTTTATCTATGAGGTTCTCGTGAATTGGCGACCCATCAAGAAAGCCATGGTTCAGTTAGGCAAAGGCTTCAAGAGTATTCGCCATATGCTGGTTCTGGGATACGATGGATTCAATGATCCTCTCTCACGACAAAATGCAAAGTACCCCGAGGTTCCGGAATGGTGTTACAGTTGTGTTTTGTTGGTAGCGCTTGTTTTGGGTATTGTATGCGTTGAGTACTACCCCACCAATGTGCTGTGCTGGATTATATTTTTTGCCATTGCCTTGAATTTCATTTTCTTGATCCCCATCCTTGCGATTTACTCGAGAACAGGCTTCAGTTTTGGACTTAATGTTATCATGGAGCTTATCGTGGGGTATGCTGTTCCTGGTAACGCCAACGCCATCAATATCGCAAAGGCATTCGGGTACTCATTAGACGGCCAAGCTGAAAATTACATTACCAACCAAAAGCAAGCTCATTACATGCGGTTGCCGCCTCGGGGGTTGTTCCGTACACAAATGGTTGGTGTGTTCATTGGATCTTTTGTTCAGTTGGGCATCATGCAGTTTCAATTAAATGGTGGGATTAAGAACTACTGCGACCCCAATAATCGTCAGAAATTCACATGCCCCACTATTAACACCTTCTTTTCGGCTTCAATTCAATGGGGTGTTATTGGCCCTAAGAAAGTGTTCAATGGGTTGTACACGGTGTTGCCATACATGTTTTTGTTAGGTGGCTTGTTTGCGATCCCTTGCTTTTTCATCAAGAAATACTTAGCAAAGAAAGCACCCCGTTACGCCAGATACTTCCAGCCAACTATCTGGATTGGGTCCTTCACCATTTGGGGCAGTTACAATTTGTCCTATTACACCGTTGGGCTCTATCTCAATATCTTGTCGATGGGGTACCTTTTCAAGAAGTACAATGCTTGGTGGTCCAAGTATATATATCTTCTTTCAAACGGTGTTGTTGCGGGGAATGCTCTTGCCGCTTTGATCATCTTTTTCGCTTTGCAATACCATCCCAAGGATCTAACTTGGTGGGGAAGTGAAGTACCTTATCAAGGATATGAAGGCACCAGAGCAGGTAAGATGAACGCCACTTTGCAAGCTCCAGATGGGTACTTCGGGCCCCGGAAAGGCCACTTCCCATAATTCAGTTCAATTCTCTTCAACGTTGTCACGAATTAATAATCGATATGTACGATAATGAAAAACCTCAACTTAGCAACGATGTAAGAATCAACTCAATAAACCAGGCAAACATGACATAGAGCTTTCCGATTCACGCTTGTGGATCTAAAATCATACGTGATTTCAATAAATGTTCTCGTTATCACCATTCGATCCTGCATAAGTATATCAGTCAAAAGTGCGAGATGAAAATTTGAAGATCACCAGTATGAAGGCTTCGGTGGTGAGATTGGTGGAAAACGCCGTATTCGAGGCTGCTCCCAAGTCCCGGTACACTTCGAGACTGCTGGGGAAGTTCAACTTCAAGCCCAAGCCGACTCAGGGACTTATCCACAACCCTCCTCATGCCATTCAGTCGCCGATGATGAAGACCCCCAAGGCATTTTTGCCGGCTCTGGACCCGAGAAGACAATTACCGACAAAGGAATATCTGTCAGAGGAGCTTGAGAACTACCCGTTGATTCATGGCCATGCTGCTCCTAAGGATCGGACCTATACCGTCACTGACGAACTTGCGGCGGAAATCGTCAAGTTGAGACGCGAAGCTCCGAAAGAATGGACAGTATCGAAACTTGCTCGCCACTTTTCTCTTCCGCAAAACGTAGTTAACGTTGTGTCAGGTACCTTGCCTACAAAACCGGAAATTGAGCAGACTCCCACCATGATCGAACGCCAGAAGAGACGTTTGATGTGGTTGAGAGGGGAATTTTAATGACTTGTATATACACATTTGGTATCGGCAATCGATCCCGAGATTCACGAATTGTATACGAAAATACACTCCGTTCACGTTAGTTTTCACGTCCTCCTTCACTCTGTAGATATAATCCGTGCGATCGTTAGTGCGAACGAAAAAGTCGTCCACTACCCATGTCCGACGACAGAGCGTTTTCACCGCTGGCGCAGCAAAATAGCCCTCGTTATGACCGTCGAGACGGTGAAGACCGGGGGGAAAGACAAGGCGAGGTAAGTTGGTTTCATCAGGCACGGTCACTGTGGTATTGAAGGACAGTGTGCCCATTGCAATTGCCACATGTACTAACGATTAGAGAAGAAGACGCCCGCAAAATAAGCAAGACGGTCCTAAGCGGGAAGCCATCTTGGATTTGAATCAATATAAAGACACGCGGATTATCGTCAAGTTCATTGGTGGTAGACAAATCGTGGGGACGCTTAAAGGGTTTGACCAATTGATGAACTTGGTGTTGGATGATGTTGAAGAGACTCTCCGAGACGTACATGACGACACGGTGTTGACGGAGGCCAAGCGCCAGCTAGGATTCGTTGTCGTGAGATGCACATCATTGTTGACGATTGCACCTGTCGACGGCACGCACGAGATTCCCAACCCGTTCCTCCCTCCCGAACACCAACAATAAGCGGCCGGGGGTTTTTGTGGGCTGATTTATGTTTCATGATCACAAGCAGTGTACTATATAGAGAATTAAAATCACAAAGTGGCCAGCACGGCTGTAACAGCAGAAGATCGCAAACACTGATAGTCGAATAGAGTATGTTACACGATTCCTTTCGTCCTTGATTGGACGACGCCGGGATCAGCCGAAATGTATCTCACCCAATAGTCTCGAATTTAACCGTTATCAGCCCAGATAAGCGGGTCACTAATGGTGAGAGCCTCTCCTACCAGGGCTGCGCATCGCGCGTTTTTGCGATGGCCCCAGCTCACCCCTCGTCAGCCATCAAATGTCCTCTAACCATTCGTACCAACCCAATGAGAACGTGGTTCTCTTGAGACAGACCAATCAGCTTGTTGGCTTGTATCTGATTATCCGTGATGTTAACACCAAGCGTGGCGATTTTGTCTTTTACCTGGACCGTATCATCAGATTATTAGTGGAAGAGGGGCTCAATTTGTTGCCCGTCGAGAAGTGCACCATCAAGTGCCACGGCAATAATGAATACGCCGGGGCCAAGTTTTTGGGGAAGATTTGTGGGGTGTCGATCGTTAGAGCTGGCGAATCGATGGAAATGGGTTTGCGTGACTGCTGCCGGTCGGTTCGCATTGGTAAGATTTTGATCCAAAGAGATGAAGAGACCGCCATGCCCAAATTGTTCTACGAAAAGTTGCCCGAAGACATCAGCGATCGTTACGTGTTTTTGTTGGACCCGATGTTGGCCACTGGCGGGTCGGCGATGATGGCGGTGGAAGTCTTGCTCGCTCGCGGGGTGAAGGCCGAGCGCATCTTCTTCCTCAACTTGTTGGCTGCTCCCGAAGGGATCAAGGCCTTCCAAGACAAGTACCCCGACGTCAAGATTATCACCGGTGCCATCGACGATAAGTTGAACGGGGACAAGTACATCGTTCCCGGCCTCGGTGACTTCGGTGACAGATACTACGGCATTTAGCATGATCATAGGACACTATGTAATATACATATCCACAGCTTCACACGTAGGTCTCTGCATTGTACCAATTGTCGACTTCAAACAAAAATGAAAGGGCCGATGAAATATACTGCGGGCGCGACCGCTCGAGACTTACCCTCCATTAGTCACCTGAGCGCGAACAAAAATGAGTCAGCGTGGACAAAAGCTGGTATCGTGATGTCGGTACGTACACTTTAGGGAAAGGAGAAAGTTGAAGCGAAATGCTTTGATCACTAACATCTAGATTCAACCGAGCTTGGAACTGCTCAAGCAGATCATCGCTGATGATGTTTCGCTGCCAAAACCCAACCTCTACCCCGTGTTTAAGTTTGTCCTCTCTGATGAATTGACGGTGCACAACGCCTATCTCCGACTTGCTAAACTCAACGATGCCAACAGATCGCCGAACTTCTTGTTTGAACTGGCTGTGAAAGGTGACACTGTCGACCGATACTCGTTTATAGGCGTGAACCCTCGCAAGATCATTCGCACTGGCGATGACGACAAGTACGGGCCCGGGAACACTAACGTCGACCCGATCACGGTGTTGGAGCAAGAGTTGGCTCAATACCGTCAAGCACGTTTGCCCGGGGTGCCTAAATATGCTGGTGGGGCCACTGGCTACATCTCATATGACTGCATCAAATATTTCGAACCTAAGACCAGACGGCCACTTAAGGATGTTTTACAAGTGCCTGAAGCGGTGCTTATGTTGTGCGATTGTGTGGTTGCATTTGATCACGTGTATCAAAGATTCCAGATTGTGTACAACGTTGGCGTTGATGACGTTGACGGCGATTACGACAAAGCCGTGAAGGAAATCGAGCGCATCGAGCAGCTCTTGACGGATACCACGATCACCTACGATGAAGTCAATCCTGAGCAATCTCCGATCAAGCTTGGTCAAACTTTCACCTCTAATATTGGCCAAGAAGGGTATGAGGGTCACGTCACTACGCTTAAGAAGCACATCAAAAAGGGTGACATCATTCAGGCGGTGCCGTCGCAACGGGTGGCTCGTCCAACAAGCTTGCACCCTTTCAACATCTACCGTCACTTGCGGACGGTGAACCCATCGCCTTACATGTTCTACATTGACCTCGTCGAGTTCCAAATCATTGGGGCGTCGCCGGAACTTTTAGTACAGTCAGATGTTCACAACAAGGTCATCACCCACCCGATTGCCGGAACGATCATGCGGGGGAAGACGGCCGAGGAAGATGAGGCTAATGCCGAGACGTTGCGGTCTTCGCTCAAAGACCGGGCTGAACACATTATGTTGGTTGATTTGGCTAGAAATGACATCAACCGCGTGTGTCAACCCACCACCACAAACGTCGACCGGTTATTGACGATTGAGCGGTTCAGTCATGTGATGCACCTTGTGTCGCAGGTGCTGGGGGTGTTGCGTGACGACAAGACTCGTTTCGATGCTTTCAGATCGATTTTCCCCGCCGGTACCGTACTGGGGGCTCCAAAGGTGAGAGCGATGGAATTGATTGGTGAGCTTGAAGGCGAAAAGCGTGGGGTGTACGCCGGGGCGGTGGGTCACTGGAGTTACGATGGCAAGACGATGGACACCTGTATTGCGTTGCGGACAATGGTATTCAAGGACGGGATCGCCTACCTCCAAGCTGGTGGGGGTATCGTGTTTGACTCGGATGAGTACGACGAGTACATCGAAACCATGAACAAAATGAGAGCCAACAACAATACCATCGTCGAAGCAGAAAAGATTTGGGCCGATAAGGTTGGCACACAATAGGTGAATAGAGTCATCTACGTTATAGAGGAGTAATGGATATAATCTGGGAGCAGTACCCTTAATCAATTAAATACTAAAGCCTAATGCCATAGTGTATGCCATACTTTATCAACAGGTTCGAGGTATACGCTTAATCCGATCTGGATACATCAAAAACGTGTTGGTGTCGACGTGTGCTTTTTGTGTCGCCCTACCAACCGCTAAGGTTGCTCGACGCGGAACCTGTTGAGGCAGTGCGATAGGCTCACAGTTTAACCCTAGTTGTCGGCTAGCTCGCTTGCCTGTCACGAGACAGCGATGTTTATCGTTGCCTACCCACCTGGCGTAAAAAGCAACATTAGCCGCAGGCACCGTAACGGGGACGTTACCAGTTGGAGGCTTGCAAATGCTCTTAACTATGGCTCTGGCTCGGGGCGGCACTGCGACCCGATGTACCCCACGCGACTCTAGCCACTTTATGACAGTGTGGCAAGGGCGCCGGGTGAGGTGGCACATGCGGCAGGCTGTCGAGTCATTTTTGCGGTACTCAAGTGCTAACTAAGACTCGTGTCGATGTCGGTGACCTAATTGTAGACGTGTAATTTACAATGGGGAGTAACGGTGGCGCCAGGCGGAAATGGACGATCCCGGTATTTACTCATCTAGTTATGAGCCCGGCGCGCACACTACGTGCAGGAAGTACCGTCGTCGACGACGATGATCATCTTGCGACCACCACCCTCACTACAGTTAAGCGCCATTACCCTGACTGCGCCCTACCGGGGATGAGCGACGACAAGAAGAATTTCCTGAGGACACCCACGCTGTGGGACGCTGAAGATGACGTCCTCCTCATGCATTTAAAAGACACCCAGAAGCTCGGCTGGAAGGAAATCGCCTCCCACTTCGTCAACCGCACCCCAAACGCATGTCAATTCAGATGGCGGCGGTTGAAGCTGGGCAACTTGAAGAACCCTCCCAAGCTGGCAGCCGCGTTGGGCAGCGCCATCCCCAAACTCGAAACGCCACCGAAGCCGCCCAAGAAAAAGCTGGCGACGCCCACGAGCAAAACTCCCGTGGCAAAGGACTACGGGTTCAATCCCATACCCAACCCGCCTCCGTTTACCGGACTCGACAACTCGCTCACCAATGCTTTAGCTGGCTTAAACGCATTGCTGAACTCGCCACTTCCTGCGGCGCTGGCAACTCTGCCACCGCTGGGAGTGCACACCCCGATGCTGGGCGCCGGTGGCACGCCGCTGTCGCCTCGTCGCGACTCGGTGCTGGCACCTACTACCCCTAAACCCCCGCCGACCACGACTGAAAACTACGAGGCCACTCTGAGCCCGCTGGATGTGCCCTTAGACCCGCAAGCGCACGCCAGCGCTGCCCTGACCGCAGGGGGCGGTTACTATGCTGACGTCCTGGTAGACCCGACCATGAATCTCCCCCATAATCAACCGGGACCGGTCCAGGCCGGAACATACATCCACACCCCGAGAAACTCTGCCGGGAGTGTACAGCACCCGCCGCCGCCTAATATGCACAATAACTCGGTGATAGCCATTGCCCGTGATGAACATGATCGTCAACTGGTGCTGCTGCTGAGAATTCTGGTGCTGTCACTTCCATCAAAGCTGATGAACATTCCCCACCATCCCAGTGTGCTGGGACCATTGGCGCACTTACCGGTGCTCTTTGGACGGGATTCCGTCAGTGGCCCCCTGCGCCTGGGTAGTATTAGCGGCCCTCCTGGCATTCAGCCGACGATAGCTAGCTTGCGACAAGGTCTGGTCGTAAACCCCCTGGGTGGCGGCTATTTTCTGCGTAGTGGCTCGGTGGTCATTCCGTTCAACGCTGACAAAAAGGAGGAAGAAACTCTCAAAGCGGAAGCGAAAAAATTGGAAGCTGCCCGTGATCGTCTGCGGCCTAATCACCGGGATCGTACAAACAAACCGCCACTGAAGGCACTGGTACCCGTGTTCAAGCTTCCATGGACGATGGAGGAAGACGAGCTTCTCATTAATCGACGTAACCGTGAGCTCCTGTTCGCCGAGTTACTGATACTTTTGCCGCAACGTACTGAAGGAGAAATTTGGCTGCGAATTGACCATCTCGAGAAGATTAAAAACGGTGATCGCGCGCTGACATCTCGGGAGCGGCGCCGGCGCCAAAGTCTGATCGGGTTGGACGATGTGGACGACTTCTACGATGAGATGATGGGAGGCATTGACGTGCTGGATGACGATGATGATGACGAAGACGTGTTGGTTGAGGTGGATGAGCTGATCGCCATGGCCCGCCGGCGAGCTGCGGCGCTGCGTAAGCGTCGGGCACTGCTGGCAGTCAACCCCTTGGCGGTGAGCGAGTCATTTCGCAAGCGGCCTAAGTAATGTGTTTATGTTGTAATAGAACAATCGCCGCCCCACTTGGCGGTGCTTACCTCCCTCAATACCCAGTAGCCTGGCCACATTTAATGCATAGAAAATTCGCGATGATGTCTATTGAAATGATCAGTAAAGTTTAAGCAGACCGGTAATTTCGTCGAGCACCGCCTTGGGTGCCGGTCCAAGCCCCAACACTGTCGCCGACCCGGCGGCGATTTGTGTGCGTCCGGCATCGTGGACTATGTAGGCATTTACACCGAGACTGAGCGCCTGGGCGAAAAGAATGTCCATTTCTTCCTGGTTGGGTACTTGTAAGGTGATCTTGGCTTGGCCATTGCCATATTCCCACCGTTGAACCATTTCGGGGTTGAATGCAGGCGACGTGGGGTTCGTGATCTTCTTGTAAAGAGCTAAAGTAGCGTGGCTGCACTGAGCTGCCGCTTTACCCTTACCCATCTTGAGGTCTTGACGAACCACAAGCACCATCTTCACATCACCCGGTACCTGATTGAGCTCACGGGAGTCAACATCGGGTCCGTCCAGCTCGGTATCGTACTCGTAATCCAGTACAGACTCAACGTCACCAGTATTGCGGGAAGCTTCTATCAGCAGGCGCCGCTTGGACTTCCGCAGGCTTTTGCTGGGCATGAGCCACAGCTTCACGTAATACCCAGTGACGAACAGTATCAAGCACGCGGTGATCACAGTGGTGGTGGACTGGGTGGAAGCCATGACTGAGGAAAACGTTCGCATCTCATCGAATTCGTGTGAGCATTGTCTACTGGCGTGGACACACCAAGCAGGTGAGGCAGATCAGCCAAAACTACTTTATCAACGTCTATTTCATAAGTCATCAAAATGCTAATGCTAATACCGGTTGCCTGAAATGTCTTTAATGTACAGCTGACGGTCAATGGTGTAGTACTCTTTCTCACTAAGACCATAAGGAATTTTTGGAGGTACTGGGGGCTTGGGGTCATCCTCAAACCCGGCGTGCAGGGCTCTGTCAAACACCGAGGGCAGAAACTTGCCATTGCCAATGTAACCAGTCTTGTGGGTGCGCAAGTCCACCGCCAAGTCTCGGTCAGTAGCATGTCCCTCCGAAATCCTGAACTGTTGATTTAGCTGTTCTGTTGGCTGAGGGGCATAGTATTTTGGGTCTATTTCATCAGCATCCGCTGCCACAATCGGCTTTTCCAATTGAGGGTGATGAGCATGACTCAACAGTCTCACTTGCTGATTCATGCAGAATACCTGGGTTGGCAAATCTTCCGGTTCGTCCTCTAGACCAATCAGATCAGCACTAAATGGTACTGCCGTCAGTAATCTCGAAAACAGTTTGGACAACTCACTAGATGGCAGGTATCGCATCAGACCAGACTCCAGTGGTCTTTTACCTAGCACCAGGGTATGAGGCGGAGGCTGGGGAACGTCACCATCCACAGCTGATTCTGGAGCAAAATTCATCTCACTCTCGTATTCAGACATGGGCAGGGGGCTGCGGAAGTAAGGTCCTGATTCATCTGTTCTTGCTCTCTCAGATGGAGAGTGGTTCCATAATGTGCTCACTCCATTTTTAGTTTCGTACTTCGAGACGAACTTCGAGATGCGATTCTTTAATCCTCCTTTTTTGTCAATGTCTTCTTCGTTCAAGGTGACAACTGTAGGGCTTGGAGGAGGACGTTGAGTGGCAAACTTCTTGAGCTTTTCAGCTAGACCAGGCGGTTTATAATTTCCCAGTACAAAAACTTCGTCCACTGCAGAGTTGCTCTTTCGATGGGGGTGTTTCGGCGGGGACCTCAGTAGATCACTGGTTTGGCTCAACCGCTGCGAGATCCGCGGTCTTGGTGGATCTTGAGCTAGCTGCGAGTGATGAGCTGGCGGTGGTGGGTGTGAATGATGGGAGTTTTGTGAAGGTAGTGAGCTATGCGGCAGAAGTGAGTTGTGGGGGGATTTGCGTACTGGCGATCGCCGAGGAGAGATCGAGTGATCGGGAGACTCAACAGCACTACTACGAATACTGTGAGTTGGCAATGGTGGAGGAATGTCCTTTGGAGGGATCGGTGGTCTCAGAGAGTGACTCACGCCAAACTCAAGTGACGGCCTCAGTCCCATAGACAATTGGTCGGATGTATCCTCGATGTGATCGTGTACTGATGCTTCCAGGTAATGGTGTGGCGGGAGTGGAGCTGTCGGAGCACTCTCCACAGGCACTTTAGGTGGTACAATAGGCACAAGTGGATAAAAGGTCATCTCCAAGTATATCAAACCGGCGCGTTTCTCGTTAAAAAGGAGCTCATACCACCCGTCTAAGATATACTTGCCATCATGATAGTTGCTATGATTGAATACTTTCAGACAATCAATTTCACAGTGGCCAATCATTGTGGGATCGTTCTTCGTTTCGTCAAGTACGTCAACCACAAGTATGGGCTTTCTTTCAACCAGAAGATCGAAGCGGACTTCATGTGTCCAATCGGGTGTTTGGCCAGCTCTGAACGCACTGGGAGTTTTCTTGGCCACCGTACCTATGCGAAGAGTAGCATATGGCAGCTGTTTGTCAAATTTTCGACGATTGGGTAAGTGTTTGGCTCGAACGACGATGACAACAAGGGTGCCATCGGCAGACTCGACATGATGCTCGTTCATGGTTTGGCGTGGTTAAATAGCACCTTTCTGGAGGCCGGAATAGTTCTCTAGATGATTCTCTCGCAACGGAGCTTGTCAATTGATAGGATGGGATGTACTATGGGAACGGCTTGTTTATGTTTAACCGTTTTTCATCAGTGTGATGCGCATATAGGTTAGAGGCACTGAACCAGGGATCAAAGGCAAGTGACAAAGCACAGCCTTCATAGGGAAGCCTCGTAAATAGTGGGGACCGGATGTGGGAGCAGGCTCAAAAATCATTCAATCACAGTGTCAATGCTTTGCAATGCTCAGACACGTGGTTGCCATAAGCACAACCGCGAATGCCCTGCTGCTGGTCTAGCACCGTGAATATGACGAATAGCAGTCATTCGGGGTAGTCAGTTCTCATTGACTGTGAGGGGGTGGCGCGGCCACTTGTCACTAACTTTAGAAGTTCCGCGAGGGTCCGCTGTGTATGTCCCTACGTTTTGAGAAAAGATGCGTCACGTTTACGAACTAAGTCGAATACTTACTTGGGCATAAAATCATCAGCCTCTGGATCATTCTTTCTTCACCCGAGTCGTGGTAAAGCTTGGCCAAGTAGTCACTACGCACCTTAGAATGAGGTAGCTCAGCAATGCGAAGGGCCACGGTGTTGTCTAGCTTTGTCCACAGATTGGGGAGCCAAGGAGTCAAATAAGCTTGACGTTGCCAACCGGTCGAATTAGACATTCCCATTTTTTCACTAATGGCGGCAATGACATCAGGAATTATTTGAGTAGTATCTTTGATAACATCCTTGAGCTCAATCTTGACCAATTCATCTCGCACAGGACCGAAATACTCACTCATGTCGTCCCGAAGCAGCATCGCTGCTAAGACCAACACAACCATAGGTGAGGACCCGTATTCCTCAATGTAACCAAATAATTGGTCCAATGCAGCTTGCTTAGTATCATCGCTGTTGAAACTGTACAAAATTTGAGCTACCAACACGACAAGCCGTTGTGAGGTGGGGTTTGCTTCCAAAATTGCTTGAAGTTGAGCAAGAGCAGCATCGAAGTCACCAAGAAAATAGTGGCATAACCCCGCGGTAATACGGCACAGCAACTCTAATTTTTGTTCGGCACCTTCAATAAGTGCGAGAGCCTGTTGGGCATGATCAAGAGCTTTAGTATACTCACCTTGACCAAGTATAACTCGAGCACATTGAGCTTTCGCTTGCGCAAACCTTACAAGATTTTCCTCCAGTTCATCATTTTCGTAAGCCATTTCAAAATGTTCCAATTGCTTGGTCGTAGTTTCTTCACTCCAATTGTACTCCATGCACCGCTCACTTACGTTCGAGGCAACAATTTGACCCTGGAAGTCGTCCGGAAAGTACTGAAGATACTTGTGCATAGCGAAGTTCGCCAACAGTGTAGTTTGAGCAGTGGTGATGTCGTGAGGGTCGGCTCCACTCTTGTACTTCGATAACGTCAGTGCTCCAAAGAGAAGCTGAGCCACAGGCACCTTACCATTGGCAACGATATATGCATGTGCAAATAAACGATATGCGTTGGTTCGATCCTCGCGAGCTTGGGATACCATGGCACTGCCTAACCACGACAAGGCATTTGTGGGAGCGACACTTTGAGCTCTAGCGAAAGCCTGGTGAGCCAAATCAAAGTCGTCATACTTGAGATAAAGCGAGGCTAAATTGATCCAAATCAGAGCGTCGTGTGAGTCAAGAGTCGTTGCTTTGATGTAACAATGCTGAGCAACTTGGGGGAATTTATAAAAGTAACAGTTCCCTAAACCGACCCAGTACTGAGCATTCATGGGTTCAATCGAGATTGCCTGTTTCAAGGATGTAATTGCAGGTTCAAGATAGTCCAGATGATAAACAATCCCCTCACAATAAGCCATACCCACGTTGTATGCAGCTGCCAGTCTGAGGTACTTGTTGGCTCGAGCGCTCAAGCGCCTTTGACCTTCGACAGCAGCTAAGATAACAAGTTCAAGTATGAATTCATTCAACTGATCGGATTTAGCTTGTGCCAGGGCCCAACTAATATCACCAACTGACTCAACCCCTTCAAAAATATCTCTCAAATCCTCAATGGAGACCAGGTCACGGCGTTGAATAGTCAAATAAACTCTCAAACATTCACCTACCAGCTTCCAAAACAATTGCGAATCAGGGTTGACCCTGTGGAATTGGCGCAAATACCCCAAAGCATCATAGTTCAGTGCTAATGCACGACCAACATAACCAGCCGCCATCAACTGTTGTGTTTGACCCATGTAGGCCTCATAAACACCAGCAAGAATACATTCCTCGTCCGGCTTGGAGGACAAAGCTTTTAATAAGTGCTCCAATCCTTCTGTGAACATACCCATATCACATTTGACCCTACCATATAAGTATAGGGTATGCCAGTTGACTTCAAATTCAGTGAGACAATGGTTGAAAACCTTTGCTGAAGCTTCCAACTTCCCGCAATGGTAATAGGCTTCTCCCAATCCTTGCCAAGAGGCAGAGTCATTAGAGTAAACACGCAATGCCAGTTGAAAGTATTCGACTGCCTTAGCGTCATCCTGTCGATTGAGACTCAATACGCCCAACACTCTCCATGGCCAATCACGATCAGCATCGGTATTATTCACCAGAATCAATCGGCGTCGACCAGATTCCAGCTCAAGAACTTTGTTGCACAAAACCTCCGCTACATCCCATTCACCTTGTGCAGAAATATCAGCCACAAGATACTTTGCAGCAACAATCTCATCAGAATCAAGCTCGATAGCCTTGTAGAAGCATTTTTGAGCTCTTTCCGCATCTTGGAAAGCATTGTACAATTCGCCCAATAACGTATAAGCCGGAGCATAATTTGGGTTTTCTTTGAGCGATGCAATTGCAGCCGAATGGGCCCTAGACGTATCGTCGTCATGATAAAACAGATATGCTAAGCGCCACTGGCAGATCGCACGAAAGTTGGCCAGTGCTACGTCGGTGTCAACAACCGCAGCCAATGCTTTCTGGACACAATCTCTCCCATCAACGTGCTTTCCCAATTTGATATAACACCATCCGAGTTCACTCACAGCTTCTGTATTATCGGGGTATTGACGTGAAACTTCACTGAGTAGACTATGGGCAGCGTCATAGTCACCCTTTTCCATCAAGATAATCCCCTTGCCAACTCGCAGGTTCACATCTCCGGGATTGATTGCAAGAACGGTGTCATACAATTGCAAGGCTCGAGGGAAGTTCTTCGGCGCTTCATAGTAAGTGTACACAATAGCTAGAGTTTTCAAGAAGTCAGTTTTTGCATGCGGCAAGAAATCATCAAGGCCGTACTTTCGTTGTTGCTGTGCCAATAATTGCACCAGTTGTTGGCACCGGGCCAGAGCATTTCGGTACTCTCTGATGTGAAGATAGTAGTTACAAATCATGCGATTGGCAAAAACGCTATTCTTCGATTTGTTAAACCCCTCAATCATCATGCTAATAGTTTGATCAGGTAAAAGAAGGTTCTTATCATCATTGGATTCTTCGTCAATGAGCTCGTGTTCTTCATCATCAATACCTTCGTCCTCTTCAACCACTTTTTCTTGTGGTAAACCCATAGCTCCACCCGTTTCATTAACGATGCGAGCACGGTCGAAGTCCAGCATGTCTGAAAGAACAAATGCATACATCATTGTGGAAAGAGAATCGTTCGGAAACTGCTGGAGGTATCGAATCACGCGATCAGTGGGTATATGACGCAGTGAGAGCAGTTCAAAGTCTGCCCAATCAAAATATAATTGCCATGCAAATAACAGAGGCACATTGAGCATAACCATATCATCGACCAAATCCTTTGCTAAATTGAAGGTTTCTTTTTTGTTTGGGGTACACTGAAGTAAATCAAGCAAAAATCGAAGTTTTTCTTCTTTGTACTTCGTCCGAATTTCGTCGTCATCACTGATTTCAAGTAATTGATCATAATGATCAAGAAGTCGCAGCAGGTTGTAGATGCTGTATATTTGGGAGTCATATGACTTTCTTTGCTCTGGTGTAAGCACTTTGCCGAGTTTCACGCGCTCCTTCATCAGGACTTTGGCGACTTGTTCGTCCACAGGCTTTTTAACAAGCTTGATGAGATGTATTAAATTGTCCTGACGAGTACCGAGTGAATTACCGACGATATCCCCAAAATCAGTACCAGGTTGCGTGGCATCAACGAATTGAGTGAATACATCACGATTGGTTTTGTATCCGATAGCATCAAGGTAGTTTTTCACATCCTTGAGGGTTTCAGCTGGCAGAATACCCTGATCCTCTTGAATATGGGCCAACTGCGCTGCAACTTCAAACACTTTATCAGACTCAGGAGGATTCAACAGACGGACCACTTGAAACAAGCCTTTCCATCCGAGTAGATTATTGCCATCAAGGTTTATAGCTTTCTTGTAAGCCTTCGTGGCCTCGCGAGGTTTCTTGAGCAATTGATAAGCTTTTCCTTCGAAAATCAACGCAAAATAATTCTTCGGGTCTTCCTCTAGTACCTCTTTAACGTAATAAATGGCGGTGTCGGGATCATTATCCTCGAGCGCCTTCTTGGCGGCCTTAAGCTCTGCTTTGACCATTCCGCAGGTAAGGGTGCGACAAATTGTTTGAGTAGTGAGAATCGTAAGTGAGGATGACATCCACCTTATGAAAAGCCATGTATTGCTCGAAAAGTTTTGCTTGTCATCATAATTGCATCCCTCCATATACATTGGTAAAATCTTCTTCTACTTCGTTAGCTAAGAGAATTACTTTTGAAAGCATTGACGACGTCGAATATTCAAGAGCATTGTGATCATTATAAATCAGGAACATATGTCATTAATTGAACTTGCGGTCACAATTCAATAGAAGCATAATATATGTACGCTTGAAAAGTTTTTAACGAAAATCTCCCATGACTCTAGCTCACTCTCCAGACTGACTCTGAGTCACTTTCATCGCGGTCTCTCGACCGCACACCTCCCAACAGAAAGCAAAACCATCTTGCCAGCTATTGATCGAACCTATCGATGACACTTCCCGCCATTACGGGGCATCTCGACCATGATAAAGCATACGATGTGTTTCCAGAGAAGTTGAAACCATACCGGCCCACCATTCTTGCTTATTCGGCGTCACTTGTTCAAATGGGTGTGGGATACCCCTTGGACACTGTCAAAGTGAAGATGCAAGCGTACCGCAGTTTCACGGGCTACTCCGATTGCATAAAACAAACTTATCAAACTCAAGGTCTTGCTGGGTTCTATCGAGGGATCCTTTCTCCTTTGTTACTGACAAGTCTTGTGCGGACACTAAATGTAATGCTTTTCTCAGAAGCAAAACCTATAGTGGCTCAATACTTGAACTTTGGAAAATTCGGCAAAGATCACCCATACATTGCAAACGTCCCCGTTTGCTTCTTATCGGGGGCTTTTGCAGGTTTCAACACGACCTTTATTCTGTGCCCCTTTGAGTATATCAAAGTAGTGATGCAATTGCAAAGAGGGCTGCCTAGCAATGTGGCCATTCCTTCACTTGGACAAGTGGTCAAGCTTATTGTAAAGTATGACGGCTATTTGGGGTTATACCGTGGGTTCAAATATCATGCGCCTCGTGATGCCATTGGAAGCGGTATCTACTTTGCCACTTATGAACTGGTGAAGTCTGTATGTAACAGATTTATTAATGGCGATCCACTGAAACCATCTCCAGTGCTGATTCTCGTAGCTGGTGGTGCCCTGGGGATCATGGGATGGCTTTGTATTTATCCGATTGATACGCTCAAACTGCGATACCAAAAGGGGGTTGTTAAGAACATATTTCGAAAAGCACGCAGCGAAAAACCCATTCCTGTTGATCCCGGGAAGCTAGCGTTCAATCGAGACATGTTCAGAGGTTTGGGAATTCTGATGACTCGTACTTTTTTGGTCAATCTGATCTTTTTTAGCATGTATGAGTTCACTATGGCTCATTTCAAGTAACTCTGTGAATTAATCTTCTACCAATAAATCATCGTTACTATCCAATTTGAAGGTCCATCGTTTTTATTCCTATTGATATACATATTTAACTCTTTCTGCGTGTTCTGCGTGAACGACGGCTACCCAGTGCACTCTTCATAGATTCATGTGCCCGCTTACGTGGGTTGCGTTGCGCTTTGTCGGTAGACGGAAGATTGTCAGCTTCGGGTTCTAGTTTCAAATCAATACTATCGAGTGGCTTGTCAAGAGCACCTTCAGTTGGACTTAATGGATCCAGCTCAAACTTAACAGGCAGCTTCAGTCGAGTACGCAGCGAAGGCCCATCACTGAGTTGGCGGTCATGATGTTCAGCTGACAGAACTCGCGACAGCCGACCTCTTCTGGTCACTCGAATTTTTGGAACCTCTAGCGACTCCGTTTGGTCCTCCTTTTTATCTTCGTGCACTGAGTGACCTTGTGATGCTGCTTTGGCAACCGCTGCAAAAGCACTAAGAGGCTTTTTTGTCTTCTCTTTTTTGGAATGTGATCTTTGAGATCGACGCGGTTCGGAGCTTGTTGTGGGATTCTTTTCATCTTTGTTCAGCGGCTCCTCAATCAATGCTCCATCAATATGCCGAAGTTGTTCGACAATGGGCTCTTCGGAATAAACTTGACCAAAACGGTGTCCACTGCGAAGTAGACGTTGAGGCTCTAATTCACCTAACAGCCGTTCATCAATGTCGAGTCCAAGAACGCGAGCTTTGATATGGGGTAGGTTTTCCGGGGGAACATCGTCAAGATTCGGGTCATCCAACTCATGCTCGTGATCAGGCCCGGGAAATGTTTTCTTTGAACCAGGGCTTTTAGGGGGTTCAGGCGCCACTTCGGGATCTCCATGGTTGAATTCGTCCAGTCTCTCATCGAGTTCTCCTTTCGCCAGCTTTCCCTGAAATCCAGTTTCGCCCAGCGAAGTATCAGCCTTAAATTCACCTGGCTTTGCAAGCACATTAGATTCGGTTTCGACAGGAGGAATAGCTCTCGGCTCCTTTTCATTTTTATTGGCGTCATACTCAGCTCGAAGTTCCTCATTAAGTCGAATATTTTCATCAAGTGTACGCTCACAAGCAGCAAGAGAATACTCCAATGTACGCTGAATCTGCTGAAGATCTCTATATCTTTCATAAACAGTCTCATCAGCAGACTCGTCCTCCGTATCTTCCAAGTCATCAGAATCGTTCAATTCAAGCTCTTCTGTCAACATTTCGTCAACTTTCATATCACCAACGGCGATATCGTTCTCGTTATTATCAAGATCTTCCAATTCAACGTCGGCATTTTCCGAATCAATATCCCTAGCTGACTCCAGAATTTCATGCGATTTAAATTCAATATAACGGTTGTCAGCATTTTCATCGAACTCGTCATTTTCGTGAACCTCATCTATATCGTCAAATTCATCAAATTCATCATAGTCATCGTCGTCCTCGTCCTCATCGACAAATTCCATGGCATCGACAGTGATATTTTCAATCATTAGTTGAGCACGAGGGAAAGATTCTTCAGCAACAAATTCTTCGTCAGAGCCAGAACTGTCTTCAATGGGTTTGAGAATAGGCGGTGTAATGGCAGTGGTGTAGGGGGGCGATTCTGATCCTGCCTCATCATCGTCAAGGTCTATCTCTCTATCAACCCCGCTAGATGTGTCATTCGATGCCAAACCATGACTATTCGAAATTAGAGCAGCAGTGACTACATCAAGCAATGTTAGGTCCCCAGATGGTGAGCTACTTTCACAGTAATTGAAGTCCTCCTCATCTTCGTTATGTTCGGTTTCGTTGCCAGCCTCAAGTCGTTTATCATGTGCTTCCTCTGAGTTATCATTGATATCGGCGAATATTGTTTGCTCTTCAATCTCAAATGCGTCTATTATAGATTGCAGAGGAGATGTCGAGTTTTTGTTCTCCAGTTTGTAAACCTCATCAGTTGTAGTGGAAGGTGCAGCAATCTTAGTGACATCTCTCTCTGTGAACTCATCATTTTCAACAACATCGACGTTCTTCGACTCCTCAAATCGATCAGCATTGTCATCGATTCTCTGACGTAGGTCGCTGACGAATTCGGCGGCAGAAATCAGCTGGTCGACGGTCGAAGCGAACTCGTCCATCAAAATAGCATCATGATTTTGCATGCTCTCAGTTTTCACGACAGTGCTAGTATCTCTCTCGTCAACCATACAATCATCTTCGACACCACCGGTGATGTTATCAACAAGCAAGTCTATAACATCATCTGGTTCGAATTTATGCTCTGCACGAATGCCATGTCGCTCAGTGCCCATTACAACATCAGGTCTGATTAGGTTGGTAGTGCCGGCAGCCTCTGGAGCAGAGGTCTTTGAAAGCCGCGACTGCTCTGTACTTTCATTGTCGACGTTGAATTTACCCGTTGTGACGTTTTCGTTTGGTGCATCATCACCGTTAGCAACGCTTTTATTTACATCATCACCATCATTGTCAACGAAAGCATCATTATCAATTACGCTTTCAGAAATGTGGCCACGCTCAGAAAAAGAATAATCGGCTTCGTTAACATCGTCTTCACTAGACTGCAAAGGCTTGGTGTTAGCTTCATCTATCGCTTCCCTTAATAATGTCGCCGCGGATGTGGTGAGAGAAACGTCTTCGTTGTCTTCGCCATCTCCCCCAAGCTTGGAACGGTAAGAGTCTTGACTTTGACACGACTCTTGATCATTCGCATCTTCTGTTTGTTTGAGATGTTCAAGATTTGCATTGTTGTTTGCCTCCGGTAATTGAAGTATGGTGAATTCAGCGTCACTCGTAGATTCATCCAGACCTTCGATGTTGTCCAATATCGGTACTTTGATATCGTTAGCTTTAAGCTTGGGTTCGCTCGAATTAAGCACATCCAAATCAGACTCGGAGTCTTCAAGATAGAATACTTCGGGCAAATCAGCAATGAATACATCTTTGCCTTCATCATCAGCTATTGGGTTATTCGCAATGCTGTCAACACTTGGTGAAAACTTTGAGGGGATACCTGTCGCTACAGCTTTGACATGATTAACTTCATCAACAACATCCTCAGCGACATTCACGGCATCTCTTGATCCAATTACCTCGTCAACCTCAACTTCTTGGACTGCACCAATTGCACTCTCAACAGTTTGAATAAATTCGCTGACTGCTTTTGCTGGGTCGTTCACTTCAATTTTATTGGCCTCTTGTACGACTTCCTCGATAGACTGTAAAATTTCACCGGTAGTCGTAGCAACATCGTCGACTTCCACTTGTTCGACTTCCTCAACGATCTTCCCAGCAGCCTGCAACGAATCTCCTACATTTTGAATCATGTCCCCAGCCGCATCAACGACTGCTTCGGATATATCGTCAACTGTAGCATCGATCAGGTTTCCACTAAATCGAGCCTCGTCAAAAGCCTTTTTGAAAAGTTTTCGAGGAACATCAACAATCGAGCTGTAAATTTTGGTCCATGCTCGCTTACGAGACGGCTCCGACTTGATCTCGCTAACTTCCACACTATGATCAATGTTGATATTATCATTTGCAAACTCCTCCTCATCAAGTTCAACAACCAGTGTGGGCGCAATTGCATCAAACTGAGAAGCCAATTCCTGATTCTCATCCAATATCACTAAAACCTCAGCAGCTTCGTCCACTTCAAGTATATCCAGAGGAATGAGGGGTGATTGGACTCCACTTGTAGCTTCAGTTATATCCTCAATCAAGTCAGATCTTTCTGTGAATGTCAAATCTTCAGCTTCTTCTATAATCAGTGGCGACACCGTGGTTTTCAGTTGCACGGTTGTGTCGTGTGCGTACTCAATTAAAACTTCATCATCTCTTTCAATAGGCTCAAGAATAGCAGGTACCTGATCGATGGTGTTGATATCATCGGCTTCTTCTGGTTCAACTGCTTTTATACTCTCAGCTTCATCAATGTCTTCATCATTGTTCATGTCTTCATCTGAATATTCGTCCTCATCTTCATCTTTATCTGGAATGGGCTCCAAAATTGGTTTACGTATTTCTCCAAACTCTTGTTCTAAGCGACCCAAAATGTCACACGTTATATCTTCCAGCCCCATACTTTCTAAGTCGTTACAAGCACGTTCGGTTGCAGACTTCATCGCTGCCAGATCTGTGGAGTCAACACCAAGCTCCTCTTCAAGCTGTCGCAAAACCTTGAGTGTGATGTTAGAGGACGCTTGAGCATGTCGAAGTTTCCGAAGAGTTTCAATAGGTTCCTCTTTCACAGTACGAAATATTGGTTTGGGATGATCAACTTCAGGGTTGGTGATAGGATGCACAAAAATTGAAGGAGGGGTAGGCGGTAAGTAAGAGAAACTCAGTCGAGTAGATTTAGGTTCATTCACAGGTTGCGGCTCATGAGAAGCTTCTAGTTCAGTTTCGCTGAGTACGACATTTAGGCCGTCGGCCTCAACCAGCTTCAGTTCCTTCTTGAGCCACTCACTGAGTCCCTCGCGTTCTTCATCAGCTAACGAACCCTCGGTTTGGTTGTCTTCGATAACCGGTTGTGACTTGAGGGTAATTGGCAGGCCTTGACCATTCCCATTAGTAAGAAGGACGGGTACCTCCACACCTTCAGCTAATGCAACTGGAGGCTCTTCGAGTCCGTCAAAGGCACCGTCTGTGCCGCCATTGTCTGTGGCTGTAAGTTCAACATCAGCGGCGTAGTCAGAGTTGCGTAACGGGGCCTTGTTATTTTGCGACGCATCAATTGCGGCGTTTGCTAGCCACGCCAACGACGCAGCTGCTACTGAATTATTCTCCTCCGCATCATATGATTCCAGCTCAACGATAAGAGGCTCGTCCGCAAATGATGGTGAGCCTTCTTTCTCGGTAGCAGTCGACTCAAGTTGTTCAGCAGACGTCGGATGCACGGGCAGAGATTGCTCGGACAAGTCCTCCGAATTCTCGTCATCCTCAACACTCGTAACTGCATCATGAATTCCTTCGTCATCGTTAGCAAATTCGTCATGCTCAGCAAATTCATCATGCTCAGCAAATTCATCATCCTCAACAACATCATCCTCAACAACATCATCCTCAACAACATCATCCTCAACAACATCATCCTCAATTAAACCGTGATCTATGGATTCATCCTGCTCAAAACCTTCTTCCTCTTCAAGATCTTCATCCTCCTCGAAATCGATATTGTTAAGAAATTCACCGTTGTGTATGGCGTCGTTATCAGTCATGGTTTCAACATCATTAGTAGTTTGATCATTGGCGATCTGTCCCATTAAGGCATTCACCAATTGCGCCTCAAGATCTTGAGCAGTGTCGTAATCTGCAGCACTGTCATGCATTTCGAACTGGTCGAGATCATCGACATCGTCAAACTCATTTTCAACGTCATAGAAATCATCTAAGTCGGCTTCAACAGTTAGATCTTCTTCCCCATTCTCCTCTGCACTATGATCATCATCATTTTCGGTGTCGTTCCCAGATATTACTTCGACGATTTCAACTTCCAGATCTTCTTGCTCTTTCTGGTCGGCTGGTAGATCGGCTTCTTCTGAAAGTGAATGACTGTCGTGAACATCATGAATTGTCGACTCGAGATCCAGCTCTGCGTCATCGACATCAAGTTCTTCTTCAACGGGTTCTTTCGGACTCTCAAACAATTCGGACCCATCCTCGTCAAACAGACCGTCCGACAAGCCGTTTGCTAAAACTTGTCCAAGCTTTGTAAACTCATCATCAACAATCTGCTTTCGTAGCTTGGTCTTGAAGTTCAGTATATCGCGGTCCTGATCTAACGCCCGCGTTTTGGCCAAATGCAGTTGCTGGAGCTTGCGGTGATGGGATCCCACCTGGTCAATCCAGTCCAAAAGACCATCAAGGTCGTCCATTTCGGTAGTCAATTGGCTCTGTTGCTGACTGCAATTCGTGCTGTGATCACCGCGCGAAAATAGTGAATGGAGGTCATCAGCTAATGCGCAACCTTTTGGTAGACGTATGTGTTAAAGTCTATATAGCTGAAGCCTGAGTTTCATAGGGGTATACGGAATAGCAAATCACGTCACTTGACGCGGTTGCATCACCAAAAGTCTTGGAAAGCATGACGGCTGCAATTGCTTCACTCCCGTGACGATGAGATCTACGCAATTGCGCCGCTATTAGCTAGGCACAACCATCTATTCGTGGACTTATAAGCATATCGATGGTGCATCAAGTATGTTTTGAGTTATTCAACTGTGCCAGTTTTTCGATACCACATGTAAATGTAGCACATCTCCTGTATCGGGTCATTTAGTGAGGTGCGTAGAGAAGCTTAAACTCGCGCCGCGTAATCTATCACAGCCAGACACCATGCTAAAAATCCGCCAACTTCAAAAACAACGGCAGGAGCAAGCTGCTCTGGGGGCGCTGGACGCTGCTACCAAAGTCCCAGCTGCTCAACTTCGTTTACAGAAGGACATTACCGAGCTTGATCTCCCACCATCGATTGCCACCGAGTTTGCTGATCCGCTGGACTTATTCCACTTCAAACTTCATCTTAAGCCCCAACAAGGGTACTACGTTGGCGGTACCTTCGACTTTAGCGTTGAAATCTCACAAAACTTTCCCATTGAAGCTCCCAAGATCAAGTGCTTGAATCGCATATATCATCCCAACATTGACATCGATGGTAACGTATGCCTCAACATTCTACGTAATGAATGGCTGCCGGCACTCAATCTTAACTCAGTCATTATAGGTTTGAACTTTTTATTCTCCGAACCGAACCCTAATGACCCTCTCAACAAGGATGCTGCCAACGTGTTGGTGAGATCGCAAAAACGTTTTGCTGAGAACGTGTTGTATTCTATGCGTGGTGGAAGTGTTGATAAGATTTACTATGACAATGTTATACACTGAACCATATCCTTAGAGGTGATTGGAATCATCAATGATCATATCAATATCTGTGACGTACATTCTATGTAATGCGTTTGTTGAATAAACATGCCGGCATTGCAGACATCGAACAGAAATTATACCAATCCTCCAGGGATAAGATATTACTTCCATAAGTATACTAGATTGTCCAGTCCAGCCAGAACGAGTAATTTTCTCAACTTCTCCTCAATATGCGATAAAATATTTGCCTCTGTAATATTTTCAGCCTCAACCTGCTCCAATTCAACATCAACTCGTGCAAAATCAACTGAATTCACAAAATTTTCGTGGCCGATCAAGGTTCGAACACAATTTATCTTACCGTCTGACTTTAGACCCGCTAAGTCCCAGATTTTAATCAGTTTATCGTCGGACCCACTAAAAAAAAACCGACCCAGTGGGTGAATGCTCAAGCATTTTACCCACAGAGAATGCTCGTTCAATTCGGCGATCAACCAAGCTCGTGAATTGTTCATCCTTGACTTCTTGAGAGAACCGTCAGGTACAATTTCAGGCGGAGGTAGAAGCCAGAGTTTTATTGAGTTGTCCCGTCCCCCTGAGATGCAATATTTATAACCGAGCTCCTCGCAAAAGACGGCTGAAGAAATCAACTCGGTCGGTAAGTCGGGAAACAAATTGATGTTGTCCTCGAGAAATTTGTCAATATACGAATTCGAAAGCTTTGGAAGAAACTTTACAGTTTCAACGACGTGATTATGACCGAGAGCTTGAGCTACGGCCGTTGCCAGCTTTGCGTGTGTCAAACGGACCAGTCCATCATTGGACGATGTCAATATGAAATCACCAAATTTCAGAGAAGGTCCCAGACCTAATGGGCTCTGCCAGTTTTCATCCGCTGAAGCGACGTCAATAGCTCGAACCCAATCCAGATGACCCGTAATCTCTCGATGTGTTCCATTTACCACATCCCAAATTCTAATGGTATTATCTTTCAGGACCAGATACAATGTTTCTGGTCGCAGTTTCAGCCAGGCTACCAGCAGAACTATATGTTTATGGCCTTCAAGTGAACGAAGTTCTGTGAAAGTGTCCCCATCCCAAATCTTGATAAGGAGGTCGGAGCTGCACAGTGCTATCACTGACGTTTTAGGTTTTTTAAAAAACTGTATTGGTGTCCTTGACCACATCAAGCAATTGATTGCAGTTGTGTGAGCTTTGATGATTTTGTGGGGCACATTCGATTCATCATCGACCAAATTCCAGACAATCAAGGTACCATCTGCGCAGCCAGCACTAATCTGGGCTCGATAGGGATGGATGACTACCAGATTCACCACTTGAGCATTGACGGTATCAAACTTTTTCGATCTGATTTGAGGGAGCCAGTTAATTTTATCTTTCAGCATCTCCAATTGATCAGGCAGAGTTTGGCTTAGCACCACCTTCCTAAGTTGCTCATTCTCCGTTCTGAGCTTCAAATTTTCATGCTGTAATCTTCCCACCGTGCCCCATTTTTTTTCTAGGAAGTTTTGGATAATAGGGTCGTCATTCAAAGGCGTGAGCGCTGATCTGATTTGTTCAAATTGAGATGCCGTAATGAATGGCTCAATGTACTGTAGCACAGCTTTATTAAGCTCGGTCTTCTGGCGGTCAGATAGAATCGCTGCTCGACTCATACCGTCAATTGATGTGTCGTTTGTTTACAATGCGGGGACGGGCTCAGCACCATCATACTGCTGCGAAAGATGGGAAATGCCATCAAAATTCAGGTGATGCCTCCATTATACAAGTGAAAAATGCAAATTGATATTAAACGTCTTCATTCGAGTTACACATGACAATAACATGTGCTAATTCCTTTTGTTATCAGGACCTACTGGAACGCAATGTCGACTACGTTTTATAAGATAGGGGAGCACTACCATCCCACGTCTCCAAAGTACATCACGGTAACCATAGCAGCTTTTCATTATGCCTGGGCTTTCTAACTATCAAGAGTGATGTAGGATTTCGCTTCAATACGCTGTATAGTTTTTGTTGTGGTTTACGAGAAATCAAGTTCTTTTAAGGGCAGCGAATCTGGCTTTCAAAGCATCAAAATCGTTAGACGGCTGAGGAACCAGACCCTCAGTAGCAGCAATTGGGATCTCATTTGACCCACCATTGTCTCCATCTTCATCGGCACCGTTATCGCTAGCATCCACAGATTCCTCCTTGGGGAGATTTGAATAAGGGGCATTGTAAGCCCTAGCAATCTCGCAAAGGTACAATGTCACCAATTCCTCTTTGGGTACAGGAACGTTGCAACGATTGACGACTTTCTCAGGTACGATGTTGTCAACATTATCTAGAGCATGTTTGCCAAAGTCAACACCGTACTTAGCAATTAACTGATCTCGTATCTGAGTGACTTCCTTGAGTTCTGAATGAGAAGCCAGGTAAATCACCAGCGCCACTGCTTCCTTGATGTTCGAATCACATTCGGTCAATTCGGGATCCACAATTAAGGAAATTCGTGCCAACAACAATTCGCAATATAACTCAATGTACTCCAAAAGCTCGATGTATATGTCCTCTCGAATGATGTTTTCCACGCGGATGGTGGCACTCTGTTCCTTGCCCTGGTTCAACAAATCTGCCAACTGCCGGCGTTGTTGCTTGGCAAGTGCCAGCTTCTTCTCTTGAACAAATTGAGCTCGCAGGATTGCCATCTTTAACAGGGTCTTCAACCGTGACGGGTTGAATGGCGGCAACGGTTGCTTAGCGGACATGTTTGGGGACTGGTGGTCGGTAGTCGCACTAGCTCGATATCGCCACTTACGTCACATCAAATCGGTTGGTTCAAACATCAAGTGGAGATCTCTCACTCGTGTGTTGCCCATCTTCTTTAAGTTGTGGTGGTGCTCATTGACGCAAGTTTTTTGATAAGCTATTGCATTCTTGGTTCATGAAATTAGATTTTAACTGGAACTCGTGTTCTGGGTCTGGCCTCATGTCTGCATTTCCGTAAAATTATGTGGCGTCAAGTCCTATTTGCTTCGATCGTTTGACTTAAACGTCTTCCTACATCCTTCTTCCACCCATCAGCGCTTATAGAGAAGGTGGAGACTATAATAGACAGACTCTGTGTCGCGATTGCGCCTATGCTTTATTGGCAAATGTGAATTTCACTCTCAAAACACGTCTCGCCCCGTTTCCAGTGTGTCGCTAGTATCTTAACCACGTAGATATCTATTGTTGACGTATTCGTCGCAGTGGCCTTCACCTGATAAAATATTAGGGAGTTGGTGACTCGTCAAACATGCACTACGGCTTGACCTCCCCATTACAACCCAAAAATATTGAAGGTTTTTAAGGGGATCCACTCAAATTCAGGGAGTGGTTGCCGGGTCGCTGGTTCGTATGATCACCGTCGTCACCAAACCTACTCTCTTGTATGGGGTGCGGGGTTATCGGTGATTTTCGATCACAAAGCAAGTATTAGGTCAATATCTTAACCAAAGGCAAAACAACCAGAATTCGTGATCAGAAACACTCTTAGCAGCAAGCCACTCGTATCAGAGCTAGTTTGGGCTGCGGTAGTTATGGTTACAAAACTGACCTGATCGGAAATGCTACGGAATCGCTAGTTAATGTGTAGATTGTTGTGAGCTCCTGGCTCTAATAATAGTACAAATAAGTTGTTTTCGTTTGTAGAGATTCTAGTGCATCAACTCGACTAAAGCCATGGCCGCCAGCTTCTCGTCGTCGTTTAAATCATCGACTTTAGCCGTAGCCACCCGCAGCGGCCGACGCCCCAGGATCAGGTGGCGCTTCTTCTTCGTGACGCGGCCGCTGGTAGTTTGTCTCAACGTTTCCGCACCAATCGTTGCCCAATCTTCTTCGTCGGTGTCCAGACCAGGCTCGACCAGGCCCAGCATCGCTACCAGTAGGTGAGGCAACGGTTGGTTTGTTTGAGGAGTACCAATGGGTGCTAACTGCACCGGGTGGCTCTTGGGCACCAGGCCCAATGTCAGCCGCACATGCGACTCGTTGAACAGTGACTTTCGGCGGGAGCGTCCTAGGGCGGGTTCGGGAGCGGGGCTGGCTCCAGCACTAGCAGTGTAGTTACCATAAGGCAGACCTTGTGCCAGCCACGCTGGCGGCGAACCATAAGGGAGCAGTGCTGTCAGCAGAGTGACCAGAATCGTCAGCAGCTGAGCCAGCAGCGCCACGTAGTTTTCAAGGGCATCCATCGAGTTGAGCCGCAGGCGGTTAGTTAACAAATGCTGACGCAACGGAGCAAGTTGAGGCCGCAGCATCGCCAGGGAGTGAGACCACCGCCGGTACCCCATTTGATCCATTGGAGGCAGAACCACCTTGATGGGAACACGGTTGGCGAATTTCACAGGTACATCCAGATCAAATGGAAATACCTCTTCGTCTTCCGATTCTTCCAGCAGTTCCAGATCACTAGCAATGGCCACTTCGGTACGAGCGGTTTTTGAGCGCGTCATCATTGGGTGGGCAGCGCCGTCATCACCAGGGATGCGCTCACCGGGCACAGTGGTGTTGTGGAGGTTGCGCAGTGCCACCGTGATCAGAGTTCGGCGAGGGTTCTTCGCTTCTCGCTTAGTAGTTCCGACTTTCTTTTTCGTCCAACCAAGCTTTTGATTGCGCAAGTCGGCAACGTTGACCTTAGCTGGGGGGGCCAACGGATTTTCGCTATTCTCTTGGGGCTCCGTGCCTTCGCTAACAATAAAGTCCAGATCAGCTTTGCGTACGGCCCACTGGCCCCAACCGATCTTCTCGAACACAACGTTATTGACGGGGTCTTCTTGCTCCATTGCCGCCATGATCAAACGACGCTGCTTCGAAAGGGATAACATGTCAAAGCAGGGCACTTCAACTGCCAACAGCGCCGTGATGTGGCGAATAGGGAGGGGGCCCTTCCGAATGAGCAAGTTAGCAAGACGCGTGGGTGTGATTTGCAGCGCCACATGAATGCCTTCTGGCGAGGATGTACTTAAAAGTTTGCGAGGGGGCAGACTCATTGGTCTTGGAATTGTTTGGTATATTTTCTCTTTGTCGGTGGAGGGTGAATCAATTGCGGCTAGCCAGAGTGGAATAGCCGAGTGATAATTCCGAGGATAACAACGTGGTCAGACGGGACACGTCGGGGGTGTTATAGGAATTGGGTTTGGGTAAACGGTTCCAGCAGTCGAGGTCTGATTGAACTTTGTGGACAAGTGGTGAGTGGTTGCGGATGACAAATTGTCGGTGAAATTTCACTTTTATATTTTAAAGACAGGAGGGGGAGGGTGGTGCTGCAGTTTATGCAGTAGTGACCTTTTGCCCCGGTGGGACCCGTTTGTGTGCAGAACAGTCACATGAATGACACCTCGTTCAAATTGGCCACGATGAAGTAAAAATAAAATTGCCGATAAATGCGGTCGAATTGGCAACTCCTGTGCTCGGGGGGCCAAATTCGGACTCGCGCCAGTGTCAACTGCTATCACCCAAATCTCTAGCACAAGCAATGGACTCTCGGGAATTAACCCGCCGTGAGCCCTCGGCCAACCGTTGGTTGCTCGACGGATAAACCATGTTTACTTGCTGCGTATTTTTCACCACTGACGTCTCCACACTTTGTTTCCTGTTCGGGCTCGGTGACGCAAGTGACTCCACCCCACTCCGAATACGCGGGTCAGAACTACACAGTTTTAGAGTGGGGTTCCAGCCAGTGTTGATTGGATATTCTCCTCAGTATGCACGCGCCCTCGGGTTTAACGTCGCCCACTTCCCCTCCATGTGGGTGACGCGCTATTGAGGTGGCAACGAGATCGCACCCGAACTAGGCGGAATGCGCCGGGGGTGTGTAACCACGTCAGGGTCTATGCGCGACGGGGCTCAACTGGCAACGCCACGGTTGGCGGCGCTGTTGATTATAGGCAGTAAAATCATGACTCACCTCAGTAGCCTGCCCAAAAATTCTCCTACCCGCCGTGGGGGCTCCGTAAATCTTCCCCTGAAGCCGCTTTCCCCTATATTACCCCCACCTCGTCATGTGGTGGCGCGGAGGCAATTACTAGCGATCTCGCTCCGCGGCTACCTTGAGGCCCTATCTGATCGTCTACGCAACCATCTATTAGATAAGAGGCGGCCAAGGTAATTCACCCTAACTTCACACAATGTGAAGGATACTTGCAATCTAACGGTCAGCGCGTTATTTCGAAACTTTTCAGCGTGCTCGGGGCATGTGTTGCTTGCCCCCCTCGCCACATGACTCAGTTGTATTAGGTAATAGCTACGCGGTGACCGATTAGGCTCCGCCTATCTCAATTGGAAATTGCTTTATCGGTGATCGCCTGTGTCCAACAATAGCTACAGTAGCACCGCCTCCAGAATAAACACCTCCTTTGATTTAGCTATTTTATGACTCATCACAGAGTGTGGCTTTTATTAGCCGTGTGTAATCGGATTTGGCATTGTTAGCCACACTGGATAAAACAATGCGTGTAAGTCTCGGGTCGAGAATTGTAATATTGTGATAATTTTTATACTGCATCGATGGTAGGTTCACTACATCGCTGCAAAAGGTCTAACAATTCATTTCTATAGTAGTAAAAGCTACCTAGTACACCTCCAAGATGTATCTGCCTTCTTCCTTCATGTCTTCTACCACCTTGGCAACATCCTTAATTTCCTTGCCTTCACGCTTGGCACCATTTCTAACAATATCTTCGAGACAGGCGGTGATATCGGGCACGGGCCAGGTAGGACCACACAAGTAGAAAGAACCATTTTTGGCGACAATGGCGTCGGTCAAATCCTCAATAGTGTCACGGATCTTGTCTTGAATATAGATCTTTTGCGGTTGATCACGAGAGAACGCCGCCCCGATGTGAGTCAAAAGACCAGCATCCTTATAGGCTTCCCATAATTCACCATACAAGTATTCCTCCTTCTTGTGACGCGAACCCATGTAGAGGTAAATTTCACCAATTTCGTGACCTTGTTGTTGTTGCCAAACCTTTTCTTCGATGAACGCCTTGAACGGAGCCAAACCAGTACCCAAACCCGACATGACAATCGGTTGGGTGGTGAGAGGAGGCAACTTCATCACCGAAGGCTTCACCAGCACAACCACTTCCGAACCAACGGCAAGGTCCAGCAAGTACTTAGAACATTGACCCCAGCGGTTTCTGCCCTTAGGATCAACCCAGTCAACAACTACAATCAACAAGTGCACGGCATTAGGGTGAATCTTTTGCGACAGAGCAATAGAATATTCTCTCCGCTTCAAAGGAGCGATGATCTTCACCAAGTCAGCAAACAGAGGCCGCGCGGAGTCGAACTCTTCAAGCAAGTCCCAGTAAGTAACAAAGTCAACGTCGGCCCGCTTCTTGAGCTCAGCCGCACCTTCAGCCGAGGCAAGCTTTTCAAGATGAGCTTGCTGCTTTTGGTTGGTAGCGAAAGGAGCCAACAGTTCGTAAAACCGCTTAGGCGGTTTACCCAAAAAGTCGACGTTTTCAGTGAGCGCTTGACGAGCCGACCGCACTTCCACAAGCAGAGGGTCGTCACGATGAGTCACTTCAACCACCGAGTTGGGGTCAACGCCGTAGAATTCGAGGAACTTTTCAACTTCATCGGCAGGGTTGCGACCGTGAACACCAAGAGCCTCACCAATTTCGTACTTGAGGTCGGTACCGGTGGTGTCAAATTCGATATGGAAAATGTTACGCGAGTACTCGTTGGGAGTGAGTCTGCGATTTTCTTGGACCTTGACGACAAAGTTCTTCACAGGCAAGTCAGGGCGCAACTCTTGCTTAGCATCATAAGCTTCCGAGAACACAAGACGCTTAGCAGCCGCCAGCGCCGAAGAAGTGAACACTTCTTCGCCTTCGGTTTCCGGAGCGTCACGAGGATTAGAGAACAACGAAGTTTCCGTGGGGAAGAACGGAAGTTCGGGAGTGATGGCTTCTTCACCAGCTTCCTCTTCCGGCAGTTCCCCTTCCTTCTTTTCCTCTTCCTCTACCTTGGGTTCTTCCTCTTGGAACCATTCAGGCAGCAGAGGCACGTCGATCAAGGCGTTAATTTCGTCGACTCTAGAGATGAACTTGTCCAACACTACTGCTAACAATTCAAATCCTTTGCCGTTGGCTTGCAACAACTTGTTGACAATGAACCCGTTCAATTCGGGCAACGCAGCCCGCCAGAACGCCAATTGGACCAAGAAGTCGGCCGACGAACCCTTAGTGGAGTCATCGAGCTTGTCAAGCTCCTCGACTTGAGTGAAGTCAACCGCCACCAACTTGTTGTGGTTGGCCACCACCGCCTTCTTGAAGTCAGCAGGCAACTTTTCCACCCAGGCGGTAACTTCGGTCTTCTTGTTGATACCAACAATGATGGTGGCACCAGGCTTAGCAGTAGCAATAACGTCGTAGCTCAGCAACACCAGAGCATCGTCGACAAGGACGACGTCAGCTGCGTCCACCAGCACGGGGACGGCACCCACCGGTTGCGACGAAAGTTGACCTTGGAAAGAACCACCAGCAACGCCGTTGTCGAACGTTGTACGCAACAGCACTTGCTTCGAAGAGTCAAGCTGCAACGAGAGGCCGAGACGGTCGGCAGTCTGCACAAGCAACCCACGGTCGCTACCCCACAACACGTAGTTACCGACGGGAGAAGTGTTGGCGGTGATCTCTTGGTCGACGGCGGCGGGGACCACCAGGGGCAACACCAGTTCCGGCGACACTTGAAGCGCAGCTTCAAGGGTCTTAGCCACGGTCACGGGAGTCCACACTTGCGATTGAGGGTAGACGAAATCCGAAATCACCACGCCGTGGTAACGACCAGTCAAAAAGAGCGATTGCGTGACGTCGGCCTTGAGGGCGGAGCCGGGAGGCAGCAACACCACCACCTTCTTCGCCAGTTTGGGGAGAGCATCGGCAAATTGTTGTTGAAGGAAGGGTAAAGGAACACGCACCTTGATCACACCAATCAGTTCGTGAGTGGCGAGAACCCCGGCCACTTGAGTCGATTCATGGGATCCGTACACCACCACCACAGACGACGGGGCTGTGGGACCAGAGTACTCAAACGGAGTGTAGTTGGTGTGTGCCAACTTGTTCAAGTGAGCGATACCTTGTACCACGGCATCGTCGCCTTGCAACAGGCCGCCGAGAGTCAACAAGTCTTGGTACAACAGCGCCAATTCAGGAACGGCCAAGATCTTCTCAAACTTGGTGTTGCTCTTGACAAAGTTAGGACCGTCAAACAAGTGGACCGAAGGTCTACCGGTAGCGGCAGCGAGGAAGTGGTTGAACACCGTCAAGTGTTGAATTTCTTGGGCCAGGTGAGCGTTGACAGGCGTGACAACGGGGTACCCAAGCGCCCGAGCAGCGGCGAGAGGAGCCACGTAGTTCAGCACAAGTGCACCCAGCTCAGCATCGACGTCCAAAGCTGAAACTTGAAGCGCCAAGGGGAGGGCAGTGCCGCTGGCTTGTTGGAGAGCCGGTTGCATGTACGTCAACGCCAGCCCAGCCGCCACCGCCAGCACCGGTTGGCCGTGGGTGCCACGCTTAGCGAAGTAACCCAAGATCGCGTTCAGAGCCCCCAGTCTCACCTGAAGTTGGTGGTAGAAGGGGACCACTCCAAACGAGTTGGCCCGGGCAAACTGTTGCGACCACGCGTTGATGTGAGCGTCAACAGCGTTAGGGTGAGCAGGAGTCGCGTAGGAGAAGATCTTCAGCGCCACAGCATAGATGGCCTGGTTGATCAACGTGTTGGGCGTAGTGTAGGCATCGCCCTTCACAGCCAAAGGGTCGGTGATAGCACCGAACGGCGACTGGGACACCACAAAAGCAGTGGCCGTATTGTGCACCTGGATCAGGCTCGCCTTGGACGCGGCAGGATTGTCGCCAGCAGCGTGAGGAGCCATTTTGCGAGGGAGGTCGTCCACATGCTGATCATAGCCTATTTATTGGGGTGGTGCTGATGTCACGTGCAGTGATGCTATGGTTATATGCACGATTTTTCACCAGAACCCGGGGTTTGCCTAAGGATGGTTGGAGGTATATCGTTGACAGCATCTAATTCAGTAACCTATTTGTGTCTCTGGACAATTTTGTTAATGTTAAGTGTATTTAACTCAAAGCCCGAAAAAGTTTGGTGTGGCGGTACCATTACGCGTGCGGTTGCGAAATAACTGCAACTACCCCGGACACTACCGAGCCCTACAGATATCTGATATTGCACTGCGAAGTAAGGTCAATGATAGTTACTTAGTCTATGTTGTTTACTTTGTATTTACACGGATGTGGCCGGATAATTAACGAGGCTAAACTAAAGACAATAGGGCAACGGTCGCAATCCCAGGGTTCAAGTCACCATTTGTTTTTCAATACAAAATTTTCTTTTTAAAAAAGCATTGTTTCAAATCTATCGGCATTAAACGTTTTACAGTGAAGCTTGATCACAATGAAAATTGGATCACTCTCAGTTGCCTCAGTTTTAAATTAAGCTTTTAATATGAGTACACCAATGCTATCTATGTATGATTTGCGTTTAAGCTTTGAAACCCCGTTCAGTTGATGGCAGCATCAACTTGCTTGATCATCAGCACTAACTTTTCTTCCATTAACCGGGGGCATACAAGTTGCACACACCCGCCATCGTGGGGCACAACGGCAGCAGCAAAGTCAACTTCATTCCAAGTGATCGAGTAAGGCGACTCTTGGTGCAAGAACTCGTCGTGCTTCCACTTCTTTTGCCTGGTAAGAGGCATCAACAACATGTCGATTTGTTGTTCTTGGAAGTAGTCTTGCCATTGCAGGTACAAAATCACCAATTCTTTCTTGAGTCTGACAATCTCTTCAATAGGAGTGAAAGGGGGGTCCAAGTTCATGTAGCCCAACGAAGGGATAATAGGTTCACCGCTCGCTTTGATCTTATCAAGAGCAGTAATAACACCCTTGACCTTAATTTCAAAAAACTCGGTACCAAAGTCCCACTTGCCAGCAAACGAAGGGTGGTTGGTAGCAGTCTTCACGTTGTGGCCGGCAGCTTGCAACTTGTTAGCGGCAGATTGGACCATGTCTTGAACATCTTGGTCTACAGCGAGATCCTTAGAGTCTCCTTCTTCCTTGAGAATGACACCAATGTTCAACTTTTCGGGGACTTCCACCTTTTGGTAGCCGAAAGGCAACACCACGGGGTCGTAAACCCAAGGTTTTGCGTCTAACACAGTCTTCATGAAAAATTCGATGTCATTGGCCGATCTGGCAAGAGGACCAGCGACAGGCTTGAAACCCATGAAGTTGGGGTTACCACCAGCTTTTTGGTTTTTGTAGGGTAATCTGTCGGATGAAGGCTTGAACCCAAAGAGTTCTTGGTTGGCGGCAGGGAATCGAATAGAGCCAGCAATGTCGGTACCTACACCAATCATAGCACCCTTAAAGGCGACGATAGCACCTTCACCACCAGAAGAACCACCCGAGGACCAGTCCGTACCCAACGGATTGAGAGTCTTTCCATTGACGTTGTTTTCGGAGTCACTCGACATCATCGACATGGGGACATTAGACTTGACATAAATAATGGCACCTTGATCCAACAAAAGGTCGACCCAAGCCGACTGAACCAATTCGTCCTTGTTCCCAACGTGACAGACCATCCCGACGACGGAATCGTAGCCCTTAACATTGAAACAGTCCTTCACTGAGATGGGCAACCCATGGAAGGGCCCCTTAGGCTTGCCGTGTTGTTGGAAGTAGGCATCCAATTCCTTGGCAGTCTTTTCACCGAATTCGAACATAATTTCGGTGCAACAGTTAAGCAATTGAGCGGCGATGGCGACTCTGTGGGCGAAGGCACGGTACACTTGAAGCGAGGTGTATTGGCCGGCATGAATCTTTGACAAAAGCTGTTGAGAGTCGTCGTGTTCGGTAATTTCAAGCTCTTCGGCAGTTAAGTATTGCTTGGGGACATCCATCACCAGTTGATGCTTGGTGGGATCGTTGTATTTTTCAATGACATCGTTAGAGAGTCTCCATTCTTCAGGAATCTCAGCAAGCACCAGTGCTCTCTTAGCATCAGCGACAGTTTTCCATTCAGGGGTGTTGATAGAAGGCAGCATGTTTAAGTAGAAGGTGGTACCTGTCAGGCATTATATATTCCCAACCTCGACGGGATCATTTACCCAATGAGTGGGTTAATCCCGAAATGTGGAGTAATTCCGTGCGAGCGGAATGAGTTCCGCGATGAGATTCCGTACGGAGTCAACGGACTACCAATCCACCAACGGTACATCTTCCACCATGCTGAAGACCCATTCGTATTTAAATCAAGTCTGGCTTCGAGGTGTCTATCAAATGCAATGTCGTAGTTAGGTAAAATCATCGGAGTCTAACGATTCGTGGTCACACGTTGATGATCTATTTTGAGATGTGAGCCTAATCATCTGATCTATTGAAATATAGTTATCACCAGAGACGTTGTGTTATTGCAGATTTCTACGTGGAATTGACGATTACTTGGCTTTGATGTACTGCTGTTTATAAAAGCCGTCTCCTGACGAACTGCTTATTAACGCAAATAAGCCCGCGAGCGGATGTTAATACCCCATACCTGCACAAAGCTGCGGGGGATCTAAACGCTCTCCACATCATGTCACCGACGAGTAGATGTTTCGAGCGACCTGGGCGAAGCAATTGCGTCGGTTTGCCACGAAAGCACCGCAATCGACCCCGAAGACCTCTTGGATTGGCTATGCCTTAACCGCGGCTATCTTTACTGGGGTCGGGGCTTACGCTCATACATACAAAAGTACACCTCAACCGATCGTCAACGGAAAAGAGGACAAGCTGAGCTTTGATGTCAATGACTTGACTTCGCCTGTGTATGCCAATGCTGCTGATTTTGAAACAGCAGTGGCGCAGATGGCTGCCATTGTTGGTAAGGATAATGTGAGTCGCAGCGAAGCAGAGCTTGTTGCCCACAATGATCTGTTCTTCGCTACCCATCATCCTCCTGATCCATCGAAGCAAAAACCCCTGGTTGTCATTTATCCATCATCGACTGAAGAAGTCTCAGAGCTTTTGAAGATTGCCTTCAAGTACCGAGTTCCTGTAGTTGCATCTCTGGGTCTTACTCTGTTGGAGGGTCAAATGATGCACACTAGAGGTCCTCACTCGGTAGCAATCCTGTTCACAAAGAATATGGCGGACATTATAGCTTTTCACCCAGAAGATTTGGATGTAGTGGTACAACCAGGAGTTGGATGGAAAGAGCTCGATGATTATCTCTTGGACCACCCTGACGGTAGCCACCTCATGTTTGGACCGGATCCTGGGGTTGGTGCTGCCATCGGTGGAATGGTGAGCACACTGGCTCTGGGTACCAACGCTTATCGTTATGGAACGATGAAAGAAGCGGTTGTTAGTATGACAGTTGTTTTGGCTGATGGCCAGATTATTCGAACTAAGCAAAGACCTCGCAAATCCAGTGCTGGATATGATTTGACTCATCTATTTATTGGAGCTGAAGGTACACTCGGACTCGTCACAGAAATTACACTTAAGCTTCACGTCCGCCCTAAGATTGAGTATGTGTCGATTGCAAGCTTCCCTACAATCAAAGACGCTGCCTCTACTGCGCTGAATGTAATCGGCAAACTGGGTCTTCATCCTAATGCTATCGAAATTTTGAATGAAGAAATGGTAATGTTCGTTAATGAATCAGGAAGTGTGGAACGTAAGTTCGATGAGAAGCCGACTTTATTGTTCAAAATTGGTGGTCACTCTGAAGACAATATCAAGGAACAAGCTCGAATCATTCAAAACATTGCGCAGCAGAACAATTTAATCGAGTGGGAAATTTCGACGAGTGAAGAGGAAAATCAATTATTGTGGCTGGCTCGGCGTCAAGGCCTTTGGTCGACTATTGAGTATGGTAAAGTAGTACTCGAAGATCCCAACGATGTTCAGGTGTGGACCACCGATATTGCTGTGCCAATCTCCAGGCTTGCGCAGGTGATTGACGAAACTAATGCCGACTTGAACGTCGACTTTAAAAACAAGTTTTCCGTCATGGGTCACATCGGTGATGGGAACTGTCACTTTTTAATCGTGTACAATCTGAATGACTACGGCAAGTGTGCCGCAGCAGTCGATCGTATGGTGGAGCGTGCGATCAAATATGGTGGGACGTGCACAGGCGAACACGGCGTTGGCATTGGTAAGCGCAAATATTTACCACTTGAGTACGGCGAACTGGCGGTTGGATTTATGCGGGCCCTCAAGATTGGTCTTGATAAACGGAGAATCTTAAACCCTGATAAGATCGTTACCATCGACCCACTTGACAAATTAGATGAGCAATTGGATTATCACGGTCGTCAAGAATGGTCGTGTTGCAAATAGTACTATAAACTCTACAAGTGATAAGGCATTTACCAGCGTGCATATATTCGTAAATTGAAATTCGTAAAGCTAGCTTACAACTTAGGTCTAGGGTCCAACTTCTTGAAGACACCTTCAATGGCGGTGGCCTTCATCATGTTACCCTTCAACTTGAGCTTACCGTTCATGAACAACTTTTGGCCGTTGGCAGTACCTTCAGCCAACTTGACGAAGTCTTCGTCAGCCAAGAGCAATTGAACGTCGTTCTTGGGCACCTTGTCGACAGTGGCGACGGTACCGTCGTTCTTCAAGTCCAAGACCCACGATTGTTCCTTGTTGTCCTTGTTCTTCAAGGTAATGACAATGATAGCCTTGACACCCTTGATGGCTTGCTTCTTGGTAGGTTCGTCCTTGAGGCCACCTTCCAACAATTCAAAGAAGGGAGACGAAGAGAAACCGGGGACGTTGACAGACATTATTGATGTAAATGATTTGGTTGAGTAAAAGTCAAACTCTGGGTAAGCGTACTTTATATAGTTGAGTATTCGTGAATTGAGGGGGTGGGGCAGTTTTTCAGCTGCGTCGAGCGTCATGTGATTTCAGCACGCTGTGCACAAGATAGCCCGAGGTTATAGCCGAGACATATTGGCAGAATTGATTGAAGCCAAGAGCAACAATGTACGCCGAGGCTCAGTAGAAGTTTGAGTACGCAAAACCATCGTCATGTGAATGGCGTTATCGGTCTTCGGCTTGTCTTCTTCAATGTCTTCAACCCCCATAGACACATTCGGCAAGCGGGGTCGGTTAGGGGCAATGGCACATTTTATCTTCATGTGACAACTCCAAATATGGGGTACGGTAATTACCAGTTAAAATACCCAACAATCCAGTTTACGATAACCAAACACAAACCCGCTTTTTAGCCACAGGTAAAGGCTTTTGATCATTTCATGTCCACACTCGGTGACACGTTTCATCTCCGTAATTTGTGACATGGCAATTTGTGGAGAGAACCCCGTCATATTGCGGTGATGTAACTGTAGGTGCGACGTTGGTTGCTGACAAAGTGCTTTCGTAATCTAAGCGACGAAGCGTCTTGTGAAATCTAGGGAAGCTATGCTCAACTGATATACCGTACAGAGGCTCATAATTGAAACGGTGGGGTCAGAGTTGAAATCTACAAAACAGATTTGGTGCACTGTTGTACATAGAAGGTCATCGTAGATTAACACAAAGTGACTTCCTGATGAGGAACAATGCGACAGATAGCCATTTACGGTATTAACTTACCAGTGCAAGTTGAAATTGAGGCAACACAATAACTTTAAACCATCCTGGTAAATGACCCACGTTTACTTGGGATGTGAATTAAATATTAAAGTTTCTTTGCCGGATTCGACTTCATCTGCGGAGAGTTGCAATAATCACAGGCGCCCGGGACAAAATGTTGACCAAGTGAGACTATCACAAGGTTGAGGCGGCTAAGTAATTCCAAGCAGTCAGTAAATTCGAGAGGGTATAGTATGGGAAGAACTTCATAGAATGTTCTCGGATGATTTAGATTTGAAGGGAATTATGTAAGAGTTTAAATGAAGCCTCACTGGACTCTTAAAGCTTTTCTGCTTGCCTTTTTGGTGGAATTAAAGAATTTGTCTTCTCTTGAAGCAGACTACTACGGCCATAGTCATCCCCGGCTACTCGCACCCCACAATTCCTTTTTTCGTACCAATACAACGATTGCTCTTCTGACGATACTTATATCGGCCACTGAGAGATGAGCAAGCCCTTTGTCATTTGAATTCTTTTCATTTCTATATTCTTTGAAGCATGTGGAAGGTTAGGAGATGAGTCCATATCGATCTAAAAGCCTCACTATGGAAACCCAACAACTTCAAAGCTCCTGTACATGAGTATGCGGCTCGCGGGGATCCAAGTTACCTAACTGAGATAAATAGGAAGAGGGTTCCGAGAGTTGCAAAATTCGCGGTTGCAGGCAACTAGAGACCAAGGCATGGTTGAGTTTGACGTCAATATCTTGGACGGTGCGTTCGAGAAGCCCTACATCGATCTCACGTTTCCTTTGCCTACTGACGATGTCGATACGATTGTACCTGATTTGGCAAACAATGAAAAAGTGGCGAAGCTGATTGGTATGATTGAACATTTTGTCAGGTTCTTTGGTGGGATCGACACTGACAAAATCTACTATGAGACTGAGTATAAATTTGGTCTTTCAAAGTACGATAACAAGAAGTTCCACAATGATTTCAAGAACTACATGAAAAATCAATTGGAAACCAAGGACGAAAAACTCAACGAGCTCGTATATCTGTTAGTCAAACAAGAGCTCAACATGAAGTTGATTGAACCGAAAGATTTCAACGACCGTTTCGCTAAAGTGAAGGACTTCATGGTCAAGTATTATCTGGCTCAAAATGAAAAGAACTTGCCCACATTTGAATCTTTATCATGGTTGAGAATCTCTTACGTTACCACGATGAAAGTTTTCCAAAAGATGTTCCCGAGAGGCATCTGGGTTTCGCGTGCTGATTTTGAGGGCTTACTCAAGCAGTACATGGCTAACCCAATGTCCGTGATTTATTTGCCAAACCATCAGAGTCATGTTGACTACATGATTATGCACATTTTGTTGGTGCGTTTCCACATGAGCATCCCGACTGTTATTGCTGGGGAGAATTTGAACGTGGCTGTGTTCGGAAGAATTCTCAAAAACCTTGGTGCCATTTTTATTCCTCGCAGTTTCAATCAAGAGTTGTACACTGAGCGCAATTTGAATAATGTTATTGAGTACATTCTCAAGAATAAAATTGCTCTTGAAGTTTTCATTGAAGGTACCAGATCTCGTGATGGCAAGCTTCTTTTACCGAAGTACGGGATCCTCAAATCTTTGGTACAAATTTATCTCAAACAACGTCACGAAGAAAAAAACGAAAAATTCGATTTATTGTTTCAACCTGTGCTGATCACATACGAGCGTATCTACGAAACCGACGGTTACTTAAACGAGTTGATTGGGAAAGACAAAAAGAAGGAATCTTTCATGGGGATCGTTACCAACGGTCTCAAGAATTTGCGTGGTGGACCTACTGAAGTTGTTGAGGTTCGCGACAAGTTTGGGTTTATTGATAACTCCGAAACTGAATTGACTGGTAAATTGTTTGTGAAGCTCGGTGAAAGATTTTATTTGTCTGAATTTATCGAGAATGATGATTACTCGTTCGCTGATGAGCCCAGTCTCAAGAAACTCGGATTCAAAGTTTTGCATGAAGTCAACAACACATCATACCTTCCGCCTGTCGCCATTGTTGGCATGGCGTTACAAATCTATTACTACCGTAACTATGAGGGTAAGGGGGCAAAAGACCAAGAGCGCTTTTTCAAGATTGATGAATTTTTGCCGACTCTTAAAAAGGTTATCACACTTTTGTCCCGTGAGGTTGACGGACACCCTATCAACAACTCTCTTCTCAAGGAGTTGCAGCAATACAGTGACAAGCAGCTTGAGGATTTAACCATCGAGTGCATCAAGCTTTTCTTCCGCATGGTTTCGGTCAATGAGACGACAAAAGTGATTCGCATTACAAATCCTATTGAATTGTTGTACTACAAGAATTTGTCCGTGCACTTGGTAATTGCTCGGAGCCTTGTGGCGGCAATTTTAACGTCAACAAGCCAGGAATTGACCTACACGGATATCAACAGACTTAACTATATTCTCACTGGCTTGCTTAAAATTGAATTTTTGTTTGATTACGACTTCAGCCCCCGACTGCAACTTTCTTTTATTTTACAAGATCTTCAAGATGAGGGCATTATTCGTGATGAGAATGGCTTGTATAAGATTGTTGACCGGTCTTATCTCGAAGGAGTGGGAAACCTCTCGAAACCATTTATGCAGCTGTATGTGAACCTTATTCGCCTGTTGATGACATACAATCCCAAGGATGACACTGAGTTGATCATGGAAACTAAGCCTAAAAAGCCCAATTTACCTGTTGATGAAGATGAAATCAAGTACCCCACAACGAAGAATTTGCTCAAATATGTGATCAAAACGAACAGAGATCAACAGCCTTTGGAACTGATCAACAAGCAATACTTGATGTCTGACTTGTATTTCTTGTTCCACTTGAATCTTCTCAAAATTTTCAAGAACAAGGCTAAGACTAAGGCTTTTGTCGAGATGCTTGAACCTAAGGATTTGAACGTCATTGCAGACTTCCTCGAGGATATCATTCAGCAAAAGTTGAACCTCTCGGGTCAAGGGCCTCACGGGGCGTCTCTGGTACGTCTCAATTATTTGGTTGATATCATTAACAAGAACCCCGCTAGAAAACAAAGATTGGCTGCTTCCCTGGACGCTGGCCTGATCGCAGTTGAAGCCAAGCTTTAATAAACTGATTTAGATTTTTGCATACCTTCAATGTAGCTATTTGCGTGATTCGTTCAAAGCTTTAGAATTGCAGTATCTTCTCAAAACTGCACACATGTTCAGTGTAAGTTACAATCTGTTTATTATATGTCGATTGTTATATGTACTAATCCGTATTTATCCAACATATTTCAATTGATCGCCTTATCAGCCACATTCAACACCGCCAACAACTTTTCATCCATCAATTTCGGACCAACGAATTGGACACAGCCATCTTGGTGGGGAATAACCGCGGCAGGGAAATCAATCAAGTTCCAGGTGGTGGAGTAAGGCGAGGTGCCGAAGGTGTCATGCTCGTATTTCTTTTGCTTTGCTAAAGGCAACAATAACACATCAAGATTATTGGCTTGGAAGTAGTCTTCCCATTCAGAGAATTTCTTAACCAACCCAGCTCTAAGCTCGACCGCTTTTTCGGTGGTGGTGTAGCCCCAGTTATACAAAAACTTCGAGTTGGTGACCGATTTGATCACAGGCTCACCAGCTTGATTGGCCTTATCAATCGCGCTCACCAACCCCTTCACTTTGATGTTAAAAATGCCGACAGAAATGTCCCAAGATTCCTGGAAAGAGGGGTAGTTCTCGCAGAATACTACATCATGACCAGCCTCTTTCAATCTAGTGGCAGCCGACAGGACCATGTCTTGCACATCTTTGTCAACCTCAACGTCTTCACCACCAGCTTCGGCTAAGATAACCCCAACTTTCAATTTTTGGGGAAGTTCAACCGGCTGATAGCCCATAGGATAAACTCCACTGTCAAATGTCCACGGCTTATGCTCTAAGATCGCTCTCATGAACACATCTAAATCCTCTACACAACGAGTGATTGGACCAACGGCGGGCTTGAAGCCCAAGAAGTTGGGTTCTCCCGACGCCATTTTGTTTTTGTAGGGAACTCGATCAGCGGAAGGCTTGAAACCGTAGAGATTTTGATGATGAGCAGGAAATCTCACAGAGCCACCAATATCAGTGCCCACACCTATCATCGAGCCATGTTGAGCAACGAGGGATCCTTCACCGCCAGAAGAACCGCCAGCTGACCAAGCTGTATTCAAGGGGTTGAGGGTACGCCCGTAAATGTTGTTTTCCGAGTCGGCGCTCATCATGGTCATGGGATGGTTTGTTTTCACGTAGAATAATACACCTTGCTCCAAAAGCATGTCAACAGTGGCAGATTGGACTAACTTATTCTTGTTACCAATATTCACAACCAAGCCCACACATGAGTCGTACCCGTCCACATTGAAAGTCTCCTTTAGGGATATGGGTAACCCGTGTAAAGGACCTTTGGGTTTTCCATGTTCCTTGAAGTAGGCATCCAAATCATTTGCAATACGTTCACCCAATTCAAACATGTACTCTGTACAACAGTTGGTCAATTGACCAGCAATCGCCGAACGGTGTGCAAACGCTTTGAAAACGCTGAGGGCAGAGTACTCTCCCAGGTGGATCTTTTCAAGAAGTTGATAAGAGTGGTCATAAGACGTGATTTCAAGCTCTTGTTTGGAGAGAAACTTAGTAGCCACATCCATAACCGATTGGTGTTTGGTTTCATCATTGTATTCAGCGATTACTTCAGCTGGGAGTCTCCACTCTCCCGGAATTGTGGCATCAACCGAGGCCTTCTTTGCAGCAGCAAGAATTTTCCAATCGTTGGTCGTGTCGGTGGATGGCAGCATACTTGATTGATTTGTTTTCTCATCACATCATCCACGTTATATAATAATTTGAATTGTACGATGGGCGGCGCGGAATTTGTGGAATTTACACCCTAATTGGTAACCTACCTTATCTTCCCCCGCATCTCAAAGAAGAAATCATAACCGACTCAAATTGAAATCATGGAGAAAATATACAGTTAGAATTTGAAGAGTTAATTGATTTATTGGTCCTGCTTAAACTCCCACTCGACTGACACCCGATGTATCACATATCTACTCAACTGGCAAAGATTTTGCCCCTACTGTCGGCTCAGTTTGAAATTCCGCAGTATCTCTCCCAAGTTCAAGTTCATTTTCTGTACGCGTTGCAATACCCTGTAACAAATCGAGACGCTCAGTCTTGTAGCGCTTCAACTCCCACAGTTCAAGCTCCGCTTGCATTAAGTTCGTTAACTCATCGACAATTCTTGTGCTTGTGAGACACAATTGTACCAATTGACCGGCATCAATTGGCAAGCCTCCATTCTTTGAAACTTGCACAAGTTCACGGTTCTTGTTAAGTGTCACAACGAATTGGCCTTGGGCCAAGAGTTCTTCCTCTTTACTGGCATCAACAATGCAAATCTCATCATTCTCGTCACCTTTAATGTTCACAGTCATATCATCAGAATGGCGATTGAAGAACAGATACAGAACACAAATGGGAATATGAAGGATAGAGAGCGGTACTGGCCTGTCATTGTGAACTTCCACTTCCAACCCCCTGATTGTAACATCCGGTTTCCGAAAATGCTGAAGAGCCAACATCACCCCAAAACACCCCAGATCGATTAGACCACCATCATAATTGAGGAAGTTGATGTCAACAGTGATTGCCCAAACTTTCTCGCCGGCAATAATACACAATGATTCCAAATCAAGCGAGTTCAGACGTTTGATGGCTTTTTCGATGAGCCTCAGCGTGATGATTTCCTGGGCGCTTTTGCTAGAATTGTTCTCGAAGTTGGCCCAGGCCATCAGTGATATTTCACAATTAATTTGGAATGTCCCTTCAAATGGTCGTTCTTCGTAAGGTTTGGCAATCTTTGCGCTAACTCTAATAGCAGCCTTGGTCTCGCCCCAGGCAACCTCCACATACCCGAACTCATCGCTGAGATGAATCACAGGCTTACGGATCTCATCAAGCTTGCGATTCTGGTTTTTGAGATCAATCCGTAATCCCTGTTTGAGCGCCTCGAGGGTGATGTGTTGTGTTGACGATGGGATTTGAACTCGGCGAGATGACATGTCGCGATGCTTGAGAGCGTATTCTATAAAAGGCGACTAAGACGCTAAATACCAAACTTTCAATAGGAACAGAATTTGGTTAATCAAAAACTGATGTCAATACGTGTGGTTTCAGTATTATGGCTTAAAGCTTCACTTAGACTCACTATTTGCGAAGTGGTGGGTATTTTCGACCATGCCAGTTTCAATCTGCACAGGATCTACCTGGAATGAACTGTAACCCATTCTACTAGAATAATTACTCTATTGAGTGGTCTTACTCTGTTTAGATTTGAATCGTTACCTTCTTTGTTAAGTTCGGAATTTACTTCCGCAGATTGCCTAATTAAATTTCATCGTCGAAATTCAAAGAATCCATCTCAAACGTCATGCTGCTCAAAACTTCATTGATTGTTGATACCATACTTCTCTTTCATCAGCTTACGGCAACTTGTGTTCCACTGGATTCCATTATTGCCACTATTCACGCCACTGCGAATCGAGATTATTTTTTGAACATTGAAATCCAACAATGTTGAGCTCTACTCTTCGTGGCCGTACGGCCATGATCATGAACCGCCAAATGGCAGGACGGCTTATGGCAATCCGTTCTTTCATTCCTGGTGCCAACGGGGCCCCTGTTCTGTTTTTCCAGAGGGAGCTGTTGCCCGCCAACACCATTGTCAAGTTTGTTCCCCAGCAGAATGCCTGGATTGTCGAACGAATGGGTAAATTCCATCGTATATTAGACCCTGGTTTGGCCATTCTCATGCCTTTCATTGATAAAATCACCTATGTCCAATCCCTCAAGGAAAGTGCCATCGAAATTCCGTCGCAAAATGCTATCACTCTGGATAATGTGTCTCTTGAGCTCGACGGTATTCTTTACATTAAAGTGATTGATCCGTATAAGGCTTCATATGGCGTTGAGGATTTCAAGTTTGCTATCTCCCAACTTGCTCAAACTACTATGAGATCTGAAATCGGCTCTATGACTTTGGATCTGGTTCTCAAAGAGAGACAGTCTTTGAACAATAACATCAACCATGTTATCAATGATGCTGCTCGTGATAATTGGGGGGTTGAATGTTTGCGTTATGAAATCAGAGATATTCATCCCCCGCAAAATGTTCTTGATGCTATGCATCGTCAAGTGAGCGCCGAGCGGAGCAAGCGGGCTGAAATCTTGGAGTCTGAAGGGCAAAGACAAGCCAAAATCAATATCTCAGAAGGTGAGAAGCAGTCAGTCATTTTGGCTTCGGAGGCTTTGAGAGAGCAACAGATCAACAGTGCCAAGGGGGAAGCTGAGCAAATCCTTTTGAAGCTGAAGGCTACTGCTGAAGGTATTCGCCGGGTTGCCGATGCTATCCAAAACTCACCTGGTGGTGAAAATGCTGTTCAACTTCAAGTGGCTCAAGAATATATCAAGGAGTTCGGCAAGTTGGCTAAAGAAACTAACACCGTGGTCATCCCTCAAAATTTGGGTGATTTGGGCGGATTGATGGCTTCTGGGATGTCTATTTATAAGCAAACCAAGGCCAACGAACAGCGTCAAGCTGAGAAAGTTTAAGCACTGATGTGCACGAATGTGTCAAGTATTTTGTATATAAAAATCTATGCTGGCCTGAAAAAGCTATCAAGAGCCCCTTTGCCCTTCACGACCTTAGCTGCCTTTGATGCCTTCACTTTCGTAGGTTGTGCTTTACGCTTAGTAGCTGCGCTATTGAGTCGACTGTTTGTGGAAGCGATTTCTTCTAGCGCTTTGTCGGAAACTTCGCGACTCTTTTGAGTTGACTTGATTAGTTCAAGGTGATTCGTGACTATCAGGAAATCATGGGTCATCTCCTTTTCTTTGAACTCTGGGAGACAATACAGATTCAAGACAAGTTCATACGCATATAACGTGATCGCTGCATCTTTGACTTCCTGTGGAGTTTCGATGGTAACATCATTGAATTTGGTGGAAAGGAATGCAAGTATTTGTTGGTCTGGTGTCTTTCTGAAATGATCGGCTAGGCGATTAATGCGGTTCCAAAGAATGTTTTTTGATTTTTCCACAGAGAACTTGTAGTACGTCTCACCGCCGACGTCTGTTATATCGCAAACATAATCGAGTTCCAATGGAATTTTTGTCACCCAGTCACCGTATTTCGGCTCAATCATGTCGATCAAATCCTCTTTAGCCATGAACTTGTTCAAATTCTCCTTATACAAAATCAGGAGTAATAGGAACATTGTTGAGAACTTCGTTGCAACCAACATGGATCCCGACTCAAGAGTAAACCCCACTTTGGAAGAATCCACTATCCAACTAGTGATGGATCCTCCCGCTTTGAGTTGGGGACGCAGGTGAGGCTCATACGGTCCAGTTCCGTCAACAAGCTTGAGCTCGTAGACTTGTTGGTCGGCACTGTGAATGAGATATGGCTTTCTTAAAGTGAGATTTGATGACAAGGGAAGATTGGTCTGAGTGTATTCACCTTTGATACCTTCCGGAAGTAACGCCACCCGCCGTTCCATAACAGACGCGTCGCGACAGATGAGCGTTGACGTACAGCCTTCTTCGAGGAAAAAAATGTAAGTGGGATCAAAATCTTCACATATCAATAGAATGCGAACCTCAATTACGAAGACTGCATTATCAGTTATTTGCAACTCATAGCTGTGCAGTGTTTTGTATGAGGAGCCCCCATTGCAGTTTCTACGAACATTATTATGAAGACAAACCAGCGAGAAGCCATTGTTGGTTATAGGGAGCACAAAATTATCGGATCAGTACGCTACACGACAGACACATTAAAAAGCAACAAATTGTCTGTATTGTTAACCAGTTTCTTAGAAGGGGTATCGCAACAATGTATGTTGTCCTTTGTTCATCAATTTGCTATCACTCCTGAATGTGTAGAATGTACCTTGAGCACTTTTACAGGCGGTGTAAGACCTTATCTTTTTACTCAACTAGTGCTTCATCTCGGGGCTCTTCATAAACTCCTTAAATTCGAAATAAGATTTTGAATTGCCCTCCCCGCTGATTTAGGTCGGACTTTTAGTGAATTCTCCGTCGATAGCCGGGGACGTCTATGTGAGCGGGGTTAGCGATCGGCTATTCTTCAACGAAGCGAGCAGGCTCCGAACGCCGTTAGCATGCTCCGATCTGTCCATCAAACTTCATCATCTGTTCGATACGCTATCTCTGGAGCCGCTATCACTAATATGTGACATATGATAATGGAAACCGCGGAACCATGGTAAGTTAAAGTGTTCAGTATTGCGATGATGCGGCATTCGCGGTTCTTCAGGTACAGCAAGTTGGGGCGGGGAACCACCCCACTATCCATCTGAAGAGAGTGGAGAACGGTTCCTGGTAAATCTGGGGTTCTTGTGGAGTTATACGTCCGAACCGCCGTGTTGTAGTCAACCGAGTCAAAGTGTTTGGAACGATGTCTCAACCTCCCTGGATAGTATGACGACGTTTTGGAGGACTCTACCAAAAAGAAGCTACAATATTAGTGTTATAGTTGTCATATTGATAGCAACACCAAAATGACAACTTTTCCTTGATCTAACACCTTCCTTATACTTCTGAAAACCCGAAACCGTCTCGTATGCAACGCCAGTTGCTGCAGAAGTCAAATATGGCGAGGTGGTAAAAAGGTGCAGATGTATGGGAAAACGCGATAACGCAAGGTCAGAACACAGCCAATAGCATTTTGCCAAAGGGACTAAGTGATGTCTTCATCTTCGGGAGAGTTGTATCGAGGCTTTTTTCGACTTCTGGGACCTTGGCAACGTCAACTTCGTATAGGTAAGACAGGTACAAATCCGGTGAAATTTCTTTTTTCTCAGGCCCCAAACAGAAATTCTTAGCTGTCAATGCTTGCCAGAACGCCGTACAAAGTCTGAAAAAATGATCGTTTGCAGACGCATTGACAAAATGCCGAACCCCCACGATTGAGTCGACGTATAAAGTAGTTACAGCCCCACTCATTCTGTAGTCTCGAACATGAGCAAACAGCCAGATTTGAAAGCAGTCGCTTCGGAGAAGCTGACACAGCTCCCCGACTCGTTTTCCTCGCCTTATCTGCAATCGCTCGATGATGTCAACTCCACTGAGCATCTCACTGGGGTGGCAAAGTTTGTTGATGGCTTTCGTCGGCAACGTCTGGATGGCGATGCTGGTAAACAGTTGGCTAAGTCGTTGCTGATGCGGCATTTGGTGTTGATGTCTATGTGTACTGGTATTGGTACCGGTTTGCTTGTGGGTACGGGGAAAGTGTTAGCTAGAGGTGGACCTCTTCTCGTCATCCTTGGTTACATGGTGTCGGGTACATTCGTGTATTGTACTCTTCAGGCTGCTGGTGAACTCGCCGTTGCCTATTCAACCATGTCTGGCGGTTACAACATTTACCCTAAGAAGTTTATCTCCGATCCCATTGCGTTTGCTACCGCGTGGTTGTATTGTATTCAGTGGTTATGTGTCATTGCCCTTGAACTTGTAACGGGGGCAATGACCATTGGCTTTTGGAATGAAGAGATCAATCCCGATGCATGGGTGGCGATATTGTTCGTCTTTGTTCTCGTCACCAATTTTTTCGGCGCTAGAATCTATGGTGAGATTGAATCTCTCATTGGGCTCACCAAGATCGTTATGTTGGTAGGGTTTATCATTATGGGTATCTGTGTCAATGTTGGGGCTAATCCCATGCATGATTACATTGGTGGCAGATACTGGCACCACCCTGGTTGTGCTACCACTTTCAAGGGATTCTGTAACGTCTTTGTCACCTCAGCCTTCGCTTTCGGTCAAACCGAATACATCGCTTTGGCGGTGGCTGAATCTTCAAACCCGCGTGCAGTGCCCGTTGCTTGTAAAATGGTTATCTATAAAATTGTGGTGTTTTTCCTCGGGTCTTTAACTTTAGTTGGGTTGCTCGTACCTTATGACTCTGACAGACTTATGGGTGCTGGTGGTGGCGGGTCTCACGCTTCTCCTTACGTGTTGTCAGCTGCTTTACATGGCGTTCAAGTTGTACCTCATCTCATTAACGCCGTTATTTTGATGTCGGTTTCCCTGGTTGGTCTGAGTGCCCTTTACGCCTCTCTGAGAACCCTTCAAGCGCTCGCCGAAAATGGATGGGCTCCCAGTTGGTTCAACTACATCGACAAAACGGGGAGACCTTTGAGAGCTCTTTGCGCCTGTTCCATCATTGGGATCTTTTCGTTCATCGCTGCGTATCCCAAACAAGAAACCGTCTTCACTTGGTTATTATCCATTTCTGGGTTGTCGAACGTGTTCACTTGGATGGCCATTGCTTACTCGCACATCAGATTCAGAAAAGCCCTCAAATACAATGGTATTCCCGTGGAATCGCTTGGATACATCTCTCAAACTGGTGTTTGGGGTTCTTGGTACGCAGTTTTCTGGTTTGCCTTGGTGATCGCCGCACAATTTTATGTCGCTTTGTTTCCCTTCGGTGGCAAGCCTAACGCTGAGGATTTCTTCCAGAGTTTCTTGTCGGCACCTATCTGGATTTTCTTCTACGTTTGTCGCGTGGTATGGAAGCGTGATTGGAGATTTCAAATTCCCGTCAGCGAAATTGACGTTGATGAGCAGCGTACAATTTATGACATCGAGGTGTTACAGTTGGAGCGTCAAGAAGAAGCAGAAAAACTTAAGTCATCATTGCCTCGTCGTATCAGGGCAATCTTCTTGTGGTAACGATTTATGAAAATAGTAATAGAATGCATATACATTTACACCAATAATCCTTCATCACGTGAATCAACCCGCACTCTGTGTAACCATATGTGCTCACCGCGTGTGACCTCGGAATGATCACGGTTTCGATAACCCTGACGTCCACCCGTCATGGCGTCACTTACTATACTATACAATTGAAACTCCCGCTCCGTACAATATCTGTGGACAGAAGATTCCAAGAATTTGAGACATTACACAACGAGCTTTGCCGTGAACTTGGAATCAATCGAGGCGACTTTCCATACGAGTTGCCCAAAAAACGACTCAACTGGCTCCATAGTAGCGAAACTCTAGCTGATGAGCGCAAGCCTGAGCTAGATCGGTGGCTAAATGAAGTAATTCGGGATGGCAGCATTCAGAATCTTCCGGCGCTTGAGGAATTTCTTCGTCTTCCACAAAACTTCAAATTCGAGCCACTGATGTTTCGAGAATCCGCTCATGGGTTGCAGGTTTTTACAGGTGATATTGACGATCTGAACTGGCTCGATGTACACCGCCAATTAACTGCGGCAGTCAACACGGCTTTACCACAAGATGTAACAGACAGAATGAAACTAAGATCAGTTATAACGAAGACTTACTTACCTTTAGCTCATAAACTTGAAAGCAGTCTTGAACGGTCAAAGTTGAAGAGCAAGGAACTCGAACGTCGCAAAGGATTGATCACCCAAACTCTTTCCGCTATCAGAACATTGAGTGACAATCTTACATCTTCCAAACCAGCTGATCCACATGTACCTGGGGCCTTTTCATCTCAGACTGGTCAAACGCCACTCGGAGGATCTAAGCGAGTATTTGGCGGTGGTGAAACTAAAGATACTGTGAATCTTTCGAAGCAAGAACTTCTACAGGAGCAGATTAAAATTCACCAAAATCAAGACCAAGAGGTTGAGCAGCTACGTCAAATCGTTGCTCGTCAACGTCAACTTGGCGTGGCCATTGGTAATGAAGTTGACGAGCAGAACGAAATGTTGGATCAATTTGGGGAGGATATTGATAATGTGACGGTGAAATTGGATAAAGCACGCTTAAGAGCAAAGAAGATTCTTTAGATTTTCGAAACCCCTACTTGATTATCAATGTCCGGGTAACTCCATTTTCAATAAATAATGCGACTGAAAATTTTTATCTATTAACTAACTCAGTAAGTACATATTCGTTACGATGATGAAAACACTTCGCCTAAATCGAAAATTCATGAGAACTCAAAAAGTTTACACCAAGATCTACGCTGAAGTAACGTTTGGAACTTAACTAACTCGTTAGAATGCGTTTATTCGTCTAATTACTTTTTCGGACGTACGGTTACGTTTTCTCTTTAAACTCAGTTGTGAGGACAATCATCAGGCTATCCAGTATAGATAAGCGAGCCAGGCGACCAACTTCAGCTTCATCCAATTCCTTTTGAAGCTGGGCCTCAATCTCTTTGCCCCACTGTTTAATTCCTTCTTCAATATCTTGCTCTTCCAAGTACAGCACGGACAATCTAACGTAATGCTTCCCCCATCCAAGAGCGTCACCAACTACTTCGAAATTTAGTCCTGCGGCAAGTATTACGCCCTTCTTCTCTAGCAGATCAACTACCTTCGAATGGTCTTGAACCTCTGCAACTTCGACCCACAAGAAGTATCCTCCATCGCCACCCCATACTTTGGTTCCCTCTGGCAAGTACTTCTTGATGGATTGTTTTGTCCGAAGTACTCGATTTCTATAGATGTCGATGAACTGTGCAATAATTTCATTTTGTTCGCCCAGCTCAATCAATTTAGCGACAACGGTCAGAGCCAATTGACCCGGGGTACCACCCAGTTTATTAGCACCGGTATTGGCGACTTGCCAAGCCAATTTAGCACTGGGACATTCCTGCCATCCGAAACGAATTCCCGGGGCAAGTATTTTTGAGAACGTGTTATTGGAGATACAATTCCCGTATTGGTTTTCAGGATTACGGGAATCGATATCTAAATGTACCACTTTTGGAATCACTTCCGGATTCTCACGATAATCCAACAAGTCATAGACATCGTCACAAACCACCAACATATCATAAGCCCGAGCTATCTCTAACAACTTCTTTCTTGTCTTTACAGAGTAAGTTAAGCCACCAGGGTTGGAAAAAGTGGGAACCATGTACATTACAAAACTGTAATACTTCCACTTTCCACGTGAAGGATCTTCAATAATCGTTCCAGTGTTGGCTGATAGCGAGTGTTTGATAAGTTGCTTTTCGAGAGCCACTAAATCAATGTCATATTCCAGTTGGGGGGTCTCTTTGACAGCCAGAATACGCCCTTCAAACCCGGCATCAAGTAGAGCACCATTGATCAAATAATACGTGGGACTGACGACAAAAGCATGTTTAGTATAGTCAACATGAGTGCATGCATTAAGAATGTTGGCAAAACCGTAAGATGCTCCCCCAGTTAAGCAGATTGTATCGGGATCAATACGACGATCGTAGTATTTACCAACCCACTCGCCAATGGTCTTGCGTACATCCAAATTGCCTTCATCAGTGCCATAGGTCAAAGGATTGCGATTGTCGGGATTGCCCTCGTAATCGTCGTACGAGGTCAGGAGCACAGATGAGTATGCCAGCGATATCGCCTTTGCGGGCAAAAGCCGAGACAGTGGGTGCCCTTTGAAAAAGTTGATGGGCATTAAGTTGCGGTCGTGCTCACTTGAATTAGATCACGGTTCAATAGTGTGGATAACCACTTGGGACGCGCATCAAATGAGGATCAGTGATAGTGGAATTCGTAACGGAAATTAAAATTGACTCGTGCATTCAGTCCGGACAATTGTCATCGAGAAATTTTCACCGATGGTGTGATATTATGTTAGTGAGCTTCTAGCAATGCTTTGAGGAAATAGTCTCTCTGAACAACAATCGTAAACGAAGTGTTTTACGACTTAGAGGATGCATCTTGTGAGCAAGGGGTATCCTGACCTATCGCGCTAAAATGGATCATGAAAGCAAATGCTGTATCCTTTCTAGTATGGCCAGTACTGCCATATAAACATCGCTAAGTTAAAGAAGTCTCAGATAATGTAATCCGCAATTACGCGACTTTAAAGAGAAGTCGAGCTTGGAACATCGTTATACTCGACACTGACCGTCATTATAAACACTTCGGCCTGCACACCTCCCCAATTATAATATTCCTTCATCAAGTTGTGACTTCGCGTGTCCCACTGAAGGCTCGTTGGTGCACGGATGTTCGCGCAGCCAATAACCAATGAAAAATTCGTTGATTACAGTACTCACCCGTCATGGTTACCACTTCTGGGTTAGTTCTTTCCGGTTTGATGGGCGCTTTAGCCCGCCGGTTGCAAGTTGCTCTCATTGGTAAGACTTACGAGAAGTCTTTCAACCGGGCTGGTGGCTACATTCTCTCGATTGGTGTGTTTTCCGGTGCCTACTATGTGTTGGACCAATACCACCAACGTAACACCGAATTGTTGCAAAGAAGATTATCAGCTTTGAGAGAACAAAGAGCCCAAAAGGACATCTTCTTCGAATTTGCTGAACAAGGGGACCACCGGTTGTCGCCCAACCGCGGTCGCTTCTTCGACTTGATGGACAAGTACGGCCAACCCTACCGTTAGCATAATGGCATTAACTATGTATAATATTACGAAATTAAAAGCTAATTTTCCAGTTCATCCTCCTCCACGCCCTCTTGGAGCACGCCATCAGAATCATGTTCGCTATCATATTCCTCAGCCACGTCAGCATCGATTTCACCTCCAACGAAATCTCTATCCTCTTCATCATCATCATCATCATCATCCTCTTCGGCATTCGCCGGTTTACTATTATCCCCATCGGCATTGCGTTTTTCTTTGAGCTTAGCATCAAACAGAGCATCGTTAATTTGCAAGTTCTTGATAAAGTCGTCAATGACAGCAAAGTATTGTTGATCTATCATCAGAAACTCATGCGTCTTTTCTCCGCCATCTTCCTCCACCGTGATGTTGAGTGAAAACGTCATTCGTGTAACGTTCGTATAACTTGTGAACTTGATGATCAGAACATCAAACAACAAAATTGGCTTTTTGAACCCAAAAATGAATGTACCCGAATCAAGGAATACAAGCACGCCATCTTTGGATCCCTTATAACAATCCGTCATAATCAAAACATTGTGAGTTGGATTGCTCACTGGGGCGATAGCCAATGCTTGGTCTGTATTGAGATTAAACACATTGCTATCCTTACAGGGGAGATAGTTTTTGAGCTGAATACCACAGAGACCAAATTGACGGGTGAAGTAGTTAACAATATGCTCTTGAATTGGATGTAAGTAAACATCGTTTTCTTCCTTCTCATCGTACTGTTGTTCAATATTATTCGGCATTTTGCCCGCTTTGACTAAAACCTTCTTGATCTGCTCGAGGTTTATTTGGCAAATGATAGGCTCTCCACCTTTTTGAAGATACGTAGAGCCCATGCGTGCTGGATCAATCCAAAGGCAAAGCGATGCGAGGTTTTTCTTTTTGGGCAGTGTAGTGTTACCAACAATTGGTAAAAGAATGGCAAGTTTAATAGTCTTGTCGAGGTTTACAGCTGTAAACTCGGGGATGTCGGTCGTCGGTGACACCACCAGTAATGCCGGAGTCGGTTCGCCCTCCCGTTCGAGCAAATGAAACACGAAGTTCATCCGCTTACGCATGGGATGTTGAAACAGAACTTGTTGGATGTCCATGATTATCGTCTGTGGGTCAATTGGAGTGGACAGGTAGATGATACCCGAGTCGTCGTTGAACTCAAGATCAGAGCTTTCCTGCTTCACTGAGACCTTCCGACGTTTGGCAGGGTCTTCAGTAGCATACTTGTAAAGATCGTCGAGCACCTTTTTCAGCGACGGTACCTGCTTAATCACCAGCTCAACCTCCTGACGAAGCTCGGTCGGGAGCTTGTCTAGCCATTCCATACCACGCTAGGTGAAGAGTGCGAAAAACATCAAACAATACCGTTTGACAAACAGCACGAGCATGAATATGTCCACGATCATCTGATGAAAAAACCACTTGAAATAAAATGGGTATCGCCGCAAACAGCTCACTTATGAATTACCAGGCTATGGAAAATCGACCATTTCGGAGATTCAACTAATTCGCTGGCCACACTCTGGCATTTACGTCGCACCATGGTATATACCGAACTAAGCAAAACCAATCGCCCTGGAACTATATGTGTGTCTCACTGATGGATTTACGAAGGTCAGATTTGATCGATTTTCGCTTACCCTTGGTCTGAAGGCTGGTGGCGATGATCCCCGTCATGCCCCCATAAGTAGTGAAGGTGCCTAAATAATTGGGGCATAAACGCCATGGCTCATAATACGGTATTACTCAGTTCTTCACTCACTTACCCTTTGGGGAGCGATTACCTAACCCCCGCAGCAACCGATCGGAAACTTACACATTTGAGTCCACGGTAGTGGGCGTCGGCAATAACACAAAAAAACGAAAAGTGGGCCTATTCTGACCGCCTCGGCTACTCGTAGTAAATTGTTGTAAACTGTATTGTTGGGGGTGAAACAAAATTGTGAGGGGAGCTCACGTGGGCGAGTCGCGGTTGGTCGCACCCAAATTTGCGAGTTCGACAGGATTAGGTGTCGGGTCCGGCGGTTTCTTGCAGACTTCACGCACGTTGCGGAGGTCACGGCTAACCGAATTGGCGGTACGACCGAGTGAGGGGCACAAGTTCAGACCGATGGATAGTTGAGCCTCAGACGTCAACGGCCAACGGTTTGCGACTGGATACTGACGGCATAAACTGCTAATGTGTCGTGGTCATTCGGCATAGTCATCACCACATGAAAAAACTTCAGGTTAGTGTCACGACGAAGTTTGAGGGGGATCTCATGTACTATTGCTACTGCGTCGGTCAATGTGGGGACGCAAAGGATAGTAGACATTGGGGAAGAGATGGAGACAATCTGGGGTAATGAGGGCAATCAAACCAAAAATCCGGGGTCGTGTAGAGATTACGGCATTAGTAAATACTGTTTTCGTGGGGTAGCCGATGGCTTTATGTCTATTTCTCTCTATAACGTTCCTTCATATCTCATTATTGGTATTGGGCGAGCAACAGGCGTAACTGCTCATTTTTTTGCTGAATGGTAATGATCTCATTAGAAATCCGGATCAAAGCCAGGTGCTTCAGCAAGTTCGGCAAGCCGTCCTTGTTAACTCTAGCTCGTTTCAGCTTCAGGGGCCGTTCCTCAGGTTTGGGGTTTGGCAACGCATTGAATTTTTCAATGTCGATAATCAACCGAAGGCACCGTTCATAAGCAAGCTTACAAAGCTTTCTGCGCTTCTGCTCCAGATGCGAGTGGTTGAGCCGCTTTTGTTCTAATGTCAACAACGGCTTCAGCTGCGTTCTACGCCGCTTCCGCAGGCCATCTTCGTCGTCAGAACTTGGTTCCAGGCGGCGCTTTGGCAGATCACCCCCTGTCAGCAGCGACTGGCGCAGATCGTGTGGTGTGGGAAGGGTGTGCGGGTATTCAAATGGAGCCAACAGCTCATCCTTGACACGGGGAGGGGTAAGAGGCTGTATCAGCACCGTGGTCGGCTTCATTGTGTGCAAGTCAAACATGGTGTTGAACTCCAGTCCATTGGTAGGTGCCAGAGGGCGGTGGTGGTAGAAGTCCATCGGGTTCACAGAACTCGTGGGATTGGCCAAATTGTCCAAAAACTTTTCTAAGGCATCCAGCTCAGTGTTGGAGAAAAATTGGTCATATTGAGTGTCAAATTGTTGTTCATGAGGCATCGGCTGGGAAGCCACCGGCTCGTTGGGGGCTTTAAATGAGTAGTTTTCCAGCGCCAGCGAGTATTCGGGTGCCTGGTGGTCAAAAGTGAACGAAAAGTCCAGCGACGGCACTTGTGCTGACGGCGGTACCGCCGACACGTACTGTTGGTTTAACAGTTGCACCTTTTGAAGAGTTTCAATCAGCAGCACTGCTTGCTTCTGCTGGAGGGTGGTGTACATCGAGTAGGCCTGATCAAAGTCCATGTCCGACAGCACCATGTCGAGGAAATTGGGCGCATCGAGATCAAAATCGTCCTTTCGATTAATCATAAGCTCCATATGGGTTGATGGGGAACGACTCAAGTTTCCATGTGACGGATCGCGTTGTGGTTTTATATGCTTGCCTGATGTATGCGGTGAGATAGGTTAGAATATTTTTAGGGAGAAGGCTCCTCCGCCCCTCAATGTGGGGACCCATGCTCGTGTGCAGGGACGACGCAGCCCATTGAGGGCCGAAAGCACAAACCGGATTTAGAACCAATTTTCAACGCTGGTGATTGTCCAGTGGCACTATTGCACTCGACTTACAAATGACAATACCCCGATGATGGTGAAGTTTGGTCCTGGTACCTCACCTCGTACGGTTTCGATATCCCCGGAAGATGCTTTCGCGGCATCTCGATTCAACGTCACCGTTTTTGCTAAAATCCGCATCGTGCGTCGAACAGCAAACTTTTCACATGCTAATTTACTGTGTGCACTCCGTCATAATTCTAACGACGCATTCACCGAAAGGTTCAACTGCGTCAGAAATGGATTTTACCTAGTTCAGGGGACAAAACCGAGGAGAACGGTGTGTCATCGATGCAGGTTACCTGTCTGGAACAAGCTCGGTGGGGTACTCCGAAGCCGATATCCGAGTGGTAGCCGCTGTCATCCTAAAATGTTGTCTCTCTTCTCTGTTAATAAAGTGGACGTCATTTCATCTATCATTCTAGTAGAAGTTAATCATGTGGACCGGAAAGTCAGCCGTTGCGTTGGCTGATTAACTGCTGAGCCAGCACAACGCGAGAAAACCCATAGAGTTCTTAACCAGTCCCATTGATCGTACCCCCTCATTTGTGGTGTAACTGTCGCGCGCTTCGGGAGATAAACCTGAGTAAGGTTTAACCGTCGCTATTACTGGATTGGGTAATGAGCTGAGCGCGCAAATCCCTGATGGTAGCGCCAATGAGACGCCGAGACCACCGAATAATAACACGTATGTCGCTGTGCCTTCTATTGTAATAGCTCCTAGTGTGCTGTTTCTTTTTCGGCTCTGGATATCGACTGGTCACGAATTCAATTCCCTGAGTTTTATTTGTAATCGTCTAGATTTGTTCTCAAAGTTGAGAGTGGCAGTAGTGCTGGCAAATCATTATCGTTCTGCATTCGTTTACGACACAAAACGCATCTGACGGAATTACCCTCGCCTATATGTGATTTATCACCGCGAAGTGCTCCCCAAGAACGTTACTACATCTGTAAACTGGGGTCGGCAAACTTTTGTGGGGTGGCGACAACGGCCAAAACGGTTGCATGTGAAAATCGAAAGGGTTTCAGGACCAACATCCCTGCAAAGGAACTGTTGGAGTCTCGCTTCTGTTTGGGTTGATGTACGGCGGCCAGCGACAATTGCGGTCATCACATCAAATTGATACCTTTTGCTTGTCTCCCCTCCATCCACAATAATAACGTGGTTTCTTTCCGTTGATTACTAAGCCTCTTGTCCCCACATTTTCAAGATTGTTTCCCTTGGGGGACTGAAACACGACTCGTCGCCGATTGAGTTTTCAGTGAGCTACAGTTCAGCTAGGCGTCGTAATTGATGCAGTCATCTATCGTCTTCACAAGTTCTGCCAAACTACACGTGTAGTGGTGACTATCGTGAATTTTAATTGGCCACTTCCTTCGCTCCAGTCTCGAATCTCGAAATTGATGAAAAGATCAGCGGTCGTCGTGTTGACTTTGTGAAAGTGTCGGGTTTACGGAGATTGCTCCACGAATCGTGTAACTGCATTTACCCGTTTTTGGCTAGTGACGTCGCTTGCAGCCTCGGCGGGACCCAGCGTTGGGGCTCACGCGCATAAGCACATCGTGTCCAATTGATGTCTACTGCTGTTTTTAGTTTTAGAGATACGTGTTGTTAATCGTCAACTCTGTATCTAACACACGACATATTTTGTCAATATGATTGTGAGCATCACGGTTGATTTACTAACCGTCAAAGACATTAGGCGTATAGACACGAACGCAAGCAATATTGAGTTGATTTGCGAATCCTCTGGTCTTGACTCGCCTGAGTATACTTATTTTGCATCGTAAATACTCGTAGTTGCCCCTCATATCGGCGCTAAGCAAACGCGGAGCTATCGGATGACCCTTGCTGAAGATGGATGACATCGTTCTGCAGAACCTTCTAAATGGACAATCCCTATTCAGCCGTGATCATTACGGCTAATGTAAGATAGATCCAGGTACCCGCAGAATATGTGATGAGCACCATCGCATCATTTATCACATGGCTTGTATGAATCACATGCTTGACACGCTAAAGATATAAATTCGTTCGTTATTCATTAACTCATTAGAATATTTATACAGCATCTAAGTCAAGATCCGCGATTCGTTGTCAATCAAAAACTTGCGGATATGTAAGAGTGAGGCACTCAACTTCCGGAATATCAGCACCTTGATCGTGGTTTCATAAAGGTAATTAAGCACAAGCTCACCAATCTTCAAAATATAAAGCGCCTTCTCAATGCCCCCCAGAGGAGCTCCTTGTGGCAGGCCTTGATTGTTGCGGTACATGTACAAGTTGTTAAACTCCAGATCCAACTTATTGGGATATTTCTGTGAAAGCCCAGCTTCAATCTTGTCCAACATTTTGAGAACTTGCGAGTACCGATGATTAAGCTCAAATAACACTTCAGGAGCTCCCATCAGGCTCAGGTTCTTTTTAGCAACATAAATAGAGTAGGTCGCTAAGAGCACAAACACATGGAATAACATTTGCAGATGTATCAGGTTCGGTGTCAGTTCAAACTCGTCCAGCACTCTGAGATGTAATGCCGATTCAATGGTTCCTAAAACGGCCGGATCTCCCAGCGAACTTGTGAGACTTGACGCACTTAAAAATCCAAAGTCCGTCAGGAATGCCAGTGATCCATTAGCTTCATCCGTATCGTACAGCTTGAACAAAATCATTCTGAGAATGGCCATACAATTATCGGCAATTTTGACAAATTGATATCCATCAACCTTAGAAGGACCCTGCGTCCCCAAAACATCAATCAAAAACTGATTATAATTCTTCAGCAACTCGTCCAGATTCCTTAACCAACTTTGTTCTTTAACCATTTTGAACTCAACCAACAGGCAGATTCTGATGAAGCACAGTAGCATGGCATAATCTAGTTTCTCGTGATCGGCACTTACTGGGCTCCCATTATTACCTGAAGGCGCCTGCTGGGTCAAAAAATCAAACACCCCACTGACGTCGAAATCTTTCATCTCCTGGTATTGCCTCACCTCATATATGCCGTGTGCAAGACAGACAAACCCATATTTGGCAACACGCTCCAAGTTTTGAATGTGAGTCCGATCACGAAGCAACAGGACGAGGGTTTCTTTGAAACCAGGAGGCTTTTGGTCAAGGAAAGTTTGCAATTGCCCGGGGTACCGTTGGTCAAACTCGGCTGCCAGACCACACTGCCAAAGAGCCTCTTCTGAACGCAGCGGAAGACAAATGTTCAGCAAATCATTGATACTGAGAGTTAAGGGCACATTGTACATCATCAACAAGAAGTTCGTTAATCGATAAATCATGAAAACGATGCGAGTTTGTGATTGACGTACGATGTTATGACGCCACTTCAGAGCATCCGAAGCCCCCGCCATTGGCGGTTCATCGTCAACACCAAAAAGCGTCGGCAGCCCTGATTTGATCAGAGTTTTGACTAACAGATTGAGGGCATTAAGTTGGCGGATGACGATGTAGACATTGTTTTCGTTATCCGAGAACAAGCCGTAAATAACCAGCAACGTCAACAGTTGGATAAGCCACAAAGGATTAGCCTTCTTCTTGTCATCGCATTGCTTTCGCAGTTCCAAAAAAATGTGAATAGCACGTCTCAGAGCTTCGTACAAATGCTCCAGATCACTCTTGTTGTTTGCAAGTAAGGCACCCATAGTGGCAACTAACAAAGGCAAGCATGCACGAGCCAGTTCGTTTTTGGTGTCCTCATTACGAGTCATTGCCATAACAGCGGCCTCATTGAGCTTAGATGTATGAATGAATGGGAAATGCGCCAAAAATACTTGCTTAAATGTGGTCAAATAAAGTTCAAGCTTCTCATTGGAGGGAATTGTAGGGGTCATGATTCCCAGAATGGGGTATTTTGCCAAGGCTTTGGCGATAAGCAGACGAATATTGGACGTAAAGAGCGTTTGAGTTGAAAATCCACCACCGTTGCTTGTTCGCTGATCAACAGCAGCGCTGGCACGGCGCCACAGTTCACCAAACATGTTACCGTCAAGTATCAGCGGTGATTGCACCTCGATTCCCAGCAGCAGCACCAGGGGATTATCTCCATAGAATGTATACCCCCCCGGCATAAACTTCAGATTTACATCGAACTCCTGGGTCAAACCGTCAATGTCAGCTAAGTGTGTGCTAAAATCTATTCCTCCATTTTGCAGAACTTGCAGGGCTTTTCTTTGATGTTGTCCCTGAGTTGATGTAGCGGCGGTGGGAGTCTCTCCATCCTGGATAGGCAGCAAAGGCTTGTGATATGTCAACAGCTCTGGAGTCATATTTTTGGTGATCAGATCAAACGCCTTCGCCAGGAACATTTGCTCTGGAATATCGTAGAAGGAATACCCAAAGTCAACGTCCTCGCGTTTCGCCTTTCCCACCTCCAGTCCCATCGTCAGAGTGGGCATGGAGTATGCTGATCCCATATTGAAGTTGTCACCATTTAATGAAAACAGATTTGTCAGGGCAATCGAAAGGCGTCGCAGATCCAGCGCTTCATTAGGGTTGAGAATGCCAGGAATAGTCAGAAGATTCAGAAGCCAACCCAAATCGTCCGCTTGAGGTAATAATTGCGGTGTAGAAAACTCTACACCCTCCAGCAGGGGAACACTGTCGTTAATCGGTGGTTGTGCCTGCGCATACAGTTGCCCCAGCTGCGCCGAAAACGACGTGCCTCGCCGACGACCCTTGAACAATTGACGCAGTAACAGCGAGTCCTTTCTCATGGGCGTTGCCGAAGTTGGCAGCAGCGGCAACGGCAGTGAGGGCTGCAGACTCAGTGGCGGCAACTTCATCTTTTTGCGAAACGGATCGGCAAAGTCGATGTTCAAAGGAGTCAGCAGTGCCAGTGGTGAATACAGCATTTCCATTTCATCCAGGGCGTACTCGTCATCGTCCAAGTTGCCACGCTTGATCAGTTTTCGGCGTAACCTGGTAATAGCGTCCAGACACCCTGCGTGCAACTTTTGGGCGTGGCGCAACAACAAGTCACGACGGGAGAATTTTCGTTGACATACTCCGCAAGCAAAGGGCTTTTCTTTGGTGTGAGAACGCTCATGGCGACGAAGGTGCTCGAGTCTGGCGAACGCTCGGGTGCACACTTGGCACACGAACAACCGGGGCTTCCCCAGCGGGGTGGTACCGTAGGCTGTGAGCTCCAACGGAATATTTTTTTGATCCTTGTCAATGGGGCTAGCCATGGCAGATGTTGAACTTGGTGCCGTAGCCCTATTCCGATCACTGAGAAGCGTTCACGAACGACGGTGCTTGAGAAATTTGTTGAGGAATGTATGCAGGAGGTGGAAGGGGTGCCTCAAAGTAAGATTGGAGGTTGCACCAGTGTCATTTTAAACGACGTTGACTGGATACACATGGCATTTGCAGTGGATAAGGAAGAGAGAAAGTAACTAAAAGCGAATGGAGGGGTTTCGGAGGGGAACGGAGGGGAACCTCGCCAGCTTCCGACAACAAGCTAAGGAGGCCCTCATGCTTGGACGGTGTGTCTGTATGCAGTCGCTTGATGCTTATATACAAGTGTGGGGTAAACCATTCATGGTGGCCGAAAAGTAGCCGCGGGATTTAGCTAATGCTGCCCCAAAATTTCGCAATATATCTTGCCCGGAGTTTTACATGTCAAACTGGTTGGTGACACTCTTTCCCTAGTGTAAATCTGCCTTCCACGCTCTGACCCAATATATCTTACTTTGCCACTCCGAACGTGACCTATTATGCGCTCATAACCCGCGTTAGACCCCACAATAAATTCAGGTGGTGCCGAGAGGTTTCCCCCGTAATCGCTTCACTTTGACGGCTAAGCCAGTAGCGTCTCGTGACCAACCTCGTTTACATAAATATCTACGATTTAAATTAAGCCATGCTCACTCAACGTTAATTCCTAATTTGGGATTTAGCTTAGTGTAGTTGTATGTACCACTTTACTAACAATTTGCCCCACGTTTCGGACTTATCTAATCAGGTTTATTACATTGGTGATTTGCTGTCAATCGCCGTGAATTGTCAATTTGTTAAGTAAGCGATTATCGCTTCGTGGCTATCTCATTGTTTGCTACATAAAAACCAGAACAATCAATCACTGCGTGCAATTAATTAACTTGGTATCCTTAAAGCATGACTTCGCCAGAAGTTTTCATCATTGATACTCTTATTTCAACACCATTCATAAGAACCGCGCTTGCGCATCTAGAGAGTGTGGACATTTTGATTACTGAGGGCAGTCATCGATTGATGTAAAGATTGATTCATGATAACAAACAAGGTCCTGTCATATGAATTACTTGGTTTTTAAATGAATTATCAGGTCGGGGGTGGATCGAACGCTCCACATCATTTTTCAAAAATTTGAGCTGATTGCAAAAGTTGGATTAACGCGGAGTGGGGCACACTCAATCCTGTTGAAATCCGAAACTTCACCAAACAAATGAATAAACAGATGAATGTACTGCTAAGTATTGTGGTGGAGGAGGTATGTCTTATGCTCAACGAATTTTTGAATGCTTTTTAAAACAAATCGATTGTATACTCTGATTGTCTCGACTTTTTGCAGTTGTAAATGTGAAGTAATGTCAACCACAAGTTAATGTAGGATGTCCTTCCTTAGTAACAGGATCCCTTTAAAACTAATCATTTCAAAATATTCAGACAAGGCGATAAGCAAGGTTCCCTACTGTTCGAGTTTTGTTCTCTACACGAGTGCGAACTCCGGTAAGACGCGTCTGTAACGATTTTCTGAATCATGGGTAAACGTCAGAACGACGTGGAGAGTGATTCTCCAACCAAAAGATCAAAATCAGAACTGGATTCATCACACGATCATACTGATGAAGAGGCTTTCGCGAAGTCAGAATCACCCGATGACGATGCTAACGTTGACACCCCTCCAACGGAGTCGGAGGTTGAGAAGAAGCCTACAAAAAAGGAGCTCGCCAAGCAACGAGCTGAAGAAAATCGTATCCAGCGGGAAGCTGCCAAGCAGAAGAAGGAAGAGGAAAGACGGATGAAGGAAGAACAACGTAAACGACTCATTGAGGAACGCGAAGAGCGCAAGCGCTTGGAGGAAGAGGAACGAAAAGAGAAGAAACGACGACTCGAAGAAGAACGCTTGGCTAAGAGACAAGCTCAAGAACGAGAGCGTGAATTGAAGCGCCAAGCACTAGAAGAGAAAAAACGACAAGCAGCTGAAAGGAAGAAGATATTGGAAGAAGAGAAGAAATGTCAAGCTGAAGAGCGCAAACGTCAAGCTGAGGAGAAAAAGCGTCAAGCAAAAGAGAAGAAGCGTCAGCTAGAAGAAGAAAAAAAGCGAAAGTCAGAGGAGAAGGACCGGCTGCAAAAGAAAATTTCCTCATTTTTCACCATGAAGAAGCCGTCCCCGTCGCTGGCGCCGGAGACTCAAGAACTGGAGCTGGAGTATCGTAAGTTTTTTGGCAAGTTCAACTTGAGAGACAACACGACATTGGCACCATTTCAAGCACCCCTGGAATCTGGAATTTCTCGATTAGATGAGATGCTTCGTGGTTCCAATTCAGAAGATCTGATAACAGAATGTTGGAGCACAAATGGAACGTTTGGGTTGCTGGCACCCTCAAGTTTTCTTGCCCCTGCCGAAGCTGAGTTGGAACGGTCACTGGATAGATTTGATGATCTTTTGAAACGACTTGGACCCTTCAAATTTATTAGCTTTTACGAAAACCCCGGAACTCCTTACTTTGGTACGTGGTGTTCTCAACTTCATCAAAAGACTCCACCGGTTGAAGATCCAACGACCAAAATTGAAGGAATTGATTACGATTATGACTCAGAGCTTGATGGCGAAGGCGACGCGGAAGATGTCAATAAAGAGCTGGATGAAGAGGATGTGGACGAATTGGACGACGATGAAGACGATTTCATTGAGCAAGATTCTCATCAGCCCATGCTTGCTCGATCTCTTGTAGTGATTACCAAATGGCGTGATGATGATCCTGCATTTTTTAGGGACTATAAGATTAATACTCTCGTTGAGATGGCCGACAAAATTGATCCGTTTGCCGGCGCTTTAATGGCACAGGAAGCTAGCCCTACCCAGGCTGACACGGCAACAGCCAAACCTCCCACTCAGGTTTCAGGACTGATAGCAGCTCCAAACCAATTGATTGCGAAGAAGAAGGTGATTGAGGACCGAGTGATTGTCGCGAAGCTCATAAAATTTATTGAACAGGAACAGGAGAAGAACTGGAATGTTTCTACGCTTGTGGACTTGGCATGGCATCACTTGAATCAATGTGTCAAAAAGCCCCTACTCAAAAGCACAGTCACTGTGGTTGCCGAACGGAAGCCAACATGGCGAATAAAAGACGATGCCTTAAAAAACTATGCTTCCGAATTAGCAAGCTTAGCTGAATCTTCCAGTCAGACCGCAGAAAGCGACCAATGAAACCGTCGGTGTTACTTATTAGCACGATGCATCAAGCGCGGCAAATAGAGATCTCAAGGCAGACCCCAGACACTATTTGACGTATATAATTCATAGAATATCATTCATTTATCTGCCTAAAACAGATTGTGGTCGTATACGTAAAAGCTTACTCATAAAGCCTTGATTCAATTGTTCTAATTAGATCCATCATGACCAACCGGTTGGTCACGTCCCATAATATTATCAATCACCTTTTCCGACATCGCTTCGTCCAAGACCTTATGTTTGACTCGAACCAGTGGTTTTGAAATTGCCGCCGGCTGAGGAGCTAAACCCCCAGCACAAATATTACGTTCGCGATGCTTCTTCAAAGCATCAAGTCGAGCGAATTCTTTGCCACAGGGACACTTACAGTGTCTTGCCTCTAAATGCCCCTTGACGTGACGATTGAGATCGTGTTGACGAACAAATTTCTTGGTGCAGTAGGTACAGGCAAACGGGCGGTCACATAAATGAGTCTGGATGTGTGACCGCACATTATAGCGACGAGTAAACTTTTTACCACACTCTCGATAAGTGCAGGTGTAAGTTTTGTTCTCGTCGGGGCCTTCCCAATATCGATCAAGCTCACCAGGAGGAAGTAACAGTGTCTTCTTGATGCGTTTGGGCGTCAGTTGTTGGATGTGCTTGCGAACATTTTCGTTGCCTTTAGGATTCGGCAGAATAATCGGCGACCACTCTAGTTGTACCAGCGAACCTTTGACGGGGGTATTAGGGAAGGGGTTTTGTTTCAAAGGGGTGAGCTGGGTGATGGTGGCGTCGGCGTCAACGACCTCAGCCTGCAACGGTTGAGGTCTAGCAGGTGAGCGCACTGGCAGTTGATTCTTGATGGGAGACAGGCCAAAAGACTCCTGAGAATGACGTGGTAAAGGTAAGGACTCAAGTTGAGCCATGAAAACGGGAGGAGGGGGTTTTTGGGGAGTTGAAAACGCCACATCGTGTTCTGGAGAACCGTGGGGGTCGAAGTATTGAGGATTGCAGAATTGAGTCGAATTTTTTAGCACGGGATGGACCGGTGACAGCGTCAAGTTGCTCAGGTACACCAGCCGTTGTGGCAGAGGGCTGGTAGGTTCAGGAGACAGCCATTGAGGCAGCAGATGAACCAGGTGGGACTCCGCTGGCGGAGGAAGAAATGCATTATCCAGGAACTGCAAATTGATGGGAGTGGGCTCTTGTACAGGAATGGGTACGTACTTCTTATCAAGCAAAGGTTCAATATCATCAACGTACACTGGCAGTTCGCGATTGTGCAATTCTTGCAAGTACTTCACCAGGAAGTTTGTGGTGAACAGCGTATCTTTTTTAATTGGCAGCAGCTGGAACGCTCGTGTGGGTATCGGCAGCAGCGGCGGGTATTTGTTGTGTTTAGAGAAATCGGTATAGTCAGCGTCCCAATCTTCCTTTTTTAATGGAGACGAGAAAAACTGTTTATCGTCGTCCAATTCGAAATTAAGAATCTCATCACCGGGAAGCATTTGTTGCAGGGCGACCGGCACCCCCAGCTTGGCCGCTTCCTCGCAATATAAGTCGGCAACATCACTTGGAGCCGTCACACCAAAGATGGCGGTACCCAGGATCTTGCGAGTGCCCGTCGACGGATTATGATAAGCGGATTCGGGCTCGAAGCCCAGAGGGACGTCGAGGTCTTGAAGCCCTGTAAGCGTTTGGTTGAGCATGTCCTCCAACTCGAAGGGGGCCTCAATGTCCCAATGGTTGTACTCCATGGTGTAACACTTCGGTAGATGGAAATAAACAAAATGGGGCCGCAGAGTCTTGCGACGTCTTAAGAAGCATGTCGATAGTTTTGATCGCGGCCATTTTCGTCAGTTTTCAAAACATGCATGCATGTCGTTGTACTCCCGAATCGGGAATATCTAAACATTAGAATCAGGGGAGCTGAGTAAACACAGTTTCCGGAGTGCTAGAACAGCTTCGATACCGACAAGTTTGCGATTCGTAGAATGTATATTGCTATGATTCACAAATGGTTGTACGAGCGGTATAATGGTAGATTTCGATCGCGTTTTTGTGTAGTTCATAAGCGGTGAGTGAAATTAGTTCATGCGCTAATTTGATACCGTCAAAACAATGTCTTTCGGACAATCTACATCTCGAGCATGGTTGATCACGTCCGGGATGCCGGGTATGACTAAATTGGATACGGATCCGTAACCTAAATTGACACCCACATGTTCTTAGTCTATATACAGGGCATAATTTCATAATGACCGACACCACTCTATATTTGCTGAGCAAGTGGGGTATTATTGATTGTGAATAACACCGAATCAGACAGAGTAACCAGTATGAGATCTTTGTTGCCCGTAAAATCCACCACACCGAGCGATGGGTGCGAAATCGAGGCCACTTTGGTGAAGTTATTGAATGCCAATCCTAAACTTTGAAGAGGCAATTGGTGGTAGAATGGGGCTTCAAAAGACTTCATCAGAATGATCTTGTTTATACTGAGGATCCATTCTTCCACAGTGTATTGCAAATCTTCGTCCGCCATTAGTTCTCCAAGTCGGATTATAAGACGGTCAGTGATGTGACACCCTCGCATGATTAACCTCCGACAACTAGTGAAAAGCCGACGTGCAAGGTCAATGTTGCCAAAGCGAACAATATCACTGAGCACCCTTTGATTATACAGAAGATCAATTGTGTCGACAAATTGGTCACAGAGCTCGATTGTGGTGAGACAATTGTACGATAAATCAAGAGTAAGCAACGGTCCATAGTTTGTACAACTGAACTTCTCAAGACTGTTGCGGCTAACATCGATAGTTTGAGTGCAATGCGGGAAATTTAGATACTCAATGCTAGAAATTCCTTTGATTTGCTGGAAATGGAAACTCTTGAGAGGAATGTTCAATGAGACAGGTGTCATCTCGTTGATGGTAGCATTGAATATCTCAAGATGACGCAAACATCGAAATTGATTGAATATCAGAAGGTCCTTTGCTGTGCTTCTCTCTAGTTTGAGCTTTTCGAGAGCCGGAAAATTTTGGGCAACCATGGAGATGTCGATGGTGGCACTATCTAATGCAAGGTCAGTAAGCATCGATGTTTCCATAGATGGCTCAAGACTCAAGAAAGGTTCACTGTATTCGTAGTGAGCCCTAATACCGAGTTTTGTAGTCTCTGAGTTGACAAGAATTCTCACAGGGGGAATAATGGAGGTTCGACGACAACACAAAGTGATTTCAGTACCATAATTGCCAATACTGTAATCTCCACCATGACAACACTTGGCGAACATGTATATTCTCACTCGATTGTCTTTGACAATGTTGGTGATCCGTTCCACGCAATTATAGTCAAACTGACAGCGCCAATGTATATGTAGCAGGACATTCTTATTCAGCATAGTGCTCAAAAACTTCAATCCTTCGACGTATGAGTCGTCAAAGAATTCCCCAATCACAAAAAAAAGGTTGATACGATGGAATATGCTCAAGTCGAGGCCATATTGTTCCAAAGTGTCTCGCGAAGAGAACGGAAGACTGAACGACCACTCTTGGTTGTACACGGGCGGGAATTCCATAGAATGTTCTCGGCAACCTTGGGTAAGTTCCCGGTAGTTTGGACGGTAGTATAAATTGATCACGGCTTTATGGTTGATTAATTCCTGAGCCAAAGGTTGGAGTCGGGGCACTGCCAAACAGGTATGGACGTCTTCTTGAGAAAGATAATCGAGGACTCGATAGAGCACGTCATCGTTGAGTGAGCATGCCATGGAAATCGTGATATCAGTGATATGTCCTGATTTAAACGTTCTTCAAATCCCGATGCCGGTCTTTACCATATCGCTAGGGCTTCAAACCGGTACATCACACCGCTCAGATAAGGAGAAATCAACGGTGCGCGTGTGATGTAAACCAATTAAGTGGTAGCCGAGATGTCCTTCGGTGCGTGGAACTCGAGACCGGTAATATTGTCGTCGTATTGCGAGATTGAACTAACTTTGTCAATGTCAAAGTCTTGAAAAGGAACGTCGCGGCTGCATAGATATCACGTTCTTTTTGATACGACTTCAGGAACATCATTTTCTGTCACATGGCTCCACGTCGGCTGATGAAGCCGATAGTGTGGGTGCGAATCACCATTAGTGTCGGTTGTTACGTCATCACTCTTCTGGTCACCACGAACTTACACAAGTGTGATTTAATATACCACTATTGATTTCACTTATAGCAATCCACTGCCGGGTGTTCCTCCCTATAACGGCTTTCATACTAATCACCGTACTTTTTATCCATGTGCAAACCCCAAATTAAGCATAGGACGCACCAGTATGTACAGGAATGAAAACTATGAGGGGCAAGCTATCCGTGGCTAACCACCCTGTCGGTAACCAAATTTGATGGAATTCGATATTAATTTTAGGTTTGACTGACCATAACCTCATCATACACCTCCACAAGTATCTAACCCGAACTGTTCATGGAAAGTTTGTAGTTTTATCCATGGAAAAATCACATTTTCATGTCAACCCCACACTATGGCGTTCCGATAAATTTCCGTCAGAAGTGATATTTAAACCCCTTGTCTCCGCACTCCCGTTAATCAAAACTAACATGTCGAACCCCAGAGAACCTGTTTACGAATACACTGACAAGGAAACCATCCTTTACAACATCTCCGTTGGCGCCAAGGTCGACGAACTCAAGTACACTTACGAGAATGACCCTGACTTCCAAGTCGTGCCCACTTTCGGTACTATTCCCACCTTCAACTCCGACGAGGCTTGGGAATCGTTTGCTCGTTACTTGAAGAACTACCAATTGCACAACTTGTTGCACGGTGAACACTACCTTAAGGTCCACAAGTTCCCTGTTCCCACGGAAGCGACCGTCAAGACCAAGTTCCACCCCATTGAAGTGACTCAAAAGAAGACTAACACCATCATTGTTCACCTGATCAAGTCTGAAGATGAATCTGGTAACTTGTTGTTTGAAAACGAAGCCACCTACTTCATCAGAAACTGTGAAGGTGAAACTAAGAAGTACGGTGAACGTCGCGAATTTGCCAAGCAACCTTTCGCCGCCCCCAAGGAAGAACCCCAATTTGTTGCCGAACAAAAGTTGACCGAAGAACAAGCCGTTTTGTACCGTTTGACTGGTGACCGTAACCCCTTGCACGTCGACCCCAAGAACGCTAAGAACGCCAAGTTCGAGAAGCCTATTTTGCACGGTTTGTGCACCTTGGGTGTTTCGGTCAAGTTGTTGTTGGACAAGTACGGTGGGTTTGACGAAATCAAGGCTAGATTCACCGGTATTGTGTACCCTGGCGAAACCTTGAGAGTCACTGCCTGGAAGCAAGGCGACCTCGTCCTTTTCGAAGCCCACGTTATTGAGAGAGGTACTAAGGTTATCTCCAACGCCGCTTTGAAGTTGGTGGGTGACAAGGCTAACTTGTAAGTATGTAGCTGGATCTATTTAAGCGAAACATGAACATGACTTGTTCTCGCACAAACCAGAGAATGTAGCTGGAAACACCGCTCGAGATTCCTGTGTAACCGAAGAACTGTGGCTGTAGTGGGGGTGGGGCAAGGGGTTCGGATGAAGGGAGAAAAATAAAACAACCTCCGATGATACCGAGCCACAGTTTGGCAATCGTCTCATTTTGTGAAACTATGAATTAGTAAAAGAAAAACGAAACGGTTTCGTGATTGTTTAATACCGAGGCATCTGAATTCGCCGTTTAGTTGATTATAATTACTGATACTTAGGCGGAGAACCTATTCTTCTAGAATGTAGTTCCCCAATTTATCCATTTTGAGCTGTTTCCCTTGCGTCAAAGCTTCAACAATCTTTTGGTTCTCCTCGTTCAAGTCTTTTTCTTCCTCTTCCCATTCTTCCTCAGTGTCTTCATCATCGGATTCCTCTTCCTCTTCGTCGTCGTCATCGGCTTCGCTGAAATCAGACAAATCTTCATCGCCACGGAGTCTCATGGCAGCGAAAGCCTTTTCAACATCACGGTCTTCACGTTTACCCGTTAACTTCTTCTGATATCCCAGAGCTTTCACTTCTTCATCCAACTTGGCAACTCTGTTGACGTCACGAGCAAAGTTGGGGTAAGCGTATTTGTAACCTTCACCATAACCGTCAGTATCCAACATGGTAGGATCATGTTCAGGGACGTAGCGGAACTTCTTTTCGAAGAACTTGCGGACGCCCTCAACGTCTCGATCGAAGTATGCTCTGGCATCAGGATGGTCGATAGACACACATTGAGGGAAGTCGATGACGATGAATTCAGGCTTGCCCGGTTCAGGCTTGTTAAGCACTATGATGTTAAACTCATTGAAGTCACAATGAATCAAACCGTAATTAGCAAGCTTGACAATAAACTTCATGAGCTCCAGATACAATTTCTTCGGGTTGGGGTGGGTCTTCATATGCTTCATACACATTCCGTCGATCCATTCCATCACCACCATGTGTCTCAGTTGATCATGTGGTTTGGGGACGTTGAACCCGTTGGTGTATAAGATTGTCATAAACTGGTATTCCTTCTCAGCGGCTAGCCGACTCAAAAACATCCACAGCAGCAGATATTGATTATTGCGGAGGTAGTCACGATTATTTTTAACGGTTTTGAAAGAAGTACGACCCAAACGATGGATCTTTAACACCATTTGCTTACCCTTTTCATCGGAAACGGAGTAAATATCCAGCTCTTTCCCCACACCAATAGTTGTACCCACTGAATAAATCAGATTACGATTGAGAAACAGCTTGAGAGCAAGGTAGTCGTATCCATTGTAGGTAAGTCGAAAGCCATCGTATTTAGCATTCCGTAATCGGTTGATGAGCTTTAATTTGGCCAAATCACCGATGGCTCGGTTGGTACCCAGGGGAGCACGGAGACCACCGTACTGATGTATCATAGTAGTGGGAACAAGTTCATGGCTTCGAGAACCAACTTCGACTCCCTGGAGAACCTTCCAATCGTCCGCGGTGAGATACCGCATATGGGAAGTATCTAACTTCATGGTGTGGAGGTGTCGCGATGCTCATCGTTAAACTAACTGATGGGGTTGATACACCAACAAAATTTATGATGATCCCATACTCGCTAAGAAATCACAGTAGATTATCAATATGTATTATTCGAAGACGGGATCGTGGAAATTGGAATTAATTCATAGTTCCTTCTCTCTACGTAGAGAGATCAATTGTCTTGAGGTTATGGGGCCAAATGATAGATCTTAACGTGACTGAGATTCCAAGATAAAAAAAAATGCATTCATTGTATCAAACTATGTAGTTTCGTCATTATCATCATGGTATAAACACTTTGCTCACGCCTCCCACTTCACGCCGGCAGCAAACACAACCCTCCATGCCCTTACTCACTAAAGCAAGCCGACACCCTTCGCAAATGGCAAAGCATTTACAGGGCCAAGTGATTATTTCTCGTGGATTTACTTGGCAAATGACACAATCAAGGCGCAGTGAGGTGTGGTCTTGAGGTTTGGGTTGCAGGCGTTGTTCGAGGAGCAACAGTATGAAGCGTTCAGTTTCGTCGTTAGGAGAACCCACCGAGCGAGCCAGCGAGGTCATAGATTGAAATGCTGAACGAGTAATGCGGCCATGCTGCATATGAGACAGCATCACCGGCGTAGAGAATTCCTCGAACGAGTCCGGGTATACTACTTCGGAGAATACCCCATTAATATCTTCTTCATGATCCGACTCCGAGTAGTCTTCATCATCATCTTCATCATGATAATCAGGCGAGGTATCGATGTCAGCCAATTGATCACCAAATACAAGCAGGTGGTACCGTTCCTCGATATCCTCAACAGTAAGATCGTCAGTGTTGACTAATATTCTTTGAGGTTCGTCAGGGGATTTTAAAGCCAGTTCAAGAAATTTGGGTACATGCTTCTTCCGTGAAACTCGCTGCTTGGCAAGACTTGAAACGAGGTCAAAAAACAGACTTATGATTTGCCCCACAAGGTAAAAACGCCGACCCTGAATGCTTTGTCTGCGCACGCCAGCTATGTCTTCACTTTCGTCATGAGAATTGCCCCCTTCACTTGAAGTCCCGGCCATGATCATGCGCTTTGTAGGCGCGGCCACAAGATTGGCATATCCACGAGACTTTGAGATTAATTTCGGGTCATCAGCAAGTACCAGCGATCGATTGGCAAACATTTGAAGATTTTGCCACACCGTACGGTCGAGCCACGTAGCGTCATCCATATTCACCAACAGTAATTCGGTAATATAACTCAGTTTACCGGCCAGAGAAATGGCCAACATCCCCAAATTCAAAAGAGCGGTGTAAAAGTCATCATGCCAATGAATGTCGAAAGCTGGGCTTTCGCCATTTTCGTCCTTGACGAGAAGAAACAGTGCATAATTCAAGTTGTCAATTTTACCACCATTCGCCAACACCGCGAGCGCAAAGATCATTGCACAAACGGTCACGAGTGATATAATGATGATTTGTGGTAGGAACGTCACCATTAGGATGAAGGGGAACCGTAATATCTGCCCCAACAAAAGCTTACGGAGGAAATAGGCAAGGAACGAGAGCCCGGCAATTGACAGAGGAATCAAGCGGTACTTGTTACCATTAATCAAGCCGCCAAGGTGAATGTTCAAGTGGTTCACCAAAGAGAACAATGCCAGTACCAACACTTCCTCAGTTGGACGACGATAGTGTGTGCCGGAAGAACCGCCAAATATCAATGCTCCATTTGAGCTGAACTCCTGGAAGGCAAACAGATGCTCAAAGATGGTGATACCCAGTTCGGTGTAAGGTTTTTTGTCAGCAAGCACCAGAAGCATAGTTTCCACAAACAGCGACAAGCAAAACGACAAAAACACCGAGAAGTACATGTCGGTGGTGGGTCCCACCATCACTTGGTCCTCAGGCGTCCGCATCAGAGACACATTAGCGAACTTGTCACTATCGTAAGCAAAATAGCGATCAGGAAGCCACCAATAGGGCCGGTCACGATTAGTGTGGCCAAACAAGTTGAGAGCCACAAGAACATGGTACGTATTGACCAAAAGGGTAGTGATTGCCACAAGGCGAGAGCCCCATTCGACAAGAGTGCGCCCCTGAAACCAGGCAAAAGCGGGAGCCTGGCGAAGCACATCGGGAGGAACATCGTCGTCGGCGTGTTCGCGGGCCCGACGTTGTTGTAATGCTGCTGCTTGATTGACGGTGTTATTTGTCAGCGCCATGACGTAGGTACGGTTGAGAATGAGAGCCATGAGCAAGCAGGTGACACCGTAGATCAGACAGCAGTAGCGCGATACTCCCAGCACTCGGGACCACTGGAAACCCAACCGGTTCATGTAGTTCAGTTGGTCGTTGACCGCCAGAGCCAACAGCTTGAGCAAGTGGAACCCGGAAAGATCGCCGTCGGTAGAGGCGTTCACGGGAGGCACGACGGTGGCGTTGGCGAACTCGATCATCGACGAAGCTGCCGTGTGTACGGCGGTCGCCACGGTGTCGTTGGCACCCCCAAAAAACCACATCAGTATCGCTTAGTCCCGCACGAGCGAATTGCGTAACTCAACGGCTATCTGATCCGATCCGCACCACGGTGTCGCAAGCGAGAGATTAGTTGCGGGAGGCCGAGGGAGGTGACCGGTGGGAAAAGAGCAAGTGATGGGACGAACCAGAATAGCACCTATAACAGTGACATGTGACGAAATAAGCCTAGCGGGTGATACCACCCATAATAAGGCCGGCTCATAGCCCCTACGCCTTAGCAGACGGTTAGTAAGTCCGGCGCGACACGCTCCATGCCGTGAGTCTTTGGTACAAACATAGCAAGCACACATCTCTAGACACCGCTCAAAGCAAGGTTGCCCCAATCTAAACTACCCCCTTGCATTCTTGTCCGATTCCTGTCTGTGGATTTGTGTCGCAGTGGTCTCTGGATTACATCTGCGGGAGCCATTTTTCGTAGGTAGTGGGTGCGGCTGGTAGTCTTCTCATTACCTTGTATCATCGCATCCATCTAGAAATGCCTCCTCCACCACCTCCGGGGAAAGGTGGACACAAGCGACCGGCAGCGCCTCCGGGAGCGCCGCCTCTGAAGCGGCCCACCACTCAGCGAGGTCCGCCGCCTCCTGGTGCCCCGCCAATGGCCCCCAAACTTCCCCCTGGAGCCAGAGGTCCTCCCCCTCCTCCTCCCAGCAACCGGCCTCCGCCACCTCGGAATGGCACTAACGGACCGCCTCCACCTCCGGGATCCGTACCTAAAGACCAGGAGCTTCTCAAGCGAAAACGCCAATGGCTTGAATCACAAAAGGTGAGATACCGAGCGGTGACCACAAAGCGAACGAAGAACCTGGGGGCAGTCATCCCGAGGAAACCCATTATGCCCCGAGAGCACTTGCGCCGGATCATGCTTGACCACAAGGATTTGAGTCTGAAGAAAGTTGCCAGAGACAAACGGGCTCACCTTGGGGCTCTCAAGTATCTCCCTCACGCTCTCCTCAAATTGGTCGAGAATATGCCCCAGCCCTGGGAGCCGTCACGCGAGGTGAGAGTGGTCTACCATGTTGCCGGGGCAATCACATTTGTCGATGAGATCCCTCGAGTGATCCCCGCAGTGTACTCGGCTCAATGGGCGAAGCTGTGGCTGCTTATGCAGAGGGAAAAGGCCGACCGTAAATTCTTTCTGCGGATGAAATTCCCACCCCTCGATGATGAGGAGCCGGTGGTAGACTGGCTCGAAAATCTCGAAGGTATCACCCCCTTTGAAGCTATTCGCGACGAAGATGTCCAACCTAATGGTGATAACATTCCTCTCTCAGAGTGGATGTATGAGAAACGGCCACTCGTTGATGACCGAGACTATGTTAATGGGCCCCTGTATCGCAAATGGAAACTAGACTTGGATACTATGGCCGAGCTTTATCAAGCCGCGCAAAGTCTTATTGATCCCGGAGATAAAGTGCCACACCCTTACTTGTTCGACAAACTGGCATTTGCTACTGCCAAAGCATTGAACGTGGCCATTCCGGGGGGTCCTAAGTTCGAGCCGCTTTATCGAGAGCATACCAATAATCCCGAGCTCGAAGATTACACTGAGTTCAATTCCTTGGACCGCGTCATCTGGCGCCAGCCGCGCCGTACCGAGTATCAAGTGGCATACCCTTCTTTGCATAATGACTTTGTCAAGCTGGTAACCCCTGGTCGTTATCATTCCAATCTTGATCTTGGTGGGGCCGTTACGGACCACGGCCCCAACGCCTTTGGCTTTGACGCTCTGATGAACTTGATACACGAGAACACCCACTTCAACGAGACTAAAGACGATGATAATGTGGTTAAAGCCATCCCCCCACTTGAGCATTCGGAACTCACTCCCAAAGGTACATCAGAAGCACTTGGCCTCTACCAGGCGCCCTATCCATTTAATCTTCGTCTGGGAGCTACCAAACGTGCGGAAGATGTTCCTCTTGTCAAGCATTGGTACGCTCGTCGTCGCCCTCTGCCCCGAGCTCCCGTCAAGGTTCGCATTTCATACCAGAAACTCTTGAAGAATGTGGTGATCAATGAACATAAAAGAACCACCAAAAGCCCTTTATCTCACAAATCCATTATTTCACGGCTCAAGCAGACTCGATACTTCCAGCAGACCGAGATCGACTGGCTCGAAGCTGGTCTTCAGGTGGTACAACAAGGTCACAACATGTTACAGTTGCTCATACATCGTAAGGGTCTCACATTCCTTCATTTGGATTACAATTTTAACCTCAAACCTACCAAAACACTCACCACTAAGGAACGGAAGAAGCTGCGGTTTGGTCACCTGTTCCACTTAGTGCGGGAGCTTTTGCGAATGGTGAAGATGGTAGTTGACGCTCATGTCGAGTATCGCTTGGGACACGCAGATGCTTATCAATTAGCCGACGGATTGAACTATGCTTTTAACCATTTGGGTCAATTGACGGGTATCTATCGGTATAAGTATAAGGTGATGCATCAAATTCGACAATGCAAGGATTTGAAGCACGTCATATATGATCGATTCAATCGTCAGATCGGTAAAGGTCCCGGATGTGGGTTTTGGCAACCGGCGTGGCGCGTTTGGGTATTCTTCTTGCGGGGTATCGTGCCATTGTTAGAGCGCTGGCTCGGCAACATGATCAACAGGCAATTTGAGGGTAGACGTGCCAATGACGTTGTCAAGAATATCACCAAGCAGCGGGTGGATCTGTACTACGACTTGGAATTGCGGGCTCAGGTTCTTCATGACATCTTGGACATGGTGCCAGCCGAGCTCAAGGCGCTGAAACTGAGAACAATTTTGGGACATTTGCTGGAAGCATGGCGGTGCTGGAAAGCCAACATCCAGTGGAAAGTACCAGGATTGCCCAAACCGATCGAGAAGTTGATTCGGCGATACATTGAAGCCAAAGCTAATGGGTGGATTGAATTAACCCACTATAATCGGGACCGTTTGCGACGCGGGGTCACCGTGGAAAAGACAGTGGCGAAGAAGAATTTAGGTCGTCTTACTCGTCTTTATGTGAAGCAAGAACAGCAGCGACAAGTTAATCATCGTCAAGGTGGGCCTCAAATCAGTCCCGACGAAGCAGTCGTGGTATTCGACACGATGGTACAGTGGCTCGAAGCCCGCAAGTTCAATCCTATCCCGTTCCCGCCATTACTGTACAAGCACGACACCAAGATTCTCGTGTTGGCCCTTGAACAATTACGGGAAAGTTACGGCGGCGATGCCCGTCTTAATTCATCGCAACGTGAAGAGCTCGCTTTAATCGAACAAGCATATGACAATCCCCACGATACATTGGCTCGTATCAAGCGATTCCTTCTTACTCAACGGATTTTCAAAGAAGTGGGACTTGAGATGATGGACTACTATACGCATCTAGTGCCAACGTTCACTATCGACCCCTTGGAGAAGATTACTGACGCTTATCTTGATCAATACTTGTGGTACGAGGCTCTGACGCGTAACTTGTTCCCTCATTGGGTCAAACCTTGCGACAATGAAATACCTCAATTTACATTGTACAGATGGTGTCAACAAATGACCAATGTTGATCGGGGCCAAGTATGGGATACTCTGAGGGGACAACTGGCGGTTATGGTGCTGCAAAAGCTTGGGAATTTGATGGAGAATGTCGACTTGACCGTACTTAACCGTCTACTCAAATTGGTAGTCGATGGAAACATTGCCGATTATATGACCGCCAAAAACAATGTGGTTGTTCTGTTCAAAGATATGCTGCACGTTAACCAAGTGGGGGTGCTCAAGGGTCTTCAATATTCCCTGTTCATCTACCAGTATTACGGACTCATTGCTGACCTTTTATTTCTTGGGGTCAAGCGGGCTTCTGAGCTCGCTGACCCAGACATGGTGGGTCGAGGCCCTCACCCCATTCGCATGTACATGCGGTGGATGGACACGGCTTATTTTTTCACTAGATTCGATCATGACCAACTGGAGGAGCTTATTAATGACTACTTGACCGCACATCCTGACCCTAGTACTGACTTGGTCAAGGGATACCCGAACAAGCGTTGCTGGCCACAGGACGCACGAATGCGACTCATGAGACACGATGTGACGTTAGGAAGAGCTGTACAATGGGAATTATCCCAGCGTATCCCGCTGCTGGTAGCTCTGACTCGCTGGGAAGATTCTATGTGCCTGGTGTATCTGATTGACAATCCCAATGTGGTGTTTGGCATGATGGGATTTGAGGTACGAGTACTCCCCAAATGTCGCACTAGGGATATGTATTTCGTATCTAGTGAGCCTCGCGAAGGTGCTTGGGATCTTGTCGACACCACTACTCGTCAGCGTACTGCAGTGGCGTATCTTCAAGTGTCGCCTGAGGACATTGATCGATTTGTTCTGAGAATTCGTCAAATTTTGATGCTGAGTGCGCTGACCACATTCACTAAAGTGGCGCAGAAATGGAACACGGCCTTGATTGGTCTTGTAACGTATTATCGCGAAGCTATCATTGCCACGCCTGCTTTGTTAGACGCTCTTGTCAAGTGTGAAACTCGTATTCAAAATCGGGTGAAAATGGGGCTCAATCTGAAAATGCCAACGCGATTCCCGCCGTGTGTGTTTTACTCACCTAAAGAACTTGGTGGGCTCGGCATGTTGCTGGCACTGCACGTCCTTATCCCGATTCTGGATTTACTGTGGCTGAAGCAAGCTGAGCTGGGACAAATTACTCATTTCCGAGCTGGTCTCAATAATAGTGGTGGCGAGAACCCCGTCATTCCCAACGTCTTCCGTTACGTCACCACTTGGGAAGATGAATTCGGCGACTCGCAGAGAGTGTGGGCTGAATACAGCATTAAGCGGCAAGAGGCTCTGGAACAGGGACGAAAGTTGACATTTGAGGACATGGAACTGCTGTGGGACCGAGGCATCCCTCGTATTCTGACGCTTTTTCAAAAAGATCGTCACACTTTAGCCTACGATAAGGGACACAGAGTGAGAAGATTGTGTAAGCAATACTGGCTTGGACGGATCACTCCATTCTGGTGGACGCTGGCTTCCCACGATGGTAAATTGTGGAACTTTAATACTTATCGAACAGATATGATCCAAGCCCTTGGTGGTATCGAAACCATTTTGGAGCATACCTTATTCAAGGCCACTGGGTTTGCTCTGTGGGAAGGCTTATTTTGGGAGAAGCAGACTGGGTTTGAAGAGCTGTTGAAGTTCAAGAAGTTGACTAATGCCCAACGTCTGGGGTTATCGCAAATTCCTAATCGGAGATTTACGCTTTGGTGGCTGCCAACAATCAACAGAGCCAACGTGTACGTTGGGTTCCTTGTCCAACTTGACTTGACTGGGATCTTCTTGCATGGGAAAATCCCCACTCTCAAAATCTCCTTGGTGCAATTGTTCCGAGGCCATTTGTGGCAGAAGATTCACGAGCTGGTAGTACAAGACTTGTGTCAAGTTTTCGATAAAGAGGTGGATAATTTGGGGATAGATACTGTTGAAAAACAACCAATCCACCCTCGTAAGTCGTATAAGATGACTCTGGGTGAGGCTGATGTCAAAGTCACTCTGGCGTTCCCTTGGCCAGTTACGCTGCCATCTCTTTTGTTGGATGACGATACCAATGCCACCACCACTGCAACCAAATGGTGGGTTGACGTTCAAATTCGTTTTGGTGATTATGATTCTCATGATGTGCTGCGGTACGCCAGAGCGAAGTATCTCGACTATACCACTGATAACATTAGTAAATACCCTCTGCCGTTTGGGGTGGTTGTGGCAATCGATCTAGCTTACAATTGCTATGATGCATTCGGTAACTGGCCTCCAGGGTTCAAAGTATTGATGCAAAATGCTTTGAGGGAAATCACTAAACTGAACCCGGCATTAGCCGTTTACCGTGAACGTGTCCGGAAGGGTCTTTCTTTGTACCAGCTGCAACCGCAAGAGGCACAGTTACTGGCGGGGAATTACCAGGAACTTTTCAGCGGCAAGCGTAAACTTGTTATTGATGATGCCAATGTTTATCGGGTGACTTTACATAAGACGGAGGAAGGAAACATGGCGACGAGACCGATCAATGGTGCTCTTTTCATGATGGTGCCAACACTGGGTAAGCTTTTCCTCAAAGTGATCCACAAGCTGGTATTTGCGGGTCAAAAGAGAAGAGGTCAATTGGCTAAGTGGAAGCTGGCAGAAGAAGTGGTGGCACTTATGCGGGCATTGCCCAAGGAAGAACAACCTGAACAGCTTGTGCTCACTCGTAAAGGTGTCATGGATGCTCTTGAAGCCCAAACACTCGACTTTCCCAATTTGGGATTGAGAAATTCTGAGCTCAAACTCCCCTTCCTGGCGGCATTAAAAGTACCCAAATTAGCTGCAATTGTCGAGGATCTGGAAAAACCTGAGTTGGTGTTGCTCAACCTATATGATGACTGGCTACAGGAGGTTCTGCCATTGACAGCTTTCAATCGTTTAGTGCTTATTTTGCGAGCGTTTTTGTTGAATTCCGAGAAAGCGCAGAGAACAGTTTATCCTGATGGTGTCGATGTACTTCAACACCACATCTGGCCGATGTACTCGGCTAGTGAATGGATGGACGTTGAAGCGCTGCTCCGAGATATCATTTTGGCGGACTTTGCCACCAAGTATGGCATCCTGACCAATACACTTACGGCCCTGGAGATCAGGCTGCTCATTTTGGGAGAGGAGATTCGTGCCCCTGATACTTCTAGAGAGGCCATGGCCCAAATTGAAGATTCCAACACTGAAGAAAAGAATCCACAACTAGCTGCAGTCAAAACCACCACCACCAACGTTCATGGGGAGGAAATCATCACGGTGACGACCACTGGCTATGAGCAGCAAGCGTTTGCTCTGAAAAATGAATGGCGTCAACGGATGCTCGCAGCTAATTCTCTCCACTTGCGGGCGAAGACTTTACAAGTTCGCCTGGAAGACAATGACGGAGTTATGTTTGTGTTACCTCAATCTCTTTTGACTCGGTTTGTGTTGTGTTGTGATTTAAGAATTCCAGTCATGGGCTATTTGTACGGGAAGCTGCCTTCTGGTGAGAACGAGATCAAGGAGATCAAGTTCATCGCATTAGTCCCTCAACTTGGTGGTGCCGGGGGAGTTAAAACGCCTAAATCTCTTGCGCCATTACCTAAGGAGTTAAAGGACCTCGAGCTCATTGGCTGGATCCAATCTCTGTCACTGGAATCCGAAATCATGTCAGCGTTGCAGGTTCTGACAATTGCCAAGATGGAGTTGGGGTCATCGAGATTTTTGTCGATGACAGTCTCATTTACTCCCGGGTCGATAACGATTAGTGGTCACCATGTAACTGAAGCGGGCCTTGCCTGGGGTCAGACTAATGAGGATACCGTACTGGAGACACCTGAAGGATCTCTTGGAGCTCTGTTTAGTGTCGGCGCCGAAATCATGATGACTGATCAATTACTGGGCGCCTTTTTAGTCCCTGAGGATCGTCTATGGAACTATTATTTCATGGGTTCGTTGTGGAATACTGACATGGAATATAGATTTGCAGTTGATGATCCCCGAGGATTTTACGACGAAAATCACCGTCCTCTTCACTTCAGTCTGTTTGGGAAAATAACTGGCGGCGATGATGCCGACGACGACGATGATGATAATTTAGCATAAAGAGTTCAGAAGTATCTATTCTGTTAATAAGTCATAGATCAAATATAGTCTTCATCGCACTCTTGAAATTTGCACTGCACTGAGAGTCCTGAGATCGGTTGCTTGTTGCATTTTCGCGGTCCTGCGCATAAGTCGCCAACGCCAACTCACCGATCATAGCGTTCAACTACAATATCCACATAATCAACCATGGATAAATTTCCCGAGATCGATGTTGATGGCGAAGAAATCCAGGGTGATTTTTTGGCCAGAGAGAAGGAATTGATGGGCGATGAATTCCTGACCGAACATGACGAGGCCATCACTGAGTTCGAGTCAAAGTTCCCCGAGGTGAACGACGAAGCGGACGACGACGTCGCCGAACTGCAACAGGTACCTCCGGTGACTAGAGACTCCGAGGAGGTCACCCAGTCGATCAACGGTGTTAAGCTGCTCAACTTGGACGATTCCGAGCCGATCAAAGAGTGGCGTCAACGGAGAGACCTCGAGATTGAGGAACGGGAAAAAGCCAACGCCAAGAAGAAGGAAGACATTAGAAAGAAGGCCGAACAAACGATTGACGACTTTTACTCTAACTACAACGAAAAGAAGGAAAAGCACGCCAAGGAAGTTGTCGACGAACAAACCAAGTTTACTGAAAAGGGCGCCACATTCCTTAGCCGGGGAACGCTTTGGGACCGTGTCGATGAGTTGATCAAAGAAGTCGGCGAAGTTCCTAGCGAGGGCCGTGATAAGACACGGTTTAAGGAAGTCTTGACCAAATTAAAGGGCAAGGAAAACGTCCCTGGTGCGGGCGGTTACACTAAGTAATCTGATCACGGGTATATACTATTATTGTACGGAATACATTTAGTTTTTCAACTTACCTACCAACTTGAACATGTCGTTGGCGCGGATCTTTTGGGCCCGGTCATCCAAGCGACCCTTGGCGTCATCATAAGCGTTGAACAAATACCACACAAGCGCCAGCAATACCACCAGCTCGCCGCGGTTGATGCGGAGTTGATCAACGACAGGGTGGCCCGACTTCCATTGTCTCCACTTGGTGACAATCATCAAACGAAGCAAGTACAGGTTGATGCGTTCCATCAATTGAGGCAGGTACTTGCGAACATCTCTCTCGGGACCGTTGTAACCGAGGGGGTTTAACACACCCCAGTCGGCAATCTTGAGCGTGAGCCAAGCCGAAAGCGCCCCGACGGCCCCAATGTACCACTTACGGTTGGGGAAGTAGTGGGCAAAGTTTTTCAGCGATCCCAAGAGGAAAAACGCAAAGAGGTTGGGGAAGACGATCAAGTTCGTCAATGAATTACTGCGATGGAACACAAACAAGCCAGCTTGAGTGGCACCGAAGCCGGAGTCGATGTGCTGTTTGATTTTCTTGAAGTCAAACACCGAGGTGACGGCAGCAAGCGCCACGTTAATTTTGACGTAAGTTTGAGCAAGACCATTGAGGTCTATACGCTGCACATACGGCGACATGGTGAAGTTTAACCAAAGTGGCTCCATGAAGTACTTGTTGATGGAGGGAGGAACCAAGCTGCCCGGCAGAAGGAACTGAGACAACAATGTACCAAAGATGATGGGAAATGCCAACTTGGGGATTTTGGGAGCAAACGCCAGCGCCGCAAACACGGTAAAGTAGTCATTGGGCGAGTAATCGTTGTCAAAAGTGGCAGCGAGCAAGGTTGCAGCACTCAATGCGTTACCACCAGCTTGAGACAGAGTAATATCTCTGTACAAGCGGTTCAAGGAGAGGAATGCCGCCCACACTGGGGCTCTGGGAGCCTTGAGGAGGAGAAGGGCTACCACCCATTTGATCCACTTCGAGATAGAAGGGTCATTGAGAGCCAAGTCGATGATGTTCAGCATTTAGGGTGTACAGTAAACTTGTAGCACACGGGAATTGGCAGTGAGTTTTATGGGGCAAGTAAAAAAACACATGGATCAGCAAGAGAGCAAGGATACCTTAGAAAAGATCTCCGCACAGCCGCGACCCTTATCCAAGCAAGAGGGAGTGCGGGGGGTTTAGAGGGGCCACGAGCTACATATCCAGACTACCTACATACAAAGCCAGTGTGGCGCAGTTTGGATGTGTCCAAGCCACATTGAACGACGAAAATTCGCTGGTGCTTGTACCATTGAACGGTGCTTTTCTTGTTGCTGGCTTCATTTGAATTAGCAAGCATTGCCGAATTAAGTGGGCCAGGTTGCGACCCGCCTTAACCGGTAAGATCACGCGGACCCCAGATAATCTCAAACTCACAGAGGCCGTTGGAGTTTAGATGGGTATCGATTTGGGATGTTATATTCTAGTTTATGCCAGTCGATAGCCTTCGTAGATGGCCTTACGAGGGTTCATCCTGGAGTGATCTTTCGAATGTGGATCAATTGCAGCGTGATGTACCCTCAATCGTGATGTCAACACAAGAACGATGTCAGTGTTATATTGGTAGGGATCGGATCGGCACACAAACGCCATCCCTTGCACGCGACGGATGACGTGCCGCTGGATGCTGGTTGCGGACGCGTGCCCGGGCCGATAATCGCGGTGGGATTTTAGCTGCACCACCGGCGAGAACCCGCCTAAGTGAATCTCACATCTCAGACCCTCCTGCGATTATCCAGCTCGGGATACTTACGACAATCTTCAGTCACTTGGGTACGCTAAGCTTAAGCTTGGCGGTTTGTTGATTGTGATCGGTTGCACTAAGTGCTTTTTTTTCGAATACATTGTGAACTCCCGTGTCGATGTCGTCGCCACCGTCAATCTCATCCACCAGCACCCCTCTGACCAGTCGAACTCGGCTGAGGCGGGGCCTCAGTCTTCTGGCAGTGCTGCCCATAGTCATCCTGCCCACTCGGGTCCAGGAGCAGCTGCCCCAATCGGTGGAAAGAGTCCCGTCGAGGACCGCAACGAAATTCATCAGCAGTACCGTGGAGGAACTTCCACATGACTTTGAAACTATGGATATTGACCACCAGCTCCGATTGCTTGCTATGAAAGAGATGGAACTTGTTGAGCTTAAAGATCGACGTCGTGATCTAGATCAACTGATATCAACCAACGAGGCTCAACTACATCGATTACGGGTGGTTATACAAAGAAGCTTATACAGTCAAATGAGCACCCCCACTCAAGCACCACAATCTACTCCCACTCCCTCGCGCAATGGCAGCTTGAAGCGCACATCGAGACGTTCACCACCTGCATCGACGAATCGTCCTAGAACCAACTCTAACCCACGCGATGAAGCAATCATGGCAACACGGAGACGTCTGGGAGGTGTTGACGAGCGGTGGTCGCTGTTTTTTGATGACCCATTGCGACACCGACCCGAAGAGCTTGTGGCTCAAGTATCGTCTTCACTTTGGTCTTTTGTCAGTGATATGAAGCAAGGTATGCTTTCTAGACTTGATGAGGAAACCACTGTCGTCAATAACTCCGATGACGACGACGACGAAAATAGTGAAGAAGGTGACATTCAGGTGGACTTGAGCATGTATCAAGCTATCCGACGTAAACAAGAATCAGATCATCATCCTTATGTTGCTTATTGATAAAGGATGATTGCATAACACGAAGATAGGGTGAATTGTCGTTGGTTCAGCACTTTGTACACTACAAAAGTCCATTGATAAATGAAACTGACTCATTTTGTTCTATCTCAGATAAATACACATACAATTTAAACGACCTTTGGCAATTTCAATGGTCTAAATTATATTGTTTTACACTTTTAGACTTTGAGGGACTCTGCTCCACCGTACATTGCTGTTTGTGCATCTGAGTGCGACGTGTAAAATCAAAATCAGAGCTATGTCCTTGGGGGAGTTGATACTGAAACATGAGCTTCAACTTTCGCAAGCTGACGATCAATTGTACGATTTCTATGCTCGGATAGAATCAAATCAGATCAACCTTCCTACTGAACAATTCGAAGACTCCGAAGAAAGAGGACTCCATTCACTTTCACTTCCAGATCTCGACGCAAAATACAACGAGTTACGCAATGTGATGAATGAGCTTGATACCCTCAAAGTTGTTTCAAAAGACGTGGAAGAACTCCATCATTTGATTGCTAAAGAAAACCCCAATACGTTGGATTTTCATCGCACATTTCAACTCTTTGCAACTTTAGAAGTTAGTTGCACCAGTCATACAGATCTTATAATTTATCAGCAAATTTTGAAGGATGTGGCAGAATTACGTCTCCAATTCAGTATGCAACTCAACAATTACCTCAAGTCGTTGATTCCATCGCTGAAAAAGGTCCGACCATTGGTAATAGGAGAATTCAACCAATTACTTGAAAGACATCTGATCAAATTGGAATGGTATACTTTTTTAAAAGAGGAGTGGGATGTTATGGTTGAAACGTTACCAACTCTGGGATGGAAATTGCATCAAAGAGAGCTAGAGGACGGCGATGAAGAATTGGAATTATCCAAGGCACCCGAGTCTTCATTCCTTCAGCTGACTCTAGCATTTATTGAGTACATTAACGCTGTTGATCTGGAAGCAATTCGTCGTTATCTTAACTCTAAGTTAGGACGCGTTGTGGTTGAAACTGTTCTGAAAAATATCAATCGAATCATCAATGACCAAAGCGAGGTCAATGCCATTCTTGAGCTTACTAAAATTGATGGCTGGCAACTTTTCCCACAATTTGATTCTGAATTGTCGATTCAAGATAATCTCAAGGTGATTTACGATTATCACAAAGTCGATGAGGATATCGATAAAATTCGAAACATTTTTGCCGAGGAAATAAGCTTGAAGGATTGGGAGTTACCTTTAAGCGGCGAGGAGTTTTCAACTACTGAGCATGCTGAAAATCCACAACCGCACACCGGTCAAAGCGGACAATTTGCGACAGAAGCACCTGGTGATGTTAACGATGACGATGATGGTTGGGGTGATCAGTGGGACGATGACGCTTGGTCGGGAGACGAGGCGAAGGCAACGAAAAGCGTACCCGCGGATGATGAATCTGAGGACAACTGGGATGATTGGGGTGATGACACTCAGACTACAGCTCCTACTTCTCCTGCAAAGAAACGGAAAGTAGGACAGGTGAAAAAGACAAATTGCAGCTCACATATTCAAGTTCACTGTACAGACTACCCTCGGCAACTTTTGCCATTGATCAAGGATCATGAATCAAGCGCCGACTTAATATCAGCCATTAACGCTCTTGCCATACAAACATATCCTCCTACGACTGAGCTGCTCCTTCTCTACAATGACATGTTCCAACTCTCTGACGCTACTGGAAACGACAAATTCCGAAATTTTGGGATTCAACAATGGAGACAAACGCAGACGGCATGGTACCAATTCCTTGGTAACACTTTGGCCGCGTTGAATTTATCAGATGAAAACGACAATGTCGAATCACTACTGGACGACTTCGAGTTGGATGGTGCCAATTTAGACAAGGTGCTGCAAATCCATCATTGGATTGAAGGACGGCTTCTGCTGGATTTAGGGCTGACTAACGCGCATGAGTTTAAGCGACTTATGCTCCAACTGATTGATTACATCAATAACCGTTTCATCTTGGAAGTTCTCAACTTAGGGCTGATCACCGAGTTTCAACTGGCAAAAATTTCGGCAGTCATAAATCATTTAAAGAACTTGACAGTTCCTACGATAATTGCACTCGCCATTCCCACTGATAAGGTTCCTTCAGTACATCGTTTGGACAACTTGAAATTGTTGGTGAATCGACTGCTAAACGAAATCATGGACCATTTTTACAATGGTGACTTTTACGACTATACCACAGATGAACTTATTCGCATGATTGAACAGGTATTTATTAATCTGGAGCTTCGAACCCAATCAATTCAAGAAATTATCGAGGTTCGCACTGCTAGCTAGTAAATAATTCAAACAAATCACAACGTCTTACCTCCATTAACCTTCTTCCCCGTCTTCTTGATCTTTTCGAGCACGGTTTCGTATGACACATCGTCGTTTGCGATCACGTCAACTTTTTGGGTGTCAAGGTTGGTAGTGACGGTGTTAACACCATCCAACTTATTGAGAACCCGCTCGATAGCACCTGAGCACCCGCCACATGCCATCTCGACATCAAACTGATAGTGAGCCATAATTGTGGAAACTATGTGGTGTGCGCCATTTTAAGTATAAAACCGGAAGGTTATGTAGTGGTAGCGCTGACGCCATACATGTTATACGGTTATGTGCCCATGCACATCAGCCTCAACTCATATTGGATTAATTTCGCGCATTTTATCGGTGGTTGTTTAGGTTCCAGAGACTTCGATTGAATGCTTTCGCGCCTACCAATTGCCGACTGAAATTCCATTAGGAGGCGATTTTCCAATGCAATTAAGTAGATAGATTGAAGATTTAGTGTTTTTGCTGTCGAATTTCATCTTATGGGATTGCACTTCAGTGCTAACACCAATAGCAGTATCTGTCACCATCGGACAAAATCGGGAGTGATAATTCTGTCCCCAAAATATTGCAACTAAAAGACAACAAAGTTTACAAGCCATAGGAGCTAAGCAACCGTCTGAAGAATGATTTTCACCGGTTACAGACCTAGATTTTATAAAGCGTTCACGTATGCGATCGTCTTCCCTGAGGGTGAAAGGCAGTCCTGTATATAGTGGCAAATACCCAATTATATAAAAGCGACTCCGGTACCGATCAAAAATTTGAGACCCCCATGCTTAGATACTCTACCCGTACCCTCTCGAAGTCGGCCGTGCTTAGAGCCGCCACCCGGACTGAAACCGATGCCTTCGGTCCCGTTGAAGTCCCCGTCGACAAGTACTACGGTGCCCAAACTGCTCGTTCGAAGCACAACTTCAAGATCGGGGGCCCCGCTGCTCGCATGCCCTTGCCTGTGGTCCACGCTTTTGGTATCTTGAAGAAGGCTGCTGCCACCGTCAATGAGGAACTTGGCGCTCTTGACCCCAAACTTGCCGACGCTATCAAGAAGGCTGCTACCGAAGTTTCCGAAGGTAAGTTGGACGACAACTTCCCCCTTGTCGTGTTCCAAACCGGTTCGGGTACTCAATCGAACATGAACGCCAATGAAGTCATCTCCAACCGTGCCATCGAATTGTTGGGCGGTGAATTGGGCTCCAAGACCCCCGTCCACCCCAACGACCACTGCAACATGTCGCAATCGTCAAACGACACCTTCCCTACTGTGATGCACATTGCTGCCGTTACTGAAATCAACAACCAATTGTTGCCCGAACTCACCAAGTTGAGAGACGCTTTGCAGGCTAAGTCCGACGAGTTCAAGGATATCATCAAAATTGGTAGAACCCACTTGCAAGACGCCACTCCTTTGACTTTGGGTCAAGAGTTCTCGGGATACGTTCAACAATTGACCAATGGTATCGAACGTGTCGAGAAGGCGTTGCCTAACCTTTACTACTTGGCTCAAGGTGGCACCGCTGTCGGTACTGGCTTGAACACCAAAAAGGGCTGGGACTCTAAGGTTGCTGCTGAAGTTTCCAAGCTCACTGGCTTCCCTTTCAAGACTGCCCCTAACAAGTTCGAAGCTCTCGCTGCTCACGACGCCATCGTTGAAGCTTCCGGTGCCCTCAACACCGTCGCTGTGTCGTTGTTCAAAATTGCCAATGACATCAGATACCTTGGCTCCGGTCCCAGATGTGGGTACGGTGAATTGTCCTTGCCTGAAAACGAACCTGGTTCTTCTATCATGCCCGGTAAGGTTAACCCTACCCAAAATGAAGCTCTCACCATGGTTGCCACTCAAGTTTTCGGCAACAACGCCGCCATCACTTTCGCCGGTGCTTCGGGTCAATTTGAATTGAACGTTTTCAAGCCCGTGATGATCGCCAACTTGTTGTCGTCGATCAGATTGGTTGCCGACGGTGCCAGATCGTTCAGAGAACACTGTGTTGAAGGTATCCAAGCCAACGAAAAGAAGATCGACCAATTGTTACACGAATCGTTGATGCTTGTGACTGCTCTTAACCCTAAGATCGGTTACGACAACGCCTCGAAGGTTGCTAAGAACGCCCACAAGAAGGGGTTGACTTTGAAGCAATCCGCCTTGGAATTGAACATGTTGACTGAAAAAGAATTTGACGAATGGGTCAGACCTGAAAACATGATTGGTCCCAAGTAAGTTAATATTGTATATACGTCAATGAGACAATGAATTATGGTTGATTTAGTTCACTCATTACAGATAGATTTAGCTCAACTGTGGCGCAATTTCGCCACTTGCCCCGCGAAATTTTCATAGTATTGTATCCGGACACGACCCTAAAGTCTGGAGAAGCCGCGGTCAAGCACCGCAATATCGTGGATTAGTCATCTGGATCACACTAATGGAAGTTGTTGTTCTTACCAAAGACTGGTTTTTCTACAATAACCGGGATTTCAGTGCTTTAACAAAGGTCGTGAATAAGGCCTATGATAAAGTTCACAAGCGGTTTGGTCATATTCAAAACCCACGAATCAAGACCCCAGAGAAATTTTTGCAAGAACTTGGGGTTTCCAAGAATGATGAATTCATCTTTTTTGTTTTGATTGCACCCTCCCGTGCTGTGGCTGAATTGCCTCGTCGTTCATTTAACCCTCTGAACAACTACGATGAGCTGTTAGACTGCCAAATACCGATCGAAGTTGCCGAACAATTGAAGGTGTCGCCTAGAATGCGGTTTATTCCTGTGACAGAAGAATTTGAATTCACCGATGATATTTTACACAGGGTATTAATGACGGTGGGGCTCAAGTCCAACTCTGGTGCTTCGGGCCAGTGTCCTGTTGACCACAAAGCGATGACTGAAAGCAAATGTCCCGTGGCTCACACCAGTCAAGCCAACGGTAATGGCAAGTGCCCTGTGGCTCATACTAGTCAAGCAAACGGTAGCGGCAAGTGCCCCGTTGCCCATTCCGCTGAAGCTAATGGTGATGTAAAAGCTCCTGTCAATGGCAATGGTACCCATTCCATTGATCACACAAGCACGGCCTCACTGGCCGCGCCGAACGGGGTTTGTCCCGTCAGCCATGCGACTGCTACCACAAATGGCGGGTGCCCTGTATCATCTAAAATGTCTGCACCTGCTGCAACTGGAACTTGCCCTGTAACAGGTCAGCTGGTGGCAGCACCTGCGCTGGGAGCCGTTTGCCCTGTCACGGGACAATCGGCCCCTTCTTTCGATCCTCATGCTCATGGTGGTGATGACCCCAACGCCGTTTGTCCCGTCACTGGTCTTCTGGCTAAAGATAAACAGCCCGCCCGTTCAATCGTTGAAGCTCACGATGTTCCCAACGGTATGAAAGAGGCTACTGTTACAGCTTTCACACTGTTCCTTCCTAAACAAGCTTCCGTTTTCCTTGATGTTGTTCTCGACAAATTGTTGAACTCACCTGCATTGTGGAGTTACTTTTCTCCAACCATAAATTTATCTAGCGTGCAAACGTTGAAGTTACTTGCTGACACAGTTAAGGAACACAGACTCGTTGAATTTTACTGCAATTACTGTGATTTCACCGTAAGTCAGAAGGAGCCTGTCTTGGTAAAAGCTTCGAGTGAGTGCCCGTTCCCTGACGAAGTTGTGGTAGCAAAGCCATTTCATGTTGTTTACACAGAACGCCTTGTCACACGGAAGAGGCTTGATGAACGTTTAGGTCTTTAATGATCCTGTGAGGCCGTACATAGATTGAATCGCTATTGAAGTCTTGAATATTGAAGATCGTTGGATTGTAGATCGATAACATGTTTCAGGTTCAAGTGATACATGAACTGCTTAGCTTGAGTCGAATCTATATGTATATTATGGTACATGCATTAATGGTGGTCACCGTGGTCGTTCTTGTTCAAGACAAACTTTTCGTACCCACAGAAGAGAGTAAAAGCAACCACGGCAATGCCAAACCCGGGGAAAGCGTTCTTGAATCTGTTGATCCGAGTGAATTGACCTTCGTAACGCCACGCGTCTCTAGTTGGTTAGTTTCAGACTCAGCATTTTCGTTCATTCGGGATTATGAACGGTCATAAGCGCAAAACCTTGTGTAATTCCAAGCGAAGAGCATTCGAGCATGGTACGTACCTCTTAGCCCAAGGGTTGTTCGACATGATGGGTTTGTAGGAGAATAACCTTTCGGCACAATTTCATTGGCGCGCATTTATATGCAGGGCACTGGATAGCTATGTTGGAAGATTTGACAAAACGTTAGCTATGTATTCGATTTAGGTAAACTATGACAAAGAAACGTTTCCATAAGCCAGGTCAATGACCAAGATTAGGAATAAACCACCCAACAGCGTCAAATCGGTGAGACCAAGCCTAGATTGATGGTAAAGATACAGAGCGGCGACTGCTGCCTTCAACACAGAGGCAAGTGATAACTTGAAGTCCAACAGAAGTGATTGATTGTATTTTCATGGTACCTTTGTATCACTATGTCTTACCCCGATAGATCTGAAATTCCGTTCATGGCTTATTAGTCATAACTCTGCGCCTTTGCTTAAGGTTCAATTGTATCAACACATCCGTCACGGCCGAGGTGATAATGAAAATCATTGGGATTGCAACCATGAGTCTAACTATCAAGCCACTGTACACAAAGATTCTGGTGCATATGACGGCAAGCACGAGCTTCACCACGAACGCAGCTAAAGTTTCTGAAGTTAATCGCATGCTGCGAAATGTATCGCGTGATTCCTATATCCCAATAAATTCATAGTACGTAATCATAATCTATCACTTAGTCAACATAGAGTCTCTTGCAGGCCCGGTACCAACCCACTTGATTGGAGTTTCCAAATAGTCCTCAATGAACTTAAGGTACTTTTTAGCTTGTTCTGGCAAGTCCTTGTAATCCTTGATCTTCGTGATGTCTTGTTGCCATCCTTCGAAAGTTTCGTAGGTAACTTCAACCTTCGCCAATTCGTTAAGGTCTTCAGGGAAGGATTCCAATTCTTTTCCGCCGATCAGGTATTTCGTGGCAACCTTGATTTCCTTGAAACCATCCAAAACATCTAATTTGGTGATATTAAGGTGAGTGTAACCATTAATCCAACAAGAGTATTTCATAAGGACAAGGTCCAACCAGCCACAACGTCTCTTTCTGCCAGTGGTTACACCAAATTCAGCACCAACATCTTGGAGAGTTTCACCGATTTCATTGAGCTGTTCAGTAGGGAAAGGACCGGCACCCACACGAGTGGTGTAAGCTTTGACGACACCATAGATGTTGCCAATCGACGCAGGAGGCACGGCCAAACCTGTAAGCACCCCACCAATCCCAGTGTTGGAAGAAGTCACGTAAGGGTAGGTACCATAGTCAATATCAAGTAAAAGAGCGTTAGCACCTTCAACAAGAACTTTCTTGCCACTCTTCCAGGCATTGTGCATGAAAGCGACACCGTCAACGACGAAAGGACGCAATTGCTCACGGTACTTCTCGTATTGAGCAAGTTCAGCCTCAGCGTCGTACTCGAAGTCACCGTAACGCTTCATTCTCAGTTCCACGAGACGGTAATAACGAGTCTTGAATTCTTCCCAAGCAGAGGGGTCAGGGTTGACCAAGTGGTGTACTCTAAGACCCGATCTGGACGCCTTTGTCGAGTAAGTGGGCCCGATACCCTTACCAGTGGTACCAATAGCCACCTTGTTTGTCGAAAGTTCGGCTTCCTTCAACTTATCGGTTCTCTTGTGGAATTCAAAGGTGAGGTGGGCTCTAGACAGCAAGAACAAACGGTCACGACAGTCCAAACCCTTCTTTTCGAGGTTTTCAAGCTCCTCAAAGAAGGACGGCACGTGAACGACGACACCGTTACCAATCAAGTTGACACACTTGGGGTTTACCAAGCCTGACGGCAACAAGTGAAAGTCGTACTTCTTGTCACCAACGACAATAGTGTGCCCAGCATTGTTACCACCTTGGGCACGAGCACAGACATCCATGTCATTACATAAAATGTCCACAACTTTACCCTTGCCTTCGTCACCCCACTGGGCTCCAAGAACGACGTCAATCATTGGTTGAAAATTAGTTGTACTCGAAAACAGACACGTGATGAACCGTGTTCAAGCAAATTCTACATTTAAGAAAAAAAGATTTGTTAGCGGGGGTTCCATCTCTTTTATGTGAAAATGGCCATCGCGCTAAATTACTTGACTCGGATCAGTACAGTCCGAGGTCAAAGTGGTTTTAGTGTTCAGAATGGCTGGGTTTAGACGCCAAACTTCAAGAAAAAACCTGTAAATCAATCCACAACTCTATGGATCAACTTTCAGGGTTTAACTTCCATAGTTATATTGAAACTGGACGCGAATAAGTGAAGGTACCCCTAGACTTTAGAAGCTATGATTTTGATTGGTCAAGCTTTTGGCTTAATAGTACAGGATGACCGACATATATTCAAATATTTGAATTCAAAATGATGTATACCATTAATTGTCAAAAATAAGAAGTTAAACGAATGGCGATCCTTTGAAAAGCTCACTGAAATTGAATGCTTCCATGCATTGTAGCTGCTTGTCATCCGTTACACACAGAAGCTGAGGTGCGTGATGATCTTCATTGAGTATAGGTGATATCTTTCCCTCCTGCCATAGAAGTCGCCATTGGCTTAGGTCCTCAAATTTGACGTTGTCACTAACAGCAAATGGAAAAATCCCTTGAATCTGTATAGTTTTCCCCAGGTTTGGTTGACAAGAAATTGACATTAAGTCGCTCGTCTCATGGGTTTTATATTGTGACCCAGCTTCCCATTCTGTAAATATGGGCCATATTCCGGCTTTCAAGGTGGGTTCTGCAAACAAAGTCCAAGCAACAGCTCGATTATACTTAAAGCCGACAACACTGCTCATGGAGCATAAACTAAGGGGAATTGGGTTGGTGTAAAGAACATCATACGCTGCAATAGTGCTCAAAAGAGATAGCAAAATGAGGTACATTCTCAAACGAGTTATACTGATTAACCTGCACCTTTTATAGTAAATCTCGTTGGCATAATGCAGAGCAGACAAAATGATCCTATAATATTTTGGCATTGTGGTAATAAAAGTATCGAATACCAATCACCAACTCGAGATTTTAGATATGTGTGCATTGCCCTCGCCACATTCATTGATCGTTCACAATCGCACTTTGAGACAACATGTTGAGAGTCGCTTATATTCCAGAACACTTCCTGTCACCTGTGTTTCTTGCACTCAAGCATAAATTCTTCAAGCTTCCGATTGAATTTGTCCCCGTTATTGAGGGTACCGGTCGTCTCGTTAAGTTATTGAACGATGACAAGGTTGACGTTGCTATTGGTTTGACGGAAGGGTTCATTAGTGACATCGCCAACGGAAATAACAACAACACAATCATTGGGACGTATGTCAAGTCCCCTTTATGTTGGGCCATTTCTACAGGTCTGAATCGATCTGACTTGACATCGAGGGATCAATTGAATGGTGCCACTGTTGGTGTGTCTCGAATTGGTTCAGGATCCTACGTAATGCTGTATGTGCTTGCCAATCAGCTCAAGTTTGACAAGGCATTTTCTTTCAACGTATTAGACAATTTCAAAAACTTGCGTGATGGTGTCAACCAAGGAGTTGCCGATTTCTTCATGTGGGAACATTTCACCTCCAAAAGATACTATGACAATGGCGAAATTAAGCGAATTGGCGAAATATATACTCCCTGGCCGTCTTGGGTCATTGTTGCATCCAAAAAAGCGTTGGAAGCCAAAGCTGATGCAATTGATGATTTCTCTCAAGGCGTTATCAAGGGTATCGAATACTTCAATCAAAATCCCGATGAGGCTGTGAAATGGATTGCTGAAAACTTGGATTATACAGAGGATGACGCTCGTGAGTGGTTGAAGACCGTTGAGTTTAATCCAGATCTTAAAATCGATTGGGAAACGGTGGTGAACAATACGAAAGCCACACTCCAACAGGCGGGTGTCCTCACTGATTCAGAGGAAACTTTAGACAAACGATTGATAGAACTGGTGAGACACTAAATTAGCAGTACATCATCTGTATTTACATATTTCAGGACGCTTCTGAACCCATGTAGCAGACCACATTTTGGTGCAATACTAATAACCCATCACCAGTTAATACAATATTGTAAGTGTTTTGCATGCATTAATTCCAAGAACGGGCTTGGATTGAGGCCGTACCAAAAGTAAGAATAGCTTCACAACAAACAGACAAGCTGCGGCTACGCCTCATCAATAGCATGAATCCATTAAATGTTCTATATACATGATTATTCCTTGGCTTCCGGCAAGTCGTCTTCCAAAGCAAATGTGGACCCGTCGGCCTCGACTTCTTGAGTAACTTCTTGCGCTTGGGATTTGTTTGCAAGCAAGACTTTCGTCTTGTTGGAGGCAACCTCGGTCCAAGCATCAATGTATTCTTGTTCTTGTTCCAAGCCCCATTGGGTATTGGTAATGGGATACACTGCGCCAAACATAGTCAGCTCTTCACGGGCCACTGTCAGCTTCATCTCCTCCTGCATTCTTAGTTGATAAAACTCAAATCTGGCCTTGTCGTAGGCTTCAGTGAGAGACAGCTCAGTATTTTTGGCCAACCAAATAGTCCGTTGGACAACCAGTTCACCGTCCAAAGGCTTGGTAAGTTGAATCATTCTCAGCCAATCGCCTTTGGTGTTATCACCCGAGGTTTCCACCAAAGTTTTCGGTCTCGAAAATTCCCATGGATGTTGATGATAAAAGACATCACGAAGCTCATCCTCGAGGTATTGAAGTTTCGGGATTTTGTGGACGTCATGATGCTTGTTCTGGCGGTCAAAAGAACTCAGCCGAGTCTTCACTGAACCTTGTTCAATTTGGGGATCGTGAAGGTTGGTAGACCGAGCTCGCTTTGTAAGATCGATGGCCGGAGGATGAGCTCCAACAACATCGAACCAGGCAGGCTTGTTTTGAAGAACACCGACCTTGAGGTAATGCGAAGTTCTCTCAAGGACGTTGGTCGCTCTTGTTTGGATCTTCATCTCGGTGTGATACCCCGGCGAACGATGAGGAATTTTTTCAATGCGACCTCAACGAACTGCTAATTGAGTGGGAGAATTTAGGCATGAAGTCAAATATGACAAACCATTCATCAGACTTCTGAAAGAGTGTTGGCGGATCACAGCGTGGCCAAATCTATCTAGTAGCACTAATCAGGTTCCTAATTGTCATCCCCGTTATAAATGTAGGAATGCGACAACTCGACGTCGGCAACTTTCTCGCAGAATGCTGCGAAGAAATCATACACTGAATGTACACCATCTCGCAAACCCCTTTGCTCTGAAATGAACTCCAGTATCGTGGACGAAACTTCCACAGGAGTAACTCGCAAAAACTAACTCTTATGTTATATTTGTTTGTCTTATTTCCCGGACTGAATTCGCTTTAAAGAAAGTTCATAATAGAAGCTTTAACGTCAACGATTACCCTTGCGCATTCCAATAATCAAGATTAATTATTCGAACAAGCCCCCATATTATCAAAGTTAGCTATATGAAACCAATTGCGACTCTGTGATGTGATCGCAATTTGTTCTTGCATCGATAATCGTACCAATAACATTTAAAATTACTCTCGTGCATTTGCAGTCGAGGAGGCGCGCGGTGATACAGTGGAGATTGTTTGTATTATTTCCTTGCGACAATGAGGCAATGTTAACTTACTCTGTCATCGAATCATGCAACAATGCAAAGCTGTTAATTTACTGGCTTTAATCTAGCAGCAAAAATTGTTATAACGATTCAATGGCTCGACCCGCTGAACTGTTACAACACTACTAAAGTTTTAGAATCAACTTGTCAACAAAGGCAGGTCAGCCGCGCACGTAACCATCACACATCAATATACCAGCAGTAAGTTTGTACATTCAATTGATGATTATTGATACTTAAGTCCGATATAATAAAAGACTTTCTGAAGTGTTTTTTAAATGGGAAGTAGACATGTCAAACCTCAGGGGCATGGCATTGTCGCACAAATTTCACGCGCTCCTCAGCAAAACACAAACCAAATACCATGACAAATCCCGACCTTCGGGGCCAGCTCCGGGAATTATCGGGGAAGATGCTCCGTAGGGATAACCAGGCTAATGGTTCTGATGCTAAGGACACTCAAGATACCCCTCCACGCTTGTCTGGAACAAGTGAGCTAAGGTCACCTCCAATGCCTTTGCTTCCACCACAAATCACTCGGCCGCAAGGATTTGCTAATGAGAGCAAGGAAAATGACATCAAGTTTGCCGTCGATTTGCTGGATACCTTGCTCAAACAGTGCCGTCAACTCAGGGAGGAAAATTCGAGGCTCAAGAAGGATCTCAAACGGAAAGTTGAGCATGATCGTTTGGTCACTAAAGAGCTCGAAAAACTTAAGCTGGACAGTCAGTTTAAGTCGGAACAGGAACAACGTTTGCAAGATCGTGCGTGGGAATTAGAGCTGAAACTTAACTTTTTGCAAGAGCAGATGCAAAGTCAGGAACAACTGGCTCGCGAGTCATCCCAAAGTCATGCTGAGGAACTAGCAATTCTGGATAAGTTTCAACGTGAAAACGATGAATTGCGCAAGAAGCTGTCTCAATTGGAACAGAGTCTTGCAGTTTTAAAGCAACAGCTGCAAATTCAAATTACCCAGTTGACTGCGAAAATTAACGATCTCAATGACGAATGTGATCAGTTGAAATTATACTCATCACAAGCAACCCTTACAACCCCGTCTTCGCCTCCGCGTGTACCTTCTAACATTGGAGAACCTGACGAACTTGAGGATTTTGATCTAGTTCTCGACACGGCTAGTGAAGTACCAGTACCTCGCCCGGATCCATCGAACATCAAAATGGAGGCAGAGACTTTACGTGCTAACTTGTTGAATGCTAACAGAACCATTGTACGTTTACGTCAAGCCGCGCTCAAGCAGCGTCAACATTTACAACTGGCACCACTGGGACCCTTGGAACAGCTGTCTCCGCGTAAAGCTCGTGCGCGCAAACTGGGGCTGTTCCCGCTGTTTGTCCCGCCCCAACCCAAAAGAGGATTATCACCACTGAAACGTAACCTGACAATTACTACTTTTGAGGATCATGAGAATCTGGGTGAATGGGAGAATTTCATCGAGGACTTAGCTCCACATACCGTACACCATGAGCTGGATGACGATCTGATTGGCCTGGCTCGACTGTTTAATTATGCTACTGTCACTAGCGATGCTCTGATTGCCTATGCTCACACTCTGTCACTGGAAGATGACTTGGCTGAAGATTCCCGACTTAAGCAGGAGCGTTCACTTGCTCGGAAGGCTCTGCAACAGCGTATCGATACTTATGTTGAAGAGAATAATCGGATCCTTGTTTCATATGATGATTACATGTCCTTGAAGGAGCGTGCTGAGGTTGATGTCGTTGAGGCGACTCGAGCCGAGGGTTTCCGTGTTCTTACTGAGGAAGATTACGAGAAATTACAAGACGAAGAAGAAATGCGCAATCGTTTAATGGCTAAAGGCTTGGTGACAATTCCACAAACCGAGCTCGATAGGTTGAAGGCGCCTAAGTCTTTCAATGACTTGAAACGGCTCGCCGAGCCCTTGGGGTTCCATATTGTATCTTCACCTGAGCTCGAGTCCTTGAAGAATCCTCTGTACGACAATTTGGTTAATTACGCAAATCTGAAGGGATACCATTTGATAACGACATCTCGGTTCGAAGAGTTGCAGTCTCCTTCTAAAGAACAATTAGTTGAACTTGCAAGGGGTCTTGATCAAGTTTTACTTTCTGAGGAAGAATACTCAGATTTGGCAACTCCCTCCAAATCAAAACTTGAGAAGTACGCTCGCCAAATTGATCATGTGCTCGTTCCCAAACTCACACTTAGCTCGCTTGAATCCCCACTGCTTGACGTGCTTGCCGACCATGCATCCTCTCTTGATCACACCTTGTTGGCGAATGACCATTACAGACGTCTTATGAATCCCACTCGTGATGACGTTGTACTCCAGGCAGAAACTTTCCATCTGGAGGTGGTTGCATCTCTGGAGCTTGAATCATTGCGTCAACGTGCTGAGCATCCTAGCGAAGAGGCGGTGAAAAAACATGCTGATGCATATGGGCTTATCACTATGTCGAAGAGTGCCTACACTGACATGTACTCGAAAGCAAACGAACCTGATGTTGAGCATTTAAGGAGTGTGGCGACTAAACAGGGCAAGGTGTTGGTGGTTGAGAAGGATTTCGATGAGATGAGAAGAGATCAAGCAGAATTGAAAGCGAAACTTAAGTCTACAACAACCGAGCTTGAGCAAAGCAATGTGGATCTAGAACTGGCCAATAAGCAGTATGCCGATTTGTCAGCATCTTTGAGACAGCAAACTGAGGAGGTTGATCGACTCACTATGGAGTTACACCAGATTAATGCTGAATACGCCTCCATTAAAACTACTCATATGCGAGAACTTGAACTGCTTAAAACTTCGCATTCCAATGCATTGAACACTGCCAAGAAGGAGCTTATAGATTCACACAAAAAGGAACTTGCAACTGCTATTGAGAGGTCTGCTGCAGAATCTGAAGCAAAAGCGACTGCTAGAGCTGATAGTAAGCATACGGAGGCTCTCGAACTGACGAAATCCCAGCATGCTAAAATACTCGAACAGCTTAAAAATGATCATTCGAGTGAGATGGAGAAGTCAGAGAGCGAAAATACGCGCCTCAAAGCTTTGTTGCAGCAAGAAGGTGAGAGTCATGAACAATCACGCAAGGCCCTTGATCTGATCAAGTCAAGTCACAATAAGGTCTTAGTTGACTTTGCTGCCCTCAAGAGTGCCCACTCTGAAGTTCTTGAAAGTCGAAAGAATTTAGCAGCTAACCTTGCCACGAGATCGTCAGAGTTTGAATCCAGATCTAATCAATTAGCTGAAATCTCCACTAAGCTTCAAACTGTGTCATCTGACAAGGAGGCGTTGGAAAAGCGCTTGACAATTGCCACTGCTGAGTCCACCAAAGTTAAAGAGGAGCTCAGCGATGCAATGAGTCGCATTTCGGATTTAGAGAAACGACATGATGTTGCTACTCAGGATAAGGCGGTTCTCGAAAGGGAATTACAAGACCTGGCGGATCAACGAGTGGTGTTGCAACGGCAGCTCAACAATCATTTGAAAGAACGTGATGACTTAATCGGAAAGCTTGCTTCTATGGATGCCGAGAAAGAAGAGTTAAGCGGGAAGTTGAATTTGAAAGTTTCGGAAAATCTTGCTGATAAGGAAAGGCTAGCATTACTTGAGTCGCAATGTGCAACTATAACCGAGAAGCTCGAACGCGTCACGAAGGAGCGCGATCTACTCGACAACAACCTCAAGTCAATTCAACATGATCGTGATCTTATTGCTTCAAAGCTTTCACTGGTTGAGGAGTTGCATGAAAAGGTATCATCTGCTTACGATGAAGCAAAGTTAACTCACGCCCATGAGTTGGCTAAGGCTAATGCTCCGAAACCATTAGATGTAATGACTAAGGATCTTGAATCTAGAGGTATGGTTGTCTTGCTGGCTGATAAACACAGAGAGCTTACTCAGCCTCCGCTGGATGAGATAATGCTGTCTACAGCAAAATCGCGCGACTTGGTTATTGTGCTGAATAATGAGTGGAAGCTGCAGCAAGATGAAATCCAACAATTAAAGCAAAAGGTTTCCCAGCTTCTTAACCCTAGTGTGGACGAGATTGAAAGGTATGCTAATGAAAATGGTCGTGTTGTGCTTACTTCTGAGGCTCTTGAACGCTTCAAAAATCCTCTGGAGGAACTGCTTGCATCAATTAGTGAGGCTCGTGGGTTGGTTGTTATTGCCAAAAAGAAATACTCCATTTTAGAGTCACTTGCCCAAAATCCCTCTTTACTGGTTGTACAAAAGCATGCCAGTCGTTTAGGTCAACTGTTGCTACCCAATGAAGAGGTTGAGAGCTTACGTTCACCTCTGGCAGATCAAGTGGCGCGTCGTGCTCGTGAGGTAGGAATGATTGCTCTTCCAGAGAAAGAGGTTACATCTTTACGTGTTCCTCTGAAGGCGACATTAGCGGAAAGGGCTCGTGATTTGGGCCTCGTTTGCATCGAGTCGGATGTGTTCCAGAAATTGAAACAACAAGCTGATGCTCCTCTGCGTGAAGACATTGAAATGAAAGCTGAGGCAATGGGTTTGGTGACGGTTCCAGCTCATAAGTATGATCAATTGAAGACGCGCGCCGAGCAGCCGACTTTTGACCAGCTTGAGGTACACGCACGTAAGTTGCATTCGTCCGTATTATTACCTCAAGATGAGTACAATCGTCTTCAGGAATCCCCTAATGCCGAGCAATTATCGGCTTATGCCGCTGATCTCAATGCTGTTGTTGTGCCCAAGGAAAAATGGCATTTTGTTCAGCTGGATGCTTATGTGACTCTGAAAGCTGCCGAGAATGGTAATGTCGTATTGTCCAAACTGGAGTTTGAGAACTTCACTAGACCGCGCTCTGCTGATGACATTGAAAAGGACGCTTTGCAATTGGGTAAAATATTAATATCTCCTGATGAGATCAGCAAAATGAAAGAAGCTATGGAGCTGCCGTCCCTTGATTATCTCAGGGAAAAGTTAAACGCCATGCGGTATGAGATGGTCTCAAATGAAGATTATGCTAAACTAATTTCGCCGGCTCTGATAGAGGAGCGAGGTTTATTGTTGGTTCCCCAAGCTGAGTATGATGACTACAAACAAAGAGCTAATTCTCCCACGATTGAGCAGTTGGTGACTTTATCGAGTGGGTTAGGGTTGAAGGCCATTCCCCAAGCAGAATTCGAAAATCTCATTCAAATTACCACAAAGCCTACGCAGGAACAAGTCACTAAGTTGGCGCAATATTTGAACCTCGAGCTTGTCGCCCCTGAACAAATCTCACAATGGAAACAAGCTGCCGAACTGCCATCATGGGAGAGAATTGAAGCAATCGCTTTGAGTCGAGATATGGTAATCGTGCCAAAAGATGAATTCAACATTCCACTGGTCGATCGTCTCAAGCTGGCTGCGCTGGCACGTGGTATGGCTGTGGTAAATTCCGCTGACTACGCTGCTACTTTAAGACGTGCCCACACCCCAGATCTAGAGTATTTGTCGGCAAAGGCTGCTGCACAGGGTATGGCGGTTGTATCTCAAGAAGTATACGACCTGTTGGTTGATCCCCCGATCGAAGACCTAGCCAAGTTGGCTGAAAAGCACCACATGACTTTGGTGTCACAATCTGAGTTTGCCCAGAGTAAAGTCCAACTTGAGAAACCGTCTTTGGAATTTTTGGAAGGCAAGGCTCGCGAACGTGGGCAAGTCCTCATCACGAAGGAGGACCATCAGCAATTAGTTAGCTCAAGACTCCCTACTTATCTTGAACTGGAAGCAAAGCAAAAGGGAATGACTTTGGTTAAAATTGGAACTATTGATGTACTAGAGGAGCGGGAAAAAGATTTGCGTGAAGAATTGGACGAGTTGAAACTGACTTTTGAAACTCTGAAGTTGGACCTGCAACGTAAGTTGGAAGCATTGTCGCAACGGTTGGCAAATGAGGAGGCTGCTAAACAAGAACTTGTTTTGAAACTTGAAGAAAATCAGGATAAGGCTCGCGACGCTGCGACTTTGAAGGCCAAATTGGACTCGATTGAAATTGAATTAGCCGCTAAGGAAAAGGAAGTTGTTCAAAAAGATACGTATATCAAAAAGGTAACAAAGACCTTAGAGGAAGTCCAGTTCCAATTGCAGTCCAATGAAGGAATGCTAGAGGTCAGGAATAAAGAGATACAAACCCACAAGGATACCCTGCTTGAACATCAGTCGGTTATACGTGATCAAAAGAATCAGCTCGAGACTCTTGCATCTGAAAAACTGGCACTCGAAAGCAAGATTGCTGAATTTGAACTTTCGAAGGCCACTTTGGAGGACAACTTACGACAAATGGAGTCTGTTTCGAAATCTGTAAAAGACAATGAGCTTACAATTACAGATCTTACGCTGGAAAAAAGGCGCCTTGAAAATGAAGCTGTTAAATTGAATGAGCAAGTAAGAACTCTTGAAAAGCTGGAACAATTGCTTAATGAAAAGCTTAGGGGTCTTGATGAGAAAAAGTTGAATTTTACGCAGGAGAAGTCGGAATGGGAGAAACTCAAAAATGAGCTTCAGGAAAAGGTGAGCGAACTTGAAGAAAGACTAGCCACTGTGCAACTAGAAAAGGAGTCTCAGTGTGTATCCTTAGTTGCAGCGCAGAATGAGCTTCAACAGATTAAATCTAACCGTGACGCTAAATTCGATGAACTCGTTGCTTCTCATGATTCAAAGGTGAAGGAGGTTTCCGATGAGCATGAATCAAAGATCAGAGAACTCAAAAACTCTCACGACGCACAAATCAGTTCACTTTCATCAAGTCACAATCATCTGTTGAGTGAGTTGGAGAGGAAATACCAAGATCAGCTTGAGAGCAGCAGTCAAGAGATAGAGACACTTAAGGCTCAACTTGCAGCAATAACAGACAAGCTCTCAGCATCAAAATCGCAACTGGAATCTGGTGCTGCTGAAATCGTCAAATTGAGGGCAGAGCTTGAGGAACGAGATCATGTCATAGATGAACTTCGTCAGCAGGTGTCAAAGCTGGACGCTGTTGCTCACGAGCAGGAAAGAGCAATCAAAGAGACCGAAGCGTTATTTAAGGATGCTAAGGCGGAACTCGAACTGAGGAAGTCAGAAAGTATCGAGTTGCAAGAACGCTATGAAGCTCAAGTTGCTGAACTCTCCTACCTTAAAGATCCAAAAAATCTTGCCGAAATCTGTCAACTGCAGGGGTTTATTGCTGTCTCTAAACTCGATCATGAACATTTGCAAGAGCTTGCACATACACCGACTGTGGACCATTTGAGTGATAAAGCCATAATCCATGACATGACTGTTGTATCCACGAGGGAACTTAATGGGCTTCGACAACAATCACAACAACTCAAGGATAATGTTCTTGTTGCCAAGGATAAGTATGAATGCCTTACTCTGCCACTGGTGGCAACTCTTCGCGTTGAAGCTGACAAGCATAATATGCGATTAATCGACACAACAGAATTGGCTGCACTTAAGCAACTGGCCAATGAACCTCTTGAAGATCGAGCACGTGCTGTGGAGAAAAAAGTCATTCCGATGGCGGATTATGACTCGCTCGTGTTGAGAGCTACTCAACCACTGGTGCAAGATGTGAATGAATATGCTGCAAGATATGGAATGACGGTTCTTGATGTTGCTGACTACAAAACTCTCAAAGAAACAGTTGACAAGCCTATCACTCAACGCGCGTCCGAAATGGGCTATGTTGCACTTTCTAAAGATGAATTTGAGCAGCTTTCGGCACGATTTGATCATCCCCTGACTGAATATTTGCAAAAGAAGGCGAAAGAACGCAAATTGGCCATGGTTCCTGAAAGTGAATATCAACATCTTAAGCTGGAGGCTGAGAGAGATGTGAAGGCGAAGGCTGCTGAAAAGGGTATGGTGGCGATTCCTGCTGCTGAGTTAGATGAATTACATCGTCAAGCCGCCAAAGATGTCCATGCAAGAGCATCGGAGGAAAACATGACTGTTATCCCTCAACATGAGCTTGATAAGTTACGCCAAGAAGCTCATAAAAATGTTCATCAACGCGCTCGCGATCTGGGATTAGTTGTCTTACTGGAGGCTGAAGCGAGCAAGTTACGTACTGATGCATCTAAAGATATTCACCAACGAGCTCGTGAGAGCCAAATGACTATTTTGGATGACAGCGAGTTGGCGAAATTGCGTGCTACTGCTGATGAAGTTGCTAAGACACAAGAAGTCCTTAACATGCTGGAGAAGCAAAGGGATAATCTTCAAAAACGCATTGATGAATTCACCACGCAAATGAATGAATACCATGAAACTTTAGTTGCAATCAAAGGGGAAGTGGATCAATATCGCAACATGGATTTGGAAGCATTAGCTAAAGAGCATCACATGGTTTTAGTTAGTGAGTTGGAGGCTGCTAAAATCAAACGGGCGCTGATGATTCTGCTGAAGCTGATTGACAACTTCAAGGATGCTAACGACACATTCGTGCTTCTGAAAGATGAGCTTAAGACCCTGGCTGAACAACAAGGGTTTGTTTTGTTGACGCAAGATGAATTCGCAGCTTTCCATAAAACTGAGGATGCGGAGCAAGCGAAGAAAGTTGATGAGCCTGCCAACCCTACTCTTGAACTGGTTGCAGCTTCAGCTAAGAAATTGGGACTTGTCACTATATCAAAGCTGGAATATCAACGAATCCTTCGTGTGGTTGACCAATCACATGACCGTGAAGCTGTGGTGCAGTCCGCGCGGAAGTTGGGATTGTTGGCTGTACCTGAACTGGCATTTGTTCCCACTACAGTTCAACGAGCCCCAGATTTGAGCAATGTCACGTTGATACCAACGACTTATTATAACAAGTTGTCACGAAACGACGCGCTTTGCATCGACAAAGTTACGGATGACGTTTTTCGCAAGTATGCCGAGAAACGTGGCTACACTAAGGTGTCCTCGACAGGTTCTGGGCCGCTGACTCCGAACGATACAAAAGTGACGCCAATCATGGAACTGCTGCCTACGATGCAAAGTCAAGCAGCTAATTCGAAGTTCACCCCCCCTCAACCATTGGCTAAAAGTACGCGACAAGTTAGCTCTCCTCTGAGCTACGGCTCGCTGAAAATGGTTTGCGGGTTACTTCCGGCCCTGGATCTGGTGCGACTGAATTTGTCATTAACTGCTGATCTGGTCAGAACTACAGGTATGCTCTCTATGGCAACTACGGCCCTGTTCACTGATAAGCTGATGATGCCTGCCATCACTCAGGTAATGATGGGTGAGTACTTGCAGAAATATTACAGATCGTGGCTGTCTCTGAATCAACGCCATGAGCGCTACTTTTGGGTTCATCCGTATTCGGTGACTTTGTATTGGCTGAGAGAAAATCCGATTCTCAACAATCCCAACGAAATGAAAACAAAAGCAGTTGCTATAATGGATGTTAAGCTGGTTGATGATAATAATCCATACCCGACTGGATTGTACCACAAACTGATCATCGTGTATTCTACCAATCGTCAGATCAAAATTACGTGTGCTCTGCGCCAGCGTCATAATATCTGGTACAATGCTTTGAGATATTTGATTCACAGAAACCCAGCAGACTTGTCATTCGATCAGGACGAACATGATGAATTTGCAAACCCTTTGGGGGATGAGGCGAATGAAACTATCGAATTACTAAGAAAGCGTCACGAGTTCTTGCTGGATATGGGTGAGCGCCAGGTGCAGCCGCGTCAAAATCTGATTCGTCTGCCTCGTCTGCCTCGTTTGATCAGTAGAGGAAACTCATATAGAAGTTTAGCTTAATTAAATTATACGTGTATATCGAAACCTTTGAATTGATGGTTGAAAACTTATCTCAAATGAACACAGCTCCTCAACAAAACAAAAACAGACTAGAAACATTTGTGTACGCCGATGTTTGCAAACATCCATAAGTGCAATCCAACATATATAAAAATATGCCTTCAGCCAGATTCGAACTGACGATCTCCTCATTACTAGTGAGGTGCCTTACCACTTGGCCATAAAGGCTTTTGCGAATGCTATGTTGATATTGGCTTTCTTAACTTAGTGATTATCAACGTAGAGCAGATTTTCCGCTATTTGCTTTCTATAATGCGAATTCAACTGAACACTTGAAATGTGTACCACTAAGGTTGTTTCCAGAGCGTCTATACATATTTTGTAACTACACATTCCACGAAACGCTACAAACTCGTTAATCAACAGCATTCCCCTATATTCCGTATCTGATATGCTTCCCTCTAGACGTGTTAGCTTGGTTGAGCTGAAAGCTCGTGTTTTGCAGACTATTTTCCACCTTTTCAATGAGTCACGGCTATCACAAGAGGCTCCCACTCTCCGAAAAGAGGCCAATTTAGGAAATTGAACACCAGCGATACATTGAGACAGGCAAGGGGCATGGTCTACACCAAAAACCGCTATCGTAAAAGAAATAGAGGCCATGTAACCAAGTTTCTCATTTTGCTTTCGATTATGGCACTTTTCTTGTGAGTGGTTTAGGCCATTTAGGACCACTATGTAGACGGCTAACATAATCGCAAAAGAAGGAATTAGAGTTGGATCCCCCGTGACTATGGGGTCTATACCCCTTTTGCTTAAAACCCCTGCTTCGGTTATGACGCATCTCAGAGGTTTGCAGAGTGTTATCGCTCCCTCATCCCATTGGTGTCATGTTTGTTTTTTACGACAGTAGACGCAGAGTCGTCTATAGTGATTTGTCTTAGGTAGAAAAACGAATAGATAGAAATGTCTTTTCGAGAATTTCCTCAACTACAATCCATATGAATGTGTTAAATAGTTTGACCAAAATGAAAACAATTTGTGGATTTTGGAGTGTTAATTATTTGAATAAGTGTGCACTTGGAACTCGTTGTTGTGAAAGTTAAAGCCTTGAAACCACCCACAGACTACAGATTGCATTCATTGGTGACTGTTAGGTTTGCGAATTTTGAATTTATCAGGAGATAGTTGGAACTAATAAAAGCCGTAGTGCAGATCTCGAATACGATGCACCCCGCGCAGACTTATCGATTCAAGGTACCACTCGGAGAATTCTGAGTACGTCGTGCAGTTACTACGATGAATTGGCGAGAAGAGGACCTAGCCGGAATACTCCAAACGTCAGCCTCCGGTTACTCCATAATCCAAACAATAGCAAAAAATATTGCTCCGCGGGAGGTTCGAACTCTCGACCTTCAGATGACTTACTCAAATATTGAATATGAGACTGACGCTCTACCGACTGAGCTAGCGAAGCTAATATGCAATCCCTTTCAAAGGACACCATTATAGTAACTGTGCTTAAGAGTTTCATGAACGAGAGCAGGTGGTGCCTTACTTTTGCCTCTCACGTTATATGTTTATCTGAAAGTTTGATATGCGGAATGTTTTGATACCTTTGTTAAAAAAAAATGCAAGTTGTAATAAGAAATCATCTGAGACGCTGAAATTGAGTTCATCATCAATTATTCTTTCCACATCAACTGTTCAAAGTAAAACACAAATCAAGTTTCGCTTCCAAACATTCAACAAATCAATGTAATCGTAGTGCCTACACGTTTTAGGTCACTACGTTATACACCCAGGTGCTGGTTTATTCAGTTAGGGTAAACCCTCCTCTATAAGAGCCACAAACTTTTACGGACAAGCAATTAGAAATGCATAATTGTAAAACAATGATACCAGAATATAGTTTGAGTGGCTGTGCTACCTCAATCTCCTTTTGGTCTAGGGCTGGTCATCGCATGAACCATTAAAGGCTTCCCGGCCATAATTAGAACGAAACGTGAATTTCAATGTTGCCTTGAAACACTACATGGGTTTTGTGAATAATCTATTCGTAATCATTAAACTATGGTTCTTCTTTCTTCTCCTCCCCTTCAATCTTTTCGTTTTCGCCACGCTTCTCTTCACCTGCCTTCTTGTTTTCCAACTTATTCTCGATAAGATCATGGAAAGCAATGATAGCGCGAACCAAGGTGGAGATGTAAACTAACATCAAATCATCATTAGTCTTAATGGTGAAACCTGTCCCTAACTGAGCATTATCAGTCAAATTTGGCAACAAGTTGAACACATTTTGCAATTTGCCAAGAATTGTGTGGTTGATGGGCAATTGCTTCTGATATACCTTGTCAAGATAATTAGCAATTTCCCGTAACTTTTGATGCAATCCGAGAAGAGAATTATAGGTGTTGGTTACCCGCAAGGATAAGTTGCCAGCCGCCTGGTCACGAATATCGCGCAATAAGTGTTCTACGCCAATTTCTTCGGCTTCTTCAGCCTCAATTAGCGATGGAACATGAACAAACGTTTTCTCTGCAGCAGAACCATCGTTTTTGATGTCTTCAACAGCAAAATAGGCATCCGTGGGTATACCCACCAGCTCCCTTGGCTCAACGTCGACAATCAAGAGCAATGGGTTAGAAGTATATTTTTTGAACATTTCATTGATTTTCAAGTCCAGTGGACGTAATTTGGGACCCAGGTGATACCACCCAACCAATTGTTCACGAGCATTAATTTTCCGAAACATGTCACCCATGGCATCAATGTAGTTATGATCCAAAAACCAAACTGAGGGGTTCTTCTCGTCCTCCTCGAAAGGAATAGCGTAAGAATTTGTCACATTGATGATAGTACCATCTGCCAGGGTCTCACCAAGAATGACACCCACCACTCTCTTGTTGGTATCTTTGGCTACCCGATTGAAATGATCCACCACAGATAAAAGAACGAGTGGAGACACCGTCACTGTCTTCTTCAAAAATTCACTCTCAGACATGATGGCGTTCAACTATGAGATCCAGTTTTGGTGGCGCACCGACAATTCGGCGCGCTACCAAGTTGAGTGCGCGGTGCATTGAGGTTATGAGCGACAGTCAGCATCTCTCATATAAGTTTAATCAGCCTTCCGTACTCATTGCGCTTTTTAATGTTTGGTCAAGTTGTTGTTGGAGGACCAGGTGCCGGCAAATCCACGTACTGTTACGGTATGTACCAGTTTCTTCTGGCAATCGGACGAAGTCTGGCCGTCATTAACTTGGATCCTGCCAATGATCTGGTGCCCTATCCCGTAGCCGTGGACATCCGGGATTATATTACATTGGAAGAAATAATGGACGAGTTGAACTTGGGCCCAAATGGTGGTCTCATGTACGCAATGGAAAACCTAAGTCAACAAGGGATCGATGAATTCATCAGTCGCATTGAGAAGTTGGCTAAGGACGGCACTTACCTACTTTTCGATTGTCCTGGTCAGGTTGAATTATTTACCCATCACAACAGCTTGCATGATATATTCAAAAAACTTCAATCTCAAGCAAAACTACGCTTGGTGTCGGTAATGCTTGTAGATTGTTTCTGGCTCACCCTGGCTCTGAACTACGTGCTGGTATTATTACTCACACTAAGAGCTATGCTCCAGCTTGATATGCCACATATTCTGGTGTTTTCTAAGATTGATATGTTGAAAGGTTATGGGCAATTACCCTTCCGACTCGATTTCTACACTGATTGCGAAAACTTGGCAGTGTTGGAGCCTCACTTAATCAAAGAATCCAACTCGGTTCTAGGGAAGAGATACGTAGATCTTACTAGAGCCATTGCAGAGGTTGTCGAAGATTTTGGTTTAGTACTGTTTGAAGTTCTTTCCGTTGAAAATAAGCGAAGTATGGTTCACCTTCTATCGATTATCGACAAGGCAAACGGCTATAGCTTCGGGTCTGAGGTAGGTGGTGATACTGTGTGGGCTGAAGCTTCTCGGCAAGGTGGGCTGGCAGACATCGATATCCATGAGCGGTGGATCGATTATAAGTCGGAGTGGGACAAGAAAGAGGCGGAGGAGGAGAGAGCTCGAATGGAGGGTAACACCGTTGACAAGGATGATCTACTTTAGCAATAGCGTTTTTTTCATCGTTTAAAAACGATACGAATCGACCACAAACAATTTTCAGATACTTGCTAGAATCTACATACAACAATGGATTACAGGTACCAAATTATTTGGACCTCACACATAATAGGTTTTGTAATTACTAGCAACATCTTGTCACATAGTGAGCCTACTCACTATGTGTCCTGCATATAATCATGTTCGCAATCACTTTCTCAGGTTGATGAGATCATCCTCCACATCTATAAGCCGTTTTTTGCAATAAAACCTCCTTGTGGCAGTCTCGTTTAGAAATGGCATCAATCAACCAGGACGCAAGTGACCTGATTGCTGCACTCTCTAAGGAGGTGGATTCTGCGGCTGCAAAGATTGAAGCTCAACAGAAGGGCGTCTTGCAACAAATGGAACAGATGGAAACTCTTCAGCAACAAATCCAGCAGGGCAACAAAGAAAACATTATGTTGGCACTTGGATCGGGTTATTTCGTTGAACGGACACGTTCTGAAGCCCTTGAGTTCTTGCAACGTCAAGTTACATCGTTAAGGAATGCTAGCGAGGATTTGGAGCAGCGTCTCAATAAAGTGAAGGAAACAAAAACCCAATTGGTAACGTTCCTGCAAGTTGCCAGTCAAACCCCGTTGGATGAGGACAAATTGAATGAGGAGGGATTGCCATTCATGGACATTGTCGAACAACTTGACGCCGATGACAACGTAATCCTGGCGCAAGTAAATAATCGTGATGTTGACCCAATATTGCAGGCAGAAGACGTGGCACTGTCGGCTGATCTTATCGAACCCTTCGTTGATGACGCCCCTGATATATCCACACCAGTGGCTGACTTAATGGATGTTGACGGAGATGACACCCCACATGGCCCTAAAATACGTGAACTTGGTCGAGAGGATATGGTTTCTGAATCGAACAAGTCACTGAAACAAACGGTGGACGGCGATGTTACTGATACCGCTGACGTTAAAGATGATGGCGCCGGTAAAGACACAGATTCTCACGAAAAGGGGCGCCTTAGTCGTCAGTTTTCCGAGCTATTAGAGGACATGGAATTAGTACTGGCGCCAGTGACTAGAGAAAACCTTTTGTCCCGCATAAACTCCCTTGACATTGACTCCGAACACAAGCAACAACTTTTGGAAGCCTACCACCGGCAGTTTGACAAGTTTGACGACGAAATGACCGATGTGAGAGAGCCTGAGGTACAAGCAAGTGCGGATGACACATTCGATGAGTCTACTCAAAGGGAACGCGAGCAAGTACTTGCTGATATCATCAAGGAAAATATTCCTGAAGATTCATCAAATACAAAGGAACTCCATGGAAATACGGATCCCACCATTTTGGCTAGGCCTTCCGTTGATACGCTGGATCTTCTCGAACTTGAAATTCTTGCAGACGACTTCAATGGAGATGAAGATGAATGGGATGGGGACTGGCCTTTTGATGAAGACGAGGACGATGAAGATGACGACATCGAGGACATGCTTAGTCAACCTCAATTCTTCAAGGGTAACACTCCTGCGAATGATATGCTTTGGAAACAAGTGTTGGAGCGGCGGCAAAATCTACTGATGCCCAAAATCGACAAGTCTGATACGGGCGACCAGGGTAGCTCATTACCTATTCAAAAAAAGAGTGTTCGATTTGCACCTGAACTTGATATCAAAGAGGTTGAAAATATCAGCGATGACTTAAAAAACATGAACGTGGCACCTAAAGTGTCCCTTTTCAAACAACGGCGCTTGCAAGACGACCTTGTGACAGATTCTCCATCCGCTGAACTGGAGGTTGTTGACGAAGAAATGTCAGATGGAAACGTGCTTGAGGAGCTGGTCATTGAACGGTTTGACAATAATTCGATTGATGATTTGGCTAAGCTGACTATATTGGAACGTCCACAGGAAACTCCCTTAGAAAAACCGAAAAAGGTCAGTCGTTTCAAGCAACAACGTCAAACCATTCCCGACTCGCTGACAAATTCTCCTTTTTTGAAACAGAGTGCGGAAGATAATTCCCTGTCTTCGTTGGATGATCATAATCGTGCAAGTGCTGATAATGACTCACAAGAGTCTAAAATCAGTCCTTCGTTGAAGGAAATTGATGCCGGAAACAATAACCAAAAGATCGTTTTGGATTACCATCTGATCCAGAATGACTTAGATTTGATGGCCAAAGCGTACGCCCTGGGATTGTATGACGATGACATTAACAACAAAGGTCCAGTGGTCGAGGAGCCTCATGATTTCGAGTTGATCAACGACATGGTTGAACTGATGGCACAGGATACACCCTCAACAACCACCCGTCGTAAACCCGACCCCCAATTTGATGCTAGGCTGGATGAAGTTGGAGATTTCGATTTTCCTGACATCGAAAGCGCAGATGAGGATAATTTCCCCATACTTGCGGACGAGATTGTCGAGCATGAAACCAATGCTTTGACGGAGGATCCAGAAGATCTGATTTTGCAACTGGAAATCTCATCCAACTATCATCGCTTACGACAAAAGTTTCTATTCGATCAAAATGGGTTCAGAAAGCTGCAGCAAGAATTGGAAATGGAACCGATCGATGCAGAAGGTAATCCCATCAAGGTTAGTAGATTCAAAGCTGCGAGGCTAGGTAAAGCCTAGTCGAGTCCCTGCAACGCACTTGTTGTGTGGACAGCTCCTAATAGGAGATTGATTTATAATGACTTAATGATGCATACTTTTTTTTTTTGCCATATCAATATCGCCGATGTAGTTCACATCATACTATAAGTATACCATGACAAGCAATACGTACCCAAGCATAATTCATAATTTACCCTCGAAAACAGCAAATGGTGCACTAAATGATTCGTCAATTCATTTGTCGTCAAATCTGTTGAAGATTATACTCAACGATATCGGTACCACTCTCAAATTTCTTTACTTCTCTTCGATGATGGATTAGGTGGTTAAAATGTGTGAAATATGCATAGCAGATATTCGGTTTCCGCGTTTAGGTGAATTCAGCCGGCGTCCTCGCTTCTGATTCGACCATTAAACTCCGATTCTCACGAGTGCACCATGCATCGGAAATCCATTGATCATCACATTTCGAGGCTGAGAACAAAATAACTCACGCTTGCAACAACCCCACAAATGACCCCACATTGTCATAACCCCGAAGGCGAAGATTCTCGGTCCCAAAATGCTCATCGAGTACTATGGACAGGGGGGGTTTCTAAGAATACAGAGAATAGATTCGGATACAGATGGGGATAGATAAACCATTGGATCATTCGGCTTACTTGAAAAAAATATTTTAACTCGCCGACACCGGCGTCTCATCATCAGCTGGAATTAATTATGAGTAATTCTCTGCAGCTCTCATTGGTCAACTCGCTCCGAGCACCTGCAGCAAACTCCGTGGGTACTCCCACTTCTAGGGACCTGATGTGCTCGGGCTACCACATATACAACAAGTGACGTATTTCGATGACGATACACCGTGACCGAGCATCCGAATGCTGATCATGGCTCTCACAACCGAGTTGAAGTCGGTGACCCGGACCTGTATATGAGAATATCGGGGCTTCGTTCCACTAAAAGTATGCCCCACATTGACGTACAGTTACTCAAGTGTTTCCTTGTCCAAAGAGTGAAAATTTTTCTCTTCACTTAATCACGACAGAGACCGATCAAATCTTCTGCATCGTGTGAACTTTGGGTGCCAAGTTTGGACTGGTTTCATCAGTTTTAGACTGACTTTTCATCAAAAGAAGTTCTGTTGGTCTCGCCACGTCCCTGCCAATTGGTGCATAGGTGCCCCTCCCTGAAAAAATATTGCATCAACATTTGTAATCTCGGCATACGCGGCCTTTAGAATGACGGAACATTAGGGAACACTTACCTTGACCCTTGATGCCTCTATCGATATCGTAGTACTAACGTTATTCAAATTCACCTCCGATCCGGTTCGCGAAATCCCGAATATCATCGCTCGTTTAGCTTTCTCAACAAATTCATTTTTTGGTTAGCGCGCTTCGGCCAACAGCAAAGTATAAAAGAGCGCTAATTCGCCTTTCCGGAACTTGCATTGCCAACATGTCTGCTATCCTCAAGCAAAGAGTGAGATACGCGCCTTATCTCAAGAAATTGAGAACCGCTGAAGAATGTATCCCGTTGTTCAAGAACGGTCAATACCTTGGTTGGTCCGGTTTCACCGGTGTGGGTGCTCCTAAGGCCATTCCTGCTGCCCTTGTCAACCACGTCGAACAAAATGGTTTGAACCAACCCGGTAAAGACAAGCTTGCTTTCAACCTTTTCGTCGGTGCCTCCGCAGGTCCCGAAGAATCGAGATGGGCCGACAACAACATGATCCTCAAGAGATCCCCCCATCAAGTCGGTAAGCCCATTGCCAAGGCTATTAACGATGGCAGAACTCAATTTTTTGACAAGCACTTGTCTATGTTCCCTCAAGATTTGACTTATGGCTTCTACACTTTGGACAAGCCTACTGGTTCTAACCTTGACTATACCATCATTGAAGCTACCGCCATTACTGAAGACGGCTCCATCGTTCCTGGTCCCGCTGTCGGTGCCTCTCCTGAAATGTTGTCGGTTTCTGACAACATCATCATCGAAGTCAACACCAAGACCCCTTCTTTCGAAGGCATCCATGACATTGACTTGCCCGTCAACCCTCCCTTGCGTCAACCCTACCCTCACACCTCTGCTGACTACCGTATTGGCCGCACTGCTATTCCCGTTGACCCTTCGAAGGTTGTGGCTATCGTTGAATCGACCACTGGTGACATCGTGCCTCCCAACACTCCTTCGGACGCTATGTCGCAACAAATTGCTGCCAACTTGATCGAATTTTTCCAACTGGAAGTCAAGGCCGGTAGATTGCCCGAAAACTTGCACCCCTTGCAATCGGGCATTGGTAACATCGCCAACGCTGTTGTTGAAGGTTTGGCTGACTCTAACTTCAAGAACTTGAGTGTTTGGACTGAGGTTTTGCAGGACTCTTTCCTCGATTTCTTCGCTTCGGGCTCTTTGGATTATGCTACTGCGACCTCCATCAGATTGACTGAAGACGGTTTCAAGAGATTCTACGAAAACTGGGACGACTTTACCAAGAAGTTGTGCCTCAGATCGCAAGTGGTTTCGAACGCTCCTGAAATCATCCGGAGATTAGGTGTTATTGCCATGAACACCCCTGTCGAAGTTGACATCTACGCCCACGCTAACTCGACGAACGTGATGGGCTCGAGAATGTTGAACGGTTTGGGTGGTTCTGCTGACTTCTTGAGAAATGCCAAGTTGTCGATTATGCACACCCCCTCTGCTAGACCTTCGAAGACTGACCCTACTGGTGTTTCGTGCATTGTTCCCATGGCTCCCCACGTTGACCAAACTGAACACGATTTGGACGTCATCGTCACCGAACAAGGTTTGGCTGATTTGAGAGGTTTGGCGCCCAAGGCTCGTGCTCAAGAAATTATTAACAAGTGTGTCCACCCTGACTTCAAGGCTCAAATCCAGGACTACTACGACCGGGCTATCTTCTACTGTGACAAGAAGAAGACCTTGCATGAACCTCATATCTTGAAGGATGCCTTCAAGATGCACATTAACATGCAAGAAAACGGAACCATGAAGTTGGACTCGTGGGACCAAAAGTTCTAAGGTGTTGTATAAATAACGAAGAGTAATGAAAAAAAAAAGTTTGAATCGATATCAAATATAGGATATAAAGGTGGGGATGAAATTATAGAACTGAATTCCACGTGTGATGATGTCATGAACTCAACATCGGTGCCTCGAACAAGAAATTAAATTTTTGTTCAACATACACCACTTCAATTTACTTAGCTGATGTTGTTCAGTTTATTCTTCTTTGATCTTTTTACCTATGAATTTACACCAACATTTGTGCAGAAATACCTAATAGAAAAATGCATGGTTCTTTACGCCACTCTTACAGAGATTTTAGCGCTGGTCTTATCCACAAAGGCATTCCAATCATAAAAGATCATCGTTGCAATCGATTTCTTATTGTTCAAGTAGACTATTCCTCATCGGAAAAATCCTTCTTCTCGGATTGACAAAATATTTTCAAATTTTATGTTAAACGCGTAATCGGGCGTGTAGCTCAGTTGGTAGAGCGTTCGCTTCGCATAGAAGCGGGCTTGCGAAAGGCCTTGGGTTCGATTCCCAACTCGTCCATTTTTTGAGCCACCTTAGTCATTTGACTTAGTCAGCTCTAGACGAAACCAAAGGTTATTGTCATTATCATACTTCGAGTTGTTGTTAAATACTGAGCGAAAAAGTTTCCGCCGCTATGTCTCAACTGCACATCAGGTTGTGTTGGTACTCGAGATGTTACCCCTCAAAAGTGCTGGCTTTTTCAACCGAGGGCTTATCTCCTGCATCTAATAAGGGTCATGTGTATTCAACTTCAAAACGCCCCTCGTCGCCACTGAGACCTATACCATGAAGTTATCTAACACTTTATTACTCGCGGCGGCTTCCCACGCGCTTGTTCTCCCATTCCTCGATCAGTTCGACTTTGAATTGCCCTCCTTGTTTCATGATGACACTAATGAGCGGTCTTTCTTAAGAGTTGATGGGACTATGGCACCTTTGAACAGAGTTGATGTCAACAAAATTGTACCCCACCGTTATATTGTTGTCCTCAATGAGGAAGAAATCTTTCCAGTGCAAGCCATGGCTGAGAGTATCATGAGCTCTCTTGATCATATGGATATGTCAGTGTTCAATGTCGGTCAGTTACTTCGTGGTTTTACAGTGCTGATGAGTCCTGAACTGCTTGAAAGATTACGTCAGGACTCGCGTGTCAAATACGTAGAACCTGATACTATTGTCAGCATTGACTCTTCTGATATCCAGCCGGAAGCACCCTGGGGTTTGTCGAGAATTTCGCACAGAAAGGTGCAAACCGATGCTCTGTATCTTTATGATGACCAGGGAGGTCTTGGTGTTGATGCCTACGTTGTGGATACTGGTATCAAAGTTGATCATGAAGAATTCGAAGGCCGCGCTGAGTGGGTGAAGGCTGTTGCATTCCCTAATATCAAAATGGACACCAACGGTCACGGTACGCATTGTGCAGGTATTATTGGGTCGAAGAACTATGGTGTGGCCAAAAAGGCCAACTTGTTCGCTGTCGGCGTCATGACCCCTCTTGGAACTGGTACTACCTCGGACATCATCAAGGGGATGGAAGAAGTTGCGAAGCGTCACGCTGAACGTAAGCTGGCTCGTGGATTTAAGGGGTCGACCGTTAATATGTCGCTTGGTGGTGGTGTTTCCGAAGCATTCGATCAAGCTGCAGACGCCCTTGTGAGTCTCGGTATCCACGTTGCAGTTGCTGCGGGTAACGATAACGCTGATGCTTGTCAGTACTCGCCTGCGCGGGCTGGCAAGGTCATCACTGTCGGTGCCACTAACTCGCAAGATGAGCGTGCCTCGTTTTCCAACTGGGGCTCATGCGTTGACGTTTTCGCCCCAGGCCAAGATATCGAACTGACCTATATTTGGAATCCCACTACCGTTATGAGTGGCACTCTGATGGCTTCACCCCATGTTGCGGGATTACTTTCCTATTATCTTTCATTGGCACCCGAACAAAGTCTGGAATACAAGGTAGACTTAGATCCTGCTACTATGAAGGCTAGAGTTCTCAAGTATGCTACAAAGGGTGCTTTGACTCAGTTGGACTCTGCTTCCCCCAACTTGTTGATCTACAATGGTGGTGGCAAGAACTTGACTGATTTTTATCTGTTACTTTAAAGCTCTCGACGAGGCTGATTCAATTTTTTCTCACGAATACATGAACCATGTTTAATTCTCTCGGTACCATAATCGGAGTTTCAATATTTATAGTTTCAGTAAAGCTCGAATTTTCTTTTTCTTGCGATACGAAGCCATGTAGGCTCGATCAACTCAGCTCAATCATTCAAGCTTAACCTAGCGACATCCTCAGTAGAAATCGCTTGGTCCGATGCCTGCTTCAGATCATCCTCTTGGATCTCCCGGTTGATAGATTTGGAAATTGTATTACCAAGTGAATCATAAACAATCTCCTCATCATCCTCTTCATCTTCGTCGTCCTCTTCATCTTCATTCTCGTCATCCTCGTGATCTGTATTGACTTCGTTGCCATTAACAGTAATCACATTGCCTAACAGATCATATCTCACCTCCAGCGACTCTTCCTGGTCATAAACATCATCTTCAACTCCGTCTTCCTGGTCGTCGTCCAGATCATTTTCAACATGTAAATCACTACCACGGTTGACGTTACCTGTCATCCACAAGTCCTGAGTTCTTGCAGTTTCTTTCCGTGTCTTGGCCTCTTGTTCAATTTTTTCAAGCCATTCGTCTTGAGCAGCTTGAACCAGATCCAGATCGGTACACAGCTGATATAATTCAAATAATTCACGGTTGATATCAATGAAGGCATGACCCCATGAAAAGTTTGACATTAGGTCTTCAGCCCAATCCAAGTGACCAACAATAGCGAAGCAAGCGGCTAAAGCCTCTACGCAATTGAGGCGCCAGGGGCGACCATAATTCACAGGGTTGGCAGCTACCAAGTAAGGTAGGAGTCTTTCGTTTTTGCCACCTATTTTGTTGAAAGGGACTTCGTCTAAACGAGCCCACAGGCACTCCACCACAGCGGCACCATTAGCTTCCACCACCTCTCTATCGTTAGGGCACACCACTCCCTTACCGTTTGGAGAAACAACCACCCCGGAAAACTTCTGGCCGATACGAAGGTTTGTGATGAGTCCAAGGCGTTCAAGCTTTTTTCCTGAGCAGCGTTTAGGGTCACAGTGATCAAAGTCCCACATGGCAAGCTTTGTGTGGAATTTGCTTGTTTTCACTTGGGAATTGGCACCAGTCTCTTGACGACCACGACGTTGATGGTGCTGCTTTGATTTGTGGCCATTTGAGGTTCTCAGTTTATTCGAGCGATCATCTTCTCTGTGCTTACTCTGTTTGCCCATTGTGCTGCGATGAGATCCGGGTCGCACTACGAATCTATAGCTGTGAGAAGAAGTTCATAGTAAGCTGTTGCGGAAATTTAAAGCTAAATAACATCTGAGTTGAATTGCAAGCCAAACTGCCACAAAGTTCTTGTGTTCTTCGTTGATCGAATGTTCATTCTTAAAAAGTGGGAGTCAACTCAACATTGCAAGATCTATTCTTAGAGTCACACATTGATTACAAGCTTCTGTCATAATTATTCATTAGATTCTAACTAAAATGTATTTTGCAAGCTCGCTAATGTATCAAACCATAGCTGTTAGGAATACAGAAGTAGAAGGTGAGAGGAAGATATTGAGAGATGGGGTATAATAGAGATGGGTAAACTTTCTCTTCCGCTTACAACAAAGCAGCGGCGGCGACGGCGACGACGGCGAAACCGATCTTCATCGACGAAGCAGAGCCTTCCCATTGGTCAACATTGGCAGGGGGGTTCGAGGGAGTGACGGTGCCGTTGCAACCACCAGCGGGGCATTGGGTCACGGTGGTGTATTGAGGAATTTCGGCGGTCGAGGTCTTACCTTCGTTGTTGCAACCTTCAGGGGGGCAGGTAACGATGGTGGTGGTGGTGGGTTGTTCAACTTGAGCTTCAGTGGTGGGTTGTTCAACTTGAGCTTCAGTGGTGGGTTGTTCAACTTGGGCTTCCGAGGTGGGGAGAGGCTTCACGCACTTTTCGCCGTTGCAGACGTATACAACGACGCAGTTTTCGGGGGCTTCAGTGGGCTTGGGCTTTTCCTCGAGGCACTGGTAGTCGGTGCAGGTAACAGTCACGGTAACGGGACCTTCCGACTTGGTGACGGTTTCAACGGGAACCTGAGGAGCTTGAGTGGTCAAGGGGCACTCAGTAGTGTACACGGTTTCGACACCTTCGATGGTCTTGGTGACGGTCGAGTGGGTGGCGGGGACCTTGGTGCAAGCGTTGTCTTCGCAGTGTTCGATCCATTGAGTGACGTGGTGAGTCTTGGTTTCGGTAAGAGTTTGGGGAACTTCCGAGGTGACACACTTTTGGTCTTCGCACGAGGTGATGGTGGCGGTGGTGGTGATGACGTTCTCGACAATAACGGTCGAGTTGGCTTCAGGGGCAGCCGAGATAGCAGCGGCGGAGGCAATGGCAACGAAGGCGGAAAGAGTGAAAGTCTTGAACATTGTTAACGAAAGTATGAAGTTGGATAGCTTGAAGAATTAAACGTAGGGCCTGAGGCCATATTTATATTAAAATTCTCCACCATCAATTTGGAGTAAATGCGCTACTGCGGGTATTTTCTCCGACTTTTCGCGTTTGTTTTGTGTACACTGCAGTCCGGCAGAGACTGTTCGGTAAAATATGGCCGCTTGTTGAACTACTCAATGCCTCACTGCCAACGTAGAATCAAAGAAAAAGGCTGGTATATTGATGGTATTAGCAATTGATAGTTAAATCCAATACTTATCGCCATCAGGCCTTTGGAATTGTCTGATTTCCCTGAATATCGCGGCTTGTCGCGCTGACGCATATTTCTGCACGTTTTCACGAAGTAACTCGTTTGCCTAACTAGTGGGAAAACACGCATGGACACAGCGAAGAGTAAACAACCGCTTAAACCAACCGCGACGATGGCGCGCTAGTATCCCATGGGTGCTAATACAAACACCGCTGCCATCGTAGCTGTTATCAGTGATCTCATTTAGCGAAGATCTAGATAACGCCCTCTGTCATAAATAAAACTGATAAGGGAATCTCACGGCTACGAGGAAATAAAGTTTGATATGGCCGTTTTCGACCATCATATTCGTGAGTCTCATGCATAGCTGCTATCCCTAGAAAATTAATTTTAGTACATTGGCGTTCGAAGTTGCCTTCATACATGGCAGTAGAATCGTTTAGTTAGCCCCGCTTCCGGTTTGTGGAAAAATGATCTAGCGGCTTATTCCGTGGATGGCACATCAGGTACCGCTCGAGTCAGGCTACCACCCCGTGTCACATTCTCCATGCTGGTGGTCGTGTAACTGTACGAATAAACCTAATCGATGATGCATCTCCAGCCGGGCAATGAAAACCGCAGTTCTACGACCCTGTATGAAGGTGAGGAAGCAGTCTGATTGCTGGTTCCTGTATTGCCGAAATCCTTTTGCTGGATTTGACCCCACATCCTTTTTCATGTCATTCAAGGGGTGTGTTAATGTTAGCGTCTTCTGCACCACCCACGCCGTAAGTGGGCGCGCGTGATAAATCGAGTCGAAAAGTTAAAAATATACGGATAATAGACATTGTTCATGCCCCGTGGTTATTGATGTACGACTCACGACGTAATGAGACAGTGTCTCGCACAATTGAGACTGGTGGTATCATTATAGATTCATTTACGTGTGCATCGGATGAGCGAGAAGGTGTCCGCAACGCGACACTTTCATTATGCTTGATGGCGCCATTGAATCTATATTGTTACGCGTCAATTTGTTTAACGCGCAACTATCACGGTGGCACGGCAACACTTACGGCGCATGCATCCAATTGGTTGAAGGGAGCACCGCGCCCAAACGAGAGGGGAAACCCGAGGGGAACATACAGTTAGCAGTAACAAGTAGATCCGTGACCAATCTACGCGTTTCATTGTTTTCGTTAGCAACTTTTGTTTTAAGGTGGTGAATTAGGTTCATACCCCATTGAAACGTTGAGAAACAAGTCCCCAAAACGTTCTTGCTTTGAAACCTTTACGGTTGTAGTCGCCAGCTCTAACCTTAGTAGGAAATGCGCTACCCGCAATTACAGGTAGCAGTCGCAGTCCTGCCTTGTGAAAATTGACGCGTCGACAATCATTACACGAACTGACATTGCATCGTGAACTGGGGCCTCTCTCCATCCAACCAGATACTACAAGTTGCATTAGATTTTGTAGGAGATAACATGGGCAGAATGTGAATTTCAATATTGTAGAGTTTTAACAATAATTAAATCTTCTGATTAAAGATGTATGCGAATCGTGCTTACCTCTGTGTATTTACTTCATTACAAATTTTGTAATTTTTTCAGTCTTTTCCTAACATCGGTATCCAAGTCAATCTAACGAGACTCAAAAAGAGTCCCCGATGAACATCATTGTAAATCAACACTCTATTTGCAACGCCCATCTTCCATTCTTTATTTTTCAAATGGCACCTTGGTACCCCCTGTGTTCGATTCTTCTTGTTATCATTTGGCTTTGACAGGGCCGCCTCTCAAATTTTAAGAACGCGTCGCCCATCGAGAACCAAACACGAGAGACGCGACCATCAAAATAAACACGAGCGGCATCGCGCAACTGACAGCAATCTGACACGCTTAACGAAACGCTCTCACCGTGGAGCGTGGTTCTATAATTAGCCTTCTGCCAAAATAACATCACCGTGTTTATTATCGGCAACAAGAAATAATTAGGGTTGAGGAGATTCGTACAATCACTACCAGCGTATTATTATTGTTAAGTTTGAAATCACAAAATTCACTCTACTAGACTGAATTTAGTGATTTGATCTTGATCAAATTTTCGCCACCACTCTCAATTTCTTCCACCACCATCATCTCAACAAACAGCGCGAATGCGTGTTGAGGAACTCATCATCGATGGGTTTAAACTGTACGCCACCCGTACAGTTATCTCAGGGTGGGATGCTCAGTTTAATGCCATCACAGGTCTCAATGGTCTGGGGAAGCTGAACATCTTAGACGCTATATGCTTCGTCCTTGGGATCCTGCTGATGACAACAGTGCGGGCGCTGAATCTTCAGGACTTGATTTATAAGCGGGGACAGGCTGGGGTGACAAAAGCATCGGTCACCATCGTGTTCAACAATGAGGATAAGCAAAAACTGCCAATTGGCTTTGAACAGTACAACACAATCTCGGTAACGCGTCAGATCCTCCTTGGTGGCCAGTCGAAGTATATGATCAATGGGCACAAAGCGTTGCAACAAACTGTTCTAAGCTTATTCCAGCTGATTCAGCTCAACATCAATAATCCAAACTTTTTGATCATGCAAGGAAAGATCACGAAAGTGCTCAATCTGAAACCGAAAGAGATCCTTCTGCTTGTTGAAGAAGCAGCAGGGACTCGTACGTTCGAAGACCGGAAGGATAAGGCCCAGAAAACTTTAGAGAGGAAGGAGGGGAAGATAGCTGAGATTCAACTGTTGTTGGCTGAGGAGATTGAGCCTAAGCTTGAAAAGTTGAAGGGTGACAAAAGACTCTACATGGAGTATCAACAGACTCAAATCGATTTGGAGAGATTGAGTCGAATTGTGGTTGCTTATGACTACGAACATTTGCGTAGTGATTATGTTGATGTGTCTCTGGCTAAAGCTGAGCTTGAATCCAAGATTGTCGCTTTAGAGGAGATTAATGTGCGCGTTGGTGATGAAATAACAAGCCTTTCTAATGACCTTGAAGCAGCCCGCGAATCACGGAAGTCCGAAGCCGACACTGACGGCAAGATTGCTCACTTGGAAGAGTGTGAAACTGAGCTCAATAATATTGTCACCCGTCAAACTACCGCCAGAGATTTGGCAGCGGATCTGTTACGAGAGGAAATGATAACTCGTGATCGCCTTCGTGAGCAAGTCAACAACGCTGAGCTGGGATCAGACATTACGCTGGCAAGATACACTGAACTCGAGAAAACGTATGCTGAAGCAACCGCCACAGTCACAGAGCTAAAGCTGGCGTATGCTCGTAAGGAAGACTTAGTTCTGACTTTACTGACAGGGGTTTCGGCCCTGGGGCAGGTCCAAGGTGGGTATGAGCGGCAGTTAGCGGACGCAAAGGATCAATTGAATCGTGACCAAATTTTTATCAAGCAGCTGACTGTCAAAATTGAATCTTTGAAGCGACAAATGACTCAAAACCTGGCTCAGATCGAACAAGCCCGAGCTGAACACGCGGCATTAGTTGCGCAACAATCTCAGTACGAAAGCGTCATCAATAACCTCGAAAGTCAGCTTCAACAAAAGCTTGGGTTTGATCCTGAAAGGTTTGTTTCACTAAAGCAAAACCATCACGAGTTAACACTACAGCAAAATCGTTTGGAATCGCAAATGAATCAAATGCGTCCTGACGTTGGCAACATCGATTTTCAGTACAATCGCCCACACGCAAATTTCAACGACCATCAAGTTCGAGGAATTGTCGCACAGCTATTTGATCTCCCAGAAAATCAGTTTGATAAAGCTCTTGCTTTACAAGTTTGTGCTGGTGCACGACTCTACAATGTGGTTGTTGATACAGCCAATGTGGCGAGCGACTTGTTAAATCGTGGTGGACTTCGACGCCGTGTCACCATGTTACCCTTGGACAAGATTATTTCTCGAACAATTGATTCGAGCGTTGTTGAGTATGCCAAAGCAAAAGCTCCTGGTAAAGTCGAATTGGCACTCAACTTGATTCAATATAAGGGAGAGTATCGGAAAGCTATGGAGTATGTTTTTGGCACTACCTTTATTTGTGCAGATCCTGCCACCGCTAAGGCTATCACCTTTGATCCTAAAATTCGTGCACGTTCAATCACGTTGGAGGGCGATGTATATGATCCTGAGGGTAATCTTTCTGGTGGGTCACGTCGTACAAACTCCCTGATATTAATTAAGCTTCAACGATACAATCTAGTTGCTCGCGAGCACAGAGAGTTTCAACTTCAAAGTCGGAAGCTAGAGAGTGAGTTGGGTTTAATGGAGCAAAAGATGGCATCGACAAAAGGTCTCGCGAATGAAATTAAAACAAAAAGGTACGAGCTTGAGCTTTTACAAAAGAAACAAGCAACTCACTCTTCACTGCATCTTTTGTCACAACAGGAGCAACACCAAAATCAGATATCCGAGCTTGAGCGCGAGATTGGGGAACGTACAATTGCAATTACGAAACTGGAAGCCAATATTGAGGAAATTGAACGTGATATGCAAGAATTCGATTCCGATAAAGGCTCAAAGATCAAGCAATTGCAGAGAGAGCTTACAGAGTTGGCCACCGAACTTCAAAATAAGCAATCTCAATTGGATGAAATCCTGGATGAATTTCAACTGATGCAAGTTGATCGCGAACAACGCGGTAACGAGGTAGCAAATTTGGTGAACCAAATCGAGCAATGTAATGCAACTATTGCCGAGCTTGAGGCTAAACAAGTCACCATCGCTCAGGAAGTTACCGATGCTGAAGCAGCCCTCTCCAGAGTCCGCCAACAACTCGAAGAAGAGAAGGCAGTTCTTTTAGGTCTTGATGAAGAGATCAATGAGCTCCAACGGGTTCTTAAGGACAAGCAAGCTCAACACTCTGAAGCGCTTCTTCAAAGTCAACAACTTGGGCACGAATTGGAGAAGATTGAGGCAAGAGCGAAGACCTCGCAAGTTCGGTTGGAGGAGATAATAAACCAGCACATGTGGATTAACGAAGAAGGAGCAGTTGAAGCGGTCTTGGCGCAAAATCCTAATGTCGACCTCGCTGAACTGCGTGAGCTGCTAAAAGTTCTTGAGGAGAGATTTGAATCCATGCGACGCAAGGTCAATCCCAATATTATGTCTATGATTGAAAACGTGGAGAAGAAGGAGCAGAGCTTGAAGCAAATGGTGAAAACAATCACTAAAGACAAAGCAAAGATTATCAAAACTGTGGAGAAGCTTAACGGGTTTAAGCGTGACACATTGAATCAAACCTATCAAAAGGTCAGTACAGACTTTGGCGAGATTTTTAGTGAAGTATTGCCTGGCGCATTCGCGAAATTGGTTCCAGTTGACATGATGGACGTTACGAAGGGTCTCGAAGTTAAAGTTCGGCTTGGCGACAAATGGAAGGATTCTTTGGTGGAGCTTTCTGGTGGCCAGCGTTCACTTATTGCTCTTTCATTGATTATGGCGTTGTTACAATTCAAGCCCGCGCCTATGTACATTTTGGACGAGGTCGATGCTGCTCTCGACTTATCACATACTCAACTGATCGGTATGTTGATCAAAAATCGGTTTCGGACAGCCCAGTTTATTGTTGTATCATTGAAAGAGGGCATGTTTAATAACGCCAATACTGTGTTTCGGGCTAGATTCCAAGAAGGTACGTCTAAAGTTATCAAGATGTGATTGCATAAGTCGGATAATAGTTAATGTATAATCATAACCAACGTAATATAGTGGTGATATTTAGGTTTGATCATGGTGTATGCGTGGTTTGATAAAGGGCAGTCATGAGCCCCGCGCCCATCGCAGGTTACAGACAACCCCAACTACAGACGTCTATGCTAAAACTCCATTTACGAAGGGAGTCAACGCTTGTGGAGTCCTTGATTCCACGATCCCTTAAGGAGAATGCACACCGTGTTCATATACCTCCGATTAAGCTGTCCGATGAGGGCAGTATGGAGAGGGTGAAGCAGGTTCTCGCCACCATGAAGGGCAAATCAAATCTCGGATTTTACGACCCCAGCAACATCAAGTTCGATCTTTCAAAACCAAATCATCGTTTATGGGATGAGATTTACTCTCTGGCTCAAGAAAGAATTAAGATTCGACAGCTGCAACCTCTGGAACGTTGGGTGCAATCTCAAGGGGGAAAAGAAGTTGTGAAGACTCGAGAAGATGCCATCGGGGAAGCTTTTGATCTTGCCAAAGTTACCCCGGATAAACTTGACCAGCCGTTGGCAGTTGGTGACGTGGTTACCCTATCAGAGGATCTGTCAAATTTATTTTTGGTGGTTGCTACGCCAAAATCACTCGATTCAAGCACCTATATATTTGTTGATAAAAAGGGGGAGATTAGATTCGGCGGTCATGTGAAAATTCGATGTCCAGGTGTTATTCACGAGCCACAACTTCAAGAATTTCTTGGTCTGTTGGTGCAATTGGAGCAGAAGCTGATGGATATCGCCCCGGTGGGGATTGCCGATGACAACTTCTCCAAACTGCGACAGCTGCTTCCTGTTGAGCTTCGATCTCAACTTCCACAGAACCATAAGCTGGAGATTGGGCTGTTTGATCTGACTGATTTTGTAGTTGCACAAGCAGCATCCCAATTACTTACCAATACCGATGTCAACACGTTTACGGTGCCCATAGCTGCTCGAAATGCTTACTCTGTACCGCTCACCCTGTTGGCTCTTGATACCACAATCCTTATCACTGAAATGATGGCTAAGTTGGAAGTGGTTCATCGGATGCTTCAGTTTGACAATTACGGTCAGGTGCTTAATACCCCGAGATCGGTACTGATTTGGGAGTTGTTGTACATATCATCGCATCTTGATCATCTGAAGGCGCAAAAGTTAATTCTGCAACGTGCTCAACTTCGTAACCCGAATGCCTTGGGAGCATTGATCAATCCGAAGCAGTTGCTGAAGGAATGTTCTGCTGCCGAATACCTTGCCATGATCATGGCTTTAAAAAATCAACCACGTTTGTGGTCGGTGCATTCGCTGGGTAAATTCTGTCCTAGCTCGGTGCTGGTGCTTCCTATCCAAGAAGTTGCCTCAACCGATGAAGTGGTGAACTATTTGAAGAACAAGGGCCCTCAAGAGTTTGCCCAATACTGCCAATCAATTATGAATGGCAAAAAGGCCCCTTGCCCTCCTTACTATTTTGAAATTATTGAATTGTTCAAGGATTACATTCTGGGCGCAAGTTTCGAGGACCCTGTACTCGAAACTCTGCTTGTGTCAATTTTACGAACGATAAATATTGGCACGTTTGACGAAACCGACGTTAGAAACTCATATGAATATTCAAAAACGCGTGCCTATGAATTGTTGATGACTATAGGTGAATCTTCATTGGTCAACCCGATGGTTTGGAACCGCCATTTAGCGCTTCCGGGACACGATGCAACCATTTTGAGTGGGTTTAATGCCGATTATTACAAAACGATTGACGCAAATATTGACACCCCTGATTTTTATCTGAAAGATCCTTTAGCCCAAATTCGCAAGCCATTCGACGAACCAGTGTTTTGCATTGACAGTTTTGATGCTCATGAAATCGACGATGGGATTGCACTCTCGACGACAGCAGATTCATATCGGGTGTCGGTACACATTGCAAACCCGACATCATATATCAAACCCGACAGCGTTCTCAGCAAAATTGCTCTCGATAAAGGTACCACCACATATTTGCCTGAAGGCCCGCTGATGATGCTTCCATCGAAAATATCTAAAATTGCAGGGCTAGGGGACGGTCTGGCAAGAACATTCGCCATAGAGTGGGAAATCGACCGCAAACTTGTGGATGATTATTTGGAGAATAAGAGGCGCAATCCTCAATACCTTCCTGACCGTGAGCTTCTTGAGCAGGTGTACACGCAAATTGCGAAACTGGGATCAGTTGGCGCTTACACCGCAAGCAACTTCCCTCAAGGCTACACTTATGATCGCGTGAATGAAGTTCTCGATACCAAACTCGACCCCCATTACCTCCCACTTTACAAACTTCATGGCATTGCTGAAATACTTAGCCACATCAACGTGGTGTTAGGTCAAGGAATAAATTTCGGATCGCTGAATAATGGTCGAATTCATGTTGAGAACGTGTCTTTGGGTTCTTCAAGCTGGTTCGAGACAACAAATGATCATTATCAGTTATATCACCTGGACCTGAACCAACTCATCCTGGTGCCAATTCCTAAAGATACCGATGCGAAGAGTTCCTCACAAACTCTCGTATCTCAGTGCATGGTATTTGCCAACCATTTGGCATCAGTTTCAGCTCAAGGCAGTGGGGTGAATCTTGTTTACCGAACCCAACAAATGAACTTGTCTCCGGAAGTGCGGGCCGAGCTCGATCAAATGCTTTTGGATAAGTACAATTCCGAAGAGCCGTTCACATTAGCAGAAAGACTTCAACTTCTGAGAATTTTAACTGGGCTGCGATACCTGGCCAAACCTAAACCCCACCAATCACTCGGATTGAAAAGCTATGCTACCATTACTTCGCCTTTACGGCGGTATGTCGATATGATCAACCAATGGCAATTTCAAAGCCACATGTTGGGGTTAAAGAATGAAGGTGATCGTCTTGCGGCTACCGCCCAGCATTTGCTGCAGAGAGAAATTCTCAGCAAACAAGCTCAACGCCAAAGTGACACGTTCTGGCAAGGTTGGTTCATCAAGGAGTATTTGAAACTCAAACAAACAGGAAAGATACCAGACCGAAAGGCCATTGTGTGGCAATTGGTCATCAAATCAAATCCCAAGTTGTCTAACGCAATACAAGTTGAGGTGCTTGGTTTCAACCTGCTCAGTGCTCGCCTTGAAATTACTGATGCTCATCGCGACAGGCTCCACCGGTTGCAAGTTGGGGACGTGTTGACGGATAAAGGTCAATTAACGATCTCCGTTATTGACCCAATCGAGGATGAGTTGGTCTTTGCATATCGATAATCTTGTAAATAGTGACACGACATATATTGAAATCAAAAGTCGTTGATTTCGGAATAAAAGAAATTTCATAGATAAGTCAAAGTAGTCATATGGTCAGTTAATTCCCATCTATATCAAAACTATTCTTCGTGTAGGCAATTTGACGCGTACGTCGATGAGTGGATAACCTCCACGTCAAGAACTTAATTAACGCGCGTTCAGTTGTCGAATCAAGAGTCGACAACATTGTAAAAAACTAACAGATTGTCACCACGAGTCGTCTCAAATTGTCTCGAATATATTAACACGTCACATTTGTCACCTCCATAGCGTCTCTAAGCAAATCTCTCGCAGAGAGATTATCATAGTTATTGAAGGCTGTTGGTAGAATGATTTTCCACTCGATCTTCTCGCAGTCGCACACGTATCCACAACCACCATGGCCGTGTTAGCTGCGAGCATTTGCACCCGAGGCGGCAAACCGTTGTTGTCCCGGCAGTTTCGTGATGTGTCTCAGGACCGTATCACATCATTGTTGGCCAACTTCCCTGCCCTCATCCTGGATGCGCTGTCTCAACACACCACTGTTGAAGATGACGAGGTGCGCTACGTTTACCAACCCATCGAGGAGTTATATGTGGTGTTGATTACGTCGAAGAACTCCAATATCCTTGCCGACATTGACACTCTCCACTTGTTCGTGCTGACGGTGCTGACGATGTTGCGTCAAGTGGACGATCGTGAGGTGTTCGACAATGCCTTCGAGTTAATCTCCGCTTTCGATGAAATTGTCAATTTGGGCTTTAAGGAAAACTTGACGCTCAGCCAAGTGCAACAGTTCCTCGAAATGGACTCCCATGAAGAAAAGATCCAGGAGATCATCGAGCGTAACAAAGAGTTGGAAGCCGCCGAAGAACGTAAACGCAAGGCTAAAGAAATCCAACGTCGTGAATTGGCTAAGCGATCTACTGAACTGCAAATGGCTGGCATTCTGGGCGCCTATGGCGGATACTCTAGTCCCGCACCCACTTACCAATCTGCTCCCATTGTCGAGCCCATGACTCTGGAACAGCCCACAACTTCTAAATTTGGTTCTAAAATCGCTCGCGGACCTTCCAAGGGTGGGTTGCAATTGGGCAAGAAAAATGGTCGCTCTTTGGCTCTGCTGGCCCCTGCTGCTCCTGATGCACAACCTTTGTTGCTGGCGTCCCAGCCAGTACCCAGACACCAGCAAGCTGCTCCTTCTCTGCCAGTGACCCCGCTGACTCCCAAGATCGCCAACGAGGGCATTTTGCTCACCATCAACGAAAAAATTTCCGCTCAGTTGAGCAGAGAAGGTCTGGTCGACCAGGTCGAAATCAAGGGTGACTTACAGTTGCGCATCAACAATCCGGAGTACTCACATGCTAAGATCTTGTTGAAGACTGACCCTAAAGTTCAATACAAAACCCACCCCAATGTCAACAAGCAGTTGTTTGCAAAGGAACAAGTCATCTCTTCCAAGGAATTTCCCTCAAATGACCGTTCGATCGGTGTTTTGAGATGGAGAGTTGTTGGTAAGGACGACCTGTCTGATCTTGTACCTTTATTGGTTACCGCATGGGTGAGCGTCGATGACAATATCGCTCATATTACCTTGGAATATGAGGTACCTTCACAATTTGCGGAAAGTTTGTTGCAATCACTGTCCTTGGACGCCGCTATTCAAGTACCTGTGGCTGGCGATGTTAACCTCGAATCAGAAGACTCCAGAGTATCTTATGAGGTCTCGACTGAAGGGGTCAAGTTTACCTTGCCCACAATTGACGTTGATCATTTGTCTGGTCTGTTTGAATTCAGTCTCAGTAATGTGAGCGATGAGGACCAGGTGTTCCCGATGCTGGTAGACTTGGCTGTGAATAATACTGCGGCCGTTGAACTGGATCAGTCGCTTGGCAAGTTGTCAGTAGTTGATGTGGTCACCAACAACGAAGATGAAGAGCTGTTGCCGTTTGATTTGCATGTTCACGTGCAACTGGAAAACTACCATATTAACTAGGTGATATAGATGGTGACGATAAATGAAGAGACACAATGAGAATAGTGAAGTTGTAGAAATAAAACTACTTCAGAGAGGATTCCTCACAGGCACGTTATTCTCTTTTCTTCGATAGTTTTTCTACTTGATCGGCTAGATAAGAAAAGAACATTAGGTAGATTAGAGAATAACATTTCCTGAGACAAGCTACGGAAATAACTTTTGCAAGGTACAGTGCTACATGCGAGAATTCGGATTTTGTGATCCAAATTGATGTCAGCTCCACCCGAGAGCATTATCTCACATGAAACTTGGATCTCCGTAAATCAAAATGAAGAATTAGATGCCTCACGTTGCAAGTGATACACATCCAAAATGCAGTAACAAACTTAACTTGAATCAATCACCTTACTACTTGAATCATCGTTTATTAAAAGCCATTACCAGAATGACTAACATTATATTACAAGCGATACTCCACTCAAAGGAAGCAGGATCTTGATATCTAATTGATGTAGACTTGCACCATCACGCAATTCTTTCAATATTTGTAAGCGGACATCGCTGTCTAGGTCTTTGACATGATTAACGACAACATGGAGACCATTGATAGAGCCACCCTCAGCTTCAATGAGCTCTTTAAATGTCGCAAGTTCATGAATAAGATCACTCAGTTTAAGGTGGCCAAAGAGAAGACTGTCATTGAGACTGTCCCCATGAGAACATTCAACAACTATACCTCGAAGCTGACCACGAGCAACAAGAGGAGCGACTTGTTGCCAAACATGAATGTTTGTGGAAGCACCAGAAACCCTATCCAGTTCGAAATCACCGAATACGAGTAACATGTGTTCTTGATCAGCACTGGCGTTATCTCTAGCATCCGCCGGTTTGTAATTGATAAGGAATGCCAGCAGTTTATAGTTGACGCCGTGACTCAACTCGAACATGGTGACCGAATAAACTCCATGCAGAGGACTGAAAGGATGTTCGTAGTTAACAGAATTAAGCAGGAGTAGCTTGTGTTGGGGCAAGTCGGGCCATATAATATTGTTGAAAATATGGGCTGATAATGCCAGCATACAAACTTCCAGCCCGTAAACACTTTTTGGATTTTCAGCATCAAATCCCAGCAGATTCACCACCAAGCCAGCAATGTGGTCTAAGTGAGGGTGTGTGATAAGATAGTTGCTCAAACAGCTGAATATCTTTCTTGCTTCATAAAACGGCAGTCCCTGAATCTCGGCAAAAGGGGTGGTGACAACAGCCTCGCAAATGTCCTGGGGAGACTTAATATTTGTTTGTGAGGCGAGTAACTCGATGGTTTTCGAGTACGGCTGAGACGTGCGTTGTTCATGATAGATGGTTTCAGTGAGCAGAGCAAGACCCAGTCCTCCATCGATACAAAGGAGTTCACCGGGCTTGAGGGTAAGGTATGAGCTAGTGGCAGGCTTTACGAGCAAGGCGCAAGTGGACCCTTCCATGGGTCCACCCAGACAACCCAAAAACGTGAGCTCAAACATGGGAATGCCGCCACGGGGAACACGGGGGAGACGGTGACCAGCAGGGAGAAGCGAATTGCTCAACACCTCACCTACTTGGCACCGGGTGGTGAGGGAAGTCTCCGCAAGGCTCGAAAAACAAAATCGACCAGGCTGGGGAAAAGCGGAACAAGATGATGTTGGCTGGGTCACTTTGAAAGGTGTGAAAGACAATGCGAAAGGATAAGGTGATGCAAATTCAAAATCGACCTCGGTTATATCGCCACAAAAGACAGCTGTTGCAAGAAAAGTCGTCGGTGATCTAAATGAAGGGGTTTTGAGGGAGTTTCTATGCGTATACCTTGCGCATGGAACGCCTTAGTGAACTGCATCGGGGTTCGGGTCCGCCCCGGCGGAAAGGGCTCGTTACAGTAGTTAATGTCTACGATTTCACAAACAAAACAAATAAACCTCATCAACAGTTTGGTGATTACGGTATTGTGAACACCCACACTGATCGACGCTCAACTGTGGTCGGTGTACTCAGATCTTAGACTAAGCAACTTCTGAGGGTTGCAAGGAGACGCCCCGTAACAACCACAAACTCCCATTCCCACCTGCAAGAGAAAAATTCGTGATTACACTATAGATGCAGTCTGGTAAATTTCTTGTCGTCTAGAACGGTGGCGCCTTAACGACCACGCTCGTGGCATAACCACAAACCTGAGGAGTTTCTTTTGAGGTCACGAGGAGTCAGGCATGCTGAAGTATGCGGGAGTAGGTGTTGCCACTAAATTTCGACACCATCGTGCTTAGTTGCGTGTCTCAACCAGTTAGCTTATAAGCTCACCTTAATATTTACCGTAGTGGTCATATGCTCATAACTCCAGATATGTCCGATGACTACGAATGCCGTCAACATTGATGTGATCATTCATGTATCATTACTATATCTACTGTTGCTTAGAACCGTAGCCCCGGATGTCCTTGGCAAACCGCCACGCCTGGTCCTCGACCTTGACTCCCTTTTCGTGCTTGAATTCCAGTGGCTTGATCGTCACCAAACTGTACTCATCCATACTCCGAGCGTCACGATAGAAGAGTACCCTCATACAATGAGCCAAGCACTCACGAGCCTGTTCCTCGGTAACTTCGGAGTAGTCCTTGTCGTAAGGGATAAGGTTACGCAAAAGGGGAATGGCCAAGTGTCCGCCAAACCCAGTTGCGATTGTCAGAGACGCGTAAGTGACCCCCAAAAGATCAACGTACTTGAGGAATGGTGTACGGTCGTCGTTGTAACCACCGACGACTACCGCATTCCACAAAGGGTCCATCTTCGACCGCCGGTTATAAAGTACGCGCGAAAGATACTCATGAACATGAGGTGCTCTGAGAGAATGAGGGGCAGGCTTACCCGGTTCGGGTTCATCCCCACCGTCTTCAATGTCGTAGGCTTCGTCAATTTCCAATTCGTCCAAAATGCGCTCAATTTGTTGCAAGTCAGAGATGTCCCCCAGGATACCCACCACGGTTTCTTCACCAACCTTGATAAGTCTTTCAATGTTGCTGAACCGCATGAGCGAACCGTAGGCCCCCACATTGTCGGCAGCCATCATGATACCGTCCTTGTACTTGAGGGCCACCACTGAGGTCCCCGTGATCGTGGGTTGCTGGGTGTGCAGAGTAGGGATCTTGGACTCAGCAGCCGTGTTGCTTGCATTGGCAATGTGGTGGTTGTACCCACCGTAGTGGCTATCCAAGGGACGGCCCCAATGGAAAGGATCGTGGTTCATGGTGTCGTCGCTTGTTAATCCGTTGATGGGTCGCGCACTTTTGCCACTGGCATGGGTGCGCACCACGACTCAGAGAAAGCGGAGGTGGGGCAGGAGGAGTAAGAAAAATTGAAGGAGTCGTGATAGTTCGAGAGGATTGAGAGCTAGTTATCCTTGAAACCAAAAATGAATTACGAATTGTTGATCTATTTGTCATCATGAGGGGTGTGCTTCAGTTAAAGAAATTGCCGATTTCCATAGTTAAATCACGTGACAAAGTTCTATATACTCTACGAGCAGTAGCCGTTCAAGACTACTGTTGATAAATCGACATTTAACGCTGAACTGCATTTAGGCTGGTTTGTCGTTACATAACGTTGTAAAAGCCAGTAAATTTACTGTCTGGAATGTACTGAGTACGTCATATCCCTATAGATGTGTCTGGGAATTGAAGTCGTTGATGAATTTCCAAATTTTTTGTGGACTCCTATGCAAGCCCTGTCTCCGAATTATACTATAGTTTACGACATCTGTTGGAAATCGTTCATTATTCAAAAACTTTGTGTGACATAGTACACACTACTTGAACACGCAAAGGATTGAAGATGAAATGAATGTCATTCCGTTGACGATGAAGCCAAGCCTACGACAGCGCCAGAAATACAGAGTAAACTTGCTTGGTTGACGAACCTCAGTGTGCAACTCTTAGAGACTCCGATTATGGAATACCGATGGAGTTTGATAGATATTCAAATTTCGACATAATGATCAATTGGTAAGCCATGCTAGTCCGACACGGCGCATGTCGACTGACATAATATGCTATTCTAACCATAAGCTGCCTCGTTAAGTTTTTTTTGGTACAGTGAAACTTGGAATGCTCTGCACCGTCACTAAAAGTGCATGCAACGTGGGAGTGGAGACGCGTCGCCTCAAATCTAAAACAAAAACTCCACATTGATGGCGAATTCGAAGTACCGGTATTCTTGTATCAATTATGCTACAACCAAGTTGACTGAATCTGTTCTTCAAGGTATTATTAATATTACGTAAAAGGTGTAGCATAACCTCGAATATAGGTTTTCGGATTTGATGAAATGAGCCTACAACAACAAGCCCACACACGCCGCGATACCAGCAGCGGCACCCGAGAGAACGAGCGAGCCAGCAGCATTCGAGCCCGACTTGGTGCTGGTAACAGTACTTTCGCCCGAAGACGACGACAGGCCACCCGAGCCCGAGCCGCCGGACAGACTGGCGTCACCCGACTCCGTCTTAGTTCTGGTAACGTCACCTTCTGAGTCAGAGCCAGAAGCACCTGATTCTCTAGCGCCATCAGATTCGCCGGAAACGGTTCTAGTTCTGGTTACATCACCTTCAGAGCCGGAACCCGTGGCACCAGCGCCACCGGCGCCGCCAGCGCTCGAGTCGCCCGATTCACCAGAGACAGTTCTCGTTCTGGTGACATCACCTTCAGAGCCAGATCCAGAGCCCGCAGCGCCAGCACCAGACTCGCTCAGGTCACCCGACACGGTTCTAGTTCTAGTCACATCGCCTTCGGAGTCAGACCCGGAGGCGCCGGCGCCACCAGCGCCAGCGCCCGACTCGCTGGAGTCGCCAGAGACAGTTCTGGTTCTAGTGACGTCGCCTTCGGAGCCGGAGCCAGAGCCAGTGGCGTCGGCGCCCGATTCCGTCTTCGTTCTCGTCACATCGCCTTCGGAACCCAGGCCCGAGCCCGAGGCATCAGCACCCGATTCAGTCTTGGTACGGGTGACATCACCTTCAGATCCCAGACCAGAACCGTCAGCACCACCAGCGCCCCCGGTGGCGGAGGAGTCATTGGAGTTATCATCAGTTTTAGACGCGTCGCTGTTAGCGCCCGACCCCAGTTCGCCGGAACCACCGTTGCCACCGTTACCAGCAGCAGCAGCAACAGCACCGGTAGCTCTAGAGTTGGGGATGGAGTTACCAGTGAAGCTACCCGATTGGACCACGGGGATCAGCCCTGAGTAGGCGTCGTATAATCTCGAGTACGCAGCGATATACGAGTCAAGGTTGCCGCCGTAAAGAGCGACGACGGCCGTAGCCGTGCCGGCAGCAGTAGCCAACGACTTCTTCACTTCTTCAGGCGAATCGGTGAAGAAGTCGGCGGCGGCAACCACCGACGCAAGAGCGAGTAATTGGTACTTCATCGTGATGGGATTAATGGGGGGGGGGGGAAGGGAACGGAGACGCCAGTACTAGGGGCAGCCGCTTCATTATTTATACAATGGGGGGAGGCAATCATACATGGGTATACTTCCGGCACAATTGGCGCTGGAACGCCATACACCCACGGCTTCAGCATTATTTTTCCCCGCAGGCTCGGCCACGCCTCGCCCCCTGAGGCACACACACATCCTCATCAGCCCGCCGCCCATTTACAGGTCAGCCGCTGCCGGCTGCACTGCCTCTTTGGGCGTTGGACAAGTTCCATAACCAATCCGAAATCATTAGGGTGAAGTTTTTGCTGTGATGGTTTGTGTAATTAGGTATGGGTGGAGGGCAGATCACTGGCACACTAGTGCTGCTCGTAGCCGTTGGTGTGGATGTGGGGGGCGAAGAGCACGGGCTCTTACGCTGCTGTAGGTTGAAGCTGATATACCTTAGCAGCCATGTGGACCATAACCGATGCGGCAGGACAATTGGGGGACGGTTGCCTAGAGCAGCAAGGGCAAGGCAAATGCCACTTTGATAAAGCCAAATCGGCCTTCACGATACCTGCTGCATTCGTGCTGGGACTGACTTCTGACCTGGACTGAGCCTGGATATCGATCATTCATTATGGGTTGCTTATTATGATGACGCCAGTTTCATCGCGGTTGCTTGTAATTCCTACGATTATCAGAGTTGCAGCACTGGCGCCCCCGCGCTCGCGCACCGAAGGAATTAACCTCGCGGTTTGGTTTTGCGTGATGATGAGTGAGGGTAATCGTGCTCAACGTTGGGGGCAAAACGTCCTGCAGTCGTCATCGAGTATGGGGTAGTTGTAGGGTATTGTTGCCCTTCTTGACGACGGTACCGCTAGCTTGTTGGTCTCCACTAATGCCACAGTCGCGCTCGCGAATAAGGCGCCGCCGCCGCCATTGTCGAGTGAGCATTGCAGGATGAAATTCGCTACATTTGACCTAGAGTGCCGAGCTTGTTGTAACCGGCAATGCGGCTACCCCGTTTCGCCATGCCCCGCCATGCTTCCAGCTGCCACTGCCACCACCATGTGGACGTCATTATTTTGCTGGCTGCCGCCTAAATTACACAAAACCGCGCCGTCGCGTCGAACGTATATCGTTGGTGGAAGCCGCTGCCGGCGGTCGTCTAGCCGCACGAACCCTAAAAACACACTTCTGAAGTTTGTCGACATAGGGAGGTGACGAAAACGTCGACGACATCGTTATCAAGCGGTCGAGCTCCATCGTCACCGCGGCACCTGGTTGTCGATTGCTACCGATGGCACCTGATCGACAGCGGGAGAAGATTGCCCCGCCTGCTGGGTGCAACCGCCATCACTGCGTCTCCGCATTGCCAGTGACGCGCGGGTCACCGCCCATGCTCTGCTACGGGACGCAAGAAGTAGTGATCTATCACCTCTGCCTCGACATAAACGGTCCTGAAACGAAGCGCACAGCACCGCGCTACGGAGCCTCCTCGACGTATCGAACCTTTCGTCGCAACACAGCCGCAGCACTCAGCACTAGTGGGGGCTACCCTTCGCCCACATCAGATCGTAGCAAACGCAACGGCTGATATTGTTGCTAGTCTGGACGTTTGCCATACTGTGGGAAAGGTAACTGAGGTGGAGGGGGTAAGTTAAGGCTTTGGTCACGTCGTGATGCCAACGGATGATTCGCTTAGAGTTAGGCTAACAAAAGCTGCCTCAAGGCTATATGAGTTACTCTCGTTACTTTAGACTTTGTATTTTGGAAGATCATTCGAATCAGCTCGAGCTATTTGAGGGTAGAGCCGGAGTTTTGTTCTCACTGGTGCCCTCGCTTGCATTTGACTTATTCGCACTCGTGTGGTTGGGGTTTTGCCATTGGCCTGTGAAGCGGAGAAAAGCAACGGAGACGAGGAAAGCATCTAATTCGCAACAAGATCGCTGGAGTTGATCACAGTATCGTAAAACCATTCAAAAATTTTCAATTGAACCACCTAAACCGTCTTGAATGTCTTATTCATATGTCTATTATATCTACTTGCTTTGCGAGCCCGTTCGGTGCCTATCGGCTTACCAAACGATTTCGGCGCCACCGGATTGGATGTCTTCGGCTTCAAATTCCTTGGGCAACTTGTATTGGAATCTCGTCGGCAATTCCGCCCGCGAGAACACTTCGCCGTCGCCAGCTTCAATGGGCGAGGAGTTGGAGTAGCTGGAACCACTCAGGCCAGCGCCCGAGGGAGCCAACCCGTTGGGCGCGCAAGGGTGCACACCAGCAGGGTGGGATTGGAACTTGTGAGGACCACCCACAAACTTGATCGAGGGAGAGTACTGCTTCAACAATCTGACTGCCTGTCTCATGGCCTCTGAGGTTTGGTGAATTTTCCCCGGGACCTGTGATCATGATGGGTCGCACCACTGTGTGCAGGTCCGGGATTCACCGGAGTCGGAGTTCACCGGTGAACCATCGTTTAGTGCCACCCCACTACAGCCAACCTCTTGTAAATATAACGTATCGTAGCCTGAATTAATCACACCGAAGATCCGTAATTCAAGTATTGGTTTAGAGTGACGATTGGTAAGTAAAGCCCTTTTCCATCATTTTAGTCACAAGCGTTTGCCCACAATTAGCGTAAATCACTCCTATAAGAGCCAAATTTCCTCTGATTCTTACCTTTGCACTGGAAGCGTAGTGGACATCATCCCAGTTCCCTTGTGGGAGTTGTAGCCTAATGTTTACTGCAATGACAAATAATGGGATTGGGAGTGCATACAATGTAGCTTACTGTGTGTGGCGGTCGTGCTTGGCTATTATCTCTCCACTGTAACAATACTATTGTTAAAAAAAAAAGAACTTGACTGTGTACGCGTCGCCTTCCGAGTAACACTTTTATTACGATACCAAAATACGATTGAACTTCAAGGTTAGTTGATTTGTTTTCTAGCAAGTGATAGCTACTTACCCCACTCGTTTCCGCAACTCATCATGATGAGCATCTTCGTGTTTAGCACCGGTAGATGCTGTGTGGGAAACAGTAGTCTTTTTTTTGCTGAAAGCGACGCATACATCTGCATTGACTAGATCACAAGCTTTCGTAAATTGCTGTTCCTCGGTATTTTAAGGGTTTTAAACGATCCCCTCACAAGGTCACAAAAACTAAACCATGTCCTATTTAGGTTATGGGGCGATATCTACTGATAAAGATCTCTCCGTACGATGCGTGGTATTAAAATAATTAATTGTTTCTTTGGCCGAATCTCAAAAGAGTGAAGACGGTGTCGAGGAGAACGTTGACGGTTTGGGCAACGGCACCACCAGCGTTGTTGACAACGTCACCGACGTAGTGGAGGTGGTCATTGACAGCTTGACCGACATCGCGCTCAGCGTTTTCGACGGGAGCACCCAACACGGGGGCAGTAATGGCAAGGGCAGCAACAACACCAGCGAACTTCATATTCTGATGAGATACACCCCGGCGACTCGTACCATTTATATAGTGTTTTTAATTTCTCTTCTCTTTGTTAAGCACGAGATGCACATGAGTTTATTGTTCTCGCTCGAAAAAGTGGAGGCTTTAGTGATGCAAAATACATCGTAATCAATGAGAACAATGGATATGCCGATGACCGCGTTTGGTGTTGTTTTCATCATCGTCTATTTATGAATATTTACCTACTCAACAGCAGCGGCCGCCACCACCGATGCCCCCCAAGCTGGCTTCGTGTCCACCAAAGCATTAGCAAGCTCGTCGTCAGTGATATTGGGGTACTCCTTCTTGTAGTATTCCGCGACAAGGGCGTTAACCAAATTGGGTAACTTCTTGGCGGTGGTGATCGACACTAACGACCCCCCGAAGCCTGCACCGGTGACTCTCGTGCCATACGCCCCGTTGGCGAGGGCAATCTCACAAATACGATTACAGTTGGGATGGCTCAGGCCGTTGAGTTGATCAAGACTCTGCTGCGAAGCGTTCATCACGCCGCCAAACTCGCGAAGGAAGTCATCGCCGTTTTCGATCGTTTGTAACAAGTGTAAGCACTGGAGCACACGGTAGGACTCCGAAAACACGTGTTTGGCTCTTTGATATAATTTAAGTTTATCGTATCTCACCTCCATTTTGGTAAGGTACTTTTGTGTAAATTCTTCCACACTGAGACCTAAGGCGGCAGCGGCTTCCTCGGTGGTGAAGCCCACCTTTTCCTCGGTGGTAAACCACTCGTCACACTTATCGGTGAGCTCCTGGAGCCACTTCATCCCCTTGACGTTATCCTGGCCATCCCACGGCAGTTGCTTTTCCACCTCCACAAAGTATGTCTCCATGAACCCCCGCAAAGTGCCCGAATTGATGTTGGATTCAGACGGCAACGACAAGTTAAACTTCTTAGCAAGCAAGTCCAGGGCAATACCCATTTCGACGACTCGCAAGTTATAGTTCACGGGGGCCGTCAACTTTTTAGGCGATTCCACCAAAGTGTTGGAAATAATGAACTTGAGTTCTTCACCGTCAGGGAGAGTGGGGAACTTAAGCGGAATCCCATTGAGTTTGGGACGGAACTGTACAAGCAAACACATACCATCTTCCCCATAAACCAGCGAGCACTGGTCCAAACCGCCGTTGTTGAGACCAATGTAGTGCTCACTGACCACAGTGATGCGGGTCAAATCAGCCTTGCTGATACTGTCCACGCCATTAGCTTTGAGAATTGCCAACGTAGAGGCAACACAAAATGCTGCCGAACTGGAAAGACCACCACCGGTGGGTACAGTACCATCAAAGGCAACGTGCATCCCCACAAGCGGTTTGGAAGCATCTCTACCCTTCTCTAACAAGTACTTGTGGGCAACAATGAGGGCACAGCGGAAGTACGACGACCAATTGAAGTTGTTATCGTCGATAGTGATCACCAGACCATCCTCAGGAAGAGTAAACTGTTGTTTAGTGAATTTGGGGTCAGTGTTGACCAACGCAATCTCAAGCGACTCAGGGTTGGCGTGGACTGCGGCCACCAAATCGAAATCAATCGCCATCGGCAAGCACAGAAACAAATTGTAGTCGATGTGATCGCCCATCAAGTTGACCCGACCAGGGGCTCTGGTGTAGTACTGGATGGCTTCATTGGGGAACTCGGCGTGGAACTTAGCCGCCAAGTGCTGGTACCGCTGCTTCGTTTGCTCGGGAGCCGGCGAGAAGTCAAAATTGGTGAATGTTGGTACGGACATCGGGCGATATTGTGCCCTGAGAAGTGAGCACACCTATATACGATCTCAGCGGGGTTAAAAGTACAACGTTACATTAAAATCGCGACTCCGGCGAGAAATTCTCGGAAGGAAAGCTCATAACCAAAAGTCAATCTGTCACGAATAACAGCCAAATTTCTCGCAATTACCAACTAAAAACCATCGGTAAATTAAAAGTAACAACTTAGATATCATAAAACATCAGGCCAAAAGCAATTTATCATCCTTAGCCACGTGTTAACCCCTCCGCAACAGTTTATCCGGGGCGGCAATGCTTTTCCCACGGCAACTGCAGCCTGCATTATGACCCGATGAATTTCCCCAACTATATAAATCAGGCCCCAAGCAGTTCCAGAAAAACTACAACGTCGCATTTATGGAATACATCTTGGTCACCGGCGGCGCCGGTTATATTGGGTCCCATACCACCGTCGAGCTCATCAACAACGGCTACAACGTCGTCATTGTTGATAACCTCTGCAACTCATCCTACGACTCTGTCGCTCGAATTGAGTACATTGTGGGGAAGAAAGTTCCCTTTGTCAAGTGTGACTTGCGTGACACCGATGCCCTCAGCCTGGTGTTTGAACAGTATAAGATCACCGGCGTGATCCACTTCGCCGCTCTTAAAGCGGTGGGGGAACTGGTGAAGATGCCGTTGGCCTACTACGAGAATAACTTAAGTGGTACCGTCAATTTGTTGGAAGTGATGAAGAAGTACCAAGTGAAGACGATTGTGTTCTCGTCGTCGGCCACCGTCTACGGTGACGTCACTCGTTTCGGTGATGATCGCTACATCCCCATCCCTGAAGATTGTCCCATGGACCCCACCAACCCTTATGGCCGGACTAAGTTCATGATGGAGTGTATTCTCAAGGACATTTACCAATCGGAACCAGAGCAATGGCGTGTTGCTATCTTGCGCTACTTCAACCCCATTGGGGCGCACCCCCTGGGGATCATTGGTGAGGACCCCTTGGGTATCCCCAACAACTTGTTGCCGTTTTTGGCTCAAGTGGCTATTGGCAGACAGCCCAAGCTCAGAGTGTTCGGCTCAGACTACAACTCTCACGACGGTACTCCCATCAGAGACTACATCCACGTGGTTGACTTGGCCAAGGGCCACATTGCTGCGCTCAACTACCTTGAAAAGCAACTGAGCTTGTACCGCGAATGGAACTTGGGCTCGGGCAAGGGCTCCACCGTTTTCGATGTTTACCATGCGTTTTGCAAAGCTGCTGGCATGGAACTCCCCTACGAAGTCGTTGGCCGTCGTGCAGGTGATGTGCTCGATTTGACGGCTAACCCCACTCGAGCCAACAAGGAGCTTGAATGGAAGACTGAGCTCACTGTGGACGAAGCTTGTGTCGACTTGTGGCGCTGGACGACCCAAAATCCTTATGGTTACAACATCAAGGACTACAAGTACGCTGCTTTCGACACTTCTCGCATCCACCACATCACGAAGGGTAACTTGGACTTGGCCATCCTCAACTACGGCGCTACTATCCAATCCCTCAAGTTCAATGGTCAAGAACAGGTTCTTGGGTTCAACGAATTGAGCGACTACCAGTCGGACGCCAATCCCTATTTCGGTGCTACAATCGGACGTTATGCTAATAGAATCAAAGGAGGTGAGTTTACTGTTGACGGCAGTAAGTACCAGGTGACTACTAACAACAACAACAACTGCTTGCATGGTGGTAGCAAGAACACCTGGAACAAGGCCGAGTGGTTTGGTCCTGCCATCTACACCGAAAAGGATTCCTATGTATTGAAGTTTAAGTTGGTGGATTCAAAGAGTGAAGACGGGTTCCCTGGAGCGGTTGAGGCTATCGTCACCTACACCATTCTGGAGCTGAACAAGGTTTCGATTGAATACCAAGCTACCACCGGCACCAAGACCCCTTTGAATGTCACCAACCACACCTACTTTGCCGTCGATGGATCGCTGACTATTGATGACTTAAACGTCACTTTAAATGCTCCTAACAAATTGAAACTTGAGCTGGGCTTACCCACGGGCACAATCGAAGAAGCTAAGCAAACTGAGCTCAAACCACTCAAGGATGTCAAATTGGACGACTACTTTGTCGTGTCTACCGACTCGAAACTTGACACTCGTCAATCTGCACTCAAACAAGTGGTGCGAGTTGCTGGCAAAAAGACTACTTTGATTGTGCTGACCACTGAGCCAGGCTTCCAAGTGTACACTGGTGATTTCATCAATGTGGGAGACTACAAGTCTCGTTCTGGCTTGGCGATTGAACCTTCTCGTTTCGTTGATGCTATTAACAATGACCAGTGGAGCTCTCAAGTTTTGGTTTCGAAGGGCGAAACCTACGGGTCCAAGATCGAGTATCATTTTTCCTGATTTCCAACTCATAAATAGATATTTCATAATAATTCGCACTAGATAGGCATACGATCAAGGGAAAAACCTCATGAAAACTGATTGATGTACTGCAACTCTTTTATTTTGATCATTCAGTGCCGTATTAGCAAAAATAAACTCCGGTACAGGGAATCGAACCCTGATTTGCTCGGTGAAAGCGAACCGTGATAGCCATTACACCATACCGGATGTTATGAGCGTTGTGAAAAATCCGCGGATCGATCGACACGGAATTAACGTGTTAATGTTGCTTCCGGTAGTAAATTTAGCGTGTATGTAGTGCAAGTTATCGTGAAGTGCTCACATGACAACAACAGTATGCTGATCGCAAATATATTAAAGTAAGCATGCGCAATAGAGCTATAGCAACTTCACAAGCTTAGTTCTTTTTCTTATTGTATTTCGATGGGAAATGTTTTCCCGTCCGTCATAGATTTGCGTATTTTAAAATTTTCACAAGTTTCGAGGCGAAGGCGGTTTGCGATTAAGTAATATGTGGTTGAGGGGTCAATGAGCGCGTAAAGTTGAATAGAGCGTTTTTGTGTCTCGTTGGGAGCCCGCGCTCGTCGTTTACAGACCTAAGATCCCCATATAAGCTGTCGTTTAGCCAGAACACACCAATATGGTGCTTACAACCGTGTACCACATCGCTGGTTTCATAAACAGCCTCATATGGTATGCGGTGACCTGTGTCATCCAGTCTCTTACGGGATATAACCTTTTGACCGATGATGATGGTTCTATGGCATCGGTGCCTACCACCGCCGACTTGGCAGCAACAGCAGGCTACAACGTCCGAGAACATGTTGTCACTACTAAGGACGGCTACATACTTGTGTTGCACAAGTTGGAGCTGGCACAACCCACGTTGGGGAAGAAAGGCGTCGTCTATTTCCACCACGGTCTTCTCACCGACTCCGAGACTTGGGTAGTGGGCGATGTCAACCTCCCATACATGTTGGTGGATCAAGGGTATCAAGTATGGTTGGGTAACAACCGGGGTAATCGTTACCTGCGGAAACACCTTCGCCTTTCTCCCTCAGACAAACAGTTCTGGAACTTCAGTTTGGATGAGTACGCAATGTACGACATCCCTGCTTCGTTGGAGCACATTTACCAGTTCAATAACGGCACCCTGCGTATCACGTATGTTGGGTTTTCGCAAGGGTGCTCTCAGTTGCTTGCGACGCTTTCGCTTCGACCTGACTTGAACAATATTCTCAACTTGTTCGTGGGACTCCTGCCAGCGGTGATCCCCCAAAATCTCAGCCATCCCATTTTCAAAATGATTGTTAATCGCAGTAGCAGAAACAATCAATTCTTATACTCACTATTCGGTACCAGAGCGATTTTCCCATCAGTAGCATACTGGCAGACTTGGAAATGGTATCTGCTGGTGGTTGACACTGCCCTTCAATATTTGTTTGGCTGGAAATTGAACAATATCTCGTCGGAACAAAGAAGCCGAGTATACCCTCACTTGTTCAGCAACACCCTGGTCAAACTGGTCCATCATTGGTTTCAGATCATCGATGCCAAGCGGTTCCAAATGTTCGATGAACATGTCAATATTGGGCTTCTGCATTTTTCCAATTACCACCCTGGCCACCAAGTGCCACCTTTCCCCATTGCTCACCATTTGGACGTGCCCATGGTATTGGCATTTGGTGATGCTGATATCTTGGTTGATATCAACCATACCACAAAACTCATTACCGAGAACAACCCACAGATGAAGCTGAAGATGTGGGAGGTAATTGACTGCCCTACGTACGAGCACATGGACACACTTTGGGCGTCAGACGTTGAGAAACTCTACAACAGAATCTTACCTCACATCGAGAGAGCTAACCGAATGATCACCGATAGCGACTCTACATTAGCACTCGATGATGGTGAAGTGGAAAATACCCAATCACCTAAGTTTTATAAGCTTATTACCAACTAATTTCTCTCATTACCAACTCAAAATTTTAATACATTTGCACGCATTTAAACTAGGGTTTCTCTTTGCTTTAGAATACACTTGGTAAGCTTTCTATAGCATACTAAATCCGAGTGAATCTTGAGCACAATTGGTGCCGTATTGGTGTGCCCTATTGGTGAAAAATGTTCCTATAACGTCGATAAAATTTTGAGTTTTAATCAAATTGTGTCCATTTCAACCAGAGACGACAGACTTGATCCAGTCTCTTATCAGCTGTTATTTGAAACGTATCCTAAATGTTCAGTGTTGTGTTCACCGTGCAAAGCCAGATCGCGCGCACCTCATCCTGAACACCACCTTACCCGTCATGAGTCAGGCGAAACCAGAGGAGCCTAAGCAGCTTACCAATAAAGAATTGAAAGAGCTTAAAAAGAAGGAGAAGGCGGCCAAGCGGGCGGCGCAAAAGGAAGCTCTGGGGATCTCGGCGGAGAAGCAGCAGTCTATGGCTCAGGAAAAAATTGAAAAGGCTAAGAAGCCCGATACTGCCAGCCATCTCAAAAAGCAGTTGGACTCAACCGTGATCAAGGATGACTCCAAGAAAATCCCGCTGATGTTCTCTCACCTTGAGACCCGTGAACAGAGAAACGCCCTGCTGCCGCAGATTTCCTCGATTGTCCACCCCGAAATCTTGACCCTTACCCTTAAATACCTGACCTACAAGATCGTGGGGCTGACGGCTCGTTTAGTGGCGATGCTTCGAGCGTTTCAAGTGGTTATCGGCGATTACCGCACCCCCGCCGACACCTCCTTGCTGAGACATTTGACTGGCCACTTGGGTAACCAGATCGAGTACTTGACCACTGCCCGCCCACTTTCCATCTCTATGGGTAACGCCATTCGGTGGTTGAAGCAAGAAATCTCCCACATCCCTATCGACGTCAACGAAGAAGAGGCTAAAGCGCTGTTAGTCGAGAAGATCGAGGACTTCATCAGAGACAAGGTTGAGCTTTCGGATAAAGTGATCGTGGAAAATGCGAAGAAGCACATCACAGATGGTGCTGTCATCATCACCTATGGTCACTCGCAAGTGTTGCAGGACTTGTTCATTCACTGTGCCGTCGAAGAAAACAAGAAGTTTACCCTTATAGTGGTCGACTCGAGACCTTTATTCGAAGGTAAGCGTTTATTGAACGCGTTGACGGATACTTATGCTCCTGGTCAAGAGTTACCCATCGCGAAGACCCACATTGATGTCTTCTACACGTTGATCAGCTCGCTTACCCTGGTTCAAGTGGAAGGTGCGCTGTGTGTGTTCTTGGGAGCTCATGCCATGTTGCTGAATGGTAGATTATACTCGCGGGTCGGTACGGCGATGATTGCCATGATGGCTCACTCGCGGAACGTCCCTGTGCTCACTTGTTGTGAGCTGATCAAGTTCAGTGACCGCGTACAATTAGATTCGGTGACGACCAACGAGTTGGCTGACCCTGAAGATTTGGTACACAACATCGACACTCAAGAACCTCCACAAAAGAAAACTTTTGCTTTGGAACAATTCCTCAAGAGTGCTAACGAAAAGGCAAAGGCAGAACAGAAACCTCAACAGAAGAGTAAGAAAGACGCCAAGAAGGATGCTGCTGCACCTGTGGTGGACGAGAAGGACCCGCTTAAAGACTGGAGGCTGATGAACAAGGTGACGGTGCTTAACATCATGTATGATTTGACTCCGCCGGAATACATTCAGAAGGTTATCACAGAATTGGGGGCGTTGCCGCCATCGTCGGTGCCAGTGATTTTGAGAGAGTACAAGAACACATAGATAGCATAATACTAATTAATGGGACAAAGGTATATTAATTATAAGGGGAGTACTAAAGACCAGCTTTTTTTGTTCGAATGAAAATCTCCAGTTAACAACTTAGTAGATGGTGTGTCGACGATGAGTGATCTCCAGGAACTTGGAGTTGTCCGTTTCCATGACTTCGTTGATGAAATCACGCACCGGCGACTCGCCCGGCTCACCGTTCATGCTATCGTCGTTGATACTAGACTCATCGTCGGTGGTGTGGGTATCGGTGTCTTCAAAATAGCTCTCGTCAAACGATGACACGTCGTTATCTTGAGGAGGGGCCCAGTTGATGCCACCACTGTCTTCAACGTCGACATCGAGGTCATCTGCATATCTCACTGTGTTGAAGGTAAAATCGGAGGCACCACCGTTGGGCGAGATGGGGCTATCAAGTCCGCTGACATGGGCTATTTTCGTTGAAAGCTTCAGCTCTTTACGACCCCGTTCAATCGCCCTTTCGATGTCCATGCGATTACGCACGTATAACACCCGAGGCCACATTGACCGTTCACCTTTCAAAAGCAATTGTTGCATTTGCTCACGATTGGGGTCCAGCAAAATGTACCAAAAGTCCTTGAACCGGAAACGGGGCCAGATAGTGACAGAGCCAGTAAACTTCTGGAGCCAGATGTTCAGCCAATCTTGCTCGAGGAAATGAGGCAAGATGTCCAAAGTCTTGATCAACTGGAGCCACTTGGTAATCTCAAGCTTAAGCAATTGTTCAAGGGCAGTAGCAACAAACCCGCCTCTAAGGGTCGAGTAGCGACCCCGCGAGATGCGCCGACGAGCCACAGGCCGCCCCACAGTACCTTTTGGAGCAAAGAAGAATAACGCGATATGGGGATTCACTTGGGATACCACGGAAAAAGTGACATTATAGTAGGAGTTCAAAGCGTCTAAGGGGACATCGGTACGCAACAGCCCATCGCGCCACTTATTACCAAGCAGGAACGGGCCCACTTTGCCGCGATTCTTCATCATTAACACCACCGGGTTGAGAATGCCAGGCACCGCCGCCAGGGCAAGCAACAGCGACCAGATGATACAGTTGGGAGAGGTGATGTTGTTGCACAAAATGACGGGTGAGTGGGGGTCGGCAGGCACTGTAGAGATGTTAAGCTTACGGCCGGTACGCTCAAATGCTTCTTGGAAGGTAGTGTCACCTCGACAGAAGAAGCATGATTTAGACGCCCAAGCCACAGCATCAAAGCGAGCCCCGGTACGCCAAAAGCGAGGGATCCACTTGTACCATGGTTCCTCACAAGCAGTGATTTTGTCGGCAAGCTCGGGAACAAGCAACTCCTTAAGCTCGTCGTTTTTATAGGTACACGCCAATGCAGCAATAAGGCCACCACCAGAAGTGCCAGATATAATATCGGGGAGCAAGTCCTGTTCAAGCAACGCCTTAACGATACCGAAATGCGTATAGGCAAAGCACGCACCCCCTGAAAGGACCAACGCAGCCTTACCATAGTTCTTGGAGATGATCTTGAAGAATTTCCGCTTATCGTGGAGGGAGACGTCTTCACTATAAGTAATGATGTCAATGCAAAGCGTTACTTCCTGGACGTATTCGTCGACCAAGTTCTTGGTGCCGTAATAACGATGGGAGTATAACTGACGGTTCTCAATCCCGGCAAAGTTGTGTTTGACACACCCCTGTAGCACGATCATCAAGTCTTCATGGTTATTAGCCTCACGGTATTTGCGGAGGGTTTTGATGGTGAGGGCAACCGTCTTGTAGTCGTAGTAGGAGAAGCGAGGGTTGAACAGCCACTTGTCATAGCGGAGATAATTGTCCAACTCCAATGCGGTGGCTTTCCATTCTCCAAACGTCTTCAGCGACCGCATCTGGTCCCGAAGCTGCTTCTGGTAACCAACCCAAGTGAAGAAGTATTCGGAGAGAGCCACGTACACTCGGATGGCTGAGTAAATGATGCACAAAAGGAGTATCCAGAGAAGGATGATCACGAGCAACGGCCACCGTAATAAGTGGTACAGTGCGCTCAGTCGGAACTCATTCCGTAGCCGTTTGGTGGCGGCTTTGGCCTTCCTCTTTACACGAGGTCGAAGGGGAGCCCAATCCAGACGGGAAATGATTCTCGAGATTCGAGACTGAGGCAGTGCCAGCTCTGAGCTCAGTACTTGTTCGAGATCGTCACCGTCGCCGTCGCCTTTGAGCGCCTGCGCAAACGCCTCGATGGAGTCATCATTGACGTAGTCCTGGTCCCACAAGTCCTGTGGAGTGGAGGAGCCCAGCAGCATGTGTTGCCTGAATGCCTCAATGGTCAGCAAGTTGCAAACCTTGGGTATCTTGTCACGTGCTGAAAACTGTAAATTCGCACCGGTTGCGGTTATCGTGCCATGTGCCTGATGTCTGGGGAGCCAACAAAATCGAGCCACACACACGGCAATTGCTACCGAGAACCAGCTAACTCTACTTTTAGCAATGTGTAATACGTTACGCAAAGGACAGCTTCGCTGTAGTTAGCTCACTATGTTTACCTAGACGAGCCGAGCCAGCCGAGCAGTTCCGCTTATCTGTTAGCCTCAACGTGTGCCCATTAACCAGCGGCCTCTGCGTGCACGCCTCAGTCCTCACGAGATTAACCGCGACTACCCCAATGGCAGTGTTATTGGACATCGAGGGAACCATATGCCCCATCTCCTTCGTCAAGGACGTGTTGTACCCTTACTTCACTAATAAGCTTCCTGCGCTTCTCAAATCTCAATCTTTCCCTTTGGACTCTAACAGCGATGATGCTGTGACTAAGATTTTGACCGAGCTCCCTGCCGACACCCAAACTAATGCTGAATTAATTCAAGCTCACTTTGATGACTTGGTGAAGCGGGACATCAAGGATCCCGTGTTGAAGTCGCTCCAGGGCTTTGTGTGGCAACAAGGGTACCACTCAGGCGAGATCACTGCTCCTGTGTACCCTGATGCCATCGAATATATCAAAACCACCAGCGACGACGTTTACATTTACTCGCTGGGATCAATCAAAGCACAGAAGTTATTGTTCTCCTATGTTGATGACGCCGGAAAATCTGTTGACCTCAACCCATATTTAAAGGGATACTACGATATCCCCACCGCCGGCTACAAAAATCAAAGCAGCAGCTACACCAAGATCGCCGAGGCTATCGGCTTACCAGCATCGGAGATTCTTTTCCTTAGTGATAATGAGCTTGAAGTACAAGCAGCTACTGAGGCTGGGATGAAGGCGAAGATTATGGTGAGACCTGGCAACTATGCGCTTCTGGATATTGGTGCCAAGTACGACAAAGTGCACCTGATGCCCGAGGCACTTCAAAAATAGCAATGTAAGGGGAGCTTTGCTTAAAAGCGTCGTAACTAATATTATACAAAAAGATAAAAAGACTAAGTAGTAAAAGCCTATGCTATGAACCTCCGCAGTAACCCCAGGCGGACTTCAATTGTCGCTGAACAAAATGTCAGCCGCCGCTTCTTCATTTTTGTCACAAGCCAAATACACCTGGATAACAAGGGTGCGGTCGAATCCTAAGTCGCATAACCGGTTCACCGCGTCTTGTTCTTCGGCAGTCAACGGCACGTAAGCAGAGGGGGCTTCTTCGGCTTCGCCTTCCTCGCCAACCACTTCAAAGCCGCCCATCTCACCTTGCATGACCGCCCGCAAGAACCCTTCGGGGTCTTGTTGAATGAGGGCCTGGACCTCAGGGTTAGTTTGGGCCAACTGCAGCAATTGCTCAAGGATAGGTTGAATGAGTTCGGGGTTGGTTTCCAACGCCTGGCGAAGCACCGCAAGCCGGTCTTCCTCGCCCAACTCGTCCATGTCGATGTCGATTTCGCCACCTTCACCTTCACCGGCACCACCACCAATACCAGCGCCACCGGCAGCGGCAGCAGCGGCTTCAAACAAGTTTTCCGATTGCAAACCGCGGTCGGTGTCGATGTCAGTGACGTCGGTAGTGTCAGCCGCGGCGTTAGGGGCTGGGGCGATCTCCGTTGTCAGTTCAGCTTCAGGGGCAGCTGAGGTTTCGGGAATCCCCATGAGAAGGTATTCCACCGCCCGGTCGGGGTTGTTGTATGCAGCCCGCAACGCCTGCTCGACGCGGGGTCGGTCGTAGCCCATTTCCATGATGTGAAGGATGGTGGTCTCACGTTGGTCGCCTGTGACAAAGTCCGACGTGGATCCCGATTGAGCGGAGCCGGTAGTGGCGGGTTGAACTTCAGCAGCCGTGGTAGAGCCAGTAGACGCGGCAGCAGGGGCGGCGGCGCTGGCTTCATTAGCCACGGGCTGGGGAGTGGCGCTGGCTGAAGATTCGGCGGGCTTTTGCTTAGCCTTCAGCACCATGAAGATGATGGCGTCGCCGTCCTTCATCTTGTAGTCAGCCAACGTCTTGTCGTCGGCCAACACTTTACCCAGATACACAAGTTTGAGCTGGGCCGCGTCGCACAGGATCTCCGCGGCGAGCTTTTCCTTGGTGGCGACGACGCCGTCGGTAGCCTCGACTTCAATTGGGACTTTTTGCTTTTTGAAGTCCTTGAATATGATTTGCATGGCGACGAGGGAGAAGCTCGGTGGTGCCCTTGACTTTTTGTGCGGGTGGCAAAGGGAGAGCGCGCACTCGATGGCACACCGATGCTTTAGGAAATTAGGGTGGGGCGGACGCATTCTGGGTGGAGGGGGAGGTGTTGGTTGAAAATTTAAGCGTTCACGAGGCAGTGATTGCGTGTAAAATCCAGATCTTCAAGTTGACTTCATTGTCTTTTCACTAGTTCGATTATCAAAGTCCCCCACGTTCTCCCCTCACTTTGTCGCTCGTAACTTGAATAGGATAAATGGTGGTGAGAGGGACATCTCCATCAAGTGTACCCAGATTCTCGAGGGTTATAGTGTGAACTAACAGCATCGATGATCATTCATCGATTCATCTGGATGGCTCAAAACAACATCACATATGTCTCAAACGAAACTTTTCAATTCTCGGGTTGTTTGCGGTTTGACTCACTCTTTGATATCCGCTTTAGTCAGGAATCGGAGTTCCTTGCTTCCCTGCATACACGCAGCAGCGATCGATTTAGCAGCCATCTCGTTATCGCTACACGTCTGCTTCCATTAAAAAAAGATGCCTCGAAGAAGTTATAAGTCTTCTGGGGTGAAGGGACCAAACTCGGCGCTTACCGAGTTCCTCAAGAATGAAGGTATCACCGACGCGTTTCGAAGACGACGCGAACGGGAGGCCACGGGAGAGTCAGTCTCCACCGAAAACACTCCCGGCCCCCAGCTGTCAGTGGAACCAACCTCTGGTGGCTCAACAACCAGAGAGGCCTCTAGAGAAGTGGAAGACGATGAAGACGAAGAAGTCGTGGCGATCAAACAAGCAGCTCGTGAGAAACGGAGACGGGCGGGAGACGTGTCAGATGACGCGTTTAGTGACGAAGGAGAGCTTAGTGGAGTAGAGGATGCGGTGGCTAAGCGTTACGGCGAACCGGATAATTGTTGCGAGTGTGGCAGCCAGTTTTATTTGCTGGTGTACTCGCCGTTTATCAATGCTAAGGGAGGCTACCTCTGCGAGAACTGTGCCGAAATCCGCAAACAACAGCAACGTCAGGCGAAAAAGACTCAGTACGCTGCTCGTAAGCGGAGAAAGAAGCTTGCGCTGGCGCTTTTGGATAAGCGGAAGGTGACGTTCCCTACTCTCCAAGATTTGTGCATCAAGGAGATCAGTGTCCACATTAACGATGTCGACGAGTTGGGGAATATTGGTACCTCCAACATGGGTAAAATCTGCCGGATCCTTTCAAAGAACCGTAGTCTTAATGATCAGACGATGGCACTTTTCCTCAGCTCCAACTTGACGGTGTTAGAGTTCTGGGATTGCCTGAACGTACTGCTGGTGCTGTTGTCAAAAATACCTGCGTTTTGCCCTCGACTTGAGCTGCTTACGTTATCCATGTGTGGCCAGCTTCACAATGACAATATGGAGTACTTTGCTACCAATCTTCCTCATCTAAAGAAGCTTGCACTCAACGGTCCTTTCCTCGTCAGTGAAAGAGTGTGGTCGGAGTATTTGCTGAAGATCTCCCCTCTTACACTGTTCCTGCTAGGAAATACGCATCGGTTCAATGATGCTAATTTGTTAACATTGCTCGAATCCACTGGTTCTCAACTCGAAGAGCTCAAGCTTCACCGTCTTGATGGCATCACTCAGGAGGATCTGTACCATCTGATTGCCCGGTTCTGCCGCCAATTGAAGAAGCTTGAGATCTCTTACCCTCACTCCGAAGATTGCGTGACTAACGAAGCCATCATTGACATTTTGCAAGCCACCGGTGGGAATTTGACTGAATTGGTGTTGGATGGCTGTACACTGCTTGGCGATGAAATCTTGCTCGATGGGATTAAGCTTTACTGTAAAAATCTTACCAAGCTTTCGCTCAAGGGCTTGGATTTGATCACTGACTACGGGATGGCGGATTTCTTTAAAGGATGGTCCAACGGGGGGCTTATTGAGGCTGATTTCACGAAATGCATCACTGTTGCGGATGATGGGGCTTATGAGTTGTGGAGACATCTGGGACGTACGCTTGTGGAGTTAAGTTTGAATAGTGTCCCCATGTCTAAAGACTTTCTCCTCGAAGCCTTTACTTCAAACAGTCACCCTTCGAAAACAGAAGGGTACAAATATAGCCAAGTGTCGTTGCCATTACTTACTAAGCTTGATCTAGGCTTTGTCCGCGCCGTCGATGACGAGGTATTGAAGCTTCTTGAAGACGTGGCTCCTAAATTAAGTATCGTCGAAGTCTATGGCGATAACCGTGTTACTAACCGTGCCGAATTGGCCCCCGGGACACTTTTGATTGGTCGCCAACTCGATCAAGATATTTGAATTTCCCTTTGGAACTATTCTATATGTATATACCCAATTTTATGATGAATAATCTTCTTGCGTACAATCGGATCGGTTGCTGCTTGAATTTGTCGTCGATGCCGCACGTGACCCGCGCTGAAAATTGAGATGAGAGCACCAGCGCCTTATCCCACAACAGCACCATGGAGGATACTGACAGAACGGTGAGCCGGTTGTTTAGAACCTTCAAGACGGTGAAGGAGATGGTCCGTGATCGGGGCTACTACATCTCGCAGGAAGAACTCGACATGACCCTCGACGAGTTCCGTTCGAAGGTGTGTGACTCCATGGGCACCCCCCAGCGAAAATTCATGTGTTTCCAAGCCAACCCCACCCCCGAGTCGCTTGAAAAGTTCCCCGAACTCGGTTCGTTGTGGGTTGAGTTCTGTGACGAAGCCCTGGTAGGGATCAAGACGATGAGAAACTTCTGCATCCACATCTCCGAGAAGAACTTCTCCACCGGGATCTTCATCTACCAAACATCGATCACGTCGCTGGCCAACAAGTTGCTCCCCACCGTGGCCCCCGCCACCATCGAAACCTTCAACGAAGGGGACTTGGTCGTCAACATCACCCACCACGAGTTGGTGCCGAAACACATCAAGTTGTCGCGTGACGAAAAGCGCCAGTTGTTGGAGCGGTACCGGTTGAAGGAATCCCAGTTGCCCCGGATCCAACGGGAAGACCCCGTCGCCCGCTACTTGGGGTTGAAGCGGGGCGAAGTCGTCAAGATTATTCGCCGATCGGAAACCGCCGGGAGATACGCCTCCTACCGCATTTGCTTGTAGACTAAGAGAAATGTCGTGTGTACTATAGTTCGAAAATCAACAAATAATGGATATTTACGTGGTCTCTTCCGGGAGACGTCCCGCCACCACCGCGTCTTGGACCCCAGTCCACCACCGCACGTCGCGGAGGCGCTCAATCGCTGATGGCGGGCTCACATTGACGCCTTCGGACCCCAAAAACACGGGTCCCACAGTGGTGATTATCGAGTCGACAAGGCCACTCACCAATAGATCATTGATAATGGTAGCGCCCCCTTCAATCATCACCAGTTCAACACCATAACCTCTCATGGCGCTGAGGATGAATTCCCAGTTAGCGAGTCTATTTTGTAAACTGTCGCTATCTCTCAATGGTAAAATTATTCGCCGGCCTCCCATCAGCTCCAAAAGTCCGCCATCATCCACTTGCTCCAGGGTAATGATGTAAGGCGCCCACGCCTTTTTCTCCTTATTCAACTGATATAATGTCAGCTTCAGGTAGTCCCAGCGTCCCTTAGGATCCACCACAAACGGGAAAATGGTACTGGGCTTAGTGTCATCAGGATAACGACAGGTAAGCTTGGGATCGTCGGCTAATGCCGTACCCACGCCGATCAAAATTGCCTGGTGGCGACTGCGAAGGTAATGGGTCATGGTCTTGGTTTCGGCATGGCTAATCACGGTGCGGACCCCAGGCGCCGCCAGAATCTTCGAGTCAAGTGATTGGGCCCACGTCAAGGTGACAAATGGATGACTAGAATTCTTGGGAGCCAGGGGAAGATACGGCTCGAGAAACTCCTTGAGATCTTCTGGAAGTGGAGTGAGCGACATGAGAAAATATGGTCTCTGGGGCAAGCCACTAAACTAACTGCCACGATGAACAACATGGACCAGATGAATTATTGGTTATATGAGCATCAAAAACTGCACTGAATGAATTGTATTGTCAGATTCAAGGGCTTAACGTTTTGTTGACATGAATAATTGAAGATGTTGTCCAATCAATGCTTCTAAAGGATGACTATGTGCTACAAGTTGATAATATATTACACGTTTAGTTCAGTAAATCAAATATTTTCTAACACAAAATCTATAACCTAAAATGACTTGCTCGAGAACGAAGTGGTAGGACCCGTGTGCATTTCCGACGGGAACGACCAAGCCAGCGACAACCAAGTGGAGTCGGAAGGCATGTTGGGACCAGTGTCATTGTTACTGGTGTTTCTAGGTTGGAACAACCCGTTCAAACCAATGCCCGACGAGTCGTCAAAGTTAAAGTTGGTACCCAAGTCACCGACAGAACCAGAGGCGGCGGCAGGAGCAACGATGATCACAACGAAAATGATCAAGATCAAGAAGTACAACGAGCAGTACTTTCTCACCATGCGCTTTCTCAATCTCGCTTGCTTCAACGAGTAGATGGGAGGACGGATCAATTGCGAAGGCTTGAGCCAGAACAACATAGTCGAGTGCCATCTGTCAATGAGAGGAATGCACAAGATGGGCAATTGCACGAACAAAATCAAGTGGGCCAACACGAAGTCACCAGCGAATTCCGACATTTCAATGATCTTAGCGACGAATTCACGCGAAGGTTGAGTGAACGCCATGTAACCCATACCAGTGTTGTACCATTTACCGGTCCAGAAAGCGGTGTTGGCCTTGTCATTCTTGAATTCACGGGTCAAGCACAACACGGTCAAGATCTTGAAGATGAAACGTTGACAGTAGATACAGGTGGCGAAACCAAGCAACATCCGAGCAAAGTTGAAACCTTCCATCACCCACATGATGATGAAGAACGCCACGTGAATGACAACAGCGATACCGTGAGCGATACCAGCCATCACCGAACCAGTCTTCTTGCAGCACAAGCCCAACAAGGGACCAGCGCAACAAGCGAGACCGAAGCAACCACCAACGACACCAGCGTTGACAACGACAGGACCAAGAGCACAGATAATCAAACGCAACACCGAGTTCACAGGAGCAGCCTGCTTGACAACACCGTTGTATTCATAAGTGACAACACCGGTTTGGGCGTTGATGAAAGTGTAGGCAATGAACAAACCAGCAGTGTAGACAGCAGTGGGGAAAATCGAGGCGAAGATGACGTTCAGTCTGTGGGCACGAGTAGCATCACCGGCACTCTTTTCGGAGACATCACCCACCAACTTTCGCTTGAAACCGGTAACTCTCGAACGCGACAACCGCACGTAACCGATCCACGAGTTGCGGTGCCACTTGGAGTTACCACGCAGCAACCATCTGATGAAGTCACGGTAGTCAATAAAGAAGTCTTCCCAAGCGAACTGGTGAGGGTTGAAGATAAAAGGCGACATGATCAACGCAGACAACGAGGCCCAGAACCAAAGAAGAGGAGCTTGCCAGCGAGCGACGGAACCGAAGAACAAAATAAGCATAAGACGAGCACCCATGTAAATCGACGAGTCGGCGAACCGCGAGTACAAGATCGAGAAGGGAATACGCAGAGTAGCGAAACCACGACCAGTAGAGATATAACGGGCACCACCAACGGTCATGTCGGTGGCAATCGACGACGAGTAGATTTGAGCAACGAACACTTCGAACATGGGCGACAACGACACCAAGTGGCGGACGAACCGTTGGAAGGCCTTCCACACACCACGTTCAATCAATTCTTGCACCGTCAAGGGGATGAACGAAATGAAGAACACAATGAAGATAGAAAGCGTGTAACGACGAACCCAGTCAATAGCCGGCATCAAGTTGTAGCAACCAATGGGGTAGAGCACATCGTAGATGGGCTTGTCCTTATCGTAAGAGCAGATGATCAGTTCGTGGGCCAACGAGTTCAAGTTAGCGAGCACAAGAATGAAAGTTTGCAACGACATTTGAATGAACAAGTTATTGATGTGGAAACCAGGGTGACCGTAGTAGAACGAGAGGAAACGGTCCAAGGGCAATTGAGTCGACAAGTAGTAGTATTCACGCGACAACATTTGTTCACCCATACCGGCACCAATCTTAGTAGTGAAATTCAACACCGAGCCGAAACCCATATCTCTACCCTTACCACATTGGTAGTATTCACAGTGCTTGATCTTACCACCACGCATCATGGCGTTCATACCAGCGTAGATATCTTCGTTCAAGTGCAAACCTTTTTGAGCCTTAGACACACCACCACGAGTCAACATGAACGTGGCGTTGAGGAAATCGGGGTGACCATAGTGCAACTTACCACCGATTTGGGCAAGAGTCCGCGCAAACAAAGTACCAAAGGTTTGTTCCTTACCAGCAGCAACGTCACCAAGTACACCGGAGTTTTCCGAGAAAATGTATTCACGAGCACCCAAGAACGCCACGGGGTAGCGCTTTTCGCTCAGCTTCTTGTTTTCCTTCAAATCAGGGGCGTAAGGGTTAACGTGTTCGACATTGAGTTCTTCGAATTCAGCAAGCACCGACCGGATCTTCAAACATTCTTCAAGGTAGTTGTCCTGGTTAGCATCGATCAACTGGATGTATTCACCTCTGTGGAAAATGATGGCGTGGTTCTGGTTATCAGACTTACCGTCACCGAGAATGGGGTTACCCGACAATTGCACTCTGAACTTAGGTCTACGGCGACCGTTTTCCAACATTTCACAGTGACCATCGATCAACGACGAGAACACGCGGGGCTCTTCGTCTTCGTTGGCAGCAGGTTCTTCGTCAAGGTAGGCAATTTGCAAGTCAGGGTAAGCACGCAACAAGAATTCAGCGTTTTCCATTTCGTCGTCCTTGAACTTCAGCATCCGTTGCATCGACACAAGGAAGCGGAACTTCCGGCGAGCCATCTTTTCGAGAGCCAATTCCAAGCCTTCAGGGTCACCACCAAAGTATTGCACGAGTTCAGGGTTTTCCACACGGTACAACAACTTAATGGCACGAGCGTAGTTCATGAAACCCGACACGGTACGGTACAAAGTTTGCGAACGCAACGAGGCCCAGATACGAGTACGCAAAGTGTATTCGGGGGCAGCCAGCTTGAAACCAATACAGTAGAAAGGCAAGTCGTCGATCTTCAGCTTGAGGCCGTCGTCTTCGTTCATCTTCTCAGGGTCTTCGCCACCGTTTTCGTAAGCAGCGGTTTCTTCAGCCAAAATCTTGGTGTCCTTCACGAAGCAGTCCCATTCAACGGGGTGCAATTGCTTCAAGTATTCCAAAAGGGTAACCCGCGAGTACTGGTCATCTTCACGAATGATTTCACGCAACGACAACAAGATCTTTTCCGAGTAGTGAGGGGTGAACACGGTGAAAGTGGGCATGTTGTCGACGGGCAAAGGTTCCAAGATGGGGGTAGCAAGCGATTGGGCGAAGAAGGAAATACGACGCTCGGCTTCAGAGTTTCTGGGGAAGAACTCGGTTTCAAAGTTGTTGTCATCTTGGGACACGAAGAAAGTGGGAGCTCTCAAAGTACGCTTACCTTCAATTTCCGAGGGCACTTGGTGGTACAACAACTTTTGCACGTGGTCAATGGCAAGAAGATGTTCACGGTACATCGAAATGACGATAGCGTTCCAGATTTGCGAGATCAACACCTTAGGCTTGTACTTGATTTCCATTTCAGTGGTAGCAAGAATCTTCGAGTAGATACGCTTGGGCAAACGAGTGAAAATGTTTCTCCAAGGGGTCAAGATGGAGATACCAAGGTAGAACGAGCGCCCAATCGAGAAGATACAGTTACAGATAATGTACCACATGTAAGTATCCAAGAAGAACAACAACAAGTCGACAGCGTACATCAAACCGAGCACGACCTTGGCTTGTTGGCGACAAAGGGTGTAACCCCACCAGGCTTCACCAACACAACGCATGGTCATCTTCAGCAAGTTACGGATAGGGTCACGCAACGAAAGGGTAAGGAAGAAGTACGATTCGACGAGCTTTGCCAAGAAGACCAACACCCACAACAAGTACAGCAACCACATATCAATACCACGCAACTTGATGAAGTTAGCTGTGAAAGCTTGCGAGGCCATGTATTTACGCGAGCGCTTGTTCATGTACGAGGTAAACAACCCACCTAAAGGCATAACGGCGTAGAAGACCAAGGTGGCAACAGCAATGAAGAACCCGACAATCGACACCGCGTGCGCCAGCTTCGAGTAGTAAGTGAGACCGGCCCAGTAGAAAGTGTAGACGACGGGGACCAAGTTCAAAATCAAAATACCAATCAAAAACATCATTCTCCGCGTAAGATGTTGAGCACCGGCCCACTTACGAGGAACAAACATCCATTCAAAGAGAGTTGCAGCAATTTGGATAACCGAGGCCAAGACCCCACCAATGGCGGCCGAGGCCCACCGCGAGGAGGCCAAAGGCTGGTTGTTGACGGTTTGAATGTAGTTCTTCGTGTAGACAGCAGGCGAGTTGTAGGCAGTGTACATCCAGTAGATGGTACCGTGAATAATCCAGATACGGTTGAAGTTGGTGACAAAGTGCAACCAGGTACGGATTTCCTTGTAAGTCTTGAAGAAGACGTTGTTCCATTCGACTTCACCTAAACGCAAGTAACGCTCGGGCTGAGGGATGTCGACGAGACGAGTGCCGTCTTCAAAGATGATCCGCGAGATACCTTCAGGATACCAGAACAACTGGTTGACGTCATCGTACCCAATAACTTTGTTGTGGTCCTTTTCCCGCTTGACGAAACGGCCATCGTAGATCTCGTAGACTTGAGCCCGCAAGAACCGGTACAAGGGGGTGATGACACGGTTCAAGTAGTCACCTTCAGGCATGGGTTCTTGACGTTGCTGGCACGCCGGCAGCTGAAGATAGTCGACAGCCGTCTTGTACAAGTAACACAACAATTCGGGAGTGAAACGCATCTGGTTGGCCTCACCCCACATCAAAAGGTAAAGGGCAATGTCTCTGACTCTTTCCTCGGGGGTCAAAGTGTTCATCTTCGCCTTCCACTTGATTTCGGCAGCTTCCAACGAGTAGTCGCCTTCAAGCTCGTTGTCCAAGGCGTCGACGTCCTGACCAATTTCTTCAGCGGCTTGACGCGCCTTCTTCGACTTCCGCTTCGCCTTCCGCGCCTTACGACCGAGCTTGCCGAGGGTCATGTTGGCGTAACCCACCGAGTCGTCCAAGTCCTGTTGCGAGGCAAAGTACCACTTACGGTAGTTGGCGTTTTCACCACCAATGTAGTCAGCGTGCAACAGCAACAACGCTTGGGCAGGGGACATTCTCAGCGCCCGCGAGTCCAAAAGGGTCATGAAGTAGTCAAACATGTTTCTCATCGAGTCACGTTGGAAACCAAACTTGTTGGTCAAGTCGATGAAAATATCTTCGATGTGTTCGACCTTGATCGGCGCCTGGGGGTCAGCCAGCCACGCCGGGTAGGGCAAGTTCAGCGACATCTGGAACTGGGTGGGGTCGTACTGGCCCTGGCCGCCGTAGATCGGCGTCAGCGCTCCCAGCGATCTCGGGTCGCCGCCGTACAGCATTTGCGACGGCGTGTACTGGGTGCCGTTCCCGTATTGATCGTAGCCCGACTGGTTTTGACCGCCGTAGCTAAAGTCGGAGAACGCCTCGCCGTTGTACTGGCCTTGTTGCGGGTAGCCCTGTTGGCTCATGTCCTGGTAGCCGGCGTCCATATCGTACCCTTGCTGGTATTGCATGTTGGGGTCGTAGTACTCCTGCTGGCCGTGCCCATCGTAGGGCTGCAGCTGGTAGTACCCATCGGCCCCTTCCGCCGCGTTGGGGTCGTAGTAATTATGATTGTTATCGTTATACGACATCTATTCAGTTAGTATGGCTTTGAAAACACTTCGATTTGGGGGCTGGTTGGGGGTGATCTGGTGGGCTCCGCCACCTTTCAGCTGGTGAGCTAAAATTAGCCAGCAGCGCTGCTCCCACTAGCCACGACGACGGTGGCATCGTCATCCCCAATAGGCGTCCGCCAGCGGCTGTCCCCGTGGGTCCCGATTATTTGGAATACGTACCCCGTCTAACGACCGATCACAACTTAGAGAACTATGAGAAAAAAGGTTTTTATAAAATCGGCACACCTCGCTGGTGCCGTCATATCTGCAGGTAAAATCAGGATTTTTTTTATTTTCGCGTTCCAGGGGTTTTGATCTAGGCGCGTTTTCGAGGGAAGGCGCGGGGCCGAGGGAGGTGGTGGCGGCGACTGAGGCAAGAAAAGCCGCCTTAGGGGGGGTGAAGCAGGGTAAGAACCTACAAAGGTCATGTGGTTGCCGAGTCGAGGTGGTGGCAGCGTCTATCCTCGTATAATCAAGGGAAGGGGGGTCGGGGGCGGTGTCGGCGGTGAAGGCTGTTTCGTGATTGCGAGCCCGTCGCGTCTTGTGCATTCACGCATTTGCAGGCTGTGTAAGGTTTTTGGGTTAGGTAAGCATTCACCGCACCATCGCTCAAGGCCAATGTTGCTATGAGGAAACCCCCCCTGTAGATAGTGCTAAATCCACGCGACGAACACACCCCCCGTTTTTCATCTCTAACCATAATACACTATAGATTACCCGCCGGTGATTTTCATTTAGCCTTTTAGGGTCTAGCGCTTTGGCTTCGTCTGACGGGTCGCAGATGCCCTTTGCTGAATGGCATTCCCAGCGGCGCGTGGCGACGGCGGAAGTGAGACATTGAGGCGAGTTTGAACAATCTACGGTTGCCGTCAGTGCTCCAACCACGATGGGGAGGGCTCGGTTGCTTTCTCCGGGAAGTGTTTATTGCCGATGAGGCAGGCCCGCCAGTGTTTCGTGGTTGTGAGGGAAATAACACGACTTTCTGATTTCCGTCGCGTAAGCACGCTCGAGCGCGTCTCATCACTGACAGGCTGGCGCTCGCCGCCGCCGACGCCCTTGTTGTCACCCCTCGTCGCCAAACATATATATCGTCCACCGCTCTACGTGCCGTTAGGGTGCTTGTGTCAGAGTTCGACGCGTGGTGCCCGGTGGCACTTGTCAACGCGCTGTTGCTATAATAGTCTGAGGGCTCCCTCGCTCGGGCTCCCGTTGCTTTTGCTGTGCGCTGGTGCATGTCATTAGCCCAAACGGGTAGGACCGATGCCCGCCTCAGTGGCGCACCGGGAGCTGCTCCCCTTGCTAGCAAGAGCAAGGCAGAGAGAAAGCAGCCTTTTAGCCAGCAGAGAAGTGTGACAATACCCGACACAATGATCTGAGACACACCCCGTGTCTAGAGCAAGCGCCCCGTTATCGCCTCGCAAACCGAACCCGTTGCTAGGGCAACCGCACGCTCGCCGCCGGTGCCGCCTCGCCCCATTGCGTGTTCCCTCCATAGTAGAGATACGTTTAAAAGAAATGTGCCCACGGGGGAATGTGTTTGGTGCTGCCAAAAATATCGTGTAATCACCGACGATATCGCCGATTACCATCACAAGACATAGACGACACGGTGATAGTTTCGTTTACAGCATATGCTTGTCACTACGGTGATGGCTACTTCGGTCTTAGGCATTTCCTGGAGAGATTTGTGGGCGTAGATGTAGGTGCTATACGACGGGTACGGGGCCACGGTGGCGAAACGTTCGTATATTGACGATTGTGGGCCCCGGTACGAGAAACATCCCGGTACTAGGGGAACGGGGCAGCGGGTGGTTACCCTCACCAGTGGGAAGCTACCGATTAACGAGGCTGAAGAAGAGACCATGCTTAAGGCAAGCTTGCTGTCCCTTGGTTTCTTTTCTTTGTTGACATCTTCTGTATACCAAACTTCCAAACCTTAATTTTTTGTGAACTGGCAGGTGATAGTGATAAGTTGAAATTCCGGGAATTTTGGTGTTACTGGCTTACACCTCGGGTCAAAAGTTAGTCACCTCGCTTGGTCGTATCGTAGGCATGTCACATGGGTTGCTCTTGGATCGGTTGCATTAGTTACAAATTATGTCAAATTTCAAGAAAATAAAGCGGATATACGAATGGTGGAAAAGTGAAAAGATAACGGCAGCCGTCGCTTTGGAAAAATGTTGGCATCTTCTATTTTTAGTTTATCATTTGTAATCCCAAACATCCGATTTATTCAAACGTTGCTATGGCTGGCTGGAAGTTACTTTCTGATCTGATTAGGTAAGCGAAACACCATCTTCTGGTATTAGACGATGATGAAGCATTAAACTATGTCAATATCCATCATTTCTATATGGTCCAATACCTCATTTTTGACTGACGTTCCCGTCTAAGCGATACCCTCACTCACTCTGTTGGTGGCACCCTCTGCTCCACCATTTATCTCATCGCGCGCATCTCATCCCTCTTCATGTCCGAGAAACCCCAATACAAACCTGTGACGGTGGACAAGGTGGTTCCCAACACCTATGATCTTGGGAACCTTGCTACATTCGATACCAACCCCCTTGACAACGCGAAGTTGGCCGATGAAGCCTCCCGCGAGCAATACTTGACCGAGGTCGCCCGCGACAACTGCCAGCTTTTGATCAACCAGATTCTCCTGTTGCCGGTGAAGTCGACCACCGACTCCACCGCGTCGTCCACGGGGCAAACGTCGACGATGACGCTCATACAATTGCCCGAACCGTCGACGCCGTTGCCGCGGGAAAAGGCGATCCCTAAGCCCAAACCTCCCACCAAATGGGAGCAGTTTGCGGCCAAGAAGGGGATCAAGGCCAAGGAGAAGAGCGGCAAGTTGGTCTACGACGAAGAGTCGGGCGAATGGGTGCCTAAGTGGGGGTACAAGGGGAAGAACAAGGCCATGGACAACGAATGGTGTGTCGAAGTGCCTGACAAGGTGCAGGGCACTGACAACGAGATGGTGGACCCGAGAACGTTGGCTCGGGCCGAGCGTAAGAAGTTGATTAAGAAGAACCTTGCCCAGCAAAAGCGTAACTTGAAGAACGCCGGGCTCTGAGTCGTGTATAATAGCATTTAGGATTAATCGGACATTTCACTTTGGGAATATACATCCCGTATCACGTGGTTTTCCAGTGCTCCCGCTTGCCTCGAATACCATTGTGTACTGTTCTTACTAAACCCGTCGTGACCCTCTGTAATCGCGGGGACTTCCTCAGTTGTGTGCAGGCCCGAACAAAACTTACACTTGACGTTTCGGACCTACCTCCAATTTCACTTTAAGCCAACGTTGTCGACGTCGACGGTAACTGAGGTCTATACGGGGAAACACTACCTGACAGCATGTCACAATTTGATCCACAAAAATATGTACCGACAATTGACGTAAGTAGCCATACAACCGAGCCCGTTCGGCCGCCAACCTCACATACTAACTCAACCCAGGCAATCTTGCTGGTAGCCGATCTCGAGGAGATTACCGTTAACAAGATTCGGAATGCGTTACAAGAGCTATTCAGTATTGATTTGAGACCACATAAGGTAAGTCCTCTTTCAGATTGTCATAAAATCTCGCAACGTGACTACTAACTTTATAGAAAGAAGTGAAAACGGTGATTCTAGAACGGTTTGATGTTATGTTCAAAAGACGAAAAGACGCTAACGAACGCGAGCGTCTTGCTGAAATTGAACGGAAAGATGCCATCTTGGCTGCCAGGTTAGCTCAAGGACCTTTCAGGAGAAGACCCAAGAAAGAGGTTGATGGACGGAAGCTCGGTTTGAACGCTCAGAAACTAAATTTGCTGCAACAAGTGGTTGATGTCATCGGTATGAACCATGTGACTCGCCCTGAATTGGTGAAGCAATTGTGGGTGTATATCAAAGCCCACGACTTGCAGAATCCCGAAGACAGACGAACCATCATGTGTGACGAAAAACTTGAGCGGATTTTCAAGCGGAAAAAGGTGGGGATGTTCGAGATGAACAAGTTACTCTCGGATCACATCTTCAAACCAGGCGAAATGACCTATACTCAAACAGAGGGGACCTCGACGACCAATGGCGAATCAGCTGGTGCAGGGCGGCAAGAATCTCCCGCGCTCCAGCTGCCTACTAGCGACGACTTTGACCTCAGCGGCTCCGAGGAACCGCCGACAAAACGAGCTAAGCAGGTAAACGGCCAGACCGCCGTCCCTGCCAACGACTCGTCGGAGTCCGAGGCCGAATGATTTCGAAGTAATGATAATGACTAAACCACCCCCAAACGAGGTTTCCCCGAAGCGATTGAAGCGTTTGTATACTACAACAAAGCAATGCCATAATTTATCGATTAGGGTGCGATTTTCCCCGAGCTCAGATTGCGTGAATAGAATTATTCCGAACCTCTGCACCAGGGGGCATAGAAATGTGTAGGTACTGACATGACGCATAGTATAGGTAACATAAAAACTGTTGGCGGCGATGTGACTAGGTTAAGTGATGCTTTTAGTCGATCGTATATCGCCAGCAACGTGGAGCTAATACTTTAGTTGTATGTCTAAACACTTCACCTACAAATTTTTGTGTAATTATTATTCTTTGATTGACCACATATTCGACACGCGACTTGCGCTGACGCGATAAGTTACCTTCACAGAGGCGTCCGGCTCGGCGGGAATTTTCGTCCGTAAATGCCCACTGGGTGTGCCAGTTACGTCAAGGGTATTGTTCATGCCGCCGCCGTCCACAAAGTCACGGTAGACCCACCACGGCCGCATCGCAGTCGCCAGCAGCACCTGTCAACGGCGACACCGGGGAACGGGGGTGAAGGTCGACGCGTATGTACGCGAACGTCCGCCTTAACAAAGATGAGAGAAAGTCTCCTCGTGACGAAGCATAACGCGATACGTGGAGGTATCGATCGTAGACGCAAATCACAGCAGACGTTACGGTAGGTCAGGATACGGCGACGTAATTACGACTGCGGGTTGATTTCATGACCCATAGAACAGGACAAAGTTAGTAAACAGAGGTAATCGAAAATCGACCAACCTCCTGTATACCACTTCTCCTTGATTGTCACACGACACGGAGACGGGGCCTGGACCAGGTCCTCAATCTTTAGCTGAGTTTCCCTTCGTTCCACCAGCCACACGCTTAGCCCACGTCTGTGTCGTGTTATAGATCACATGATGCGAGCGCCGTAACAGGACAACCGCAGGTAAACGTCAGAGAGCGCGGCCTCAATACCCCCATCGTTTTGAACCAGACCGCTCCCACCACGACGACATGAACGGCCAGGGTGGGGTGAGTCGTCTGCGGCCAAACTCCACGGCGGGCACGGGGCTGAGCCGGCCCACCAGCCGTCTCCACGCGCGGTCGCTGCTGTCGCTGCTGACCCTACTAGCGCAAACCGACGCCTACGACGGCGTCGACCTCGACCAACTCTACCGCGCCGCCCTCCAGGTGGTAGTGCTCGAGTACTATAACCTGATCCGGTTCACGGCACCCACAGTAAGACAACCAATGGTGCGGCTGTTGGTGCCGCCCGCGCTGGCGCCGGCGGGCAAAGAGGTCAAGTTGTCGCTGCTGGCCATCAGCAACCTTGAGGATAAGTTGCGCCTGGTCGCCCAGATGAAGGACTTGTCGATTGACGCCGACACTCGGCGCTCGTTGTTGGAGCTCTACAACAAAATGCTCCAGCCGCAATTTAAGCAGGAGTTGGCACGGACGAAGCTGGCGGAGTACGTGTTCATGACCTTCATCGGCTGTGTACAAATGGCGCTCTCCAAATCACAGAAGACCGCCACCCCTGAGGAAAAAGTACGACAGGCCGATATCTTCATCCTGATGTTGCGCACGGTGACTAAGGGCAAAGAAGAGGCGGTGATGGCCAAGATGTGCGAGCACCGAGATTTACTTAAGCCGTCGCTCCAGAAACCTCAACATCAACGACAAAAGCTGGACACGGGAGAGTACACCCAGCCGCTGTTCCGAATGCTGGACTTTGAAGGAACCTCGGCGCAGTATCTCAAAATGCTCCAACAGCTCTTCGAAGTCGACGACGTCACCGCCCAGCAGGATATCATCGCCGTCAAGGACCGCCTGCTGGGTAAATGCTTGCATGCCGATATCACGCAGGCGCGGTTCTACTTGGATAAAGATCTAGGCTTCTACCCGCCAGAGAAGTTTGTTTCTCACGAAGCCTATTTTCAGTGGAAACAACGCCAACAGGCGCAGTACACTAATCTCCAGAAGAAGTACCGCCTGGTGCCGCTGCACAACCTCCCGAAACTCCCCTCGGGTCATGAGTACTACATGTGGCCGCTGCGCCACACCATACTCCCATTCTACATCATCCTCATCAAGCTTTGCTATACCACCACTGCCACCGATAAACTGCTCATTGATCCTGTGGCGCAAGAGTTGCTTGCTCTTATCGCTCGAGTATGGGGCATCGATGCGTCACTGAGATGTGTTTGTTATTACACTGCCGCCCACTTAGCTAAGATCACCAGCAACGATGCTGATGTGGTTAATACCGAAGTCACTCGTGACGTGGTTGGCTTATGCTTCCAAGTCCTACAAGAAGCCGAAATAGCAGAACTACCTAAGCGAATGTGGGCCCAAACAGATCAGGACAACTGGACCAAGAACCTATTGATCCTGTATAACCAGACGATGTACGGTATCAAGGAGCTGTTGGCGATGATCTTCAATACTACGGTGAAGCCCCAGTTTGGCACCTATCTTAGTTTTCTCGGAGATTATGTCGAAGGCGATGAATTGTTTGATGCTGTCGAAGCTCTGGGAAAGACCGCTCCATGGGAGAAGAAACTTGCTAAGTCATTGGTGAAAACTGTCAATAACCGCTATCGCGAGCACTTGATGACTTTACCGCGTGATGATACTGTCAACATTGGTCACTTCATCGATATTTCCTCGGCACTTGTTGATGACATCAAACGACTTCAAAAACGGTATAAGGCCCCCCTTCTAGGGTTTCTTCCGGTAGCCCGCGAAGTGGCTCAAATTTATACCAAAGCCTTTGCAAAGGATCTGGAGAATATCCTCAAACATATAGATGCCTACGCCAAGAACAAAGCCGAGTTCATCCCCTACGGTGACGCCATTGAAGCCTATAAGCTGATTGCTGAAGTTCGAGCCATACATCGCCAGGTTTTACCCGAGGAACAATTTCTGTTCAATATTGAAGCGTTTTTCTTCAAGTACCTCGAAGATTGGGTGGCAGAACTGGGAGAGAAAATCGAGCAAATTGTGCAAAACGCCATCAAACTGGATAAGTTTGACGCTATCGACTTAGACAGTGACGATAAGCGCGTGTCGACGCTGGTGGTTGACATGTTTGCAATGATCAAGCAGTACTTTGGCATCTTAAAACAGTTGGTCTGGGAAGATGAGTATCAATTGGCCAAGGTATACACCATACTCCTTAAGCTGGTGAGTGACGGGGTGATTGCCTACGCCAACACCGTGGCTGATAAGGTGACGCAGGCATTACACCAGTCATCAGTGGCCGAAGAACCTGAGCGGGAACGCAGTCATCTGTCTACTTGGCTCGCCGATATGAAACAAGCAGTGGCGCTGATCCAAAGAGGTCAGGACGAAGATATCCAAAGGCCGTACCAGTTTGAGCCCCAGACGTGTATCGCTCTCAACAACATAAATCGCATCATGGAACTGCTTGACAAGTTGGACACGGTGGACCCCGAGGCGATTCTGGCCGTCATCCAAAAGCGCAACCCGCTGTCAGCTACCCAATATTTACTGCATTTAGTGCTGATTCGCCTCGTCAAAGCTGAGAACTTAGCTCTGCTGCTGCTGCTGCTGGCTCCCACTCCCTACGTGACAATGATTGATACGAAGCTTCGCAAAACCGTTGCCCAGCTGAGACCGTTGACTGCTACCACCAATCCTGATTGGGACGAAGAGTTCGAAGTGACTCTCCCCGCTTCAGAAAGTCTTACCCTCTCCGTGACTGTTTGGGACAAACGCAGTCTCAACCACTCCATCTGTGGCCGTGCGCTTTTGGCGATTGATCCCAACCGGTTTGGCGTGGTGCCTCAGGAAATTTATCTTGATTTGGATACGCAAGGCAGAGTCAAGTTGGAAGTGCTGGTTGAACTGGAACGATTAGACGCGGTGTTCGTCATGGGGAAAGCCTACCGTACGTTGAAGCGGTGTCTTGAGCGGTGTATCAAACTTATGGTGGAAAAGTTTTCCCGGTTTATTCACTACTGTCTTCTGCGACTGAACTTACGCCAAGTGTGTAGCTCTGGTCGTCCGACTCAGGAACAGATCGACGACGCCATGATGCCATTATACAACTATCTTAACTCAGGGTTGGAAGTGTTGGCGCTGTATTTGACTCGCTCATTACTTTTGCAAGTGATGGTGGCGGCGTGGAACGTCGTACTTGCCACTGCTGATAGCCTTCTTCTCCCACTGTTAGTACTGGCAAAAACACTTCATCTTTTACATTCCCGTCTGAGCCAGCTGCTGAGTTCATGGCAAGCAGTGTCACTGACCATTGCCAACGTTACACATTCGATCACTGGGAACAAACCATTGACCACCACTGAGCTCGAAACCGTGTTTTCTTGGCTCAACTTCTTGTGTTTTGACTTCTTCCATAACAATGGTGCCGGCCCTCCCATCAGTGACTTGAAAAATGACCACTACCAAGCACTCTTGTACATCCCCAACTATTACGATGCCGACATCGACCAGTTGATTGAAGATGTGGAGCAATTGGCACCCGCCTACATCCAAACACTTCGGGATAAAAACAATATTGACACTGGACTGGCTCCGAAGCGGGCGGGAACAATGCTGAGAGCAAGAACTGTGCTTAGAAGCAAAACCATTGCTGCCAATGCCACCGCAAAGGCTAGAGCTAAAGCCGCAAAGGAAGCTAAAGAAGCGCAAGCGGATCCTTACGCTGCCGATGCTCAACTAGAGGATATCATCCTACGCATCTTGATTGCCAGAGGCGAAAAACGGTTTGTTGCTGATCGTCTCCATCAACGAGAAAAGCTAGCGCTGTCCATCGCCACCGAACGGATTATCAAGGCTGCCGCCGAAGGCAAGATTGGTCGCAGAAAATAACCGTTCTACAAGTACATAGGAACAAACACATGCTACCATTCAATTCCATCAGCAATTGTGAATCGCGAAGCTTTATCGATAGAATCTGAATCCACTTCTAAGACAATAGCAAATAGAAAGGCTTCAAATCATTAGTAATAATTTAGTTATGTCAAATCTATTTCATTATTTCAAACCAGATTATTGTGCTACCACAAGCAATGAATAAATGTTAAATTAGATTATGCATATTTACAGTTCCACGGCTTCCTCTAAGATCTTCAACTTGTAGAAGTTACCCACATTCGCCATCACCAGAATTCGCTTTTGCAAATCGTCGTAAGAAAACGTTTCCACCCAATTGCCCAGACACTTGCAATGGAGGCTCAAGTTGGTTCGGCGAATCAGCTTGCACTTATCGCACTTGTAGTCTTGTTGGTAGAATTGAATAATCAACTTTTGCAAGTGAGCAATCAAACGTTCTTCTAACGCCACCCGATTGTAAGGCTTCGAACACCGGCTGCATGACCAAACCCGTTCCTCGGGCTCACGACATACGTCGATGTCACGGATAAAGTTGCAGTAGTCACAAATGAAGTGTCCCACCACCAACAGCGCACTCGGGTATACAAACTCGGCTTGCTTTGAGAATTCTTTAACGCCGAAAACGTGAAGCAAATCTTTGCGGACTAACCTGACTTCCAACTCCCGCTTTTTGGAAAGACCAAATACCGCCATCAAATAGTTCACAAGCTCAAGCGTAGGGTTGGTGAGCGTAAGATGAGACCCAGGCAAATGAGGAAATTTGTACTCGGAAGCAAATTCAGGATTAAGGATATTATCCGTTTGTTGTTTGTATAACTTCTTGATACGTTTCTCCAACGGTTTGCGGAAGGTTTCCATCACCCCATTTTGGGGGTCTTCTTCCTCGTCATCTTCTTTGGGTTTAGTACGATGCCCAATTTGAGTGACTCGGTTTTGAGAAGTGGCAATTTCTGTATGCTTTTGCTTCACCAACGCGTCCAAAAAGATAATTGTCCAATCAACGAATTCGTCTCTATAAATTTTAGGCAAGTATTCATGGATGCCCCACGCCGAGACTACTTCCAATGGTTGATGATCTTCCAGCACTATTTCTTTAGTGTAACGCCCACAGAAATTATACTGATCCATCCACACCAATACATCCCAATACTTGGTCACGGCAAGTTCCAAGAAGTGAAACATGGGTCGCAGCTGAATCAATTTAGTCATGTACTGGCCAAAAGCAAATGAGTTTTCCACAAGCACTTTTGTAGTGGAAACAACGAGACGGTTTCGATTGGCAAACACCACTTGACATTGCATCCGCTTGAACTCAGCCGCAAGCTGAAGCAAACACTTCGAAGTTAAATTGTGAACGTGGTAGTGGAGGGCAGAGTCGTACATGTACAGTTGAGGCAGTTGCACCCACAGCACAAGCGCATTCATGATACTATCGGCACTGGCATCACCTTGAAGGGCGTTATCCCAAAGTTCTTTGACCATATTGCGAAGAGTGGCCAACGATTGAGTATATGAAGCGCTAGCGCCATCCTGATTGCTCACTTCAACCCCTTCAGCGTCGGCGATTAATGCACTAGCAAGAATGGCATTAATGGTGAGAGTACCAATTTCGATCTCGAGACAAGCAGTTTGGTACACTTCAGGAGTATTGATTTCGGGGAACAGTGCGAATTTATCGTCCGCTTCGCCGCCGGTATCGTTTTCCTGACCACCAAGATCAGGAAGAGGACCAGGCAGCCACCACAACACCATGTTCTGGGATTTGAGACGACGACAATAATCGACATCAACAAGGTAACCAAGATTTTCCATGTGGACGTTACACAAGGGGACACGAGCATAGCGACAGAGCTTGGTCAAGTTGGCAAGCCACAGAGCAAGAAGCAAGTAGTGATTAACGATACGCTTCGCAATGAGCGAGTGCCATCCCACAGCCCCCACACTAAGTTCACGGGTCGTCATTTGCACACAAGGCAGATCATTAAGAGCCGACACCTGTCTCATTAAATCTAACGGTTGAGGCAGCTGAACGGCAAATAATGGTTTCAGCGGACGACCTTCGGAAATTTGCGCAACGAGCTTACCAAGCTTCTTGTAAAGTTTGGCGGAGTTCGAGTAGTACTGAGTAGTGAACTTCATGTCTTTGGGGAAATCAATGACTCGATCGTAAGCAGCGAGTTGAGGAGACTTAGCTTCCCGGATTTCAGCGTAAACTCTGTCAAGCTTCACCGTCAATTCCTGAGCCAGAGCCAGAGGCTTGAGTACCAATACGTCAGCTTCAGGCTCCCACAGCTTGAACACGCAGAAGAAGTGGTACAGATTGACCACAAGATGGAGCACAAATGTAATGTCCGGCGAGAAACGTTGGAGATAATTATCCAGCTCCACAGGACGTAACAGTTTCTGATTGAAACCTTGTTTCATGGCTCGACCGAGAGCACCCACACGGGTTTCATCGAAAACCACGGTATTACCCAAATCCATGACTGCTCTTTGCACAGGGGTGACATGCAGCTCATATATTCCCAAAAGTGTTTGATCATTGAGCACCGAGTTACCATCACGTTTGAGATCCTGATAGTTCAATTCCAGAGTGACAAGCTTGTATAAGTGGTGATCCAAATTGCCACCGTGAGGAAGCATCGCCGCCAGCGGCTCCATATCTCCCTGCACGGCATCAATCCGTCTTTGCGGCAAATCCATCTTATAAGAAGCGTAAAGTTGCCTGGGAATGTGAAAGGTGAACCCGTGGATCTTACCCAGAGCCACCACAAATGCCTTCACCGCTCCTGGTACCTGGGGATCACGCTTAAACTCTAAGATTTCCCAGTTGTTACCAACTATCAGTTCGGCTTGACGACGAAAAATGTCACCCACCGTCAGTCTAGTCACCAGCTCCGAACTAGGACCAAAAAGACGGTTACGACGGTCTCGTGCTCCGGACTGAGCCCGCCATTTGGCCTTCTCGTATACCAAAAATTGAGCGTAATCCACTGTGGGGTCAGGACATGAACCCTTAAGAACCTCCTCATCAGCTTCAGCAACGGCGGCAGCTTCCACTTGTTTCCGTTTGCGACTAGTGACTTTAACTGAAACCTTGGGCGCCGCATCTTCTTTACCAAAGTCCTCAATATCCTTGATATTTGCTTGTTCTTTCAGTTGTTTGCCGAAGAAGTCCAGAATCAGCAGCTGTTGCTTTGAATCATCACGTTGAGCAATGCGTCTTTGCAACCAGTCAGGGTGGGCCACACGCGGCACGGGGTTGTCGACTCCTTGAAGCGCGGCAGGGATGGTGATAATCTTCTGTATTACCAGAGCTAACCGTTCCCGATAATAGTCCCAATCGATCACGTCACGGGGGCCAAATTGAGTAAGCAGAGGGTCGCGAAGCCATTTCCGCAAATACAACTGCTTTTTGTCCAGAGAGAAAATGGCCACAGGAATGGCGCGCTCTGTCACTGGCGTGCCCAATGGTTTAGCACTAATAATGTATTTGGTTGCGAGACCAGCATCTTGTACCATTTCTTCTCCCAAGAATTCTCCTAACCGTTTAGCAGTGGTAATCGAGGTCAGCTTTTGATTGCCGTACTCACGGAGAGGCTTAGACATCAGTCTGTTTTCACAAATAAGTTCAATAAGATCTTCGTCTTCCAACATACCACCTTTAGTATCGAGGACATCCAACCAGTTGTTAGCCACTGAAGCAACCGCTGCGTAACAAGTTTCCAATGTCTCACCCTCCAAGAAAAGCTTGAAAATGTCCAGCTGGAAATTTTTAATGAGTCGCAACTCCCCTCTCCGCTTAAGTTCAAACCCTTTCAATTCAGCAAGCAGTCGATCCATATTGAATACAGCGTACCTCTTTTTGAGACCTTTGCCTTCTTCCTTGGAAGTGGGCAAAATCATGGCCCTGTAAGGACCATCCACTTCGAAGAAAATCGAGTTATCTGAGTGAGTCTCGTAGAGAAACTTTTGGGGATCAACGAGGGTTTGATACTGATGATTAGTGAACTTTTGGTGCACCAAGTAATTAAGCATCAGACAGGGGAACTCAAGAGTAATCAGTTTGCCATTAGAAAGGTTAAGCTTGAAGTTTTCCGGAAACAGCTTGGGCAAGATACACCAAATACCATCAGTGTCGAGTTCAAGAGGGCGCCCTAAGCGTTCCACGAGCTTTCTGGCCATTTGAATGATGTGCGCACCAGTTAAGCAGGTTACCCCTGCCATCTCCATCAGGTACCATCTCAGCCCTTTTCTCATCACATACCCATAGAACGAATTCAAAATAACTTTGTGTGCCAATTGAAGCGAGTCGTATAACACAATCATTTTTTTGGCTTCATCCTTTTCGATGGGATCACTTCTCTGAGAAAGTTTACCCTTCCATACCTTCGTGAGACCTTTGAAATCGTAACGACGGTCTCTGAACAGTCGTACCGTGTCAACATAAAAAGGGTTCTCACGTTGGCAAATAAGGGCTTCTCTAGTGACAACCTTGGTCTGCTTGATACGGTTGTACACCTTCCGCGAATAGTCACTGACACGTTTCTTGATTGCCAGCGCTTGTTCAGGGTATGATAAATCTTCGAATCTTCTCGGTGGTAAATGGGGGCGCAAGGGAGGGAACTGTTCATTCTGCAACGTCCGCTTGATCATATTGTATTCGTTCATCTCGGCGGGGTAGTATTCACCTCTCCACAGCCAAGGAAGACGCCGGTCACAGGTTTTACCAGGGCGATTAAAATCACAGGTAGCACAATCTTTCTCCAGCTTAAGCGAATCGGGCTGGAGTCTGTTCAGCGTCATAATATTGGGGTACATCGATGCCACATCGACGTGATAAATAAGGGGGTTTTCCTCACGGGTAGGCTCATTCTTCAAGCCTTCCAACGCCAGCCTGATTTGGTTGTAGACATCATCATAGTTGGTGACATCTTCGACCTTCTTCCCGTTTTCAACTTCAATGCAAAACTTGATGGAATTATGCAAATCGCCGATGACTTCGTCGCATGCCAGAGGATCGATATTGAACTTACACGGGATGTCATGCCGAAACACCCCGGCTTCGAGGGATTCGACGTGGCCACCAACGTAGGTTTCCAGCTCAATTAAGTGACCTTCAAAAAAACGTTCAACGGGGTCAGCGTGCTTATTAGGTAATACAATGTTTTTCTCGTAGGCCTTAACACTCAACAACATTTCGCAAAGGGTACCGGTACCTTTACGAAGCACTTCATCCGGGTTAAGCGGCAAGATAGTACACAACGAGAAGATAAATGGGTGCACATACTTCGAATATAAGTAGAACGTGGCCACGGCATCGGACACGGAGTATTCGGCTAATAGTTGGGGGTGGTCATAAGCGTAAGGAGTCATCAATTCAGGGTCAAGCTCAGTCGGGTTGTAGCCCAATTTTGCTGTAGTCACAGCTTTCAAACCTTGCGAACCCTGGGGCAAATACGAGTCACGTTTCACCCACCGGTAACAATCCATGTGGACACAATATGACAGTTTATATTCGCCTTCATTGTCAATTGCGAACCCAATTTCGGCAAACATGTCTAAATCGTGATACTTGGCACGAGCATCCACAAAAGGCCAATCGAAGAAGTCACCGTTAAAGGTAGCAATGACGGTGGGGCGTACGTCACGAATGTGTTCGAAAAACCGTTCAAGGACCGCCTTTTCATTAGCCTCATTGAAGATGACAAAGTTACCAGGGTATTCCGGTTTCGGGGTATATTCGAAGTCTTCAATGTCTTCACTGATAACCTCACGATTAGTGATGAGAAACCCCTCACCGTCGATCATATATGATATCATCATTACCTGATCAATTTTCAGGTCAGGGAATTTAAGCGGTGCCTTTGTAGTTTCAATATCGAATGCTAAGACCACGGGGTCGGCAAATGCAAGTGTTTCTTTATCTTCTTCGAGACGAATGTGACCTTGATGGGCATACACGTTATACCACTTCCCCACGTGAATGCCACAATCAATCAGTACCCGCACATGATAAGGAACGTCGTACTCACGAATGTCAGTGATGTATGCCAGCGGATCACTCAGGCGAGTGGCATCGCCATTGCCAAAATCGTACATGGTCTTGGTGTCTTGTTGAAGAAGGTTTTCCTTCACCACCGGCATGATAACTCGACGAGCTGCCAAAAGATCGGATATGTTATGGAATTTGAGTTTGAGCAATGTCTGTTTGAGCCCCACAAGGTGATTAGGGAGAGACAAGTCTTCCTTGACTGTTCTTTCAAGCAGTTTGAGGTTGAACTCTTCAAGCTGCTTCCGAAGCCATTCTTCCACCTCCGACTCATGTCCCGGTGTTGTCACCACAAAGAAATAGGGATCATAGTTAACAGTCACTTTGAACAGGCCACCTTCCTCATCGAGAAAATAGTAGTCTACCCCGGCCAAGCCACCAGCGTACAGGTCATTGGGGAGTGTAGTCGGATGCATGTTGACCAACCACCCCTTTTTCGGCTCGTCCAGGTGCTCTAGGCGGTCGAACCCCATGGTGGTGTCGATGGCATCGACTTTGCGGACGAGGTCCAACTTGTTTTCGATCCCCACTGCCCCCGTGAAGTCACCTCTGAAAGCTGACGTAGTGGTTTTGGAATTCTTGACAAATCTGGCGGTAGCCCCTCTGTGTGAGGCGCCATTTCTGGCTTTCTGCTGACCCGACCTCAGCATAGGGATGGCACTACCTTTAATTAGACGCGTTTCGCGGTCGCGTTTTTTTCTCAAAGGTCTCTGATCGGGTATGAGCCCTGGCGTGCCACGAGTTTCGCGCGGTGGATAAAGAAAAAAAACTTATGGCTGGCGGTTTTGCCCCATCTAGATAAAAAGGTATGTGGTGCTGGGTTGCAACGGGGTCCCCAGTGAGGTAGAGGTACGCGTATTACATCTGTCACTGCTGCGTGAGATGCGTGGGGATCTGATGCGGCTAATCAAACGGTTTCCTGTCAAACGGGATCACTAGCCGTATGCCACCACCCTTCGCTTCCCCTTGACAACGACGAATCAGTCCACAGTACGACTAGCGATGATACTCAGGTTATGAAACCACGACTTGGCATCGCCCACTACTAAACTATATCTACTCTTTGTGATAGTGGCGCCATCAAATTCTGGAGGCCGAGGGGGGGTCCAGCCCTCCGCGGCGCTTGCCTTGATGACGAGTGACAAAACCCCCTTAGGTTCCCCACCTTCTGTCGCATGCGTGTGGAAAAACGAGTTCGGCTCGGATCGGCCCACTGTATTGCTGATGCCGGACTAATGTTGTCCTCCCGCCTGAACCTGCGGGCGAAAGAAAAAATAGGGGAGGAATTTTGGGGCCCGATTAGTGTCGTCCGGAGATCGCTTAATATGCACGCCTGCCGGAGTAGCCCAACCCAGCCAACCCTAATATACAACCATCGAATCGATGGGTATCTACGGATGAAAGCTGAGACATCTGCGTCCCCGTGGCCCCGTAAACAGTCTAGGTCATATTGCCGACGCCTTGAGGATGGGAGTGGCAACACAAAAGAAATTCGAGGCAATTATGCCTGGTCATCAGGCGCACCGCCGATGTCATCATGCACGAGAGCCACAGAACAAAGTTTAGTCGTAACCGAGCCCAGAGGCAAACGATGGGCATCGATCGGACCAAATGGACCAATTGACTAAAAACTACCCGTAGGACTAATTGGGGGAGCGGGGTCTACTCACCATGTTTTTTGCAATCCGAGGTTCCGGCGGAATTCCTAAATTTTCACCCCACTAACGTAGCTAGGAGCAGCAAGTGTCGGACAGACACCGCCCCAGCAATAATTATCACGGCCTTACGGGTGCTGATGACTAAGGGCGCAAATGGTGGAGAAGTGTCAGCGATAGCGAGACCATAAACGACCAACGAGGGTCTAGACAGGCGTCCCAGCCGCCACTGTAGCTTGCATTTCGTCAACGGCGACCGCTAGGTTCTGTTTACTAATTGGCCAAACCGGAACTATCACCGGCAGCGGGATGCTTCTGGCGGCGTCATTTTTGAAAAGCCGCAGCCGACCGCAACCTCAGGGCACCCGTAGCCTCCGGACGTAGGCGGAGCCGTATATATAATGAAGGTCATCCCATGGTTTTGAAAGCAGCACCCAACTAAATGAAGGTTTCTTTGATCGCTTTGGCTACCATTGCCGCCGCCTCGCCCTTGAACTTTGCCTCCAAAGACCTGTCCGTCGTCCCCAGAGACGAAGGCGTCATCCCTTGGGGTAAGATCTTCGCCTTGTTCAGAAGAGACGACTCGGACGACATTGGTGACAACTACGAAGACCACTCGCCTAAGAAGTCGGGCAAGAAGGGTGACAAGAAGCCCAACGCCGTCGACCAACTCTTCGGTGATGAACTTCCCGAAGAAGACGACGACGAGGAAGAAGAAGGTGACGATGACAACGAAGACGAAGACGAAGACGACGTCTACGCCGACGCCACCATCAAGAACTTGAAGAACTTCCGCATCATTGTCGACTTCGAATCTGACGACAGATTGATCTCGTTGAAGCAACAAAACGGCACTCAACAACCCGTCGCCGCCAGATACGGTCAAGATGCCCGCTTCAACTTGGTCAACTCGACGTTGACCAACCTCAACGGTACCAGAGTCGTCTTCGACGTCCTCGGCTCCTTCGGCTTGGTCAACGGTACCTTCAACGCTACCACCAACACCACCAACACCACCATCCTCAGAACCCTTCCCTCGAACTCGGCCGCTTTGTTGTTGAAGTCGTCGGCGTCGTCTAAGGAATCGTCATCGGAAACCGGCTCGGTGTCGGAAGCCTCGGAATCGGCTGAATCGACCGCTACCGCTTCGTCGCAAGCCAGCGGTGCTCAACAACAATCGCAACAAATTGAACAGACCGCTCAACAAACCGAACAAACTGCTCAACAAACTGCTGCTGGTGCTGAACAACAACAATCGGGCGCTGCTGAACCCACTCAAATTGAACAACAATCGGAAGCTGCCGGTGCTGAAGCCACCGCCACTCAATCTGCCAACCAAAAGAGAGCTGAAAAGGAATCGTCGTCGCTGAAGGAATCGTCGTCGAAGGAATCCAAGACCTCGTCGAAGGCCTCGAAGACTTCTGACGCTAAGGCTACTGGTGCTGCTGCCAAGGAAGAACCCAAGGAATCTGGCTCTGGCTCGTCCAAGGGCTCGTCGTTGAACTCGACCTCGGAATACAACTCGACCGGCACCATCCAAGTGTTCGCTCAAAACGGTACTAACGTCACCTCGTTCCCTGGTTGGAAGATCTACGAAAACAGATTGTTCTACAAGGACTTCACTCAATGGTACGGTTGCCCTGGTAAGAACAACCAAACCTTCCACATCTCTACCCACAAGTGTAAGGGTGGTGAAAGAGTCAAGTTGAGAGTGTTTGTTTAAAGGACAAATGTCTCATCCTGACAATACCCCAAAATAAGTGTAATCAATTCGGTTCTTCTATTTAATCTTTAATACCATGTGACCTTTGTTAATTGGCCAATACTCATAGCATAATCTTAATTTTAATCTTGCTTTTTCCAATTTCCCTTTGCCTTTCACCAACATGAAAGGGGCTATGTATTTCATCGGGTTGCGGACCCTGTGCAGAGGGCGCTTATTAAGTTGCGGTCACAAAAATCACGCACTGGTGCATCCGTGAATATATCCGTATTTCAGCACCCCAGCGGCGTTATACTTCGCTTGGCCGAGGAAGGTTACACCGTCTGCAGGAATAGTTCCGAGAGGGTTCCAAGGGGTAGTTTGCGGGGATCGCCGAAGGTCATCGTTCTGTGTATTCTCTAAGAAGCTGGGGTAGTGGTTATGCCGACAGTATCATGATCGGCTCATAACAAAGATTACTAACAACTGTACCACCGTCAGGTAAACAAACAAAAACTGCACGCGCCGCTTTCTCTGCTTGTCGGTTATACCGCTGGCGGCATTGCGACTCGGCAACACCAAAAACTTCAACAGTCTCATCAAGAACACTGCCAACAAGCCCACAAGTACCACAAAACAAATCAGGTAAATCACCGACCACAATCCCACCAAGTGTTGGAGCACTAACAACACGATCACCGTGATGTACTTGTAGCCAGAGAACAGCACAAGGTCCCAAATGCTCAGCTGGGTCAGACAACCAAGCAAGTAAAGACCAATCTTGAAAATGGCAATGTCAAGCACCAGAAACGCCACCGTTTGCGACGCCAAAATGCCAAACAACTCGGGATGGAACTCGCCCTTGAGCCCTTGGAACACCAGCCATAACAAAATGTAGGTGACGAACGACATCAACGGAATATATAAATCGGGGGCATTAACATCGTACACCGGCGGCGCGTACTGGGTGGAACCGTCGCCCGACACTTCTGCCATCGTCTTACGGTTCCAGTCCTTATTCACAAACGGCATCAACACCATCGTCAACTTCTTTAGCACATAGCTGTTGCTCACTTGGAAATAGAACTTGAGATCGCCAGTACCAGGGATGAACGAGCCAAAGTTTTGCTGCAAGTATGAGTTAGACTGTTCAAATTGTGATTTGGCAAATTGTGAGGCAAACAGCGCTGCCTGGTCGTTGAAGATCCCGAAACCGGCCCCTTGTTGTGGCTGCTGTTGGAATTGGCCTTGGTTTTGGTAGCCTGCGTTCTGGAACGGTGGTTGCTGGTACCCTTGCTGCGCCGGTGGCTGCTGTTGGTGTTGTTGGAACTGCTGATTTAAATGCTGGGGTTGTGGATGCTGCAAGTTTTGAGCGGGAATATCCCCCGAGTATGGCGTGTACATTGTCGGCGACAGTTGAGTAGTCTTGTGGTATCAATTGACAGCCTGGAGAAATTGACCGCGTTCGTTCACGTGATGGATCTCTCTGGAAAAAAAAAAAAAAAAGAGCTGAAAGGCAACAGGCAAATTGACAGTCTCACGTGACCAGTACTAGCCTCAATTACCTTTATATACATTACTGAAGGAGGGGTGAAACACCCCCCTTACCCCCCCCTTATGTCTCCAGATAGTCTAAGCCCCAAGATATATTCGACCGTTGCCTCTTAGGTACGGGGGTATAAGATTCACTAATACTAGAACGTGGCACAGCATCGCCTTTCATTTGCCGTCGTTCCGTTGCTACTGTGCCCGTCTGCAGCCTGTCATCGCTAGCCCTGAATAGGCTAGTGGAGGGGTTAAAAAAAACCTGAAGCAGCAATGACGTAACCAGCAGATCAGGTTATATCGCTTTTCACACCTAAAATATTGTAGCCAATAGATCTTAGACACGGGAAACGACCCTCCACCCCGCCACATGGGCAGCCGCGTGTACCACTTAAGATTACCCATTGAATCAACTGATCTTGAGCCGTAGCCCTTACAGAATGTAACAACAGCTAAACCACGCCCCGAGATCACCTCACATTATCTTTTAGTGCCGCCCAGAGCAACATTTCATGTTGGCACTAGCCCCCTCGGGCCCACTCACAGCAAGCTAAATGCCTCGCAGCCGCGCCTACCCAACCTAGCTCGAATAGCACTACATTACCCAAAACCCTCCCCCACTGCCCCCACCACAACCAATTGCGATGTCTTCCAAAGTGATCGTTGTTCTGAACCGGTTGCCCGTGACGATACGGAAAAATGCCGACGGCCTGTATTCGTACTCGATGTCGCTGGGCGGCCTCGTCACCGGGTTGCTGGGCCTCAAAAAGACCACCGAGTTCCAGTGGTTCGGCTGGCCAGGAAAGGAGCTCCCTGACGACGAGCAGGCTAAGGTGAACAAGGAATTGAAGGAACAGTTCAATTGCACCGCCATCTTCATGGATGATCGCACCGCCGACTTGCACTACAACGGGTTCTCCAACCTGATCCTCTGGCCCCTCTTCCACTACCACCCGGGTGAAATGACGTTTGACGAGGTTGCCTGGGCTGCATTCACAAAGGCCAACGAGATCTTTGCCGACGAGATCGTCAAACAGGTCCAGGACGGCGACATGATCTGGGTCCATGACTACCACCTCATGCTCCTCCCAGAAATGTTACGGGAGCGGCTCAAAACCAAAAACAACAAAATCGGCTTCTTCTTGCACACCCCGTTCCCGTCACTGGAAATATATCGGATCCTCCCGGTGCGGCGAGAGATACTTGAAGGGGTGTTGCATTGCGACTTGATCGGGTTCCACACCTACGACTACGCCCGCCACTTCTTGCTGTCGGTGCTGAGAATTGTCCCGGGAGCGACCACGTTACCCAATGGCGTTAAGTATAAAGGACGCCACGTCACCGTGGGGGCGTTCCCCATTGGGATCGACCCCGATAAGTTCATCGAAGGGTTGCAAAAACCGCAAGTGAAGGACAGAATTGCGCAGTTGAAACAGAAGTTTGGCGATACCAAAATTATCGTCGGCGTGGACCGTTTAGACTACATCAAAGGTGTACCGCAAAAGCTTCATGCCTTTGAAATATTCTTATCAGAAAACCCTGAGTGGATCGGCAAAGTGGTGCTTGTCCAAGTGGCAGTGCCGTCGCGGGGTGATGTCGAAGAGTACCAAAACCTCCGAGCCATGGTCAACGAGCTTGTTGGTCGCATCAACGGTCGCTTTGGCACGGTGGAATTTGTTCCCATTCACTACCTCCACAAGTCAGTACCCTTTGACGAGCTCATTTCTTTGTACGCTGTTTCGGACGTGTGTCTTGTCAGTTCCACTCGTGACGGTATGAACTTGGTGTCGTACGAATACATCGCCTGTCAACAAGAGAAGCAAGGGGCCCTCATCCTTTCAGAATTCGCGGGTGCTGCTCAATCTTTGAATGGGGCTATCATCGTTAACCCGTGGAACACAGAGGAACTTTCCGATGCCATCAAAGAGCTGTTGACGCTTCCCGAAGAAAAGAAAAAGATCAACTTTGAGAAGTTGTTTAACTACATCAACAAGTATACCTCGGGATACTGGGGGGAATCGTTTGTCAAGGAATTGGCCAATTGTTAGATATTTAAGCATGCTGTGAATACATGTCGCTGATGGCGTAGATCACTCAAAAAAGGTGGTGGTATGCAATAAATCTATAAAGGGACCTAATCGACCAAATCGTCTAAACTGCGTAGGTTTTCTCTCGTCAACGGCGTAAGCGCGTTTGAGGTGTTTTCCTTATTGTCTTCTTCAGTGTACGGGGTCAGCACTGAAATCACTTGAGGTTTGATACCCAAGCGTGCCAACATGGTGTTGTTGCCGTCCTTCAAGAAAGACTGCGGCAACGGCTTGAGCATACTCAGCCCCAGATAAAGTGCTGAGTCGCCCAATGACCGAGGTATCAGCATATTCTGGTTCGTTTCGCGGGTAGGTAACAGGGAAATCAGCAGCAGGTTGTTTGCGGTGGACGTTTTCGGTTTGCGGGTCTTATGCTGTGTTTTTTGCACAGTGGTGGTATCATTTTTGTAATGTTGAACGTCTTCAGTGATGTTCTTCGCCAGCGAGAATGCCAGCATTAAATAGGGCATCTCCTCAGTGATCGAGGTTCGGTAAAGCTCTTGCAGCAGCGTCAGCTCGGGGCGAGGGAACTTTTTCGTGGGTGACTTGGTAATCGAACGAACAAGAGGCGCCGATTGCGATATCAGCAGGGTGTATAACAGGTTATACTCCGAGGCCAAGTCATCCTCGAACATGGTGGTTTGATGCAGGGGCGGGGAGATGGGTTTATCGTAGTTGTTCGGGTCGTGGATATCGTACGGGTCATGAGGAAACTCCTTTTCGGCGAAATAGGGCTGCGGTTCGTCGTCGCCAACATGACTATTGTCGCTTGGCTTACCCAAGTCGACGTAGTCTTTGTACTCGTGGGGTACAACTGCCAGCTGTTGTTGGCGTTCCGCAAGCTTTTCTGACTTAAATGTCTCGAACATCAGTTCCATATCGGATATCACCGCAAGACATTCGTATTTGCCTTCGGTGTCATCCTCTTCGATCGCTTCATTGAGTTGTTTGATTAGCAGCCCCAATAATTGCTTATACTGCGCCAGCACATCGGGCTCGGCAATCTCGTCCAACTCCTTTCCTATTAATATGAGCTTAGCCTTTGAGTAAGCGACGGTGGTACGTTCTTGGACTTCATTTTTGGTTCGGATCGACCGAAGCACCAACAGAGTGAGTAAGGTCCCCAGATCACTGATGTACTCGATTGGAGTTAAAGTGCGGGATATCTTGGTGAGGTTGTCGATGTCAATGCCAATATAGTAGAGCTTCGTCTGGTGGTCTTTACACGCATCCATGACTCGCTCGGCGATGCTCTGATTAAATGAGTGGACATCTTTACCCTCATCGCCGAAATGTCGATCCAGGTTGTAATCCATCAGCATGAACTCCCAGGTACGAAACAGGGCATTGATCTTCTCCAATTGTTTGAGGATAGCCACACCCTGATTGCATAACTTCGAAATGCGGCGCTCAGCGAGCCCGCTGATGAAGTCGGTAAGGTTTGCCGACAGTTCCTTAGTGGTGAATAAGTCGGGGTCTTGCATTAGCAGGATCACTGGATCGTTCCATGACATGGTAAGCAATATGTATGAGATTCAACCAGACACCTTATGGAGGTTAGGGGTTGTATGATGGTGAGGGCGGATGCCAATCAATTGGGTATATGAGGGGCTCGGAGATAGACCGGTCAACGGCAAGCTCTGAGATTAGGTAAATGCACAATGCAATTCCAAAACGACACCTATCAAAGGCACGGTATGACTTCCACACACAAGACGTCGGCCAATGCTCGGGATGCTTTCTGTCGCAAACCGCTAACGATGTAGGTAAGTTGTAAACAACGAAAAGTGAGGATCGTTGGCGTGCAGGTAGTCAACCTGTGTGCGCTTTCTGGCAATTATCGCCGACAAAAATAAGTTGCAAAGGCGAGTGAAGAGGCAGTTGGATTTCACGGTAGTTGAAGAAGGCTTTAGTACTTGGAGTGAATGTATACAGTTGGTGGGGGTCATGGTGGTTGCCATGAAGTTTAAAGTGAGCTGACCTCGACCTCGTTTTGTTAGCCGTAGATAGGGGTGGGGTTGCTGGCAAAGAAAAAGTGGGCTCACACGATACGTCGATTATGTAAGCTCGATTTCCAGCAATAAATTGAAAGAAAAGCGTGATTAGTACCGGGATATTTCGAGATTCGACCAAAATCATACGGAATTAAGGTTTGAAGTTTAATTGACTTTGCTTAATGGAGAAGGCTTATATGGGGATATGCGGTTTGAAAGTGTAGCTGGAGAAACGTGATATTGTCATGGCTAGTCTAGTTCAAAGTCTAGTTGGCGTTTAAAGACAGGGTCTAGTACGGGCGTTAGTGGCAAAGAGATAAAAGGAATGGTATTAAGGCCGCCGCCAAGTCTAGTCGCTGGTGTCAGTGAATGTAGGCATCATCATAATCTTCATCATTTGCGAAGGCCTCGGGCCCGCTCCACTCGGTGGCTGATCATGTGTTGCCAATCTTCCATCGTCTGGTTGGGGTGGATGGCAATGATGATCAACGTCATGTTGTCGAAGCCAACGCCAGTATACAGATTGGCTTTAGTTAACAGCTCGTGTAGGACGTGCTCGGTAATCTTTTGGAGCAGCCAGCCGACGGCAATCTTGTGGCGAATCAATCGGATCAAATCCAGGTTTTTGAAGCAATCCCAAATACCGTCACAAGCGACAACAATGAATTCGGGAGGCGCGCCGTGGGCATCGATGTCGTAGACAAGGAAGTCGGGCTCCGCTGTGACCATGAAAAGCTCAGGAGGGAGCTCGACTTTACCTTTGTGGAAATATCGCCTGTTTTGGATAATATATTTGTTTTGGGTGGAATCGAGCCACGGGTGTTTGAAGTGGAAGTCGCCAAACGCCCGTGAAAGGGCAAGGATCTCGTTTATTCGCGAGTTGGCAATGTAACCATTAGCATTCTCAATGCGGACAAGCTCGCCCATCACCGTGGGCTTATGATCAAACAGTAGTGTCTTGGCGGTGCCGTTAATAGAGCACACGGCTCGGGAATCACCGGTGTTAGCGACGATAATTTTCTTATTGTAGACGATGACGACAATGGCGGTGGAGCCGACGTTCTCGTAGCGGCCGTGCTTGTGGATCTGGGCGTCAATGCGGAGAAACAGGTCCCGGGTGATATCGATCACCTGTTTTTGGGACATGGAAGGGTGGTGGTTCAATTGGCGAAACAATAGCAGCGTCAACTTTTCACTGACGATCTCGGCCACCAGTTTGCCTCCGTGGCCATCGAAAACCCCGAAGATGGCCACCAGTTCTTCCTCGTTGATCTTGACGCTGTGGGCGTCCTCCATCGTCATCCGGTACCCTTGCATTGCCCCCACTGCATACGATACTCGCGAGTGGGAGCCGCCCTCGATCAGCTTATCTTCAATCGGGTGGGAAAGAAGATGGCCCATGGCACTACAGTCGGTGGTAACTTTGTCAAAAGCGGGCTTCGGTTAGACACTGAGGGTGCGACGCTGTTTGGGGAACGGTAGTGCGAGTCAGTGGTTAGCGGCCGAGTCTAGAACGGAAAACACTGGCAGAGGGGTGAGGGACGAGTCAAACGTGGTCTATTAGGGGCAGTGGTGGCACGATATTTTCATTATCAATAACACAGTGATAGCAATTGAAAGCCCCACGAAAATGGAAAATGTGGAATTGTCTGAAGGTGAAATGATGATGAGCGCATTCCGATGATCCGGTCTATGGTGTGCCTCCCGCTAACGGCGTGACTAAAATCTCTACGTGCCGTGTCCCATTTGTCATTGGCCAGAGGCTCGCTGGCAGCCGTACCACAAAAAGCTGAACTTTGTCAGGTTCCTTCCGGGTGACTCCAACCCCTCCCCGACACCCAATGACGTCATCGAGATAAACCCCAGAAAATCGTGAGCAGTGCCTAATCTGTTGCCTTTACCAAAAAATGCAAGTGCCCGTGGTCGACGCCGACAACTGTGTTGTCAACGACAAGAAGTACCAGCCGCCGCTGACGTTCCCCATTGGTCCGTTCACCCGGTACGAGCACAACCCGATCTTGGTCCCCGACCAAAACCGCGAGTTCGAAAGCGGCTACCTATACAATGCCACCGCCATTGTCGTCGACGACAGGGTGTGGTTATTGTATCGAGCACAATCAACCAATAAAACGTCGAGTGTCGGCCTCGCATGGCTGTCAGATGGGGTAACCTTCACCAAGTACCCTAAGCCGATCATCTATCCTACGGAGCCGTGGGAGGCAAAAGGGGGCTGTGAGGATCCCCGGATCGTGTTTGACTACGAAAACAAACGCTTTGTCGTCACCTATACGGGCTACGATAGTAAAACTGCTCGGTTGTGTGTGGCATACTCCAAAGATTTGCTCAATTGGACTAAGCTTCCCCCCTTTGTCAAGCCAAGCAAAGATGGTGAGCAAGGGTCGGAATGGCTGAAACTGGGGGCGATCTTCAACGAGAAAGTCAATGGCAGGTACTGGATGGTGTATGGCGAAGGCAATCACAAGTTGGCTTACTCAGAGGATATGATCAACTGGACAATGGCGGGTCTGTTCTCCAATCCTGAGGTGTTTACTGTACCGAGGTTCCCCTATGAGTCACGGTTAATTGAGCCTGGTCCCGCTCCCATTAAGCTTACAACGGGACAATGGGCATTCTTGTATAATGCTCTGACTAATGGTGACGATCAGCTAGGACTTGAACCTACCACATACACACTTAGTCAGATGCTCGTTGATTTGCCAGCAATTGAACAAGGTCCTGTTGCCAGACTTGAACGTCCGTTCATGCGTCCAGAGTCGGATAATGAAAAGAATGGTCAGGTGGACAAAGTGGTATTCTGTGAAGGCGTGGTACAATTTCATGGCAAATGGTTCTTATATTACGGCCAGGGCGACTCCGAGTTGGGTGTAGCCTTTGCCGACGTGGTTTAGATATCTTAAAATTATGAAAGTACATGGTTTTGTCTGTTTTCATGTACTTTGATCTGTATTTGGTCTCAAACTTAGTCTACCAGCACCGTACGTCGTAGGGTGCACAGAGCAATCAATAAAAGTTCTACAAACTTGGTTACCTGTGAGGGAACTTAGTAACACAAACCGTCCTCACAGAACATTTTTCAAATGCCACCACAGCGTAACATTCCGTGGCGAGTCACGGAGTGCCATCGAAACAATTTTAGTTTAATTTTCTCCATTGAGTTAGTCCATGCCTATGAATCAAGGTGATATTATCCCAAATGTACGTATGTCTAGTGGTCGAATTGCTTTGTATCGTAGCTAGTTGAGATAGCATAGCAGCGTATGCTAAATTTGACGAACTATCATGAAAAGCGGCCTAAAGAATATTGACAGTGATCATCATACGCAAGACTGTGAAAGACATATCTCACAAATCTAGTTCGGCTGTGTCTACCGCAACGACGGTAGATTAAGTTAGATCTCGAAAAACCTTCGTAAAAAAATTGTTTACGAGAGTTGAGAAATGTCGTGCGGTTTGGTTACTAAGTTTTGAAAAGTAAATCATTATTCACGTAACGGTATCAGGATTAAATACTTAAGATCAACGGGCACTCGAGAAGGAGCGATCGCAAAGACCACGGCGGCCCTCACCATCACTACCTAGAGGATGGCGAGGCACCATCCTCCGAGATGAGAACCCGCGACAAGCTCGAAATTAGGCTCTAACCTCCTTACAAGAAGAGAGGAGCAGCGCAAGCAAGAGCAATCAAGCCCTTGGCAACCGACAAGCCGGAGGCAGCACCTTCGTAGCCAGTGATCACGGGCGAAGTGGGCTTAGATTCAACGGTTTGCGATTGCAACGAAGTAGGAGCAGCAGGGGCGGGAGCAGGGCCTTCCACTTGAGGACCTTTAGTGGTAAGAGGAGCAGGTCTTTCTTCGCCAGCCAAAGTAGTTTGTTCACCTTGTTGTTGAGGTTGCTTTTGAGGCTTTTCACCTTGAGGTTGAGGTTGTTGTTCAGGGGCAGCGGTGACGGTGGTAGTGATCACTTGAGGGTGAGCACCTTCAGGGATGGGGGCGCCGTTGGTGGGGGCCGGTTGACAAGCTTCACCGTTGCAGTACACAGTGGTGGTGATCACTTGAGGGTGTTGGCCTTCAGGTGCAGCTTCAGGAGCACCGTGGGTAGGAGCAGGGGCGGCTTGAGTGGGAGCAGGAGCAGCTCCAGTGGGAGCAGGGTTAGCGGCGACGTAGGTGGTGTGGCCAGCAGGGGGCTTTTCACCCGAGCTGAGGGTGGTGACGTAAACGGGGACGGTCGAAGTCAAAGTGATGATTTGGTTACCGGATTGGGTAACTTGGGTTTGAGTTTCACAAGGAACGACCGAGGTTTCGCATTGGTTGTTGTGGCACACAGTGACGGTGATGGTTTTTTGACCCTGGGTGGGGTGTTCGAATTGGTCGACGGGGTGGTAGTCAGTCACTTGAGCGTTGTTTTCCTGCTTGGTGTTGGTAGGAGTAGCAACGACTTCGGTTTGGTGGCACTTGTTGTTGTAGCACACGGTTTCAGTGACAATGACTTGCGAAGGCACGGGGCACCAGGTGATCACTTCGACAACTTGGGGCTTTTGGCTCTTGTAGATGGTGGTGGTAACAACACCTTCAGTGGCAGGCACCTTCTTCGAGCAACCGCATTGTTCGTCGTAAGTTTCAATGATCACGGTTTCTTGAGCACACCATTCGGTAGTGGTGATGGTCTTACCTTGTTCGTCGGTGGTGGTGACGGGGCCTTGGGTCTGCTTTTGGGTGGTGGTGTGGCACTTGTTGTCGTCACACTTGATGATGGTTTCGGTCTTGGTGTGGATCTGGGTAGTGGTGATGGTTTCAATAGGTTCTTCCGAGCCTTCAGTGGCTTCAGCAGAGCCGGTGGCAGAACCTTCACCAGATTTGGTGGCTTCAGCGGAACCAGTGGCCGAACCTTCAGTGGCTTCGGCAGAGCCGGTGGCAGAACCTTCACCAGATTCGGTGGCTTCAGCAGAGCCAGTAGCAGAACCTTCAGTGGCTTCAGCAGAGCCGGTAGCGGAACCTTCGTCAGAGCCAGTAGCGGAAGCTTCGTCGGAACCAGTGGCCGAAGCTTTGTCGGAAGCATCAGTAGAAGTGGGTTCTTCAGAAGACGACGATTCAACAGCGGGAGGGAATTCAAAGTCGTTAATAGAGTCATCGGGAACTTCTTCACCGTCTTCAGTTTGGACTTCGTTGGTGATGAAGTCGTCGATTTCGTCTCTCTTGATGAGGTACTCTTCCTTGAACAATCTCTTTCTCAACAGCAAGGTCGAATTGGCATCGGGGGTCTTTTCCTTGTGGACGTGGAAGAAACCAGTCAACTTCTTGTTGACGATTTGCGCCATGGGGAGGTTGATGATACGACCTTCATTTCTGATGTCGTTCCAGTACTTGTCATCACCCTTCCAGTAGTAGGCGTCGACCAAGTATTCTTCGGGCGAAGTGTACTTGAAGTTGACGGGCAAATCGTCAGGGATGGGCCAAGGGCAGACCCCGGTTTCCGAGTCGACAGATTCAGCGAGGACTTTGCCCTTGAAGATACATTGGACGTTAGCCGAGGCAGCGGTGGCCGCCAAAGTAGCGACGGCGATAAGCGATTGAACGTTGACCATGGCGCAGTACCGAGACCATGATCTGAGGGCAATGGCGATTTATAAACCTTTGCGTCTGCAAGCGCGCTTCCCTTAGAACTAATTTTCATATATTTTTGCAACCGTCGATGTATACACGTTGGAGCCCGCAGGTTGCATTGACCTACCTCGCGCATATAGCGACATTTTCAGGATTGCATTTCTAAAAAGGAAAAAATATTCTCATTGATGGCGTCGGAGTCAAAGAGCGTGTTCAGGAGAAAGGGTGGGAAAGGCAAGGGGTACCGTTCGATTGTCTTAAAGCCGGAGAATGGGGCAATAATGCGATGAACAGCAGCAAGCGTCCCCGTCATGAGACACTACTACCTCTATCGTTTCATGAAACATAACCTCAAACATAGGGCGCGCCACTACGGCATCGCCTTAATATCAGGCAGCACTTTAGGCGTTTTAATCCGATGACTTCGTATTGCGACACGGTGTCGGGGCTGAAGGCAACTCCCTCACCCTTAGTCATGATAACAATGAAACACGTTCGTAGATTACGTCGTGTTGCGGTCGTATCTATCGTAAACGGCAGCCTCAAGCCCGTGGCCTTGGTGAGGCCTTCAAAAGCATTGGACAGGGACGTGTCGCAAAAAATATTTTCAAAATTTGTATTGGGCAAATATAGCCGTGGTTGTCAACAGCTACTATTTACCTTGGAAACGTGGTTGCAGGCCACTATAGATGAAGATCGCCCCATGTTTCCGACAAACGGCATTTTCCAACACCCAACACCAGACATATTTAGCCCAACAACTACAAATATTTAGACGAACCATCAGACACAACTGCGCCATTTTTGATATTGATTCCCCATCGTCGTCTTTGTGATGGCTACGTTCTCAATCGCCGAGACGCCCGCTGTTGCCCTCTCTCACCTCTGCCAATTTCACAACGCGCTCTTATCTAATATCTAAACGCAGTGCAGTAGGAAAGGAGTTCCCCGAGAGATTCTCCCTGTGGCATGGACGCCTTCCTGTGCGACAGGCACGGGATGTATTCCAGAGAACAATAAGCCCCTATGCAACGGAAGAGAAGGTATACGCGATAACCACTAGGTAAGCGGCATTGGGAGATTTTTGTGTTTACCGTCTAGAGGGCGATGCGATATTATTCGATTACTATACAGAAAATAATACTAACAGCAGAGACGAGCGCCGATCACGGATTGAAGTCAGCAAGCTTCTGCTCAGGCTGAGCCACCGGGTCGATTTCCCAATCGTCCACCCCCAGCCAGTCGACGTGGACCTTGCGCACATTCAGCATATCGGTGTTCTTCAAAAACTTCGCCCTCTCGTTCTGCCAGCGGCTCAGGACGTCGTCGAACGCCTTGTCCCACACCTTATCATATACCTTTTTGATCTTGGCCTCCTCGCGTTGCCTGACCTCTTCCTGCGCCATCCATTCCATGTGCTTCAAGTCATCATTCAGTGGTTCATAGATGTGCCAGATCACGTAGTGAGGGAGCCCCACCACCAGGTAGTCCATGCGACGACACATTTTGCCGAACGCCTCGGTTTCGGCGTGGTTCATAAACGCAAACGCCGGGAAATGGGCCCCCAGCCGGAACACTTTCGCCTTAGACATGATCGACACCCCACCAATACCATCCAACTCCATCTCCACGTTAGGGTCGCCGTAGGGATCGCGCAAGTAGGCCAAGTGAGGGCGCCACGTCTGGAGTTCTACGTACCCTTCGACAATCACCGCATCCTCGTCCAACGTCTCCGCTAACTGTAAGCCGCCATCCAGCTCCTGCCACAGGTTGAGATCGTAGGGCTGCATCAGCCCCAAGAACGACGGAAGGGGACGCCATACGTTTGGGACGATCACATCCTTGTCGTGGGACATTAAATCTTCTAAAATTGTTGCCGGCATCGTCTCCACATCAACATCTCTCCAGTGGACGTGAGAGTGGTAGGGTTTAAGCGCACTCAGCAACAACCAGTTACGAGCTCTCCCCATCAACATTCTCCGAGGGCCTTGAGCTTTGTACGAGTGACGGTCAGAGAACAGCTGCGACACCACCTGGTTAAAGTTCTTGTAGAAAATCTCCATCAGCCCGTACTCCTCTCTCACTTCCATCAACTTTTCAGTCAACACCGCGACGGTGTCATCCAGGGTATCGGAGATGAGGAAGGCCAAGTCAATCAAATGGTGGGGGTAGGTCATGTTGGCCATGTGGTCAAAGAACATCCCCAAGTGGGCCAGGGCGTCCCGTAACGGCACGAGGAAAAGAATACGTTCGTCATTCTCCCAGCCATGGCCGCTGCCTTGGTATTCGCCAAGGTCATAATACTCAACCTTGTCGAGGTGAGAAAAGTCGGGGGTATATAGCCCACGGTTCAGAAAAAACCAGTACTTCAATAGAAGGAGCACCAGGGCCACACTTAGTAGCAAGCCGCCGCTGGCGACGTGTTTGGGACCGACGTTAACCATGGGAGTTTGGTGTCACCTAGATCAAAAGCGTGTTCGCACCACCGATGAGAAAAAAATGCCAGGGGTTGAAAACGCCAGCCGTAGGACTCGAACGCTATTGGGATACAGGATTGCCGTTCTGGGGAGGTCACGTCAACAGCATATTTTGGGGAATTGACGACGACCTCGTTTGGTCTAGCAAACGAGAGGCTTGGCTTGCTTTGGCGGGGACTTTCATTCCGCCTACCTCCGACGGCAACGGCGTTGGCCCCACTACAATAGAGTGCGATACATCGAAAAATCTTAACAAACAATACGCCACTAAAGATCCATGGTTGCTGTATAATATCCTCGCTGAAACACTTGGTCTTTTGTGGCTTGAAATTGAGCCTTTACACCGCCCTGCTGAAATTAAGTGGAGAATGTTGTCAGGTTGCTTTGTGTTCCACATGAAAGTTTCATGGCAGCCACAGGATGAGAGTCTGGCGTAAATCACGAGTTACGGTGATGACACCATGAGGATTCTTTGTTCAGGTGCTTAGCCGGCGATGCGTGTTCAACCCCTGAATGTAGGACCGGACAATAAACAATACAAGGGAATAATATTGGTTGATCTCCTCTAGGAGCATTTGGGAACGAGATTGACTAGTGCACTAAAAAGCATTAATTCCGCATATTACAAATCTAAGAACGCATCGTATTGGCAACGATGTTCGTGAACTGCTGCCTGTAGGTCTTCACTGAAGGGTTCGACTTACTCAGAGATTATTTTTTTAATGCACCTAGCAGCGGAATTTCTCCCTGAGACGACATTTCCTCATGTCCCTGTATGGTGCAAGCATTATGTGCAGTAACACCTACATCTCAAAAGCACGATTGAAAAATTACCGACACGTAAAGAAACATTTGGGCATCTAGACCGACGATCATCATAAACCGTTGTATATTAGGTTGGTCTACGCTCCAGTTGTATATCCCTACTCAATTGTGTTGACTAAATGCTAGCTCTAATTGTTTACGACCTCAACAATGCCGATACCCCGCCACAAACACAATGAATTGTAGCATTGTTGACGATCTCAATGACAACGCCTGGGTTTGTGTATCCCTCATCAATCAAGCGTATGTTTGGCTGCTATGCCAGCTGGGATTCGATGGCCGCAAACTCCGTCCAACAATGTAGGCGCTTGGCTTAAATCAGACACAAAAAGCTTGAGATACATCGGAGATGTGACATAACTTAAACTTTAACCCCCTCGCCTCATCTCCTTGGTGCCAATCTCAGTTCCGTGGAATGCACGCCCTCGGACGAAAACAAAATGCACATCTGGCTTGCGCCGGAATAAACGGGAACAAACACGTTGGTGCTGCAAATGTCCTGTGTCAAATGCTCGAAAGTCACACAATTTTTATGCGCCGCCCTGTACCTAGTTTCGTAGTTCAGGTAGTTATCGCGCCACTCTTTGTGACCGGGGAATCCTCTATCTAACTATGCAAGCACAATAATCCTTACAGCCAATAGCTGTCAACAACGAAAAATAGTAGGGCATTACACCGGACATTTTCGAGCTGAGGTGTGGTGGAACGGTGACATTACCCGTGGGTCCGAACGGCTTACTCTTGAAACTAAACTTGACTAATCTTTAGGTCCAATCGCGCCGTACGACTCCGGCGACGTTACATCGGAGACATGGTGAGCACTAAGTCCTTGGCGCATCTGTCAACGCCATCAACACTGAATCGTCTTGGCAAGACACCGCTGGCTTCGATGGCATCCCGGCAACACCGTCAAGATATTCCGCCTTAGGTGGCTTGGCGAACACTCTACTAGTGATGGACCAAGCTCTGTAACATAAGAAATGTTTACTGTGCGCTTAGCGCACAGTTTTAAACCTACGTAGTTTTAAAATTTCACACAATGTTCAGTATACACACTATTAACCAACTTACAACTTGTCGTAGTATTCGGTGTAGTCGGGCACACCTTCCTTCAAACCCTTTCTCTTTCTGGCGTCGGCAACGACGGCACCAGGCTTGGAGTTGGGGTCGGTAACGTTACCGTTCAAGACAGCCCAGTGGTCGAAGACCAATTGGGGGAAGGCTTGACCACCAGTGGCCTGTCTAAGTTCAGTGGTGAAACCGAACGATTCGTTGACAGGCAAGTAGGCCTTGACAGTGAACAAGGGAGTACCGGGTCTTTGTTCTTCCGAGATGACTTGACCTCTCTTCTTGTTCAAGACCGAGTAGATACCACCAATGGCGTTTTCGGGACATTGGATTTCAACCAAGAAGATGGGTTCTTGGATGGCGGGTTCGGCCAACAACATCGAAGCGAAAGTAACTCTTCTCATGGTAGGCATGATTTGACCAGCACCTCTGTGGATCGAGTCAGCGTGCAAGGTAACATCCAAGATGTTAATTCTCACCGATCTCAAGTGTTCCGACAAGATGGGACCTTCCTTGGAAGCCCATTGGAAACCAGACACAACCGAGTCCTTAATTTCGTTCAAGTATTGAACGGCCTTGGTTTGGTCAACAACAACGTTGGGACCAGTACCGTCGGGACCGAAACACCAGATCTTTCTGGCGTCAGTGACATCCCAGTCGTGCTTGTCAGCGATGACTCTAGCTCTGACCTTGAAATCAGCCTTGGGGTCAACAACACCCGATTCGATGTCTTGCGACAATTCTTCGCCCAAAGGTTGAGCCTTGACGTAGATACGGTTGTGCTTGTTGGGCGACTTCGACAAAGCGGTCATCGAGGATTCGCCTTCGACGGTTTCTCTGTACGAGACAACAGGGGGCGAGACCTTCAAGGGGATACCGGCGTGGTCGTTTTCCAAATCTTGCAAGCAAATTTCCAAGTGCAATTCACCAGTGCAGGCAACAATGTGTTGACCGGTTTCCGACATGTAAGTCAAGACACAAGGGTCAGACTTAGACAATCTCTTCAAACCTTCGACCAACTTGGGCAAGTCATTAGCGTTCTTGACTTCGACGGCGACTTGCACGACGGGCGACACCGAGAACTTCATGACCTTCATGTTGTAAGCGGCTTCGTTGGTGGTGATGGTACCAGACTTAAGCAAGAACTGGTCAATACCGACCAAACCGACAATGTTACCGGCGGGACAGTCGTCAATTTGTTCGACGAATCTACCCATCATCAACACGGTTCTTTGGATCGACTTCAAGAACAAGTCGTCCTTCTTACCGGGTTCGTAGTTAGGACCTTGGATTCTAACCTTCATACCCGACTTAACGGTACCAGCGAACACACGACCGAAAGCGTAGAATCTACCCTTGTCCGAAGTGGGCACCATCTTCGAGACGTACAACATAAGGTCACCCTTGGGGTCACAGTTCTTCATGGCAGTGCAGAAGGGGTCGTCAGCGGGACCTTCGTACATGGTTTCGGCTCTGTAGGCTTGAGCGGTAACGGGCGAGGGCAAGTGGATGACAATCATTTCCAAGAGAGCGTCAGCACAAGGCAAGAACTTTCTCATGACGACCTTCAACAAGGCCTTGCCTTCCAATTCCTTTTCTTCCGACTTCAAGTTGATTTCCAACTTTTCCAACAAGGTGGGGATTTCATCCTTCTTGAAGTTCATGATGGCGGCGAACAAACGGAAGATGGGGTCCAACACGAACATGTTGAAGGCTCTTTCCAAAGGCTTGCCATCGGCGTCCTTGTCCTTGTTGGTCCACTTCTTGGTCTTAGGGTTGAAGTACGAGTCACCCCACAATCTTTCCATCATCTTTTGTCTGTCGACACCGAACTTCTTCGAGTATCTGGTGGCGAATTGTCTGACGGTGAAAGCCCAACCGTGCAAACCGGAACCGAAAGCAACGGTACCTCTTTCAGGGAACACTTGGACGTCACCCAAGGCCTTGTCCGAGTAGGTGGAGATGATGACGTTCACCGATTCAACAGTTCTCGAGAACGATTGGTACAAGTCTTCCTTGGTGACTTGCAATTCCAACAAGGCTCTGTCGACCTTGTTAATGACCACGACGGGCTTAATTCTTTCACCCAAAGCTTGTCTCAACACGGTTTCGGTTTGCACACACACACCTTCAACACAGTCGACGACGACCAAAGCACCATCGGTGACTCTCAAAGCAGCAGTAACTTCCGACGAGAAGTCAACGTGACCGGGCGAGTCAATCAAGTTAATCAAGAACGAGTTACCGTCGGTCTTTTGCTTGATTTCCTTGACGTCATCGTCGTCCATCGACGAGTACAACGAGATGGCGGTCGACTTGATGGTAATACCTCTTTCCATTTCATCCTTTCTGGTGTCCATGTATCTGGCTTCACCGGCCTTAGCGGCAGAGATGATACCCGCCTTTTGAACCAAGGAGTCGGAAAGGGTAGACTTACCGTGATCGACGTGGGCAATGACCGACATGTTACGAACATTCGTAACCTTGTCCATCAAACCCCGGATCTGTTCAATCGTGAAAGCAACTAATCAAAGTTAGTAATCGTGATCGAGCCATCTTTTTAAGATTTTCTTGGTGACCGATGGCGGCAGTCTGAAGCCTCCAATAGATAATATCGTCCTGGAAACAACCCTGTGGTTGTCGAATCCAACAGAAACACCGCCAATCGCCTCAATCCCTTTGATTAATACATACCCATCTTGAAAGTTCGAGCTTGTGGTGAAGAGGAGAGGCGAAAATTTTTTTCTAGTAACGATGGCACGCCAGAGGGGTGCGAGGGCCTCGGTGCAGGACGTCGCTCCCTGCCCGATGAGGTGCAGGAAAAGTGTTACCCGGCAATGCCCTTAAGGCGGTAGCCAGTACAGCATGTTTGATGCTGGCTCGAAAAAGGCAGCCCCTAGTGGTCTACTTTTAAACTCAACCATTTACACCGGCGACACTTGTACTTTGCCATATGGATCGATCGCACCAAAAAAGGGAACTCGTGGCCTCCACATTGGCGAAGACTATATGCACGGCATATCATAGGGTCAATGACCAGACCACTACAAAGACTGAAAATTCCCGCTCAATGACTGAAAAGTAAGTGAACAGGGGTATCAATGAATCGATTTGTAGGAGACTTATTTGCCACTGTCAGCCTAGAAAGTCCTGGTCAGTGGCTTCACCGCAATCATTAGCTCGCATACCCCGCCGTCGCCACTTGGTGACCATTTCAGTACAGCGTAACCCCCTACGCACTTATATAATTCGACGTCATCAAAGCTGAGACAGATGCATCGAATGAGACATAGAAAATGACGGGTGGAGGAATTGACGGATATGTCAGGCGTCTAGTGCCCGCACCTAATTAAACTGGAAAAAAAAAAGTCAACGGTTAATTGTCACTATGTATGTTTAACATGGCTGTATGGTAGCGCCGTGCGACTCCCCCGGGAAGATAGTTATCAGTTAATGATAAAGCGTCCTCGACGCCCATAAACGACGACCCTACTCGCAAAGCAAATAAAAATTATTTGGGTGCAGTGGCAAAATCCACCAATTGTCATAGATACTAGTGACTGATTCTCTACACCGGCGGGCGGTACCGATTGTGCCTTATCTTCGCGTAAATTAGTTTGACTCGTCTTAATTTTCCGGAGGGCACCATGAACATCATCGTCCTTATTTCTGGCCTGGGGTCAAATCTTCAGGCGTTAATCGATGCCGAGCACCTGAAAAAGCTCAACGGGACCATCACCGACGTCATTCTGTCCCAGGCGGATGCTTACGGGCTCAAGCGGGCGGAAAAGGCGCTGATCCCGTCGCAAGTGCATCTGCTCAAAGAATACTACAAAGGGACGCCCAAGGAAGAAAAAGACAAACGCCAGCAGTTACGAAAGAAGTTCGATAAGGATCTCGCCGATATCATCATCGCCAAAAAGCCCGACTTGGTGGTGTGTGCTGGGTGGATGCTCATTTTGCTGCCCGCGATCTTGGACCCATTAAAAGCTGCCGGAATCACTATTATCAATCTCCATCCCGCTTTGCCTAATGCCTTTGACGGCACTCATGCGATTGAACGGGCGTGGAAGGCCGGCCAGGCGGGTGAGATCACTAAGGCCGGGGTGATGATACACTACGTGATTGCCGACGTCGATAAAGGCGAACCGATTGTAATTAAGGAGCTTGACTTACGAAAGGATGAGCTGTTAGACGACTACGAAGACCGGGTTCACAAGTTGGAGCACGTGGCGATCGTTGAGGGCACTAATAAGGTCTTGGATAAAATTGCGAAGGATAAGGCCACCGACGACGACTTGGCGAAGGCGGCGGAAAGAATTAAGATATAGGACACTAACATGGACGCGTCTATTGCATTATATACTCATTACAAGTTCTTGATAATTTCTTCGGTGAAGTGCTTGGTGGTGGCGGTACCCTTCAAGTCCCCGGTTCTGTTTTCGGGGCCAGAGGCGATGGTCTTAAGCACGGCCTTTTCGATACGGTCGGCGTCCGACAGCAAGTTCATGTGTCTCAACATCATGCACGACGACAACAACAAGGCGGTGGGGTTGGCGAGGCCCTTGCCGGCGATGTCGGGGGCGGAACCGTGGACGGCTTCAAAGATCGACACCTTGTTACCCATGTTACCCGAGGGGGTCAAACCGAGACCACCGATCAAGCCCGAGGCCAAGTCCGACATGATGTCACCGTACAAGTTGGGCATGACCATGACGATTTCGTTGTATTGGGTGGGGTCGGCGGTCATCTTAAGGGCGGTGTTGTCCAACAATTCGAAGTCCAACTTGACATCGGGGTATTCCTTGCCGATTTCTCTGGCGGTGTTGACGAACAACCCGTCGGAAAGCTTCATGATCGACGCCTTGTGCACCACCAACACGTGGGGCTTGCCGATTTGCTTAGCGTATTCAAAGGCGTATCTGATGACCTTTTCCGACGCGGGCTTGGTGATCAACTTGATCGATTGGACGACACCGGGGACGATGGTGTGTTCGATACCCGAGTACTCACCTTCGGTGTTTTCTCTGATCAACACGGTGTCGACGTTGTCGTAAGGGGTCTTGTAGCCGACAATCAGCTTACAGGGACGCACGTTGGCGAACAAGTTGAAGGTTCTTCTCAAGGTCAAGTTCATCGAGGTGTGGCCCTTACCGACGGGGGTGGCCAAGGGACCCTTGAGCGCCACCAAGTTCTTGTTGACGGAGTCGATGGCGGGCTGGGGCAAGGTGGTCTTGCCGTCAATCAAAAGAGGGGTGACGTCGACGGGTTCCCAGTCAATGGGCACTTGGGCCGCCGAGTACACCTGCTTGACGGCTTCGGCGATTTCGGGACCGATACCGTCACCTTCAATCAAAGTGACGGTGTACTTGCCGTTGGCACCTTTCGAACCAGTGAATTGCCCGGCAATGGCGTAGGATCTCGCCAAGCGGGGAGCAACAGCGACTCTGGAAACTTGTCTGAACATGGTGGTAAGAAACGTGGTGGGTCTCAGCAGAAAAAATTGCCTAGTTTTATGAGGGCCGCTGCTGTTCGGGATGAGAAGTTTGCCCGATGTGGCCCTGCACATAGCGCACAACCACAGTCGTCCGGGTGCCAGCGGCCAATGAAAATGCCGCTAGCCCTCGGAGTCGTAGACAGACAAACGACGGCTATGGACGCTGATCCAGATGACGATACCGTATGGGCTGGTCACGAGTGGTTTCTACCGTCCCCTCCGCCTTAGAAATTGCCATTTTCACTACAAAATTCTTACAATTCACCCGCTCCCCTCCTCGAAACCCGATTCCGACTTCGCCTATCCTTCGCATCGGTGCGGCTCAAGGCGATTGCTAGCCCCAATTATACTGGCCTAAACGGTGCCCCGCAACCACGAAAAGTAATGAAGATACTTCAAATGTCTTCTATAACCCTCTGCCAACATTGACTTTATTTTAAACTGCAGTTGACCCCATCAAATACAGCACTAAACCCTCTCCGTCTTCCCCTCCTCGGACCTCGAGTCCGACGCGCCTCCGAAGTCTGTGTGGACGCTGCCAAAATGCCGCAACCTGCGGTATATGCCATTAGGACATGAACCCATCGGGGTTGCAAAATGCCCGCCAAACCCCCAAACCTAGTTAACCGTCACGTGAGGCGTGTTTTCAATTACCCACACCACAGCACATTTTCCTCTCTGAAACATCTAACAAATTATTCATTTTTTCAAGTCATATAATTAGCTTGGTCTCACTTATTTCATCGCACCGCTTAGCGGCTACCACACAGCGCTTGCACCCCTCGGCATTTGCCAGAAGGCAGCATCGCATTCTCCGGCGCGGCTTTCCACGGACGATCCCGGAGCCCGGTGCTAATGACCTCAATTGCAATCAGCTGAATGACAACAGACTAAATCAAGATGGAAGCAGGATGGTCAACAGTTACTGCTACTTTAACAGAGTGACTACCGCTGGCTGCCGTCAGAAGCCGTTAGTTACCGCGTCGCCTCATCTCGGTCGCACTCGTTCGCTGGCAGCGCTCCCGTGTCCATGTTAGGGTGGAGAAGCGTGTACTTGGGGCTGGTGGCCCTTCGCTTCGTGTTTGGCTTAGCCGACTCCTACATCCACCCTGATGAACACTTCCAGCTGATGGAGGTGCTTACCCATCGTCTTCTCGGCTATAATTGGACCGAGGCGTGGGAGTTCACGTCGAAAGCGCGGTCGTTAATGCCGTTATACGCCGCCTACGGTCCCTTGGTATGGTTGAACCACTACATGGGATTGCTGCCCCTCCAATTGTGGTACCTCATCCGTCTCGGCCAGCTTGTGGTGCTGTGGATGATGATTGACTGGTGCATCCACCGTATGCTCCCCACCAAGCCCGAACGGGTCAAGGCGACGTTATTTGTGGCGACTCTGTACATAACATTGGCCCACCAGTCCCACTTGTTTCTGAATTGTTTGGAACTGGTGTTACTAATGGTAGCGGTGTTTATGATCGATGATATTCGGGGCAGCATGCACACCCACAAGTGGCGGATGAACGCGGCTCTCGCCGTGGTGGTTGCCGTCGGTTTGTTTACCCGAATTACGTTTCCAGCATTCCTTATCATCCCCGGTTGGTTCGTCTTGCAGTATTGGTGGAACTACCCTCCCATCGGGTTTGCTGCCATCATCGTGTTTGGCCTCACCTGCTTGGGACTTGTGGCAGGCGATAGTTACCTCTACGGCGAGCCCTGGACTGTGGCTCCGCTCAATAACCTTAAGTATAATGTCCTGGTCGACAATCTTGCTCAGCATGGCCTTCACCCTTACTGGACTCACATTGCTGTCAATTTACCGCAGTTATTAGGTCCCGGGATCATCTTTTTGTTTTGGGGCAAAGCCTATAAGCGTACGGTTCCGTTTTTGACAGTGGTGCTGGGGCTCGTATTCCTTTCAGTAGTGCCCCATCAAGAAGCCCGGTTCTTGATTCCCTTGGTTCCGGTGGCGTGCTGCTGCTTCAATCTTGATTTGGGTTGGGTCACTCCTTGGCTCATCAAATTATGGTACTTGTTTAACCTCGCGTTGGCGGTACTTATGGGTGTGTTCCATCAAGGCGGTGTGGTGCCGGCAGTGGACTATTTAAGGCAACAGCGACAAGTTGAGGAGCCCATCACTCAGCTATGGTGGCGTACATATTCTCCGCCGACGTGGATGTTAGCGGACACCTCAAATCAGTATCAATTTGTCAAGTCATCGGTTGCTGCTTCAAGCTCACAATTGGCGGTGGTCGATTGTATGGGCATGGACCCCGAAGAGTTTACCGATTACGTCAATAAGTACCCCAAACCGGTATACGTTGTGATGCCTCAAGCCTCTTTTGCCACCGTCGAATCCAGTTTGGAAGGTACTGTCAACAAGACGTGGTCATTCTGGTACCACTATGATCTTGATCATTTGGACTTTAGCGACACCAACACGTTGCATCCAGGGTTATCCATTTTTCATATCATCTAATATATCAAGCAGGCATCGAGCCTATCCCTACTTCATAATCATAAGCTTTTGAAGTCAATCATCTTGTGATTGAAAGTGCTAAATCTATCGTTATTATTTAGTCACTTCGAAGAAGGCTAGTAGGACTTCTTTTGCAGATTAATTCCAGTTTCCGGTACTTCGCCATCCCACAGCCGCACCGGTTGCACGAGGCGCGAATTTTTACTGGGCGCGGTACCGATGTCAAACTCGACACGTAAACCCCATCGGTAAAAATGTTAACCTGCCGAATCGGCCGGTGTCAATGTAACCTAGAGTGACGGTATCCTATGTGTGGTTACTTATCATTATATCTCTTGTTGTAACTTGAAATTTTTCGCGTCCACAGTCTCACCCCGCCCCTGCTTATTCAGTCAACGAATCGCTCGGTCGCGCTTACCACAAATCATGGGTCTGTTGAAGCTGTTCATCAAGGCGGTCCGCAAGTCGAAGACTATCGCCGACGAGCGGGCGGCCATCCAGAAGGAACTGGCAAAGATCCGGACACTGTTCCGGGACCCGCAACTCGACACCTCCACCCGTCGCACCAACATTGCCAAGCTCATGTATTTGTATATCTTGGGCGAAAAGACCCATTTCGGTCAAGTGGAATGTATCAAGTTGTTGGCGTCGCAACTGTTTGCTGACAAGCGGTTGGGTTACCTTGCTACCATGTTGATTTTGGACGAGAACCAGGAAGTGTTGACCCTTTTGACCAACTCACTTGACAACGACATGCAGCACCCCAATGCCTACATCGTGGGTCTCGCTCTTTGCTGCTTGGGTAACATTGCCCTGCCAGAGTTGGCCCGGGACCTTCACGCCAACGTTGAGGCTATTTTGGAGAAACTGACCAACGTCTACCTCAAAAAGAAGGCCGCCATCGTCGCCGCGAAACTTATAGAAAAGGAACCGGAACTCTGTGAATATTTCTTGCCTCGGGTAAGCTCACTCTTGTCTGATAAACTGCCAGGGGTGTTGTTGGGGGGCCTTGTGCTTGTCCAAGCCATCCACAATCATAGTGACGACGACGCTCACCGCCGGGAGCTTGCGGCGCAATTCCCCAAGATTGTTGGTCACCTTAAACGGGTGCTGGCACTGGGGTTCATGCCTGATTACGATGTCAGCGGTGTTCCTGACCCTTTCCTTCAGGTGACGCTCTTACAAACATTACGCGTCCTAGTCGTCAATCAAACTCAATATATGGATGACATCAACGATTTGCTCACCCAGGTGGCGTCAACGTTGGAACTGCTGCTGAAGAACCTGGCCCACGCCGTGTTGTACGAATGTGTCAAGACAATTTTCGCCATTGATCTGGATCCTGCACTCAAGATATTGGGGGTCAACTTATTGGGTAAGTTTTTGGCCACTCGTGATAACAATTGCCGCTATGTCGCTCTCGATACCTTGCTCACCGTCATCCATACCGAACCCCAAGCCGTTCAGCGTCATCGTCTGACTATCGTCGGCTGTTTGAGCGATGGCGATATCTCCATTCGTCGTCGTGCCCTAGAACTTACGTTCGCCATTCTCAACGAACAAAACATACGGGTGTTGGCTCGGGAGATCTTAGTATTCTTGGAAGAATGCACCGACTCCGAACTCTGTACTTACATTACATCACAACTTACCATTGCCGCCGCAAAGTTTGCCCCCAATGAGAAGTGGCACTTTGACACGCTCATTCGCATGCTCAAATTGGCAGGAAACAATGTCACCAGTGACATTTTATCACTGATTTTGGCATTGATCTTGCAATGCTCCGACGCGAAGCTCAAAGAATATGTGGTGGGAAAGATTTGGGCTACAGCGGTTGCCGATCCCAAACAATATGGTGTGGCAGTTGTGGCATTATGGACAATCGGTGAATATGCTGACTTAGTGATCGGTAAAACGGTTGGTAAGAGTGAAGATGAGGACAAGACCAAGTCGGTAGTGGTTTCGGAAAAGCTGATTGTTGACTTCTTCCATACTATCCTTACCAATCTGACATACTCAGAAACCGAGAAGACTCAGCTTGTTCTTTACATCCTCACTGCCGTGATTAAGTTGTCAGTCAAGTTCCGTGATCTGGCTCAGGTGGAAGAGTTACGGAGAATCCTCAACTCAAAGCAGCACGATGTCAACTTTGAGATACAACAGCGTGCTGTTGAGTACGAACAAGTGTTTGGCCAGCCAATGAATCTCAAGCAAGGGTTGTTGGCGAAGATGCCTGCTCCTCCAGTGAAGACGCGTGAGGCTGTTTCGCTTAATCAGACTGGACCTAAAAAGAATCGCCAGCTGATCGTGTCTCGTCCACTGGGCCCGACTACCACCGAAGATCTCTTGCTTGATTTAATTGACCACGGATCCACGCCCAACAACGCTCCTCAGGCAGTGCTGGCGGCACCTGTAACGCTGACGGACTTGTTAACGGACATCTTCGGTTCGACAACCATACTGCTGCCTCCTGTGCCTCCTAAGCCTGTTAACAAACCTGTGCCTGCTGCGCATTCGATTAATAATGATGTTGCTGCAATTCCCGCTTTCTCTAATGAAACTCTTCAGGTATCGTTTGTGCCGAGAAAGTTCGGTGGAGGTCAAGCTGACATTGACGCATTGGTACAACTAAATCCTACCACTTTGGACTCGGTCGGCAAGGTACAACTTCTCATTGCTGTGCCCAAATCTCAAAAACTTGTAATCTCCCTGACTCTGGGTGACAGGTTACCTATGCGCCAAACGCTCAAGTTGACGGGTAAAGAGGGGTCCAACGTGAAGTTGCGAGTAAAATTGAAGTACGAGGCTAATGGAGCCCCTCGTGAAAACCAATTTGACTTTGCTGGGTTTGGTAAGAATTTGTAGAAGAGATAACATAATAGATATACCAAAAGTACCACTTGATGTAACTGAAATAACCTAATACATTGTGTTTGACCGAATGATTCCTCGGCAGATTATGGCTAGCCATGAATTAGCCAAATCCAAATTGATTAAGAGATCATTGTCTGCACTGTCAACAGAAATAGCTAGAAGTGCGTTGATAGGTAATGCAGAGTGAAAAAGGTGGTCTTTGTTCATCTAGTGAGCATTGGAAGCGACCTACGGTTTTCATTGGCATAGTTATAAAGGGGTGTAACACTTTGACTAAGTATGTTTTGTGTGCAGGTGAATCTTAGAGGTGCACTACATGCAGGATGTTGGTGTACTGACTTAGACGAGAAACTCAAGTTGCCGTTGATCATAAATCAAAGGTAAGTCAACAATCCTATCATTGCCGTAACAGCAACATCGTTTACTATTGGCTGTATGGCTTACATGGGGTTCTATGGGGTGCCAAAATACCCGAAAAGTAACCATTTACCTTCACATAATGATCCTGCATATAATTGGAAAGTTTCAAGTCAAGCAAGACTACATAAGTGAATTCTAATGCAAATTTTATAATCCTCACGGTCAAAATATGTGTGTGATAGTGATTAGAAATGTTTCCGAGAGCAAAAAAAAGAATTGGAAAAGGAATTGAAAAACATTTTTCATTGTTTTTGTTTTTTTGGGAGAAGGGTATTTTGATAAAACGACCAGCTAGTTACGTGGTCCATTACATCTGGTGGTCATTGGAAGTTTCTTGCAACGTTTGGAGCAGAATAATCGAAGTGGAACACCTCGTCAATGTCCAATGTTTGTATGCAGACAATAAGACATGCAAGGTTTTAGTAGAGCAGGGGTGATTGACTCAAATCTGCTTGCACCACTGTGGTCTGTGAGTAAATCTCTTTTGTTTGACTAGTATTCCAAAGAAAAATACAACGACTGTCACAAACATTAGTATTGTCGATCTCTCACAAGTAAACGGTTGCGCAATCGTACCATATAGAGATTAGAATGCCGTAAACCACAATGTTGAGTCTGCGCTATACTAGACTTTTGGCCGGCACGATAAGACTTAAGTTGTATGATCTATTAATTAGCCTTCTTATTATTTGTGGGTTTATTCAAATGACGATTGACATAGCAGTAAAGAGAAATGTTGATATCCGTCAGACTCAAGTCTTCAGATCAGATTGTCCAAAGAGTCTCAATTAACTGATCCAGTTGACGAGTAAAGCTTAGGTTAGACAACTTGAAATAATCAATGGAGTGGCTCTACCATACGCAAAATCACTTCAATAATCCTGTTCAGAACCATTGTTCTCATCATCACGTAGTCTGTAAGCATATCTCTTTGGCTTGACAAGTTTTCGAGAGCTAACATCGATTTAGACACACATATCCTGCCTGCAACCCTCATGTCTGCACACAAAACTTTCATATGCAGGAAATTCGAAAACCCTTACCCAAGTTCAATTATGAGGTAAATGACACCCTAGAAGAAAACAAAATACATCACTGTAATTTCGACTGTTGAAATAATACTTGCGACAACAAATGGGAATTGTTTGCATTTTTCGAATTTTCACTCGAAAAAACTAAAAATTGTGATAGAAAATCAGGAAAAACCGGTAAAATTATTCCGTTTGCTCCATAAAATTCTTTGGCACTGGAAGTATACTTGATGTGAATTTGGGAGAGTTGACTTCGATATTGGCATCTCTATATGAGTTTAACGGTGGGAAAAAAAAAGTTTTTTTTTGTTTTGCAAATTTTTTTTCGGACGACTTTGAGTTTGTGGCGTAGTCTATGACATCTAGTGAGCATAGGAGTTGACCTGCGATGTTTGTAGAAGTGATAGTATAGGTTTTACATCTCGTCTATAACGATGTTTGTATGCAGGTGTATCAAAAATATGCACGACAAAATAAGACGAGTTGTATCACGCACTTACAGAGTGACTGGCTCATTTTAACAAGCATCTTTGTAATCTTGGGGCATGTCTATCTGGTCTGAGTTGTTTATGTGGGGGTTGCAACAGTTGCTGAAACTCAAATCATGCTTTCAAGTTTGGGGTTCTGCACACAACCATTGCATGTGCATATCATTCATGATTTTTCAGTGATGTCTTTCATCACCTATATTGAATCTGAGAAAGAAACAAATTACACCACTGTAATGTATATGTTAGGAATACCATTTGTAACAGCAAATTGGTTTTCTTTAGTTTTTCTGGTGAAAAACTATAAGGTGTCATATAAAATCAGGAAAAATTGCTATAGACTTTCCAGATGCTTCATTAAAGTATTTGGCACCAGAAGTATGGTAGATAAATATCTGGGCAAGTTAACGTTCAATCCGACGTAGTTTCAACAATGGCACCATACCTGCCCTACTTGCAGATGAATTGTTGTATGCAGTACTCATGATAATCATAGCGCTACAAATTGTAATTCATGAGTAGGTCGAATATATCATTACCACTATAAATATGATAAGCTATACTACTAGCTTCGAGATTTTCATGGACTCAACTGAGGAAGTGACATACCTATGACGCATCTATGTGCGTTCTCATATGAATCCTGCATGTAGTAAAGGAATTTTCACGTGGAGCTTTCGCCATCAACAAAACACCCTATGTCAGTTCGAATCCAAATTTATGATCGAGACAGCTCAAATATATGTATAATAGCAACTGGAAGATGTTTCGATCAATTTTCCAAGTTAAGACGAACACTGTGGTAGATCTTCTGCCTATTCCTTCAAACTAAACGTGTGCAATAGTGTTTTTGAATTACTCTTTGAATTTTTCGCTTTCAACAAAAAAATAAAAAAACTATTCTTTGAGAGAAAATGGCTTAATCTTTGAGTCAAATTTCATGCTTCCGTTTTGAAAGGGAATTGCCATAGATTTCAACAGACTTTCAGTAATGATGCCGCGATTGAACGACACAGTAATTTACTACTCCCAATTCTGGTGTATAAGTCTACTTTACGCGCACACAAGACGAGCTTTGTGAAATCTGTACAATTTGTATAACAATGACGTCTCAAACTTGGGTCCGTCACCACTCCAGAGGCAATACATATATGGCAATCAGTCTGGAGTGACCGTCCAGGTCTTCGAAAAGAAAAAAAAGACCCAAAAAGTTAACGTCAGCTACAGGACTCGAACCTGTGCGCTCAGAGAGCATTTGATGCCTCGAAAGGAATTCGAGTCAAACTCCTTAACCACTCGGACAAACTGACATTTACGCAAAATTATTGAAACTACTTTTTTATCATGGATAGTTTATCATTGAATGACGAATTTCAAGAATATAATGTCACATAGCGCTTATGTCAGTCTGGACGCTTTTACAATCGCACTGGTATATTTTAATAGCGTTTTTATTGACAATTCAATGATTACAAGGTTTATTTCTCATTTTGTATAATATAGGAAAATCCGAAACTAGTAACAATAATTCCATTCTCCGTTCAGGATGGTCCAAGAGGTAGACATGATCGGTATTTCGATTCTTCACCTGCCTATTGATAGATACTAATGCAAGTTTATGGGAAAAAAAAAAAAATTATTAAATAAACTTTTCACTTAAGACTCATTGTATGTACATTCATTAAAGTTCTTCATCTGAATCGGCAAACGGATCAAGCTCTGGGAAGTCTCCAACTTCTACCACCGATGGCCGTACGAACCCTCCGTGTTTGGGCCGAGTCTGGAACACCCGGGTGCCACCGATCAGCCCATCGTTCTTGCCCACGGGCTCGTCGAACTCTATACCCACCCACATCGATTTCCCCTCATCCAAAATTTCGATACGCCCCACGTAGCGAATCGTACCCCTACGTTCACCCTCAATATTGATAACACGACAACGATCGCCCGCTTTCATCGTCAGTGCCTTAGCGACATTTTCTTCATTACGACGGGCTGTTTCTTCGTCGAACTTTGGATCAAACCGCCCCAATTGATGCTTCTTCTTCCATTCAAGCACGGTGTCTCCGCGGCGGGCGTATTCTTCGTCAGTCATTTCGTAGGAAGGATTGTCGACATTAGTGGCGGCCTCATTCAATTGCGCCGCCTCCAGGTCGGGGTTGGTGTCAACCACGTGGATACGGCTATAGGGACGGATGTCGAAGTGGGCCAAGGTGGTGGAGTCATCTCCAATCCACGTTTGGTGCTCCTGTGAGTCTTCCTCAGGGAAGTACTGAAGCTGCTGGTCTTCTGCGGCCACTCCCGTGATGAGTTCAAGCCGCTGCTTCAAGTAGCCAAGCTCCCATTGCGGCAGGATACGTCTTTCACTCAGGGTGAGGGCAGAGGTGACGTAGACAGACACGTCGGCCATGGTGCTAGACGAGAGGAGGGGTGAGGGATAACGCCGCGCGACCATTAAAGGGGTAAACACAAGAGTCAATGGAACCACCAGAAACACTAGAGCTAGAGTAAAAGAAATGGATTATACATGAATTAAATCATAAACACGTTTCCAAAATATTTATTGAGTTTCTCTCCAAAGTTTTATACCTTGGGGATGTTGCTTAAATTTTAGTGGCTTTTCACTAGATTGTTACCTCAACGAACGAAGCGTGTACCCAATTGGAATGAGGTAAAGGTCATAACAATAGCTGAGTTTGAAACTAATCAATGATTAAATTAGTAATTGTTGCATGAATATATGAGTATCTATGTACACTATTTACAAGAGTTGTTTCTCTTTCTTCTCCCCGAGCCCACAGTACTCCCATAGCCGGTCCCATTGACCCTTCTTGTGGATCATGGCAAGAATCAAAATGACGGGCAAGTGCCACACCAGGCACCAGAATAAGTTTTTCGCGTGGGCGTTGGCCAACGCCACTCCTTGAGGCAGCGGGCCCTGCGTGGCGTTCTTGGGGTAGTTGGCCTTCTGCTGTTGCCAGAACTTGAAAGCGTGGTACGCCATCCACCCGTTGACGATGGCCAGGTCGAAGGGGAACACCCAGTCGGTGACCCCCCACCACGAGAGGCCGAAGCAGAGGGGGAACATCCATAACGAGTAGCGCAACGCCACCCGGGCGTTCATCCGGGGGTTCTCGGCGGCGGTCATCACGTAGCCCGCGTCTTTATACTGGGAAGCAATGTTGTGGGAAAGCGCGTTGAAGTGAGGAAACTGCCAGGCGTAGAGGAGCCCCGCGAGACACCACGCCGCCGGGTGGTAGAGCAGCAGCAGCGCCGCCCACCCCATGAGCGGGGGGATGGCCCCGACAAGCGCGCCCACCCAGGTATTGATGATATGCTTGCGTTTGAGCGAGGTGTAGATCCACAGGTAGAGGACAATATTAATGAAGCCAAGCAGGGCGACGATGGGGTTGACGCCTAAGGCAAGCATGGTGACACCGGTAGCACCGGTGACGGCGGCAAATTGAAATGCCTGCGTCGGCGTCACCTGGCCCCGCACTACTGGGCGGCCGACGGTCCGGGGCATTTTGCGGTCAAACTCGGGCTCGCGGCCCATGTTGATGGCGTTGGCCGCCCCCAGACACAACGCCGTGCCCGCAGTGAGCGCTATAAGCTGGGGGAGCGACACGCTGAGGGGGGAGATGGCGTAGGAGCAGATGCAACTGAGGGTGACCAAGATCGTCAAATTGGGCTTGGTCAACTTGATGTACGGGGTGATCGCCTGTTTCACCAGCAGCGCCGCCGGCTTTTGTTCCACGGGAACGTCGGGCGATGCCCGAGGCTGTTTCGGCTTCACTTTGAACGGGAGGTTTGGCGGAACCTCGGCGGGGGTATCGTCGTGGCACGAGATGAGCGGCTTGCGCGAGTACCGCTGGACCCTTAGCGGTATTCTCGCGCCGCAGGCATGAGTCCACGCCCCCAAAGGAGCGTGAAAGACCGGCCGGACCCCGACCCTCGCTAACATCAACATTCCCTAAAGGAGCGTTTAGCCGTGAGGTAGGTTTTTTCAATGCCCGCGAGGATGTGGGGGAGTGCATATAGTTTGCAGACCCATATCCATGAAAAATAGCAAAAACTACCGAAGCTTGTTTGTAAGTGTTCAATCAATGTAAGTGACAGTATAGTTATGTCTTTTGAGTTATAGCCGAGTTGTGTGGTTGGTAGATTGGTTGACGTCTGTTGGATATGAACATCGTAGCGGTGGATCACCGCGACAGGCGCTATCTCCGAATGGCGATGGTGGAAATTGTAAGCAACGTAAATTTGAATTATAGAGGACTGAATGGTTACGGATAATAGGTTACACCGAGTCCGGGGGTCCCGATAATGATTCTCTCAGTTGTAGAAATCTTTCATCGGAGTTCCCCCCCCTTTTCCGCCACGGGGTTTGGAATTTACGTCACGAACGTTGGACCGTATCCCGATGCCGGTCAAGACTACTTGTCTTTTTGTACCGCCAAGCTTTTCGAGAATAAAGACTTCAATAGCATTTCACGCCACAGCTTCTGGATTCTGTGCCTTAATCGTAGCGTCAGTACTCAAACTATGAATACACGATACTGCCAAAAATATTGCGATTAGTCATTACCCATAAATTAAAATGGTTCGATTTGTTTCAGGGGGGTAACTGGTAATTTTATGCTGTCGATGGTAATACCTCGTGGTTGCAAAATGGGTCGACAAACTTCCTGCATACTACCTCACACACAGAGCTTATCACCACTGAGACCGTCACGTCCCCCGCTCTACCCAACCCCTCCCATAGTGATGAAGCAAGAGCCCTTTGCCGTCGAGCAGTACATGGACAAATACGAGACCAGCATCACCCACAACATGGGTGAGACCTGTGTCGAGCTGCTCCGCCTCAACGAGGTGTTGACCGCCGACGAAATGTCGACACTTATGCAGAAGCAGCTTACTTACGGCGCCATCCACGGACTGGACGAATTGACGTCACAGATCGCTCAGCTCTACCTGAACTTAGACCAAAAGCAAGTGGTGGTGGCGAACGGAGCCATCGGTGCCAACTTCCTTGGGTTCTATTCGATAATTAACCCTGGAATGAAGGTGGTGGTGGTCACTCCCACTTACCAACAGCTCGTAAGTGTTCCGGCGATGTTTGGTGCCACTGTCAGCGAGTACCGCTTGCAATTTGACCATAAATGGCAGCCGCAATTGGACGCGTTGGAGCAGGCGGTGGCGGCGGACACCGACGTGTTGGTGGTGAACAACCCGAATAACCCGACCGGTGTAGTATGGGACGATGCCACCATGGAGGCAGTGGTGGCTATATGTCGGAAGCATAATGTGCTTCTCTATAGCGACGAAGTATACCGTCCGTTATACCATTCCACCACCAACCCACCGAAGCTGGCCATTGACTATGGCTACGACCGTGTGGTGGTGTCGGGGTCGATGTCCAAAGCCTTCTCGTTGGCTGGTGTCCGTGTGGGGTGGCTAGCATCACGCTCACCTCTGATCATTGAAGACCTTTGGCTTAAACGGGACTATAACACGATCCTGGTGCTGATGGTGGACGACTTCATTGCTGCCAAAGCATTGGCCCACCGGGAGGAGATCTTAAAGAGAAACTACGACATTTGTCGAAAAAACCTCAAAACTATCGGCGACATTATCGCCAAGCACCACGACTTAGTCGAGTGGGTGGTGCCTACAGGGGGGCTGACGTGTTTTTTGAAAGTGAAAGCCGATACTGCTCGTCTTGGTCCTGAACTTGCTGAAAAGTACCAAACGCTTGTGGTTCCAGGGGAGACGTTTGGCTACCCTGGCTTCATCCGAGTAGGGTATGGCAATGACCCTAAAGCGATCGAGGGAGGCCTCCAGCAGTTAGCCAAGGTGTTGAGCGGTGTGGCACTGGCCCAGTAACTGAGACAACGAGCGACAGTTTCCCCAAACCGGAGTATATATTAGTGACGCCAGCGGGGGTGCGTGATGAGGAGGTCGGCTATCTACTTCCGCCCTGGCCGAGATGGTACGGCGACGCCCTGAAGATTTTTCCATCTGCCCCCCTTTTTTTCCTCATTCGCTGGTTGTTGAGAGGGGAGGAGTTTTGACGCGTGGGGGAAAATGCTAGACACTTAGCGATGTACCAGATAAGATAGATCACCACCAGTACTTGGTAACTAACGGCAGACCAAGATCTGAGTAATTGTCCACAGACCTGGGGACGAATCAATTCGAAGGGAAGGTGGATAAGGTTATTATTATTGTCGAGCCCGGGGCCCGACGCAGAGCTAAGCCCAGGGGGCGCCTCAGACAAAGGGTTAGTTGTTACGACACTTAAAAAATAGGAGTGGGCGAGTGGGGNGGGGGGGGGGGGGGGGGGGGGGGGGGGGGGGGGGGGGGGGGGGGGGGGGGGGTGAGACAGTCGGGGTTGCTGGACAAGAAAAAGGGCCGACAACACCAATGCAAAAGGTACAGGTGAAACCCTGGGGAACCGCCGGATAGGCGCACCTGGTTACATCACCAGCAGCCTTCGTATTGTTGGCGCTGTAGCAGGTGCAGAGAGTGGGCGCATCGGCATTATTTGGGGCATAAAGTGAGGGTGCCAGGGCTCGAAATAAAATACTAAGACTAAAATTTCTCGGGTTGAACGAAACCGGCACCGAGGCAGCGGCGAACCCGGTATTCCGGGTGAGTAATTTGCATCGTAATACTGACGTAATATTAGGGTGCTTATTTCACAAAGCGCGACTGGTATGATTTTTGCGCCGTATGTACTCTATAAGGATGAGCGAGAATTTTTGTATTGTGGGCGGTTTTGTCTTCTCGTGTAACCTATGGGGGCAACAGCCGAAACTGACCTCATGGAAAAGCTAATATTAGGGTTTTAACCGTACATCGTAGATGCAAACTGTAGCGGCACGGACGCTAACATTTTTCGTATTGCCACTAGTGCGTTTGATGCTGATAGTGAGAAATTGCAAATAGTGGTAGAACTGCCGTTAAAAATGCCTTAGTGTTTATTACCCTTCATTGAGAATAGTTATGGAGAAGAATGCGTATTCTATTTGTCGTAGACCATGCGCTTGAGCGCCGAGCGGGCGTCGCCAGCGTCGCCGACAGCGTCGTCGGCAGCGGCGTGTTCCGGCAACGCGCCGAGGGCGTCGCCGACAAAGTGATCGTCGAGCCGCGGCAGCCCAAGCATCAGCAACATGTACTGGCTGAACTGGGGAGTGAGCGAGAGCCCGAGCCCCGGCGAGAGCGGGGTGAACCGCGACGAGAACATGTAGTCGCGGCAGTTGGGCGTTTGGGGCATGGTGCTCAGCGGGAGGTCGTTGCCGGCAGGCGCACGAGTCGGCGCTTCCGACACCGCGGCGCCAACACCGGCAGATTCCTTTGCCGCGGCGCTAGCGCTCGACGTCGGCTCGGTCGATGCTTTACCAAAGAGGTCGCCCAACAGCGCTCTCCCCAGCGTGTCCACCGTCAACTTAAAAAGAAACTCCAGCGCCGGGGCCAGCTTCAGCGGCGCCGGAGGCGCCGGCGAGCCGTCGCCGTCGCAGGACTGAGTTTGCGGGTCGGCCGACACCTGGCGGCGGCGCTTGGGCGCCGGCTCGTCGTCGCCAAGGTCGCGCTCCACCAGCGGCGGCGCCAGCGCCAGCGCCGGGACCACTTCCAGCTCCATCAGCGACGTGTACATTGGCGGCGGCACCATGTACGGGTACAGCGGCTGGTGGGGGTCCAAGCTGCCGCCAAACTGTTCGGCCTTGTTGTCACGGAGCGACGCCGGCGACATGAGGTCCCAGTGGGGCGCAAAGTTAGGCGGCGGCGGCGGCGCCTGCGGGTAGCGCCCCGAGGTGTGGGATTGCGGCTGGCGAGGGGTGAACGCCCACGACAACGGCAGGCTATCGTGGACGGGTGGTGCCAGCGCTGGCGTCGGGTACGAGTGGCGAGTCGGCGTCGGGCGCATTGGCGACAGCGTGGCGGAGGCCAAGTTGGTAGCGAGCGCCTTCGCCGATGCCGGCGCCAGCATTTGCAGCGGCGTCGTCACCAGCTTGTTGCGCTTTCTAGGCCGGGTGGGCAGCACCCTCATCAACGGGGTGAAGAAATCAGGGCACCCGCGCTTGACGATCATCTGCGAGTTCGATTCCGCCTGCGGAATCTTCAGCATCGGCGGGGTGTTGATGGCGATGTTGAGGGTGGTGGTGATCTTGTTGGTGAGCAGGGTCGCTTTAGGAGGGCGCCCGCGCTTGCGCTTCACCTTGATTGGCGGATTAGGCGTCGTCTCCATCGCCAACCAGTTGTCCATGGGATATAAAGGAGGGGCAGGGGGGTAAAATTAAAGTGGCAATAAAGGCCAAAAGGAACGGGGGTAAATTGGAGGTTAGGGGAGTGACAAACCGACCAAGACCGCTGTCCTGTGGGCGCCCCGGTGCCAGATATATAGCGCGAGAAATTTCGAGGGATGGGCGAAAATATTCGCTGCGGCGCCGCCGATAATATTTCTATCGCAGCGCAGGCGCCGCAGCGACCTTTGGGCGCGCCATGCAAAAAAATACCCTAAGATACGACGGGCAACGGGCGAGGCGGCGACCACTCCTACAAAAGCACCCGCTCGAGTGGAGGCGCCGCCGGCGCCCTGCGGGGGCCCGCACCCGGATCGGTGCTCCCGAAAGCGCGTGCCAGCACTGCTGCTAGACTCAGCATAACCCCCCTATCACTGAAAAAGTCGTCGCCCGGTGTCGCTCAATGATATTGTGAATGAGCGTCCTCGCCCCGGCGCTCAGCGCCCAGCGCCCATAGCGCTGTCGACAAATAGTCGGGAGGAGGCGCCTCTTCACACGTGCTAGGGAAAAACGCGGACAATTATCCGCATCGGGACAACAAACCTGGGGTAGCGAAGCGCCAGCGCCAGCGGCCGTCGCCCCACGGAACAGCGCTGGCCCTTCGCAGCGTCGGACAACAATACACCCGCCCGTAGTGCCACAAGGGCAACCGTTTTCTCCCCCCCCTAGACGGTTATTTTCCCACCCGCTAACCACATTGTCCGCATCAGTCGAAGCCCTTGGTGCCCGCCACTACGTGGTTACCACACCCATAAGGGGCGCCCCGGCGCGGTGACTTCAACCAGCATAGCCGTCGCTGCGTGGGGGATCCCGTGGGCGGTGAATGCGACTTAGACGACGAGACGAGTAACCCGGCATTGACGATAGCACACGACAGCGCAGCATTGATGTACCCGCTGCTGGCGGCGCAAACAATGGCGCCACCGTCACTTATCGTCTGCCACCCCTTGTCCGTGCTCTGGTGCCCATTATCCTGCCCCCACTAACAATTTTTTTTTGCTGCGCCAATAGTGGCATCGGCGCCGACAGGAGTCGCACCTCAGGGGGAAGGGCGCCACTAGTCAACCGCGACTTAGGGCAAAAGGCGCGTGAGGGAAAATATAGTCAGGGACGCCCCGTCACCGCTAATAGGGGCGTAGACAACAGGACCCTGCCGTAAGCAAACCCTTAACGGCAATCTACAACTGAGAGATAACACCCAAAAATACACAGCGCCGTTACCGTGGTCTCGGCAACGTCAAATGCCGACAATTAACTCCCCCTTGTTCAGGGAGGCAGCGTGGCAGAAACAAGGGCCCTTTGTGTGACGCGCTCGTCTGCCCCCCCTCCTCGCTCGGTGGCGCCAACGACACTCGGCCGGGGAGTGAGACAGCAACCATAGATGCTCCGACAACCACCACACAGATACGCGCCCGGAATGGGTGCCAGGGCTACAAGGCTTGTGGGAGTTGATTTGGACCAGTGATTGAACCGTGATCCCAGTGGGTGGCACCATTTTTAGCTTCGATCTGGGGGCGTCGCACCCGCCCTGTCTGGCGAGGGCCGTGTGACGTCACCCCCTGACGTGCTCGAGAACAGAGAGAGTTAAAGTTTGCAAAGGAACGTAGGCTTAAAAATAGGCAATCTCTAATTTTTTTTTTATAGTTCTCATCTCAAACGCTATGTGGGTAATACGTACCAGCAACAAAAGAAATTTCAGGAGGGAGAGAGAAATGCGCGCGCAGTGATAAAATCGTTTTCGCCGTCGGCAGCCACCCCCAGCACTATCCTAACCCGCCAAATATGATACACGCCGTCAGACGCCTTCTGACCCCTGCCCCCGCCGCCGCTGCCTCCATCCGCCAGGCGCTTGCCACACCGCTGTGGCTGGTGAAACAGGCGATGGCGTCGGCAAAGTACACCCCCGAAGTCAGCGACGACACCATCCATCACATGATCGAGGTTCTGGGCCTCCCCAAGGAACCCGCCGACCTGGTGCGGTTCCAGCAGTTGAAACAAGCGCTCGAGCGCCAGATGAAGTTTATCGCCCACCTTTACCACTCGCAGCAGGAGTCGCTGTCCAGTTGTGGCAATAACGACTCGGTGTTTCGCCTCCTCGCCGCCGATTTCAAGGCGGCGCCGCCATTGACGTTGGAAAGCCTCACGAAGCAAATCGAGGCCCTCGAACCGCTGGCGGCCAGAGGCGAACACGGCTTCGACATCTCCCAAATTGGCGACCACCGCACCAACTTTGTCCTCCACACTAAACCCTAAACGGCCCCTGGCACAACCGCAGGGCGCTAGCCGCTAGCAATCTCTTTGTGACAAATGACGTCCTGGGTCGACACATTTGTCGCCTGATGCTAGCATAATTGCGCGTGGTGGGGGAGGGTCGTTTGTTTCGTCGTGATGCCGACGAAACCTTAATCGTTCGACCACAGATCACTTTCCCCCAAATAAGGTTTCTCCACTCCCGACTATATGCAGGAAATCCCACCTACGGTGAAAGAATCGTATTTCTAGATCGCATTCCAGGGGGATGGACGCAGCTGCCCTCCCTCGAAGAAAAAAAGAAATGAAAAAGAAAAGAAACTGAAAAATATACTCCGTGAAAGTTTCTCTCGATAAACACCTCGATAGTACCATTTGTAAATTCGTTTCCGTATCCCTTTTAAAAAGTCCAGAAAATGTCACCATCGATCAAGATCCAAATGGTCTCGTTATGCTAAACTTAAAAGCTTGTCATAAAATCAATTTAAGCCGTGGTGAGAAATTAGCTTTCGCTCACTTTCCCTCAACATCACTAAAAGTAAGAGGACAACATCGTCGTCATCGGGCGTCCCAAACGGTCTTCTATTCCGGCTGGAGCGATCGTCGACACATTCAGGGGTGGTTCGGAAACCACGGTAAGTCCACCCGCCCTTGCGAGCGTCGTTGCCAGGGTTCTCCTGCCGACACACAACCCCACAAACTAGTCACCGCCCTTATCCCTTTTGGATGCGCAGGTCCATCTTCATGCGGTCAGGAATGGTCAACTTGATGAGGTTCTTAAGGTACTCCTGAAGCTTCACCAAGTCCTTAGTGGCCTGAGTCACCGCGTCAACATTACTGGCTTTCTTCACGTTGACATACACACGCACCTGGAATGTGTTCAGCTCGTCCAACAACTTGAGGCGGATCTTATCGCCCTGGTAGTCGTCGTCACGGATGAAGAGTTTCGTCAATTCAATGACGACATCCCCTGAAAAAAATCTCACCCCTTGACACCAATACTGGTTGTAAACACTATACCCCAAGTCGCTGAGCATTTGTAAGAACAGTTCGTTTTTAGGAGTGGCGACAATCAGCCCTTTACGCCCTTCTTCTTTCACTTCGACCACGTCTTGTTCGCGCACGTTGGTGTGTGTGTGAACCACGGTGGTTTCATAAATGGTTTGGGCACACACCTGTTGTTTCTTGCCCGCAATGGGGATATCACTTATTTGCAACGTCCAATTCTTCTCCGGAGAGTTGGCATCAAAGAGCAACCCTGAAAACAACTCGTCGTCCTTAAGCACGGGCTTGGCGAGGTCAAAGCTGCACAGCCACGTCGTGATACACCGCATGTAATACTGTTCGATCTGGTTCACTTTGCCCGGCTCGAATTTGGGCTTAAACACATGGTTGGGCTTGCACACGAGGGTATAGGTCGAGATGGGCTGGGGCCGCAACTGGCCGGTGAACGCCTGGAGCGTCGCAATCGTCTGCACGTATTGCGAGTGGGGGATGGTCCCTACTAGCGATAGCTGGTGCATGGGTTGAGGTTATGTGATGTGGCGGGAGGATAGCTCAACCTTCAGGTTACACAGTTGGTGGTTACTAACAGTTGAAGACCGCGACGCCGCGGCGCTACCATCCACACTCTTACAATATGAGTGCGCTCATCCATTTCGAACTCGCGGGTACAAAACGGGGACGCGAACCCCGGATTAACTGCGGTCGCGGACTCGTTTGCCTTTCCATCGGTCTCCCTCCCTTTTTACCCCCCAGCCCCCTAATTGTTACTTCCCCGCCGGTTGCAAAACAAAAAGTAAAGTTGCATTTCGTCAGCATTTCGCTTCGGAGAAACCCCAAACGTGGGGTAGAGCGGGGAATAAGCTTTGTCATGAGACTTAAGCCAATAGGAGATGCGCATCACTTCTACCTATATGGAAGCCATCAGCGAGGGGCTTCTCGAGTCTGGTGTCAGGGGACACAAAAGCGAATGCAGCTTCAGGGGCCAATCGAGTGTCTAGTAAAGAAAATGTCAATCAGACAGTCCCACTCCTTAGACATGAGATAGTGGGCCAACGGATTCGGTAATGATTGAGGCCTCATCTAATTAAACGGATAAGGCTATCTGGTACAGTTTACCTTGATTACAATTATTTGATAAATCGCGCGGAACCCATTGATTAAGAACGGAATCGGAGTGATACGTCGCCGCAGATTACTTCCGATGAGAGAGGCGGGCAGACCCTCATCGTAGCGTGGCTCTGTCCTTTCCCCGCCACCACATCGCCACCATCATCATCTTTCTTGGAAGCAGCCATGGACCACTGTATTCCACACAGGAATTTCGCCTACGCCACTTCTTACACTCTGGTATGGTTATGCCCCAGCCATCTCTCCAGTAGTAGCCTATTACCGAGTCGTCGGAACGTCTAATCTAATGGTTCTATCGGCTCGGAGGCTATCCTCCGGAGCCCCCTAACAAACCCTTCCACACCGCATCGGCGTTTTTGTGGGCATGCATGGTTTGTCGCCCCCCTGTACAACATTCCTGTACCAAAATCCCAGCACAAATCTTCTTTTGACGTGCCTACGCTGCCTCCCTCGATAAGTAGTGGTGCCGAACGTGAGGCGGCCGCAACGTTTCATCGTTATGGAGCTTCGCCACCGGACGCTTATAAAGAACCCTCGCCACTGCTGATTCTGGTATTGCGCTTGGATTTTCCCCAACGTTACATTAAGTTGTCAAGGGCAAAAGAAAACCCGTAGTGACCTACTGCCCACCCACTCTGCTCTCCACGTGGACCCAAACCATCGTTGTCTGCCCCGGGCTTGGCACCGCCGGAAAGCGTAAGCCTCCGAAAGAACGAGTAGGCGTGAGGCATGGTATTGCCGTCCTCGGCGGACGACGGAGTCAGGCGGACCACGCTGCGACACTACGTCGACACACCAGTGGCTAAACCATCCGACATCGTTACGAAAATGCCACTCCTGACTAAAGAAATTAGGCACACATGTCAGTGGTCCGTCATTGCCACTCACTATCACTACCACAAATAAAACTACCACTGACTGGTTTTTGTGACCAGCAATCGGCAGCGCTTGATTTATCATCATTCCCCTCTTTCGTTTTGTCCGCTCGCGTTGTCCGGGGTAATTTGAAGCCACAAACTAAACCAAATGTTTGCTTAGTAAAACCGGTGGGGAATCAGCCAGTCACCGCGCTTCCCGATTAGTCTAGCTTCGGCGTACGCTGAGAAGTCTACGAAAGCAACGCTCATGGCCCCCCTCTATACCAACAAACTGGAGCCCCGAGCAAGCGGGGAACTCGCAAATTGCCGCTAGTGAGCGACAAACAGAGCTTGAGCCCAGTCTCCCAAAGATACTCCGGAGACAACAACAAACTTCGCCGAGGACTCTGGACTAGCCGTAAGCAGAAGCGCAGCGGGTAGCATACACACCGAAGCCAGCGCGTTTTCGCCGTGGCGCTGCTAGCGCGCAGAGGTATGCTCTGCTAGCGTAAGCAAAAACAGCGCCCCTTCTGCGACCAAAACGTTTGCCGCACACCCGGACTCGAAGTACCATTCGGGTTCACGTCTCCGCTAGGACCAAGGGTTAGACACGGACGGGGTGTCGCAGTCACTTTGACACTCCCCTCTCTTCTATTTGCACCCGGGCTCCCAAGCGTAGTTGCTGTACCGATAGATAGTGTGTCCGTACCGTTACAGTAAAGACGCCGAGCTACGCAATCACACGTTTTTTTTTTTTTTTTTTTTTCACTGCTGGTGTCTGNTCCACTGCTGGTGTCTGGGCAACTGCGGCTCGGCTACCGCCGAAATTGAACGAATTTCTATAAGATGCGGACCTATCACGGCGAATCTCCGGTTTGCCGATCGGCGTGAGCCAGTGCTCGCCCTGCCACCAGAGCCACATCGTCAGGCAGACACCATATGATATTCTGACCCTGTAGCCAGCTTCCAGGCCCACCGGGATTCCAATGGAACCTGTTTTACGGGTTAACTTAGTGGCGCCGTCCGTAGTCACGACTGCCTCGTCAGGCTGAACGCTCTCCCCGCAATCGCGCAAACAGCAACGGTGAGCGGCCCCCCCAACAATTGTGCCATCACGATTGCCGAGCGCAGCGACAGCTGCGAGCAAGGTGAGGCACCCGCCACTTGCCGTGGCGAATTCCCCTGGGCGGCTACAGCCTCGGTTCAGTATATCTTAGTGGTTTTTTGTGGTGTGGTCCACGTTTCGCTTGGGGCCGCCTCTGTCACCGAGGCCGTCACCATGACTACGCTTCTCCTTAATTGTGCCCCCCTCCTCCTCGTTGCTTTTTTCTGCACGTGATCCAATCGATACGGCATCAAATATTCCTCTCCACAGTATCACCTGGCGCCAACCATATAACCGCGCGAAAGAAACAAAAAATCCCGGAATCTTTTGCACCCCCCCAACCTAACAAACTGATCTGCCAGCAAACCCTAACGCGATGCTCGTGGTCAACGGGAGAGACGAACCTGCCCCAGACCGGCGCCGGTTTCTGATGATGGGAATCTTTCGCCGGTTCAGCGGCAACGTGCCCCAGCAACCTGCTCCTCAGCCGCCGTTGGCGCTGGACCCCTCCCAGCTTACTGTGGTCGAACTGAACGGCTCCAATGGCCCCGAAGGCTACTACCCCGAGTTTGTCACCGAGTGCGTGTCCTTACAGAACCTGGAAATGACCATGGAGGATGACTTGGCCGTCGGCGTTAAACAAAACCTTTTGGGCATGCTCAAAAAGCGCCGCAGTCTGACCGTCATCGTCCACCAGGATGATTCTAGTGACGAGTACAGCGACGATGACATCGAACACGACCCCACCATGGACCCCGTCGCCTGGCTCAGCGACAGCGACCTGGACATTAATTACGACCCCAAAAACGAAGAACTGGTGCATGAATACAAATACGGTGGCTACCACCCTGTGTCCAAGGGTGAAGTTTACTTCTCCGAGCATTACCCCTCCCGGCAGTACGTGATTTTGCGCAAGCTTGGTTGGGGCCACTTCTCCACCGTGTGGTTGGCGAAGGTCATCGATGAGGACGAAGAACCCCTTGAAGACTACGTCGCCATCAAGTTTGTTAAGCTGAACAAGAACTACAAGGAGGCTGCTGAAGACGAAATCCGCTTGCTTAAGACTTTACAAAACCCTAAACGTTACGGTGACCATTTGACCGATGAACACTTGGCTTACTTCGACAAGTACGGTAACGACGACGACGACGCCCCTGAGGACCACCCCGGATACGCCCACATGATGAAGTTGTTGGACGACTTCACCGTCACCGGTCCCCACGGTAACCACATTTGCATGGTGTTTGAACTTCTTGGCGAGAACATCTTGCATCTCATCTACAAGTACAAGCACATCAACCTCCAATTGCAACAGAGCCCGCCCCGCATCGATGATGAACCTAATGGTCAACAGTGTCAAGGCAATTTCAAGTTTGGCAAGTGGGACCCCTTGAAGAAGCTGACGAAGCTGATGCTTTCTTTGGGTCTTCGATCGCCGAAAAAGGCTCTGTCACAACTGCTGACTACCCTGAGTATCGACCTGGCAGGACTGCCATCGTTGGTGGGTAGCTCGGACCAAACTTCGCTTCACACAGCACTTCAGCATTTCAAACGCACCGCAGGGGGGCTCCCTCTTCCCTTGGTCAAGCAGATTGTCCAACAATTGCTTCAAGCTATTAATTACATGCACCACTGCGGGGTGATTCACACCGACCTCAAGCCCGAAAACATTCTTGTGGAAATTAAGGGCATTAATGACTTTTTGAAGGAGTTGGAACACAGCAAACTTCAAGAATATCAAAGAAAGCGTCTGGACCTGGCCGTCCTGACCCGCAAACTGCGCCAACGCCTGGTAAACCGTCACAACAGCGTCGGTCTGCTGAGTGAATACGGCAGCTACCGTCTCTCAAAGAATCTGATGACGGCTTGTGGTTCCTGCCCCGTGCGGTGCCTGAAGCCGTTGTCGCGTTCTGCGAGCTCGACGGGTCAAAGCGTCACTTTTAAGGACTTCAGCTTCGGAAGTGCTCTGGCGGGACCGAACCTGACCCAGCTGTCATCCTTGTACAACAGCCCCAGCAACACTATGGGCTCTCTGTGGGACTTGCCGGGTGAAGGTGACCTCATCAGCGTCAAAATTGCTGACTTGGGCAATGGTACGTTTGCGCATAAGCATTTTACCAATCTGATTCAAACTCGCCAATACCGACTGCCTGAAGTCATTTTGCGTTACAAGACTTGGGGTGCTCTGACGGACTTGTGGCTGTTAGGGTGTATCATCTTTGAATTAATCACCGGTGACTACTTGTTTGACCCTCACGAGGGCAAATTTTACGACAAAGATGAGGACCACTTGGCCCAAGTGATTGAATTGTTAGGGGAGTATCCTCTGGATCAATATTTGCTCGACTGTAAGTACACCTCAAAGTACTTCAAGATCGACCCCCACTCGCAACAAACGGCGCTTAAGCACATCGACAACCTCAAATTCTGGGGCTTGGAAGATGTGTTTGTTGAAAAGTACAAGTTTGAGCGTGACGACGAGGTGAAGATGATGAGTGACTTTATCAGCAAGTGCTTAAAACTCAACTTAGAAGAGCGTTACGATTGCTCGCTGCTTTTAAACCATCCTTGGCTTACCGGTGTTGATCTGAAGTGCGTTAATCATTGGCAGGACATCCCTGGTTACACTGGTACTTACTAGAGCATTATTTATTACGATTTATGGTTTGGGTATAGGTTTTGGATGAAAATGAACATTACATTGGCTAGCTATCGTTTGCTGTAGGCCTTAACGCCGTATAGCCTGGCATATGGAAGTTGACTAAAATGCATCAATTATTGCGTTACCACAATGGTGACGCCTCATCTCATCGCTGCCACAGTGGGGGTTCTAGAATCTCCACAACAATGCCTTGCATATGAAAAATCGCATCTGACCCCGGAGAAATATGTTTATTGTTACCAAATGGACGCCCCTTGAGGCGAGCTTCGTCACAATGGGCACATTTATCACCTTTGACAAATGCTAGTCTTATCAGTTCACATGCACTGTTCGCTTAGCTCCGAAGCAAGAATTTTCACTCAGGAGATAACCGGATGAGCGATTTATCTTAGTTGCGGACCAATACGAGAGAGATAGTGTGTCATGGCGCAAAAAGGTTCGTTGCTGATATGACAAAAAAAATCGCCATTACTTGTCGCAATTAGAAAAAGACGACCTCGGGGAGGATTGAACTCCCGATCTTGCGATTAACAGTCGCACGCCTTAACCACTGGGCCACGAAGTCATTCTTGAAATTTTTTATTTACGCTTTTTTAACAATATGCTACGATTGGCATTGCTTGCCCGTTTGCGGGTGAAATCAGCCTTTTGCTCATTACGCACAGCTTCTTCGGTAGCTACTTTAATTTGTGGTATGTATGTCACCCCTATAAGGGTCAGATAAGTCACGGGAAAACACGGAAAAGTCGGAGTACGGAGGTACACTTGCGACTTACTTAATGAGGGGTATGTGTGGAGAGCGTTTTCGGGGGTCATTTGCGGAAAAACCTTGCTAAATTACGCAAACACCGTGACGTGGAGAAACCGTGATGTGGGGAACGTTTTCTTTTTGATGGCATACTCCGAAGTGCCGCTGTGGTCATCCGTCTCCCATAATTCAAGAAAATTGTTGAGTTGTCCTCGTTAGATATTCCGACATATGACGGCGCGGGGCACATTCAGGCGAACGAACGACACCGGCGCCACACTTCCGAGAAACCTTCCCTCAAGAGTCCGCATAAATTTGCCAATTGTGGGTGTACCTTATCCGCCCCCCTATAGCTTGGGGGCGACATCACAAAATGCACTCGGCCTTCCTTGAATTTCTAAGCCCCTAACCCTCGGCAAACCCCGGTCGCTTAACAAACCCTCTCTCGCCCTCCACCTGCCGATCGCGGCAATAGACACAGGCCTCGCGGCTCCTGCACCCCCGCAGGGTTAACCACTAAAGGAAGACAAATAATCCGCTCCGATAAGTTGGATGGCCAGTGACGACGATATGAGCAAGTTTTTCACCACCATCACCCCGGGAGCGTTCAGAGCGTTGCAACAGAGCAAGCACGGGGTGAGAGTGGTGCCATTGGACGCCACCTGGTACCTCCCCAACGTGGCCAAGCTGGCGGTGGATGAATTCAAACGCCAGCGCATTGCCGGCGCCGTCTACTTTGATTTGGACAAAGTGGCGTCGGAACTGAAATACCCCCACATGTTGCCTCTGCTCCAGCAGTTTAAGCTTGCCATGGACGCGTTGGGGATCAATAAGGACGACAAGCTTGTCGTGTACGACCGCCAGGGGACGTTCCTGGGTCCCCGTGCCGCGTGGACGTTGTCGTTGTACGGCCACCCTAAGGTGTATGTCTTGGACAACTACCTTGCCTACGAACTGCACGGCTACCCCATTGATGACTCCAAGGTCGATAACGTCACCCCATTGCCTGCCAGTGACTACGAGGTGATCCCTGAAGAAGAGTTTAAGCAAAACTACGAACAACAGGTGATTGAATACGACGAATTGCTTAAGTTGGTTGAGGACGGCAAGGTGGGTTCCGAGGTGATCTTGCTCGACGCTCGTCCCCACGCCCGCTTCACTGCCGAGACCCCCGAGCCTCGTCCTGGCGTGAAGCTGGGTCACATTCCGAGATCGAAAAACCTCCCTTTCCCCAAGCTTCTTAACGAAGACAAGACATTTAAGTCGAAGCAAGACTTGGTTAAGGCGTTTGCCGATATTGGCATCGACGCCACCTCGGCGGAAGCCTTCCTTGGCCCTCACAAGGAAGTGATCGTGCTGTGTGGGTCGGGCACCACTGCCGTCATCGTCAAGTTCGCCATTCAAAACGTGCTTGGTCTCGACGTGCCGGTGAGAGTCTACGACGGCCTGTGGCTGGAATGGGGCGACAAGGCTCCCGAGGAGCTTGTGGTGACGGGGGAAGCTTAATGTGTATTTCATGTTCTAATATACAAAAGGAAATTGACGCGTTTGTAGGTTTATTAGGCCGACTCCTCTTCAAGGGTCAACCACTTGTACTTTTTCTTCGACACGTCGTAGCATTCTTTCAACGCATCCTCATCAACAAACCAGACCACTTTCCCGGCAGCAGACTCATTGACAATCAGCAGCGGCAATCCCTTTTCCGGTCTTTCCATAATGGTGCGGATAATGGGGGCTTTAGTCAAACCTTCAACCACAAAAGTGACACGGTTGGCGTGGCAAATAACGGGGATGGTCAATGTTATCCGGTTGGCGGGACCCACGGGGGCATCTTCCACCGGGATCACCCACGCCAACTTCTCGCGCAACTGCTCGTTGTGGTTGGGGAACAAACTGGCAACGTGGCCATCTGGGGCACACCCAAGTAAAATGCAATCAAAACAGGGCAACTTTACCGAATCTTTGCGAGCAAAATTGTTGATCAAGGTCTTCTCGTAAGCGTCAGCGCATTCCTGGGGATCATTAATCAACAGCTCGTCGATGTGGTATACATTGGGCTTGGGGCCTTCGATCTTATCGAAAATCTCGCGTTTGGCTTGGCCATAGTTGGAGTCGGGCAGGTCAAAGGGGACTAACCGTTCGTCGGCAAAGTAGATGTCCCACTTGTCCCACTCGATGTACTCTTGTCGGTGCATCAAACCTTCTTTCAAGATTTTGATGAGGGACCCGCCCAGAATGGCGATTTTGAAGCGAACCTCGGCCTTCTTCTTCTTTTCCTTGCGGCGGCTGCCGCCGTTGGTACTGGCCTCCAGCGCCAGCGGCACCATCAGCACCAGACTCAGCGCCAGGTGCATCGCGGCCAGGTTTTCCTTGATAAACGCGATCTGGCGGCTGTCGGTGGTGTTGTAAAGGGTGAAGTTCTGGGCCAGGATGACGTGGTCAGCCACGGCCTCGGCCACCCCCTCAAAGAGGGGGAATGAGTAGATTAACGGCATGTGGGTCGTCATTTCGAGCCCAAGACAAGTTGACGGTGTGGCGGGCTAACGTGAGCAGTTTGGACAAACCACAGGCGGTATCAGCAAACAAAAGTGGTGTAACAGAGAACCCAAGGGTCAATTTTTGCCGCTTGCGTGGGATAAAGTTCGCGACGGTGAGGCCAAGGGACAACGGAGGTGATAAATCTTTTTTTGCTCACAAAACTCGCACACTAGGCTTATGGTTGCAAACGGCAAGTGGGGGTCCGGCGATAACAGAAACGACGACGAAGAAAGTGGGGGATAATGGATCGACGACACTAGGATGAGATGCGGTGATTTCTAACCTTAGTTGGCAGTAACAAACTTTTCCCCAAATTTACTCGGCTGGTGGCTGCCGCTATTATATATATTATTGACTGATTTTGCGGAGAAGCGGCCTCAGCGTTTGTCAACGCCAGCGGCACAGGGTGAGTGGTCTGCGATATCTCCCATGCGAGGCGGAGGATGACCTTGTGACCTTGCCCTCGGGCAAACCGGCGGATTTGGGGCGGGCGAGAGTATGAGTGTGACCAGTCCACGTCATGGTGTCTACGCTCTACCGTGTTTCATCTCTTGGAGGGTGTGGATTTACGATGGTGCGTGGTGGTGGTCGTTGCTTCCCCGATCATTGGGTGGTGGGTTGCCGAAGCGAGCTAGCAACCAGGGGGGCCGCGCCCATAATCGCCGGGTCCTCGGCGAGATGCGCAGGACGCAGTTTTTTTTATAGCCACGGCATCGGGCGGCGTGGGGCGGGAGCCACGGCAAGGGTAAGTGGTCGGGCGACGTCGTGGCTACCGTGTAGGCGTGGTTTGCGGTTTAAAGCCAGGTTCAGGGGTGTAAGGCTGACAATTTACTAATTATTGACGCCCGCGATACGGTTGTCAGGTGTGGCTCTGCCAGGGGGCTCCTCGCATTGTTATGAATGAGCCCGTCACCACTTTTTGGTGTTTCCGAGTCGTAGACGTTTGGCAAACGGGGGCAACCATGACGGAGCGTAAGCTTTTGTGGCAGCTGATTAAACAGTAAACCGCTTAAGCCATTGGACCCTTTGCCAACGGTGGCGGTCGTGTCCCGCACAAAAACGCCCCTAACTACCAATCTTATTGTGATCAGGATACGAGCGCTCTCAATGGATAGTCGTCGCAAACCCCCGATTTGTAACCTCGTCGAGATGAATTTGTAATGCCGACCGCTTTGTGCTTATTCGATGAACACGTCGACTCAAGTAAAGATCATAATGACTAGCAGTAAAATAGCAGCTTTCATTAGGTCTTAATATTGCCTTTCGACTCAGTAATCATAACTTTTTCACAATTTTTAAAGATATCCCACTGATCTCTAACTTCAAACGGGGTTTCGATTCCTAGGCGTCGCGAGATGAAATCCACATATAAGTTTCACCATTTGTCAATGGGACTCTATCCCCTACAAATTGCTATACCATTTCCCTTGTTGTATATATATATACTCTTGGGTTTAGGACTACCCCAGCTATCGCACTCCCTCAAAATGGGAGGGCTTACCTGCAGTACGGCAACGAACATGGAGGCCGGAGCTACTACAATGGGTGATTGCCTTGCCAACACCGCTACACCATGCTGCCCAGCCTTTTCGAATCAGTGCAGTCCACCCTTAAGGATGTCGGTGCCACGGCCACCACCCACGATGCCTCGGTAGCCAAGTACTCCCTCCGCAACCTCGAGATCGTCGCCACCAACACCGCGCCCCTGGTGCTTGTCACGGCCATTGATGGCGACAACGTCAAACTGACGCAAATCAAACCCGGTGACGACGTCAAGCAAAAGATCGAGCAATTGTTACTGAGTCACCACGTCGATGTTGCTGGCGCCACTCAACTGGGGTCTGGCGACCAGAGACGAGGGAACCCGACACCCACTGAGCGCCAATGGCGCCCCGAGAGCGACTTATCCTCACGCCCCCCTCAACAACAATCACAATCACAGCCTCAGCCTGACGACGACCGGCCCCGGTTTGACGACGAGCTCCAGATGCTAGGCGCCCCAGGCATGCCCCAACCGCACTTGCTGGGGATACCCCTGATCGGCAGCCGTGACTTGGATCCCGTCGATCCCCGTCGCTTCAACCCCCTTACCGGTGGCTTGGGCGGCGACGATGACGGCGGCATGATCCCCCTGATGAACCACCCGCTCTTCCGTGGCGGAGGGCGCCACGGCCACCCGGCGCCGCCTGGTGCGCGCTACGACGACCCTAGCGACCCCGGACAACACTTTGACCAGACCAGCGGCCTTGGTGGGCTTGGTGGTGGTATGGGGCGCGGGTTTGGTGGCGGCCCCCCTGGCTCTGGCGGCGGCTTCGCTCCTGGCGGCTACGGCAACGGGCCCAACTTCTTGTAAGGCGATTGCAATCAATCAGCTTCGCCTAGCGTCCCCAATGCGGTTATGTTCATCAATCGGTATTGATGAAATCGAACGTGGTTGGGTTTCAGGGCCGCCTAACCCTGATACCCCATTTTTTACCTACTAAAAATCAAAACAATCTGCAAGCGTAGTTTTTGTCCGCGAACGGTAACCCCGCCACTCACGTCGCCACCGCACCCCACCCTGTCATCGACGGAATAAGCAATTAAAGATCTCAGCACTGCGGTGTGCAGTGGGCAAGGGGTACCACTACCGCCCCTACACAGGGTGCCGATCCCCAGAGATACCACCGCAAAATACGCCCCCCCTCTCTCTCCAATTTTGTAGCCGTGCCTCCCCCGATCGCATCCCGCAAAAAACTTATTCGCTAGGTGCCGCACTAGGCTATAGCCACAAACGGAGGGCGACCGTATTCCAGGAGGCGAGGTCCGATTCTTGCTTAGGGTTAGGCTAACCGTCGTACGACAATAGCCCCATTACATCACCGGGCCGGGGTACCGGTTGCCACTAAGTGTCTAGACAAGGTGTCATTGGCAGGTCTCATCGTACCGCGGTTTTGTGTTGCACAAGGTCGCTTCCAGTTAAAGTTTTGAGCCCCGCGCTGAGTCACCTTCCTATCTGGGGAAAGATGGGTGAGGGGGGTATATATTCCTAGCGATGGTCCGAAAGCAAGGCTGCAGAGGTGGAATATGACTTATACACCCCGCTATACCCCAGGGGCATCCACTCGACGCACATCCTTCTCGTCCTCCGACCTGGAACTCAACCACTTCGACCGCATCTCCGACAATATGATGACGCCGTCGCCTCCCGCCAACGCCCATACCCGGAGGCTTCAACCCCACCACATCCAGGTGTCACATCACCAATACCACAACTACCACAGAACGGCACCGCTGGACGGCTCGCTGTTCGCGTCGCTGGAAGATCTGTTGCGGCTGCCGCCGGCGGCATACTCGTCGCCCGACTTGCCCCAGTACTCTGTTGACGACTACTACGATGACGACACCTTATCCGAGCTTCCGGATGATGGCGCTGCCGGCTCGATCAAAGCTAAACCCGCCACACCGCCGATTAAGCGAGCTAAGCGGATGTTTTCGTGGTTATTCCCCAAAAAGGTCCCCCCGATCACCAGAGAAGAAGACCGCACCGAGTACCCGTGGCACAAGACCAACGTGTTCATGCAGGCAGGGTTCTGGTGGGTGTTCCCCATCTTGTACAAAGGCTACCAGCGCACCTTAGTGCCGCTGGACTTGTGGCTTCTCCCGAGGAAAATGACGGTGCAAGAAATGTACCAAAAATTCGAGTACGAGCTCAATAAGTTGTTGGAGAAACAGGAAAAGGACCACTTGAAGAAATACCCAGACTTGCTGAACTTTAAGTGGGCGCCGTGGACGGTGATCTGGGCGGTGTTCTTGACGTTCAAATGGCAATACACCATGCTGTGCGTGTGGTTGCTGCTTTGTTTCGCCTGTCAAACGCTCTCTCCCTTGATTACCAAGGAGTTGATTGCCTTCGTCCAGTACCGAGCTTTCGGGGTCTACCACACCAACAACCGGGGTATCGGTCTCACCTTTGGCGTGGTGTTGATGGTGCTTTTTAATGGGGTGGCGCTCAACCACTTCTTCCACGACGCCATGATGACGGGTGCCATGACCAAAGCCGTGCTCACTAAAGCGGTGTTGCTCAAGCTGTTCAAGTTGCTGGCGAAGTCCCGCTACATGTTCCCTCGCGGGCGGATCACGTCATTGATGGCGACCGACTTGGCCAAGATCGATCTTGCCCTTGGCTTCCAACCATTCCTCATCTGTTTCCCCGTGTGTATTTGCATTCTGATCATCATTCTCGTCATCTACATTGGCGTCCCCGCCCTCGTCGGTCTCGGTCTTTTCCTCGCGTCCCTCGTCCTCTGCGTGTTGTTAGCGGGGTTCCTTTACACTTTCCGTCGTCGGGCCGTCATCCACACCGACGAGCGGATCAACTTGATCCGGGAAGTGGTGACAAACATCAAGATCATCAAGTTTTACGCGTGGGAAATGGCCTACAAACACATGTTGACCGAAACGAGAAACAGAGAGATGAAGGAAGTGTTCAAGATTAAGCTGTTGCGTAACGTCATCGCCGCCTACGCCGTCAGTTTGCCGTCATTGACGTCGATGTTGCTGTTCGTGGTCATGTGGCGCACCAACCGGATGAAGGCCCCCGCCTACACGTTCTCGGCGTTGCTGTTGTTCACCATCCTTGCCCAGGCAATCTTGATGGTGCCCTACGCCCTTGCCACCGGCGCCGATGCCCTCATTGGCTTCAAGCGGTGCACTGACTACCTCCTGGCTGAGGAAGGCGAGTACCAGCAGAAGCGCATCAACGAAAAGCTGGTGGCCCCCGGCGACCCCATCATCGTCATTCGCAACGCCAACTTCATCTGGGAACAATTCCACGACGACTTGAACAACAACTTGTGGGCGAAAAAAGACACTTTAGAAGGGTACAAGGAACTCCAACGCCTCGAGCGTGAACGCCGCAAGTTTGAGCGCCGCCAACACCGCATGCTTGAACGCCAACGTCGCCAGCGTCGCAACATCTACGGGGAGAAAGAGTACGCCATCGAGGGATCGGTGGAGTCGTTGGGGCTGTCGGGGCTGGACCGCGAGAGCAATTTCCCCGGGTTGTTGGACTTGAACTTGGTGATCGACAAGGGTGAGTTCATCATGGTGTGTGGGCTGATTGGTCTGGGTAAGCTGTCGCTTCTTAACGCCCTCGCGGGGCTGATGAAGTTGGAAAACCCGCTGACGGCTGACTATGAAGTCAAGGCTAACACTATCTTCTGCCTGGAGCCGTGGATCCAAAACTCCACCATCCGTGACAACATCCTCTTCGGCGCTCCTTATGACGAAGACTTGTACAAGGAAGTGATCTTTGCCTGTGCCCTCGAAGAAGATATCTTGATGATGCCTGGTGGTGACCGTACCGAAATCGGTGAACGGGGTGTCACCCTCTCTGGTGGTCAAAAGGCCCGGGTGGCCTTGGCTCGTGCCTGCTACGCCCAAGCCCCCATCCTCTTGTTCGACGATGTCCTTTCCGCTGTTGACTCCCGTGTCGCTAAACACATCATTACTTATTTATTTCAGGGGCTATTGGTCAACAAGACCGTGGTGCTCGCTACCCACCAGTTACTGGTGCTTGAAGCTGCTGACCGTGTCGTGTTCCTCAACGGTGACGGGCTGATTGACGTCGGCACTCCTGACCGCCTTTTGCTGCTGAACCCTGGGTTCCGGACCTTGGTCGAAAACAATGTCGACCAGGAAATCCGTGAGCTGTGGACCGCCGGCAACACTGGTGGCCAGGTGCTGCGTTTGCTGCACATCGACGTCAACGAATTCCGTGAAGAGTTGCCGGTGGACAACCTGGCGGCCATCGCCCGCGTGTTGTCAGACGACAACCGTAACATGATCGGTAAGCTGATGCGTGAGGAAGAAAAAGCTGTCAATGCCATTGGCTGGAACATTTACAAGGAGTACTTGCGTCTTGGGCTGGGTAAGTTCAAGTGGATCGCGGTGCCCTTATTCGTGTGGTTGGTCATGTTGGCGACATTCTTCCAAATCTTCACCAACACCTGGTTGTCATTCTGGACCGAGAAACGCTACCCCACCATGCTGGATAACGTGTACGTGCTGTTGTACATTATGTTTGCCTTCTTGACGTTAATCTTCAACGCCGCTGAGTTCATGATGTTGACCTACATCGAAAACAATGCCGCCCAATACCTCAACATTAATGCCATGCGCCGCATCTTGCACGCTCCCATGAGCTACATGGACTCCACTCCGGTGGGGCGGATCATGAACCGGTTCACTAAGGACACTGACTCATTGGATAACGAATTGGGGGAACAAGCTCAGTATTGTATCTTCCCGTTGGCGCTGATGATCGGTACCATCATCTTGTGTATCTGTTACTTGCCGTGGTTTGCCATCGCCGTCCCCTTCTTGGTATTTGTCTTCCTCTTGATGGCCAACTTCTACCAGGGGGCCTCTCGTGAAGTAAAGCGGTTGGAAGCCATCCAACGGTCGATGGTGTTCAACAACTTCAACGAAACGTTGACGGGGATGCAGACCATCCAGCTGTACCACCAGGAAGCGACATTCATTGCTCGCAACGACAAGTTTATTAACAATCAGAACGAGGCATACTACGTCACCATTCTGACCCAAAGATGGTTGGCTATCAACCTCGATCTCTTGGGGGCATCGTTCGCTTTGGTCATCTGTATGTTGTGTGTCAACCAAGTGTTCCACCTCCTGCCGTCGCTGGTGGGTTTGTTGATGCTGTATGTGGTGCAAATCGTCGGTCTCTTGTCGATGACGGTGAGAGCGATGACTCAGGTGGAAAACGAAATGAATGCCACCGAACGTTTACACCACTATGCGTTCTCGTTGCCTCAAGAAGCTGAGTACTTTGGTACAGTGACCCCGCCTCACAACTGGCCGCCTCTGGGTTACATCTCCTTCACCAACGTCGCCTTGCGTTACCGTCCCGACCTTCCTCGCGTGCTTGACGACTTCAACCTTAGAGTGTACCCTGGCGAAAAAGTCGGTATCTGTGGTCGGACTGGTGCCGGTAAGTCGTCGATTATGAACGCATTGTACCGTCTCACAGAACTTGAAGACGGTCTGATTACTATCGACGGGCTCAACATCGCTGACATCGGGCTCTTTGACTTACGTCTGCGGTTGCTGATTATTCCCCAAGACCCCGTGTTGTTCCAGGGTACTGTCCGCAAAAACTTGGACCCCTTCAACCAGTACAACGACGAAGTCTTGTGGGACGCATTGCGTCGTCTGGGTCTCTTGGACGAAGCTACCATGATTCGCATCCGCAACTCCAAGTACGACCCCGACTCTTACGGCTACGAAGACTTGCACCGTTTCCACTTGGACCAAATGGTTGACGACGAGGGCTCCAACTACTCGTTGGGCGAAAAACAATTGCTTGCCCTTGCTCGTGCCTTGGTCCGTAACTCCAAGATTCTTATCTTGGACGAAGCGACGCTGAGTGTTGACTTTGACACCGATCAACGCATTCAAGAAACCATTGCCACCGAGTTCAAGCACTGCACCATCTTGTGTATTGCTCACCGGTTGAAAACCATTCTTCACTACGACCGCATCTTCGTCATGGACCACGGGAACGTCGCTGAGAAGGGTACCCCCTGGGGGTTATACAACAAGGGAGGCAACTTCCGCGCCATGTGTGACAAGGCCAAGATTGCCCCTGAAGATTTTGCATAATTTCTATACCCAAAACATAGATAGTCTAACAAACATCATAATGATAGCTAAATCGTAATACTAATCTTATGGATGATTGAAAATTGTATGACACAGTTGGTGCCATGGTATATATAGGGTTTTGATTTCCTATATTGGTTAACTGTGCACCCTCGGCAAAATCAGTGCGACGATGACATTGACTCCGGGCTTTGAGAAACGCAGAGCATAGCGTCTAACTGACCATGAAGAATGAGCAAATGATTAGAATTGGTGATTATGAATAATTTGTTCAAGAATAACGCCCATTTTGTCTTTTCATTTCCGGTTCACAGCTGAACTAGCGACTCATTTCTGAGCTGTTAAAGTCAAAGGTATTGATGAACCTGAGGGCACCAAATTGTCACCGCTGACACCTACACTGACTCGTTGATTCGTTTATTCGTATTATGTAGTGCCAGGTTGTTTATTCGTCCTTAAGACCAACGATAGCTCTGCCGGTGTAGTACAAGGGAAGAGCGGTGGCAATGGCGAACAAACCGTAGAAGGGGTAGACCATGGCCTTCGATTGCTTACCTCTCAACCACAAGGGCAAGTTGGAAGCTTGGTATCTTCTTTGGTTTTGGATGATTCTTTGAGGGTCCATTATGGGATGTATGCTATGCGACACTACTGAAAATTCTTTGGTGTTTTCGAGGGGGTCTGGTTGGCTGAGAACTGTGTGCAGGAGCGCGACTACAGGCAAGGAAAATCAAAAAAAGAGTGAGCTGATAGTTGCATTGAAGTTGTGTATTACTCATGATATCGTGGCTAATTGCCGATGCTTATTCGCTCTCGCTTTCAGTGTCGCTCAAAATGACACGACGCCGGCGATTAGTATTAAAATTGTTGAGGGCGCCTTGTAGGTCTTCATCATCCAGAAGATGCTCTGAGTCCAACTCATAGGATATATTAGGGCTGTCGTCGTAGTGCCCGTGGCTTTCGTAGTGATGATTGCCTTGGATGTCGTCATCATAAGAATCATGGCTCTGTCGTTCAGAAAAGTCATCATAGCGGTCATATTCATCATCAGAGTGGATTTGCAACAGTTCCTCGTCGGATAGAGAATCAAGGTCGACCATATTTGACTCACTATCCCTCGAAATGTGGTGGTTGCGTTGACCTTCCCCTGAGGAGTACTCACGGTGTCCGTCACCAACAAACTCTATGTCACTGTCATCATCATCATCATCACTTAGTTGAATTGGTCTTTCATTGTCGGTGTGGGCTTCATGTTCCAGAAAACCATGGAATTCCAGGTCGCCCAGAATCGAGGGAGCTTCGCCAGCAGCATCATCAAGAACCTCTTCGTCGGAGACAACGAATCCATCATCACTTTCATAGCTGTCACGACCATTTAGCCGTATTTGCTCGTCGTCAGTGGAAAAGACCACATCATCTTCATCAGCGTCAAACTCATCCACTGGATGGCGAAGCTGAACACCACAGTGTTCGCAATGCTCACCGTAGACTTCCCAGCCGCAATTTCCACAGCGGGGTACGCCGTCAGAGACGTCAATCATCGTCAGTGCTTGGTCGAAGAGATCGCCATATAACGAGTCATCGCGGGAAGCTTGTTCGTAAACGTCATTGCGTTCTCGCCAAATCTTTTTTGCCTTCACTATAGCTTCTTGGTCCGTCATACTATCGGTGGCAACATCAAACAACAACTTGGTAATCTGATGGAGTTGCATTGTTCGCTTGGGTTTCTCATTGATTTGAGCCCTACAGGTGGGACACAGAAGCTTATTCTGGAACCACAGGTAGATGCACTCATAGCAGAACGAATGGCCACACTCACAAGTAACCGGCACCACCATCGTTTCCAGGCATATTTGACATTCCAAATGGTCGGACACCTTGGTCACGAGCTCCCCGAGAAGCAACCCATCCTAAAGTAGTTAGCGATCAACTCCCAGAAACCAATTCGAGGAATGATACATACAAGGTTCCGCCAGTCACAGCTGTTCATGGCGTCAGCAGTAGCTCACGCGTTTGCTTTAGCCGACTCAGGGTGAACGGCAAGATGGAGTGCGGTGCGCGCCTCCATGATGCAATTAATCAGGGCTCACACGCGCAGAGCGAGCGAAGCTCTGATGGTGGTACTGCTGATTTTGCCTTCCCAAGTGCTGTTATCAACATTTTCTCCTACCACATCAATCACCACCACCTCCAATTGAGGGAAGCCATGTTCCCGACGTACTTTGTTCACGTAGTCGCCTCCCGAACGAGTTTCGCCACTAACGACGAGAGCGTCGATATTTCGCACATAGCCGGTGGGACCACACACGTCATTGATTTCAAAGATCTCGTAGGGACACGAATCCCACGAAAGCTTCTGAAGGAAATGGACCACGGAACGTTCACGTTCCGCGTACAGTTGAAGAAATTCCGCGTGCTTTTTGTTCTGCAAAAGCTTAGGACCTGTAATCCCCACAATCAATCTCTTTGAACAAAGGAACCGAGCCAAAGATAAAAGGATCTTGTGGCCGTCGTGGAGATAGTCAAAGGTACCGCCAACGGCACTGCATACAAACGAACCGAATTCGGGTCCGTTTGATTCATGATCAATACCTGAACTGCTAGTGTTTGAATAGCGCTTCACCGACAGGTCAAAAGTGCCGATATCTTCACCTTCCACTGCCCTCACATCGCTATAGTTTTGTGCATTGAAATGTTTTGGTTGGTTAAACCACACATTAATCAGGAAATCGTGCCCTTTGCCAGCGTGGTTAGCTAGGTGACGAAGCTGTTGGTAGTAGGTGGTAAGCACTCGATTGAGAGCGGGCGCGTGACGAATGGAATCCACGATGTACACATCCACCGCCCCGGCATCGGCATTGAATGCTTTGGAGATGAACTCACGGTAATCGTGGTGGACGGGGTCTTTGATCACAAGTAACGACATGCCTCGTGAGATCTGCGCGGGTGAGGTAACTATAATGAGCAGACGCGTTAGCAAATAACGTGAGTCGGCTCATACATGAAATGTATCACTGTCGTTGCTATTGTTAATTGCAGCAGATCCAAGACGATCTCTCTTCGCTGAAGTCAATCACCTAGCCAATTGAGCTAGCCTATAATTGTCAAATGTAATTAGTGTTTGTCACCACTGTTTCGTGCCGTGAATGCAGTGGTGTGTAATCGCCCCGCCCATATATAAAGATCAATTACCGGTTGCGGCAAAGCGCCGAGACTTATCTCGTTTAGCCAGGCTGACTCCCGTCAATTGTCGGTGCCGTACTGCGTTCGCGGTGTTTATCTATTTCCGGGTCCAGCTAATCACGAGGTGCCTCGAGACGACCGGCGGCAGCATGCCGATGGCCTCCAGTAGAAAAAGTAGAGTCGCCAGGTGGGTTCTGCTAACACCATGTGTTCGCGGAAGTGTGGGTGTCAGGGAGAGTACCAGATCAAAATCGGCTACTTCTGTGCCTGTGGCACCAGGGCGTTCAAGTGTGACCACTGTGGTGGGTTGGTGTGCCCATTAAGTGAAGATCCAAAGTCAGCTCATATTGACCTCCCCACTACTACTTGGCCTTACCATCGTTGATCCCTTTCCCCATCGTGACATCACCAGGTTATTCTATGCATGCAATTAACTTACCTACCTTGTCCCTATTATACCCGGTTATGGTAGCCAATGGCTGTTCCGTTGGTACCAACCCAAACAACTATATACACGTTATTAAACAATTTGACGAATGGCAGAGCGTAGATGCCGCAACTTGTCCTGGTTCGCCTGGTCATTGGTCCGAAGCTGAAGAAGAGACCGCAATTTCACCATGAGTTGAGCCTCATCCTTGGAAAGATCATCACGGTCTTTCAAATTATTGTACACAGCAGTGATGGACGGGGCAATCTCCGTCAGCGTCAACTTTTCCAAGGGGTTCTGTAACGCCCTGGGAGTGTAATGAAGAATACCCGCTTTGATGATGTATCTGTGGGTCAGTGTCTGATCACGTTCATCCATGGGTACTACGGTACCATATTTCATCCAAGTGGTATTGTACAACCGGTCAATAATCTTGTTAAACAGATCAATGTTGTAGTTGGGAAGCAAATACGTGGGGTTCACTCGTTCACCGCTGTAGTGAGCCACCAACAGATCGATAAACCCAACAAAAGCAGACATGAACTCTTTAAGCTGAGCATCGGTAATCAGCTTGCGAGGAACATTAGGCACTTTTTGCTTTTTGAGCTCGTTCATAGTGTAATCATGATAGTAGTGGAGAGTGGTCACCAACGCTGCAAACACACCATCGATAGTCGCCAGACGAACTTCAAGCTCACGATTCGGATTATATTTGGGGTTGACCAACGCAGCAAACATTGTCACGATATCTTGAATCGACAGTTGACCATGTTTTCGCCCATACGTATTCATTTTGAATATGAAATTCTCCACCAAGCCGATGTCAATTGCACCCTCAACAAATCCAGAAATCTCCCCACTGACAGGTTCGGTTTTCATCGGAGGTACAACATCTTCAAGTGATGGCACTGACGGCAAGGCGTTGTCGTTTTCTTTGGGGAGACGGATATCACCATAACGCAGTAACACATACCACATGGTCGACTCAAACTCATTAATTCTTCCAAGCTTGAGCAAGGCGTCAATTATTAATTGTAAATGAAAGCGATTGATTTTGGGAGCACTGGGTTCAGCGGAGATCCTTGCGCTCTTGCTTGGAGGGAGCTTCTTACCAAAGCGTCCTTTCGTAATCTGGTATTGCTTATCCAACTGGGTAGCTCGAATATCATCAAAATTCGGCCGAGTGAAGTCGACAAGGGGCTTCCTTTTATTGGAGAAGATTGCTCGCTTTTTGTTCTTCAGCGTCGCCGGTGGAGGGAACACCACCATCGGATTCACTTTGTCAAAATTGAGTGGCGCTAATGGAAGCGTCTTTTGTTCGTCAGTATCCATTTGACGGGTCGGCTTCAATGCGTTATCACCAAGACTGCCAACCAACATCCTGATTTCAGGATTGAATGCCATGAGATACTCAAGACCACGAACAGTGTATTGAACGGGACTCTCCTTGTTAATGAAACAACTAACAAACACCGACACAAATGCTTCATCAATCGAAATGAGTTTTCGCTTGGATTTCTGGCGGTATAGAGCGAGCACACCAGGATCCTCATTAGCCTCAGCCTCAGTAGGAGGAACGGGAGGAGTCGCCCCCTTCACCACCTTCGAGTAGATAAGTTCGGCGGTAGAGATTAATCTTGCTTCGAGCTCACTGATCTTCTCTTGCTTAGTAGTCACCGCCATGTGTCTATCATTTCTGATGGCTTCCATGGACCGTTCAATTTTCTTCTTCACCCCGTTGAGAAGCACTGTAAACAGCTGACAATCCGGGATCACCTCCACTTTCCCTTGCGCATCGGGGATCACCTTGTCGAAAAGGTCCCACGCCAATCTTTGGTTGTCATCGAAATTCTTCACCACAAGTGAAAGTAAAGCATTAAACGTAGCCGTTTTGTTTTCGGCATGAAGGTCAACTCGATCATAAATGCCCTGAGCTTTTTCCACAAGCGCTGCTGAGGCCTTACCCCATTCAACAGACCGAGCCAACCCAGTAAATAAGATGATATACGTTTGGTCATTGGCTGGGATGTTCCACTTCTTGCGGTTGTTGAAACACCGCATGGCGTCATCGATCTTCCCTCGTTCCAAATGCCACTGCATGATCTGATTCATAGCCACCGTGCCCTTAGCTCCCGCCATGCGAGCAAGGTATTCTGCCCGAGCACTATCACCGTCCCGTTTAAGTAAACCGGCAACGCTTTTGGTTACAACAAACTCATCTTTCAATTGTTCCGTGGTCACACCGAGCAATGTTGTCATCAACTGCGGTGGCGGCAGCGTTTTGGCGAGTCGTTTGAACTGGACCAAGTTATCAAACAACACCTTCGCCTTGTCGGAGTCGGTTTTCAAGTCGCTGGGTCGGAGTTTGGCGATGCTGAACCCTCGGCCATCGGGATACTGCCATTTATGAGCGTCATAGCGCTGTTGCAACTGGAGTAAAAGCTTTTGGAGCGAGATCGGTGCTGGCTGGAATCCTTTCAACGATACCAGTCGGTCAACGTGCCCGGTTTTGGTATACTGGGCAAGCTTATGCCGCACCTGACTGTACTGTCGAGCCGAATATCGTAGCATTGTCAGCAGATGGGATCGATGGGGTACTATGCTTATATACAGGTGGCGATGGTGGAGATGTAACGATTATCGCACTTACCACAGTGAGACCTCACATCATCGAATGTCATCTAAGGAAAGCCAAGTACAACGATGGCAACACTATCATAAAGTTACAAGTGAAACAATCGAACTAATATCTTCGACAAATGTCCGTGACGAAATTATTAATCTTATTCGTCAGGTGAATCTACTATGGTGCAGTGGGATGGTGGTCCGTGCGGCGATGGAAAGGCAATTGGCGGACCTCAAAGCCACCGCCGTGCTTGCTAGTGCCATGGCAGTGCTCAACGTTCATTTTGAGGAAGTGGGTGAGATATTGGCGGCACGGATAGTGCTTCAATTTCGCAAGTTCTACATGACCAACGATGAACGTATACGACACCCTGCCGAGTTCCTCGCTCACTTGGTGAATCAGCGGGTGTTATCGGAGGTGGTATTGCTCCAAGTGTTTCAGATATTGCTTGGGGATAACTACACCAACGATAGCATCAATCTCGCCGTGGATATCGCCACATTGTGTGGCCAACACCTCGAAACTCAAGCCAAGACGGCCTCAGCGACTATCTTCGACAGATTCAGACAATTGATGACCATGTCACACGTGTCGACTGCCAGTAACCGTCGCATAAAACGGTTATTCGACCACAGAAAGACCAAGTTCCATAAGTATCCACCAATCCCCAAGCTGTTAGATTTGGTGCCCGAAGCTGATCGACCCAAGCCTCTCGTAATCGATCTTGGATCTAAGATCGATGCTCAGGATGCCACCAGTTTCTTTGCCGTTGACCCTGAGTTCGATAATTTGGAAAAGGAGTACTTTGACGAGGTGATTCCCGAGGTGCTCGGCCCTACACCCGAAGCTGATGATCCTACTGAACCTGGCAACACCAATTTGGTGATTAATGATTTTCTGGATTCAGAACGAATAGCTCTACAAAAACAAGTCTACTTAGTGATCATGTCATCACTCTCGGCGGATGAAGCAGTACACAAGCTTCTTCGCCTCAAGCTAGATCCCCAGGTGGTGGCAGACATGGCCGTGAGATGCTGTGCTCAAGAGAAGACCTACACCAAGTTCTACGGTCAGATTGGTGATCGATTGTGTGCCAGACGCGAGTTCTTTGACATCTTCATCACTTTATTCCACAAGTACTACCAGACGATCGACACGTATGAAAGTAATGCTGTGCGCAATATTGGTAAGTTTTTTGGCCATTTATTTGCTCAAGATTACCTCCCCATAGACAAACTGTGGTCGCCGGTCGAGATCAGCGCGCAGGGCACCACGGTGGCGGGACGCGTCTTCCTCAAGTTTGTATTTCAGCAAATGGTGGAGGAAATAGGGGTTGGCGAAGTGCAAAAGCGCTTTGACGATCCGGCGGTGGCGTTGGACATCCGAGGCGTCTTCCCCACTGAGGACGCCGACCATTTGCGGTACTCCATCAACTTCTTCACGGCCATCGGCCTCGGTATCCTCACCGAAACCATGCGGAACCACCTCACACGGATTGAGGCTCGTATGGAACAAGAACGGGGCCGGTCGCTTACATCTGGTGACGACCGGAGAGCATCTAACAGCTATAGTCGTTCCCGTAGTGCCAGCTACTCGAGGCTGCCAAGCCCGAGAAGCCGAAGCCGAAGCTACTCTCGTAGTCCATGAGATATTCACGAAATCAACGACCACTAATGACGGCAATGATCTGTAGCAATCGATAGTCTTCGATGACGTTTCGTACTCGACTCCACTCCGCCACCGGGTCATCCAAAACGGGCTTCGCACGGCCTTTGCCAGTAACGGTTTCGGGGCATCGGAGGCAGCAATGCCGGAGTCGATGGCGTCATCGCCATTTGCGAGGCCGATCGGATCGTAGCACCCTAGGTATGGGTCTACTCCGGTAGTAACAATACTCTGGCATTTCTTTGGTGACGATAATCTTTACTTTGATCAATTTTACCGGCTCCGGATTCTGTTTTACGGCGGAGTTATCGGTTTGAGCGTGGTACCTTAGCGTCATCGTGCTGCAGAGCAAAACTTTTTCGCTATTGCTCGGGTAAACTCGGGTCACAACAATAGAGCTAACGGTGATGAAAAACGGTTCCAGGGCTGTTGACACTGTCTCTACTATTGTCGACCATCGTACTACACCCCTGGTTTAAACCCGGTGGCTCCAGTTGCCACCGATATTACATTCAGCTTGACTCTAACTCGCCAGATTTCGCGTGGCGTTTGCATACTGCAGCGGTTTTACCAGTGAAAAATCCTGCACCGACCGAGGCCCACCGGCCAATAGAAGTGCTGGCTAAACAAATAATACGCACATTTCTTGGAGTATATAAGTGAGTGTTTTTCCCTCATTAGAACGACATTAACTGAAATATGCCTGCTCCTTTTGAAAAGGGTGACGAAAAGAAGGGTGCCAACCTCTTCAAGACCAGATGTGCTCAATGCCACACCACCGAAAAGGGTGGCCCCAACAAGGTCGGTCCTAACTTGCACGGTGTCTTCGGCAGACAATCGGGTCAAGCTGAAGGTTTCTCGTACACTGAAGCCAACAAGAAGAAGGGTGTCGTCTGGACTGAACAAACCATGTCGGACTACCTTGAAAACCCCAAGAAGTACATCCCCGGTACCAAGATGGCCTTCGGTGGTTTGAAGAAGCCTAAGGACAGAAACGACTTGATCACTTACTTGGAAAAGGCTACCACCAAGTAAATTTGCTAGGAATCGATTTCCAGGCTGTGCATGACGCAATGAAATAAATCTAATAACTGTATATACTCAATCATAGAAGTAACTGTGAAAGAAATATGTGTAGGTATTCGATTATTCAAATCAATTTCGCTAGTAAAACCTTTCATTTTGCATGATGGGGTGTAGCTAGTCGAAGGAGAATTGCCCGCTCGGTGTATACTGTGCCACCTTCTCAGTGGCTAGTTTTGCTTAAGTGCAGGACCAATTTCGCTCGCTTTTCCGAGATTATACATCGAGCAGCGAGCAGTTTCTCCGACCGATTTTGTACGACCTGCGAGTAAGGCGTTACTTGACCCACGTTGGTTGGCCAGGAGTAGAGCAGCCTCAGATCGACGGCAACGCGCGATTTTAACGATCACTAGCTATTCTCCTCGAGATTAGGTTGGGGTATCCGAAGAAGCCGCGGCCCCAGCGCCCAAGACCAAGGTTGACAGTAGGTGCTCGGCACAGTCAGCACAATCTCCAGTATCTCTCCTCATAATTGCTCCAGTCTTTATCAGGAACGATAAGAGTAAGTTTTGTCGACGACATAAGCCGTTCGTGTCGATTGGCGAATCTTCTCCACCATAAGGGCAGTAAGTGACGATCCGTCAATGGCCGAAGGGTTCGGCGTTATCACAACGTGCCGAGAAACTGTTGTCCCGGTAAACGTTGTATGTGACTGATTTTATGCTTGGTATGCCGGAGAGTATTTTCCGCATCGTGGACTCCAACGCCATTGTTCCCCGCAGCGTGAGGAGCCTCTTCGACAATAATAAGTTTAATGTAGCGCAACCGCTCGCAATTACCTGATTCAACCGGGTTGCGCTATTGCATCGTCTGAGGCACTACATCACGAACCCGGGTCCCGCCTGGTAACATAGTGCCGCATCCATGATCAGCGACAATTGGTAGTGGTGACAAGAGGGGATGAACCCCCCTATTCTAAACACCACAAATGCTAATTGGCCTACCACGATTACCCTTGATGAAAACATAGTCTGGTTCTCGATTGTAGCCACGGTTGTCGGCGTTGTTGTTGTTTTTAACACCACAATTTTCTCGACATCGAGATTTTCCTCCCTGAAAAACTCCTTACGCTGTGAGGCCGGGGCGGTTATATACACCCCACCCCATCGGGCACAGATGAAATTCACACATATATATAAATATATATAATAGACCCTAAATCCTCAATAGGCCAACGACGTCGTTGATGAACTGTGGATCAAAGCGGATCGCCCGTCCCAGTGTTGAGGAATTGAGGGCATTGCAAAAGCATAAGTTGAGCCAACTACAAAATGCCAGCCGAAGCTTTCATGAACAACTCAACCAGTTTGACAAACGGAAACCAGTCAAAGACCGCTAATTGAGACGACGCCCTGGTGGCTCGTCTTTCATTCACTCATATATTCATTCGTTCATTCATTCATGACACGCCGACCACAGTTTCGATTACTACAATCACTGCCGGTGGTGGTTGGGTTGGTTTGTCTCCACTCATTATTTACGCTCATAAGTAATTAATCAAAGCACATGCGCATTAGTTAGGAAATAAAAAAAAAAAAAGAAATACCTCATGTACGCTATCGACAACGGTAGCTCAATACCAGCCTCAGTCTTCATTTTAGGTTAAATTCATGTACCACAGAAACTTTGTGGTACCCTGAAGTGGAATGAGGATGAGACAAGACACTAAATCAATCGAATGATCTTTACTTGGAAGTTTAATGGCGCCAGGTCAAAAATCCCGTCGCAAAAACTTTCATAGGGACAACCACTAATATTGAATCTAACTGAAAGCTTGACGAATTATTTCTTCTCGGAATGCATCGTAACCTTCCCCGTACTTCCACCTGTAAGCACGACGTTTGATACTGTGGCTCTGCATACGTCAGAGCCGCCTCAGCACCAAAATTGGGTTATATACTCCGAAGCGGCATTATGGCTCTCGCAGGCAACCTTTAATGAAAGAAGTGTCAGACAATGACTACCGATTATTCGTACACATGAACAGTTTGAGTAAGCTGGCACGATACCTGGAGACAGACCACGCGATTGCTATTGAGACGATAATGATAAGGCGTTGCCAAGTGAGCGGACAAAGCCATAATAAGTGAGAGAATAGGCGCACCCGGAACAAAGGCGGTAGGTGGTCGGGTGCTCATGACCCGAAGAGATCAAGATTACCCGCGCATAGGGGCACAGCATTAAAAAAATAAAAAATGAATGCGAATTTTGTGGATCGAACACAAGACCTCCAGATTTCAGTGACCGAAGTTTACTTCAGTCTGGCGCTCTCCCAACTGAGCTAAATCCGCCAATTGTGATTTTGGAGATTTTGGGTATTTTGAGTCATTCATAACGTTCATTTCAAGGCCGGCCAATTTCGCTTCTTTCTTGTTGATTTGAGTATAGACAACGACAGCTGCTCCTGATATTGCATAAGATCTTTGAAAATCGAAGGTATGGAACACTGGAGTGTCTCTAACCTTAAATGTAAGTTCTCCATATAGTCAGAAGTCAACATCGCTAAAAAGCCTGAAAATCTTATTGTTTCACCATATTTCTTCATCTTTGAGATGAACTCCTCTATCCGTCACAGCTAAGTATCATTGTGAATACCTGAAGAAGCAACTGGAGAGATTTAGTATTATAAAATTGTAGCCAATGTGTTCCAGATGTGTTCAAGAGACCTACAAAAGCACACACGTTGAATTAAATCGCCTTTTCAAACGAGTTAAGGGATATTTATGGCCAATTAAGAAATTCTTATATGTATAGGAGATAATCATGAACGAACTATCGAACAATTAATTGGTTTACCCTGGTAAAGTTTGTAGGATACGACTCTTTTGAATCTATCTTAAGCTGAAGCAATACTACACAATCGCAGCCAAATCAAGACCTCACTGATGAGTTTCTGTATTTACATGAGGCATTCGATCTTTCTAAGATATATTTACAGTTTGGAAATTCGATCGATACCCATAAACGGCCTCAAAACTGCGGGTATAATCACAGATTGCAGGGCTTCATCGTAAAATTGCTCAATAATGGCAACGATGACTCGAGGAACAGCCATGGCTGTGCCATTCAACGTCATTGCAGGATTAGACTCGTTTTCTGAATTAATCCATTTGATGCCTAACCTCCGAGCTTGATAATCACCACAGTTAGAACAACTAGTCAACTCACCCCAATTGCCTCTGCCGGGCATCCACGCTTCGCAGTCATACTTTTTCATCGCCGGTGCTCCCAAGTCTGTAGTCGGCATATTGATCATTTTGGCCTTGAGACCCAATTCAGTGATGATCTCAGTCTGCAATTGACGTAACTCTTCAAGTTCTTGTTGAGCTTTTTCAGGGGTGGTGGTGAAATGAAAAAGCTCTACTTTAGTAAATTCGTGCACCCGATACAAGCCCTTGGTGTCACGTCCCCGAGCACCAGCTTCAGCCCGATACAGCCGCGATACCCCAGCATATTTCACTGGTTTGTCAATCGCCAGAGAGGAGTGAAGGGCACCAAGAGGGATTTCTGCAGTACCAGTGAGAGATAACTGTTCGTCGGCCAAATCGTAAACCTGCTTTTCGCCATTTTGATCCTTCGGCTTGAATCCACAAGCATGAATCACTTCGTTTCTAACTATCGAAGGCGGACTTACAAGGGTGTATCCAGCCTTACGAGCCTTGGCAAGCGCATATTGAACGAGCGCTTGTTCTAAGAGAGCGCCATCGCCAAGGAGATAATACCACAGCGAGCCAGAAATACGCAGAGCTACCTTGAAATCAACAATTCCGAGGTTTTCAGCGATATCTTTATGATCGTATTTGGTTCGCGGAAGCGAGTTTTCAGCATCCTCCTCCGACAGGCAATTGATGAACTCAACAATGTCACCATTGTCAGGATCTTCAGGCACACCTGGATCAAGCAAGTTGGGTAAGGACTCAGCAGTGGTATACATGGCCGCATCCAACTCGGCGAACTTGGCTTCCAATGGTTTGATCTGGGCCTTGATTTCAGAAAGCTCTTGCTTCACCAGATCCGATGGGGAGGCTTTCATTTGGGTTCCCAATTCATTTCGCCTTTTGCGTAACTGGTCAATTTGGCTCAGAAGTTCAAGCTGGCGATTTCGGTTGTTGATGAGGAAGTCAATGGGTTCCGTCGCTGCAACCCCTGGCGTTCGTCTTACTAGCGAATCCCGAAACTTTTCCGAATTTTGAACTATACCCTTGAGATCGAGCTGGGCTCGTTTCAATACGGCGGTGTTTTTCAGGGCATATCGCCTAAGACATAGCATTCTTGTCGCACTGCGCTTGAGATGTGATGATAGCGATATCGACCCTACAGGTGAGGCCGACAGGAGAACGCAAAAAATCGTATCATTTGCTACACTTACACTGTAATATGAGAAAAAAAAAACATTCGTAAATTCATAAATTCGTCAAATCGGTCAACTTTGGCTTCAAGCTTATAGGTCAACCATGAACATGCCGAAGATGACTACTATCAAAGCTAACCAAAATACCACTGGAATAGTAGTGGACTCATCAGCCTCTCGCATGCTAAATGGAATGAGTTCAGTTGTTGGCTGAACAGCGGCTTCAACTGGCTTCAATTTCAATTTGTCAATTGCTGAACGAAGACGAGCCACTCTGAGTTCAAGACTGGTCGTGGATTTGGACAAATGAAGCAAGTCATTATCTTGGTGCAATAGATGTGCACGATGCACATTAATCTCATATTCAACGCAAGAATACTTCAAATTCACAAATTGGTAGTCATCAAGTAGACGGTCCATCAATTCTGCCACCAGCAAGGCTTTTGGTGAAATCAAGCTGTCCGTACGTTGCAGCGATGCTCTAGATGAGGTCTTCAGTAAGCTTGGTTTCGATGGTACGGCTAAAAGTGGCTCAAATGATGCTTCAGTTATAGGCGACGAAACCGTCCTTACGTGGCCCTTTACAAACCCTGAATACTCCATGATTGATTCAGCATCCAGAGAAAAAGATGGACTTGGGGAGAGTCGTTGTCTCGAAGGGTATGCAAATTCGTTCTCCTCAAACTTGTCGGTGTCATCATAGCCAGAGAAGGGTATCGAGAGGGAATCTTTCAAAGAACAACGGGTAGCTTCTTCAGCAATTTCGCTTGCTTCCACTATGTGATAGTTTTGATCAACATAATACTCAATGGTATTGTTAAGTCGATCGACTGGTTGAGGCTTGCCATAAAAGGTTTGTGTCTCATAATCGAAAACACGAATATCATCTAAGATGATTGTCAAGATTTTGAATGCTTCGGGTTTCATGTATATCAGCAGAGGTTTGCAAATTGATTTCAAATGGCCAACGATATCGTCATCTAAGGTGAAGAAAAATGGCGATCTCACTAGTTCCTCCAAGATGCTGAGCAAATCAAGCATCTGAGACAGAGTGACAAAGTCGGGCAGTCCAATTTGCCGCCAGCAGCTTTCGAATAACAGTGTCATTTCTTCTTCGGTTTGGTAGAAAGAACGTAGACTCAGGGAACTCGAGCATGATGGGAGTCGTCGGCGACCCAATTGAGACTCATTGTTGGGAAGAGTCATATCGCAGTCGTCAGGTTCATACGAATAACTTTGATCGTGTTTCGTGGAAGCCATCAAGGAGGCACCGAAACTATCGAAGTAACCGGCAGGTTCCGCAAAACGCATGACGCCAGAAAAACCACCAAATAAAAGTATGGGGGTTATGGAAAAGTATCCGAGAAGGAAAAGGAAACGAAAATGGGAATTTGATGGTTTACACCTGGATTGCTAGTTTTTCTTTTTGGTGTATTGAAATAACTAAGCCGCTGGTGTATGCTCTTACACTTCCATGTTGGGTCGTCCCAATTCGGCCAAGGAGTAAACATCGCAAAATCTCGGCGGGGGAAGGACGGATAGTTTCGAAAGAACGTCAGGTTTGCTTGTATTGGCGTCAGTTAATGTACAAGACCCTTTCCACCGTGCCATTGTGGATGGTGCATGTTGGACTGTTTGGATCTAGGCACGAAGTGTTTGAAAAAAAAAGGACTCAATGCTAAAGTAAGGAGATTCAGGAACAGAACGATGGCAGCTTATTCTAGATCTTCGCCGCTGGCCATCTAGTGACAGAGGGCTTGATTCTGTGATATGATACCTCACTCTAATCTGCCAAGTATCCAAGCTTACTCAGAAATATGTAAAGTCTGATAATGTTAAGGGTTTGACAATCTTAGCCTCAAGTTTGTCTACTTGGCTCTGACGTGATTATCGACAATAATAATGCCAACTATGAACCGTAATATGTCACGAGACGTTAACGAAGATCTCGTGACACACTCGAACTTCCTCTTTTGAAACTTTCATGGAGGTTCTGATTTAACACAACACTAAGAGTTGTACTTACAGACCCATCAATAACAAAAGAACAGTTTGAAACATCCAACAGGCGTTACTTGATGCTAACATTATAATGATAGACTCTCGCAGGCCCTTCTTAAGATGCGCACTCGCGAAACATTCATTTGGCACCATCATGTCCGACGAAGGCTACCGCGATGGGTACAAAGGTCTGAGCCACGATCGAGATCGGGACCGTGGACTCTATCGCCGCGGAAGTAACCACCGCCCGTACGGAGGTCGAGATTCATACCGCGGCAACTATCGCGAGCGAGAAAGAGACCCACGCGATCGTGACCCTCGTGATCGTGGTGATCGTTACAGCGGTCGATACGACCGTCAGGATCGTTACCGTCCTGACCGAGACTACCGTGGGGGTGATCGAGACTACCGCAATAACGATCGTGACTACCGGAACCACGATCGTGACCACCGCCCTGGCGACCGCGATCACCGGGTTGGCGACCGTGAGCATCGAGACAAAGACTACCGGGGAGGTTCACGAGACCATCATGAACGTGACACTCGCGACCGTGATCACCGTGATCATCGTGACCACCGTGATCACCGAGACCGTGACCAACGAGCTGGTGATCGGCCTCCTGCTTCTCACAGCTCGCCTCGTGATCGACCTCTGTCAGGCTACGCCCCTCACGAGAAAGCAGCTGGTCCTCATGGTAAACATGGGCCGCATGGGTATGAGCGAAGCTCAAGTTATGAACGTCGAGAATCTCGGGACAAGCCTCGTAAAAAGCTGGCGCTGGCGTCGACTACTACCGTGGAGCTGAAAAATCCCTGGGTGGACCATTTTGGTGTCACGGACCCGGCGTTGGTGCAACTGATGGAGTCGTCATTCAAGCAATTGCGTGAGGCCGAGATCCGCTTAGCTGAGTTGGAGGCCACTCGCCTCAAGACGTTGGCATCAATGAACAATTATGAGCGACTTTTGAAGAAGGAGGCGTTATCTATCGCTTTACAAACCGAAAGAGTTGAGGAGTTGGCTCTTATGTAATATATATATATGCAAATATTAAGGGAATTCTACTGCTATTAAATCAAATCCCTCGTTGCTCTACCTTCAGTTGCCGTAATGGAGGTTATGTCCTGCACACAGTCATTTAGGGGCCGGCACCGCGGTTCGTCTATATCTCCCTCATTAGCAATTTTCACCCTGAACGATAATGTTGCAAGTCATTGATCAATTGCTGGACTCGCCAATTGTGCGGGCCGCTTTGTACGCGTCCCTTTTGTTTGGGGCGGTGAAGCTCACCACGTTCCTGCTTTCCTTATTGGCATTGGTGTTTGACTTGTTTATCTTGCCTGCTACCGACTTCAACAAGTATGGTGCCAAGAAGGGTCTGTGGGCGGTGGTCACGGGTGCTCTGGATGGCATTGGTAAGGAATACGCCACGCAATTGGCGGCGAAAGGCTTCAACATTGTGCTTGCTTCGCGGACGTTGTCTAAACTTGAATTGCTCGCCACTGAAATTGAACTGAAGCACAAGGTCAGCATCAAGGTCTTGGCATTTGACGTGTCCACCGATGCTGAAGACAATTACTTGAGACTCGCCGAAACCATCAAGGACCTTGATGTCACCATCTTGATCAACAACGTTGGTCAATCGCACTCGATCCCGGTACCGTTTTTGGAAACTGGGGAGAAGGAAATGACAGACATCATCACCATCAATAATACCGCCACCCTCAAGATCACGCAAATTGTCGCTCCTCAAATTCTTAAAACTGTGGAAAAGAGCCACAAGAAGGTGAGAGGGTTGATTTTAACCATGGGATCGTTCGGTGGGTTATTGCCCACCCCTTACTTGGCGGTGTACTCTGGTTCTAAGGCCTTCCTTCAGGCTTGGCTGGCGGCTTTGGCAGGCGAATTGGCGCCCAAGGGTATCGATGTGGAATTGGTGATTTCGTACTTGGTGACTTCGGCGATGTCGAAGATCCGCAGAACTTCGGCCACTATTCCTAACCCTAAGCAATTTGTCAGACTGGTGTTACGTGGTGTGGGGCGTAGAAACGGTGCTCAAGAACGTTATGCTACCCTGACTCCCTACTGGTCTCACGCAATTATGCACTTCGCGATTGAAAACACGGTGGGGGTGTACTCGAAGTTCGCTAACAAAATGAACTTTGACATGCACAAGTCTATCCGTACCAGAGCGTTGAAAAAGGCCGAAAGACAAAAGCATCAACAAAAGCAGCAGTGATTACTGTAAGTAGTTATCTAATTGATTACCTTATGCAATTATCGATTTTTCACTTTCTCTTCTAGGCGGAAAATTCGGGGAAGGGATGTTTCGGCGTGCGGATGTATCGGAAGTTTGCCGACAGTAGTGGAAATATGATAAATGAATGTTGCAATAATTCCATATACTTCGTCTACTTTCCCTCGATATAATACATCATATTGACCGGCCATTTATCGTACTATCGCTGCCTTTGACGCTAGCGTCACCATTATCTCTATGTGGTCTTCTCGAATCTTCGATTGCTTCCTTCTCACGTGACATAGAATTCGATCGAACCAGATGGTTGCGACATATAAAATTCAGCTCGTCGACACTCTCCAGCAAGCGAAGTGATAACTGAGGTCTCAATTGATTCAAAGTGAAGCGTCCACGCGAGTACTTTAACTCATCTCCTCCCCCTAAACGCAAGCAATCAGCAATGGTGAAAGAGACAGCACTTTACGATATACTCGGGGTCTCCCCAACGGCATCCGATGCTGAAATCAAAAAGGGCTACCGGAAAATGGCTCTCAAATGGCATCCTGACAAGAACAAAGGCGACGAACTGGCCGCTGAAAAGTTTAAGGAAGCGGCGGAAGCGTTTGACATTTTATCGAATAAGGAAAAGCGAGAAATTTATGACCAATACGGTTTAGAGGCTGCTCGTGGCAATGCCCCTGCCGGTGGTAACCCCTTCGGCGGCGGTGGCGGTTCGGGCGGGCCCCAATTCCACTTCAGCTCTGGCGGTGGTGGTGGCTTTTCTCAAGCCGATGCCTTCAACATTTTCTCACAGATGGGTGGCTTCGGTATGGGTGGTGGCGGTGATGACTTTGGCTTTGGCGGATTTGGCGGTGGCGGTCCTCAATTCAGCAGTGGTGGCTTTGGTGGTGGCGGTTACGGTGGTAGCGCCGGCTTTGGCGGCGCTCGAGCCGCTCGTCGTCCTGAACCCGATACTGTGACCATGGCGTTGCCGGCATCGCTCAAGGAAATCTATGAAGGGGCCACTAAGAAGATGAAGCTCAACCGTAAGGGTCCTAGTGGTCAAAAAGAGCTGGAAATTTTGCAAATCAAGATCAAGCCCGGTTGGAAGGCTGGTACTAAGATCACGTTCAAGAACCAAGGTGACTGGCAACCCGAATGCGATGCGCGCCAAACGGTGCAGTTTGTCCTCGAGGAAAAGCCCGACCCCGTGTTTAAGCGTGAAGAAAACAACTTGGTGATGAGTTTGCCATTAACATTCAAAGAATCTTTGTTGGGTTTCAGCAAGGAAATTCAAACCATCGATGGCCGCAAAATCCCCCTCAATAAGACCCAGCCGGTGCAACCCAACACCTCGACCACTTATCCTGGTCTTGGGATGCCCATTTCTAAGCAGCCTGGTGCTCATGGCGATTTGATCGTCAAGTACAAGGTCGACTACCCATCGACTTTGACGCCAGTGCAAAGAAAGGTCATTGAAGAGAACTTTTAATGAAGTAATAGAAATATGCATAGGTAATGAACGTTGAGAATTTTTAAAGAAAAATATGTAGGTGTCTGAATAACATTAAATTGATACTTTATTATGTCTAAAATGTGAAGGAAAACAAACGTGCTAAATCATCATTGATAATTAGGATTTTCTCAGCTTGACGTTTCCTTCAACTGCAGGCAGTTCTCTGCCCGATGCGTGAACGTACTCGTTCATTTGAGCGGCGACACCACCCTTCACAGCCTTGACGCGGTTCGACTTTCTCAGGCCTTGCTTGCGGTAGACTTCAATGTAGAAGGCGATGAACAACACCAAGTACGATGACAAGATGGCACAGCCAGTGACCGCGGCGGAGGCGGTAGCACTGCAGTCGCCACAGTTAGGAAGCTTGTCTTTGTATTGCGGGATGACACGATTGACAAACACAAGGTAGGTACCAAAGTAGACAAAGCCCAAATCAAGGATGAATTGAATAATTTGGAAACGAGTGACCCATTCCTTCCACCACACGCGAATCCCACGAGCCGCCAAGAAGTAGTACCAGTACATCACCACGTGTACACCCAAGTTAAGAATGATCACCACCCAAGAAATCGAGGACTGACCAATCAACTGAGTGTAACAAAGAAGGGCGGTGGCCCCATGGTGATAGGTGTGCAAGAACGTCAACTTCTTTTGCTTGACCACCAAGAACACAGTGTCAACAAATTCCAAGAACTTCACTAAGTAGTTCAAGTAGTAAAGAACCACCATCTTCTGGGTGTAAGCGCCTTTTGCACAAATAGCGTAGAACAAGCCGTGCTTGTAAATCATCGGAATCAACTGCTCAGCCATTAACAAAAGAAGAGCCAAACTGACAGTAGTTAAGATCACGTTGTGGATTTGAAACGGCCCGTTCAATACGAGCGGTTTCCACCCAGCCTTTTTCCACACGTAGTTGCCGCCAAAGATTACGAGATAGTAGATACCGATCATCGTAAGCACCGGGCTCAACGTCGATAACGCCGTTTCGCCGACAACGAACTCAAACTCATCGGGGATAAACCGCCCACCAGTAACTGTGGTGGCCACCTTATTGAAAATCGGCCATAACTCAACCAAAAACGGTTTTTCAACGGAAACCATAGATAAAGTTTCCATCGCGACCGGTTGACAAGGTGCGATACAAATAGTCGGCGTCGACACGCCCACCTCGACGCGAAAAAAAAAGGAGAAATCTTCGCGTGAGAATAGGAGATAAAATCTATCTACGGCGATGCCGAGCGATGACAGCGATGCCTACGATCATAGTGGCTCCAGTAGCGAGGAGTCTAGCGAAGAGGAAGAGGTGTTGATAACACAACCTCGGTTTGTCAAGCTGGCGAAGCTGGCTCCATCGGGTGACCCGTCTCCGTCTACGTCCGTTGGCAACAAACTGGAATCCCTGGTTACAAAGCCTTTGGCGGCGGCATCCGAGGTTGCGGTCACAGTTGATGACACAGACAACTTAGATCCTGAGGCAGAATATCAAGCGTGGCAGGCGCGTGAATTAGCCCGCTACCAGCGCCAGGCCTCAGGACACGTATGAACTACGAGTTAATGCACATGTGATAGAGCCACGCGTAGTACCTGATTTATCGTGGGGGCTACCAGTCAATCACATTTCGCAAGTCGAACCCTTACAAGCTGAGACATATAAGGTTGTTGTAGTTTACGAGCGTTAGTCAAATTTTATATTTTTGGTTGTGACTTGTTGTGGCTTTGTGACCTCATCTTCTTCATTTTGTACATATTTACGCTTGGAATTCAGAATTCACGCAATTATGAAGTGTATCCCTAACGGAGTCCATTGAAACTCCGTTGACTTAAGGTCGATCTTCTTGTTATTTAGATGTGTACTTCAGGATCGATATCCCCAGAAAACTAGGACCAACCGGAGAGGTGTTTGAAAGATTCGGCAGATTTTCGTTAAGACTGTTCGGAGGCATGCGGTAGTAATACTGCAGCAGTTCGAGGAGAGTTGATCTCAGAGAGATAGATAGTCGAGCAAAGCCGAGGCGTAATTTGCGTGACAAACTAAGGAGCTTGAGTCATTACGATAGTTGTTTGATTCCTGAGTCTATCAGGGCATTAGACGAAGCAAGAACAACGTACAACACGGTGACACACCCGGGGCGGGGTAATCCACCAAGTGTGATTTATCCAGTATTATTCACGTGGAATGGGTGTCACAACATGATCTGAACCATCGGGAGACGTAACCAGCGGCGATGATATGTATGACCTGCAGGATGACGCTCATATGACCATCAAAGATCCAAGCGCACTTCCGATCCAAACTACCGTACCGTCTCTAGCTCATTGAAATGAATATGCTGTAAGGCAAGAGGCAAGAACACAATGTACAAAAAGCTGAGAATAATGGCTCTCATTTTACACGAAGGATAGTTGTTGAAACCAATTTTATAAGCCCCCAGGAACATTATTCACATCACGTCATTCGTCTCTCTTAATTTGACACTTTAGCACATCAACCGTTGTTCCCCTCCTTTACCTGTTTCTCTACATGAATTCGATACAGTAATACCTCGACACCAAGACATTCGCTAAACATTACCGTTGAGTTTTCCGCCGTACCATGTTTGCATATCCGGTAAGCAAACTTATCCACGGCTAACATTGGTGCAGATGGCGCAATCATGTTTTTTTTTTTTTCCGAGGAAGGTTGCAGATAGATCCAACTTACAAAAATAACATACCACCATATTAAGCGGTATCACTTCGATGGAAATAGTGATTCCGTGGTTTTTCCGGCTCCAAAATCTCAACATTTCGTCGTGTTTTCTCTTCATTCAGCCTCATCGCAAGTAATTCACCGGAAAAAAAATTTACGCGGCTGGCCGCACGGCTACGCAACCACGCCACCATTTTCCATGGGTATTCGGCAAACAGCTATTTCGAGTATATAGGATAGTGGGTTTCCGGACACCCGGGCGGGGTAAGTGGGACCCTAGGTAGACTCCGCGGAATCGGACTCTTGGCGGTTACGCCGATGATGCGGCTGAATCACCAATCGTCACCATAAACGACCAGGATGACATTTATACTAACGACAATTCCGTGGCCTATCATTGGTATTGATGTAGACCCTCTCACTTCGCTTTTGTTTGATTGTTGTCTCCGCACACGGCTGACATTGCCATTTCCATGGTTAATGACTGATTTGGTCTTTTCTTTTGCTGCACGTCAAGCGTTTTTGACGGTACCCGTCAAGTAGCCGGCAACATATATATAAATTCAACTTCCAAAGCAACGTAGTCAATTAATTCTTCAATCATGTCTTCGGATGATACTATGAGTGTCAACTCTGAGAAGATGGAGCAATACCATCCTCAGGAGTTACCAAACACTGCCTCGCATGCTACCAGAACGAAGTCGAGAATGCTGATGTACTCCGGTAAGGAGGATGATGCTGAGCTCATCTCAAATAATCCTGGGGTGCAAAAAGTGGTGTCTAAGCTTCAAGAGGGCGCCGGTCAATTGGGCCCTTTGGAAAACCCCTACGACATGAAAAAGGTGGAAACCATCCCCGACCCCAACTCCGATTTTAATGAAGGTGATAAATACAAGTACCCCATTGATGAAGAAACCGGGTTAAGAATTGTTGATTTCGTCCCTGACGACAAGAGAAATCCCAAGAACTGGAGTAAAGCGAGAAAGTGGGCTTACACTATTATGCTTGGTTACATTTGTTTCGTGGTGGCGCTTGGTTCGGGTATCGTTACCGGTGATCTTGAGCGTCCCGCTGCTGATTTTGGCGTGTCGATGGAAGTGTCAATTTTGGCTGCCGTGACTATGTTCGTCATTGGTTTCGGTGTAGGCCCGTTAGTGTTCGCTCCTATTTCTGAAGAAATCGGTCGTCGTCCAGTTTACCTTGGGACATTGTTCGTTGCCGTAATCTTCATTATTCCCTGTGGTGCCGCCAAGAACATTGGAACTTTGATTATCTGTCGTTTGATCGACGGGATTGCTTTCTCTGCTCCTATGTGTCTCATTGGGGGTTCGCTTGCCGACTTGTGGGATGCTGAAGAAAGAGGTGTTGCTATGGCTGTGTTCTCCGCTGCTCCCTTCTTGGGTCCCGTGATGGGTCCCATCTTTGGTGGTTTGCTTTGTGACAATGCTCCCACCTGGAGATGGGTGTACTGGGCGTTCTTGATCATTGCTGGTGTTGCTTACGCCTTCTTCGCCGTGTTGATGCCCGAAACCCACGCAGGCACTATCCTTAAGTACCGTTCGAAGCGTCTTAGAAAGAAGACTGGTGATAACAGATATCGTACTTACGCTGAATTGCAACCGCGTTCGTTCGGTGAAACCGCCAAGGTGTCGTTGTTGCGTCCGTTTGCTTTGCTTTCAGAACTTATCGTGTTCTTGATCACCGTGTACATGTCGGTAGTGTACGGTTTGCTTTACATGTTCTTCTTTGCCTACCCTGTCATCTATCAAGAAGGTAAAGGGTGGAATGCGTCGATGACAGGGGTGATGTTTATCCCTATCGGTGTGGGTGTTATTTTGTCATCGGTGGTGGCTCCATTCTTCAACAACCAATACAACAAAAAGGCTCAAGTGTACCGCGACCGTGGTGAATTGCCTCCCCCCGAACTTCGGTTGATTCCCATGATGATGGCTTGCTGGGCGGTCCCCATTGGGTTGTTCCCCTTCGCCTGGTCGTCGTACCCTCGTCTCTCATGGGCTGGTCCTTGTTTCTCGGGGTTGGCATGTGGCTTCGGCTTCACTTCGTTGTACAACCCTGCCAACAACTACATTGTCGATTCGTACCAACACTACGCTGCTTCAGCGTTGGCGGCCAAAACGTTCATGAGATCGATCTGGGGTGCTTGTGTGCCTTTGTTCACCATTCAAATGTACCACAAATTGACTCCCGAGTGGGCCTCGACTTTGATGGCATTCATCTCGCTCGCATGCTGCGCCATCCCCTACTTGTTCTACATCTATGGGGCCAGAATCAGAAAGTTCTCCAAGTACGCTTACTCTCCTGAAACTGAATCCCGGCCTGTGGCCGTGGAAAACGAAAAATCCGAAAAGACCGGAGTCTGATCAAACACTTAGTTTTTGATCGTTTCGCATTGATAATTTAGCATTTGATTCTTGTAATTGTCCGATAATATATACCTTTAATAACGCATAAATCACACTCAATTGTAGACAACAACCACGCGACTGTAGATCCCTCACATAGATTTACTAATTTGGGTATACCGTATACGAGGAAAGGCGCATTTCCCACTTGCGATCGTTATAGTTATACGCGATGCGAAAAATATGCGTATGCACCCGATAAGCACACGCGTGTAATTTGGGAACAGGCGGTGGCTCGCTCCCTTACGAGTCAAATTTGGCGCCGTGATTTCTGAGACGTGTCATCTACAGCTAAGATATTCTTTTTTTTTTTATGAAACCTAAACTGTTTTCTCATTGAACTCCCCAAGTAGGTCGTCGGAAGGTTTCCGACATTGCCAAGTATGCACTCCTTGTGTTTACTGCGTACGCGGTATCGACGCGCGTACTGAGGCAGCACCTCACTACCACCCCACCGTCTAAGCCTCAATTCGCAGGTAACCTTATTGCCACCAGAATGTTGATAGTGATGATGGCAATCTGGAAAGAACGCCAGAAGTCAGACATATCAGCTCTTCATTCAAATATGCGTCTGTTTTGTGTTGTAACTATCGCCTCGTCCTTAGACGACGCCAAACTCGCCACAAGCGCATCGCATGCGTGTACCTCTCAGGCTCCACTCTCTTGACCTCTATCAATTCTTCATTGGTTGTACAATGGTCTCACCGGCAATGTTCGACTACTCCCACGTCCACCACTGCGCGTTTCATAATCCCAGTGGTGCATTCCGTGGCTCGACCACCTCTTGCCGCTGATGTGGCCGCATATCTGATTGATACCGCGAATACTAAATATAACGGCCGCGCAGAATTTATTTTGAACAGTGTACTTTCATCCGCTAAAGTAAGGGAGGACGAGCTGTTACCAAGTGGACGAACCTTGCCACCGATAATTTCGCTTTGTCATGGGCAAACTGCTGGACCTTGAGGCTGGCACCAGCCGGTTCGAGCTCGATGACTCCACTTTCGACATGGTGGACGCCACCTCGTTCCGCAACTATCGGTGTGGTACCCTCACCGCCTACACTTATAGCCTCAGCATGATGGTATTTCTGGTGGCGTTGCTTGGTGTCGATATTTACACTTGTCTTAATATCCTTGTGTTCAAACGGTGGGGTACTAATGAGGAGACACTGGTGATTCCATACAACTTTGACGTCGCCAAATGGATATTTACTGGTTGTATCATCTTCCAGTTTTGCCTTTTGTTATACCACTGGTTTTGGGCGATTAGAGCCATCAAATCCCACAAGATCGCTCTGGTGTATCTCAATCAATATGCTAGGGCAGTTTACCTGCTCAAGCTGTATGACTATTTCTGTTTGTTCCACGCTGTTAAATACAAGGACTACTTTGATTGGGCATGCTTTTACGCCTATGAACAGTTGGACAATGCGCCGCAATTGCTTCTTGCTGACGCTCCAAGACAAGTGATTAATATCTTGACGCTTAGGGAGTACGCCACGAAATATGACGGCAATGTGTTGGACAATATTAAGATTATTGCCACCACTAATATTCATCTCTCGGTGCTTTTATCGCTCATCGTGCTCTCAATTGTCATTTGGTGCATTTTCATGTTCATGTTCATCTACGGTATGATTATCGCTCCATTTATGATTGTAAAAACTCGCCGACAATTCGGGAAGCCGCTCAAACAATACTGTACCGACACTCTTAACATGTTGGTGCGGGATCTTGTCCGCAAGCATCACTTGTCTCGCGAAGAACTTATTAGCCGTGGTATTTTGGACCGCAAACAAGTTTATGCCAACCCCTTGCTTCATGGAACTACTCAAGAGTTCAAGCATGTTCACCGTTATGACGAAAAACATCCTATACACGTCAACGAAGATCTGGTATCGGTAACTTCGCTGTTTGAGAATGTGGCAGTTCAGCCCACAGACTTTACCCAAAATATTTATGGAAGTACCCATCATGCCAAGCTGAAAAGTTCGTTGACTTATGCTTCGCCCCACAACCGTACTGCCTCTCCCTCTGACTTGACATTCCAAAAGCTTTCAACAAATCAATTCATTCAACCCTCAATGCAACAATCAGGACTTCATGTGACGACCGACACCTTCAATAGCGTCCCCATTGACCCATTTGCATCACCAGATGACGCTTATGTTCCAACTAATGAAAACTTTGGCATGTCAAGCCGTCAAGTTAACGAATTTTACAACGGACCCACTCGGGGACCCGAACATGCATATCAACCAAGCACAAATAATATGGTCATGGATGAACAACCTCAAAACCGAAAAGAATCTCTTTCTCAACGTCAATACAATGACTTTGATTTGGGAGAAGACTCAAATATGGGTCCAAAATCATTAGCGCCACTGCGTCCGTCGTTGCCAACTGACGAGACATTGGCGTCACCTTTTAGTGATGTTAGTGAGTACGAGCCTGAAATTCTCTATCGTCCACAACAAGGCGTACCTTATCCTATCGAAGGCGTTCCCTATCCTGTTCGTGGGGTATCTTTGTACAATGACGGCCGGACCTACTCATTAGAGCATACCTCATAATTGCATCCTCATATAATATTACCAATAAATATTGTCGCATTTTACGAGATATTACCCTCTATAATTTCCATCCTTAGCCTTTTGTCGTTCCCACATTTGTTTCCATTGTTCCAGAGTAGCTAGAGCCTGCTCAAAGTTAGCCTTCATATCTTTTAGCTGTTGCTTTAAATCTCGCAGGTTGATATCATCGCGAGACTTTGCCAGATTAAGATACGTTCTGATTCCATCTAGTTCTTGATGCACAAGAGGATATGTTTGGTCGAACCGTTTCATTGTAGTCAGATGCACCTCTAGATCTACAGAAGACTCGTCAGGCTTTCTAATGGTATCTTCTGGAGGAGGCACTCGTCTCCTTTGAGCTTGAGCGGGTAAATCGGCAAGATATTCACAAAGTTCTGTGGTGAAGTTTTCGTAGTAATAGTTTTCTGTCAAGAGTTGACCCACAATTTCCTTTAAATCACTGACTTCGTCGTCCACCACTTTCGATAGCCGCGTTTCCACTGCCAGGGCCACGCTACTTCCAGGAGTGGTAGCAAGATTGTTGAATATACCCACAGCTTTGCCACTTAGCTTTAGTCGTTTTAACGGATTGAATCTTTCTTTGATTTCCACCATCTCTCGAGCGTGTTTCCGAGATTCGATCTCAAACTTGCCCACTAAGTCATCATTGCGATTTCTGAGTCGTTTGATTTCACCGTGGGCACTTTTAAGTTTGGTGGATAGGGTTTCGTAGCTTTCTTGTTGTTTTTGAGAGGCGATGGCGTGGTCTGAGAGTTGACGTTCACTCATTTCGAGTTTCCTCTGAAGCTGGGCATTCTCTTGTTTGAGCCTTGTTATTTCTTTGGCTTGTTTTCGTATTTCATCATTAGCACTGGTTGTTTCCCGATTATGGCGGTCCAACTTGTCCAAGAGCTCTGCGAGGGCATAGATAATGGCAGAGTCACAGGCGTAATCGTCTTCAGTGGAGTTGTTATATCGGAGACTGATGAATGGGAGCGGTTCGGTGATAATACCCCGCGCTTGTAGACGATTGCTGACGAGTTTAGCCTGGTCTTTGAGGACCGGTGCACCCATTCTATGTTTTGTCAACACTACGCGACGCGCTCTTGGATCAAGTCCGGCGTTATCCACGAAAAGTGACCACCCTTCAAGTTAGGGAAGGAGTAACCTTGATGCTAGCATTTAAGGATTTTCCTCGTTCTCAGAAGGCTCAACTCCATATGAGATGTTTTGTTTTGAGGACAATCAAGTAGTTATAACAAATATGCTTTCAAGGATTGGAACCTACACTACAACTTCAGCATTATATCATGATTAAGGATTTCGTTAGTATATACAGGGTTACCAGAACTTCCACCAGCTCTTGTTCTTGCGAGCGGACTCCTCCGCCACAACTTGCTTCTTCTCATCGACCAACTGTTGGATGCGCTGCTCCAACAACGCTGCCTTTTCCAGCAAAGCCGTTTCACGTTCGTCCGCCTCAAGCTTGTAGTAGACAGCATTGAGGATGGCGGCGGTGGTAGCGGCAATCAAGAGGGTATTGGCGATGGGCCATTTGAATTGGCCCAAAGTCGGTTTGGGGGTCGACTGACCGGTGGGAAACTGCACCAGCGACGACGAGTGACGAATGAACGGGTTGCGGGCACCGCCTGCAAGCAACCGAAACATGCTTAGTCCGTTGTTTGAAGGGGATGGCGACTGTCTAAGACTCGATCGCAGTGGGTTGATCACTGAGGGTGGTCGCAGGCTCGGGGCCCGGGGCTCAGCACCAGTCAAATCCCCTCCCCCGAGAGTCTCACTGTAGAAATAAGGGCTTTGAAAAAATCACGTTTACACCAAAGATGTTTGGCGCCCTCAGAATGCTGTTTGCCCCTCGAGTGGGGCTTATAAGGAACTTCACCACCGTGACCAGAGCCATGCAAAAGCAGGCTCCTCAGCTAGGCAAGGCTGCCCCCAAATCAAATGCCGAGCGTCTTCGTCTCGCCAAGTTGGCGGAGAAGCAGCGGCAAGAGAGAACCGCTTACAAGAACCGTACCGCTATCTACTACTCAGCCGCGTTCGGGGTGACGTTCTTGGCCCTTTCATTCATGGCGGTGCCTCTTTACCGGGCCATCTGTCAGCGTACGGGGTGGGGTGGTATTCCCATCACCGATCTGGCGGCGTTTACTCCCGATAAGTTGATTCCCGTCGACACCAACAAGCGGATCAGAGTTCAGTTCACTTGCCAGTCGTCAGGGGTGTTGCCGTGGAAGTTTACCCCCTTGCAAAGAGAAGTGTACGTGGTTCCTGGGGAAACGGCGTTGGCGTTCTACCGCGCCAAAAACGTTTCTAACGAGGATATCATCGGTATGGCTACTTACTCGGTGACCCCCGATAACGTCGCCCAATACTTCAATAAGATCCAATGCTTCTGTTTCGAAGAACAGCGTTTAGCCGCTGGCGAAGAAGTCGACATGCCGGTGTTCTTCTTCATCGACCCCGAGTTCGCTAAGGACCCGCAGATGCGCCACATCGACGACGTGGTATTACACTACTCGTTCTTCCGTGCCTCCTACACTGACGGCGAGTTGGCAGCGGTGCCAGTGGCCCAAATGGACATGAAGGCTACCGTTGCCCCTGCATAGAACCCCCCACTCCCAGATGGAGCTTTTGCTCACTAGTCGCACCCAACCGGGTAACTCTTGTACATAACGCCGCACGCGCTTAGGCTGCTAATACTGAAATACACATCACTCCGTTTACTCTTAAAGGAGGCTTTAAGGCAGAGAATTCTTTGTTATCTAAAGTCATTGATGAACATTCTGTTTGACCAGAACGAAATTCGGCTGGAGCTGACTCCCGTCAAGGGAAGCCCCCTCAATGAGCTGTCATCTCACACCGAGGATGAACCGGTGGCATCAGAGGAGCTTGATGAGGAATTTACCACCATCATCCAGCACAATCCAACATTGGCATACGCACGTCACAACGGCAGCGAGCTCAATCCGGTCAGCTGCGCCCGCGTGCTCTGCTCGCCACCTCCAGGTCTCGTGCCTCGTCATCAGCGACCGGCTAAGCCGGCGCAGTCATCATCCGTGCCATCACCACCGCCATCGCCTCCGACTCAAACCCATTTGCCTATATGGGGGCTCAGTGACCCCCGTCTTCCCTACTTAGTTACCCTTTGGGTACAAGTGATCCTAAACATCATCATTGTGTCGGTAACGCTCTACTGGGTGTGGAAGCTTGTGTCAACAATTGCCGATGATGTCCAGCATAAACGCCAACAGCAAATCGCTGAACTCTTCCGAAGAAAAGTGGTGTGTACTCGTCATTATGAAGAAAATCTCTGCGGCACCGCCGACATGCCCGATATCATTGCCGACAAGTGTGCTAAATGGCAGCAATGTATGAAAAACGACCCTTACCACGACATTATTGGGCTTTCAAGCACGGTGGCGCAAACGTTGGCCGATATCGTCAACAGTTTTGCCAACCCGTTATCAGTGAAAGCGTTAATCGTTATGCTCATCATCGTGGCGGGGGCGATTGCGGTGATGAACTTTGCCTTTTCGCTGTTCCGGAGATCGTTGAAGCCCGATATGGCGTTGGTCAAGTCATCGAATTGAAGGTAGTTGTCCTGCATGAGTCTACTGTGGGTCCCCTGCAGTGGTGATTGTCGCGACCGATTTAGGAAGACGACGATAACATGGGTGGGAACCCCATAAAACAGGGTTCATCGCCACTGGAAATAATGCCATGCGCTTCCCGTTTGTGTCTCAAAGTGATTTGTGGTTACTTATCCCCGCCGTGATATGTCTGTGCGTTTGTCTGGTGGCCACGCCCCTCAACTCTGTGGTCTACGGTAAAGTGTTTGGAGAAATCACACGATATGTAACCGGAAAACAATCAGCTCATCTGTTGCTATCCGAAGTTACCAAACTTTGTGGAATCCTTATGGGTATTGGCGGCGCCAGACTAGTGATATCATGGATCCTGGTGATCATGTATCTCAAGTTTGGTGAAAGAGTTCAATCACGTGCGAGAACTGTGGTCTATTGCGATGGCATTCTTGCAACCCCTATGGACAATATTGAGGATCAACCGGAACTCATGGGGAAATTGTCTCAACTTAATCGGTGTATCGAAGAAGTGAGAGCAGGTCATGCTGATGCCGTTGCGCTTTTCACTGAACTGTTGGCTCTGGTGATTGGTCTTTTCGTCACCGCTATGATACATTCCTGGTCGCTTACATTGGTGATATTTTGCCTGACGCCTTTAATGATTGCGCTGACGGTATTCTTTGGTAAACTCACCTACCGCAACACCCACGCTGAAAACGAAACATCCCAGCGAGCGGCTAAAGTGTTGGATTGGTGCTTGGGAGCAGGCGTTACGTTCGTCAGAGTATTTGACGGCATGACACTTGAGCACAGCAGATTCAAGGCACTTGTCAAAGATTCGCAAGTCTACTTTAATAAGTTGACATTAGCCATGCAATCAAACAGTGGTATAATCCGCACATTGACGTTGTTAGCATTTGCTCAGGGCTTCTGGTTCGGCAACACTATGATTTTGCGTGGAGTGCTCAGCGTGGCACAAGTATTCACCTGCTTTTCTCTGTGTCTTATTTTGGGATCGCAGATGTTTGTGGTACTGTCAATTGTCCCCTTTTTTATCAAGGCTGCTGCCGCTCAGGCATTTATCATTGAGTACGTGAAGAAAATGGCCTCAGCGCCACCAGAAGAAGCCATCACCTCACCAAAACCAGAAAAGCTCTGCATCAAGTTGGACAAGGTGAGCTTTGCTTATCGCACGCGTCCCACTGATATTGTTCTCAAGCAGGTGACGCTCAACATAGAGCCTGGTATCACATACGTGGTGGGTCCTCTGGGTTGTGGTAAGTCTACAATTGCTCTGCTTATCATGGGAGTATACAAACCCACCGACGGCAAATTGGAATTGCCATTCAATGATGACATCACGTTGGTGGAACAATTTGGAAGTGTATTCCCTGGGTTGCTGGTATATGACAACATTGCTTTAGCAGTGGTAGGATCCCAATATCGCAAAATCACTGATGTCCCTCGTGATCTCATCGAGAAAGCATGTGCGTTTGCTGCATTTGATGAAGTTGTTGCCAGTCTTCCTAGTGGACTTGACACTAAGCTTGAAAGCTCTCTCTTACTGGGAGGACAACACCAGCGATTATTACTTGCCCGAGCTTGGCTCAGAAACACCCCGGTGCTTATACTTGACGAGTCCTTGCTGGCATTGGATCCAGTGATGAAGACACAGATGAGCAAAGCCATCAAACAATGGCGATCACTGGAACAAATCACGTTGATCATCACACATGATTACGATGGATTCGAAGACGATGATCGCGTCATTGTCATGAATGAAGGTAATGTAGCCGCTGACGGTACCACGAAGGAAGTCCTAAAACAACTGGTAATGGCAGTGGAGGAGATGGAGGCAGTACAACATCATCAGCTTACTCGTGCTCCAACTACTCACGAGCCGGAGAAACCAAAGATCATGAGTTTACTTGCCATCATTGGGTGGTTTTTCACTCTGTGTCCATCAAAGATGTTGGCTATTCTCGGAATTTTTCTGCTGGTTGCCGTGGGTATTCTCAACCCAGTGTTTCTGTTTTACTTTTCTCAAATTCTTCAAATAATGGTGCTGGGAGTTGATTCTAAAACACTTACATCAATGTCAGCTGCTCTTATCGGAATCGCTGTGGGCACGGGGCTCGCACAATTTTTATCGGGATGGCTGTTGGCCAGAGTGAGTGAGCTGTGGATCGTTGAAATGAGGATAGCAGTTATGCTGAAGCTTGGCCAACAATCTATCAGCTACATGAGCAAGAAGAGCACTCTGGTGGCTGAGATCACGGCTTTAGTGTTGAACGATACCCGTGACTTAAGAGGATTAACCTCAGATTTCGTGTCGGTAGTGGTGTCAGTGCTGATTTTGGTGATTGGTGGGCTTACCTGGGCGTTGGTCAGCGGATGGAAGCTAGCTTTAGTGGGGCTTGCATTCATCCCGTTGATCGCCATGGTTTCGATTGGGTACTCGGGAGTGATGAGCAAATACGAAACTAGGTACAAGGATGTGGTGGCCAGGATTGAGAATCACGCTCACATGACAATGGAAGGTCTCAAGACAATTAAAGTAAATCATCTGGAAGCATACTTTGCCCGTATGTGGTATGAGTTACTAGAAGATGCTTTACCTCCAGTGGCGCTAAAGCGGGCGGTAGCGATGGGGTTTGGTGACCTGGTCAATGGGATTATTGTTGCCATTTCACAAGGGACGCTTTTATACTACGGTGCAAAGCTTGTATCAACTGGAGACTATACAAGTGACATGATGATCCAAACAATCACTTTCCTTACTCTTACTGTCACCGGAGCTCTTTCATACTTGACAAAAATCCCCAGTATTGCTCGAGGCAAACGTCTGGCGAGCTATATGAAAGATTTGCTTTATCTCCAACCAGCGCCAGAAGAGACAGAAGGTACGATCATCCCCCTGCTGGGTACGCCAATGATTCGGTTTCACGAAGTCCTGTTTGCCTATGATCGAGCGTTCATCCTCCATGATGTCGATTTCTCCATCCATCGCAACGAGTTTGTCGCGATTACGGGGCCTCTGGGAGCCGGTAAGTCGACAATTGGCAGTTTGTTAGCACGGCTTTACTCTCCGAGGAGCGGTAAGGTGGAGGTGATGGGTACCAATATTGCTGAATGCGATATTCATTGGCTTCGCCGTATAGTGGCGTTTGTGCCTCAACAGCCTCAATTTTTTGACGGAACTGTACTTGACAATTTAGCAGCCTACGCTGACCATCCCCCTACTGAGGATGAAGTATGGCAGACACTCAAACAAGTACATATGGACGAAGTGGTGGCCAAACTTAGCGGTGGTCTCCATTGTCGAGTCGGAGATAAGCTGACGGCCTTATTACTTTCCGGGGGCCAGCTTCAACGGCTTGCAATTGCTCGTGCCCTCCTTCGGCGACCTCAAATCGTCGTGTTTGATGAATGCACTTCAGCCTTGGACCCGGATAACACAAAAGCCATCATTGATCTTATCACTACTGTGCTTGCTGGAAAATACACAGTGGTCGCGATCACCCACGACGCGCGCTTTGCTGCTGCGGCTGGACGCCAATTAATAGTAAACGGAGGCTATGTGTACGAGGAAGACACCAGCTGGACCCAAAAGCCTCAGGGGCTGGACTAGCTTTGACAGTCAATAGACATCGTAAATAAACAATAGCTAGTGGAGGCTTAACGGTGACTTTATGCAGCCCCACCTGCATACGCTTACTAAGCGTAAAACCCGGCATATGTTTGGAGCGATGATGTCAATGTAACACGCCCACAGCTTAATTACTTAAACACCACCGAAATTCAAAATTTTCTTAATCGAAGATGGATGCGGTCAAACTGCTGTTCATTGAGCAACTTCAGTATAACCCGCTGACGGCCTCGATCACCACCGTGTCCACGGTGACCCTGATCGCCACACTGAAGGCGTCTAAGGTTGCCGCTGATATTTCGCTGCTTTCCCATGCCATGGAAACTAATACGGCCCCTCGTCTCTTCAGACAAATATACCTTTCTTATCGGGGGGCTCAGGCCACGATGCAAGCCATTAGTGCCGAAGAGGCGATGGCTACGGCTACCGATCTGCTGGTAGTGGCACAAGCCTCGGCAGCTCTTTATAACGCCACGGTAAATCTCGCCGATTTGAACGTCGAACGAAACTTATACAACACCTACTTGAGTCGGTTTGGTAACGTGTGGTATCTCACCATTTTCTCCATCATCCTCGCCTATCTTTTGTTAATGTTGATCAAGCTGAGGTATTGGTGGTTCAACATTACCATGATTTGTGGCTACGGGCTCGAGTGGATGGGGTTCTTAGGTCGGGTACTCAGTTTCCTGGACACCAGCAAGATGGATTACTATTTGTTACAATACGTTGCCCTCACGCTTGCCCCCGCCTTCATCATGGCGGCAATTTACTTCTTATTCGCACAGTTGGTGGTCATTCATGGTCGACTGTTCTCAGTTCTTAAACCATTGTGGTACCTGTATTTCTTCGTAACCTGTGATGTGGTATCCCTTTTAATTCAAGCCGGTGGTGGTGGTGCTGCTTCCGCTGCTACCAACAATGGTACGGACGAAAAACCTGGTGTAAACACTATGATTGCGGGTATTGCCTTTCAGGTGTTTTCCATGACGGTGTTCTTTATTTTCTGGTTTGAATTTCTTAACCGTCTTTGGTTTCGCCACGGAGAAGGGGCGTTGGCTAAGCGCACTCCTGCCAACATTGCCAAGTTTTTCTTCAACACCAAGTCGGTACAAAATTACCGGGAGCAACAATTGGAGCCCTACTACAACCCTGGTTTTGCTTTCATTCGTCATCGCAAGTTGTTCGACTGGATGCCGCTAGCGATTACTGTGGCGGTGGCGGCGGTGTACATTCGAAGCATTTACCGGGTGGTAGAACTCGCGCAAGGGTTTTCGGGTTATTTGATCGTCCATGAAGTCTTCCTCTTTGTGTTGGATGCGATGATGATCTCCATTTGTGGGCTCATTTTCCTTCCTTTCCACCCGGTGTGGTCGTTGGGCACTCAACAGATTGTTCGTCTTGCCACCATCAAGAAAAACGAAGATGAAGTTAATGCTAAGAATGTGAATTCGGCCCACGCCGAATATGTCGACGACAAAGATTCGCAAAGCGTTATCTTTTCGATGAACCCAATACAGGATACCCTGACCCCTCCTCGCGAGCTCAAGTGATAAACTTTTAATTATATCAAAAATCTATTTTTAATTGAGCCACGACTTTTGACGCCAATTGAATTGGACACGACTTATGCCTCGCATTACGAGTATAGATCTCAGGTAAGACATGCAGAGGCTTTCCTCATTCCATCCTATGCGCAATACACGTTTAGGACACCACCCAAAACCATTCACAAGCTTGTCAGAATAGAACTATTTCAACACTAGCAGCAACTTCCATGCACCTATTGCCTTAGCTCAGTGGGTATGCGGTGAAAGTCAAATCACTCCCACTTTCTAATTCTCGCGAATGTGCGGCTGTGAAATTAACCACAAAGGTCTCTAAATAATACTGATAATACCCCCCCTTCTCCTCACCGCGTCAAGTTATCGTTAACGGTAAAGCCAACCAGTTTTTCTCTCTACAAACTAGGCTACATGCTTCCATGCATGGGTCAAATATTCGGGCACACAAGGCGGTGGCTTCGACGGTGACGGGAAATTTTCTTAGCGTTGCTCTCTAAGCGGTGCGAAGCTGAGACTGATTACCGATGACCGACCCTTCCTCCGCCGTGCCCATCGAGCGACCGCGACGGCGACTGTTCATGGATATTGGCGGCGTCAACCTGTTGAGCCATTTTGCCACCTCATACACGCGTGCTCAAGGATACCTCGGCCTGGAAGCGTTGGAAGAAGACGGCATCTCGCCCACACAAGAAATTCCCGCCGACATCGCCCTGCACTCAGCTGGTCGTCGTCAGCAGCATGGCGGCCATAATCATATAAAGACATTTTCATTCCCCGAAGCCGACCGCCAACGCGCCGCCCTCCTCATGCGCCCTGCTTCGGAGACATCTCCATTATTGGAGTCAGCATTTCCCCAAGGCGACCACCACGATGACGACAGTGATACCGCTCTGGTAAGAACCCTGTACAGCATGGCATTGCCCCTGGGGAATCTGACAGCTCCGCAAACGGTGTTCAACAGTGTCAATACCTTGATTGGCATTGGCATGCTCTCGCTCCCGTTTGCTCTTCACCTTGCCGGGTGGATCCCTGGTATGGTATTGTTGACGCTGCTGGCAGTGATCACTTGCATCACCGCAATTGTGCTTGGGGGTATCATTCGCCGCATGCCTCATCTCAAAACTTACGGCGATATCGCTCAAGCCTACGGCGGTCCCTACTTTGCATTAGCAGTGACATTTTTATTTTCATTGGATCTTTTGGGAGCTTCTTTGAGTCTCGTGATCTTATTCGCCGACTCTTTTACTACAGTGCTTCCCTGGTGGCCAGCGCCAGTGTACAAAGCGATCATCGCCTCGATTGTATTTTTGCTTTCGTTTGTGCCACTCAACATCTTGCTGTTGACGTCATTTATGGGTATCGTATGTACAGTACTGGTCATCGTGCTCATTGTCAGTTGTGGCCTCATGCTCGATACCCCACCCGGGTCTCTTCTCCAGCACGCAAAAATCAATGCCTGGCCAGTAGACTGGCCGCTGTTCTGTTTGCTGTTGGGGCTTTTCCTCAGCGTATGGGGCGGACACCCCGTGTTCCCTGAGTTATACCGCGATATGCGTCACCCATCCAAATTTTCCAAAACCTGTCGTCAATCGTTTGTTGTCACTTACTCCGTTGACGCCGGCATTGCCGTTGTTGGGTTTCTCATGTACGGTATAAACTGTGAGGATCTGATTATCAAGAACATCATGGGGAACTCGCGTTATCCAAACTGGGTTAACCCATTGCTTTGCGTGTTCATGGGTATCCTTCCCGTATCCAAGCTCCCGTTAGTCACGCGCCCTTTGATCACCGTGTACGAGAGCTACTTTGGGCTTAACCGGTTAGACGCCGTGAAGGGTAATGGACGTCACTACAGCTTGGGACGAGTTCTTGCCCGTTTGGCGTTTTGTGGACTTTTATTTACGTTGAGTATCGTGTTTACGTCATTCGGACAGGTGGTGTCATTTCTCGGTTCGGCTATCTGCTTTACTATTTGCGTGCTGTTGCCATGCTTGTTTTACGTGTATTTTGACCAGCCACCGATGAAGATGCGGATACTCGCCTATGCAGTGTCGTTATTAGGGTTTGTGGGAGCCATAGTGGGCACCTGGGCGCTGGTGACCATGCCCACATAATGTTTATAGTTAATTAATGCCTTCAGCGACGAACGCGTCGTTTGAATTTGGCTATGCGAGGATCATTAATGCGGGCCCGTTGAAAGTTGTAAGACATCGGAGCAATGCCATTTTCCACATGTGGACGTTTATAAACCACCGGCTCCTGATTTTCCTCCTCGGAAGATTCGTCATCACTATCCCGAACTTCACGCACCAGTTCAAGTTTGCGTTTAGCGGTGGGCGAGGTCGTGTCCACTGAATGAGTTTGTGAAGCAAGTTTTCGGAGCTCTTCTTGAAGGTTCTTGCCCGCTAGAGTGTCAGGAGCTTCATCCACTCCTCGGGGCTTGATCTTCCAGTTTCTCGTGGTTCGCTTCTGTGTCTTGACCTTCTTCCGATCCGGTTGACTTTCTTCAGTGGTGGATTGTTCAGCCAGCAGTGCTTCAACAGCCGCAGTCACTGCAACCAAGTCCTCATCATCAATTTCGGGGATAGGAGCACTGGTGGCTTCCATAAATACCTTAGTGAGTCTACCCACAAGCCGCTGAGGCTTCATTGGGGACGGAGTAGCTGAGAATGCCACTGTCGGCTTAGTGGGAGTGCGGAGAGACTTGACCGGAGAGAATGCCAGATGCTTGATGGGGCTTGACTTTTGGGGCGATGCCACCGCCAAAAGCTTGTCCATCAATGATCCTGAAGTGGAAACCTCAGTGGTGGTGATGGTGGTGGTACTTGACTTTGTGGGGGTGGTCATGGATGGGCTACCAAAAGGGTTGGAAGGCAGCGATGCTGGAGGGGTCAAATGGTGGTCAAATATCGAAAGCACTCGGCCGTTAGCCTGGGGAGTAGGGCCGATTTCATCCGGCAAAAGTACCGGTTGCAGTTTGTGAGGGGTCCCGGTTTGTTCATGTTTGCTTGGCTTCCCATGTTTGAGCTCATTATAGGTCTGGTAAAGGAGACGAACTGTGGGATCGCTTCGGACGTCTTTTTTCAGAGGTGGACGTCCATTTTTCTTCGAAAACAGTCGCTCCCACTGCTTTATTGTGTGTTTGACCTGATCCAACTCCATACGCGTAAGGAATGAGGGTACCAGACGCGTTTGCTGAAGTCGCAAGACGCTTCCCCATATGTACTGCATATAGACAAACATCTAATCACGAGATAGTATATTGTCAATGAAGAGTGCCTTTTGAGCTACAATTTTGGTTTTGTCGTAATTGTCAGTAGCATATAGCGCTACTTGTACGTAGTATCTATTGGTAATATTACACGTGAAATCGTAGCTAGAGTGTATCGGGGATATTCAAGGTTAGCGTCAAGTGGCTTACAAAAGGGCCATGATGACAACGGCAGCGAGAGCGGAGCCAGAGCCAGCAATGACACCAGCAGCGTTGTCTTGAGATTGCAGCGACGAGGCAGCAGAAGAGGTGGCAGCCGACGAGGCCGATAAGGTCGAGGAACCTCTTTGCGACTCGGTGGAGGCTTTCGAAGAGGCTTCCGAAGAGGTTTCAGAAGAGACGTCAGACGAAGCTTCAGACGAGGCTTCGGCCGACGACAGAGCTTCAGACGAGGTGGCCGAAGCGTCGGAAGAGACATCCGACGAGGCAGAAGCGTCAACCAGCGACGACACTTCCGAGGAAGCGTCCGACGAGGCGTCCGACGAGGCAGAAGCTTCAGACGAGGCAGCGGTCAGCGAGGCTTCCGACAGAGCGTCCGACAGAGCATCAGACGAAGCAGCAGCCGAAGCCGACGAGACAGCCGAGGAAACAGCAGCTGAAATCGAAGCGACATCAAGCACAACGTCGGTGCCGACGACGCTAGTGTAGTACGAGTTCCAGGGGATACGGCCGTTGTACTGGCCGTACATTTCCGAGTAGAGCGCCACTTGGGAGGGGATCTGAGCGGTGGGGAAATCGCCGTTTTCAGCGAGGTACGACGAAAACACGTCGGGGGCCATAGTGAGGTAGGGCTCGTTGTCGCCAATGGCGACGGGCGAGGCTTCGGCGGCAGCGTCAGCAGAAGCAGTGACGACGTCGGTGACGGTTTCAGCGACGGCGATGGCGGCAAGGGTACCAAAAACGAACGACTTGAACATAAATACGGGGTTAGATCACGGCGCCGGCGGCGGTGACGCCCGCCGTTATATACTGTCGACGACACCGGCGCTAACACGCGGCAAGCGAGCGGCGTGTGCGCGGTACACACTACTGCAGAAACAACAAAGTCGCGCATTCAAAATTTGGTGGGGGTCATCGCCGACACTACGCCGTGGACGCGCAAAAAGCGTATCCTTGTGCGAGGAAGTGGGGATTTGGGCATTGATATCTCAACGTAGGCCATTTGGAATAGAAGCCATGTCACCATTCTGTCACCAGCAATTGGTACTTTTCTGGAGGGGCGTAGTGGGATAATGGTGGTTCGCGCGGGGTCCGACAGCCGGTTAATGACGAGGCACATGTTGGTGGGATACCCGCCTTGTTTATGCGGCCTGTGAGTGGAAGTGGATGCGGACTCTGACTTCAGCAGAGATAAGCCTCCGTTTAGCGAGAGGATGGTGAGTGAGATATGTGGTGGTCGGCGAATGCGGGACTAAAGCGTTAGCCTGATATTTGGTAACTAAGTGGTGGGAGCGCGGCTGTTTGTGTGTGTTTGGGGTGCGAGAGACAATACGATTTTTCTGATGCAGCCGCGGACGCGGAGCTCGATGCCCTAATTGGACTGGATTTCCACGAAAATTGTCTTGGCAAATCAAAACACGGCGCTGGCTAGGCCGTAGTCTACTGTCGCCTCGGTTCGAAGCGGAAGGCGCCCAGTTGAGTTACTTCCCGAATTACGAGGCTAAACCTCGTTAAATTGATATATACCATGCTGCCCAATGGCTCATACGAGAGTGAGGTCAGAATCTTAGATCAATAGTGTAAGCGATGAGGGGAAAACCTGTCCAATTGATGGTGAATGAGACCATCATGTCGACGATATGTCATGCAAACTTGCAACATTGAAGCAGGTGATAATATCACCACATTGGGATTATCCATGGAAGGCATACGCTTGTAGTACTGAGAAGGTAGACTAATCCTGGTGTTCTCACTTGGAGAGAATTGATCAAAAAATGACTCATTTGTGAATTAAAGATGAGAAGGAAATGTCAATTGAGCTTCTCTTGCTTTACAATTAAATGGAATATAGCCTAATAACATTACGTTTATAAGGGTCTGTCCCATCATTATTTAAGTTCAAACAAGAGCGAACTGGTCTCTGAGGGTCTATTTCTATAAAAACCGTATGCAAAATCTTATAAACTCTAGAGGTGTTTACTGAGGCTCATGTCGCTCATGGTGAATAACAAGTCGTCGTCGTCGTCGGGGGCACGGCAGTGGGGTTTAGACGACTGCAGCGCCGTGTCGTCATCGTCGTCAAATACGTTTTCGTAGTGGATGGGGGGTTTCTCCAGCGTCGGCGTGGGAGCAGTGGCGGGCGGAGGCGACGCCAGCGGCGGCCGCCGCGGCAGGCGGAGAAGCGATACTGGTGGCGGGGCGTATGCTAGCAGTGATGATGTTCGGCGGCGGTTGCGAGTGATGCCAGCAGCGCTGGTGGCACTGGTAGCGCTGGCGCCACTAGCCCCACTACCACTGCCAGCGCAGTCGCTGCCCAGCTGGATTAGACGCTGGCCGATGCTAGGAAATGGCGACGCTTCAGGGTAACTGCCAGGAGGCAGATGCGACACCGCTGAGTGTGCTGATAGCTTGCGGGCGCTGCCCTGCTGATGGCTCTGAAGATAGAACACCAGCGCGTTCACCGAGTCGCCCAATTGCTGGTGGTGGGCGCGAAGCAGCGCGTACTTGTTCAATGGGTCGGTCAGCGCCGGCGTCAGACCAAACCGAAGGTCTTGCTTCAGATCAATCATGCGGACAAACCCCGAAATGTCGTCGGCGTCGGCGTCTCCCGCATTTGCGCTGATGCCGGCCAGTCCCACCCCCAGCACCGCCAGCCCGGCACTGGTGCCTAAGATGAGTGAGTCCTGAGGCCTGGTCGTAGAAAGACGACGGTTGCGCAGGCCAAACAGCGACAGGAACCGCGGAGTGTTGCTGGCCAGCAGCTCGGGAGTGGGACCGTCGAAATGGTGCTGCAGCAGCACCAGCCGGGGGATGGCGATGGTAGCGGTGATGGGTACTGCCAGCTGGGTCAGTGAACTCAGGTTACGCTGCTGACGAAGCATGGCTGCCAACAGCGCATTCAGCCGGTTCAGAGCAATCAGCACGCGCCTGTCGGCGGGGGGAGTGCCAATGCTAGTGCCGTAGGTCAGCGGTGGCGGCAGCGTCGAGAGACTACCGATGCGGAACGGCTGGATCGTCAGCTTGACGGCGATGGGTTGTGGTTGGGGCAGTCCCTGGTGGTCAACCCCCGGACACAGAGTGCACGGACTCACGCTCAGCGTCGCCCGCACCGGTTCCAGTACTGGTGGTTGTGGTGGCGCTGAGGTGGTTTCGGCCGTGGTGGTGGGTGGTTGTTCCAGTACTGCTGGCGCCGTGTCAGGCATAGTGCCGATGCCAAACCTGCACCGGGTGCGGTAGGCGGTGCTGATGCGGAGGGTGCCCTCGTTGGTCATTATCGGGCGGAATGTGCGGTGGCTGATGTGGTCCAGCTTCTTGTGTTGGCTGGAGTTGACCATGATTGGTTTGGAGAGGCCTATCCGGCCTTTTGAAGAAATGGGGTGGCGCCCGTCGATGATTTTGACGGTGATGTCGACGTTATTGCCGGCGCGGGCTAATGGGGCAGCAGGCATGAGGCGTACAAGCAGGTATAACAGGCGAAACAAGACGATGGCGTGCTTGTAGACAAGGGGCAAGTCGGCGTCCTCGCGCTCCTGAGGATCGAACTCCACAAGCCATCGTTCAAGCACCACTTCCTGCTTATTCTTGCGGGATACCTGCCAGGTAGCACCGTCGTCGTCGTACACCACCAACACGTGTTCGGGGCTCAATTTGCGGAGGTCTAGGCACACTTCGATGATCATGGGCGGCACCTGGTCGAGGGGAGCGTCCTTCCACTTGGCCCAGTCCTGCGACGACACGTGGGGGCCTAACTGGGACGCCGTCACCAAGTTGAACCAGCGGTTGGGCCGGTCGTGGTCGTCGCTGTGTTCCGCTAGTGGCGGTGGTGGCGGCGCTCGGGCGTCAGCGATCACCGTGGCTGCCTTGACAAAGAAGTTGTGCACCACCTGGGCGAGCTTGGTGTGGTGTCTGCGCAACACTGAGGCGTCGGCTCGGTCCATTTGCCAACGATATACACCGTGTGCTTGGGGTTTTATGGGGGATGGCAAAAAGCGCTGGCGTGTGTGGGTGGAGGGTTAATCAGGGTGCGCGTCCGTCACAAACGATCCCTCTCAGTTGAGAGGTGAGGCACCGCAGTGGAGGGGGGAGAGGGACAGGGCCACGGCGGCGACTGACGCGTGGCTGGATCGGGGAGGAAGATGATTTACATGAGGCTAGATGTGTGTTTTAAAAATTGGTGTTTATGGTGGGGGGGTTGCTCTAAGGGGTTTGTTGGGGAGCGTGGGGGTCAAGTGGCAACAGTGAGCATTGAGGCCTCAACACTTAAATGGTGGTGGGACACGATCACGGAGATTAGCGTGCGCGGTGCTGCGGCTGGCGCCCGAGCGGCGCCCGAGCGGCACCCGAGTCACGCCCACTGGCGACTAAGATTTGACTCGGCAAACAGCAACGGAGCTCCACTGTGGCTCGCCACCGGGTATATAATTGTGGGGCATTGCTGATAATTTGCGCGGGAATTAGACCTGGTTTAAGGGTTCAAGTGGACCCTCTAGTGTAGGGCGGTAGTCGTGTTGTTGGGAGCGAAGGGGGGAAGCAGGTTGCGAAAACGCTCTAGTCTTTGGAGAGGGGAACTGTCTGCAGTACGTGATTACACTAGCCACGTTCAGCGATTGTTTGTGGCGGGCGTGATCAGGAATGGGTAAATGACGTTGGCATGTCAACATGCGATAGCTCCGAGGCTTATCTCTGGGGAATGGTCGACGCAAACACCGATACCCACGGAACTCAGGCGACCACGTCGTATCGGCAACTACCGGTAAATGTCGACGGAGGTTGCCAGGGTGTAATTGGTGATTTTTGTAGGCTAATTGCAATCGAATTAGCTTGGTAGTTGGTAATCATCCACTGACGTAATACGATAACGTTGAGACTTTACGATCTACCCCGCCCCAGATTAGCCTCACTAGTGACTTGAGGGTAACCCAGTGTCGCCTGACAACAATAGAGATAGACACTACGAATGTGATCTCTCTCAATAACAATGACTATATCAAAGTATTTATCATATAGAACAGAGTATTATAACTATACGAATCTTGGTTTGTTACCTACCTTCATGAACCGACTGTGGTTGAAGAAATATATACCAATTGAAATCAACCTCGTATCAAAAAAATTGGTCTTGTATTTGGTTCACCGCCCTCAATTACCTTTGTTCCCGGACGGGAGTAATTGTCCGAAACAATTTGCGAATACCATACTACCATAACCCATTCTACTAACCAAAACTGTCATTTTTATCATCAATCGCACAATTGAATATATCACAAATCTGGCATTCACTTTGTCCTCATAATTTACCTTTCAATTCATCCCGGACTACCGCGCCGCTATCGCGCCGGTACCGCTGACTCACGTGGTGACTCACGCCGCGGTCTGGGGTGAAAAAAGTCCAACTTAAGCTGACTCCACCATCCTTTCGCCCTGACGATGTCGACGACCTATAGATCCACGCGGAGCGCCGACGCCTCGCAAGCGCTTTCCTTTGAAGATGTGGTGATGACGGGGCTTGCCAAGGACGGCGGGTTGTTCTTGCCGTCGCAAATCCCCAAAGTCGACGCCGCCACGTTGCAACGGTGGTCGGGTCTTTCCTTCACCGAGTTGGCGTTTGAAGTGTTGAGATTGTATATCGACCCTAAGGAAATCAGCGATGCCGACCTCAAATCGCTCGTCGACCGCCTGTACTCGACGTTCCGTGCCCCCGAGGTTACCCCCATCCGCAAGTTGACCGATGACTTGTACCTTTTGGAACTCTTCCACGGGCCCACCTATGCGTTTAAGGACGTCGCCCTTCAATTTGTCGGTAACTTGTTTGAGTTCTTTTTGACTCGCGCCAACGGTGACAAGACCGAAGGCCGCCAACAGATCACCGTTGTCGGTGCCACTTCCGGTGACACCGGTCTGGCCGCCATCTACGGGTTGCGCGGTAAGAAGGACGTGCTGGTGTTCATCTTGTACCCCACTGGCCGTATCTCCCCCATTCAGGAAGAGCAAATGACCACTGTCCCCGATGCTAATGTTCACACTCTTTCGGTCAAGGGTACTTTTGACGATTGCCAAGATATCGTCAAGCAGATCTTTGGTGATGCCGAGTTCAACTCCAAGTACCACGTCGGTGCCGTCAACTCGATCAACTGGGCGCGAATCTTGGCCCAACAGACGTACTACTTCTACTCGTACTTCCAGCTCCTTAAGCAAAAGCCCGACGCTAAGGTGCGGTTTGTCGTGCCTCTGGGTAACTTTGGTGACATTTTGGCCGGCTACTACGCCACCAAGATGGGTTTGCCCGCCGACCGGTTGGTGATTGCCACTAACGAAAACGACATTTTGGACCGGTTCATGAAGTCTGGTCGCTACGAAAAGAACGCTGAAGCGGGAGTTAAGGCCACCTACTCGCCGGCGATGGACATTTTGATCTCGCTGAACTTTGAGAGATTATTATGGTACCTTGCCCGTGACTCCGTCGCCAAGGGTGATGATGCCGCTGCCGGTACCGTTCTTGGTCAATGGATGGACCAATTGAAGCTGACTGGGTCCGTCGAAGTGCCCCAGGAAGTGTTGGCGGGGGCCCGTACTCTTTTCGACTCCAACCGTGTCGACAACACCGAGACGGTGGCCACCATCAAGCAGATCTACGACGACCACGACTACGTCATCGACCCCCACACCGCCATCGGGGTGAAGACGTCGCAGAAGTGTGCTGCCGCCGGCGACAATGCCACCTACATCTCGTTGCTGACGGCGCACCCGGCCAAGTTTTCCGAGGTGGTCAACAAGGCGTTGGACCTGAACCCCAACTACTCGTTCGACCGCGACGTGCTCCCTGACGAGCTCAAGGCGTTGGCGTCGCAAGAAAAGCGCATCAAGTTGATTGACGAGGCCCTGGTGGACAAGGTGAAGCAGGCGATCATCGACGAGCTCGGCCACTAGATTTGTTAATAGGCATACACTAAACATATAGCTACAGAAAAGAGTATTTGTGGATTTTACATCATGTTATTGGAAATATGGAACTAGTAAAGGACGTCGCCAAGGACGCCGATGGCGCCGATGATGAAGCCGACCAACGACACGCCACCAGCGAACATGTAGCCGGTGTCGACGCGTTCTAACCGCGACACAAGCTCCTGGCGGGCGTGGCTGAGCTCGACCTCGACGTCGATGTTTTCTGCTTCAGCCTCCAGCGTCAATTGCGGCGACAGCGGCAACGTCGAGTTGGGAGTCAGGATCACGCTCAGCTCTTCGTCGGAGACGTGGACGTAACTCTTATCCAACGCAGCGTCGCCGACGCTAGCGGTAGTGGCAGCGCCCGAGGGCGCCGCGGGCGCCGCCGAGGGGGCCCTGGTGGGGGTCTTGGTGGGGGCTGCCTGCCAGGGAGGCGGGAACCCGTACCACACACCAAGCATCGCCGCCACGCCACACACCCCCAGATACACCAAGTAAGGGTGCTTTTCGAACAGGGGCGAGTATTTGTAGGCGGTGTAGAACAACAGGGACAGCAACAACGCCGCCACCGAGTGGAGGATCAGCAGCAACGTGATCTTGTGGTGGAGGCGGGCCGGGTCCGCCGCCAGCACCAGCACCAAGCGGATCTGGGCGGGGATGGTCTGGTACGCCTGGTAGAGGATCAGCGACAGGGCTAGCCCGAGGACGCCGACCCCCAAGTACTTGATTGTCGTGATACACGTTCCGGCCATGGAGTGGTAGATAACGGGGTTGTAAGGCAGGATCGCGGGGGCAAATGAGTGACTGGGCTCGGGAGATGAAAGGGTTAGGAAGCCCGGGCGAATCGTCCTCCCTCGCTCCACCACCGCACCATCCCCTATGCGCAGGAGCAACCCGAGACCATACGTAGGGTTGAAGGTGGTGTTAATAGTATTGAAAGTGGGCTATATTTCAAGTGGAGCCATGATTTGAGAATACTTGTAATCTATTCAAATGATTGCGATTTCGATTTTGATTTATTACGTGTGTCTTGATAATTAAGGTAGGATCTGTAAAAGAGTGTAATTGCGAGGAAGTGCCGTGGCTATGTGTAATTCAGCAAGACGTCGCTAAGACACTTATCCCCTAGTTAGCGATCGGATAGTTGCCATTGTAAAGTAGCCAGCAGTTGCTCTTAAGTGTGACTAAAGTGACATTAATGAATTTGCGACAAAGAAATAATCAAGCGCTAAATCAACAGTCCACATCTATAGGGAAATTTACCGGAGTTGGCTAAAGCTGCAAATGTCATTGTTAGTGTTGCGATCCTTTATTAAGTTCGCTGCTTACCGGCGATGGGTAGCGGCTATATGCGAGTCTACACCAGGGGGTACCCTCAAGTGGCACCTCATCCGTCTATGATAAGTATACGAGAGGAGTTTAGCCTTCCTTTTGATGAGAATCAGCTTTGAGAATTGAAGCGGTCTCTGATTATCCGAAGAACGCCGCCGGGGCGACACTGGGGAGGAAGGAACAGAAGTGAATTTGAGCCGTAGCCATCAGCAGCATCTGATTCGACAGCTCCACTCAGGCAGCGGGACGGAGCCATTCGGGCGCCTTGTTCTTGTCAACGTGAACCGTAGAAACGTCAAAGTTTTCGATCAACAATTCAACCACAAGACGACCGCCTCTGGCACCAGTAAAACGACGGTACTCCTCTGACACCAGCGCCAAGTTCCAGCCTTCAAGACGACGAAGACAGCCAATGACGGTACCGGTGCGGTGGCGGCCCATGCCGCAGCACACGAGTAATGGGTAGTTGGCGCTGTCGGCGATAATCTCGAGGGCCCGCTTGATTGTAGGTTCATTCAAAGCGTCCCAAGGGTTCATCGCTTCGCCGTTAAAGTCTGAGAGCCCCAAAAACTCGACGGTGATGGCGTTATCGTAGCAAAAGTCCATGATTTCGTCGGTGGGTTCTTCGGGGGCCAACCAGATGATGGTTTTGAGGTGGAGCTGTTTGAGAAACGAGAAATTGATGGCTGCCGGCTGCCCCGACCGGTATAGCCGCCGTTCCACGGGACTGAAATTGAGCGGCGGCACGATCCGCTCCGCCGGCGGGTGGGTGACTTTCCGTGACATTCAGCAGTGCCCCGAGCGAAAAGACGGTTGGTGGAAAAAACGCACCCACCAAAGTCGAGACAGAATAAAAATTGGGGAGTATAAGCGCTGGCGGTGGTTTTGTGGTTGATGGCATTTTACCAAAGATAGTCAACTCTCAAATCATCCGTGATTTTAACATAGAAGGCTAAGTTAGCTTTAAACTGTTAAGTTGTCTGATTATGATTGTCTTACGATAGCTGTTAGTGTATCCAGATGATATGGTCTAAACCCCGAGAAATTTTAACTTAGCCAATCTTTGTTAGCTTCAAAAGTCGAATCAGATTGACACCTTTGCAATGTGATTTTTTTCCTTAATTAATTTAGTGAAGGCTTCTGACGTGCCACTGTCCCTGTCATAGAGCCACGAAAATTCGCACTGCCACCGAACACCATACCCACACCATGACCAAGCCCGCTGCCCCTTCCAAACAGGCGGCCAAGGCGGCGAAGCTGGCGAAACACGCCAAGGCGTCGGGCACGCTGGCGCTGAAACAATTGTCCGAGGTGACGCTGGCGTTTAGCAAGACCTACCAGCACTACATGGCCACGTTGACGCCGCGGCTCCAGGTGATCGACACGTTTTTGGCGTTCTTGGTGGCGCTCGGGGTGTTGCAGTTCGTCTACGTGGTGGTGGTGGGCGATTTTCCCTTCAATGCCTTCCTCGGCGGCTTTGGCATCTGCGTGGCCCAGTTTGTGTTGACGGTGAGTTTGCGCCTTCAAGTCGCCGCCAGCGACGGCGAGCGCAACCACTACGCGTTTGGCGAGTACGTGTTTGCCAGTGTCATTCTCCACTTCATCGTGTTCCATTTCATCAATTAGCTTTCTATTTTTTTTTTCGTAAGGAATATGTATTAATGTTACACCTTTTGTCGGTGACACGTTTTTGTCATTATATAAATCGGTTCAATGGTAGAGGGCGGTGGTGTCTACATGATCACGCAGCACCCCAGCTTCTCCTTGGACTCCGCGGGGGCGGCGGCGCTCGCCTTTTGCTGGTCGCGCTTTGGCGCCGGCGCCAGCTGGCGGGTGTCACGGGCATCGCCACCACTGACGCCAGCATCGTCACCACCAACACCCGCCCCACCCGCGGTGCCAGCGGCCGCGCCCAGCGGCGCCTGAGGGTTGACCGCCGCCGGCTCGTGGGCAGCAGCAACCGGTTGCTGGGCCAGCGCCGCCGCCGCCGGGGCCGCGGGCGCCGCCACTGCTGCCGCCAGGGCGGTGGCATGGTTGTCCTTGTCCCGGATACTGCGGACAAGGTCGTAGAACGCCTCCTCGACGTTGATGCGCTGCTTGGCCAGCGTCTCCAAGAACTTGCACCCAAACAGGTTGGCAAGCGCCTGGCCTTCTTCAAACAGCACCTGGCGCTCGATCTCAAGATCGCACTTGTTCCCCACCACGAGCACCGGCACCGAGTCCAGGTCCTTGACCCGTAAGATCTGCTCGTAGAACGCGGTCAATTCCTCCATCGAGTTGCGCAGGTTGATCGAGTACACCAAAAGGAACCCTTCGCCGGTGCGCATGTACTGTTCCCGCATCGCCGAGTACTCCTCCTGGCCGGCGGTGTCCAACACGTCCAACAACACCTGCTCGTCGTCGATGATACACTGCTTGCGGTACGAGTCCTCGATGGTGGGGTCGTACTCATCGACAAAATGGGACTGGATGAGCTGAATGGTGAGGGCGGACTTCCCCACGCCGCCGCCGCCAACAACGACTAGCTTGTATTCCTTCAACATGGTTGCCTGTCAAAAATTTGCCCCCGGGCGTCGGAAATCGCTACGTCGACCGATGCTAGGTTTATATACAAGTGCGACGGCTAGAATTTTTTGACGCCAGCAGACAACAAGGCGCAAGCCAGCTTCACCGCGGTAAAAAATATTCGTTGGTCGTCACGGTGGGGAAAGGCGAGCGTGGGCGAGGCCCCGCCGGCGACGGCGCTGACTAAACCCGCCGGGGCCAACCCTCGACCACGATCACCTTTGTCTTTGTGGCTACGACGATCCCTCACTTTGCGCTTAGAGCGCCCCGCTAGCGTCGCCCCGCGCCGGCGCCAGCCGCGACCCTTAGCGGCGGCGGGGGGGTCCCGGTACCCCCTGGCCGGGCGCACCCCCGATTGGTGGTCGGCGACACGTCAATGCTGGTGTGTCATCATTATTTCCTAAACCCTTAACTCGTGACAGGTCGTATTCAGGATTTCAATGATTATTGGCGTAACTACTGTAGTTGGTCCGCCCCTCTCATCGACGGCAATCGACGATATCATTGAGAGGAAGGCGCCTGCCGTGGCCGACGCGCCGCGTCTGCGGCGACGTATATGTGGTTGTTGGTGCAAAATCCCCCCGTAGAAGCGCCGACGCTGCTGCCGCTAGGTGACGGCCAGCGGGGGTTTGGCCGCCCTCCCGTCAATTGGGCGCAGCGCTGCGCACGACCCACTGACTCGTACTTTGGCGATCGTGTTGATTCATCGCCACCCACCACTGCCTCGGCTCATTTGAGACACGTGATGTAGGCACGAGACACAGGCTAGTGAAATTGTTTGCTATATTTGGCAGCGACAATTGCTGATCGGGGCAGTGGCGATGGGAGGCGACGTATCGTATCATTTACGATAAAAGTGAGGGGTCTGGGGGTGAGGGGTGCTCTTGCTAGCTGTTCCTTGGCAGCTTCGCCTGCTACCAGACGACGCTTCCTGGCCCCATTAGGAAACTCGATGCTGATCGCCTCGTATGACCTATGTAGTACTGGGTGTGGGGGGCGTTTATCCTGTAATGCTTTCGTCACCCGATACGACGAGATCACCACACTCACGCCTGTTGGTGAAATAGCAGCCTACGGATATTGCACGGAGTAGAATGAGTGCTTTTTTGGGGGTACTCAAGCGAGACGTAAATAATGAGTTATGATGTGAGCGTTTGGTATAAATTCAATTGGAAGAGTGAATTGAACTAAAAACCTAAAAAATTATATTACTGAGTGTTTTCTTGTCTCGGCGATTAAGTGTCGAATGCCTGGAGTTTGGTTCTGGTGGGGAGCACCCGCGACGGGGACCCTGCAGCCGCACCCTGTAGTGGGCGGTACCGGGTACAGACGCCGGCGGCACCATGTACCCAATCGATGCAATCGTCGCAGCGTGCGCCGGCCCACTTGCCGGGAACGTATGCCCATGTCACGTAACCCGTAGATCGTAGGCATGTACGGCAACTATAGACGAGCAGAGAACAGATGGTCCCGGTGGCGAACAATTGCCACCGCCAGCAACGCAGCCGTACATGGCATGCCACCGCGAGTACTGCTTCGAGAACGCTAGTGCTTCATTGTCTCAAACCTGACTCAATTCACTCGTCTCGCTTTCTGGCGCTTAGCTAAGCAGTCGTCGCAGTACCACTTCCCCTTGGGCGGGTTGGTGAAGCCAATACACAGCAAGTGGAACCACTCGCGCTTGCAGTCGTCACCATCACACCCCACCATTTTACCGAACGATACCTGGTTACAGTAGCAGTAGGTAGGCTCGTTGCCAGTGGCAGGTCTCGCCGCGGCCTGGCCGCCGTCGTCGTCGGTATCTTCGTCGCGCCGCCGCTTCTTTTTAGCGCCATTGGTAGGAGTACCGGGTCTAGTGATATCACGGGCCTTCTTAGCGTTACCAGTGGTAAACAGATTCAGCAGTGACCCTTTACCACTATCATAAGGTGGAGTTTCTCGTTGACGACGACCACCAGCAGCACCGCCGCGTTCATCCTCCTTGGCGGCTTTACGCGCCGCCAACGCCTCCCGTCGCAGCTCACTGCGCCCGCCAGTGGTGGTAATCGGTTGAGAAGTAGTATCGTTAGTCATCGCTGGGTGGTTCAAGGGCCCGATCCGTATCAGCTCGGGGATCTCGTTATTAGTGACAATCACCTTGTAGTCGGCGTTTATCCGCGTCATGTGTTTCGTCATTAGGTCCTTAGCCACACTGGTAACGTGCATTTTCTCTTCGAGACAGGGGATGATCTCGTGGATCCGGCTTTTGATCGCTTTAAGCCGCTTTTCCTGTTTTGCAGCGAGGGGAGTAGGTTTGGTGGTCACAGTGCCGTTAGCCGAATTTGACTCAGTCTTGGGTGTCACCGCCAGTCCATTGGCATCACCGGTGGCCGCAGTATTGTCTTTATTCTCCTGGCTATCACCATTCGCTAACACTTTACCATTCTTTTCACTATCATCTTCCCGATGGAGATCGTCAATGTACCGCTCGATCAACGTGTTAATCTGCGGGGTGGTATTGATGCACTTGGCGTCGATCTCCTTCAAAAGGGTGAAGTATTTGATGATATCCATCGGCAACGCCTCGAAGGCGTCGGTGATGTCGTTGAGCCCCGGGAGCAAGTCATACACGTTCAGCACCGTCTTTCCCTTGCCGCGGTACAACTGGAACGTCTGGTGGCTTGGCTTGTTGCGGGCGCTTCTGCGTGGCGGCCCTTGGTCAGTCATGTTGTCGTAAAAGTTGATGAAAATTGGGAGGAGAGATTCACAGCTGTTAGGCGAGTAGTGCAGGCGAGGGTGCCAGTCTCCAATCGCGGATGGTAGCGCCGACGCGCGTGTGTGTGCGACGTGCGGCTCACCGAGCGATGTCAGTAAGCTTTACTAAGAGGAACACATCTATAAGACATGATCCCTGAAAGACGAATTGTCACTCCTAAAGACCTTGAAAAATGGGTCGATTCCCCGCTGTACAATAAGCTTGTCGACTTCACTGTGGCGCTTCAAACCCTGGCCCAGGGCCATGAAAATAACCAACCCGCCCATGATGGTAACGCCGCCTGCCACCTGCTTCTCAACGCATTGAACCAGGTCGACGCTGCCATCGACAACCACCCGGTAGTGAAAGATGCTGAGCTTCTGCGGTTTGGGAAACCTGAATTTCGCGAGTTTTACGATGATATTCACTCTCAATCTATTACGTTGATGCAAGCAGTGGTGGGGCCTGAACACGCTGAGGAGGTGGCGACTTACTTTGGCGAAGCATTTGGAAACCGCACCCGCATTGACTATGGCTCGGGCCACGAACTTAACTTCCTCCTGGTGATGGTAGCCATGGATACTGTTAAAGCCATCACTGCCGACGACTACCTGTATTTGGCAGTGGTGGTGTTTCCTCGCTACATCAAAGTGATGCGTCGCCTTCAACGCGTCTACTGGCTTGAGCCCGCAGGGCTGCATGGTGTGTGGGGGCTTGATGACTACCACTTCCTTCCCTTCCTCTTGGGGGCAGGTCAGCTCGCCCCTCACCCGCACATGAAGCCGAAGCTGATCCACAACAAGGAGTTGGTGGAGATGTACGCTACACGCTACATGTACTTTGAATGCATTGATTTCGTCAACCACATCAAGACTATCCCCAACCACCAAGGGGAGCTCCTGCTCCGGTGGCACCTGCCGATGCTCGACGATATCAGTGCGGCGAAACTGTGGAGCAAAATTAACGACGGCATGATCAAAATGTACAAAGCCGAGGTGCTTGGTAAGCTCCCCATTATCCAGCACTTTATGTTTGGTTCGCTTATCCCCGCTCCCGAGGGAGTGTCGCAGCCTCACGAACACGCCGTCGACGACAACTGCGGCCATGTCCACGATGCCGTCAATACCTGGGGGGACTGCTGTGGAATTAAAATTCCTAGTGCTATCGCTGCTAGTGAGTCGATGAAGCAGCGCCCGTTGCCGTTTGATTAAGAGGTGGTTGTCTCAACACCCTTTTGATTGGTGTCCCAAATAGGCAAGTTCGACTTCGAGTCTATATAACAGATGGTCACCCCGCCCCCTTGAAAACTTAAACATATGGCGTTGCCTAAGTTCGACTTTGGCCCTCAGGCGCCACTCACCCCACAACAGTCCTACCACCAGCTTGCCAGCCAGGCGAGAATCCTCATCAATTATGTCATTGGCCGTCGTACGTTCAACTGCGATGAAATCGCTGCTCAAGCAAGTGAGATCAACCAAGCATTAAAGGATCTACGACTGAAGTATCCTCATTCGTTCACTGCTGAATACGAAGCAGTGGTGGACCTGCTCCATTTGCTATTGGGGGCACTCAAGATCCGTCTTGACGTTCTCCAACAGCCATCCACAGCCAAGTTCAAGGAACACCTGAAATTGAAGCAACACTCTAACATAACATTTGTCGGCTCCACCAATAGTATGAGACGGCGCAACACTCGCCATGAACCTACCCAGGTGGTGTTTTTGCGCCATTGGTACGAGATGAGACTGGCCAAAGACGGCAACCAGCCGGTGTATTTGCGGGACCCCGACGACCTCGACTACCTTATACAAAAGACCCGTCTTACCGAGACGCAAATCAGGGACTGGGTAAGCAACGAGCGCCGCCGCCGTAAGATACTTGGCCGCCACCATCACCACCGCTACGAACTCCCCAACGAATGGTGAAGCTTTTACTATGTCTCATTTGTTTTCGTACATTTTATAGTCGACAATGGAATCTCTCTCTTTTACAGAAATTAACCTAATTACTTCGCCTTGATCTTCTTGTCCACTGTGGCAGTATCCTTCTCCACCACCTCGTTCAAGTAGTTCAACCCCACTTGTTGCTGGAGCAACACGTTCGAGATTTTGGCGATGATCTCGTCGGTGGCCACCTCGTCCTTCTTGACACCGTTGCGGTCTAAGCCAGTCAGGGTCTCGTTAAGTTGCGCGGTCAACTGGTCGTTAAGGTCATTAGCGCGGTCCTTGAGAAGAACAAGCCGTGCCGAAATATCGGAAAGCTTCGCCATCGGCGAGTTGGGGTCGGTGAACTTGGCGTTGAGAGTATCAAATTGCTTCGAAATCTCTTCTTCCTCAGGTAAAAGCGGGTACCCTTTAAGCTTAAGGATGGCAAGCACGGTGGCAAGTCGCAACAACCGCCGCAGAAGCGTGGTGTGCCGCGCCCGCGCCTTTTGGATCCGAGTGGCGTTGTCCAAATCGTGCTTTGACAGCAACTGCTCCTGCTTGGCGTTAAGCTGCTGCAAAATAAGCCGCAGTCTCGTCACATGTTCCAATTGGGCCTCGATCCGTTGGGCCACTTCGGCAATACTGGTCACCTTAACCGGATACAGGTGATCCAGAGGGCGATGGTGCATGGCGTCATCCCAGTCTTCAGGGAGCTCATTAGGCGGTCGCTGCATTCGAAGCGCCAACTCCTGGTCGTTGGTGCACATGTTGTAGAAATGGGTTTTGAGGGCACACTTAGGCAGCGACGGGTCCCACTGTTCCTTGATCTTTTCGAGCTGGTCGCGGATTGCTGGAGTGTATGTGTGGACCACTTGTGGGGCAGTAGTGGTAGCAGTGGCCGTAGGTTGGGCGGCCGCCGGAGGCTGAGTCCAGGCAAATGACGGAGCCGCCAGGTTCTTGTTTTGGTTACCGAAAAGACCCGATGATTGTTGTTGCGCCGGCTGTTGTCCTCCTAAAGTGGTGGTAGTAGTCGCCGGCTTCGAGCCAAAGAGACCCCCCAGCAGAGCGGTGTTGGTGTTACCGCCAAAGAGACCACCACCAGTGGTCGTAGTCGCCGGCTTGTTGCCGAAAAGACCACCGCTAGTAGTAGTAGACGAATTGGCGTTGTTGTTGCCAAAGAGACCACCACCAGTAGTACTCGAAGTATTGGAGTTGTTGTTCCCAAAAAGACCCCCGCCGGTAGTGGTGGTGGCCGGTTTGCTGCCGAAAAGACCTCCCAGAGTGTTGGCAGTATTGGTGGTGGTGTTGTTGTTGTTGTTGTTGCCAAATAAACCCCCCAGCGTCGTGCCCAGTTGAGTGTTGTTGGCGTTGTTATTGCCAAACAACCCTCCCAGAGTGGTGGTAGTAGCGGGTTTGTTGCCAAAGAGGCCGCCCAGGGTATTAGTAGCAGTGTTGTTGGCGGTGTTGGCGGTGTTGTTGCCAAATAAGCCGCCAGAAGTCGCTGGGGCTGCCGGCTTGTTGCCGAATAAACCACCCAGAGTATTGGTATTGTTGTTGCCAAATAATCCTCCCAGATTGGTGGTATTGTTAGCGGTATTGTTGGCGTTGTTATTGCCAAAAAGCCCGCCCCCAGTGGACTGAGTGTTGCTGCCAAAAAGATTTCCTGCCGGCTTGGCTTGATTATTGTTGTTGTTGCTAAATAAACCACCGCCAGTAGTCGAGGTATTATTTTGCGTTTGGTTGGCGTTGTTGCCGAATAAGCCGCCCCCCAGGTTTTGGGTCTGGTTGTTGCCGCCGAAAAGCCCCCCAGTCTGGCCCGCCGGTTTCAGACCAAAAAGGTTGCCTCCAGTGTTGGTGTTCTGGGCATTGGACGTCCCGCCGAAGCTAAAGCCGGTGTTGGCGCCAGCGTTGTTGCCAAACATGTGTGGACGTTGGGACGGGTGTGGATGAGATGGGCGAACTTTTCGATGACAGTGGGGCTCAATGAGAAAGGGCGTTGATTTGGAGATAAAGCATGCAATAAACGGAAGGTTAGTTGGGTTTAATTGAGAGCCTGATGCTACTAGAAATGACGGATACAATTATTTTTTGTGTTATTTGGTCGACGGTGTCGATTGAGTAGTACTTGTGTTGTTCACCTTAACAACATTCAGTGCGAAATGTCTATCAAACCATGACACTGATCAAAGACACCTTAAAATCCAATAGACTTTGTCTTTGACTTAAGAAACGCGATTGAATGTAACTCTAATTGTGGTCACAGTTTTTTGTTGTTTTTTTTTTTGATCTACGGTTGTTTATCTCTGTGACCCTTACCATAACCGTTAACGCCGCACCAACCAGAAAAATACATTCTAGCATCAACCCTGCGCTATGAGTGCCATTTTCACCCGCGACGGCCAGCCATTAAAGGTGTACATTGACAGTGGTGGTGGTTTGAAACAAAATGTCGAGACCAAATTGATCAGCAACGGCGCGTCATTGGTCGAAGAACGCGCCGCCGCCGACGTGATCATCCTGGATACCCCCCAGCCGCTGGTGGTGCGCCCCGAGTGGATCGACCTGCTGCTTATTGCCGGAGAAATTCTCCCAGAGGAGCCTTACGCTTACGTCGGTGTCTCTGAGACTGTTGCCGTTGCCCCCCAACGATCTAAGGCTCGAGGCCACTTCAAATTCACGCCAGACAAGGACGAATTCATCCTCGAACGCGTCCGTCAAGAACCGAGAAAACGGAAACTGTTGGAGTTTTACGTGGAGCTTGCCAGTTCCCCGGAATTAAGAGGCCACACTGGTAATTCGGTGCGGTCACGGTTTAATCAGCAGTTGGCAAAGCGCCTCGCGTGGGTGTACGATCGTGATCTTGACGGCAACTACAAATTGGATGAAGAGGGCAACCGTAAGCGGACCACCGTCATTCCCGACACGCAAAAGGTTCCCTTTAGCCACCAAGACGACTTCTATCTTTGTGAAAGAATTGCTAAAGAGCGCGAATTCCCCGATGCCGAAGTAACCATCACTGATCCCACACAATTTTATCAAGAGGAAATTGAAGCTCGTATCAATGAAAGCAAGACGGAAATGATGCCGTATCCCTTCTATGGTCAGCTCGCTAAGGAGTTGCCCCAACACTCGCAGAACCTGTGGCGTGACCATCACCGCAAATACTTGCTGCTTGATGCTGTGCCCTACTATATTGCGTACTACAAATGGTGTCAAGAACAGGGGATCCCCCCGAAGAAGTTGCCCAGAAAGAAGGCTTATGATCTGAGTAAGATCAACGCCAATCGCAAACGAGCACAAGCGCCGGAGCCTTTGGATCAAGAGATCGGCCAGACCGCTGATTCGGATATATCTCGACTCCATGCCGTTGACGTGGCCAGAGTAGCTGCTGAAGCTGCAGAACAAGCAGCGCAAGCAGTGGCCGCACAGCAGGCTGATGAGGCTGATGACAATGTCGCTCCCGAGGAGGAACTTACCCGAGATGGTCCTTCACCCAAACGGGCGAGACGAGCCCCTGAAGAAGAGCAAGTGTCGCAGATTAGGGAGGATCTGCTCGTCCCTTCGGATTCGCAGGACGAAGCCGAGGTGACGGGTCTTGACATGCTTACCTCATATGCCGACGAGGGTGATGGCCACCACTATTGCTACATGAACAATGCTCTGACCCTTGATGAGTTTATTGATTTTGCCTCAGTATCTGGACAATTAAAGGACAAGCGGGATCGCCACTTTAAAGAGCTTGCGGAAGAAATTGCCAAATTGGAGGATGTAAAGCAGGTGGAGACTCGGTTACGGGAAGAAGGGTTCACGACTAAATTCATCGACCACATACTTCTCAGTTGTCTGATGCTCAGTCCCGTGGTGGGACGCTATATTGAGACGACAGGTCCTAAACTATTCCGTCTCGCCATGAAGCCTGGCGATGTCAAAGTGCCCATTCTCAGCTACATTTCGCCCCGAGACGACCCTGAGTTCTGGACTTTAGCTAGAGATCACGCTTTGGTACGCTACTCGTTCAACGGCACCGACCAGTCGTCACATGAAAGCAAGCGACGTCAGTTTCTTATTGACAATCGCGGACGCATCGACCCCGAAATCGTCCCCGAAAGAGACTGATTACAAAATTGTAATTACATAGTCAACAATAACAGGCCACAATCACCCTTCGGTTCTGGATCGGGCGGGAAGCCAACAATATCACGCGATGCAGTGTAGTTGTTTGACGAATCGATGACAATAAATCGATGCGCCTGTTGCGAGCCCGTGTGTATGTTCTTCGGCTTGATGAGGAAGGGTAAACACAGATGAAATTGCCCAGGCAGATAAGGCGACCGTGTCTTCCGGACCGGACGTGATGAGGTAGCAATCGAAACTTGGGTATATAAACAAATAGAATCCTTGGTATTTTCCTATAAATACTCGTGCTTCGCGTTGATAGTAAACAGTTGTTGTCAAACGTGTCTCTAGCACACATCATCAGCCATTGTTTTAATGACGGTGGGGATCGTAAACAATGCTACGAAACTTGTAGGCGTCGTAGGCTGGGAGGTGAGTACCACCTCCGAATACGAGATAATATCACAGTGGAGGAAACTGCTGCAGAAATTTTCGTTTCCTACTAGTTTTGAATCTAATGTGGTATATTGTGATTGATAACCTAAAAAAACACCCTAATAAAAGTTTCAACAAAAAGTGATAGAAAAAGTTTAAAGAAAAGTCAGAAATAAACCGAGACAGTTGTAATAACGTCAGGAACGTGTACTTGCATTGTAGTATCACACATCAGGTATCACTCCACTTACAAAATACCCCAGTACTTTTCAGCACCGAAGGTAGCACCCGAGTCTTGCTTCCATTCTTCGTTGAAGGCCGAGAACAAGACGGTAGCGTCACCGCACTTTTGCTTGATCGAGTTGATGGCAGCTTGTTGGTTTTCCTTCGAGGGCACCGCCTTCTTGTTGGCGGAACCTTGCGAGGGCCAGCCCGATTCGGTAACAAACACTCTCTTACCGGGACAAGCAGTGGCAACTCTCTGGATTTGACCGAGCAACCATTCACCAGCTTGGTCGGCGGCGTAACCACCGTCGAAGAAGGCGTGGGCGTTAATGGCAACGTAGTCACCAGCATCGCACAATTCAGGGTTGTTGATGGTGGCAATGAAGGTGTCAACGGTGGTGACGGGGCCGTTGTAGCCGGCACCTTGAAGGATACCCTTAGCCTTGTTGACGTAACCCTTGATGGCACCAGCGGACTTTTGGCCCGAGTTGACCAATTCGTTACCGATGGTAACGGTGTCAACCTTCGACCAGCCACCGTGAGCTTTAACGGCGGAGATCAAGGTGTTCAATTCCGAGTCCAAGTTGTCAACGTTGAAGACACCGAGGATAACCTTTTGGTTGTCACCAATGGCCGACAAAACGTTTTCGACTTGGTTGCAGTCAACACCGTAAAGTCTGATGATGTCGAAGCCCGACAATTTGGCGATGTCCGACTTGACTTGTTCAGCGGTCTTGCAAGGACCGGAGGTGTAAGGGGTGTAAGTAACACCCTTAGCACCCGAGGCACCGACACCCGACGAGCCAGAGTTCGACGAAGAGTCCGAAGAGGCCGACGAAGAGGGGGCAGCCGAGGCCGAGGTGGCGGGGGCAGCAGGGGCGGCAGTGGGAGCAGCGGCCTTTTGCACACCGCCAACGGTCACGTAGACGGTTTCCACAGCTCTCTTGTGTTCATGGTGCTTGTGGATGGGGGAAGCGGCGGCGAAGGTAGCGGCCAACGAAGCGAGGACAAAGTTTTGGAACAACATAACGATTGAAAATGGGTCAGGGAATGGATGGGGATGGAAACAAAAGGCTCTACTTGAAGGAAAAAGTAAAGGAAAGACTGGTAGAAGCTCTTGTTTGGTAACCTAAAGAGAAAAAAAAAACTGCGTCACAGCGGGCGTTGACATTTTTAAAGCCTCCGGGTCCCGACACGCGCCTCAATTCGTGTCTGCACCATATTTTTGCGGTAAACAAGTGAAAAACATGCACCGCGTCAATATCTTGTTTACAGTATTTTTTTCAGGCGCGCCGGCAGAGCCAATCATAATCAGCGAGAGGAGGTCCCAGGGATGAGTGGCTTCATTGAAAGCCCCCTAGACCCTTAAGAGGTATCACAACCTTTGGCTTTCGGCTTAGGGACATAATGAAAGCAAAGTTAGTGCCGTCGTCACTTACAGACCCTATAGTGGTCGCGTCGAGGGGTGTTGTCAACAAGGCGACTCGCGAATATTCCCATTAGGGAACGCCGATCTACGGAATCGTCGCTGCCACGACGCCGCTGCACGACCCCGTGGAAGTTCCGTACAGACGACGGCTTTGAGGGATACCTTTTGGGAGGGGGGGCGCCTAGGGGTAAGCTTAAACAATTACCCACTTAAGAAGTGCTTTGTGCCCCGGGGGACGTTTTGGTAGTGGTTGATCGAAGCGAATCGTAAGCCACGTCTCTTAACCATACGTCGTTCTAGACCGGCACATGGGACACCCACAATTGCTAGGCACGGCATCAACAAACACTCCTACCCAGACACCCTCCGTGGGGTTGCCAACTGGTTCCTTGATACTTACACTGAAACCCTAGAAACCCCTCCTCTCGACGGTAGTCATAACAAACGCGCTCACCATTGGTATGTTGGGTGGTGCTGTCGGTATGTTGATAACGCTGTCTGACCCCACTACTCGACAACGGCACGAGGATTTTTTTCACCGAGGTTCTGGGCACTTTTTTTCAACCGCCCCGGTGAGCAGCCACAAACTAAGGTCCGCTTTCGGTGTTGACAAAACAGTAGCAATATAAGGCTAATAGAGCTAACACAAACCGCACGCCCCAGGTGGTGGGGCTATCTCGTTTGACTATGGGGCCACGCACGATATCGCCACCTGACTCCTGTGGATCGCACTGCTCAATGCATCAAGCACCTGATGTCTTAAAAGGGGTTTGTGGACTAGTGATTCGATGGGAACCATTTTGCCTCGTCCTAGATAATCAACCTGGCATGCCTGGATGCCACTAAGGGTTGAAAATTCCCCAGAATTCCCCATCAAAACCAATGAAACGATCTCGTGCTTTTGGCAGCGATGAGCATATAGCAGCCATACATGCTTTGCGTCCGGCATGCACCTGTCGGGGGGGTTGCCCCCGCCACCAGATGGTTACCAGGCAAATATACGCAACGGCTGGCCTGCACCGTATGGGGGCCATCGGTAGACACACGTAGCGATGAGGGGCACGTCTGAGATAGCCATGACCGAGGCCGGCGCTGTCCTGAGGTCATTGGTTTCAGGGATGGAATGCAGTGCACGTGCACCCGATTATACTTTGCACCACCGTCATTATAATGTATATAATTAACGGAATGCGGCAGGAGGGGCCTGCCGACAATAGCACTTTATTGAAGTGTGAGACTCTCGTAAACGATTCTCGTGCTAATGTCTACGATTCTCCTGAAAGTAGAAAGTATGGAACTCATAATAAATGAGTTCGACGTAAACTTATGGAAATTAAACGCCTAGCGCATTGCATTCTTCAAAGGTCATCGTGCCCGACACTTTTGCAAAATCCGTAGCAGTTCGCATTATCGCCGTACAATGTAAATTTTGGAGGCCATCGCGGTTTGCCATTGAAGTCGCACTTCGCCAGCCGGTATAGGTAAGAGAACAATTATCAGTACGAAAACCGACGATACTCTCCTTAACCCAAGTCATTTTAAGATGATTATCGCGTATCCCTAAATGTCCCCAAATGTAAACGTCACGCTGCTTAATAATAGCACCACACTTTACTTAGTCATCATTTTCATAGCGTATCAAGTCTACAGCTTTCGATTCAGCTTTTCTACGTTGGCTAGGTTGTGGCGGGCGCGCTTTTATCGTCGCTAATCGGATTTTTATTTTTCGGTGGTGTCACCTACTCATTTACTATGGTCTCGTCACGTCGTTGCTGTACACGTGACCGCTCACCCTTATTCTAGCGTTAACCACATTTACCGTGCCACTCGACTCACACCCGCCCCTAATGAACCACAGCGACATTGAAGGGGACGACTCCTTTGACAAATCGCCTCACGTCGAGACGGACAGTGGTGTCGAGGCTACCCTGCGGCCATTGGCGCTGGACGACGCCGCCATGACGGCAAAACTCCTCAAGCCAATCCCAGACTACCCAGTATTGGGCGAATCCGTAAACCGCTGGTCCATCGCAAACTGGAACCACTTGAACCAGGACAAATTGCATGGCCCCCGCTTTACCTGCGCTGGCATTGAGTGGAACGTACTCCTTTTCCCCCGGGGAACGCAGAACTCCGGCGTGGTACTGATCTACTTGGAACCAGTGCCTCCCGCCGACCTGGACGACGACTGGTACGTGTGTGCCCAGTTTGCTCTTGCCCTTGCTAACCCCCGCCACCCAGAAGTATATTTAGCCAACCCCCTGCACCATCGGTTCACAAAATCAGAGACCGACTGGGGGTTTCTGCTGTTGATTGATCTGAGAGCTCTCACCACCCCTCAACCCCGCTATGGTCTGGAGACGATCCCGTTACTCGATACCGAGGGCACCAATGGCATTGATATCATCGCATACGTGCGGGTGTTTGACGACACCGCCACCGGCGTGCTTTGGCATAACTTGATGGACTACGACTCGAAACAGGCCACCGGCTACATCGGGCTCAACAACCAAGGCGCCACGTGCTACCTCAACTCATTGTTACAGCTGTACTTCACCACCCTGATCTTTCGCAAGTTGGTTTATCAGATCCCCACTGACGGCCAAGGTGGCGTGCCCCGTGCATTACAGCGGATGTTCTACATGATGACGACGCTGCCGCTGCCGATATCTACCATGGAGCTCACCAAGCTGTTTGGTTGGGACTCGCTGGACGCATTCATGCAACACGACATCCAGGAACTCAACCGGATCTTGATGGATAAATTGGAAACGGCGATGAAGGGATCGCTGATCGAGGGCGAACTCAACCTGATTTTCGTTGGCAAAATGAAGCTGTATATCAAGTGTATTAACGTCCCTTACGAGCTGCTGCGGATTGAGGACTTTTGGGACATTCAGCTCAACGTCGAAGGCTTACCCAACTTGGAGTCACTGTTCAAAAACTACGTCGAAATCGAAATGTTGGAGGGGGAAAACAAATACCAAGCGAACGAAGAGTATGGCTACCAGGACGCAAAGAAGGGGGTGGTGTTCGAACAGTTCCCCCCGGTGCTCCACTTACAGCTCAAACGGTTCAAATACGACTTTGTCGTTGACGACTTGGTGAAAATTGATGACTTTTATGAATTCCCTGATACCATTGACTTAGCTCCCTACATCGACGAGGAACTGCCCAACAAAAATGAAAACTGGACGTACAAGTTGCACGGTGTCCTTGTGCATCAAGGCCTGATTCTGAATGGCCACTACTACGCTATGATCAAGCCCAACGCTGACGGGGGCTGGCTTAAGTTCGATGACGACAAGGTGACGAAGGCGACCACGCATCAAGTGTTTGACGAGAACTTCGGGGCTCCGGAGCCTACCCCTCAACAAATGGCTCGTATGTCTCGTGCTGAACTGCAAGAATACTACATCAAACGGGTTACGCTGGCGTATATGTTGGTTTATTACCGGGAACAAGACCTCCCCACGATCTTACCCGCGGCTTCAGAAGTGACTATCCCCGAGGAAATCCCCGCTCAGATCGACGCCGAACTCAAGGCTAGAGAGCAAGCGGAACAGTTGAGACAGGAGGAAATGTACTACATGCCTGTTCGCTACATCACCCTGAACCAGATGGCTGCCCATACTGGGTTTGACTTAGCGTTGGACGAAACCAATCCTAAGCTCTATGACCAACGCCTTGCGGGTACGGCGGCTGACCCTATCACCGTGAAGACTCGTAAAGATGCCGAATTGAGTCAATGTGTCAAAACTGTCGCTGCGGATTTGCAAAACCCTGACAACCAATTCCGGTTGGTACCCATGATGCATCGGTGTAATCACACCAACAGAGCCGACCGTCCATTTGAAGACGGCATGTTGCTGTGGCTGGTGGCTAAAGTGTACAATCACGTTTACATCAAGAAGTACGACCACATGGTGGTGTTTGTTGAGGAGGCAGCTAAGGAGTTGCACAACGTTGCCGAAACCGCACCGGAGGCGTGGCAAAGCCCGGAGAAGTTCTCCTGGGAGCAACCTCTCAAGCTTATCGAATCAGCCTCGGATGCCGACGCCGAACTCGTGGATATTCAGGAAAACGGTACTCACAAGCTCATTTTCATCAAGTACTTTGACCCCATTTCCCAAGAGGTTCGCGGTATCACCCACGCCACCGTGCTTCGTGACGACACCATCCAGCTGCTCATTCCTGAAGTTAATGCCATTCTTGGGTTTGACCCCAGCACTGAACTCGTGGCCTACGAAGAACTCTCGCCGCTGAAGATTGAACCATTGGACGTTGAGGCCAGTTTCAGCAAGCTTGACTTAGACAATGGCGACATTGTCACCTTTGAGCCTGCTAATGCTCCCACTGTCGCCACCGGTCCGTACAAACTGGCGCGAGACTACTATACATTCATGTTCACGCGGATGCACATCATGGTTTCTCCGTGGAACGGCGATGAAGACTCTGACGTGGAGCCATTTGACCTTTGGATTCTGACCCTCGACACCTACGCTCAAGTGGCGGCCCAGGTGGCTGCCCAGCTCGAAGCCCAGGGCGAAAAAGTCGATCCGAAGTACCTTCGCCTTTACGTACGCCTTCCTCTGGCTCAAGGCCTGCAAGTGTACACGTTGAGAAGTCTGCACGTGTTGTCGCAAGTGTTCAGTCGCCAGATGCCTGTGAACCTGACCCTCGCCTTTGAATATGAGGTGCTTCCAGTCCCGCTCGTTGACTATGAAAACTTGCGTCGCCTCGAAGTGGTGTGGGTGCTGAACTTCCTGCACTCTCAACCCCTCGAGGTGTTGGCACTGAGACTGGCTACTGTGGGGGAGATTGTCAATGAAAAAGTCATCCCTCAGCTTAACAATGGCGAACCCGTTGATATTTCCAACCTCTTGGTATGGGTTGGAAATGACAACCGCTTTAGCGAATTTTTGAAGCCCCTGAGCTCGCTTGAGCTGATCCAGGAAGGGGCTGACACCATCTACATGGGGATTTTCCCAGTGGAAGTGTACTGCTTAGCCGCAAACGACATGTACAAGCGGTTTGCGCCCACGGATTCCGAGTTGGTGAAGCCTACGGAAGCACTGGGCGACGGCGAGGTCGACGCGGTGAACGCCGAATTGGAGGTAGCGGAAAAGCATATCAATCAAGTCAACATTTTGCCGCTTTACCATTTCCAAAAGTCGTTGAACTACCGTCATGGCATACCCTTCATTTTCCCCATCTACCCGGATGAGACTTTTGCCGACATTAAGGCAAGACTTCAACTGCGGTTGGGCATGGGCCAACAAGCGTTCTCAAAGGTGAAGGTGGCTCTCACGGAGGGGACGAGAGGGCTGTACTTGGAGGACGACGACGCTGTGGTATACGACCAACTCAAGAAAATCGCCGAGACCCATGACGCCCTGATTGCGCTAGACCACCCCGACCGGCTGACGCGTAAGCCCAATGTGTTTGACCGCGGTATTACCATAAAGTAAGGGTGTCTAGTTGATCAAAATTTACCACGATGTGAGCCGATCATGCCATATACTACTATCTTTTGGTTGTGTGTGCCAGTAGCGTGGTCGTGTGCGACACGAGTTTTTTTTAGCATGAGCGAGAGATCTAGCGTTTTGTATGTAAATAATACTTTGCATTCTCACATTTATTTAACTCTACTGTGATCCAACTCAATCTCCAATTGTTCCATACCATTGGGCGAGTCTTTTCAAGGTTTATGAGGTTTCCCCCGTGAACGTGGTGTTCGGGGATATGGAAAAACACAACCAGCTGTGGCTACTTGAGCTTACCAAAAATGTCAAGCGGGCGTACGTTAAAGATGCGGTTCTGGAATCTAACAGAACTGAGGGCAAGTTGAGAATCCTTCAAATGATCAAGGTGGTCAATACCCATAGTCAAACTGGAGACATTTACTGTCTTATGTCCGATGCCCAAAACAAAATATTTGTACGGTTTTCCTCGGGGAAAGCCATGACACGCTACGTGAAACAGTACCAGGTTCCATTTATCTACTCTAGCACCCACATGTTGGTACTTATCACAAGGGCTCATCTTCGACAATACAGCTACGCTAAATTGATGAAGGTATTATTATTCGAATGCAACGAACCACAGAAACGCTTCATTAACGATACAGCGACCCTCTTTGATAAGTCGTTGAATTATGTGGTGATGGAAGTGGAAGACTTCCAAATATACTCGCGGCTCGGTACTCTGCCTCTGAACCCTTTCCGTACCTTCATCTACCTGCACCCGAGCTATAAGGGAAAACTTGACTTCACCGAAGCAATGAAACTAGTCAAGGATGACGAAGGAGATCTACTAGAGGAGGGCGAAGCCTCTACGTACCATACCATCGCCTACCCAACAACAATAAAAAATTAGCATTAATAAGAGCGAAATTAGAATTTGATAGCATTTAATCTCATGGCTGTACTTGTAGTTTTGATGATGATACTTGTGACTAAGCGGTTTTATATTCATAGCCTACAAGAATTGCAAGAATAATAGTAAATCATGATGGTGAACACGTCACCAAAAGCCAAGCTAATATCGTATCGTGGAGCATGCTGGTGTGATTATCAGAAGTATTCCCCCCTGATTACTCTAAGGTTGTAGCGTAAATTTCTATATACAAGCTTAGGCCTCGCGTCTATCCTTGATCTTCTCCTTATTGACATGTTTGTGGGTTCTGGTCTTGGCGAACTTCTTGAGACCCCACATCGATTGGGACACCTTGTTCGACTTCGACTTACCTCTACCACCACCGTGCGGGTGGTCGTTGGCGTTCATCGCCACACCACGGGTCTGAGGACGGAACCCACGGTGACGCGATCTCCCGGCCTTACCCCACTGGACGGCTTGGTGTTCCTTGTTCGACACCACCCCCAAGGTGGCAGGACAGTCCTGGTGGATGTAACGGACTTCGCCCGAGCTCAACTTGACCACCACCTTCTTTTGTTCGGGGTGCTTAGACAAAAGACGGGCGAAGGTACCCGCCAGCTTCACCAACAAACCCCGGCCACGGGGGTCAAGGGCGATGTTGTGGATGATCGACCCCACGGGAAGCATTTTGAGGGGCAAACAGTTGCCTCTTTGCATGATACGAGCGTTAAGCAACGCATCGTCGATTTCGCCGTTATTGGTGGCGGCCATTTCTTGTAAGAAATCCTCAGGAAGCCCCAGACGGAACGATTCAACGACATCGCCTTCACGCAACCCTTGAGGCGCTAAGATGTACGACAAGTTATTTGTGACTTCGTTACGAAGAAGGGCGATGTGACCGGTCCGGTTGGGGTCGTATTCGATACGAACAACGTGGTGCTTGCCTTCTTGCCAGCGGTGGGAGTCGATCAACCGCGCCCGCTGCTTGTGACCGCCCCCACGACCACGCACGGTGATCTTACCAGTGTTGTTTCTCCCGGCGGTTTTGCGTTTGGCCACCGTCAACTCGCGGATGGGCTTGCCCTTCCACAAGTGCTCATGGACGGGCTTTTTGTAGTGGGTGGACCCTGGTTGCAAGTGGCCGTTGGCGTGCAGTTTGATGACGACGTTGGCGGCGGCGAGTTTCCGCTGGCGCTGGTACAACGTGTCCTTCTCTTCCAACTCGGTCATGCCCAGGTTGGCTCTGCGGGCAAGACGAGCAAGCCCCCACACCAGGGACAACGGCAGCACTCTCAGCGAGGGCCCGACGAGACTGAGCATTTGGTGGATGGGTGTGGTAAAAGGTCCGTGATGAAATTTTTCAGTGCGAGTGAGGCCCCCAGTGATGATGGTACAACCGGTTAATTTGGGGAGAAAGGGGATGATTTTGACAAATAGCAATTGTCTATAGTGATGGTAAAGTGATTGATGACCTATTGTTTGAATTTCAAGTTTTATCATTGAATGCATCACTATCGTTGGCAACTCCTTTGCGTCAATTATTAAACCTGAACACACATCATTTTAACTAAGAAAATTAGAATAACATCATATTCACCAGAAGTAAACGAACCAGTATTTCTACTCATTATCAGCTAGATTAGTGTTGCAGCGTATAATTCACACTTTATTGACTGCTGTCTTTGAGAGATTATCGAGTGCGACAACGGCTATGTAAACCAAATCAGATCTTCAGGAAATACCACTGAGATTTGTTTTTTTTGGCGCTAAGAAAAAAAATTATTAGAACGATTGCCATGATAGCGAACTCACAGTTGTTGATCAATTTACCAGGGGAGAGTCATATGTTAAGCGGTGAGGGCATTGAGAACCCTCCAAAGGGAGCGAGTTCGGTGGCCGCTCCTGCATATGGCTCAACCAATAGCAGGCGCGACTGGCAACCCCGAACCTATAGGTACATTTTTTCCAAGCGTGAAAAAAAGATTAGACCGTAAAGATGTTGTCCAAGGTGTTCACCCGTTCGTTGGCTGCGGCTGCCAAGTCCGTCAAGCCCCCCGTGGAATTGTTTGGTGTTGACGGCACCTACGCCAATGCCCTCTACTCGGCCTCCGTGCAAGACTCGTCGGTGTCGAAGGCCTACAAGGACCTTGGCGAGATCAACAAGCTTGCCGAATCCGACCCCAAGATCCAGGGCTACTTCACCAACCCGGTGTTGTCGAAGGAAGACCGTGAAGTCGTCGTCAAGACCATCTCGGACTCGCTCTCGTTGGACAAGACCATGTCGAACTTCCTCAGCGTGTTGGCCGACAACAACCGTTTGTCCGCCTTCCCCGGCATCTACAAGAAGTTCGGTGTGTTGAACGACGCCGCCAGCGGCATTGTCGAAGCGAGAATCACCTCGGCCAAGCCCTTGGACTCGAAGATCTTGAGAAGATTGCAAATCGCCATCCAAAAGTCGTCGTCCGTCGGCGAAGACAAGACCCTCAAGGTCACCAACGACGTCAACCCCGACATCTTGGGCGGTTTGATCGTCGAGGTCGCCGACAAGACCGTCGACTTGTCGATCTCGGCCAAGGTTGCCAGATTGAACCAATCGTTGGCTGAAGCCTTGTAAACGGCCCCATCTCTCGGTGCATATTAGTATTTAACGAATAGACAGAAAACAGCAGATTTCAAGGTGTAGAAAACGCGTCAATTGACAACAACGAATAATTGCCTATGCTAATGACATTAGAACGTTCTAAGTGGCATTGTTGCCATTGACTACGATGCCTCAAATCAACGACGATCGCCGACAACTACATCGAGCTAGATAGCACATGCCTTCTTACTTTAGCATTGATTGATAATGTCACAAGCTACGGTGGTTGCCCTTCGGTGGTTTCTTTACAGTGGTCATTGGCGAGGGCGGGCGTCGAACCTTATGTCTCAACTCCGTGGGCCACGGCGTCATCAATCCACAACAATAGCCGGATGTTTTATGGGGCCCGAGTTCGGAACCAGTGGGGAAGCCGCGGCCACCCCATGATTTTGGCCTCTCCTCCCGTAGGGACAGTGGGCTACGCTGGTGTCACATGGCGCCGCCACCCACGTTACCCCCGGGCGCGTGTAGAGTGGGTGCAGCCTGTGAGGGGTCGCAATCGCCGAACCCCACGCCATCCCGCCGTCGTCACAATAATACACACGCCGGCGACGCCAGGTTATCCCGAAACTCCGGGGAAATTACTCTGAGGGGTAAGCAATTCCCCACCGCTTGCCACTTTATCTCCATCGACATGACCCAGTGCAGGGTTTGAGGTGGTGGGGTGCCTGGGAAACGCTGGCCGCTAGCCCTGAGTCCCCCCTTCCCCACAACGGGCTCGGAGACAGGGGCAAGGCACCATAAACGGTATTTATACGTCAGTAGACCCCCCCCAACTAGCCGACAGCAGTGTCATCCCCAATTGCTCACAGTGCCGCTTACCCTCTCCTCTCCCCCCTCATCGCCAATGATGCTGGAGCAGAAGTCCCGTGCCCAGTTTCTCGACCTCCTAAAGAAGGAAGGGTTTACCGAAATCCGCGATTACGCCCAGGACTGCCGGCGCAAGGAGTGGCTCGTCGACCACATGGACAAGCAGTCGTTTGACGAGTACATCGAGTGGACCCACCACTGGGAACAGTCACGGCGACCGGCGTGGGCGTCGTCGTCGACATAGTCATATATATCAGTTACATACGCATCCAATACCATTTCCGACACTGCCGACATTGACGGTCGCCGAGACGCGGTGCCGGCGCTCGCACCTCCGTACACCGTTCGCCTCTGTCTGCAACCACAAAGTCGCGTGCCGCGTTTCCTGCCACCGGCCCATATTTAGGCACCGCCCCTTTTACCCTCCGCATCTCGCCGGATGAAGACGTTTTCTGCCATCACCAACTTTGTCACCGTGGTTACGGTGGTGCTCAACCTATTCGTATACTTCTACCCGGACATCGTCAACCGCGACGGCCAGTGTGACTGGCACCGGTTCGACGACGATACCCCTTTACCGAAAGCCAAATACCCCTGGATCGACCAATTACCACCGGCAGTGAAGTCCAAATTGCTTAGTAACTTTGCCAGTCTACGCCAGGACGACGGATCAAGTGAAGACATCCACATCTTGACGTTTGGCGACCCTCAGATCAACGGTAATTGGCCGCTGACCCCCTATATCAAACGCCTCGATAACTACGGCAATGACTACTACTTGGGCCACATCTACTCCATCATGAAACTGCGGCTTCGCCCGCTGCACGTGGCGGTGATGGGAGACCAGTTCTCTCTGCAATGGATCTATGATCTGGAGTTCTACAACCGTACCTACCGGTTTGTCGAGCGTCTTTTCCCTAGAGACCCCGAATACAAACAAACGGTGTTGGACTTTTGGCAACGGCAAGAGAACTTTGACTGGATGGAATGGATGAGACAAGAGCAGGCATTGGACCCGAACCATCGCTTTTCGCTGCGCAATTACGCCGACGTCTACGACTGGGTATCTCTCGACCGTAACACCCCTAACTATGACCAACCGCTTTTCATTAACTTGACGGGTAACCACGATATCGGTTACCTGGGTGATGCTACGTGGCAACACATGGCGCGGTTCCACCAATTGTTTGGTCAGAACAATTACGTGATCACTTACGATGCTGGTACAGAGAAGGAATGGCGGATCATTGTATTAGACTCCCTCACCCTTGAAGGTCCTGCCCTTGAAGAGGATTTCCGTAACTATACCTGGTCCTTCCTCAATCATATCAAGGCTGACCTTAACCCTAACTTTAAGGGTCCCACCATTTTGTTTACCCACATCCCCTTTTACAAGCGGGCCGGACTTTGTGCTGATGGTCCCGAACACAAGTTCTATATTGATTACGCCAAAGAACCTTACAAGAACGGCAAGCTCCGTCTGCAAAACCATCTTTGGCACAACACCACCCAAACGGTGATGGACATCGTGTTCCCTAACCCGGATCAAAACGGGATGATTTTGACGGGGCACGACCACGTCGGTTGTGACGACTGGTACAACTACATCAACGGCGAGTGGGTGGCTCTGAAGGAGCGCCAGGAACCCCAGCGTAAGCTGGTGCGTGAGATTGTGGTACGGGCAATGATGGGCGACTTTGATGGCCAAACTGGTGTGTTTACTGGCCACTTCGACAAAGCCGACCACAAGTGGAAGTTCGAGTTTACCTACTGCCTGTTTGTTGTCCAGCACTGGTGGTGGGCGCTGAAGGTATTGGCTCTTGTCACCTTGTTGCTCCAGCTGATCAAGTTCTTAATCTAGACGATATCTATTTACATACATTGCGTTCATAAAATTTACCCGCTCTTTCTTCGCTTCGACAATCGCAGTTCCCGCTTTGCTTCTCTCTTTTCCCGTCGTTTCAGCTCAAGCTTTTCCGCTTTGGCCTCATCCACTTGGTCAGTGCCCAGGGCCAATACTTCCATGATTTGAGCGTATTGAGGGCGTTGACACGCCATCTCGTCAAGCCAGACGGTAAAGCAGTCAAAAGCAAAACAGATCTCGATATCCTCCAAAGCCCGCGCCGGCCGATGATTGAATTGTTTCCAAATGTTAACCACATTCGATTGGTCCAGCTGCTGAAGGTATTGTTTGAGCTGAGTGGCTAGCTGATTGAGCTCATCGACGTTATTGGCCATATTGCCCACATTCAGGTACCTGGTAGAGAAATGGGTCAACATGATCTTGGGACAATTCATAAGCTGGCACACGGCCACCGCTTCAATCATCGTCGAATGCTTCTTGGCAATGGCTTCTTCGATAAGCTCATTATCAAGACTCAGTTCGTGAACGAGAAGATCGGAGTTGATACCAATATCAACGAAACGAGGATTGGGGCGAGTGTCCCCAGAGTATGCAATTTTGAACGTCTCGCCATCACCCAAATCAAACGTCATCGCGATCGAGTACGCCCATGCGCAGTGGATGGCCCGCACCGTTTGTAATTGGGTCAAGTGGAGGTCACGGTACATGTCATTGATCGTTGCGTTATCGATGGGAGCCAAAGGCGCACGCTGAGGCAGTTTACCAGGTTGGAATTGATCCAAGGGTGTCTGTAAGAATTCCGCTTGACGGTCTTTGGGGAGGAAATTCTCACAAGAGAGGTAGCGAATCCGTGACAAATCAATGTTCAGTGTCAGCCCTTCCAACGCGTACCATTCGGACAAGAAGTGATGGAATTGCCAGGGAAGAACAAGCCAAAGCGTATCCTGGTTATCTTGGTTTACTTCAAACCATTTCGATATCACCAGCACTAACCCAATGTGGTGATCAGCGTGTAAATGCAGCAAATGGATCATTCTGAGCTCTGTCATCACCTGATTGAATTGAGCCAAGTTGTTGTGACCATAGTTACGGAGCATGGTCCCCAACGTGTTTTCACCTCCGTCCAACATGATCAGTTGGTAAGTGATATCTCCCAGTTCCAGTTGGTGAGGAATTCTCACGAGAGTCAGGATGACGTTACGATGGAGCGACGGGATCGCCGAACCCGTACCTAGCGTCACCACTTGTACCATATCCTTTAGCAGGGACAGCGGCGTGGGTTTAGCCAATGGAATCGGGGTAGGGTCCACTACCCGTTGACGGTCCTCACCAGAAGTCTCGCCCATTTCTTCAGCCACGGCATCGTAGTGAACATTCCAGTCGCCCAGCAACACTTCGTCGTGAGAGATGTCGCTCGAGTCGGGGCCAAGGGAAACCTCTTGGAGCTGCTGAAGCTTATACACTTGACCAGGGGCCAAAGCCTCAAACAGTTCGATATAAGGTAAATTGATGTTGGAGGACAATAAGTGACGCAATTTCAAAGTATTGGCAGCGCTCAGCTTGAACACTAAGGTGTGATTAGTGAGCGATGGGTGGGACACGATGTGCTTGGTTTCGGGACCGAACTTAGCCATAAACTGAGTGTATTCGTCCAGCTTGAAATCAATGTCCTCACCCAAGAAGTGGTAGACCACTCCCACCGGTTCGTGGCCGTAATCGTCACTGGACTCAAACCACGCTTCCAGAGATAACGTGGGCTTAAGGTAACGGGAGTTGGGAATATCAATCACTGCCACTTTAGGGAAATGCTGAGGCGGCGTCATCACTTGGTGAGGGTAAACCAACTCTCCCTGGTCGTTTTCGATCGGGTCACCCTTTTCCAAAATCTTGAACGCTGGCCCCGGCTTAATCCCTGCAGCTTTAGCCTTCTGGATATCGAAGCGGCCTCTCATGGGCAATGGTCGAATAATGTATGACGTCAGCGGTTGTTGAGCTGGCGGCACCACCTCTTCCGGGTTGGGGAGCTTCACGTGAGTGTGAGCGTCTCTTTCAGTGGGGTCAATCGTGTACAGGTCAGGGTCAGCTGAGTTGACGACCAGAGTATCCTTAGGGAACATGTGACCAGCAAGGTCGCGGAGTAGTTGATTCCACTTCAGCGGCTGCGGTTCTGGGGCACCTTCAGGAAGCACAGTGATGGCTCGTACGGCAAAGTTGTTGTCACCAAGTACTTGTGGCTGAGTGTGGGAGCCCACTTCAATCACTTCAACATCGATCCCTTTGCGAAAGACGAAATACCGCCAATTGGCGATGATATAGCGTAACAAACCAGGATTCCCCGTAAACAAAGAGATTCCTTTCTTGGTAGCATCACTTAAAGTGAGAAGAAACCCTGGGAGACCACCAATATCGGGCCATTGTGTGAATGTACCAGTAAAGAACACCAGCCGCATGCGGCCGAACTTGGCCTTATTCTCATTGAGCACTCTCTGGGTACCTTCGGGGATCTTGCCGAAGAAGTAGGTGTAGCCATCACGTCCCGTAAGCAACAACAGCGGCGTTCGGGTGTCGTGGGTGGGGTGGGCGATGGTTTTGATGCGATACATGCCTTTGCCGAGCTTGTTGTGGGTGAAGTGGTCGGCTCGGGCGTGTTCCGAGGGGGAGTAGCGGAGAGAAGGGTGGGGGAGGCGTAGCGCTCGTGTGGGCTGGGTTCCCGGGACGGCTCTGGCTCTCACCTTGGATGGCTCGCGATGCGATGACGAGATGAGGTGGGGGCGGCTAATTATATTGATCTAAGGGAAACTTGGCAATGGCAGTTAGACATTTTAAGTATAAGTTATCTGGCTTGGTAAATGGGGGCAACACCATAATTGTGTGATGAGTGTTTGTTTAAGTGAGAGGTCAGCGAGTGGTCGCGTAGTGACTGAGGATGTCTACCCTTCCCCCAGAACCATAGAATCAAGAACTTTGATCTTTTCTGAAAACCATAGAACCGGTAGCGTAAGCTCATTCAAATACTCATGAGTATCAGTCTCATGGACATGACGTTTCCTGGAAGCATCACTGTTTAATTTATCTCGCTAGTGTCTCACTGTCGCATCCATGTCAACGCTGATCCCCACCACGGCATCGGTGACGGTCACAACTACTGAGGGTCCGTTGGTAATCGATCTATGGGCCAAAGAGACCCCCAAGACCTCTCGCACATTCCTTGAACACTGCATTGTTGGCGATTACATTGGGGCATCAATCGCAGTCGGTGACGATGCGGTGACGATTACTAGTTCAGTTGAGGGAAAACAAGAGGAATCAGTGGCCGATGAATTCCATTCTAGACTTCGGTTTGGTACCAATGGTCTTCTCTATACCTCTCAGCAATCTTCGGGAGGACAGTCGTTACTCAAATTCCATATCAGTTCCAGTGATGCTACCAGTTTACAAGGGAAAGTCAATGTTTTCGGACGGGTCAGTACCGAGTCGAATAAAGTATTACGGCTATTAAGTGGAACTGAGGCGAAGGTGGAGCTGGTGCAAGTGACCAAGCACTATTTCGACGATCTTCCTCAGCCACCTCAAGCTGAAGTACCAAAGGAAGTTACTACTGAAACAAAACCTGCCAAAAGAAAAATTAAAATGGTATACGACGAAGAAGAAGAAGACGATACTGAGGCTGTGCAGTTCAAAATCAAGCCATTACTGGTGAAGAAACCAAAGCAAGAATTGAGGGCTGCGGAGCCGAAACCAGAACAAAAGGAGAAGGTGGAGTCGCCAGAGAAAGTAGAGGAGGAAAAACAGCAATCTAAGCCTGTGCTTAATAATGCTAATGATGCCCCGAAGAAGAAATTATCAGAATCTTCAAGTAAGCCTGGAGCGAAAACCAAAGAGTCCAGCGTTGAAGACAAACCTAAACCCCAAGAACGTCTTCCATTCGAAAATCCCAATAAAGATCTTGACTTGGCTGAGTGGGGAGACGTTACCGATTTATCCAAACACCGCTTTCGACCGGTGAGACATTGATTCAAGAGCAGATCATTCCAGACTGCATCGTTTTCTCCTTCATATCTATTTTGAAAGCGGAAACAAACGGCGTCCGTCCATATGGTTGAACCGGAGGAGGTCATTGACCATTTGCGTCTCCTTCGAGCGTTCCAGCGGATGTTCAGTGGAATCCATGAATGGGTGGAGTTCGAGACGTCGAGCAGAGTGCGCTTCATCCACACCTTGCTTGTGAATGAGGCCGAAGAGTTGACCAATGACATCGCTATCCCATTGGAAGTAGTCTACTTGTGGTATTATCATACCCTTCACGACAAACCTGTTCACAGTTATGCCCCGCTTCCGAAGTGGAACATCTCTGACTTTGCTCGCTACGTTGATGACGACGACTTCTACGTGCCACCTCCCGAAGCCCAAACTCGGTTTGAAGAAGCGCTGCTGCTCTCGTTCGTCCACCATCCAAGCCGGCTTGAATGGTACTGTTCGTGCTGTTCATCGTTGTTGGGGAGATGGTCTGTAGAATGGTTTCACAACAATCACATCATCAATACCTTCTGTGTGTGCCGTGAAGGCGAAGGTCCAATGCAAGATGAGATTGCGCGGCGGTGGCTTGCGGCGGCGGCCGAGCGAGGCGACTGGGATGGCGAAGGGGTTTCCTTTTTGCTCAAGCTATACATGAAGTATGCTGTATCCCACCGGAAACTTGTCTTTGATCTTTTACACACTGACGAACCGGTCGGTGAAGTGATTGATCACCACACCACGCGATGGAACCGACCGGTTAAGTCTCATGCGTACCACAGAATGCTTGAGGAGCGGGTATTTGATATGGCGTTGGCGGCAGCACCCCCCATCCAGGGCATGGTCCCGTTGACGACTAAGTTTCTGGTGTACAATTTGTGTGATGGACACGATGACCATTTCCGCAGGACTATCGCTGACTACTGCCGTGAACTAGAGTGGGCGGACAACATTCTTGCCGCCCTTGATGTGTCAGAGGCGATATTTCAGGTCGACGCTGGTTTAGTGGATGAAAGAGCGGTGACGCATGCACAGAAACTTGTACGTGACACTATAACCATTTCCAACAACACCAGAGGATCACAAGGGATCACATCACACATGGGGCGGGCGTTAGATCGGGTGAAGCCTCCCTCAGCGGGATCAGGTTAGTAGGTGATGGCAGACGCGTGCGCGCATCATGATTATCTGAACCACAGCACCAGTCCACACATATGGGAAATTGTTTCAAATAAAGTATCTATATAGTTCACCAACGTCATCTTTATTTCATGGTTCATTTGCCATCTTCATAGACCTCGGTCTCTTGTGCTTTTCCATTGCTCTCTACCCCGTATACTGATCATAGCTTATCGCGCGCTGCACTCATCTCTTTTCCTGTCATTCGTGCCGGAAGCCCCAGTTGTTTATCTAGCCACTGATGTCGAGTGTGGTGAAGAAGCTGAAGGCGTTTGTGCCTAAAATCAAGAAGAAGACGATTAAGCGCAATGTGCCCACTACCCCACAGGCGTCACAGGACCCCAAGGCGCTGGGATCGCCCGTTACTGAGGCCGAGTCCCCCGTGGTCAACGCGTCGGGTTTGGCCACACCGGCAGCCACCCAGATCACCCTGATCTCTCAAACTACCGAGATGACCATCACCACCTCTGTTTCGGTGCACAAAGCCAGCAACGAGCTGGCGATCGCCGAATCCGACGAAGAACACGACGACGCGTACATCGCACCTCCCAGTCGTCGGACGCTGACGGTGCTGCGGCGGCTCCTGGGGATCCAGTCTCTCCATCCACGTACGGGGCTGATAGACCAGGAGAAAGCGGCAAAAGCGATTGCTTCTGTCCCCGATAACCTTACTCCTAAAGCGCGGCGAGCGCTGGTTACAAGAACAGCAACTCCTATTCTCCCGCCTAGAAAAGAACAAACTCCAGTGATTGAAGAAGATGAAGATTCCACCAACAAGGAACCAACGCCGGAAGCCGCCATAGAGGGCGACTACGTGCTTGCTGTTGCCCGGGATGGTATTTTGCGAAAGCACAAAGTGGTGCGTGACGAATCAGGTAACATCATCACCGAGCCTAGTGTGGCTAAAGCTAAAACGAGAAAGCGTACACCGAAATTGTCCAAAGAGGAAAAGGATTTGCTTCAGTTGGGGGGTGAGAAGGTGACGGGTCGCATCAGATTCCTGAAACGTATCTTGGCGCAACAACAAAAAGAACGGGTACGTTATGAGGAAGTCGACGAAGACGATTTAGGTGAGCCCACACCACCGCCTAAACGAAGAAAGCGAGCCACTGAAGGCAGGTTGGTCTTCTCGAATCAGCCGCTTGAGATTACCAGTAAAGCGCAACTCCCTCGTAAAGTCCGCGAGGAAGACGAACCTCTTTGGGCAATGGTTCGTCTTAAAGAAGACGTATTCCCAATGAAAGACTTATGTAAACCCAAATTTCCCGTTGGTAAGGTGAGTGAAGACTATGAGAAGGCTAAGGAGGCGGAAAAGAAACGGAAAGAAGCGATCGCGAAACGTCGTGAACTCAGAGCAAAAGCCCGGGAACAAAAAAAACCTTTAGATGTCATTATAGCCGAAGACGAAGGCGATGTTCCTCCTGATACTAACCTGTCATCGAAATCTGTGCTTGATCAAGAAATTGAAGAACCCAGATTCCAAGCTCCCAAATTGGTGATAGGCTCTGACGGTCATCTTACCGTTGATGCGGACTCCATGCACGTTCAGCGGACGCAAACTGACTTCTCTAACCGTGAACGTCATGAAGAAAATCCTTTTGAAAACCCCGTGCTTCTGAGTACCTATTCGAAACGTCAGTACACAGATAAGTGGACAAAGGATGAAGTTACTCAGTTTTACAAAGCTCTTTCCACGTTCGGAACTGACTTTACAATGATTGCTCAATTATTTCCCTACCGTACTCGAAAGCAAATTAAGCTGAAGTTCAACCTTGAAGAGAAAAAATATCCTGAAGTTATCGAAATGGCCCTTCGACGCAAGCTTCCTCCTAACTTTGAACAATTCTGTAGTGAGCTGGGGTTGAAGATTGAGTCCATGGAATACTACAATGCTCAATTGGCTAAGGTCCGCGAAGATCACGCGAAGCATATTGAAACCATTGAACGTGAACGACAGAAGGCGCTCAAGGAAGATCAGGAAGCATCGAGAAAGCGTGAGATCGAGTTCCGTACCGGGACGAAGGCGATGACTCGAAAGGAGAAAATTAAAGAGCTCCGCAAAAATGAGATGGTTATCGGGGAGGTGGGGAAGTAATGAATGTTCCATAATCGAGTCGATCTCGCCACCACCACTGCTATACGCCTTGCAACGATGTATTACTTTATTTAACGCTTATCACACCAGTTTGTTTTCATTACACAGCTATAAATGATTCCAGCTAGCTAAACCGAACCCGAAACAATGCCCCGTCCTTGTAGTGAGTGTTCTTGCACTTTTCTGTATTCATTTTCACAAACGCGCGTCACGTCGTATTATACCAATTCACTTTATGATATGACTGATTTCGCGTCCTCTATTCTGGTTTCCATTTCCGGCAACACTTGCCAACACATTGGACATCGAATTCCGTGGTTCAACCACTGATCCAAACGCTCGGCATGAAATATATGGTGGCATGGAGTTACTGCATAGTCTTTGTTATCAATCGATAGCCCATTTTTTAGTTCCATAATCACAGGCACCGTCACCAGCGACATACAAATGTGACACATATAATGGCAGTTGGTTATACCTGCTGCATCGACGTTTTCGTGTTGAATTCCCTCCAACAAAAGTCTTGCTTGATGTTCAACATGGTGAGGATGGGTTGGTACTCGTATGGTTTGGGGAGGAACATGCGGGGGATCCAGAAACGGGGGCCCAATTGTTGTTGCGCCTTCAACAACTTGATTTGAATGGCCAACCAACTTGTGGTAGTAACGTATGACGTAATGCTATAAGCAAGGTCAACTCGGAAAGTATGATGAACTAAAATCAACAATTCGGTGAAGTGGATGGCCAAGGCAGTTAAGATCATCTCATCTGGGGACTTTTGGCGCCGTTTTCCAAAGGTATTCTTGATCAATCGAGGAACCATGAACAGGTGAACGCATATAGCCGACCAGTATCCAGGGGGTTCATCCATTTCTCGCCAGATATACCAATACCCTTGTGGAGGACTAAACATTATCGGGTACATCCAATAAAGGGCAATCCAAGCTTGTTCTGTTGTGTCACATACCTTTCGAAGAATAACCCTCCAAAGTAGATCTTGTTCGTCGAATTGATCCATATTTCAGTTGAGGAGACACTCGTAGATAGCAGAATCTAAACTGTCAAGAGTCGTAGGCTCGAGGTAGAGAATGACCTTGTTCAACACGGTCCTGCCTGTGTACATCGTTCAACCTGGGTGAGTTATTTTTTATAAACCTCCACATTCCATCAGTGCACCATGAAGAAATTAGTTTCCGAGTTGTCAACCATTTTCTTAGTGAGACCAATTGCCGAAGGGTTGGTATAGATTCAAAGGAGGTTGTGGTATGGGCCAATCACTTGCACGTTCGAAACGATCGATTATGCCCCTTTCAAGATCTCCTCAAGGCGGCCATGTTGCAGTGGGTTATGGAGGCTTGGGGTCAAACTGACAACGCAACAATGGATGCGGGTAGGAATCGCGTATCTCCCTTTCGTCAAATAGATGATCGATCGCGACCCCGCTAAAAAAATACCACTTTTCGCGAGTGCTCCAAAACCAAGTATCTCTCCTATTCTGACCAACTTGGTAAATTGAGTCTTGTGAGTCCAAGTTCTACTTTCAGCTATTTACTTGTTCAACATCAAAAAATTGGAAGCTACAATTTGAAACTCATTAATTTATCTCATTATCATTATATACATGTTTAGTCAACTTCTTCGACCGAGGGACCTTCAGCTCCAGCAGAGCCAGCAGCACCAGCCGAGGCATCAGCACCAGGCATGCCTCCAGCAGCGCCACCGTAGACCTTAGACATGATGGGGTTGGCCACCAGTTCTAATTCCTTTTGACGGTCGGCGTATTCTTCCTTGGTGGCAGCTTGAGCACCGTCCAACCATGATATGGTCTCGTCAATGGCCTTTTCAAGAGTCTGCTTGTCGCCGGCATCAATCTTATCCTTCAAGTCACCGTTGATGGAGTTCTTCAACGAGTAGGCGTAGGATTCAAGACCATTCTTGGCACCAACTCTAGCAGCTTCAGCTTCATCTTCTTCCTTGTACTTCTCAGCTTCAGCCACCATGCGTTCGATATCCTCTTGCGAGAGTCTGCCCTTGTCGTTGGTGATGGTAATCTTCTGAGTCTTACCAGTACCCTTCTCCAAGGCAGATACGTTCAAGATCCCGTTGGCGTCCAAGTCGAAGGTGACTTCAATTTGAGGCACACCTCTAGGAGCGGGAGGGATCCCCGACAATTCGAACTTACCAAGCAAGTTGTTGTCCTTGGTCTTGGTTCTTTCACCTTCAAACACTTGGATCAATACACCGGGTTGGTTGTCGGCGTAAGTGGAGAAGGTTTCCGTCTTCTTGGTCGGAATAGTGGAGTTTCTCGGAATCAAAGTGGTCATGATACCACCAGCAGTCTCGATACCGAGGGACAAGGGAGCCACATCCAACAACAACAAGTCTTGAGTCAGCGATGAGGTGTCACCGGTCAAGATGGCGGCTTGCACAGCAGCACCGTAGGCGACAGCTTCATCAGGGTTGATCGATTTGTTGGGTTCCTTGCCGTTAAAGAAGTCAGAAACCAACTTCTGGATCTTAGGGATTCTGGTGGAACCACCAACAAGCACGATTTCGTTCACTTGCGACTTGTCAATCTTAGCATCCTTCAACACCTTTTCCACAGGGTCCATGGTGGCTCTGAACAAGTCACCACACAATTCCTCAAATCTGGCTCTGGTGATCGACGTGTAGAAGTCGATGCCTTCGTACAACGAATCGATTTCAATCGAGGTTTGCGCCGATGACGACAAAGTTCTCTTGGCGCGTTCACATGCGGTTCTCAATCTTCTCAACGCTCTCTGGTTACCAGTGATGTCCTTGCCAGTCTTGCGCTTGAACTCTTGGATGAAGTGGTTGACCAAGCGGTTGTCAAAGTCTTCACCACCCAAGTGAGTGTCACCAGCGGTGGCCTTGACCTCAAAAATACCGTCTTCAATCGCCAAAAGAGAGACGTCAAAAGTACCACCACCAAGGTCAAAGATCAACACGTTCTGTTCACCCTTGGTGTTGCCCTTCTTGTCCAAACCGTAAGCGATGGCAGCAGCAGTGGGTTCGTTGATGATTCTCAACACGTTGAGGCCAGCAATGAGACCAGCGTCCTTAGTGGCTTGTCTTTGCGAGTCATTGAAATAGGCAGGCACAGTGACCACAGCGTCAGTCACCTTCGAACCAATAAAGGCTTCAGCAGTCTCTTTCATCTTCCCCAACACCATCGAGGAGATTTCTTCTGGGGAAAACACTTTAGTTTCACCCTTGTATTCAACTTGGATAGCCGGCTTCCCCAGCTTATCAACCACCTTGAACGGGAAGTGCTTCATGTCATTTTGAACTTCAGGGTCGTTGAACTTGCGACCAATCAACCGCTTGGCATCAAACACGGTGTTAGCCGGGTTCATTGCCGCCTGGTTCTTAGCAGCATCACCAATCAATCTCTCAGTATCGGTGAAGGCCACGAAAGAGGGAGTAGTTCTGTTCCCTTGATCGTTGGCGATAATATCACATCTGTCGTTGGCGAAGCGAGCCACACACGAGTAGGTCGTTCCCAAGTCAATACCAACAGCTTTGCTCATGATAGTTTTGTAGATGATGGGTGGCAAGTGGAGAGAGGTATCGCTTATATAGTTGAGGCCATGGAAGGTTATCGAAGGTTATGGAATGGAACCTCATGGAAGGTTGGAGCCACAGAAACTCTTCGAAATCCATCGAACCTCATGGAAGCATTTTGTCCATGGGAAGGGGTGGAAGGGCTATCGAAGCATCAGGTTCGGTCATTGCCTTTGAGGGGAGTGTTGTCCTCGAACTGTCAAATCGTGCGGGACTTCCCGCCCCGAAGCGCCGCACGCCCCACCCGCAGCTCGGGCTTCGGTACGCAAGTCACCTGGTCCGAGCCAAGATAGAGATAAACGAGCAAGTGATATAAACGGCGGGTTTAAATGACAGAAAACACGTAATTCTTCAATCTAGTTTTTTGTTAGAAATTACACCGTCATTACCATATTTGTTTTTCTTTCACCATATCTCTCTACTCCTCCCCAGTACCCCTCGTTCCGCTGCCGCTAAACGGCACCCGAGCCTTACCTGCACCCCATGGATTTGCCTATATGCAGAACGCCGCTCGCGGAGTTGGCGCCCCACGTCTACGGGGGAACATTCACTTTAGTACCACATCACTACGACGCCCAACCCGCAAAACTCGACCAAAACTCACCCAAAACCACTTACAAACTACTTCGCCAGTGTCTGTGTTCATACCCCATACTGTCCTTACACCTGTCCATGCTACATCGCCGCTTCGCTGCCCGCAGTGTCCGCAGTTGCCGCTGGTACCACGCCACCAGGCCCCAGCTAGGCTTCTTTCTGGTGTTTCGGCTGGAGCCACTGGAGATTATTGACGACCCCGACGACGTGCTGCCGTACATCCGCATGCCGGTGATTCTGAAGGACCAGCTCAACCAGATACCCCACGACAAGTATAAGTTTGAGTTTGCCTACCTGAGTTTCGGCTACCATCTGCAGCTGCTGGTACCGATGATCCACTCATTGCTGGACTTGCTGGACCCCACCCAGCTCACCACGCTTTTGCCCCGGCGCCGCCCACACGGGCTGCCAGCAGATACATTGTCCATAAAGGCTGGCGACGATGCCATGCTCGTCCTGCCGCTGGTGCTCGCCATTGCCGATGGTGTTTCCGGGTGGGACGATGACCTGCTGAAACAAGGTGATCTGGGCACCTGGCTGCGGCTGATGTTGGAGACGTTGCTGAGATTGATGACCGAATATAAAATCAATCATGCCCCTCATCCGATCAAGCGCCGGGATATCGACCAGATTTTGGACGACCTGTTTTTGCATACGCTGCACTTGATGGATCTCCAGAACCTCAAGGGGCTGCTGACACTTATCCTCGCCATCATCACCGGTGATGCCCTCCAGATGATTCTGATTGGCGATCTGCGGCTCTTTGTCTTCCGTAATGGCGAGGTTCTCGTGCTGAACGAAGAACAGATGGTACTGCCGTTGTGTCCTCAACAAATTGGTACGCAAACCCTCAGTCAATTACCTCTGGACATGGCGTGGGTGCTGCTGGTGCCGCTTGAAGAGAACGACATTATCTTCCTCTGTTCGGACGGGATCCTGGACAATTTATACGTCCATGAGATTATCGAGTATCTCGACGAGTTTCTCAACGTCAAAAAGGACGATCTCAAGCGCGTCGCCAGTCGCTTCATCATCAAGGCTAAAGAAGTGGCGTTTGACGACTTTGCTTACACCCCTTATAACGAAAAAGTCAACCTGTTACCGCTGGAGTTAGCGTCGTCCACTCCGTCTCAGGGTGGGAAATTGGATGACATGTCGTTGTGCATCGCTCGCGTGGTGCCTTTCGACAAGCCCAAGGCTGGTCCTACAAAGTCATAGCATGAAAATCATTTTTTATTCAGGGGTATGTTTTTATTAGCTGATTCTATATGATTTTCAAGATATAAACTGCTCACATCATCGCCACCGCCGCCATCACCGCCGCCATCACCGACACTTGCACCATGGACCCTTTGCTCTCTTCGAATTCGGGAACCTCAGGCACTTCGGGAGTTTCCTCTTGAGGAACTTCTTCTTCAGGAGCATCTTCTTCAGGCAACTCTTCTTCAGGAGTTTCGGGGTCAGGTTGACACTGCTCGCCTTCGCCTTGGCCTTCAACCACCAGGCTGTCAGCGTAGGCAATTGTGGCACAGGCCAAAGGAGCGTTGTTGTGGAAGACCACGAGGGATCTACCGACAATGTAGTTCGGCGACAGCGGGTCCAACGACAAGTAAGGGTCGTCGAAGGTAGTTTGGTAGCAGGTAGAGTGGAACTTACCGTGCTTGCCCGAAAGGTCACCCACAGCGCAGAGGGCATCGTTGCCCGCAGCGTCACAGTCGATGAGACCACGTCTCAAAGGGTCAAACATGGGGCCAGCACCATCGCAGTTGTCGGAGTTCCACGCCACCGGTTGCTCGTGGATGCGGTAGGAGAAGTCGCCGCCATCCTTGGGGAGCTTGGTCAAGTCGAGATTGACAGTGACACCGCCGTTGGGGTTAGCAGCAAATTGCACCATCCCCGCAGTCGAGAGGTTGCCGCTGAAGGGGAAACCGGCAACGGCGGAGAGGGCAACGGGAGCCACGGCTTCGGCGGTGGCAATGGCAGTGGCAGAAGAGAGGATCGAAGACATGCTTGAGAGGATGAGAAGAGGTGGATAATGAAGAAAGAAGTGGTGGTGATGGTACCGTTTATATAGTATTTGGCAATGCATTTCCAACAGACCAATTACCCTAGAATTTAGTGTAGCCGTGTGCCGCGTGCTCTGGGTGTATCTGGGTCGCGATCGCGGTGTACCGATTTTTTGGTGTAGCCAGTGTAGTATTCTGCGGACTCTGTACACACGCGAATCGCTACACCAAACAGACATGCCAATGAGGACTTGAATTCTGGAAGTGGGGGTGGAGCAGACTATCGCAGCAGCTTGCGCATGTCTTGGCGTACTCCTATTTGTCAATACTCCCAATGACGCCATTCACAGAGAGTGTCAAGGCACACCTAGTCGGTATTACTCAACCTAGCAGTGAAGCCGATTCAGATCAAATGTTCTCGATTGACAAAACTTGATGTATTGAATATGTATTTGGGACCTACACTACCATGATGGAAGCTACTCCGCCGACTTATTGGTACCACCTCTCGAAGTATGCGCCGACCATCCCTTCCCTTTGGATATCACTTGTGGTTAGTTGGAGAAACTCTCGGAATTACTTGTGGAACATGGGGATAAAGACTCAAACATCCTTTATGTCGAAACTATGGGTAAAAATGGAAGTACTTTTTGCACCTCGTTCACACCATCCGTGGTCCCAACTTATCAATAATAAATACTATTATACACAAAGCTTTGAGTCAAAATACTACAATTAATCTCTATCTCAAATCTATTAACTATGATACACTAATATACACAGCCCATTTACGTCTGGGCCACTTCACTGAAGTACTGTCTCAAGATGAGTGCCAACATTTCGGGCAACTCCTTGATGTTCTTCACCACCACGTAGTACTCGAAGGGGAAGGTGTCCAAGTACTTGTCGACCTTCAACGTCATCGCTCCCGTCACAGGGTCGGGAACGTAGCTCACTTGACTCATGTCCAAAATCAGCTCCTGCGAGTTGATGCCGTCCATCACCACGAACACCATCATCACCCGGTGCTCTCTAGCTTCACGCACAAGTCTCTGGACGGTGGCGTGGTCCTCACACACCCCGTCCGACAAGATGATCTGGAGCTGCCACAACTCGCCGTTAGCGGCACTAGCCCGGGCATCATCAAACAACTTAAGTGAGCGTCGAGCGAGGGCAGTGATGTCGGTACGCGTCTGCTGGAAGTCGAACCACTGGAACACGCGGGCCCCGGTATCGACAGCGTTAAACTGGCGCTCGAAGGGGTGCACCACCTTCACGTCCTCGCCAAAACGGACGACACTAAGGCCGCCCAGCTCAAGTTGAGTAAGTGCCTTCGCCACAAGAGCAATCGAGTTGAACGCAAGCTCAGTGGTGGCCAGCTCACTCATCGACTTGGAGTCGTCAACGGCGATCATGATCTGGAACTGGCGCTTCAGCGGCTTAGTGCGCCGCAACCAAATCTTGTCCTTACGGAACTCCAGGGCAATGTAGGGAATAATCCGCTTCATGTTGAGACGCTTCCCCGTCTTGTAGTCGCCTCTAAGCTTGGTGGCTAAGGTGGGCTCGAGGATAAGACGCAATTGCTCACATAACCCTGAAGCCAAGTCCTGGGTGGCACGGTCGGCCTTAGTCCAGAGTTCACGGGCTTCTTCCGCCAGACGAGGCGGTTCCTCGCGGTCAATCAGGTTATCGGGCCTGATAACATCATTCTCAGCTTCTTCATCTTCGTCGTCGCTCATTTCGAGCTGGTTGGCCATGTCGAAGTCTTGGGCCATATCCATTGGCTTACGTTCACCCACCACCGACAGCGCCGCCCCGTCTTGAGGAGCATCGACGTCACCAGCATCATCAGCATCCACTTCTTCGTCGTCTTCCTTGACCATTTCTTCATCCTCTTGTTTCACTTCGGTCGGCTGTTGCTCGGCGTTAGGCTCTTGCTCAGGCTCGTCGTCGTCGATGGCCATGTTATCGTCGAGCGCTTGCACTTGGTCCTTAGAGTCAGCCGCGCCCAAAGCTTGAGTATCGTGGTTGGTGTTGGCCCCGTCCACGTGCTCAAACTCATCGGGACGCTGGTTGGCCAGCTCTTGTTCCGGCTTGGTTTCTTCCAGCGCCTGGTTAATTTCCTGGCGACGACGGTGGAACTCCTTGAGGGCGTCACCAAGCTGTTTAATCAGCTCTTGAGCTTGTTGGCGAGCCACGTCTTCTTGAGCGTCAGTGTCTTGGTCCTGTTGAGGAGCCTGAGCTTCACCAGCGCCACCGACATCGTCTTGCTCTTGTTGAGCCTCAGCGTCGTCACCTTGGCCTGATTGGCCCAGTTGTTGCTGAGCAGCGGCATCCATGTCTTCATCAGCGACGTCTTCGTCTTCAGCGTCACCACCGTCAGCGGCTTCTTCTGTATCCTGGGCCTGGTTGCCACCCTCCTCATCCTGTTTGTCTTGACGTTCCACTTCCTCCACGTCCAGTTCAAGAGGGTCTTCCATCTGTTCCGGGTCCAGATTAGCTTCTTCACCGTCTTCACCTTCTTCTTCAACGGTTTCCGGGTCCATGGGCTTATCTTCATTCTCCTCACCTTCAGCTTCGTCTTCATCCATGGCATCGTCGTCTTCATCACCTTCACCGTTGTCGATATCTTCGTCAGCCTTTTCGTCCTTGGCATCGTCGTGATCGCTGTCACCGTCGTCAAAGTCGTCACGCATTTCTTCATCCTTCCCGTCATCTTCTTCATCGTCACCGTCCAAGTTCATATCGTCGGGTAAGTCCATGACTTCCAGCTCGGGCACGTGGTCGTCCATCTGTTCGTTCTCCTGGTTGCGCACGTCGTCTTCTTGCTCAGCAACCCCGTCTTCTTCTTCCTCTTCTTCTTCGTCACCATCTTCACCGTCTTCCTTCTCATCACCATCCTTTTGGTCATTTTCATCACAGTCTTCATCGTTAGCCGCTTGACGGTCATCATCCTTCTGAGGCTTCTGATTTTCGTCTTCGTCCTCATTGGCTTGCATGTCGTCGTCGTTGGTGGCTTGGTCAGGCATGGTATCGGTGTCCTTCTCCTTTTGTTCAGTTTCCGCTTCATCGTTCCACATCTTTTCATCCACAGCGTTGGGGTCCAAGTCGTCGATGTCGTCAATCTGTTCGTCAAGCTCTTCGTCTTCGTCAGCGTCTTCATCATCGTCGTCCTGGTCACTGCCGTGTTCCATATCACCAGCCATGTCGCCGTCCATCAGCACCGCGTCGTCATTGTCGTCGTTATCACCATCGTCCTTTTCTTCGTTATCACGCTGAGCCTCGTCGGCAATATCGTCGTCATCTGCGTCGACGTCATCGTTATTGGTCTGAGCACCAGCACCGTCGCCGAGACCGGTCCCGTCGTGGAGATTAGGGTCGGTCTTTTCCTCGTCTTGAGGCGGGGCAGGCGAGCAGAACCCGTTGGCAGCAATATCGTGGAGCAGCTTCAAGAGGTTATAACCAGCGTGCGACACATCGACGTAGTTGTGGCGGGCTCTGGTGAACACTTGAGACACCACCTGGGCGTAAGCAGAGATCAACGGCATCGTGAATCGAATAAGGGCCATCACGGCTTCGCTGGAGGCTTCGCAGTACTCTACCAGCTTCAAAGCACGAACACAGGCAGCAAGTTGGCCAGCGACCTTGTCAACTGCAAGACTGGCAATTTGCAATTTGAGCACCCGTTGCGAGTGCTTAAACCACGGTTGTTGTTCGTCGTCACCAGCGAAGCGGTGAGTGCTGAACCGTTGAATAACCACGAGAATGGCGGACGAGACCAAGCGGAATTGTTGTTCCACATCCGATTCAGAGGCTAACTCAGTCAACAGCGTCAGCAGTTCCACACCGAACTTGACGGTGTCCATCCACAGACACACCATCGACCCCACAAACCCAAAGTCAGAGGAAGTCAGGGCAAATTGAGCGACGTCAGTGTAGATTTGCTGCCATTGGTCACTGAATTTATCGACAAACTGGTGCGATTCGCCGGTGGCAGCGATGAACGAGTGCAGCGGGAGCAGCTTAGCGAACGCCGGGTTGGGCGAAATCTCCGCAGCGTAGTCGGCCCACGCCGACCATTGCGGGATAGTGGCAACGATACGCTTCAAATTAGCCTCAAGCGACGCGATTTGCAGTGCTGGCGGCAATTGTTGATCCAGCGACGCGTACGCAGCTAACTCATCAACCACCAGAGTAAGCGACAGAATACCCCTTTCCAATTTCGCCAACGGGCGGCGCCACAGGGTTAAGTAGCCGATAACATCTTCACCGGCGGCCATGGCTTTGTCCACTTCCACTTGCGGCACGTCTTCGTGGCACTTAGAGGCAGCAAAGCGGAGACGAGGTAACAAGTCGAGGATATTGAACCAGTAGCCATCAACTCCAGAAAGTTTGCCAACAAATGCTTCCGTCTGCATCAATTGCGCCAGTGTCAACGGCTGTTTCGTCACTCTAAGCTTCAACCCCATCGCTCTCAATTGCTTCAACAGATCCGACAACAACTTATGTTTAAGCGAGCGAAGCGACGCCACGAGCTTCTTATTGTCGTCAGTCAACGTCTTGGGAGTTTCCGTTCTGAGCTTAGTCATCTCTTCACCCAACTCGCTCGCCCATTGGTACAACAGCGGCACCAGTTGCGACAATACGGCTTGCGAGTAAACGCCAACGTTACCGAGTACAATACTCAAATCACGTAACATCGGCTTTCTTAGCGACCACAGCTTGATAGAGGTAGCAGCACCGGGTTGAGCTTCAACGAAATGAGGCACTGCCACCAGTACCAAGGCGCCCGTGGTAGCGGTAGGAGCACCGGCTTCAATCACGGGTTTCACCGGCAGCGCCAACAATGCTCTGAACTTGCGCACCACCTTGTACAACGCCAAGTGCGAGCGACGAGACAGCTGTTTGAGGGCATCGACGTTGACATCCTTCCACCGGGCAAGCATCACCACCTCGGCCATATCTTTATCAAGCTTTGTACGGGACTGGGCGATGGCGTCAGCGACAGGGGCCTCAAACTGAGTGTAAAAGGCGACAAAGTTGGTAAGAGCAGCGATGCGTTCGTCGTCGCCGTCAGTAGCTTGCAAGTGAGCGGCAAACGCTTTGATGAGTTGGAGGCGCAGAGCAAATTCCCCATACACAGCGCCTCCAATGAACACTGTAAGCGCCGCCAAAAGCTCATCGATATCGCTATCACCCATCACCGTCTCGTAAAGGTGGAACCACCATTTACCCATCAGCTGGTTCTGAGCCACCTTGAGTTCGTGGTCCAAAAGCTTAGGCCACAGCTGTAATTCAAGCTGGCGCCACCCCACGATCAAGCTGGTCAACTCGTCGACGTGAGCCGCCATCAGCACCTGGCTCAGCGCGTACTTTTGCCACTCAGCGACATAAGTGTAGATCTGCTCCACTTTGGCGAGGCAGCGGGCGACGGGGTGTTGAGCCAACGAGTAGTTCATGTACTCCCAGCAGGTACGCTCAATCGCCTGAAGCAGCGCGTGTTCCGGCCACTGAGCCAAGTGGGTCTTGGCAGCGAAAAAGATGCGCTGGATAACGGCGTACAGCTTGGCGTACTCCAGAGCATTGGTGCCGTGGTAGAAGTTGGCGGCGTCATCGTCGACCAAGTTAAGCGCCAGCTTAAGGCAGAGTTGGGCCGCCGAAAGCAGCGCCGGCAGCACAGGCTGCGGTGCCACTTGGTCGAGAGTAAGTTTAGCACCAGCCGCCACCAACTCTTTCGGTGCCATCAGCTCGTTGTTGACGAAGTAGGCGATGTACAGTTGCGCCCACTCCGTGTATACCGACTCCACCAGCGCGTTCAGCGCGGTACCATCAGAAAGGTCCATTTGCTCGTCGTAGTCGGGGAAAAGACGACGGAAATCCTCGTCAGTGTTTTCATCAATCCCGGTGTACTTGAACCACAGCAGCTGCGCCTGCTCTTCGTCGCGCAACCGCCGCAACGACCACCGTTGGTAAAGAGCTTGAAGAGCGTATTCAAGCCCTTCACGCTCGGGACGAGCAAGAGCCGCTTGGGCCAAGAACACAAGCACGCGGTCGGCGCTGACGGCATCGGCACCAAGCAGTTTGACGGTGGCGTTAACCGCAGAAGCAGCGGGGGGAGCCGCCAACAACTGCTGGGCATCAATGGCAAAGTCGTTCGTAAGCGCTGGTTGCGCTGTTTTCAGCATTTGCATCACTTCAACACCAAACTTGATCAGAGCCACGTACAAGTATAAGAGATCGTTCAAGTCGGCATATTCAGCAAATTGGCCGCCGCGCACCCGTTCAAGGAACTGGTAGGAGTTGGCCTCAAACATCGCCACTTTAGCGGCAGCGTGGACGTCTTCGCCATCAATGGCGCCCAAGAGCGCCGCCACCGGCTGTGTGTCAACGGCAGACTCCATGAACGCGTTCCACTCGTCGATCAACGGGTCAATCGCCCGCTTAGCGTCACGGAATACCCGGGGCCGCTCGGCATCAGGAACAGCAAGAGCATCAGCAAGCGTGGCTTCAATATGAGTGGGGGCACCACTAATAACTTGCGCCACTTGGCGCCATTCATCAATAAGGGCGCTACTGGCACGGCGCTGGGCGGCAAGCACGTCGAACACCACGTATTCTCGGATGGCAGGATCGTAGGGCAGTTGAGGCACGAACAATTGAAGCATGGCGGCACCAAACATCACCAGAGCCCTACCCAACGTGTACCAGTTGTTGGGCGCTAAGAGCGCCGGAGCCAAGTAGTGGTGGACCACCTCGATGAAGTGGGCATCGCTCGAGGCGCTGACCGCCGTAAAAATGGCGCCAAGGTCGCCCTCAGCTTCGGCGGCAGCAATGGTGGCAAGATAAGCTTCAGCGTCGTCACAAGTGTCGGCAAACAGCTTCAACACGGCAAGCGTAGCCTGGCGAAGAGCGGCGCCGCGGGCGTCGATAACGTCACCGAGAATCGCCGTCAGCTGGACGCTCAATTGGCGGGTAAGCTCCTTACAATCAGCACGACGTTGGTCAAGCAAGTAACCAGGGGTATTGCCGTACTGGAGCGCCATGTTGATAGCGCCCATCACCACCTGGTTGTCGAATAACTGGCGCACCGACTCCATCAGCCGCAGAGCAAATAACCGGGTGTAAAATGGTTCTACCAGCGACACAGTTTGCCACAGCGACCATTGAGCGAAAACGTCAAGGCGAGGATCAGCGTCAAGACCAAGCGCCGCCCGGAAACGAGCAATCATGGCGAAAAGCTCAGGGCAGCTGGCCTCGCGCTTGATGACGAATTGTTTCAGCACCTCGGCAAGCGCCGCCATCCCCTGTTTAACTTGTTCGAGCATGGCGTCGGCACCATCGTCGTCATCACAGATGGCGCTATACACCAGCGCCAACGCGCTCACCAACAGCGCCACGGCGTCGGCCAGCTCGGTAAACTGCGCCGCCGCCACCCGATCGAACTCATCGCACACTTCAGCAAGCGCATGCGCCCGCTGCCAGCCAGCAGCCAGTTGCGGGTACGCCAGCAGGCGGAATGCCTCCCAGATACGCGTCATCAGCGAACCTCTACCGTGGGCGTGGCGTTCGGGAAACTGAGTGAGCGCTTCCTTAACTTCGGGTGCCTCGGGGTGGGCACGCACCCAGTCGCCAATAAGTTGATGGTACATGGCGAATTTCGCTTCGTTAATGTGGGCGCCGGCGTCAACAAGCAGGAACCAAATGGTTTGCAAGTGCAAAAGCGCCACCAGCAGCGGCGCCGCTTCGTCAGTGGTAGCAGCACCGTTGTCAGTAGGGGCGACGCCAATTTGGGCGACGAGGCGCTGGTAGTAGGCAACCATGGCGCGGTAGACGGCGTTAATCCAAGGGAACAATGGCGACCGTGGCGCCCGCTTCATCTGGCGCCCTTGTTCGTAGGCGGCACTGACTTCAACAGGGGTTAAGTCGCTCAACTTGGCAGTGAGTGACCGCAGCTTGATTTCGGTAACGATATCGCCGGCGTCGACCAAGTTTTGCGCCACGGCGAACACCACCAGCGGCGCCGGACCGTCGATAGTGGCGCCGGCGACAGCACGCACCAGCGCCACCACGGCGTTGTTGATCAACGGGTGGACAGCTTCAGCAATAGCGGTGGCATCATTGGTGTTGTCAGCGCCCAGCGCCTCAGCGACGCGGCGCCAGGCAGCGACAGTGATTTCGTAAAACTTATCGACGACGCCGTCGTCACTGAGCTTAGCCAATGGCGCCACTACCAGCGCGACCAGCGCCGCATCAAACATGCCAAACGAAGCCACCAGCAGGTTCCAGGCGTCCATATGACGGAGGGCGCTGAATGGCAAAATACCAGCAGTGGGCGCGGCGTCGGCAACGAGGAAGGGACGCAAAAACAGGTCCAGACAGTCCAAGAACCGAAGCGCAGGTACTGGCTCAGTGTCGGGACCAGAAGCAAGCATCAGCGCATCAAACTCAGTAGCTCTGGCGATAAGGGCTTCCACGTACACTTCAACCCCTCTATTACGCATAGCGCGACTCAACTCGCCGTACTTCGGGTCGACCGTTAAGAAGAGCCTGAAGTTAGGGTGAGGCTTAATCACCCGGGGCAGACCGTCGTCGTGGGCACACTCGTTGATGATCAACAGCCCATTCACTTCAAGCAACGAATTGAGACGATCAAGCACCGAGGGGTTACACAAGTTGGCGTTATCAAGCACCAACCAGTGGCCGCGTTCGACGGCTTCCACAAGCATACCGTCGAACCACTCAAAGCGCACTTCGTTCGCTGCCAGCTCCAACAGTTTGAGAGTAGTGTAGTGGCGCTCAAGCAGCGCCGTGGAGCGCAGAGCTTTGTAAACAGCTAAAGCAGCCAACAACTGGTCGAGTTCGGGAGAGGTATCCAACAATGCCAAGAACTCAAGCAGCAGAGTGATATTGGCGTTCCCTTGAGCGATTTCACCATGGCAGTAAGCTCTAATTTCCCCAGAAATAGCGGTTCTTATCTTGGCGGCTTTTCTCGCCACATCCACCTGTTCGTAACCACCCAAGATATCCATCAGATCAACGTCGGCATTCATGGCGAATTCAACGACGGGGGTACCTAAGACACCACCAATAAACCGGATCATTTCGGTCTTCCCCGAGCTCAGCGGACCGGTGATGATCACGGGTAAGTTATAGGCAATACCACGTAATACCAGCTCCATCACGGCGAAATTACACTGAAGAGGCACCAGCTTAGTGGCGGTCCAGTGGTGGGCCCGTCGCATCAATGTCAGCCCCACTTGTACTGATTGTGACGAAATCAGGTAGTAATTGTCGCGATGAGGAATGGAACCCACGGTATCCTCGAAGAGAGCCTGAGCCCTTTCCTTATCCTTCAATGATCGGAACCGTTGGCCGAAGATAGTACCGAAAAAGTCACCGGGAGCCAAGTCCTCGCTCACCGAAGCGTGGTGGCTATAAAGCTCGAGCCATCTGAGGGTATCACGCAAGTTAAACTCCCAAGGGCCACCATCCCACAGCGCCAGTTGACGATCGAGCTCAGCAACGAAAGCAATCATTTTGTCAACAGTTTCAGCAGGAACTTGAGGGTATAAGTGGGTCAGAATCATCAGCAAATCGGTGGCACTGAGGATATCGACGTACACCACCAGGAACCGATTGACAAACGATTTGGGGAGACCCTTTCTGCCACCACCTTGGTACTGAGGGTTCTGAGCGGCAAACACTCGGAAATCAGGGTGGCGAGCAAACGTCTTATCCAACTCAGGGATGTAGGCCTGCCCACGGTGATCCAAACAGGCGTTAAGCCCTTCAAGCACCAGTTGCGACGCCAAGTTCATCTCATCAAGCAATACCCACTCCCCGCGCTGCATCGCCCTCAAGAAAGGAGCGTCGTGCCATTCAAACTCGCCAGTACGTTCACCAGGAGCATCGGAACCGAACAAGTCGACGAGATCGGTGTGTTCGGATAAGTTGATACGGCAAAGGTTGTTGCCGGTAGCCTTGGCGAGAGCAGTGACCAACGACGTTTTCCCAACACCAGGAGACCCTTCAAGAAGAATAGGCTTAGGCAACAGCATCGCCCGCACCACTCTCATGGCGTTGGTGGCGGTGGTGGGAGCGTGGAGGTTAAATGAGTCGCGGGTAGCAGCTTCCGCCACTACCGGCACGCTGAAGTCGCCGGCAGTTACGGCAGTGTCGGAGACAGTAACGGTCACTTTACCACTAAAGTAGACATCAAGCAGCAGCCCCCACTGCGAGCTAAGCTGGTCGACACACCGTTGTTTCTCCTCCACAAGCCCTCGTTCAGCGAGGAAGGCTGTGGCGTTAGTACCCAAAGCATCAACAAACACCATGGCGGCACCGTGAGCCAAAGCAGCGGCAGCTTCCAACTTGGGGTTAGCCTGAATGAACTCGACCCACGCCAAGATGTCACGCAACGAAATGACACCCAGCTGAGCATTACCGTGGCCGTAAGTCAAAGCAAACCATTCAGAGAAGCCGACAATCGCCTTAACAAGCTCAGCATTAGGCAATTTAGCGGCGACGATATCAGCAACGTCAGTGAACAGTTCCATGGAGGGGACCCAAATTTCCGTAAAACGGTTACGTAAGGCAGGAGAAAGCTCTTTCTTACCGTAATCGCCACCGGGGTTCATGGTAGCGAGGAACTCGAACCCAGCGACACCGGTAACGGTAGCCAGGGCTTCCAGGCCACCCTTTTCAGCAAGCAAAAGTGTTCTTTCAGGTTCCAACACAGAGTTAAGACGTTCAAGCACCGAGTCGTCAGCCAACGAGATTTCATCAAGCAAGAAGAATTCGCCTTGTTTCAACGCTTGCACCAAAGGACCATCAGTCCACTCGAAGAGAGTAGCCATTCTCAGCGTCAACGAGTCCACCACAGCATCAGAAGTCTGCGCCTGAGTATAGGCAGCCAATTGAGCATCGACATCGTCGCCAGCAAAGCCCAATTCGGCAAGACGAGCTTGGAGTTCAGCCCGGGTTTGGTGACGGTTACGTACCGGTCTCTGGGCACCCAATAAGTCGCCAACTTCAGTGTTTTGATGAGCGTTAACCGTGACCAATTGGCGACCCATTACTTGCGCAACAACTTGACACACAGTAGTCTTACCACACCCAGTTTCACCGACTAAAAGAAGAGGCTCGTGGTACTTGATCAGCTGCTCCACGAGCACTGCCAACCGACGCATCGCTTTCGTCCACACCACTTCGGACGAGGCAAGCACCTCGGGGTTCTCCAATTGCTTATAGTAGGCGTCCATGTCAAGCTTCACTTTCATCACCTTCTCAAGCACTTGTTGCACCACTTGACGTTCAGCAGGAACTCTCACTCGCTCGGCAAGAAGCATGTACCCATTAGCCGCAAGTTGCTCGTACCCCACGGCTTCACGTAGAGCCCAACGGAACAAGTCACGAAGGGTGGCGAAGGAGTGCTTTTCAAACACCCGTGTCCGTTGCCGTTCGATGGAAAGCTGGCGGTACACTTCAACAATCTTCTTACCGTACAGCGGGGCGATTTGACATCTTTGCACCAAGATAGTTTCCAATTCTTGTTGAGGGATATCGTCAAAGTGGAGTTCCAAAAACCGATTCCGGAACGCCCGCGAGAGCTGCTTACGGCCCCCATAGGCCCCAGGCGGGTTTTGCGTGGCAAACAACATGAAGTTCGGGTGAGGACGAATCACCTCCTGGGTTTCGGGGATAAACAATTCACGGTTATCGTCGAGCAAACGGTTCAACGCCTCCAACACGTCAGTAGGCGCCAAGTTAAGTTCATCCAACACAAGCCAGTAACCGTTACGAAGAGCTTCCACAAGCACACCCTCTTGGAACGTCAACTTGCCGGTGTCGTCGGAGATGTAAGTGCCCAAATACTCCTGCAAATCGGTGTGTTCGTGGTTGTTGATTCGCACAAACTTGTGGCCGGAGATCGCCGCCAAGTACTGGATCATCGACGTCTTACCTGCGGAAGTAGGACCCTGGACCAACACAGGGAACCGGCGACCAGAAGTAGCCCGCACGAGGTTAAGCAAGTTGTGTTCGACGTAAGGGGTGATGATATAGTGCGGTTGTGGTTGCGGCTCCATCGGCCCTTGCTTGAGGAGATAGTGCTTAAATTGGACGTATTGGTTGTCGTCTTTAGGAGTACGCGGCACTTGGTTCAATATCAGCTTCGCCAGCGCCATCTTCCCCACAGTAGCAGCAAAGATCTCCTTTTCAAGCTTCTTCTCCAGCTCAATGTCAAGAAGAGTCAAAAACAGCATCGAAAACCCTTCGTACAACGACCGTCTAAGCCCGTACATCGAGACAATATCGCCAACATAGCCCAAAGTTCTGGTGAGAGTACGGATAGAAAAGTGAGGAGTCTGGCCAGCACCATCAACAAGCAAGTGCTGCTGCGCCATCTCCTTGGCCTTGAGGTAAAGCATGGCCACGTCGTTTACCACCCAGTCGTCACCAACAGCGTATCTGCCAATATACTTGTCAACAATCTGGCACAAATCGTCGACATTGCCGTCGGGCGAGTGGACGTAGATCTCGGAGAACCTCAGACGTATCAGCCCGGGGAGATCACGTTTACCAACATCCGTAGACGGGTTCATACACCCGAATAAGCGGAAACTGGGGTGAGCGACGACGGAGTCGATGTCACCACGCTCGGTGAGCATCACTTGTCTCTGGCTGGCAACAGGAGCTAACAAGTCGGCAATGGCCTCCAACGTATCCGGCAGCGCCAAATTAAGTTCATCAAGCAACAACCATTCGCCTTGTCTAACAGCCTTGACCAACAGACCTTCGACAAACGAGAACACAAACGACAGATCAAGTTGAAGCGCCTGAAGCTCAAAGCTGGTCACTTGGGTATCAAGGTCTGCCCACTGCTTCACCAACTCGGCGCGTTGGTTAACGTCAAGCTTACGCTTCTTGGCAGCGGGTTCTTCGGGCAGAAGCACTGACTCCGCCATCTTCACTGCTTCGTGCCACAATCTCACCACGTTCTTCCAATTGCCCTTGGCCACTTGTTTCGCAAGCACAGTAGCAAAACGTTCGTTTTTCTTTTGCGAGAACGTAGCAGCGAATAATTCGTCAAACCGCTGTTGTAAAGGTACGGCGACTAAGCGAGTGTTAACGGGCTTAAACCCACCCAATAAGTCCGACACTTCCGTCTGTTGCGACACGTTAATCACCGTAAGCTTCTGGTTAAGTAATTGCGCCACTTGTTGGACGACGGTGGTCTTACCAGTACCGGTTTCCCCCACCAAAAGTACTGGTTCCACCATTTGCACGGCAACAGCAATTTGTTCCATCAAACGAAGAGCATGATTAGTAGCGGCAAATGTCTGCTTTTGTTGGTTATGGCGGAATTTGGGTCCCTTATGCAATAATGCCCGGCCGATTCTCACCTCCAGCAGCAGGTCAACGAACCTCGGCACATGTTTCGCCAAGTACAACTCGATTCTCAGCTCGGGCACTTCGAGACACTGGCCGATCACGGAGACAACAGGGACCACTGCGCGCGGGTCAGCCAATGCCAGAGCAAGACAATCAACCGCTTCAGCGAAGAAGTCGTCAAACACTTCGGAGGGTAACGGCTGGTTCCCTTCTAAATTGCGCTGCTCCAAGTGGTAGTGGCATCTTTGGCACAATTTGACGGCATCGCGGAACAGCACTATACGGGGCACCAGCCCGTTATTAAGCAGCACGAACCGCGGCTGGCGGTAGATGTCGGCCACCTGGTGGTAGCAGCGGACGAACTTGTCCACCAATTGAGGGGAAAGCCTGGGGAAACGAGCACCTAAGATCTGGCGGATTTCTCTAGCTGAAGGAACACCAAGCCCCACAGGAGTCCAGCGGTTAATACCGATGAGATCAGGCACTTCTTCGTCATTATCGGAGCGTACTGTGGCCAAAAGCTGGAACCCAGGCGCGGCATTGATAGTATCGCCTCGCAGGGCTAATGTGAGTTGTCGCTTCTCCAAAAGCGTTAAAAGCACCAGCAACACTTCGGTAGGAGCATGGTCAATGTCTTCAATCACCACCCATTTCCCTTCGGTGACGGCAGTGGTTAAAACCCCTGCCCTCCACACAAAAGTACCGGGAGTGTCACCGGAAGTATAAGTGCCAAGGAGGAGTTTCGAGTCCGTCTGTTCCCCCAAATGGATTTTGACAATCTCCCCAGAGAATCCCATGTAGCGGGCAAGCTGGTGCACCATGAACGTCTTGCCCAGGCCTGCGGGTCCGTGGACAAGGACGGGGCGGTTATGCTGGATATGAGTGGCTAATGAGCGGAGCGCAGCCACGGCGCCTTCGGTAGCGACGAACGGTTCCTCGTCAACGGTGGTGGATGCCAGTTTAGGGGTGATTTGCGGCACGAGTACCCCACACACCGAGGTGACAAGCGGCGAGAGCTCAGAGGGAGTTATGGTCACCAGAGCCTTTTCGGTGGTGACAGCAGGCAAATTCTTGTAGGTCGCGATCCGCTTGGCTTCGATTAAGGGGATAAACTGGTAATGGACGTCGTTGTGGCCGTCCCAAGGCCCCACCACATCGGCGGCTTCTCCCACGTATTGACTAACGAGCGCCCGCGCGGCGGCGTCGCTCTTCTGTAGCCACTGCGCCATGACGAGCGCCGCGATATACTTAGTAGGGAGTGGGGTATCGGCATCGTTGAGGAGGGCGCTGAGGCGCGGGGCGTCGACGTAGGCGGCAAACCGCTGGCGGTCGGCGCTGAGGAGCCGGTAAAGCGCCACCACGTCGTCGCCGGCGCCGTGTTGCTGGAGCCACCATTGGGCTAACAGCATCACCGGCAGCACCACCGCCGCAAGCTCGCCCACCACCGCAAGCGCCCGCGGGTGTTGCTGGTGGACCAAGCGGGCGACGAGGTCGAGGGCGACGGTGGGGTAGGCGTAGGCCACCGCCATCGGGTGGTGTGCCATCGCCTCCGTCAAGTGGTCAAGCGTGAGGCCGGCGACGGCGACGGCGGTGCCAAACCGCTGGTTGTACCTCAGGAGCGCCGTGGCGGCGGCAGAGGCGTCGACACCGATGTCGTCCATAGTTTCTTGAGTAAGGGAGGATTTGGCTGTCTGCGATGCGATGCGATGAGATAAGTGCGCCCCCCGCGCCCACCGCGGGCGCGATGGCGCCCAACGAGCGCGATAGCGGATTGTGAGACATTATGGCAGCGATGAGATCATCACCAACTATGGGCCACTGATATGCCATTTTCATTGCCTCAAGTGAATTTGCAACGTCCACTCAAAAGTTATAGGAAGAGAGTGGACTTCATAATGAATTAACGTGCAAGAACTGTTTGGAGCAGACATAGCAAAGAGTTGGTGACACCGGTTAAGGTATGATTTACAATGCTGCTGACCATCAAAGGGTGATTGTCTTCGAATAATACCGAGTGTCTGTTCGATTCATCATTAATGTGAAGGGTGCCAACTCATCGCTGGACTTGCAACTCAAGTTGTGGTGGATTACTCCACTGGTAAGCACTCGAATATTGGGATTCTTCTCGTGCTTCTGGCTCAACACTTCACCACTGACTTCAACGAACACATCATCATACAACACTTGACGCGGATGCTTTGGCTGAAACACTTTACAAAGCGACGGCTACATCATATAACATATGAACTCCCGAAGAGTTTTGAATTGAGAGTTGACGTATATTGACGACCATATTGAGTTGTTGTTATCGCTGACATGATGGTTCCCTTTAACGAACACCAGCACGCGGTCGTAGTCTCTCGGAGATCCACTGAATGGAATATCTACAATTGTGGACAGAAATTAAATCTGCTAATGACTTTAATAATCTTCATTGTTTGCATTAAAAGTATATAAATACAAAACATAAGATTCCCCTACAACGGTGAAAAAGATACAAAAAAAAGGAGCACGACCGAAGTCATCAGTGATCCCCAATAAGCTAAGACGATATGGCCGGCTTCACGTACTGAACATGTGCGTTCGTTTCAGCTAACCGGCTGCCCGTCTACGAAGACTACTCCACACTCGATGATCAAGTGCAGGTTTCATCTTCCAGACCCCTAGGAGGCTGGCTGCCAGCAGGTCCATGGCTCATCGACGCCGCCTTAAAAGACAACGCTGGCCACTTCCCCGCCGCATCACCAACTCGATGAAGACTATTAAGGAACGACAACGATACCTCGAGTCTAACAGACACAAAGTTATTGGGGGCTACCCGTGGGGACACACCCTCAAAACCGGGACCCCAGATAATCACACGTTATAGAGTACTCAGCAAATGTTCGTAAATGGCATCAACCTTTAAGGGAGCAGGAAGTGGTAAGAAAAATCTTACTGAAAGGTGGGAAATTTGCTCAGCTTTATACTTCTGCGGCACTGATGAAGTTGGGCCTTTTCAGGGCGGGTAACCCGAGCTGAAATCCCGCAAATTAGCACCGCCATGACTAATTTTACCCCTCAATGGCTTCGTAACTTCGTTCAAGGCGTCGTAGGTGCAGATACGGCGACTCTCTCTTCATTGTCTTCGAAGGCCTGGATAACGCTGAAAGGCCCAAAACCGTAAGATTTCAAGGATAATATGGTCATGACAAGTCAATACAAGAGCTTGGTCCAACTAGAATCGACGGTTCATCCCCACAAATCGCTCGCAGTGTATTGTTGACACATTTTTTTGGGAAGAGCCAGCCATCTCGCACCAGATGATGGCTTATGCGCGATCGCAGATGCAGTGCCCCTCAGCCGTTCAGAGACCGGTGGGGGTGATGACGACGATAAAAACCTCTAGAATTAAGCCCATATTGTTAGATTGTGGCAACATACAAGCAAACTATGATTTTTGGTCCATTTCCAACTCTGAATATCTGCTTTTCGGGTCGTAGTCGTGCCCCGCTCGCTCTTCGGGTTGTATTGTCAACCCGCCCTTGCAGGATTCATGCAAAAGATTTAGACGGAGACGGGGTACAGGTGCGACGCTCACTACGTCCACCTATACGCCCTATACGACGAAAAGAATGACCAGGTCAAGGAAAAATTTTCACCGATGAGCAGCAGGTTTCTAACGACGACTCGAATTGATGGCAATATTGTCAAGACTATGGACTTTGAGGTGGCGTGAAGAGATTCAATTTTTCCCCAATACTACCACCATTAGACAGGTAAATTTACCCTTGTCGGCTTGGGATGTTCACATTACAATGGCCACATAACCCTTATCAAGCGATTAACAATAGCCAATCACTGCTTGTGGTGGTCTCGTCGTCAACTCACGAAGAATTTGCACCAGGAAGCTAGACAATGCGGAGTCATCCCCCACCATCGAGCCCTTCAACAATGAACACCAAGTGGAAGCATACAAAGCGCCAAGCCTACCGCATGTGGATATGGCGCAAGCCATCTACGCACACTTGTTCGCCTGGCTGGTCATCAAATTTGGCGGGGTAGGTACCGAACTCGGCTTTGAACCGAGTTAGTAGGATTTTTCGAAGTGTTCGTCGTTAAAGAAGCGAAAGAAGCGTACCATTTAGTTGCCGACGGTTGTTACAAAAACTCGCTCGCTACTATATATGTTGGTGATGGTACTAGTGGAAATTTATTTGACTACCGCGATCATTGCCATTACAAACGTCGTACGATTATGGTATGTTACTTATCTAAACCTGCTGCGCCTGGTTGGCCTGTTCCTGCCGCTTTTTCGCCACGTACTCCTCGATGCGACGCCACCCTTCCTTGCGGGCGAGCTCGCGCTGCTTCTGTTCCTCCAACAGCTGGTGGTACAACATGGTGCAGTGGTCGTAGAGAATCGGGTTGTGGTCCATGAACGCTTTGAGGGCGCCGTATGCCAACGAGTGGATCAGACGGTTCCAATTCAGCGTCGCCAGGTTGTGCTGCAAAACGTTGTTCTCGTCGTAGCCGTATTCCGGCTGCTGCATCAGCGAGAACGAGTCGTAGTACTCTTCGTCGGTCATTTCGCCTTGAGGCCCATGGTTGCCGTTCTCGTCGTCGCCGCGACGCACCAGCGCGTGGACGGCGAGTAACTGGTGGTGGGGGTGGCTGGCATCGTTAGACAGGGGTATTATCCCCAGGTTCAGGTCCTGGAGCACGAGACCAGCGTCGATGAGATTGCCGTGGGCATCCACCGTCGCCAGGGGGTGGTTGCTCAACTTCTGTTGCATGACCCCGTTCTCGATCCCCGGTTGCGTCAGATTAGTGAGCTCGTAAAGCAGGGCAAAAATGATCGGCAACACCACTTCGGCGTTTTCCGTGATTAACGTCAAGAAGTATTCGTTAGACCAGTAGCACAACACTTTTTCCAGCACTTGGAAGTGAGGCAGCGCGATGCACTTGCTTAACTGGGCGAATAATGGGATTTGAATCTTCAAAAACTCTGTGGGTTCCATCACCTCAAATATGTCTTCGACTTCATTCAAAAACATCACTTCCTTCGGCGAGTTGATCTTGGGCCAGTACCGTAATAACCCCATGATGACATCTTCGGTTAACAGAGGGTCCTTTTCCAAGAATTGAACGATGCAGTACGCTAATTGCGGGTGGTATAACAGGACCAGCTTCACCTTATGCAACGGCAATAACACCCGCACCAAGAAGATTTTGTGCTCCTCTTTGAGTGGCAAGGCGAACCCATTGATGATCAGCCCTAAGATTTCCAACAACTCGCCGATCCCATTGAACCGTTCGGTCTCGTAGACAAACTGTAAAAATACATTGTTGATCAGCTTACGAATAAAACTCCGCAAGCTCAAAAACTTACCGTAAATACGGTGCAATGTGGTCTTGAGACAATCACGTTCTCGGGGGTCTTCGGAATCAAACAACTCGAGGATCTTTAATATGAAGTCGTGGTCAATATATTGCTTCGCCACTTGATGCTGGAAGTCAGGCAGCTCGATGAAACGCAAGAAAAACTCGTAGATTGTCTGCATGTGGGGCCAGGCCAATTCCAGCACCGGCTCGTCTTCATCGGGGTCAAAGAGTTCGCCCACAGGATTAACCGGCGGCGGTATGGGTCGGAACAAATTGGTCTTGAACATGTGCACCACCAGCTTGTACATTTCGTCGGTGTAAGTGAAGCGGTTATTTGAGATAAAGTGGATGAGCTCTTGAAGGGTGATGCGCTTAATTTCTTTGCCACGCAAATCAAACGTCGGGTCGCTGAAGTCAAACATGATATTGCATTGTTCGATTTTCTGGATGAACAACGGGATTTGTTCCCCTGGCGATACTTCGTCAAAGTTGGGCAATTTGACAATTTCCTGGTACTTTTCCAGCAGCGTCGGCTCAAACCGTGAGCTCAGATGACGCTTAGGGGTGACGATTAAGTCGATATCAAACAGATCCTTGTTCGGCAGGGAAATGTTGGGGTTGAGTGCAAAGGGGTGCTGCCCCTGGGCCAGGTGGGGCGCTTTGGTGTCAAACGACAGTTGCGGCAGCGCCTGGGATATGGGCAGCGTCGGCGTCGGCGTCACCGGAGTGGTGACGTTGGCCAGCACCATTTGCGGTGGCTGGGGCTGGTACGACTGCTGCGTGGCGAATTGTGGGGTGGGCGCCGACCCCAGGCCCAGGGCGTCGTCAATGACGATTTTCGGAGACGCGTCCTGGTTCGACGGGGTCAGTTTTGTCAGTGGCAGCGGCGAGAGCAGCTTCACCAGCAGTCCCGGCGACAGCAGCGGTTTCTGCTGGCCGTCCTTTGCCTTGGCGGGTTTTGTGTCCTTGGAGTCCTTGGAGTCCTTGGAATCCTTGTCCTTTTTGTCTTTACCCTTACCTCCCTGGGACTTGTTGCGGGTAAGGCGGTTCTTGAATCCTTTCATCATTTTGCGGTGGGGAGGGCCGTGCCGGGAGAATGGGAGATACTGGCCCGTGAGTCACAAGCAGGAAACAAACACCCAGATGTGTTTCAGTGAGTACGGAGGCGGAAAGTCGTTCACGCTCAACAACTATCGACAGGCGTCCTCAACTGGTGGCGGGGTCAAGGGTATTTGGTGAACAACTTGTTATTATTGTCGACGTGCGAAAATCGCCAGCCACGACCGCGCGAATACTGGGGAAAGGGGTTTGGCGGCTGTGACCACCCGGGGCGAGGCTGAAGCTTGGTTTGTGTAGTTGACGTGGACCTACACTAACGCTGGAGTCTAGCTACAAATTTACCGAGATTTCTGGCTTATAGGGCGGTGGTGGCGTGACCCTTATTACAACACGGATATGACAAGTTGCCCCCAACGCGCGCACATTTCCAGGGGCGGGCTGCCGGCGCAGTAGCGCTTTTCCCGACCAGGCTCCACTGTCCTCAACTGGAAGTCTAAGCGGCACTTGACAAAATGTGCTACGACACAATGAGCAATCGGTGTAGTCCACTCAGAACTATGATTTTACCTTAATTTTTTGTGTCATGAAGCACTTAAAATTCCCTACCTATTGTCTCCTTCTTTATAGAATCTCCTCGGATCATGGCGCCATCAATTGCCCCCGCTGGGGCAGATCAAAAAGCCTCCCGTCTCCACTAGCGAGCCAAATCCGAGATAACTAAACGTAAGATTGATGACGCGACATTAGGCTCGGGATGCCCCACAAAAGCAATCAGTGAACCTACTACGATCAGAGACCGTACGTGGGGAGACATCGCGACATTTACGGAAAATCCTCTATGCAATTGTTTATCTCTCTGTGGCTATCTATATCTCTTAATCAGTCTTCCTGTCGGCGGCATCTGTGTCACGAGACAACCCCAACTCCTCCTGGGTGATCATGGCGTCTTTCGCGTTGAGCGTCCACAGTAAGTAGGTGTTCCAAAAGATCAGGATCACGTTGACCGCGAGCAAGCGGAGATGCACGGGGACAAAGAAGAAGTTGACCGCCTGGAACGCTGGCCAAACCTTCCAGTTGTTGGCGAGCGTCGGCCACCAATTGGTGGTCAATTGCTCCTCGATCCGCGGTAGGATCGGGTGCCTATTTTCAAGCACCGTCATCACCAGATAGTACATGGGGATGCCGATAAACGGGGCGAAGATCAACTGGTCGGCGGCCACCCGCCACCCGGTATTCACCGCATGCGACGCTGACGGCTTGATCTTGGCGAGTAAGTGGTACCACTTGTTGCCGATGGGGGCAAAGATCACCCCACCGTAGCCCACGGCTCGAAGGGTGCGGGGCCAGTCGTAGTGTGGTTGTTGCGGCGCCATGTACTGGGCAATGGCATCGCCCACCCCGAAGAGCGTGCCTGTCTGGATCATATTGGCTGCCAACGGGTGGCTAACCACCAATCGCTTAAACATTTAATGGAGAGGTACTGGCTCTGTATTGCTGTCGCGGGCGATTAGTATGTGCGGAGGGCTACTCCGAACGAAACCGGGTGGTGGGTGGTGCGGCTGGCATGTTACTCAAAGCACAGAAGCTAGGCAAGTGTATATCGGCAATAGCCGCTTGATCGTCGGCTACGTTACATTGGCTTTAGTTCATGTGACATCTCTCATGTTGGCAACAGGGTGTCTGCTTATGTCAGCAAACTCCCTTGAACTAAATACTGTGGTTTGTTTATTGCAGTTACACAAGTAGTCGAGACGAGTCTCGGATCTGCCGGTAGCCAGCGACGGTGGTGGACAAATTACGCGATATACACACCTGCGGGCGTCATGGGGCCTGTCGTATCGACTCGAGCGATAAGGACATTTTTCTGTTTTCAACCGAATTGTAAACATCTTTTTCCCTGATGGTGTTGTGAGCTCCCACGTGCCCAATCGGGAAAATGAGATGCCGTAACTTTAAGGTGAAATCTATCTATTGGTATCTATTGGTATCTTGGTATCTGTATCTATTTGTAACCGATGGAGAGTTCCTGGTCGTTGACCTCGACCAACTCGTCCAATAACTTACTGTGGTGCTTGCTGTTATGGCAGTACGATAAAAACGACAGCCAGCCGACTTGCCAGAAGTTGGCGGCCAACACTCTCAAATGCACGGGGATCCACAACAACAGCGCCAACTGGAACCCGCCCCACACCGTCCACGACGCCTTAAGCACGTTCCACCAGTTCTTTTCTAGTTTTTCCCTGGTGACGGCAAACGGGTGGTCGTAGCCAGCCATCGCGACCATGCAGAAATTGTAAAGGGGAATGAATACGAGACTGGGCATCGTCATCTGGTCGACAAATAACCGCGCCATGGTGTCATAAATGTGGAGTCGCAGCTGGCGCTGGGTGGTGGCACTCATATACTGGCGGCGGAACGCCAGCATCGGGAAGTGGATCCGGGGCAACATCCGGGTCTGCCACCAGGTAGCGAGGGGCGAAAACACCACCAGCCCGTACACCACTGCTCGCAACGTCCGCTGGTAGTTATATGGGGTGTCGTGGGTGTCGAACCGAGCCAGCTTGAACATGTTCACCGCCGGGTGGGCCTCGGGATCATGGTGGTGTAAGTTGGCATCAGGGAAAAGCCGTTGCGACACGTAGTCCCCAAGCCCGAATAAGAGCCCCGACGTAAGGGCATTCACGCGGTACGGGTACTTTTTCACCAACGCAGTGTACCGGTGGAACACGGTAGGCATTACGTCGAAGAGGGGGTGGAACGGTCGGGTTAAGTAGGGATAAGGGTGGAGGAGATTGGTGCTTCTCCGATGCCGGCGATAAAAGCGATTTCGACTCGGGCTATCAGAAAAAAAGAAAAAAACTATAAGTCTGAGAGAGATTAATCGTCACGTGAACCGGCGTTAGCTGCGGCGGTCGCGAAACTCCTCGTAGTGTTGCTAGCCCTGGCGTGCGACCTGCCGTTTACTCTTAAAGTGCAACCCGCGATGCGTGCATGGAAACCTTCGTGGACTGACACCCACGGCAAGCAATGACGTCATCCAAGCATTCTACCTAATCAAGCAATCGTGCTCACGCCTCGCCGCCCCCGCAAACCCCGCCACCATAGCCCCTATACCCCCTTCTCCTCTGGTGACGGGGACTCAATTCGAGACCCTCGTGTATATTTATCGTATGTCATCCCGCTATGGCCACTGGCTGGCCCTTTTTTAGCAGCTCGATCGTCAGGTTGTCGAGGGGCCCCGTTGCCCCACAGATGGAGCAGCGAAGCTGCTTGCTCCAGTAAAACGGCAACACTGGGATAAAGAACAACGTGATGGTGTTGATGGAGCGGATGGCGTGGGCCAGCTGGTTGTGGCAGCGGCCACAGTAGCAGGCGACACTGCCCACGTCTTTCAACGGGGAGTTGAATTCCTTACATCCAATCAAAAAAAACATAAAATCCATCGTCAGGTTTTTTTTTTTTTGCTCGTCCGTCGTTGACTAAATCGCCTGCTGGCAATGCCGCAAAGATAAATAATCTAAAGTGGGGGGTGACTCGACGATTTTTCCTTGCCGAAAAAACCACGCAGCCAGCCACGCGCGCCTGGGGGTTATGATTGCTACGGCCACGCCCGCCGTTGTAGGCACAGAAAGGCAGGGCTGAACCAGCCCAATCACGGGCCAAATCAACTTCTAGTAGGTATAATCCCCCTAAATTCGCCTATAATTAGCTGTTTGTACTGGCATCCGCGGCTGCGGCTGCCCCCCTGTCTGACCCTGCCCTCCTCGGACGCGGCGGGTTATTCCTCAACGTGCATCAATAATGGTGAAATTTTTACCCACAGTATAAATACCACCGGCGAGCGCGAAATTTGCTCCCATTGACCCAGTTTTTTGCCCCATGCATAGAACCTACTCGTTGAGATCGCTGAGAGCCCCGACGGCCTCGCAAATGCAGTCGCCGCCCCCTCCCCCTTCGTCGACGAAGAACCGGTGGTTCGGCGGTGGCTCGTTGGCCAACTCGTTCCGCAGACAAACCGCCGGTGCCATGGGCCCCGAATTGCTGAGAAAGTTGGCGGCGTTGATCAAGATGGAAAAGAACTTGATGAGATCGATCGAGCTCACCTCGAGAGAAAGAAAGGAAGTGGCCAAGCAATTGTCGTTGTGGGGTGAAGGCAACGACGACGACATTTCCGACATCACCGACAAGTTGGGTGTCCTTCTCTACGAAGCCGGCGAATTGGAAGACCAATTCATCGACAGATACGACTTGTACCGTATCACCATGAAGTCGATCCGTGACATTGAAGCCTCGGTGCAACCCTCGAGAGACAGAAAGCAAAAGATCACCGACCAAATTGCTTACTTGAAGTACAAGGACCCCCAATCGCCCAAGATCAACGTGTTGGAACAAGAATTGGTCAGAGCCGAAGCCGAGTCGTTGGTGGCGGAAGCGCAATTGCTGAACATCACCAGAGAAAAGCTCAAGGTCGCCTACAACTACCAGTTCGACTCGTTGAGAGAACACTCGGAAAAGATTGCCCTTATTGCTGGTTACGGTAAGGCTCTCCTTGAATTGTTGGACGAAACTCCCGTCACTCCCGGTGAAACGAGACCCGCCTACGACGGCTACGACGCCTCGAAGCAAATCATCATCGACGCCGAAAACGCCTTGGCCTCGTGGACCTTCGACTCCGCCGCCGTCAGACCCACTTTGTCGATGGCCGCCCACGACGACGACGAATACGACGTCCACGACCTCGCCGAAGAGACGGAAAACTTGCACACCACCGAAAAGGAATGGGATAATGAAAACGGCAACGCGGTTGCCGCCTAAAACTTTAAGTTTTCTGTGTAATGCTAATTTTTTCTCAATCAAAAGCTTGAACGATATAACCCCCCAATGTCGTAGTCATCTCTTTAGCAGCCATACTTTATGTATCGCTGCAGGAACTATCACCCGCACCCGCAACACTACCTGGCAACCATAGGTGGTGAACGGCAACCATAATCCCGGATGCGTAAAAATGAATGACCACGCGACAATTAGCAACCATCGTCGTTGTCGCGGTGGTGACAGCAGCTACCCATCGTCGCCCCAAGGCTCACATTTCATGTCGGGTTATGTAACTAAGCCCCTTCCCCCAGTGGTCACACTGTTTATTCTACTTACCCAAAAAAATGTCTCGCTTGCTGCTCAGGTGTCGCTCGCAGCTCTACTGGTGTCGTTTTTCGCAGCTACCGTGTGTCGCTCAAAATGGTGCCATATGCGCTAACAAGGTGGTGCGGACCAATTGCAGCGGGCACACCCTGGCTGTGCAAACATCTGTACTTATCTATTTTGTTTTGATTTTTTTGTTTTTTGTTTTTTTCGCAGAGCGCCGTTAGACACCGCCTGTATAGGTTTGATTTTCGGCGGGAGCGCTCGTGTTTGTCCCGGGGTGCCGCCCCGCTGCCTTCGTCGCACTCGCCTCGATGCGATTCTGGTAGGCGCACGCTTGGTTTTTCCGCGGTTTGTTTGTTTATCCTTTAGCGATCGCGACTCCATCTTGCACCCTTCTCCGCTAGCCGACCACACACCCACCGTTTACTCGTCGATGTCCGATCAGTTCCTCAACCTGCTGCCGCTGAGGAACCTCATCGACCCTCTCATCTACCAGAACCTGCCTCTGGTAGCCAAAGCCGCCAAAGAGAAGCCCACTAAGGGTGCCGCGGCCCGCAAACCACTGGCGTCGGCGCTCCCGGCCCCGGCCTCGTCGACCGCTGCTCCTCATTTTGCTACGGGACTCACTCCCTACGTATCCAAGACGTATTTTCAGGACATCCTGTTCTCGTTGACCCCTCACAAAGACCATGGCCCCGTCGATTATGCTCAGGGACTCAACCTTACGCCGTTCTTAAGCCACAACTGCCAGATCCCATTGCTGGTGGCACTGAACCTGATCAGCCACCAGCTTTCAAATATCACGCCCTTCCATGACAAAACCCTCCAGTTGAACGATTTCTTTATGGATCTGCCGTTAAACCAAAAGGATATTGATGCCCTGACCCCTTCCAAATTCAACTTCCAGCTGGCATCGAAACGCACCATCAACCAGGTCGACACCCCGCCACGATCACGCCATAAGCTCAGCATCAGCCATAAACCCCAGACTAAAGTCACCCCATCGAAAACACCGTCGCGGGGGCTCCGGGATATCACTAATACCCACGGCGGCGCGTTGCCGCCAGTAAAGGAAACACCCCAACGAGACCCCGACCTGCTGCCGCTGACACTTATCGTGCTGAGTGCGATCCGTCTGAATGAAACCGACGTCGAACCAGCCAATAATGACGACGATGACGATGACGACGACGACGAGAGCCCCCCGCTGCCTACCCCACAAAAAGACCAGGTAAAGATTACTGACCAGGCACCGCCAGTGATGGGGACTTTCCTGAGTAAAACAGCTAAGAAAAACAAGAACCCTAAACCGCCGAAGCGTACGGCTCCGGCAAACCACAAATTCCAGATTGTGTTTACTGATGTCCACACCTTGATGAACCTGAAACTGAAAAAGAATAAGCAAAAGCGGCCGCCGCAGCGACCACAGCTGACGTCTCAACAGTCAAACCCACCCACCAATAAGCCTCCTCAACAACCTCATCTAGGAGCGGGGATGGTCGTTCCCCCAGCGAACTTTGGCTACCAGCAAATGATGCAGGCTCCTCCCACCGCCAATCCCGCCATTCCTCCGCCTCCGGCGAAAAGTGATGTCACTTGCAATACATCGAAAGAGATCAGCATGATGCTGGCCCATCAGAACCACACCACCGAACACACCCTGTTCGAGATGGCACATGTCCTGCTGACGCCTAACGGCAAGTTCATCCTTGACAAGGTGTTTGAGCGGGTGTCGCCGCTGGGGTTTGGCTACGGCTCGATGCCGCCGCCGCTGCAGCCCATTAAAGGCGCCAACACCGTGCCTGGGGCTTCGGGACCGATGCTCATGATGCTGACCCCGCAACACCAGAGCGTCATCAACTACGCCATGTACGGGAGCGAGATGTCGCCGCTGACGGAGGCGGTGATGCCGATGTTCGCCCTGCCCACTAACTATGCCATGCTCCACCCCCACCAGATGTGTCCTCAACCGCCGCCTCCGCAGGATGAGGACGCCAAGGCTCACGCTAAACGATACGACTTGCATTGAAAAAGCTCGGTGTCGGTTAGCTGTGGACATTCTTTGATACCCTTTTACCTTTTTTTCCGTTCTCGCTAACCTCTGAGAGCATTTCTGAAACTTTTATGATATTTATTAATCAGGCATACACACGACGATATCTTCCCCTAAACTGATTTACGACGCCACCCGATATCTACTATTCACAATTAACTTCTTACAAAACACTGCGCTTCCCAGTTCCGCTCGTTTTATTATGATTTAGCATTGATACTAGAAATATAAATACGACTCTGATTTGAATGCCAATTTGAGGATATGAGCATTAAGAGGAATAGGATACTCGCCAAGCAAAGACTATGACAAATATCTTGAGCAATACAGGATGGTCTTCTAACTCAAATAGTAGCTTATTTTTATCAACACGGACCCCTCATCGGTCGGTGAATGGTATAACCGTTATGCCGGAGTTCACATGCCGAGGATCGCTGGGCCTCGGGTAAGGTTGCGTGCCCTGTGTCGCTGCCCCCCCTCCCCCGCTAATATAATAATACCCCAGCTTTCCTCAATTTCCAATCCCTCCGATTTCCCACCACTTCCCCCTCAACTTTTCCCTTTTAAATCACCATGCCGTTTGACGCTAAGTTTTACGAAAAGTTCGCCCACTACAAGGTCGAAGAAATCGAAGAGGGGTTCGCCCACGTCCAGCTTAACAACGCTAAGACGCTCAACGCATTCGCCGAACAAGACTGGCAGGACTACCACGAGATCTTGACCACGTTGGACGCCGACCCCGACACCAATGTCATCCTCGTGCTGTCGACGGTGGTCAAGGCGTTCACGCTGGGGCTCAACTTGAAGGAAGCGATGTCGACCATGGGCAACACCTCGGGGTCGCTTGCCGACCGCCAGAAGCACTTGTACAACCACATCCGTGACTTCCAGTACTGCATTGGCACCCCCACCCGTATCCGCACCCCTACTATTGGGTTATTGAACGGGATCAACTACGGATTAGCTCTCGACATCGCCGCCTGCTTCACCATCAGAGTGTGCACTGAAGACGTCAAGTTCTCGATCCGGGAAATCAAGATCGGCATCTGTGCCGACATCGGCTCGTTGCAACGGTTGCCTTCTGTTGTCGGCAACAAGCTGTTGTTGAGTCAATACGCTTTAACTGGGGAAGTGTGGGGTCACCAACAAGCCGTCCAATTGGGCTTCGTCTCCCACGTGGCCAAGGACTTGGAACTGGGGTTGCAATACTGCAAGGACTTGGGTCTGGACATCAACACCAACCGCCAGTGGGCCATCAAGGGCACCAAGGACCACTTGCAACGCATGTACGATGGGCTGCTGGTGGCTCAGGGTTTGGAGGACATTGCTCAGTACAACTCCATCCACATCACCGGCGACTTTGTCAACGACATGGCCAAGGTGAAGCTTTAGTTAATGACGTATGAATCAGATCATTTTTCTTTTGGTGTAAAGCGTAACTTATGACATTACTTGTAAAAACTTCGACTAAGTCCAATATGCTGGGCCGCTATTATCGTTTGAAAAACCAAGTCAAATATAGGGTCACTTTATAGAGAACGATTCAACAGATTTGATTAAATATCAACTTATCTGGAGAGAGTCAGTTTTACCAATTGAAGCATATTTATATTCGAACAACCATCCTTTAAAATCAAAATGTACTCGATTTTCATTAACTTCTGATGTTATAAGGAGGGCGGTCCCCAAGTAAAGATATTGCCATAATTTCATATCACAAGTAATGTTTGGCTGTCGAGAACTACTAAATCTCAGTCTACCCGGATCTCAATTTTATACCAACAAAAATGGTAACTTTCTTACTTCAACCGAATCATTCAGTCATTCAAACACTGATAAACCCTACTCAAAAGTAGCTGCTTAAATTTTAGTTCTTTCCTATCTCCCCTCATCTCGTTGATCTCTCCGGATTTCAATCGGGGCTCGCGCTGAAAAATCTCCATCACCGGCAGCCGATAACCACCCCCTAGGATGAGGCCGCTGGTGCGACAGTTTCTGCTCCGGAACGTCTCCCTGCGATTAGGGGTGGGGTGCTCGGTGTCCCGCCCCTACCTGGGACCCGCCACATCACCCCAACCGGCCACCGTCGCCACCCCGCTGAAGCATTCCTACTGGTACGCCAAAGAGTACAAACACGTCCCCGCCATGGTCGACCTCGACTCCGTGTCCACCACCCAGAAGATGCGCCAGGAAATCCACATGCTCATCCACCAGGACAAGAACTACGACGCGTTGGCGAAGCTTTTGCTCGATAATCACGCCAAACTCGTTGAGATCCTCGGTCCCGAGGGCATCACTAAGGCCGTGCGCTACCTCGTCGACCACTCGGTGGAAATGCTCCAGCGGTACGCTCTGGAGCTGGTGAAGCTAGATAACGTCAAGGGCAAGGACGGCCGGCCGCGGGCGAAACCGGGAACCCTCCGCTTCGCCCAGTTCCACGAGGCGCTGTACTTTGCCCGTACGGTGCGGGAAATCTACCTGAGACTCCTCCAACCGGATGTGGGGGCTCTGGGCGCTCGCTACCACATTTACGGCGATAAACTGAAGGGACTCAGCGGCTCGTTCCAGTTGAGTCCTCGCGATTTCGAAAATCTTATCATCTTGGAGAAACGGTGGAATAAGCGCGATTTGTGTGATTACTTGTTCACTCAGTTCGACCGGACGTTGGGTGCTGAGGCGATGACCTACCCGTTATGGGTGGCTAAGCTCCAGCTTTATTGTGGCGGTGATTCGCGGATGTGGCCATCGCAATCAGAGTTCTACCCCGCCGTGGCTGATGCTCCCATATTATGGTCATTTTTCAAAGCTGAACACAAAGGGTTCCGCCACTTATTAAGCGATTTCATTCTGCGGTACGTCGCTCCCTCCAATGCAAAAGTGTTATCTAATGACATTCTCACCACGTTAGTGGCGCTGATGGGCTACTACCACATGACTCGAGATATCTGTGACTTGATTAAGCTGACCTGGGGCATCGACGAGAACTTCGAGCTCGTGGCGGCGCCAGTGAAGCTCGGACTGCCGCAATACCCTACCCTCAAAACCCTCGAGGCCATCGTCGATGCTTTCAGCTACAACCACGAGTTCTTTGAAGGCATGAAGTACATCAACGCCATCCGCGACCACTACAACATCGACGTGTCGCTGAGACACGCCCGCAGCTTCTGGGAGACCATCTTCCACTGGGTCCACGTGCTGACGCGGTACAAACCCGACATGGCATTACAACATTACCTCAAGCACACCAACTCTACCCAGCGTCATCGTACGCTCGCCGAGGCCCAGGCCGATGCCTCTTTCGACTACCTGGGCTACTTACAGTACCTTGGGCGGCTAAAGAAGCAACGGGACGACACATACGCCCACATTTGGAACATGTACACGCAAAACCAGGTGCCCGGGGAGCTGGTATTCTCTGCTGCCGTGGCGAAAAACTACTACTACTACCTTGTCACCAAGCTCAAAGTCGACAACGACCCTACCCCGATGTACGAGTTTTTACGGTACTTGAGACAAGTGTACGCCAAAGTGCACCAGTCGAAGCACTCATACAATCTTCGGGCTGACACTAAGGGTAAGGTGAGATCGCCGGCGAGAGCCATCGACCAGGTGTACTCGATGGCATTGATCCAGTTAGTTGAACACAAGGCGCTCACGTTGAAGGTGAACGAGTGTGAGCCGGTGATTAACAAGTGGAGTCTTAATAAGGCCATGCAGCAAAGGTTGATGAACTGGTACCGGACGCGGAAACTGGCCCACTGGGACCGGGTCGAACGCGAGCGGATGAAGCACATTGCCGAGCTCCGTACGGAGAAGGGGGAGGACGATGGGTTTTTGGATCTTTTGTAAATAGAGAAATAACGAGACTTTTTCGATCAAACTGATGATTCGGTTAAGGGCCTGTTTCAGTACACCTGCTCCCTAGCTCCTAATGTTTAGACTCCTAGATAACTCTCAAGGTATCCAACAACGAGTCACAATCTTATATTCAGCATTCTCTTCCATTAGCTCGAGTTAGCCGTGCCCATTTAGGTAGTGGTCTCCACAACTGGGACCAGTCGCACTCATCCCAACCATGTGGCCGTTCACTAGGGAGAAACAGACGGAGGAGGTGACGGCAGACTTGGCTCCCGAAGTCCAGCAGTTCTTCCACGATGCCAACCCCGAACAGAGCAACCAGCTGATCTTGGAGATGACGCCGCACCAGCAGCGGGTCAACCAGGTGTTGGCTAAACACGCCGACTACAGCAGCGAGCTCGACGAGTACCGCCGCAAAAACCGCCCCCAGCTCGTGTGTCAAATCAACTGTGCCGAGCTCCAGGAACAGGTGCTGAAGTGTTTCAAAGAAGCGAAATACTGGCTGACCGACCCGTGTCGGGAACAGATTGACCGAGCGAAACAGTGTGCCACTCTCACATCCGACGCCTTGAAGCGAATGCACTACCTGGACTGTTACCTGGTGAAACAGTGTGATGCCATCCGTTTCATCATCGACCGGGCGTTTGTGAATAATTTCGGCCGCTATGGCGACGAGGGCAGCGAGGACGCCATCGCCAAGTTTAACCAGGAGTTGGACCTGTATTTCAACCAGGTGTGGAAGTAAAATGCCAACCTTTACTTGTATATATTGTCATAGAAATGCCTTTACGTTACTGGGAGTTTAGGCCCCGACTGTTTAATCGCCTCGGCTAGTCGCTGCCATAGTTTTAATCGTTCGTCATTCAGAAGCGCGGTGACGAGTCCCAGAGTACTGGGAAACACGTGCATCTTCATTGTGGGGTGGCACTGGGCCACCACGTATTCAGCTACCTGTCCTCGTTGTACCCCCCACTCAAAATCAGCCATTACTTGTCTATACTTCAAATGGGGTTGTTTTGCACACACGTACCTTACCACCACTTCCCAAATACCTTTCCCGATAAACGCCACATGGGCCACATCTGACTCTCTAAACTCTCGAAATAGTCTCTCGATGTTAGCTATTTTCTCCTCTTCACTAAGCTCATCGGCTCGTCGCGTACACCGAAGTACAAGGTCAGTGAACCCTACCCCAAACGGTACGAGGTCGTAGTCGTGTTCAGGCTTGGTGGGGAAGAACTTATCGGGCACATCATCGCAGCACGTGTGAAGGATATCAGCTTGATTGAATAGTTTCCAGAACCGGTTGGTAAAGTGGGCGTAATGGTGTTGCGTGATCAGCAGCTGGTGGCCGGGGTTAAACCCGACAAATATCACTTTAAGATTGTCACCAAGCGATGGAGCCAAATCCTTAAATTCAGGTTTCGGTTTCAATTGTCGTTTGCTTGGTGGGAGCGTTGCGTCGTCATCACATCGGAACTGTTCGAGACTCCGCTTCATCGACTTCTCCACAAAATCTCCATACGCGCACATAGGGAAGCCGCATCGTTATATCATACTTCTAAATATCTATTAAGCACCTAAAAAGTTTGAAACTAATCCTTGATTAACTTTAGTTTTTAAGTCGGTGGGGTTTAGTGGGGATCTGAGGTCTGGCCTTGGCCACCTTGGGACCAATCATCGCCGTAAACGTCGCCGGATCATGCGCCTGCGCCTGGCGGGAGAACGACATCAACGTCAAGATCACCTGATAAGGGTCCTTCAGCTCGTACATATCAACAGTGACAAATATCTCATCGTGAGGTACACCGATCGCTTCGCAAAGGGAGAGGAAGAACAGAATGTTCTCCATTTGCACAAACGGCATCTTCGAGCTGCGGAACTTGGTCGTAGGATTGGCCAGCACCGACACTTTCTGGCCAAGCTTACACAACACTTCGCCGTCGTGAAGCACGTCCATCAAGTCTGTAGATTTAAGCTGGGGGTCGCCGAACTTGTGGTCGAACAATTGGCTTCCAAGCACATCGACAAGGTATTGCTTTACTTCGGGTTGCTTTTCCTGGTAGCGCTGAGCTCGAGAAGCATTGACATCCTGGTCAAGATTGGTGGCTGCTTGCTGGGTGTGCTTCAGCGGTTCGGGATACCGCTGGGAGTAGTTGAAAGACATATGACGTTTAGAAGTGGGCTGAGGGGAGATGCGTTCGAGCGCTGGAGGTGACGTCATCAACCCGAGGGTACATGAGGGCTGCGAATGATAGTGACTTAATTTTAGAAGTAACCCACCACTTCCCCATAAACCATGGCTAACGACCACCCTCAAGATCAAGCGTACTACAAGTCCGGCTTCAAGCTGTCGGTTCTGGACACCCACAACTGGCGCAAGGTCGCCAATGCGGTGCCGTTTGTGCTCCCGTACCTCAAGAAGGACCAGTCGCTCCTCGACGTCGGCTGCGGCCCCGGGCTGATTCTGATTGACTTTGCCAACTACGTGAACAAAGTCACGGGGATCGAGCCGACTCAGGAATTGATTGATGTTGCCAACAAAAACTTGGAGGCCACCAACGACGACGACGTCAAGTCGCGGGTGAGGTTCCAATTGGGACTGGCTTATGAGATCCCGTTCCCCGATGACACTTTTGACGTGGTGTTTGCCCTGCAGGTGGTCATCCACTTGCTCGACCCTGTCAAGGGTCTTGCGGAGATGGCCCGGGTGTGTAAACCCGGTGGCTACGTCCTTGTCATTGATGCTGATATGGAAACGACGGTGGTGTACCCGGAACAGTACCGGCCCGACATCATGGCCTACTTTGACTTCAAGAACACCAACCTGACATCACAGACTCAGGCGGGGCGGGCATTGAAGCTGCACGGCATCAAAGCCGGCTATAAACAAGCCAACCTTGATGTGACGGCACTGACATGGTGCATCTCCGACGCCGACAAGCGTCGCCACTGGGCTGATATGTACATTGCACGGATCAAGACCAGTGGCGAAGTCGATTATGAGGGAGAAAAGGCTAGATGGGATAAGACGATTAGAGCTTGGGACAGCTGGGCCCAAGACCCTAACTCAGTATTCATCATCATCCACGGCCAGATCGTCTACCACAAACCTTAAAATTAAAATAGATCTACAGTGTGAATCCGATAGTTTCATAATTTCATTCTTGATATATACCCATTGCTGAGCTCTACAGTGTCTAGTTGTGCAATCTCTTTTCGTAGGAGTGGAGACCGTGCACGCCACCTTCCAATTGAGCCGAGGCGGTTCTGAATTCGAATCTGACGTCGCCGTTGTCGGTGTTCTTTCTCAATTCATCCAACAGCTTGACACCAATGTCTTGCAACGAGTGTTGCAACCCGTTGTACAAGTAAGGCACGAACTTGGTGATCGAACCCTTGTCGACGACCGAACCAGACACACCTTGGGCCACCAACACCTTGTCGGATTCCGAGAAGTATCTCAGGGTCGAGGCGTTGGCGTTGGTCGCGGTTTGTTGCATGGCGTCGATCGAACCCATACCTCTGTACACCTTCAATCTCTTGCCGTCACGGTAGAAGTAGTCACCGGGGGTTTCCGAGGTACCGGCGAGCAAACCACCCATCATCACAGTCAGAGCACCGAGAGCGAGGGCCTTGGTGATGTGACCAATGTTACCGATACCACCGTCAGCCATACAGGGGACACCAAACTTGTTGGCGAACTCGGTGACGTTGTAGACGGCAGTACCTTGAGGACGACCACAGGCCATCACTTCTTGGGTGATACAGATCGAACCCGAACCCATACCGATTCTCAAACCATCGGCACCGGCTTCGATAAGCAAAGCGGCTTGTTCTCTGGTGACAACGTTACCGGCGATCACTTGCAAGTGAGGGTAGGTCAGCTTGATCCACTTGATCATGTCGAGCTGGAAGACCGACGACCCGTTCGACGAGTCGATGACAACGACGTCAAGACCAGCGTCGACAAGCTTTTCCAACCGCACGCGGTCAGAGTCGATGGTACCGATGGCGGCACCACACAACAATTGCTTGGAGTCGAACGACTTGGAGGCGTTGGGGTATTCCTGGTTCTTGAGCAAGTCGGTCAACGAGATGAGCGACACGAGGTTGCCGTTGTCGTCGACAATGGGCAACTTACCCTTCTTCAGCGATCTCAACAACTCGTTACCTTCCGACAACGAGATGCCCTTCTTGGCGGTGATGAGGTCCTTGGTCATGACGGTCTCGACCTTGAGCGAGTCGTCGTCGATGAATTGGATATCACGCGAGGTGATGATACCCACGAGCTTGCCGCCCACCTTACCGTCAACTAGAGTATTGTTAGTATCTTTATGTCAGGAAAAAAAGGTCTCCACACCATCGTTTGATGAAATGATCGGTAGAACGAAAGTTATATATGATTTTTTGATCATCATGCAAAGAACACTTACCAGTCACGGGGTACGACGAGAACCCGAGGTCCTTCTTCATCTTTCTCACGTCAGCCACGGTGAAGTCGGGGCCGATGACGATGGGGTCGTTGATGAAGCCGTTTTCGTACTTCTTCACCTTCTTCACCATCTCAGCCTGTTCTTCAGGAGTGCAGTTGTGGTGGAGGATACCAATACCCCCCAACAACGCCATGTGGATGGCCATTTCCAGCTCGGTAACGGTGTCCATAGGCGACGACACGAAGGGAGCCTTCAAGGTGATCTTCTTGGTCAACTTGGCTTCGATCAGCACTTGCGAGGCAGGAAAGTTGATCAAACCAGGCAAAATCAAAAAGTCATTGTAGGTCAACCCCCCGAAGTTGGACGAGTCGATCAATTGTTGCACGGACAACCCGTCCTTCTTGGGGTAGTCCTTGAGGTACGAAGTGGCCTTGGCACAGTCAAATTGAGACATGTTTGTGTCGGGGTGGGCAATGGGCAATTGCCAATTTTCCGCGATGAGGCAGCTACTGCTTATATAGCTATTTTGGTTATGTGCAGGAAGTCATCGCCATACCGTGTAAATTAGGGATTAAGCAAGGATGGCGCAAGCGATGGCCGTGGCTGGGTAGTCCGAAGTGAAAGAGTGAAATCGACCGTGTCTGTGGTCTTGTTTAGTGCTGCGGTTACCGATAATCTTAGTGTGTTTGGTTGCTTTTTCTCGCCTCCGCCACTAGATTATGTAAGTACTAATATATTACTGAAATTGCGATGACTTCGATGCTTAGCCAGACCGGGTCAACCAAACTGACGCGAGTACTGGCTGACAAATCGAGCCACGAACTTTCAAAATAATGCCACTGAATCATAAACCCCGCAAAGGTGACATCATCACGACTTTCCCCTCACGGGGAATATGATAACCGTATTAGTCTCAGAGTCAAATTTGCGTCGATAGATGGCAGTGGTACGGATCAGAGTAGCGGTTCTATTTTTTCACCATGATAACAGCAGGCCAAGTGCAATTCGGCCTGCCTAAGTTCGTGCTAAATCATCATATCCATACTCCTCGATCCTCGAAGGGATCAAGTCGCTAAAGAGAAAAATTTACAACGTCAATTTGAGACTTTTTTATGACAACGTCCTGCAGGTAACCGATGTCATCTGTCAACCCTGGGCGAAACAAAAACGACTGATGCGCTAAAAACGCAAAAAGTAAGTGATTCCGCCCGGGCTCGATCCGGGGACCTCATCCGTGTTAAGGATGCGCCATAACCAACTAGACTACGGAACCGTTCTTGAATTTTTGTAAAATCTGGTTATTTATACTCTGTTAGTATTACTTTGCACATGTGCTTTCGGTGATTCAAGATTTCGATAGCCGTCCACATCCCTAAATACTCTACCACTTTAGTTCTTGTTAGTATTGGCTTTTTCTGTCGTCTGAATTACACGATCATTGAAAAACTTTCATGTTTACGTACTTCCTTGATTGTCGACGATGCAAATTGAAAGATGAAAATAATGAAATACTCAAATTTCGTTTTCTACATGGGACTCAGAGGCCAGGCTGAGTTTATGTGAATAGAAAAAACACCAAAGATATTCACATTTGAATCAATTTACGTGTCAAGATCGCGAATAAAAGTGTAGCTGAATTGTGATTCAATTGATAATCAGCAAATGTTCAGTAACATTACAACAGCTCTCGGACATTATCTCATTCACTAATTCGTAATTCAATCGCTCTTATTATATATTAGCTCCTAAATAATTCCACATTCAAAATCATTACTTCAAATAATAATTTCCAATTCCCTAATGGCTGCACTTTTTTTCGATATAGGGAACAGACAAATGTTTGTACCTGGTATTAAGAAGTATCACACAGTGATCATACCATTACAAAAGAATTGAACGTGCTTGATAAGTTTTTCACGACGATCAACGCCTGTCAAAAAGCCTGAAAAGATACTTTATCTAAGCAAAATTAACGGTTCGCTACCCTTAGCAAACACACGTAAATCATCATCATTCGCGGATTCACCACCATTCGTCCTTAATGGGTTTTTTACAAGGATAGGCAGAGACACTTTCTCACCTTGTTCAAGTCCCAGTTTGTTCCCCTCAATTTTAAGGATACCAACGGGGGTTTGTCGAGAGACTTCCTTGACATCTTCAGTTTCCGCCACGTCGTCGTCAATGTTTTGCACATGATCCTCATAGGGCAATTTTGGCATGGGTCCAAGAATCACGCTCTTGAAGCGGGACAAGTACTGACACTTCACTTCCGCTCGCCTGCTTCCCTTGCACTTCATGAGCGAGTCATGATAAGCAGGGCACCTAGTGACCTTATGACACCCAAAACAGTACTCGGCCACGACAACTGGAATGCCTGTAAGTTCAGTTAAAATGTTGAGGGGAACCTCAAAAACCGGAGACGCTTCTAAAAGTCGACAAAGAGCTTGGCGCAACTCGCCGGAGCCTCCCCGCTCATCAGAGTGGTAAACTTTGACGTGTGAAGCGCTTTGGTAGGGAAGCACAACCATGGGTTCATGGTCATGAGCACACAGAAGGAGGCCGGTTTCCTCGTGCTTGATTATGTTCAATTTGGGTCCATTGGACGTAGTCTCCTTAACGTTAGGCGAGTATGCAAAGGCATCATCATTGTTAGGCAGTTGGGCATCATCACAGATTTCAGTCGTCGAGTTTTTCGAATTGACGTTTCCACCACCATCGAATGGTTCTGGCAAGGGTCCCACGATCACGTACTTCTGTCGCCAACACTGCTGGCTTTCGACTATTACTCGCTTGTTGACATCGCAATCACAATGGCCTTTGAAATGCAAAATTGTGCGCCCGCAGATCTTACCACACAGGAAGCAATAGAATGTATCTTCAACAGGGATGCCGGGAAGCCTAGTCATAACGTTGAAAGGAACCTCTTTTGCCGTGCCCTTCTGGAGTTCATTACGAAGTCTCCTTTGGACTTCTTTGGAGTGTCTGAGGCTTTTCTCATGAAACAGTGAAACGTGAGAATTTACCTGGTGAGGTAGCACCACCGTTGGGGTATGGTTCAACGCACAAACTACAAGACCAGTTTCGCTGTGCATCATGACGCTCTTTTCGGGTTCGCCGTGTTCTTGATCTGCACTACCTGTCTCGGGGCATTCGTTAGGGGAGTCAACAGTACCATCGTTGAGAATGCTGTCTTCGATATCACCGACCTCAGACTCACTGGCCTTTTGCTTGCCAGCACTTTGATCGCCGTCAGTGATTGTCTGTTTTGTTTTACCGGCTTCATCTTTACCGCTTGTCAGTTTGCTCGTTTCATTGTCAACAGGTTCTACCGCACTACCAGGATCCAACCCAATCCAATCTTCATGGAGTCGAGACGATGGTTTAAGGACTGGTTGGGAAGTATCGGTGTGAACAGATCCGCGTCTGTAATTTCCAGACGGCTGCCAATGCAGGAAAGGATGTGTTTGCGTCGTGAAGTTAACGCCAATCCCATCAGTATGAAACATCTGACCCAGATGGGGCGAGTGTGCCGCCACTCGAGCGACAGTCAGCTCCGAAAAGTTTTGGATTCTAGGACTTTGGTTTCTGCGCTGGGGGGGGACCTCTCCAAAATTAATTTTGGCTGCCAATCCTTCGCCGTGTAACTTCACCATATTGGTGTATAATTCACCACAGGCTTTGCAAAGGGTACAGTGCCCGTTGGGACCCCGGTGAGTTGCAGTAGTGCCGATGCATCGTTGGCACTTTCTGGGCCGCACAGTACAATTCTGCGCCATTGGTTCCGTGGTATTATGAGTTCTCCCGGGCTCCGACGCTCCCAGCTCTATGTTTGCATCGGTGTTATTGTCTGGGTGATGCTGGATTACTCTGGTCTTCATCATTACGTTGGCAGCACGTTCGGGGCCGATGCGCCACGCCAAGTTTTCGTAAAAAAGGCCACAGGCGTTGCAAAGAGTGTGCATCTCCTTAGGACCTGCACGCCATTGAGGGGTCCATTGGGTTCTGCAATGGTGGCATATTCCGTAACGGCCGTTTTTGAAATTATGCAGAACAGCTTGAGGCGGCGATGGTAGGTTAGTTGTGGGGGCGCCAGTGGCGCTAGACGGCGCTGTCGGTGCTTGTGGCGCTGGCCGAGCTTGTGGCCCTTGTCGTGCTGGCCGTGCTAACGGTGCTGTCGGTGCTGGCCGTGCTTGTGGCCCTTGCCGTGCTGGCCGTGCTAACGGTGCTGTCGGTGCTGACGGCGGTAACTGGGCTGGCCGTGCTAACGGTGCTGGCGGCGCTGGCGGCGGTAACTGGGCTGGCCATGCTGGTGGCGCTTGCGGCAATGGCGCTGGTCGTGTTAATGGTGCTTGTGGCAATGGCGCTGGCTGTGCTAATGGTGCTGACGGCGCTGGCGGCGCTGGCTGTGTTAATGGTGCTGACGGCGCTGCCAGTGTTGGCAGTGATGGTGGTGGTGGCGGCGCTTGCAGTACTGGCAGTGGTGGAGACTGGGGCATCATTTGACCGCTTGGGGGGTAGTAAATGGGATCGTGGCGCTTCAACATCGGGGACGTAGGCTTGATGGGGACGGTACCGTTAGTGGGTGGAGCAGAGGCGACAGGGGGGGCCAGGAAGCCACCAATGATCAGTGGCGGCGGCAATATCGGTGGGAACAGCGGTTTCAGGGCGTCAGGACCGACGATCGGTGGAAGCGCCACCTGCTCGAGGCCAGCTCGAGGATAAGGGACAATTGATGCCTGGGGTGCGGGTCGAACGGGGTACTGAGTCAACGGCAAAATCGGCGCCGGTTTCGGTTGAACGTTCATATTAAAGTTGGTCGCAACGGGGTACATTACCTGTTGACAGGGCACTTCTTTAAACTTAACATTATGTTGGTTCACCATTTGAGGAATATCTGCTTGACCTGAGACATCATGAGGCTTTACAAGCAAGTGATTGTAACCACCAGTACTACTTCCAACCATAGAGACGTTAACGAGGTCACTTCTGTCGTTGGTACCTCCAGGTAGAGCTGACGGTGAGCTGTACACCAAGCTCGCCAATTTTGCACGCTTAAACGTCGCAGAGGGCGAAGGTGTCTCAAGCTGGTCGTGACTCCTACCCCAACGCATCATATGGGACTCGTTCGAGTCGAGTCGACGACGCTCTTGGGACATACCAGACTAACGATGAGAGATTACTGAGGACGCGAAATTACATTGTACGCACTGGGGATAATGCGCCACCAGATCCTTAGACGAGGAGCCACCCTAACGATGGTGGCGTAATCGCCTGAACAGAAGTCGAAATCTTTAAGGATGTTCTATGAAGACGGAAAATCTATACTTGTATTGGTGATTTATACTTTTGTTTGGTGAAAATTATGGATCCTAAGGTAAAATCTGGATGGGGAAACATCTCGATTTGACTTGAGCCCTGCTCAAAAGAGGGGTATGGAACCATCGAGAATCATCAATCGGTACGACCCCCAAGTGAACAGTTTGATTTGTAAGGCAACTTCAGTGAATGGGTCTTTGTTGATTCAGGTACGGAAACTTCCTGAGGGTTCTCTTGTTTTCGCTATGCTGCACTGACCATTCTCGACTTTCACCAGTTTCCATCACTACTCAACCCGATGTCCATTTGATGGGTCTAGAAATAAACGATCGTCCTATTATACACACAAGTTACTTATTCACAACGATTATTCAGACGCTTCAGAGACGTTCTGGATGTATTGGTAGTACCAGGCCACCAACTGAAGGTGAGCGTCCATCGGCATGCGCTCGTCAACGGCATGGATCTTCAACTCCTTGATAGGGTCCTCGACGTATTGCGGCGAGAACCGGTAGATGTTGTCAGTCAATCTCCACATGTGACGAGTGTCGGTGTTACCAGTAAAGATTGATGGGACGGTGATGACAGGGTAGTCTAAGTCGGGGAACACCAAGTCTTCGAACACGTGGCGAACAGTCCCGAATAACGTCTTCCACGCCTCGTTGTCGGTGGGAGATCTGGGAGCCGGTTGTAAGATTTCCACCGCCTTGACGTCGAATCTTCCCCGGGTACCAGAGGCCACCTTCTTGTCGTCAACGTAAACCGATAAGTCGTGCTTTTTAGCCATCAGTTTGACCCGTTCTACAAAGTGGTTCAACACTTCGTCAGCGTCCAGTTCCACGGCAATTCTGTGGTTGATCACCATCTGGGTTTGTTCAGGCAACGAGTTCAGCTTCTCGCCGCCGTGGATGATATCGATGGCTTGAGACGTCTTGACCAAGTATTTCACCAGGTCGATGGTGGCGATGTGGTCAAGAAGCTTCTTGTTGGCGTAAGAGTCGTAGCGGGATCTGAGGATCGTCTTCTTCAACGAGTCGGGCATGGCTTTACCGTGGACGGCAGCGTATTCAAGTTGTTGCAAGAACGGGTTCTTCGAGGTGAGCATGGCGGGGTAGGGGTCTTCTTCAATCCAGTGGGCTAACTCGCCCATGATCCCAATACCAGTATGGTCAGGAGGCTGACTGGAGTGACCCCCAGGCATCGTCAAACTGACGTGGATGTCAGCGTAACCCTTTTCAGCAGTAGCAGGCACACCGACCAACATCTTCGACATCGGGTCGGTTTGCACCCCGTTACCTTCGTCGATAATCGCGTAGATCCCGTTTTGTCCGTATTTCTGTTCCAAGTGGCGCGAGATGTGGCCGGCACCTTCTTCGCCCGAGGTCTCTTCGTCGAAGCCGAAAGCAGCAATCACCGTTCTTTTAGGGGTCCAGCCTTGAGAGAGCAACATGTCCATCGACTCGAGGGTGGCGATCAACGAGTTCTTGCAATCACTGGCACCTCTGCCGTGAATGAATTCGCCGTCGTAATGGCCAGAGAACGGAGGATAGGTCCAGTCGTCCACGGTGTCCTTAGCCACGGGGACTACGTCCTGGTGAGCCATAAGCACAAGCGGTTTGAGGCTAGATTTGGAACCCTTCCAGGTGATCACTAACCCGTAAGTATTAACGATTTCAACATCAAGCTTGGCAAAGACTTCGGGGAAGGTGTCTCTAAGGTACACATGGAACTTTTCAAAGTGCTTCCAGGTCTCAGGCGATTCAGCCACGGGCAAAAAGTCGTCCAAGTTGGTGGTGTCTACTTGCACGGCTCCGGCGAGTCTGTCAGCGGACATTTTTCTGTAAACATCAGAGAAAATGTACTTCACTGCCAGGTCATTTTGGGCGTACAGAGACGGGACCACTTTGGGGAACACAGGACATCTGTCTGGTTGGTTAGTTGACGTGAACCAGATCTTGGCCTGGCCAAAGATGTTTGAGGTAAACATCATCACGGCGACGACGAGCATCGTCCCCCAGCGGAAGGGGAACCACAGCTTCGACTTCTTCTTGCCGAACTCTCTCTTTCCAGCCGCCATTAACCAGGAAGTAGCCTCATCGTTATGGATGTATAAATAAGGTGGTGCGGTTTATCCCGAATCAAGGAACGAATTCCGTTCCGCGGGGTAAGTGCGGAGGGACAAACAGGAAACCCCTACCGAGATAATGGCCAAAGGTGCCGAAATAGTATAGAGATGAATGTCAAAATGTGATCGTGTGTGACTTTAATCATCTTAGAACGCGATAGGTTAATCTTCGAGTGTTTTCTTTGGAATCTGGTGACATTTTCGCTACTAGTAATGAGCCAGTTGCATCGATGTACGATTCCGCGTATGCCCAAATTTTTCAATCGATAAGGCATGTTCAGACGAGTCGGAGAGTGGGGCCGTTGAATTAAGTATCATTATGATTCTTTGTGGAAGGATGGGTCGTATGTTCCCTTCGAGCTCCCCCAAACGCGTTCTATTTGTGTTTCAATAGAAGTTTTGTAAGCTCGCTTATTCGCTCGGGCTCCGCATCAGTAGAACAGCCGTTCTTGGTACGGCTCATTTCTGGTAAAGACTTTGAAGATGGTACAGGACTGGCGTCAATCAGTAGCTGGGGCATACCCTCTTTATTTCACGGAAAGTGTTGTAGCCATTGCCGGCTAAGGTATCCTCATACTTGTTGTCTGAAAGTAAATTAAGTGTCGTATTCGATCGATGATCGTAAATGTTGAAAAATGTAAACCAAATCGGCAACTTTTAGCTATTCCGAAATAACTTCGTCAAGGTTTGAACCATCGGAATTTTTGATTGGTTTTGATGATTATCTCTTCGACGATGCCTAATTGCAGTTTGAACCACACCTGAATTACAGCTCGTGCAGCTAAGAATTACGAGTGATAGACAATCAGTTATACGCGTCGTCGTTGTTAATAACAACAATAACAGACATCACAATGGAAAGAGCACGCTGTGCTTGTACAATTCGTAGGAGAATTGTGATGATGGCGTGATCGACATGCTTCGGATGGATATGGCTATCCACAAATTCTGTAACATTCTCGATGAAGTGCATTTGTACAGTTTAGTTAGGTTCTTAGCTTCAGTCTAAAATACGTCCGATGTTCTGATATTGAAATCATTAGACGATGATTGTTGTTTTTTTTGTGGACGCTAACGGTTTTTGCCGAGGCGCCTGCGTTTGTGTTATCATACTTGAACAAGTAGTATGTTGCGACGTGTATCGGTGAGGAGAATAATAGACAATAACATCCATTGAGGAAGTCGTGATGGGATCGTATTTACTTACTAGTAGCACTAGATGAAGACTCCTTGAATTCTTTGAACTGAGTTGTCGTCTGCTTAATTACCATCATTTAGCTTTTTCGAGCGCATAATTTTTCTCAACCCCTGACTATAATTCTGTTGAAATTATGTAAAATTCGACGAAAAGCACCATTGACGAGAAGACGTAATTTCGCATCCCTGCCATGTCGTTACGTAATTAAGAAAAATGCAGTGTCTTATGATGGGGAATGAACAGTGCATCGTCTTCTGAAGCTACATTGACGACGTCTCTTTTATTGGTGCCTCAACGGTGCTCAATTGGATCAGCTGAGGTGTACAGCTTCGCCTACGCAATTCATCTCAGCCAATCGGCCACTGGCGACGCCTCAGCATTCAGCCGGGGCATATGGCTTTATGCCGAACCCCCGCCCTATTTATCGACGATGAAACGAACGACTACAAGCCGCGACTAGTAGCCACCAGTATATGAATCCTCGACATTTTCTTCACTACTCGCCTCTTGTGTTTCGATCGGTTACTATGTTAATTGTCTGTCGGCGTGGGGTGATTGACAATTGTCTGTCTGAGATCAGACACTCACGGCACTTTCGCTGACACAAACGTCCACCGAAAACGCACCCACCAGAGACACGTCAAGCTGACGACACCATGTCTCTGTTTAGGGAAGCATCACCAGCTTTTAAGGGCCTGCCATTGGCGTGATTATTGTGGTGTCTCGCCTAACCTTAAACTCTGAGAACCGCCCCAATGCAGTACCTGAGGCGGATGGTACTTGCGATGAGCTAATAAGACCTGGGTGCGGGAAGCCGGTGGTCGGCACGAGCGTTCCGGCGGGTCAAGCGACGCCTCGTACGACGGCTGCTGCCGGACCCCCTATCTAAATGCTCAATTTTCGCGCTGTTGACACCCCTATCATAGGGCACATATGTATTGCTCGACGCGCTTTTTGGCTGCTGTGCCCTCTCGGAGTGCGCTGACGTCATGATCATCGGCGATGTCAGGTACCAATTATGTTTGTGTATGGGCAGCGGACCCCCATTGTGAGCTATCACAACCACCAGTACGACGGCGCCCGAGGCAACCAAACACCAACTGAAACATAATTATGGTAAAAGCAACCTTAGCTGACCCCATAACTTTGGTCATTGGTCACTCAAGTGTCTGTAGGGTTCCCTCCAGATGCGGTTGAGGCGTCGCTTTCTTGGTACTGTGGCCTTGCCAAAAATAGTGGAGGCGCGGTCGACGAGAATTCTGTTGTGGAACCGACGAACCTAAACCGGTGGAGCCGTACCCAAGAGTTGATAACCCTGGTAGTAGATCACAACAGTAAATAGTCGGTTTCAGATCATACAATTTGATGAATGACAATTGCTAAGTCGAATTAGACAATCGGTAATAGTAGTAGTACCAGTAGTAGTGATTGCATTGACGAGGCTCATTCTTTATAGACGACCACCGTTGAAAGAGAATGCCATACTAGCCACTAACAGTGACTCCCCCTTTCACTAGTTTACTAGAGAAGCACAGCTGACTCGTAAACAGATCGTACTTTTGCCTTAGCGTAGCTCTGCTATATTTGTCCTTGCTACACATCGCAACCTTTGCAAAACATTTCGCGGCTGCTAAATATACCGGACGCGGCGGTGCGAGTTTTTGGTTATGGTCGCCCACGCTGTGGTGAGCGCCGCCGAGCCACCATACTCTAGCGACAATTGTCCCCTATCCCCACGCCACAATCATAACAACCAAACATCGACAGATCTCACAAAATGGTAGCTTCAGTGAAGACATTTTCCGAGCTGTGGACGCGTTTGGTGGCTGCTGTGCATCCTTGGCGCAATTGTCCGTCCCCTCTGGGCATTTAACCCCCCCTTAGGCCTTCGCGCCCGCTGCCTGTTGATCGCGGTGTCGGCGCCGTCGCCGTCGCCCAATTCAGGCAAATACGCGATAAATGGCAAACATGCGCGGCGGCCGGGGGCCAAAAAATAACGCGCCTCCGGCGCCCGCAGCGCGCACGCTGCACCATTATTGTCACCTCGGCCGGCAGTAAACTTTGTATAAAACCAATCACCGCCCCCACCAGGGGCCTCACCCAAACCTTACCACTCGCTCACCGCTACCACCCCTTTGCGTAATTAGTTCGCGTCCGTTCCTTCCCCATGCGTTTTGACCAGTTGTTATTATTGGCCGGGGCGGTTTCCGCCATGCCCTACATGAAGAGAGACGACTTGTCGTCGTCGTCCGCCGTCGCTCCCGCGACTTCCGACGCCGCTGCCGCTGCCGACACTTCCTCGTCGAACGCTGCCGCCGCGCCTGAATCGCTGGATGCTGCTGCCACTTCGTCTTCGGCCGCCGCCGACGCCGCCGCTACTTCGTCGTCTGCTGACGAACAAG